TCGGGCGAGTCTGGTGCTGGAAAGACTGTCAGCGCAAAGTACATCATGAGATATTTTGCGACTCGCGAATCTTCTGATCAGCCTGGGAAATACACCACCAGCAGGGCCGATGCGATCAGCGAAACTGAAGAGCAGATATTAGCAACAAACCCCGTGATGGAAGCCTTCGGAAACGCAAAGACCACTCGCAACGACAACTCCTCTCGCTTTGGAAAATATATCGAGATTATGTTTGATGACCGAACGAACATTATTGGTGCTAAGATCAGGACGTACTTGCTGGAAAGGTCCCGACTGGTATTCCAGCCCCTCAAAGAGCGTAATTATCACATTTTCTATCAACTTGTTGCCGGTGCAACAGATGCGGAAAGGGAAAGCCTTGGGCTTGCCCCGGTGGAAGATTTTGACTACCTCAACCAAGGCGGCACGCCCACTATTGACGGAGTCGACGACAAAGCAGAGTTCAATGCGACGAGAAAATCACTCGGCACTATTGGCGTCTCAGAGCAAACACAAGTTGATATCTTCCGTATCCTTGCAGCTCTGCTGCATTTGGGGAACGTCAAAATCGCCGCCACACGCACCGACTCTTCTCTGTCACCTACTGAGCCTAACCTTGTCAAAGCATGTGAAATGCTCGGGATTGACAATGGGGAGTTTGCTAGATGGATAGTGAAAAAGCAGCTCATTACGAGAGGCGAGAAGATAACTTCAAATTTGACTCAGCAACAGGCGATAGTTGTTCGAGATTCGGTTGCAAAGTTCATTTATTCCAGCCTGTTCGATTGGCTCGTGGACAAGATCAATCGCGGTTTAGCCACCGATCAAGTCTTGAACAATTTCAGAGCTTTCATTGGTGTTTTGGATATCTATGGATTTGAGCATTTTGCCAAAAATTCATTCGAACAATTTTGCATCAACTATGCCAACGAAAAATTGCAACAAGAGTTCAATCAACATGTATTCAAACTTGAACAAGAAGAATATGTGCGCGAGCAGATTGATTGGACCTTCATTGACTTCTCGGACAACCAACCGTGCATTGATCTAATTGAAGCAAGATTGGGCATATTGTCACTTTTGGACGAAGAATCCCGGCTGCCCATGGGCTCGGACGAACAATTTGTGACTAAACTGCATCACAATTTCGCGGCTGATAAACAAAAATTTTACAAGAAGCCTCGATTCGGGAAATCTGCATTCACCATCTGTCACTATGCAGTTGACGTTACCTACGAATCGGATGGTTTCATAGAGAAGAATAGGGATACCGTCCCCGACGAGCACATGGAAGTTTTACGCAACTCTTCCAACGGATTCGTGAGGGAGATCCTAGATACTGCTGCTATCGTTCGAGAGAAAGATTCCGCTTCCATTTCATCTAAGCCTGTTGCTGCACCTGGACGCAAGATTGGCGTTGCTGTCAATCGCAAACCCACTCTTGGAGGAATCTTCAAGTCTTCACTCATCGAGCTCATGAACACCATAAACTCCACGGATGTGCACTACATTCGTTGCATCAAACCAAATGAGGCGAAGGAGTCATGGAAGTTTGAAGGACCGATGGTTCTCAGCCAGTTAAGGGCTTGTGGTGTGCTTGAAACCGTTCGAATCAGCACTGCTGGATATCCTACTCGCTGGACCTATGAAGAGTTTGCTATCCGTTACTACATGTTGTGCCATTCAAATCAATGGACATCCGAGATCAGAGAAATGTGCCATGCCATTCTGCAGAAAGCTATTGGGGATGGTAGTCACCAGAAGGTGGATAAGTATCAGCTGGGCTTAACAAAGATATTCTTCAGGGCCGGCATGCTTGCGTTCCTTGAGAATCTGCGAACGTCAAGGTTGAATGAGTGTGCTGTAATGATACAGAAGAACCTGCGATGCAAATACTACCGTCGCAGGTACCTCGACGCTCGCTCTTCAATTCTTACCACGCAAGCCCTTGTCAGGGGCTTTTTGGCAAGACAGCATGCTGCGGAAGTGCGTCAAATTAAGGCTGCCACGACCATCCAAAGAGTATGGCGGGGTCAAAAAGACCGCCGAACGTATAATGATATTCGCCGAAAATTCATTCTCTTCGAGTCGGCTGCCAAGGGCTTCCTTTGCCGCAGAAATATCATGAACACTATCCATGGCAACGCAGCAAAGATTATACAGCGGTCTTTCCGTTCTTGGCGACAACTCCGTGCTTGGAGGCAGTATCGTCGCAAGGTGGTCATTGTCCAGAGTCTCTGGAGGGGTAGAGAGGCCAGGACAGAATACAAGAAGCTGCGCGAGGATGCGAGAGATCTCAAGCAGATCTCTTATAAGCTGGAAAATAAGGTGGTGGAGTTAACCCAGTACCTTGAGTCGTTGAAGCGTGAAAACAAGTCCTTGAATTCGCAACTCGAGAATTTTGAGACGCAGTTGAAGTCATGGAGAAGCCGGCACAACAATCTGGAGACCCGTGCGAGGGAACTCCAGGCTGAAGCTAACCAAGCCGGTATCACTGCTGCTCGTTTGTCTGCCTTGGAGGAAGAGATGAGCCAGCTGCAGCAAAACCACGCTGACGGACAAGCGACCATCAAGCGCCTGCAGGAAGAGGAGAAGGCCACGCGGGAATCGATCAATTCTAATAACCAGGAATTGGAGCGCCTGAAGCAACTCAATCTAGAGGCCGAGGATGAAAAGGCTTCTCTTCGTCAACAAGTTGCTGAACTGGAGGAACAACTAGATGTTGCAAAGAGAACTATGCCGTCTCATGGCTTCAATGAGGATCAACAAAACGGCGTCTCTATCCCACCACCCGCCACTGGATTGATCAATCTCGTCTCGTCCAAGAAGCCCAAGCCCAAGCGACGCAGTGCAGGGGCAGAAAGAACCGATGTCGATCGCTTCAGTGGTGCCTATAACCCGCGACCTGTATCTATGGCAATTACGGGTGCTTCATCACGTCAAAATCTTTCTGGGACCACATTTTCACCAGGGCTGGACTCTGTTGAAGCAGAACTTGAAAACCTGCTTTCCGAGGAGGACGATTTGAATGAAGAAGTTACAATGGGTCTCATTCGCAATCTGAAAATCCCGTTACCCAGCTCTACTCCGCCACCGACCGAAAAGGAAGTCCTATTCCCTGCGTATCTGATCAATTTGGTCACATCTGAGATGTGGAACAATGGCTTTGTGAAGGAGTCAGAACGATTTCTGGCAAATGTGATGCAATCAATTCAGCAAGAGGTCATGCAACACGACGGTGATGATGCGATTAACCCTGGGGCTTTCTGGCTTTCTAACGTACATGAAATGCTTTCTTTCGTATTTCTGGCCGAGGACTGGTACGAAGCCCAGAAAACCGACAATTACGAATATGATCGTCTTTTGGAGATTGTGAAGCATGACTTGGAGAGTCTAGAGTTCAACATCTATCATACATGGATGAAGGTGCTCAAGAAGAAGCTTTACAAGATGATTGTCCCTGCGATCATTGAGTCTCAATCTCTGCCAGGATTTGTCACGAGCGAAACAAACCGGTTCCTCGGGAAGCTTCTCCCTTCCAACAACAACCCGGCTTACAGCATGGATAACCTCCTCAGCCTCTTGAACAATGCCTACAAGGCAATGAAGGCTTTCTATCTGGAGGACACGATCATTACACAGACAGTGACCGAACTCCTTCGCCTTGTTGGGGTCACTGCATTCAACGACCTCCTCATGCGGAGGAACTTCCTTTCGTGGAAGCGTGGTCTCCAAATCAACTACAATATAACTCGCATTGAGGAGTGGTGTAAGAGCCATGATATGCCCGAAGGGACACTACAGCTGGAACATTTGATGGTAAAGTACACCCCAAAGAGGCAGAAGACTGGTGAACATCTAAGACTAACTACTCCATATAGCAAGCTACCAAACTTCTCCAGTTGAAGAAAGCCACTCTCAACGACATAGAGATTATCCAAGACATTTGTTGGATGTAAGTCAAATTGCTAGCACCGTGGTTGACAGATCGAATTAACCTAATGATACCGCATAGGCTCTCCCCGAACCAGATTCAGAAACTTCTGAACCAGTACCTTGTAGCAGACTACGAGCAGCCTATCAACGGCGAGATTATGAAGGCTGTTGCATCTCGCGTGACGGAGAAAAGTGACGTGCTCCTCCTGACCCCAGTCGACATGGAGGACAGCGGTCCCTACGAGATTGCTGAGCCAAGAGTCATCACGGCTCTGGAGACATATACACCATCCTGTAAGTGAAAATACTGTGGAAGAAAGATTCACCTGCGGCCCCGCCTTTCGCCCTCACCGGCTCTCCCCATTCTGCTCTTGCCTCATTAATCTGTGCACCTCGGCTAACGTTTCTAGGGCTTCAAACTCCACGGCTGAAGCGTCTTGCTGAGATTGTTTCGGCTCAGGCCATGGCACAGCAGGAGAAACTCGATGGACCTGAAAATGGCGCGGAAGCTAGCGAATGATCTCATACGAGCAAATAGGGGTCATCGCCTTTTCATTTAGATATACTGGCCTTTTATGAAATTTTTCTTCTCATCTTGTCACATGCAATTGGGCTTTATGTGTGTATGTCTTGATTACGAAGGTAGACAGGTAGACATCTAAGAGATTCAACTGGCACTTTTCTGCTATTTCGCAGGAATTCTATATGTTATCAACGATTTTGATAAGAGCTTGTAATAAGCAAATAATCCTCGCTAAATTTGCGGCAATGGAAGCAAGTATAGACAGACGGCAGTATCAAGAGCGCTTGTAGTTTATCATAGTTGAGACAATTCACCATGATGGGCATGTCATATTAGATAATCACTACTAGGCACCGTAACTGATATCCGGCGGTGGTTTTGTTAAGTGCTAAAGTTTCACAACAACCCATTATAGTTAGCCCTCGGAACCTTTAGAGTGTAATACCCTGCACGCAGCTTCTTTTATTTGTGGTCTCATTTTATCCTGTTGCGTTACTGCTAGGTGTTAATTCCCTGGTACCGCGTGAACCAAACCATTATCATGGCCATTACAAGTTTGAATTTCATCACGGGTAACCGAAATAAACTTGCGGAGGTGAGAGCGATTTTACAAGGCGTGGTCGAGGTTGAAAGCCAGGCAATCGACACGCCCGAGATACAGGGAACAATTGAAGAAATTGCCAAGGAGAAATGCAGACGCGCTTCAGAAGTGGTAAGGAACGAAAGTCACTATGAGTGATTTCTTTGCGAGGCATTCCAGCTTTCTGCAGCACAGACTCCTGTCCCAATTTCCATCACTTGTCTCATCCTGGCTAATATAACGAATCCAGGTAGGAGGCCCTGTTCTGACAGAGGACACTGCTCTTGAATTTACTGCAATGAAGGGACTTCCCGGTCCATATATGTATGGTTACCCCGAGGGTCGTCTTTGGCTACCTTTCTAACAATGGTTAAGCAAATCGTTCCTTGATGCGCTTGGCCATGAAGGGCTCAACAAAATGCTTGACTCATTCGACGATCGATCTGCCGAAGCTGTATGCACCTTTGCATTCTGTTCCGGCCCTGGCTCAGAGCCGATACTCTTCCAAGGAAGGACTCCTGTAAGGCAACTTCAAACTGATATATATATCTCAATTTACTAACAGAATTCGACCCAAAGGGCATGATTGTTCGGCCAAGAGGCCCGACAAACTTCGGTGCGTATCTAAATCATACTGACGAATACTATACTCATTCTACATGCTCAGGCTGGGATCCTATTTTTGAGTACGAAGGCAAAACGTTTGCCGAAATGACGAAAGAGGACAAGGTACGGTTCTCACAACAGGAGCAACTTCACATCCCTTGCCTATTTACTTACCACTGACAATCATTGCAGAATAAGATATCCCACAGGAACAAAGCTCTTATTAAGCTACAGCACTGGCTAAGTGAGGGAAATTAGTACCGATTATTTGAAGATTGCTAAACATAAACGGAGATTTCAGACAGTGAGTGACCTCAATTATTGTGTCTGGTCAATCTTCCATCTTTCTACCCAACTTGAGATCCGCGCACAGTTGTTGTCTACATCGTCATCCTTTTCACTATTCAACTCGACGACGATTTCTTCATCATATGCCTCGCGAGCCTCTTCGACTAGAACACCGAATATCTCTGCATCCATGTTCTCTTGCAACTTTTCCTGTTTATAACCCCTAACACACTTAGCATTCAAGTTTGGTTTCCATGACCGAGAAGTTCATTGGTCCCGTCCTACCAATGGTGGGGGCGGGCGAGGGGGTTCTGATGGCAAGTACCTTGTTGAGAGACGGTCATATAGAATTGACGTAGATGGACATCGCAGAACCACAACGAGGTCAATCCACGATTTCGGAAACAGATCACAAGCATGCCAATCGATTAGATAGCCGCCTTGTAAGACCTCCTCTTCGATAGCGTCCAAAAGCTGCGAATATTAGATTGGGTGGGTACAATAAAGACATGGACCCAAAAAGAATGTAACATTGTGGGTGTTGGGTTGAGTGTGATATCAACTCCAAAAAAAACATTAAAAGAAAAAAATTTGAACAACATACTTTATCTTCATCCACGACCCAAGTTTCTAACTCTTCATCGTACGACTCGAAACAACCGCGGTCTTTTGCGACCTGGTTGATAGATAAGTGCCGCAAGCCAGTGTCTTGCGCTATTTGCTCGCAGTGGACAGTCTTCCCTACCCCGGGAGTCCCTGTAATGATCACATTTGGAGACGTGCGCATCCTGAATCCAGCACAAATAGTTGGCAAAACGCTGGCCAGGGTATTTGCTTGTGAAACTGATAAGTGATATAATCCACGCCGAGGGGAAATTTTCTGCGGGGGAAAATGTTGCGTCCTAAGGCAGAAACTCGGAGTATCGGTATTAGTAGAACCCGAATCTGTCTCCACTACTATAGAACACCAAAATATATATCCAGACATACCAAGTAATTGAAACACAAAGTGCCAAGGTGTTGTCATGGATTGACATGCACACTGAAGATGCCCGGAGCCGACCTGTACAATAATTGGCAATAGGGCTATCACTTCAAACAGCATTTAGACATTACAAAGGACCTAATGAGGACAGTGACACAATACCAAGTACAAATGGACGATGACATATAACTGTAGGAATATCACTATTTAATTGCTTCTAGAACTCGACGGATCAGAAGGAAGCCTAATAACAGTTAGATGGGCCCGGCAAATACTTCACGGAGCCTTACTTTAGTATCTCGAACGCCTTATACCTTTGGAGGTACTTCGCCCCTCGTCTATACCCTTTCAGAATGCGAGTAGGATCAACGACTTTTGCAGAGGTAGTTTTTAGACGTTTCATTGCACGCGATGTTTTGAACATTGGATCAAAAACCAAAAGATTTGCTTTACCACTGTCTCGAATCTCAAATCCAACAATGGTCAAAGAGTGGCCTGCCCATGATGATTTGAGTTAGACCGTCCAATTATGCACTCAAAGATCAGGGTTTCGAACCATGGTGCTGAAGATAGACGGGTGGTAAGCTCGTTACAATGACTTTGTCGTCTGTCTCTATGGGATGAGAACCGCGAAAGTACGCTGCGATGGTTTCTAACAAAGCATCATGTGCTCGAGTCTCTTTTGTATCTCCAATGCTGGATGCTTCGCACCTGATCCTCGGGTTAGAACAGCCGGTTAGAATGTATATACTGACTTAGGACTTACCGTATTCCAAGACTCGAAAATAGAGCTTGTGCCTTCAAAGATCAGTGATGAGTTGTGGGACTGGACCATCTTCTACTTTGGTAACCTAGCCTTACCTCAGGTGTCCCAATGAATTTCCTAGTGCCACGAATCCCTCCTGTTTCAAGTCGGCCCACACTGTTGAACCCCAGGTCCCATGCCCGTTCGATCATATCTTGGAGTTGCAAGATGGTTGGTAAAGGTCCGGGAAAGTGGTCGTGCCCCGGGCAATGGCATTCTTTGATGTACGATATCAACATCTGGATATTCCTATAGCCGCAGAAGCTCCCTTCCATCGACATCTTAGACACGTGGTAGACATTAGGATTGCAAAGAAAAGCACATCCGACTGATTTATCCTGCTTGCATAGTCGAGCAAGTACTGGAACGATACCGGGAGTCTCATTTTCAACAGATTCATGCTTATGAAGAGTACCATCTGGCGCGATCCTATTTGAACGTGTTCGCTTGGCACCCTTTTCGAGCAATTTTCGGAGCCAGGAAGGCATCTGCTTCTCATTGGCATAGGGCCCTAGTTCTGAACGCTGCAGCATGGATCAGCACCGGGAAAACCAGAACAGCAACGAGAGAGGCTCAATACTCTAAGCCTTTTCACACTCCCAGAGGGTGTATTTTTCAAGGCTGCTACTGACGAGATTAGTAACATGAGCATTCTCCATGCTTTTGTGACCTATGATACAGACAGACCATTTTTATCCGAGTTGTTGTTGATTGAACTATGTGGCAGACCCTTGGCAGACCCTTTTGATCTATGTTCACCAGACGGTCCAGGGTCTTGGATACGAGCAGTTTGATCTGGCAATAGTCCCGTGTGAGAAGACATGTCTTTAGGAGCACTGGCTTCTACATTATCTAAATTAAAGTAAGAAAAAAGATTACCGGTTGTCGACAACTTCCCACAAGCAAATGGGCCGTCCGCAGATTGTATCTTACCGTATAATGCGGTCGAGTTCGTTACTCCGGAATGGTCAGGATGGCAATATTCGACATGTTCGATGATGAAGTTTTCGTCAGAGTCTGTAAAAGGACATATCGGGCACCCCAGCATGGGGATGTTGGTGTTTTGATGGTCCATGGTAAACAAGCAAACAAAGAAGGTTGGGGAACTTATCGGTGTCATGCGCAAAAATAAGGACCGACAGCCCCTGTGATCAAGAAATAGTACAAAATCAACTGAGATTATCAGTAATTTTAAGAAGGGAACGGTCTAGTTGTTAAACAGACCTGGGGAAAGAAAAGAGGAAATGGCATACGATGCTATGGCTATAAGCCAGCTGATGGTGTATATCCAAAGATCGGGTGGGGTACTCGGTATCAGAGTGGTAATCAATCCGATTCAACTTGATATGCTAAATGGGCATTGTTTGCCTGTAATACGGTGATATGTTTCGATTGCCGTTTCAGAGTATTGAACAATATCTGGTATTATGATTATTATTATTATTACAATTCTTATTCGCCTACCGAGCATGTGGTCGATTTATCCGGTGATTGTAGTTCAGCATGGTTCAATTGGTATATTATAGCATTCTATATGGCAGGATTGCGGATCCTGGCCGTAAGCTTTCATGTAATTATGCGATTGAATTATCAGATTCAGATTCAATGTCTTGGTGAAGTATACTCTGTAGTACATATCCCCCTACATTGAAGGTTCAAGCACAGGGGCTAACAGGCTTAGAATTTGAATTCTGAAAGTGTGCCATAACTTTATACAAGAGTCATAGGAGAAATTGAGGCAACAAACCATAAAGTGCACGGGCTGGTGCTATTACCAGGTTCGAGGTCCGGGCGGGCACTAAGCCAGGTCAGTTAGTAACAACTCATAACCACTAACTACTTAGGCACTCCCGTAGTGCTATATAGACGGGGCCCAATGCCCCGGTCCTCCGTACTCGGGCCTGAATGGTACTGTCACGTGCCACTCCCGAAGAAATGGCGACAATAGAATATCCTTGCACCTAATCTAGCAAGGTGAAATCAGCCATTATAAGGGCTTTACCTGTAGTTTATTAATAGTAAATCTACTGTTCATGCATATTACTTGTTTCACGTGGGAGATTATATTAGCTCAGAGTGCATGGAGGGGTGTGTATAGACCCTTGATTTTAATATAGCGATTCCTTGCAGTTACAATAATGTTGATCACCTATTATCTAGGCCTAACTCCGATATCAGCTCCGACACCATTCGCAAAAAGGGAAGGCGGAAGGAAAAAGAAAAAAAAAACGGACGCCGCAAAGGTATGACTCTTGTCTCCGCTTTCGCAACCCCACTGGTCCGCATAAAAGACTATCCTGCTCCAAAACCAACTACAGGGTCATGATTACCATTTGACAAGCAAGGTTCAACACAGCGGCCAAAATCTCCAAATGATGGATGGACCATTAAATCCCGGCTCGCATGCGATGCCTATTGTCAATGGTGCTCCCATTAGCCCCTCCACTGGGAATTGGGTTGTGCAGAAGTTTGGCGGTACTAGTGTCGGAAAGTTTGCCTTCAACATTATTGACCAAGTTGTCATGTAAGTTTGTGGACAAGATCTTACCAGCAGAATTGCACACCGAGTCCGGACTCTCATCTATTCTTTGTTGAAGACCCAGTTTATCTGAGCACAATGTGGCCGTCGTATGTTCTGCAAGAAGCAGTTCTACCAAAGCCGAAGGCACTACAAATCGGTGAGTCATTTATTTTTCTACAGTGACACTTCATTCTCTCTCCCTTCCTCTCAACTACTCCATTACTCTATTGAAAATGGCACATTCTCATCATCATGTTTTGTTCTTTATCTAATGCGCGATCTTGTACAGGTTACTCCGAGCGGCGCGGGACGCAGAGAATACACAATCGCATTATATCTCCTTCGTTGAAGCCGTTCGCGGGGAACACATCGAAGTGGTCGAAACCCAGGTTCAGTCTCAAGAGATCAGAAGTCGGTTGGTCGCGGAGATCAATGGAGACTGTGACAGAGTCCTAAAAGTTTTAGAGGCTGCTCAGACCCTTGGAGAAATCAGTGCGCGCTGTGTGGATAAAGTGATCAGCACAGGGGAGAAGCTGAGTTGCCGGCTCATGGCTGCCTTTTTACAAGATCGTGGAGTAGATTCGCAGTTTGTGGACTTGACCGAGATTATCGATTTCCCCATCTCAAGTCAAGGCCTGGACCAAAGCTTCTATGACCATCTGTCCAATTCTCTCGCCAGGGAAGTCCGGGCCTGTCACGGCAAGGTTCCTGTCGTGACTGGTTATTTTGGAACTGTGCCTGGCGGCCTTCTCGACAAAATTGGGCGTGGCTATACGGATCTTTGTGCTGCACTGGTTGCGGTCGGGGTCCGTGCCAAAGAACTACAAGTGTGGAAGGAGGTTGATGGGATTTTCACTGCGGATCCGCGAAAGGTGCCTACGGCACGCCTTCTACCTGCAATCACTCCCTCCGAGGCCGCAGAGTTGACGTTTTATGGTTCCGAAGTCATCCACCCTTTCACCATGGAGCAGGTCATTCGCGCCAGGATCCCCATCCGCATCAAAAATGTCATGAACCCAAAGGGAGATGGCACAGTGATATACCCGGATTCCCCCGATGAACTTGAGAAAACCACTCCGGGCCACGATCCACGATTGTTCCGTACCCGAAGCCCCAGCTTCATGCAAAGACCGAAGCGCCCCACCGCTGTAACGATCAAGCACAAGATCTTGGTGATTAATGTGCACTCAAATAAACGCTCCTTGTCACACGGGTTTTTTGCTGGTATATTCTCCGTGCTTGACCGCTGGAGACTCTCGATCGATCTTATCTCTACGAGCGAGGTACATATTTCAATGGCGCTTCACTCGGAAGTCCCTCTCTTAAACGGGACCGGCAGAGACGATGTGGTGATCATCGATGATGATCTTAAGGGGGCCTTACACGACCTCCAGAGATACGGCACCGTTGACATCATCCCGAATATGGCCATCCTCAGCCTTGTTGGAAAGCAAATGAAGAATATGATCGGAGTCGCCGGGAGAATGTTCTCGACTCTCGGTGAAAGCAACGTTAATATAGAAATGATCTCTCAAGGTAAGTGTTGGCGCTCCTCACTAGCTGACCCCTTCGTTCTAACTCTGTTTACAGGCGCGAGTGAGATCAACATATCATGTGTCATCGAAGAGAGAGACGCAGACCGCGCATTAAATATAATACACACGAACATGTTCACTTTCTTAGATTAAAGGCATGTCGTTTTCTTTTGCTAGCCTTTCGTTTCCTGCATTCGACACCACACCCTTTATTGGCATGCACCCTCAGCTTTATAGAATTAGCGAAACCTTGATCATATCCTACCATATCCGAGCCAAATTCATGTCATGTCAGAGATGTTAGTGTTGGGATCTTTGCTCTGTGAGCGCATCAACCTTCAGTTTTGTTATACGATGGGGTTGGAAACGGCACTCGCTGTCTGCTTATCTTCTTTCGATATTGGTGCCCCCCACATATTCCGGGTATTCTGCGAGCCCCCTCATCGGGGTGCCTGTGAATGCACCATTTTCACATTGTTACGTTTCCATTACAAGGCGTTTTCGAGTTCAAAACAGACACGGTAGGGGCTCAGAATAGATTAGAATAGAATTGAATACTCCCATTACCATGGAAGAATCCATGAATATCCACTAGAAATGTCCATCACTAGTTGCCGGCAGATTAAATCGTAGATACCTCATGAATGGAGGGTAGTGGCCTCCCTTTACATTAGAGGTAAGATGGTACAAGACCCGGTGAGGAGTTGATACCCTCCCGCCGTATTCGCCCAAGGGATAATATCTTTTTAAACCCGGGTATCGACGTGAGAGCCACGCGGAGTCTCCTGTAGATCGTACGGACACAACGCGAGCAAAACGCCCGCCCGGATATCGAGTTGACCTGGAGGATAATACAATCCATGTCCACCGCACGAGTCCTTCTACCGAAGACCGTGATACTTGGGGATCAAGGTGCTGGAGCAAGTAAAAAGCCATTTGACAACCTTGGTTGACGATTGTTCGCCCTTGCTCATGTAGGTACAAAAGTCGACATAGACATTTACGTATGCAGGGTCAAGGCACCTAAGGTCGGCGCATGTCGAATTGGCCCGCCACAACTCCTGACCAAGTCTTGTCTCAGCCGTGTCCTTGCCCCCCGAGTTCTTCGTAGGATAGATCCAATAATCAGGTCCACAGGACGGTACCCCTCCCTTCCTTTTCCGAACCTTTTTTTTTTTAATTTGCCCCGTTGTGAGCGATCCTACATACGTAGGTAGGTACGTCCATAGTATGCGGAGGGGCGACCTAGACTCCCACATGCCGGTTGGCGCCCAATTGATCGGGACCCTCTCTATGATCTGCCGAGATCGTCTGCTGATTGGAGCCCCGGTGGATCACTGGATCGAGTAAGGAGTTAGGCCTGATGGGGTTTAGTGTAGATTACACGGGGCTAACTGGTTGCGGCCGAAACTTGCTGTATTGTCACCGATGACAATACCCTCCTGCAGAACACCTGCCCCTGCAGCGGGGATTTGGCGTGGAATCGGCGGGAGTGACGCGTGACGCGACCCGGTAGGAACCATACCATACAGACACACGATATCGCGACGGGGCATCAACAGAGCCCATTCAAGGCACCTTCCTCCCCCATTCCACTTTCATGATTGAATTGCGACGAGTTAACTTACTTTCCTGCCTAGTATTCGCCCGAAGTATCCCGCTTGCGCGCCCCCACCTTGCTTGGGATTAGCCTTCGATTGCCAGCGAAGGGATTGAATCTTGGAGCCATCCAGTCATTCCAATTTATGAGCCTCGTTCCCATTCCCTCGATACATATCTTCCTCCCTCTTTCCCCAACCTCTTTCTCTTTTCGCCTTTGGTAGTTCACCGGTTTGCGCAGACCCGCTCCACTGATCACTCCAAACCATCTATCTCTTTCCAGCCGACGGAGTACGGTCGATGCAAACGATTCGCTGACTCGAGACTGACCCTTCGATTGACGGGAAATCCTTTTGGTTGTCTCCTCTTTTTTTTTTTCCTATTTTTTTTTTTTTATTTGCCCTGGTGTGCCACCAGGTCCATGTACTGCTTGGGCCCACCGTCTCCATGCACATTTGGTAGCGCCTTGTGGCCTGATCTCTAAATCTCTTACGGACTGAGGTAGCCTTGTGTGCCTTGGTCTTTGGAACAAAATCGCTTCTATCGTCACACCTGCCGGTCCCAGGCATCTCGCTACTGGGCTTTTACCCTCGCCATTTAACCTCGTTCGACACTAGGTGCTTGCGCCCTGCCGTCGTCTCTCGCCTGGACTAAAGAAGGAACCCTGTCTAGTCGACGCGCCGGGTATCGTCAGCCAGCATCTATCGACTTCTGGCCAGTGGCATCATCAGTCCGACGCGTTCTGCGTCAAGAGGTCTACACAATGGCCAGGCCACTGTCTCCTTCGAATAAGCAACTTCGCGGGCCGCGTTCTCGCCTGGATCCGTCACCACTGCCCTCCAAGCCCGCCGAAAAAGTCGCAAGCCAAGATTGCGTTCTGAATCCGCCCTCTGGTGGCTCGCAAAAGCCGTCGCCAACTAAAGCACCTCGTACCTCGAAGGCCTCCCTTTCTTCGGGAAGAGATCTAGGAACGGTGTCGATAACCGCCCCTACCCCCCAAGCCTTCACCACGGACTCCCCGCAAAGAAGACTCCCTACAATACATATTCGCATGCTCCTCCCACGTCACCCATGCCGCATTCGGCCCTATTCACCACGTTTCCCAGCGTCAACCCGGCGAAACAGTTCTCTAGAGACCAGCAGTCAGGGGACGAACCCCCGAGCGACAACTTTGCCGATTTCCCTGAACCCTTCGCGTCCAGGTCGTCCTTGAAGAGGTCCTTGATGGAGGCGGCGCCGCTCAAAGAACGACCCACCAAGAAGCCGAAGCGCGAGGATCTTAGCTTAGTCCCTCTCCCGGAGCCACACGAGATGCCGCCAATAGAGGACGATGGCACCAAACCCCCGTACAGCTATGCAACCCTGATTGGCATGTCGATCCTGCGTGCAACCAATAGACGCTTGACCCTGGCGCAAATATACAAATGGATCTCGGATACATTCTCGTACTATAAAAACAGTGACCCGGGCTGGCAAAATAGCATTCGTCACAATCTCAGCCTGAACAAAGCTTTCGTCAAACAGGAGCGCCCAAAAGACGACCCGGGTAAAGGCAATTACTGGATCATCGAGCCCGGGATGGAAGCACAGTTTCTAAAGGACAGACCTCTGCGCCGTGCAACCATGTCCAGCCTCCCCCTTCCCGCAGCTCCCCAAAAAGAGACAGCACCCCCGCCCAACTCCAGTACCACCACCTGGGCTGTCGCACCGTCCACCAACCCCTCGGCGTTGACGTCGACGAAAAACGTGGACCTGTCTTCGGATGCGACTCTGCCTGCCTCCGACCCTGCTCTCCAGGAAGATGTAGGTGACGAGGGCGTCAATGTCACGGCGGCGCAGCAACCCCTTCCACCGCGCTCTTCCCCACCGCAGCCAATCCACTCTTCACCCCCGGTCGTGCCGCCCCGATTCATTCGCCAGGGAACTCCGCCTACCCCCTCCCAGACTGTCGCCTCCGGGGTCGTCCCCCGCGGCAAGAGTCGGAAGTCGACTGCGATGAATGATAGTGGGTATTTCTCGTCATTGGAGTCCTCGGCGATGCGGCCCAACAAGACTGGGCATATCTTGACCTCGGACTTGGATATCGAACCGCCGCGTATCAAGCGCGGTCGAGCTGAGGAAGAGATTGCACGCATCCGAAGTTCTTCCCACGATATCAGCCCCAGCCATTCGGGGGTCCTCCGGGATGCTGGTCTGATCGTTGGGTCCTCGCCTCTCCGCGGTGAATATGTTAGTATGCTACCGCCGCCCATAACGCCCGTGATCAAATTCAAGAAGCCCTTGAAGCCACCACCGTCTGTATCACCCAACACCAACCTGCGGAACCATCGCAAAAGGATCCAGCAAATGGTCAACTCGCCAATCAAACATCTGGGACTGACCGACGAGGATCTTCCGTGGAGCCCAGCGTTTAATATCCAGGATGAAGCATGCACACCTAATGACAACCTTCATACGAACTTCGACGTTTTCGCAGACACTACTGTCGAAAACATTTCCACCTCAGCATATGGCTCGCCTGAAAAACGCTCTGCTAAGCGTAATAGAACTGATACGGGCGCAGCTCACAACAGTGCTCTCGCGGATATCACCGCAGTGGGTGCCAACAACAGAACAGGCCTACATCCCTTATCTTCTCAAAAAGCAAAGGGATTGCTATTCCCCGAATCTCCGTCGAAAGTGCCCGACAATGCGCGCTTCATCGATGCCACACATGACGACTTCTTCTCATTCCATCTCTTTGACGAAAGTCCCGGCGAGGTTGATGGTGTTGACCTCTTGCAGGGGTTCCAAAAGATTGGGGGCGCCAGCAAAGATGGTCTATCTCGACCAAAGCCGCACGCTGCCAGACCACAGCTCAATCATCGAAGCAATACATCCTTGTTCTGAGCCGTCCGCCCCGATGATTCCGGGCAACGACACGCGAATCTCCATCTCCGTGCAATGACGGAATGTCGAGAATTGTGGCGTCGAAACTATTATGATGTCATTCTACAATTGTTTTGATGATGCCAACTGATGTTTCTCCTGGCGTACCTTGAGTTTTGATTCTGGTGTTTTTTCTTCTTCTTTCTTCCTTTCCCGCATGGTTCTATTGCTGTTGGTGCTGGTTTACTTTAACACGGGGGCACTGAATTTCCGGAGTTTTGGGCTAAGGTCTGGTGTTGGCTTGACTTTGGGCCTGGGACGACCTTTCATGACTTCCATGACGACATTTGCTAAGATGTACATGAGATGCAATGTTTTAACAAGCGTGAATATTTTTTTGTTCTTCCCACATTCCCTCCTTTCAAACGCGCAGTTTCTAAATAGTTTAGTTTGCAATTTTGTCTAATTTGACCCTGGCCAGCCATGATCGTCTCTTGATATCCTACTTAGATACAAGTCATTGCGTAAGCATTTCATCTCATATGAGAGGTACTTTAGTGGGTATCGAATTACCGCCCAAGGTCACTGTTAGTAATAAACAAAGGCCGAAATTGAAGGGCAGCTTCTGCATAAATCCTAGGAAGGGGGGGCAAGCAAGGGAGGAATTCGGTGGGGGAGGGGGAGGGATATTGATGCAAGAAATTTCGAATCATGTAACCAAAACGCCGCCATCCTGCAAGCAAAATTAAACCAAACCCAAGGACTACTAACGCCTATCGTACCAAGTGTCTCACTTCGACACACCCCGTCCGCCCTTTTTCTATAACCGATCAGCAATACCTACAAAAGGCTAATCGCTGCTGGCACACCCTCGACAACCACAGCTCACGCATTGAATCATTTGATCTTCTTTGAGCTGGGCTTTCGGGACCCGGCAGATGCACGTCGCGTTGAAATTCGTTTCCTTGGGCTGGATGCAACGGAGGCAGCAAAGCTATAAGTGAACAAGTCAGCACATGGCTTATCTTGGACCTCTGGAGGGGGAGAATGTTTGCATAAAGCGGGGAAAAGTGGTAAATACCTTCTCATAACCCTGTTTCTTCCACTTGGCGATCAAGCTCGCATCGGCGTAGTTATTCTTCAGAAGCCAGTCGTACAGCGGTCGCGATATAGCTCCCTTTTCGTAGTATAGGTCGTAGATGTATCTGCTGCCTGTTGTACGGTTAGGTCAGCCACTGTCGTCCCAGAGGACCGCTGCGGGGGAGGCAGATGCTTGCTTACGCTGATGACTGATCTGGAAGATGGACCATAACATCTCGTGCTTCTTCTGCCCGTCGTGGGGCGCGTTTTCGGCATCTTTCATCTTGTTGCTGAATTCGAGGAGTGTGTCTTCGATGTCGTCGAAGCCTGGGGGTGGTGCTTTGCGATTGCGCGAGGTTCGTATCGGAGGCATGATGGCTGGTTATTGAGTGGGTTGATGGGGGTTTATCGGGTGGTGAGGTTCTTTCCTGTCCAGGTGGTGGCAAGTGGTAGTTTTCGATGCAAGTATCGGGCTCGGAATCCTGGCGCTGTGCTAAAGATGTTGAAACAAAAACGGTTGACTTCATGATTGCAGGCGGGACAGTTCGTACAAACCTTGGGGTTATCTTTTTGTGCCGCGGTATACCGCCTTCCCCATTATGCGGACCGTCCTTGACTTTTGCTCGACATACATAGTTAACAGTGTTCACCACCATACTCCCTCATTGATATCTCTTGTTTCTACTTCCCCGGATTCCACGGAGAGCTATTACAGTCAATAAATTCTCATCGAGATTTAAATCGAAACTTCACATTCACAGCCGTCATGGACCCCCAGCAGCAAGTCGACATCTCCAAGCTCAGCGATGCGGACAAGAAGGAACTGAACCAGTTTCTGACGAGCGCAGCTCAGAAATCCCAAATCCAGCAGAGTGAGCTTCCCTTTTCATTGTCCTTGTCTACTCAATTTACAATCGCTGACTTGTACGATTCAGCCGTCCACCACCTGTCTGATGTGTGTTGGAAGAAGTGCGTCAGCGGAAAGATCTCGTCGGGCCGTCTGGATTCGTCGGAGGAGACTTGCGCGACGAACTGTGTTGAGCGGTGGATGGATACGAACCTCTCTGTCTTGAAACATCTGGAGCAGCTCCGTGGGAACTGAGTTGGATTGTTTATCTTGGGGGTTGTGTGGACTGTATTGGTTTCAGAAGATTACCTGGGATGGCTCTGTAGAGCGCACCGGGCGGGTCAGATTGTATGAATAGCAATTATAAAGTTTTCTGTTGGATGATACTTCTCAGCATTTGGTTGTATTGTATTGCATTGCAGGTGGTGTGGCTGATCTTGTTCTTTTTATTGTCATTACTATTGCTATTACTATTTGAATAATGACTACTCAATATAACGGGATCAAAATCTTGAGGTTTCAGGTGTTACCCTACTAGCCATTACAACTACACATCCTTACAAGCAAGCACTTTCAAATGCATGCGTTGGTACAACTTATTTTTTGTTGAATTTATAGTCATTCAGCCCTCGTTGCATAACCGGCAGTTGGTAACATAATTTTTATTGACCACCGTGCAGAATTGAAAAACAGATGTTCGCCCAAACCCAATAAATCCTTTTAGACAATGGCCAGCTTAGTGGCGGCAATGTCCAGAGCATCCACATCGGGGGTTAGGCGGGCGAAGGCCTTCTTGGAGCCATCAGGTCTGCAATGCTTGTTAGAATTTTTGCCATCCCAAACTGGTCGAAACTAGCGAACTAGCCACACGGGGAAATTCATACCTGACGAGAGTGTTAACCTTGACGGTGTCGACATCGTACAGCTTCTTGAGGGCCTGCTTGATCTGGCGCTTGTTCGACTTGACGTCCACGATGAAGACCAGGGTGTTGTTCTCCTCGATCTTCTTCATGGCACTCTCGGTGTTGAGAGGGTACAGGATGACCTTGTTGGAGTCGAGACGAGTACCGTGGGGGATGGAGGTGCGCGGGTACTTGGGCGACCGAGAGAGCTGAAGGGTCTTGGGGCGGTGGAAGGTGGTCGAGGTGCGGACCTTGCGAGACTTGTGTGCCTAAATGGGGATTCCGATTAGAATTGTTCATGCACTTCAAGGGAGATCGGGTCAACATACGCCTGCACCCTTCAAGACTGCCTTGGCGGCAGCGCCAGCCTTGTCGCTGGGCTTCGTCTTGCCTATATCGATAGCAAATCAGTACTTGTGGCAAACCAGAGAGCAACCCAATTATTGCGTCCAAATAAAATCCGCCCAGAATGCAAGTTTGAAAATCAAAATGACACAGGCTCTGGCCGTAGCAATTCCGTGCCTATGTCTGCAGCGATACTGCTGGAGCGAGCAATCTTGAGGCAGAGCACTGCAATAGTACCATTTTCACACCCCTCATCTTTGTGTCGGAATGTCGCGAAACGCTCAAACTCGCACTCTGGGATCTCGGAAATTTGGACACGCAGTGGGGAGAACGAGGGCATTCAAATGCGACCTACCTTGCTTGTTATCCGCCTGAGGGGCCATGGCTGTCGTCCGGCGCTGTCGTGATGATTGTCGCAGTGTCGAAAGGCTGGTGATTTGGGATGCCTTCGCTTAATGAAAACCCTACGGTCTATTCTGTGGGTCACCTGACCTACCGCCTTGCCTTCCCCGAGTCACGGGTTCTTCGACTATTCCTGTTGCGGATTAGCGAGTCTGTTGATTACTCAGGAATATTCTAATCAATTTAACGATGCCTGCGGCTAGTTAACTGGTCCAGCAGTACTGAGTAGATCGGACTATTCATGCTTGTGGTACCTGCTCTGTACTTGATAATTGAATACTACTTGGTATTAGGCAATTTACTGACTGGTACAGAATTATTTTTTTCACAATGCTGCTTATTGCATGATGGTGAGGTTGCAGGTCATAATGGTATAGATAGACTACCGGCCTGAGCTCTCGCCATTTTCCCTCCGCAGTTACTGATCCGAACAAACCCCAGTTCGCCACCATCCACTGGTCAAGACTCAAGGACGCTGAGAACATACCCCGACGAGAAGCTTTGAAAATAGCGATTAGACCATGGGCTTGAAAAAGAACAAAGTCCGAAAGCCTATGCTGCTTTCCCACACCCGTCCACCTACAGCAAAAACCAACCGTGCCGCATTGTCATCAAAAGCCACCCGAAATTTGATCCGCACGCACCATCGCCTCCTCAAAAGGCGCGAACAAGCCCAACAGGCCGGCGACCAGATTCTGGTGGCCAAGCTCGATGCAGAAATCAAGGACAATGGTGGGTTGGAAAGCTATCAATTAGCCAGCAAACTCGGTCAATCTATGGAACGTGGGGGAGACTCTAGCAAAGTTCTGGTTGACTGGATTAGCCCCAAATTGCGTGAATTGGCCGACATGAAGTCAAAATTTCGAGTCCTCGAAGTGGGCGCACTGAGCACCAAGAATGCTTGCTCCATAAACCCACAATTGGATGTTACAAGGATCGATCTCAACTCCCAAGAGCCGGGGATTTTGAAGCAGGACTTCATGGAGAGGCCACTTCCTGTCGATGATTCCGACCGCTTCCACATAATAAGCCTCTCGTTGGTATTAAATTATGTGTCAAGCCCTCTCTGTAGGGGAGAGATGTTGAAACGTTGTGTCGCCTTCTTGACGAAATCGCCTCCATCAAATGCATCGATAACTGTGACACCCAGCTTATTCCTGGTGCTACCCCTTGCTTGCGTTGACAATTCAAGGTATCTCACAGAGAGCAGATTGAATGATATACTCTCCACGCTGGGTTTCGTGTTGGTAAACACAAAGAAGACCTCAAAGTTGATATTCCAACTTTGGGAACATTGGCATGACAGCAAGCCAAAATCTTACAAGAAAGAAATGTTGAACCCTGGGACGACGAGAAATAATTTCGCCATTGTCACCAAGTGATGAATGGCGTGGTGGGCAAAAGACACCGGATCGAGTGCGCAGGCTTTTCCTTCGCGCGATCGTTTCCCGCCGCAAAACTACTCAGGTAGTCTCCAATCCACCCTGACATACGGTTGGGATCCCTATTCCCGCGCCACGTTGGATTGAGCTTGTTGCAGCCACCTTGGAATAGGGCACGTGGACAGTGGAGGATGACCGCCAGAGATTCTTTGCGAGCAGTCATAGCATATGGGATATTTTTAGGTGTTTGGCCAGCGTATTTTGGGAGATTTTCGAAACGTTTGATATGAAGGATATATCAATAATTTACCCAACCCTTCAATCTGTAATGATGTGAGAGTACTGGCCAGGATCTCTACGGTTGAGATCGACATCAGAAATGATTATGAAAGACTGCATTGTAATTTTTAATCCCTGGTTTTCGTTTGTAAGGCCACGAGAGGTCTGCTCTGGTTTCCACGCAGACAAACCCATAGTTGACCAAAACCTTCTTTTGGCACAAAGATAACCGAGTCACCAGTTTCTTACCTTGAGCACAAAGTCTGCCTGAGTGGCAACTATCAAACTTTTCTTTACTGTTCCAGCCAACCTACCCAGTGGTAATCTAAAATGCCTGCCATCCAACACAGAATAGGGCATCAGAGCCACTCCGAAACAACATTTGCTTAGTAAGAGTCACTTTCGGGCTTGTGACTTCACACAGGTTGTAAGGGCATGGTAACTAGATGTATATCCATTATGTATGCCCATTTACGAGGAAGCACATTCATACCTATGTCCAGTAAACACCAAATCTTACGTTTCTCCCTCTATCTTATATCCTCTTGTCACCCTAATTGATTTCAACGGAGAAGAGACTCCATAGAAGTGCTTTACTTATCTCGCCTATTGGCCTGGGGGATAGGATTTCCTGTAGGATAGGTGTTTCAACTTTGTTCATGTGGCCTGAATAATAATTGGTCCGCGACTGGGGAAGCTACGATATTGATAGCGCCAACACTGTGTCCGCATTGCGACTTGACGAACCCCACTTGTTAAGGTAACTTGAGGTGCAAGACCTCTACAGCAGCCCAGATATGCGTAGTGGAATCGTAGTTTAGTAGATGTAGTAGTGGTGGCATGGCCTTCAAGTTAAAATAATCATACATCGGACTTGTTCCTGTGCCTGAATCACACCGTACTATACGAAGTATAAACTCTTGTGCGGGAAACCCAAGGGCTTATGTCATCCAAAACAGGCGATTGCCGACCCATTCTTCCTTTTTTTGTCACTGATCCCCCCCCCCCTCCCCCACGATGCCTGATTGAAATTTGCTTAAACAACACCCCGCTGGATTCGGACGGCAAATCGACTTGATTCGAGGTACGTGGTTTTTGCGGCTCATCTTAGCAGTCTATCTTTCCTCGGTTCTTGGATCCTTTTACCCCTTCTTTGTCTTCGACCTTACATAATTTCATCCCCACTACTGGATATTTCTATCGCGACGCCAAGTTTTCTATAACACTACGAAGCTGACAACTGTGCAAACACCAGCGCCGGCAATCTTTACTTGAATTTCCTTGGTCGGACAACTCCAGTTGCCTCGCCCAACATGAGCGCGGCTCAGCCGAACGAAGCGGAGAAGAACATTGAGATCTGGAAGGTCAAGAAGCTGATCAAGCGGCTTGAAGCGGCCAGAGGAAATGGAACCTCCATGATCTCTCTCATCATCCGTGAGCTTTCCCTGCCATCCAACCCCGGTTGGAATATGTGGCTAATCTAGCCTTTGGACAGCCCCCAAGGATCAGGTTTCTCGAGCGGCAAAGATGTTGGCTGAAGAATTTGTATGTCTGCAACCACTGAGTTTCTGTCGGAGCGTCGCTTACCAGGGTCCCGTCCATAGGGTACTGCCTCCAACATCAAATCCCGTGTCAATCGGCTTTCGGTTCTCTCGGCCATCACGTCCACACAACAACGTCTGAAGCTGTACAACAAGGTTCCCCCGAACGGCTTGGTCGTCTACTGTGGTGAAATCATTACGTCCGAAGGAAAGGAACGTAAGATCAACATCGACTTCGAACCGTTCAAGCCTATCAACACGTCGCTTTACCTTTGTGACAACAAGTTCCACACGGAAGCGCTAAGTGAGCTTCTCGAATCCGACCAAAAATTCGGGTTTATTGTCATGGATGGTAATGGTACACTTTTCGGCACACTCAGTGGAAATACCCGAGAAATTCTTCAGAAGCTCAGCGTCGACTTGCCAAAGAAACACGGTCGTGGTGGACAGTCCGCGTTGCGTTTTTCTCGTCTCCGTGAAGAAAAGCGGCACAATTACGTCCGCAAGATCGCAGAGTTGGCGGTCCAGAATTATATCACCGCCGACAAGGTCAATGTTGCGGGTCTGATTTTGGCCGGTTCTGCTGATTTCAAGAATGATTTGAACCAGTCCGATTTGTTCGATGGACGATTGCAAGCCAAGGTTATCAAGATTGTCGATGTTTCCTACGGTGGAGAAAACGGCTTCAACCAAGCCATTGAACTTGCTTCCGAGACTCTCAGCAATGTTAAGTTTGTCCAGGAGAAGAAACTCATTGGCAAATACTTCGAGGAAATCAGTCAAGATACCGGGAAGGTTTGCTACGGTATCGAAGACACCCTGAAGGCCATGGAACTCGGTGCAGCAGAAATCTTGATTGTCTATGAGAACTTGGATGTCTCTCGATGGGTCCTGAAAGACTCCACCGGCGCTGAGGTCATTGTTCACACAACCAAGGCCCAGGAAGAAAACAGAGAATTGTTCACTGACAAGGAGACTGGCACGGAGATGGAAGTCATTGAGCAGACATCGTTCCTTGAGTGGCTTGCCGAGTCCTACAAGGACTTTGGTGCGGCTCTGGAGTTCGTTTCTGACCGGTCCAGCGAAGGTAACCAGTTTGTCAAGGGTTTCGGTGGTATCGGCGCCATCCTTCGATACAAGGTCAACTTCGAACAGCTTGCCGACTACAGTGATGAGGATGAATTTTACGACGGTATGTCGCCTGGGCTATCAACTTCATTCGCATGCTAACCAGCACTTTTTATCACAGATTGACGGTTCAGCGGCCTCGCAGAGAGCGAGGATGAACGGCCAGAAGCTCCCAAGGTGGATCTTTTGACGGCTCGCCCGGTGGATCGTGAAGGCGGTTATGATGACAAAACCATGGCCCCATTGAGATTAACTGCGATCTGGCCTGGGAAGAACGCCGCGGAGCTGCACCGAGGTATACTCTTTTCTTTCCCATTCTTCTTGATCTAGTATCCTAACGGTACATCGTTTTTAGCAGGGTCATCCAAGCTCCATACAATGCTCATTGAGGTTTCCCAGACAACCTAAGTCATCACAAGGTGTGATTTGCAAGAGGATGTAGATTTGTTGCCTGAGATCTACGTCCATTTACAAATATTGTCAAGCTCGAGACCTTTTAAGTTGAAACCGACCTATCTTTTCTTCCTCGAATCTTCGGACTGCCCCGTTGGCATTACTGTTTCTATCTGCTTCGTTCCCCTAACGCACTCATTATATAAATAAATAAAGTATGAATGGATCAATTCCTCGAATAGGTGGCTTTGTGAACATCTACAGAGCAACTTTTGAAGCCCCTTACTATCCATCTAGCTTATCGTTCCTCGGGCTGGGCCCATCTTGGCTAGTATATACTCTTTCTAGGCAGATTTGAGCAGCCAGTTTCTGGAAGGGACGTAAGACAACTGTGCCCTTCCAAATTCCCTGCCCAAGAGTAGGGAGGCCTGTATATGCTCAGGACTTCGTGAGTTGATTTGCCCAAGTCCCTAAGTATTTGCATTGTTCTGTCACTTGTCGCAACCCATGCAGTATATCAGCAACAGCCTGTTGGCTTCGGTCAGTAGACGCCATATCGCATTCGACCAGAAATACATATTTCCAGGGTTTTTGTTGACTCGGTCGGGTATTAATGCTTGTAATATTCATGCCATGCTTCTTGAAAATCAGCAATGCGTCCGCCAGCGTCCCAGGTGCTTCCTGAGGGACCATGAACGTGAACAATGATCTTTGAGTTGTTGTTGTCGCATCCGTGGTGCTGTCTTCGCCGGGAAGTCGAGCTCCACTATCCGACTTAGCATTCCTCAAGACGAGGAAGCGTGTGGTGTTGTCGTCCTTGTCCTCGATGTTCTCTTCTAAAACGTCTAGCCCATGGTGCTCAGCAGCAAAGCGGCTAGCGATTGCGGCACTCTGTTCATCCGTTTCCTTCGAAACAATCTCGCCTGCCTTGGACGTGGACGATACGTCCTGCCTCTCAACGCCTTTACAGTACTTGTCGAGGAAGATCTCGCACTGGCCCCAGGCCTGAGGGTGTGTATATAACTTGGCGATCCGAGTTTCGCCCCGCTGATAAGAAGGAAATGCGCCTTTGCGGGCCAAGAGGCAGTGGTGAACGGTCAAATAATACTCCGCGACCACCCTCACGTCGGTATAGCGATCTTCTCGGTCGATGAGAAGGTCGAGGGTTTGGACGACTGATCCGTTCGTCGAATTCTCACAAGGGATGATCGCATAGTCCGTTGCTCCGTTTTGGACAGAAGCAAAGGCATCTCCAAACGACACGTGGGGCAGTAGGGTGACCGAATTTCCAAAGTACTCAGCAGCAGCCTGTCACGTCGCTTGTGTTAATCAATGACGTTCCTGATAAGAGGTATAGCAATGTGTCTAACCTGATGAGAGAAGGACGCCACTGGGCCGAGGAATGCTACCGTGAGAGACTCCATTGATTTGGTTGTTACTTTTGGAAGAAGGGGAGCGCCAGAGGAAGAGTGGCCCTTGCAGCCCAATTTGCTTGTCAGCTGTGGTCAACCTCGCCGAATTTTTGCGCTCGAATGATTGTTGATCTGCGGAGGGGTGATCTTCAAGTACCTGATTAGATAGCTCGGTCAAACAAAACAAACTATCGACCCAAGGTGTCAATGTTTATGCCTTTGCCGACTGTTCGACCACCCAGGTTCCTCCATGCAAGAGTGCCCATCTCTAATGGTGCCTGATGAAGAGGAAAGTATTTTCCCGTCTTCGCCCCGGAGGTCCAGGGGGCCCAATCTCCGTATTACGGACATATTCCTCGCTCGCGGAGCAGTTACACCAGACAGTGACATCACGGCGGCTCCCCTTGGTCTTTGATTATTTACATACACAGCCATCCTACCTTCTGGACCAAACAATAAATAACCTGTTCAAAATCTCGCCATCAGTTTCAGACAATGCCGCCAGTCTTCCGTCCATCACGGCGCGACCCCGCATGCCGGAAGGACACCACATAATCTACTTTCCTCCTCAGGTGCCTCTTTCGGAATTGCTTCCCGATGGCACAGATACACTACACTATCCAGGCGAGCCATTTACTAGGCGTTTGTGGGCTGGTGGAAGCGTCGATTTTCTTACGGGGGCCCCTGTGCTCGATGGCAGTCGAGCTGTCTGCATCGAAACGAATCGCGACGTTACTTTGAAAGGCAAGGGAGAGGAAGAGAAGGTCGTCGTGAGAATTGAAAGAAGGATAGGGAGAGTCTCGGATGGAGAGGGGATCGAAGACGTTAGAGCACGCATGATGGAAGAGGATGAGGAGAGGCCTGGAGATTGTTCGATCATCGAGAACCGACACCTGATCTTCATGCGGGGGAAGTCCGAAGAACAACTGAAGTTCGATCAGCAAAACTTTGGGCTGAACCAGAGAATACTCAAACGTTCGTTAGTCTAGCTCAACATGCCCTCTGAGATACCAGCTGATGATGCCTTTGTCCAATGAAGCTCCCCAGGCTCCTGAATTCCGCCATCGGATTAAGCCCAACGAAGCTTTGCTGTTTCGCTTTTCGGCACTAACATTCAACGCCCATTCTATTCACCTCGATAAAACGTACACCAGAAGTGTGGAAGGCTACCGAAACCTTCTTGTACACGGTCCGCTAACTTTGGTGTTAATGCTCACGGCCATTCGCACCCAACTTGTCGGGTGCGGTCGAATCATCAGTCAGATCGACTATAGAAACATATCCCCGCTCTATGTTGGAGAAGAACTGACGGTTTGTGGGAAGCGCAAACCTGGAAGAGACGATGGAACCTGGGAGGTGTGGATTGAGGATAGGGAAGGCAGCCTCGCCGTTCGAGGAACTGTTCGAACACGTGGGTTATAAAAGGCAGTCCCTCCTTTGGGTACCGGTTCCTTCCTTCAATGGTGTTGGCTGGTGCGTGGTGACCGTGTGGTTTTAGGCCTACTTCTGTATAACTAGTGGATATATATCGTGCTCATGCACACACCCTAGTCTACCTACTTTCATACCTTGTGCCTTTGGTCATTGATCGTGTACTTATCCATATCGATATGAATATGTTTCCCAACACGACACTGATAGATATCTCTCAGACTGATCAAGACACGGGAAGAGCTACAAATGTCCAAGCATTGGCATCCTCGAAAGGTAGTCGGTAATTAATTACGTACATACTCCGTACTCCGTAGAACAACATCGAAATACACAGCTGTGTATCGGCACTCCACCAGATATCGGAGCGGGAAAACGTGTCCCGAGCAAAAGTGGATGCCACATCTCAATTTCTCACTTTAAAAACCCTTTCGCTTCCTCCTTTCTCACTCTTCTCTTCTCCTACACATGTACCATTGTCGCTTCAGACTAACTACAGGAGCCTCAGTTTGCACTTCATAATGATCGGAGTGAGTCTTGCTTGAGTACAACCATATCATAACTGCAGTGTCTTGATTGCAATACTCATTTCAAGCTATGGATCGTTTTTGGGCTGCCCCTCCTGTCACCAGGTACATCTATGTCACGAATTCCTATTGACACTGGGATTTATTGACCGATGTTCATGGGTCTAGGACTTTGACCGCCCTTACCTTTGCCCAGTCTGCACTGGTCTATGGTGGTTTGCTGGGTGCTCATCGAGTCATCTTCCTACCAGAGTTGTTGTTCAAGCTTCCGCCTGATCTGTGGAGACTTTTCTCGTCTTTCCTACTGACCGGGCCACGGCTGTCATTTATCTTTGATCTTTACTTTTGTATGAAATTTGCTGGCTCGTCTCAACAACGGTGCTAATCCCCGGCCAGTGTTCACCTATGGCAGTGGTTTGGAAACAGATTCGCCGCGCTTCAGTTTACCGGGTGATTTCTTCACCTATGTATTCTTTGTAGCCACCGTTATCCTGGTAAGTTGCGAGCTTTGTCCCAAGGAATATTGCAAAAGAGCACCCTTGAGCATTTCAATTTCATACTTCCTAAAGCTCCTCATTACTGTTTTCCCACACTTTTCTTTTTTGTCTGTTGCTTTACCGTTCACCTCGCATTATCTGCCCGCCCGGCCTATTATTTAGTCGAAGCGGTTCCTGGAAGCGAGGGAGATTACCCCTGCAGCCCGTACAGTCCCTACACTGATCTTTCAGGGGCTGTGTGCGCTGTGGGAATGGTGGGATTGCCTTTGAGATAGCCTCCGTGACCAATTATTCACGATGGTTTTTATGGTGCCCTACATTATAGATTATATTATTACCTGTTTATTCAACCAAGATCTCATTTTCATTCCATTTGTTTGATTTATTTCCTTCCATTTCCATCTCGCACTCTTAAGGTGTAGCTACAATGTCTTTATGCTAACTATGCATAATAGCTCACCGCAGGTTATCTGCTGAATGGTGTAATCTTCACGTCCGGTGAGCTTGCTGTGGTAATCTGCATGGCCCTCGTGCCTATTCTGACGTCGGATAGCTTTGATACTCGCTTTTGTCTACACATCCGCGCAGGATAATCGAGGGAGAAAGACGAATTTTTTCTTCTTCCAGATCCCGATGGAGATGGTACCTTGGGCTATGCTTGGTGTCACCTTAGTGATGTCCGGGTGGCCTGCTGCACTGTATGAGAGCACCGGAATACTTGCTGCTCATATGTACGATTTCCTGACGCGGATTTATCCGGCATTCGGCGGTGGTCGAAACTATCTCACCACACCGGCCTTTGTGAGAAGGCTCTTCTCGACTTATGTGCCTAGAAGCGCGAATCGAGCCTATGGAACTGCATACCGACCAACAGGCCCGGCGCAAAATCCCTCATCAAGCGGTTGGACTTCGTCTTTGCAGAGTCCTTGGAGTGGCCGCGGCCCTGGGCGGAGATTGGGGGGGAATTGAGTCTTGACAGACCCAACATGTAATCATCATTTGTCTCGAGATGGTCTAACTCGGAGGCGACCAGCTGTCAGACCAGGTTGTCAAGGAAGCAAAGTCATTGCATTGCAATTGCAGGATGTGCATAAAACAGCCAAACAATTAGTACTGAATCTACTCGCGTAATCATAGCATGGAGTTACTTGTGCATATTTATGAGTTAGTAGAGGTAGAAAGTTTTGTAGAACGACTACTATCAGCAGCAGACAAGTCATGAGATAGGATAGGATGAATGGGGAAGATTTCCACTTCCCAGCGCTAAACCATGTCGAGTATGGAGATTACATAAAATACCACCCGGGTACTCTCCGTGACAATACCCATACCATGGACCCGTAAGCAGCTGGTATTATTGCCGCCGCCGCACTTCAGCAAAAATTCTTAAACCTCTTTCTCGCTAGCGTCTCGGGAAGACCTTGGCTCTGCAGTGCAATTTTTCCTGCGACTTTTCCCAACGCGCCCACTTGCTCGGATTTTCTGCCATCCTCAAGTCAGACCGTTCAAGCTTCCTGCAAATAGTGGCAGTCGCAATGGCGAGTGAAGCGATGGATTACACAATTAAGCCAGAGGCTGGCAACGGCAACATCCCTACCTCTGAGTGGCCGCTTTTGCTCAAGAATTATGACAAGCGTACGTTTCCATCTAGATCGAGATTTCATTCTTGCTTCCCCAAGCATTCAAGATTACATCCTTTCAGTGGCTGAGGCTGGCGACTGACTCTCTATCTTCTAGTCCTCGTCAGAACGGGTCACTTCACCCCCATCCCTGCCGGTTGCGCTCCTCTGAAGCGTGATCTGAAGTCGTATATCAACTCCGGTGTGATCAACCTGGACAAGCCGTCCAACCCGTCCAGCCATGAAGTCGTCGCTTGGATGAAGAGGATCTTGAGGTTAGTTCTTGACTGTTCATGCTTGCACTGGAGAGCTAGATACTGAGACGTACTTTTAAGGGCCGAGAAAACTGGCCACAGTGGAACGCTTGATCCCAAGGTCACCGGTTGTCTGATCGTCTGCATTGACCGTGCCACTCGCCTTGTCAAGTCGCAGCAAGGTGCCGGAAAAGAATACGTTTGCGTGATCCGTCTGCATGAGAAGATCCCTGGCGGCGAGGCTCAGTTCCGCCGCGCCCTGGAGACCCTGACGGGTGCCCTGTTCCAGCGCCCCCCTCTGATCTCCGCTGTCAAGCGTCAGCTCCGTATCCGTACGATCCACGAGAGCAAGCTTTACGAGTTTGACAACGAGAGACACCTTGGTGTGTTCTGGGTTAGCTGTGAGGCTGGCACGTACATCCGAACCCTTTGCGTTCATTTGGGTCTTCTGCTCGGTGTTGGTGCGCACATGCAGGAACTGCGCCGTGTACGATCTGGTGCCATGGATGAGAACCGTGGCCTGGTCACTCTGCACGATGTTTTGGATGCCCAGTGGATGTACGACAACCAGCGTGATGAGTCGTACCTCCGTACCGTCATCAGCCCGTTGGAGAGTCTCCTCACGACTTACAAGCGTATTGTCGTGAAGGATAGCGCCGTCAATGCTGTTTGCTACGGTGCCAAGCTCATGATTCCGGGTCTGCTGCGTTTCGGTACGTTTGGCCCCATTCTATATTCGGCTGGCTTGATGTGTGACTAACGTGGATTGTAGAGTCTGGCATTGATATCAACGAGGAGGTTGTGCTCATGACTACCAAGGGTGAGGCTATCGCCATCGGTATCGCCCAGATGTCGACCGTCGAGTTGACCACTTGCGACCACGGTGTTGTGGCCAAGGTCAAGCGTTGCATCATGGAGCGTGATCTCTACCCTCGCCGATGGGGTCTGGGCCCCGTGGCTTTGGAGAAGAAGAAGCTCAAGTCTGCCGGAAAGCTGGATGTAAGAACCACAATCTCGTGAAGCCCCATTCGGATCAGGATCAAGGCTGACTAAATATTTTACAGAAATACGGTCGCACCAACGAGGCCACCCCTGCCCAGTGGAAGTCTGACTACAAGGACTACACTGCACCGGAGGGAGAGGAAGGCGCCGCACCCCCCACCCCCGCCGCTGCCGTCCCCGAAGCCCCGTCGTCTCCTCAGGACAACATGGACGTCGACGATGACCAGGACGACAAGAAGCGCAAGAGACATGACGGCGAGACCGCAGAAGAGCGCGCCGAGCGCAAGAAGAAGAAGAAGGAGAAGAAGGAGAAAAAGGAGCGGAGAAAGTCGAAGCAGGGTAAGGAGGACAGCGATGATAGCGATTAAGCATTTCTAAGAAAGTCCTTGCTTTGCTTTGGTGTTGAAGTGTTTCGTTCCTAGTGACAACCGACGTGGTCCTCTATTTGCTATTTATGTGTTGGGAGTCTGACTTGGGCATGATATCTGTACCATACGTGCTCTTTTTCTTTTTTCTTTTTCTTTTCTTTATCGGAGTCGTGGGATGAAAAGGGAATAAACTAAATTTCTGTTATTTCAAGATCTGATCCAGAGTAATCCGAGGTTCTTTATAGAGTAAAAAGTAAAGGATAGAGTAAATGCAGTATTTCCTTGAATTTTGGCTACTCTGATATGGAGTACCTTAGTAGTAGTGATAGGACTGGACAAGGTACTGCCGTGCTCGTGACCTGGCCAAGAGGCGGCGAGGTTGATGTAGCGTCATTCCCCCCACCCACCTTCATACATTCAATCTACCACACGGTGCTTCACGCCTTTGCATTTATCTTATAGTTGGATTTTATGTGGGATTCAATTTCTAATAAGAATCACTCTTTCATCTGTGACATCTAAAGGGCGTTAAAGTGGCCACTTGCAACAGCTCTGAAGAGCGTGTTCATCCATTATGGCTGCGGAACTGACGTCCACCAAGCTTAATGCGGAGAACCATCTCCTACTGGTAACGTCCACAGCATACTTCTGTTCCTTCAAGCTTCTAAATCTAACGAAATCGATCTGTAATAGGATCAACCCCTTCTCAAACTGCCCTATGAGCTGTCACGGAGAAACTTCAAGTCCGTCCAGCGACTTGTCGAGCGGGAGAAGGATTACACTCTCCCGGCACTCAAGGACACCGCCAATGCATCACTATCTAATACCCAAACACCCGAGCAGTCGCTCGCAGCTCTCGACGCGATGATATCTCGGATGCAGGGGCTCAAACGGAAGATGGAAGGCTTGCACCAGGAGGAGAAGAAGATACACGACCAATCAAGGAAGCGCATACACCATCTAGAATCGTTGCACCATATTCCTAGTCTGGCAGACGTGAAGTACGATCAGTGGTCGAGAGTACGGCTTGACCGATTGATAGTGGACCATATGCTACGGTCTGGTTACACGGAGAGTGCTCAGCAGCTGGCGAAAGAGAAAGACATCGAAGACCTGGTAGATCTCAACGTCTTCGTGCAGTGCCAGCGGATCGCGGAGAGTCTTCGTCGAGGAGAGACGAAGGATGCTCTGCAGTGGTGTAGTGAGAACAAAGCAGCATTAAAACGAAGCCAGGTCCGTCCATCCGTCCGTTTGATTCTTCCCTCCCATCGGCATTTACAATTGGCGCTATCTATTGAAGACCAAAGGCAAAGGCTAACTCGCCATGTACAGTATAATTTAGAATTTGAATTGCGGCTGCAACAGTACATTGAAATCATTAGGGCTGGCGATCGAACCAAATATGTTGACGCAATGAACCACGCGAAGAAGTATCTCACTCCGTACATCGACACACAATCAGCCGAAATACATCGGGCTGCAGGGCTTCTTGCCTTCCCTCGAGACACAAAGGCTGAACCTTACAAGGTATGCCGCCTGATATCCGTGGAGCCTCTTATTTCTCAGGGTTGTAAGCTGATCAAAGTGCCCTATTTCTAGTCCTTGTATGCCCCAGAAAGATGGTCTCGTTTGTCTGAGCTCTTTGTTCGCACTCATCATGAATTGCTGTCCTTGCCATCACGGCCGTTGCTACATATCGCCTTGTCTGCCGGACTATCGGCTCTCAAAACACCCGCATGCCACTCGGCTTATACCTCCTCGAGTTCCAATTCATTATCCACCACGACATCCGTCTGTCCGATATGTTCCACCGAACTCAACGAGCTTTCGCGCAGTCTGCCGTACGCACACCATACGAAGAGTTATGTGGAGAATGACCCGATCGTGCTACCAAACGGCAGGGTATATGGCCAACACCGGCTACTCGAAATGAGCAAGAAGGTCGGCTGTGTTGAAGCCGGCAAGGTTAAGGATCCTACCACTGCCGAGGTTTTCGATGAAAGCGAGATGAAGAAGGTTTATATCATGTGATGGATTGAGTTCAGAGCATGTTTTTGGATGTCACTTGTTACCATGTCTGGACCCTTTCTTCTGCTGCTACCAACGACTCGGGTGTTTGATGAGTACACATATCAAGTGGTATTGAGAGTCAATCGTCGTGATTATTATTTTCTAATCCCGTAATAGACTAGTCGTCACCTTCGCTGCCAGACTCATGCCTCGACCTCTTATTTTTCGACGCCATGTTTTCTTTCGCAGACCGAGAACGTTTGAGGGCTTTTTCGTCCTGCTTGACCTCGAAGACATACATCCTCGCATCTCGATCTTCACCGCGCCACCCGCCTCTTCCTCCATTCTTCCCTTCAATCTCTCCGATGGTGCGCGCATGCGCGTACTCCTCGTACGAAGCCCAGGGAAACTTGAAACTCGTCACGACACGCAAGCCAGCATGACGGGCAAGATCTTTGACGTTCCAAAGAGTATAGGGTTCCCTTTCGAACATAGTGACGAGGATTTGGCCGGGATCAGTCCGGAGCTTTCTTTCCGTACGAGCTGTTATGTCCTTTGCGCCGGTTTGGGACTGGTCATCATCCTCGTCCGACTCTTCCAGGTCACTCTCGGACTCGGACATCTCCCACTCATCATCGTCTACACCCTCACTATGCACAACGGGCGGAAGTGACAGCAAAGGCACGCAGGCTTTGAAGAACGCCACCAGGAGTTCCTGGTTCGCGCGAACCTGCCTGTTAACATCCGTCGAGATCCCGCCGACATGCGGGAAGTTAAAACAAATCAGATCCCACGGTCCGCCACCACCACCAGCATTAGAAGGAGCGCCCCTCTTCGCCTCAACCCAAGCAGGAAGCCTCGGCTCTTTCCGGTGATATCCTCCGCGGACATCCTTCCCACCACCGGCCGACGCACCGAGTTTCCGGGCATCAACAGAAAAGAGCACATCAGGACCATGGCGGCGTTGATTTTGTTGGTTTTGCTTTTCGGGCTGGTCGTCATTCTCCTCGGCGTTAGCTCCGGAGGAGTCTTTCGTTTTGGCAAACGCCGTGAGAACGTCGTTGACGTTCTGCTCCGCTTGGGGATATTTGCTGTATAATGTCTCTTTGTCGTCGTAGCATGTGGCTAGGACGTTTTTGCAGCGGTGTTGGGTGACCAGCGCGCGAGCGAAGGAGAAGTCGCCTGTTGTTTGTGAGCTTTACATACATATATATGCCAATGATGAATTTATATCTATGTGGCCGTGTTATAGCATGGGTACTATCAATGTGCTACTAGAACATATCGAGAATATTGCTCCCTCCAATCCCACTCCTCTCCATCCCAAACAGTCCTAGAAAAACAGCAAGAAAAGAAGAATAAAAAAAAGTAAACTCACCTTCCCCAATCAACAAAACCCGATCCTTCCTCCCAAACGGGACAATCGGCCGCTGCTGCTGCGACGGTTTCTTCTGCGGCTGGTTCGACTTGGAAGTCACATCACCCTGACCATGATTACTATTCTTATTGCCGCCGCTGCCGCCTTTACCCTTCGCCTGAGACGAAGGCGCAGTCGTGGTAGACAACCTGGAAAAGGAGTTCATTTTGCGACTGCCCGCTTTGGGATGCGCTGCTGCATCTTTGGAGGGAGGGCCTTGGACCCGTGGTTTTTTGGAATTGTGTTTGGGCATTGTTTGCTGTTGGTTTGCTGCTGTTGCTGTTGCTTTTGCTGCTGGAGAGGTGGGTAGATCGATAGATAGATAGATAGATAAACAAATGAATGAATAAATAAATATATATATAAATAGAAGAAAGGATGGATCAATGATAAACGGACGAGGTTGAAAATGTCTTCCTTCCTTCTTTCAAAGTCGTAGTCGTACCGTACCGTAAATAGGTACGTACCTAAGTATCCTTACACCTTAGCTACTTAGCTACTTATCTCCTAGATAGACCCCTCTAGGTACAGTACATATAAAAGAACAAGAAGAAAAGAATGCCAGGATAGGTAAGTAACCTTTAGACAAGAGTGAAATCCATCAGTTAACTTAAGGTTTGAACTGATTTTTCTTGATCTTCTTTTCTTGTCCAGACTGACCAATCGGAGTGCGGCTTGGGATTGAAATTGCTTGTCTAGCTGTATTGATCCTTTGTGCCAAGCAAGGTACTTGTATATATGACTATAGTTCGATTAGAAACCATATATCCTTGTTAATACTGACAACTGCAAGACCCTTGAGAAACTCATATTGAAGATTTACGTATAGGATATATACAATACAGTATCGAAATCCTCGCTTGCAATGATGCCAGGGCGGAAACTCTTCTTCTACAAGACAAGTCGGTTGTATATATCTTGACTATGATGGTCCAGACAAGCTGTCATCCCACTCAGGTCCTCTATCCCGACGAAAGGAGAGAAAAACAGTATGCATACGAAGCGCAATCGCGCCAGGTCGTGAAAAAGGACCAGAAGAGTTAGTTCCCATGAGGATCGATGCGAAGATAATGTACAGCCCCCAACACCTGCCAAAGTCAAAGATATACTACTATAAGGAGATAATAAAAAAAGAAAAGACCAAAAATGAAATTCCAGCGTCATCCGGTCGAGCAAGTCCGACCAGAGGACTTCGGTTGCAATGAAACATGCGTCACATATCACATACATGGTTGGAAGGTTTCTGCTCTTGGAGAGACAGTAAAATGGAGTGATGCCCCGGGCGCTGAGCGATCAGCAAGCTGACCTGGCTCGGCGACCCCTTCCATGCGACACCATCCGGAATGAACCCAACCTGATGGGATGGTTTACGAACGCAGCGAGTCTCTCATGCTCTGGCTGCTGGCGCTGACAGGGTTGGATGTGGGTAGCATGCCAGTCCTGGGCTTCGCGTTCTGCTTGATCTTGGCGACGGCGTAGACGATACCACTGACGAAACCGACGAAGATGGCCGACACGCTGGGGAATGTCACAGGGGCATCGAAGAAGACCAGTCCCGATACTGCGATGGGCAGTTTGTTGAGAGCGCCAACCATGGAGTAAGTGGTCGAGGAAGTCACACGAACACACCAGGCGGAGGTGTACGAGATGAACACGGACGACAGACCAGACAGGATCATCGCAAACAGGATGTTGTTACGTTCGGCAGGAGGGAAGTTGCGGGTGATGTTGGCGGACGACCAGTCTTCCATCATAAAGGTGCACACGAGCAGGACGGGAATCGACAAAAGGTTGTTGTAAAACATGGCTAGTAGATGAGTTAGACGAGTCTGGCGTTAGGGGGAGGGGGGAGGGGGAGATTCCGGAAGGAATGCTGGGAAGAGGCGCATACTGTCAAAGTCCTTGAAGTTAGTCAACTTGATCCTCTTGCGCATGCCAAGGACGTAAGACGACGTGCAGAGGCAGTTGACCAGCATCCAGACGTATCCAGCATTGAGCGTGGAAACCTTGGCGGTCGCATCGGCACTGCTCTCCACGGCATGCTTGATATCGGCCCACGCGGCGATGAGCGAACTGAAGACCATGAGACCGAAAGAGAAAAGGGTGAGTCCAGAGACGGAGCCACCGAACCACAGCACTTCTCCATAGGCAATCAGGATGATGGTCAGGTTCTTGAAGATGGTGTACACCGGAATGGAGAGAAATTGAAGGGCCTTGGAGCCGGTGTAGATCATGCCAATCAGGAGTAAAGTGATGGGGAACCCTAATCAAGCAAGGACAACGGTCAGCCAACTCAGCACGCAGGGACCAACCAAAACAAGGTGACACGCACACTTCCTCGCCTCATCCGGGCTGAAATTGCGGTAGGTGATCAAACCGCTCGTTTTACATGTTTGAATCGCAATGATGCAGACGAGAGACTAAGCATCCAACGCAACTCCAGTCAGCGCGGCTCTCCACACACACAGCTCCATCCCATGTTCCAACCACCCAACCCAAACATACCTGAATGCAAAGGAGAAAGAAATTGAGGTTGAAATCGGTGCCGGAGAGGACATATTTATTCATAACCGTCATCAAGATCGACGACCCGCAGTATGCCAACACAGGCAGAATGGGGCTGTTGTTGTTCGCAAGGGTCGAGGTGCCCCTAGGTTGAGGCGGGGGCGCAACGGGCTCGAAGCCCTTGTTCTTCTCGATCTCGTCCATCTCGATCGTGTAGTCGTCTGTTTTCTTGTCGTCGACCATCTTGACGGTAGTTGGCTCCGCTTACGGTGGGCGGAGGGGTTTCGAATCTGGAGGATAAAAATGGAGGATGGGAATATAAAAATGGCGGTACAAGATGAGGCCGACGATCTAGAGAGGTCTGAGGCTTGAATGCGCAAACCTGGCTAAGGACTGGGGGCGCGGTGCGCCAGAGTAAATGCGCGAATCCCTGAAGGGAGGGAAGGCTTCTAGAATCAAAAGGGGAAGGAGATAAAGAATTAGTGGGCCAGCGAATGTGTTGGAAACCGAGGGTTGAATCTCCCAATCGGGGCAAACGAGACGAAGACCGGAGAGACGAAGAGGAGGAGAAAAGGCAGAAGAGCTGAAACCGAAGATGAACTCTCAACAAGGCGAGAAAATGAAAAGAAAACCAACAGAAAAAAAGAAGGAAGGAAAGGATGAATCGCAATCAAAGGAAAACAGATGAAGGAGAAAGATCCAGCCGGCAGAATCCTCCACCGCCCTGACCGGAAACGGCTACGGTCAGTTACGGTGGTCGTTATTATCATGATTACCCGTATTTGTGTTACGGCATGCCCACCTTTCGAGGGGTGCGACAGGGGCACGTTGTATTACGCTCTTAGTCTAGACTCCCGTAGATCGAAATCTTACCGGTCACTGACTGTCACCAAATTTCGTGTACTGTACCGGTAGACTGCAAATACCTCCCCACCGTGTAATTTGCACTCCACTCCCCCTCCTTAAATCTATAACCAACCCAACCCGCGGGACAGTCCACTAAAGACTGGCACCACCAAGTTAACCCATTGGCTCTTCTCTCGACAAGAGTGCTTCAACAACCACAATCATTACGCGGTGACTGACCTGTCACTTCCCTCCTCCCACATCCACTTGGACGGCGCGTGAACGAGACAGAGAGCTCAACCAAAATGACCACCAAACAAGCCCCCCGCGACCTCGACGGGGACCTCACGCAAGAAGACGACGCCGCGCTCTTCGCCGCGCTCGAGAACGAAGACGACTCACTCTACCGCGCACAACGGATCGAGCAACTGAACGCAGAATACGCCTCGGCGCAGCACGCGCGGCCCTCGGGCCCGACCACCCTCATCGAAGACAACCTCCTCCCAACGATCGAAACCGACCAGGCCCTGCTGAACTTCACGACGCAGATGAACCGATGCGTGATCCACTTCGCGCACCCGGATTTCGCCCGGTGCAAGACGATGGACGAGCACATGCGGACGCTGGCGGCGCGGCACCACGAGGTGCGGTTTGCGCGGGCGGATGTGCGGAGTACGGCGTTTGTGGTGGAGAAGTTGAAGATCAAGGTGCTGCCGTGTGTGATTGGGTTTAGGGATGGGATTGCGGTGGAGAGGGTGATTGGGTTTGAGGGGTTGGGGTCGGGGGGCGGGATGGGGCGGATGGGATTAGTACGGCTACGTTGGAGAAGCGGCTGCTTTGGAAGGGGATCTTGACGCAGTCGAGGGTGAGGGAGAGTGAGGTTGGGGAGGAGTCGTCTGATGGGGGGAGTGATGTTGAGGATGAGAATCAGAGCAGACGGAATGGTCGGGGCGCGATTCGGAGTGGGGGGATGAGGCATCGCCAGATCAATGACGACGATGATGACGATGATTGGGATTGAGATGCTTGTGCGATTGTCTACGGTGTGCGCGAGACTACCATATGGATGTATGTGGTGGGGAGGGGGAAGGGGAGGCGAAAGCGATATCCTGTATGTACCTACCTGCGGACGGTACTCCCCCTGGGATGGGCACGCCCGGGTGAACCAACCTGCGCGGCGACATCTGGAACCAGTCGCTGCATTTCCGACCCCGTGGGTACTTGCAAGTAGCAGCAGCTACTTGAGAGCATACCCATTGGACGAACATGCGACCGGTGCACAGAGCTTCCTAGGCCACGCCGTTTGTTGGTTGCAATATACTTCACACACCCCCTGGTCTAGATTGCCAGGGGTCCTGTATATCTACGTCACGACCTTGGTCGCGTTGATACCAATGATAGACATCAACGATGCGTTGTATCCATACCGTAAATGTACCTGTAACCTGTAAGACACTAACCAGGGGAACTCTCTTCTCTACCGAGTACTGCGGAGTCTATATCCGACCTACTTCAAGGACAAGAAGACGTATGCTGAATGATCATTGGTAAAGTACAGGTGTGAGAGACATGTGCCATCCCAGGCAGTGAAAAAGAACCTCTCCCGCAAACAAGAAGGTACGGTAAATGCTACACGAAACAAGTGCATGATGTTAGGAATTTATACAAGCGGATCCGACCGGTCTTCACACAAATCCATCAACCCAATATAGGCGCCAATGCGGATATTAAGAGTCACAAAATAGGAGAGGAAAAAAGAAAAGGAAAAGAAAACGGAACAAGAACAACGAAGCTCTCTTCTGCGCCAGACAAGCAAAGGGATCGATCATAATCATTCCCGCGTCGACGGCAATTCAGGGAATCGAGAGCGCCTTGACTTAGATGGCTACATTCTTCATTTCTCCCAAGACTTCCGTGTCGCTTGTGGCCGTTGTCGATCCGGAATTCGAGTCACGCTTCTGTCCTTTCTCCGTCTCCGTGGGTTTCTGCTCGCTCCCCTTCTCCGGAACCCCTTCGTTCTCTTTCCCCGAGGACGGATTGGGGGTGGTCACTTCCATCAGGTCTTCACTCTGGGGCTCCTTGGGCTTCTCCTGGGAGGGACCGGCAGGAAGCTCAGTGTCGGGAGTCGGGTTGACCGGACTAGGGGCTTCTTCCGTGACTCGGGCAAGAGGACTCGAGATGCCAAACTGGGTCTTTGGACTTTGAGTCGAGCCGCGATTGGGGAACCGGTGAGGCGACCTGCCGCGCTCTTCGCTGGGCCCCGGGCTGCCGTAAGGGGAATCTTTGCCGGACTTGCCGGCCGTGCTCAGTCCCAGGCCGTTGGGAGCCTTGCGACGAGGGGGGCGGCGACCATACTTCTGGTCCGTTCTCCACCGGAGGATCTCCAGATACGGGGGCTCCACGTTCTGTGATTTGAACTCCAGAAGCTTGAGCTCGTTCGTGTCCTCGTCCACGTGGACCTTGCCGCTGCAGAGATCATCGGCCAGCACGGCCAGGAAGGCGGCCCAGGATCGCGCGACGACGTATTTGCAGTCATAGTCGCGACCGAAGATGATGACCTGCCCCCATTTCCCCGCAGGGCCCGGCGCCAGATCGATGGCGATGTTGTTTCCACCCCAGTCGCGGGCCACCGGGATCCACGCCGGGTGAGCATAGGCCTTCTGGATGGCACCCGGGGGTTGCGACTCCTGGCGCTCCAGGAGATCCTGCCTCCACAGCGGATTGGATCCCTGAGTGGTGGGCACGGCCGACGACGAGGAGCCGGCCACCGCCTTGGGGAGGGGAGGGTTCGATAACTCCGACGAGCCGAAATACTCCTCGTTGACGGTCCTCCAGTTCTTCCACTCCTGCACCATTTCCTCGCAGTCGAGAAGCATGCAACCGAATATGACACCGGTGGGGACGCCAGGCCGCTCCTGGCCGTCGTGGACCATTAGGGACTCACGCAGTTCGAGGGGAAGACTGCAGTCGAGATCATGTTCCAACTCGTTGATATCGTTCTGGGTGCACCCTTCGCAAAGGTTGTCGAACAGTTCCTCATAATTGCTCTCCAGCCAGCGCTCGATCTTCCTCCACGAGTGGGCCACCGGCGGAGGGGGCGGAGCGCCATCGTGGAAGCTCTGCATCTGAATCTCCCCGGCACCATCCGTCCCGGGATCGGTTGATCTCCGTTTCTGCGACGAGACCGATCGCATACCGGGAGAGTAGGGGCGGTTGGGGGAGCCGATCGCGGTCGGAGACCCGGTCCAGCCATTGGAGGTCGAGTTCGTGGAGTCCTTGAGTTGATTTTCCTCATAAGGGTCGGTGAGGTCTGGTCGCGATTCGATGGCGCTGGTGGCAATGGAGGTGAGAGGTTCATCCCGACTTTGGCTGAGAGGGACATGTCTCCCTGTGCGGTACGGTGAATCGTGGGACGCGTGCCGATCATAGGAGGTCATCGCATGCCAGAAGGAACGCCATGCTCCACCGATGCTGTTTTGGGAGTAAGTAACGGCCTTCCATCGTTGCTCTGATATCTAATGAGGGAGCTAATCTTTGGTCCTAGGTGAAATAGGGCTAGAAAAAAGAGGGGGGTTACTTACGGGTTCGCCATGGTCAGGAATCAAGCACAATGGCTAAAAGGAAGCAGGAACCCAAAGTTCTCCAGGACTTTAAAAACACCGACGGGAGGTCATTGACCGAATAAACCAGAGAAACTGGGGAAGGTGAAAAGAAAGAATAGCGAGAAGCGAAAGGGATGTGAAGTTGAAGAACAAGTGGTTGCAAGGGGAAGGTTGAGGAAGTGGGTAACCCTAGCAGATCAAGGGAGTCGGGAAGGAGAGTTGAATCTGGGACGGTCTTCCAAACGAGGGAAAGAAAGGAAAAAAGAGAACAAGAACAAGAAAAAGGAAAACGAACAGACACGAAAAAGAAAAGGATAAATAGACAAAGAAGGGTGAAAAGGAGGAGGAAAGGGAAAGTTAAAAAAAAAAAAATTGGAAGAAAAGGGAGGATAAGAGAGAGGTGAAGAAGAGGAAGGAGGGGAATGGATGGGAGAGGAAGAATAATGGAGTTTGGTCGGAGTATGTGAATCCTGATGATCTGAACCGGCGGACTTTTCGGCCGGAGAAAGAATCAACGGGCGGGAAGACTGCAGTGGATTAAGTTCAGTTGTGGCTGTTTTAAGTGGGGAGAGAAGAAGAAGAAGAAGAAGAAGAAGAAGAAGAAGAAGAAGAAGAAGAAGAAGAAGAGAGGAAGAGAAGAGAGTCAGAAGAGAAGAAAGTGAAGTTCAGTGTTGACCCCTGGGAAGGCGCCTGGAACCAGGGATGGGATACGGTCTGGTTCCTGGTACGGTAAGATCGTCAATCTCTTTCTTTTCTCTTGATATATCGCTCTCTCACAGGAGGAAGACGGTCAATTAAATATTCTCAATACAATCATGATAATTATAGAAAAGAAATGAACTGGAAAAGAAATCCGAAGAAACCAATTCACCAGGTTGATCGGTATGTATTCCATCGTGTAAAGTTCTCCATTCCTTCGTTACATCGCTCTATAAACCGCCGTTCTGGTTTGGTACTTGACTCCCTTACCTGATCATTGCCTCCAAACTCACGAGAAACTATAGAAAAGGTGTCACCACCATCGTCATCACCATCATTTGCATAAACAAACAAATAAATACTCCTATCCAATGATGACATACTTGCCTGATGCAACGGCATGGAGAATATTCTCCAGTGGCAACCCCCACCCGCATTGGGTCCTGGACTGCATTCTTTCCGCGAACGGCAGTGCAGTCAGTCAGCAGTGGTTTGGATTCAACAGTATGGACGGATGGATCTATCTATACATATCTTGAAGATCATCCCCCAGTCCTAACTATGATTCAAATGTCATCATGATATCATTCGCTGCGGGCGTGGGTATACACTCGCTCGAGAACAGCTCGAGTAGAGACACAATATCATGTGGAAATATCGAGACATCCCCATGTCTTTCAACAAGATTGGCAAATATCAACCGTCAAGTTGACCATACCAGACCGCCCACTCATGACCGATCGCATGCACATCAAATAATACCTTTCTAGCCCCTCAAGCCAGAAGGAATCATAACAGTCCAGCGTGCCCCGTCCATAATATCCACCAGGAGAGTCCGACCTAGGCAGAGGATTGACAACCAATGAGGGCCATTCCACCAGTGTCGGAAACTTCCTTGACCGGTAGTGGCGGTCCCCTTTAATATCGACTAGATGCATATTGTGATTAGGAGCGAACCGTAGCTCATCTCCTGTCAGTAGGTCCAATATATACATGTTCCTATCCCTGTAGGTTCAATGGAGTCGATCGAATCAGAAGTTGCTTGTACTCCATATCATACTCCTTTTTTATTCTGTATTGTTGACTACCAGAATACTGTAGTATGGTTTTAGCTGCGCGCCGGCGTATCTCGCAGTACAGCTGTGGGGACCGATGGGGAATGCGCTCGGGAACTTCTGGACTAAATCCGCCTGAAGGTTCTGGACTCTTTACCTTACACCGCATGTATTGAATATTACACAACACTATAATTGTCTACAAATAATATATAATATAGGTCTTAAGATAGGTCAAATGAATGTATTCAAAGGATGACTGACTGCAGTACAACCCTTATGTTAGGTATGGAATAGGATGGACAAGCATCAAAATAAGGTAAGAAGGTAAGAATGTAGAGAGCGAGTGTGAATGGAGGTCGGTTGTCAACGGGACGGACGTGAACGAGAAAATAACATCAATAAAACTAGCCTCTCCCATGACCATCATACGATGGTACCAGGAATGGGAGATAAGGAACGTGATCAAATGGGAAGGCGGATAAACACAACAGGGAAAGGACACAAAAGAGGGAAGATATCAGGAAGTCAACGATACGCCTCAACAATATTCACCCAGACACATCCCAGTCAGCGCACTCCGACACACACCCTGACAGGCAGCCAAACTCCAGATTTGATGCAAAGAGAAGGTAAAAGTCATCCCCGCTAATGCACCACTGAAGATCAGATAAGAATAGCTTGCTGCAAAAACACAGAGAACCTGGTTCTCATGAACCCCGAAGAGTGACAATGACTGTAAAACGAATGAACGCTTGCAAAGCTTCAAGAAGTACCATCAAATTATCCTGAAATAACTCAACATGTCATCCCCTATAAATCAAATAGCGTGCATAACCGTGATGTAAAGTGAACAACTTCGAGCGCTGTCACTGAGAGCGTTCAGGCGTAAGAGCTTTGGATGCCGGGGGATGCAAAACCAGGGTTTGCATCAAGCTTCAGGATCTTCCGCAGATCATCCTCCATTTTCTTTGTGTCCAGCACCTGGGGTGAGCCCACCGGGTTGGCTCGGACAGGCGAGGATTGGTGGCGGACAGGGGCGTGCGGTGTATAATTACCCGGAGACCGGGTGTTATCGTAGGGCACATGTGTTTGGCGAACGTTCTCTTTAGGTGTCCCTCCATTGATTCTAGGGCCGGGCGAGGGAGCTCCTTTCCTCGGTGCCGGGCTATGAAAGCGGACTTGCTGGGGGGTGCCGGAATGTGCGTAGTTAGGCCGGGGATAGAACGAGTTCGCAGTCATAGACTGATAGTTGTTGCGTGCCGCATCAGGAATCGGGCCTGGCGGGCTGGAGGTCGTTCTGAGAGGTGTGGCAAAATGAGGGATGCTGAGATTGGCATTCGGATGTTCCTTCGGGCGCTCAGCTGGACCCTGAGCCAAATTCGACGCGGACGACGGTCTTTGAGGACGCGGATTAAGGAGTAGGGTCTTCAAAGCCTCGGTTTTGGCCTTTCTTTGACCCTCATCGAGCTCGACTTCAGCCGACGGAGGGGAATTGGTGGCCCGCATGGCGTTCATACGGTCTTTGTAAGACGGAGCAAACGAGGGCCCAATCTGGGAGGAGCGTGGCTCTGGGCTTCCCATATCGAAAGGGAATATCCCGTTGGAAGAGTCATTAAAGCCACGCTGTCGCAACGTTTTGGAATCTGTCTGAGGAGACCGAATCCGAGTGTGAGTGGTTGCTTCGGGACTGCGTTGTGGTTGCACATTTCTGGCTTCGACTGCCGCCTTGAAGAGAAAATCGAGAGGAGTGGACTCCGGCTTTCCATCCTGGACTTGGGGACGTGGTTTAGGCTTCGACGGAGTGGTCTCATAATCGGGCTCGGCATCCGGATTTTCGGCATCGGATTCTAGTGCTGGCGCGAGGTCGGATTCGGGAAGAGACTTGGAAAAGAAGCTCGGGATCGGAAGCGCGGAGGGAGCGGGGGACGCATGGAAAGTAGGGCCTGCGTAATGCGGACTGTCCCTTGGAGGAAGAATTGCGTTGCCATTATTATTATTGACCGTATTCGAACTGATGTGCCGATGGCCATTTACTGGTGGTGCCGGGGAAGCTTTGATGAATCCCTCTCGCGGTTTCTTGGTGGACCTGCCGTTCTTTTTCTTGGACATATTCACATTAACAGACGAGTCTGTAGCTGTTCCCCCTGGACTCAGGTTCCTCGGAGGGGAGGACGGAGGTGTCGATAGAAAAGTGTTCTTTTGTGTGGAGGGAATTGCATTCCGTTTAGGGGTGCGTCGGTTGTTGCGAGGACCCTTAGGAGTCAGAGGAGTAGGTGATTGGGTCGACATGACGACTGTTTGGCTTAAAAAATAGGCAGCCTTGAAGATAATAGAAAAAATAGAAAGATGCAGAAAAGGTAGAGATAAGAATGAAGATGATGCCAAAGGCTGTACGAGTGACAAGTAGGCTGTCGAATACTGCCCAGCAGCTTTCCAACTTATCAATAGTTCAAAACCAAATATAATAAAGAAGACGGGAAACAAGAAGGCAAAGCAAAGCAGAGACGCCGGACTTCGCACGAGCAGGTGTCAGAGCAAGTATAGTCGATTCAAGGATAGCAAGCTGGTGAAAGCAAAGGGTTTCATGTATGACTGGAATCAAAGCGAAGGATCGAAAAGCGAGAAACCAGAACTCCTATGCACGCTCATATCTAGATAGGCGAACGGAATGAGAGAACCGAAAGAATCTGAAGGAGCATGGTAGCTGTAGGAGGAGATGAAGTTTGAAGATGGTGGAGACGATGGTCGAAGTTGAGGTTATTGCTTGTAGTGTGTAGAGGTCTAGGATAGTGAAGCTGGCAGGGTGTAACAACTCACAAAGGCTGGGGATGACTGAGGTTAAGCGGGGGTGTGTGGATGACTAACCGCTCAGTCATGGGCAGCCACGCCACTTCAGTCCCGCCTCGTTGGGATCATCAAAACAAGGCGCAGTAGGTGCTCCCGCGGTACTTGCTTCCATTGTAAGTTATAAGATATTCAAGTGGGCCTGGTGGGTTTCTCCAAAGGCTCTCGTTGCCTCCCTTTCCCTTTCTTCCCTTTTGCCTAGAACGTGACTCAACGTTTGAGTGCTCTCTCCGTTCTGTTCTTGGGCGAATACTTACGTCAGACGCCGTGTCAACCAGGTACCCAAAGCTAGCTCCTCATCTCTTTGAGTCGACACTTCCGCCTTTCCACACTCGCCCTCTTTTCTGACAGCCCTGTCATCGAATTACGTGGACACTGGTAGATTTAACAGTTTCTGACAATCAAATCACCAGCTCAAAGATGACGGACGTGGAAATGAAAGAAGCGGCCGGAAGCTCCGACAAGGCCAAGGCTGTGTCGAAGGCTTCAGAAGGCACCAGTGACGGCAAGAAGCGGTTTGAAGTCAAAAAGGTAAGGAGATGATTGAATCTGTGCCACCAGGTCTTTGTAGCGCTGACGAATCTGTCAACAATGAAGTGGAATGCGGTGGCACTTTGGGCCTGGGATATTGTCGTGGACAACTGTGCGATTTGCCGGAACCATATCATGGATCTATGCATCGAATGCCAGGCAAACCAGGGCTCCTCTACAACCGAAGAGTGTACTGTTGCGTGGGGTATCTGCAACGTGAGACATATCCTACGATCCCGTCCCAACCGTATGCTAATCCAAGGACTCCTTCGCAGCATGCGTTCCATTTCCATTGCATATCTCGCTGGCTGAAGACCCGTCAAGTGTGCCCACTGGACAACCGGGATTGGGAATTCCAAAAATACGGCCGCTAAAAACACCGAGCGAAGCTCTCCTTTCAGGGTGGCTATGCGACATCCGCGTGGACTCTGAAGGCAAGCGGATAATGACTGGGCCGGCGTTCGAGGCTTTCTTTCTTTTTGTTCTTTGTTCATGTTCTACAGGAATTTCACTCCATGATCTGAGTCGTATAGATGAAAACGGACTGGGGTAGTGCTTCCCGCGCAGAGTTTCATTCTTTGGATAATTGGGACAAATGATCCGATCCGCATCTCATGCAACTCTCACCCCGTCTACCACCACTCCTGCCCCGCGAGAGCCACTCGCCAGCGGGACGTGCCATTTCACGGGGTTCTTATTGTACATAGGCCAAGGAGGAATGACCGCCAACCCGGTCACCACGGTACCTGCCAGACCAGCCCAAAGCGTAAGGTGAATATCCTGGTAGATGTAACCGGCAACGAACGCAATGGCCTTTAGAGACAACAAGTATAAGCAGCCTGTTTAGTTACGTGGAGATAGGAAAATAGATTCCGATCGGGTTCAATCAACTCACGCCTGTAATAATCAATAAAACCGTAGAAAGAATCTCAGTGATGCGCTGGCCTTGAAAGTCCTATGTAATGTTGCGATATTAGTATGCGGCGAAATGAATGAATGGATAGGTGGCCGGAGGGGGAGCCTTAGTAGCTTCCGCGAGCCAACATGGCCAGACCAACTTACTATTTGACCTTCGAAGGCATCCTGGATGGGAGCGAGGATGTTATCCATGATGATGTTACAGTTGATTTATTATATCAGGAGGAAATATGCGCGGATCGTTGATGTAGAAAGACAGATAAGTTGACAGACAGCTTAGTCTTACAAAGGGAGGGTCGGTCAGATCACTGCAGTTTGTATGGCCCGGCCAACCTAAGATTCCATCACCGCCCCGGCTGGGTTTAAGGCGGCGGGTAGACCAATCACTGCCACCACACCCAGTATAAACTGCCCAACTTACTGCTTTCACCTATAGATAAATAATACTGACAAACTATCTATCTATTTCTGTGTGGTCTTTTATGTAAATTTAAGAAAGAGTGCTTTTGAATACATTCGACTTACTTCGATGAGTGTATTGTCTTCATAATTTAGTTTCCCCTTCGTTGTCTGGGTTGGTGTACATACATCAATAGAAACTACTTCGTCATGAAACTGTAATTTTAACCAGCTGATAGCATATCTTCATGGAAGAGAGGGTGTTGTCATGAGGACATTAGCATCGCACATTCTAGGCCACTTCAAAAATTCTAATTCAGCATTCATATCTGTAAAATGTACATTGAGAGTCCGTCTCTCTCGCATCTTCCCCAGTTTAGATACCCCTCTATATAGTCCACACCCAGCAGACACACCCTAATACAGCACGACGGTACCTTCCTGGGCAGGCTCAAGCAGCTTCCACTTGCAAGAGATATCATTAGCCGCAAACCCAGCGATGATGCGGTCCGCAATCTCGGTGAACCGATCCGTGGCCAGGGCCAAGATAGTCGGGCCAGCACCCGAAAGGCAGATGCCCAGCAGGCCGGGTTGAGTCTTGGGGGTCATGGACTGGAGGATTTCCGTCAAGCCTGGGATGAGGTTCTTTCGGTAGGGCTGGTGCACTTTGTCTTGCATGGCGAGGAAGATCATGTCTGGATCGGGCGGGGAGGTGCCCAGGGCGGCGGGGAGCAATGCTGCGCGTTGGAGGTTGAAGACCTGGAGGAAGGTGTTAACGCACGCATTAAATATATTTGCAATCAGCATTTGAGGGAGGGGTAGAAACGTACGACGTCTTCCCTCGAGTACGACGTTGGCAAAACGTTTCGGGCGTTGGCGGTGGGAACGACAAAGTTGGGGATGATGGCGATGGTCTTGATCTCCTTGGCCCAGGGGAACTTTCTGTAATGGCCGATGCCCAGCGGGGGCTCCGGGGGCTGTTTCCCCGTATCGACTCCGCCAGCCGGGGCGGGAAGCACCTCGCTCAGCGGGATTTCCTTGCGGGCCACATCCTCGGGCTTGAGTTCGTTCAGGTAAGTTCCGACGAAGCCTCCGAAGAGCGAGGCGGCGACGTTATCGGGGTGACGTTCTGTTCGTTATCAGTCATTGCTGTGTGGGCGGGCGAGGGGGTCCATGCACATAGACATGCAATGGCAGTAAATGGAGACGATCCAAGCTCACCTATCATCAGACAATAATCCAGCAAGCGGTCCTTGCTTAGCCCCAGTTGACCTACTTCATTCCCCAGCATCACACCAGCCACCACTGCCGTGCCAGATGACCCGAGGCCACGGCCCAGGGGGATGGGGTTTACGATATGGACACTGGTCTCCACGGGGAAGGCCCGTTGGTCATGACACCTAAGTACGTATAGAGCTACTCGAGTGATCAGGTTGACCTCGGGATCTAGGCTGATCTTCTCAGTACTTTGACTTTGGTCGTCATACGTGATCACGCAGTTGAGGGGATGTTGCGACGAGGATTGGGAGGAGTCGACCGTGACACGAAGCTCCAGGTGAAGAGATAGAGCCAGGCCAATCACGTCGAATCCAGGGCCGATGTTGGCCGAGGAGCAGGGCGTTTTGATGACGAAAGATGAAGCCATTGCGATAGTGATTTTTGCTCCGTTTCTTCTCTGCTTTCCTCTTCTGATTTGCTTTTCTTTTGTTTCGCTTTTCCTTCCGACTTTCCTTCTTGTTTCTTGTTCTACCCGTGACCCTCGATAAGACACCAATGGGTAGGAAGGCTGCAGAAAAAGAGGGATGTGTGATGGGACAGAAATCGACCTGCAGTTCTGGCCACTATTCCGAGGGATGGGAAAAAAGATAATGAATAGTAATATAAGGAATGGGAAGATAAAGACTACCGAATATGAGGTCGGAAACAAATATTGCGATGACTCGGAAGTCTTGGCATTGGCCCCGCGGAAGGGAAAAAATTGGGCGTGGTTGACCGACCTCGGGGCGAGTTCCAGATGCTTAGTCTGCACTGCACTGTAGGGCTATCATTCCGGAATCGTCCCCCTGCATCCTGTTTGCGTTGTCCATGCTGCTAAACTTTGCTTCCCAGGTTTCAAGATTGATCTATCAGAATGATCAATACTATTTATACTGAAAAAGAATATCACGATTATACATATGCATGTTGTTTGTCTCCATAATTCCCCCTCGTGCTGTCTAGTACTAAGGTACCTAGGTAGGTGGGTGAGTACTCGAACAGCACGTCTGATCATATAGTAAACCAATGATATTGAGAGGTTTATCATCATGGTTAGGTATGATTGACCATATACAGCTGTCCCGATGTGATGGATCTGAGATGCACATGCATGATATGGTTGACATTACTATTATTAATTGTCCAGCAAGATCCATGGATTGTTGCCGAAACCAGTTCCAGTTCCGCCCACCGTGGACAATCCATGACTAACGTTGTCCGTGTCACCTGATATCAAGATCTGGATTCATTCAAGGTGAATGAATTTGATCATTCAGATATTGTCAAGTTCAATAAGAAAGGGTCACATGCAACTCTCTTATCTATAGCTTAAACAGACCAGAATACAGTTACATCCATCCCAGGTCCAGTGCGGAGTTGACTCACCGGGCTAATGGCAAGAAGCCATCTCATTGAAACTGCTTAAAGTCTTAGCCCTTGTTGGCGCTCTTGTAGTGCTCCATATTTAACTTCTCTTACACGGAAATCCCCTCCCTGTCGGTGCTCTTTTGGCCACCGGAATCAACCCTCACTTTCTTGGCCCCTTTCTTTTCTCCTCTTTTTTTCTGGTTCTTTTCTGCTTGTTTCTTGGCTTTTTCTTTCTTTTGGCTCCGGTTTCTTTCTCATTTGGTAGCCTGACTGGTTCGTGGTTCCAGTCCTTTTTAAACCCAAGACTTCCTTCGGCCTGTCTTCTGTCTTCTGTCCGTCTGATCTTGGTCCTTTTCAGTCAAGTCCCAAAGAATTAAGACTAAGACACCTCTGGGTGCAACGTCCGGCCTGATTCTATCTTTGGTTTCGTCTCCATAAATTTCTTCGCCCCCTTTTCCCTCTCCATCACTTTCTTTGTTTTTACTCGTCTGGTCTTCTGCTCTTCGAATCTCTCTCTCTTCCCTTTTGATTCTGTCTTTCCTTTTACTTTTATAGAAAGACAGATCTCGGGTTGGTTTGTCTTTTCACTCTTCTATTTCTGATATCGATTCGGACTTTTGATTTTTTCATATCTTATTTTTATCTATTTTTTATTTTTTTATTCTTGAAAATAAAATTATATAAGCATCGCTCATTGCTCCGTCATTCGCCAGTCTCTTTTACTATCGGCGACTCGACTTTTTCCTCGCTTCAATCTCGTGGTGTGCCGGGATTTTTCACCACTCATCTCTCTCCACATCAGACCGACTTCCACCAAAAGATTCTCTGCTGTTGACTTCTCCTGCGACCAAGAGAATAAACTTCTGCTGATCGTCCCACCCATCTCGATATCGTCGCCGATACTTCCGTCTCATACCTTAAGAATCGGGTACCGACGTCATTGATCAAAGCGAAGTTTAAAACAAAAAGAAGAGGGAAAAAAAGGTCTCGCCGCGGTGAACTCAAGGAACTCTGTTGGAGCTTCCTGTAAACTCATCCCTACTCAACTGCAACTCTGGAGCGACCACGCTCCTCGTCGGATTACTTAGTCAAGTTGGCGGGCACTCGCTTCAACCAGTCTACCTTCCTCCAGCCTCTCCTGGGCCCTAAGTGCAGGGTCTTCTGCGGGGGCGTCACCAAACCCCCGTAATAGAACGGTCCAGCGACCGAAGAAAGCTGGCCCTCGATCTCCCCGACGGTAATGCCAGGCCCTGTCGAGGGGTCTGGCTGATGGATGGAGAAGCATTTCCCTGGGACTTGTTCACGCCCTCGTTGTCGTTGACCCGAAGGCTTTGATCATTTACCGCTTGGTGCTTGCCTAACTCTTCTTTATATTTTCTGCGCTTTTCTTCCTTTCTCGACTCTCAAAACCCATTAATGTACCCGATCGCAAACGGTCCACCGAGTCATCATGTCCGAGTCACCCCGGTCTGAGAAATACATGTGCCTGACCCGGTTCAGCACCCCAGTCCCCGAGCTGGACGATCACCGATTCCAATTGGAACCTACGCAGCCGCGCATTGAGGCCACCCCCGATGCCCAGCTCAGTCGCCAGAATACCGCCCAACAGGGGCTCCCCCCGGATACTCCCCAGCGCCCCGATCTGCTTCATGTGCAGGAGGCGCTGCGGGAGGCCGGCTCATTCTCGCGAGACTTTGAGCAAGCCGTCGTCGACGACGACCAAGCCGGCAAGGATATAAATGCGCTGGGTCGGCGTTTCTCTGTCGATCCGCCCGGCAATACCCGTCAAGGCCGTTCCTATAGCCGCGCCCCTCAGGACCTCACCAACGTGTCGAGAGAATCGTCCGTCTCCGCCCGGTCAACGTCGCCGCCAAACTCCGTCGAAGCGTTCGCCGACCCCCGCCGTCGCGAGCGCGCAAATACCCTGGAAAGCCATGGCGCGCCCGACCTCGAGGCGATCCTGCAGCGAACCGTCTCTGGCGGCACCCACGCTCGCCGTCGCACGTTCAGCAATGCGAGTATCATCCGGCCCCAAGCGGGCGAAGTGCAATTGGAGCCCGCCGATGACCCTTGCGTTCCGTCGTATGAGGAGCCGGGCCGGATTCCGGTCATTGATTACGAGGAATTGGAGGAATTCGTGGCCTTGAATCACAAGGCAAAGCCCACCACAACGAGACAGTGCCAAAGCCTCGGCCAGAGCAATCAACAGCGGGTCTTCTATGATCTCCGCCCAGGCGCCCAGAAATCCGGCGACGAAGAAAAACGCTCATCCAGCGTGGAACGATCTTCGGATGACTACATGACATCGGACCCCAAACTCGATGAAAAGGCCTTGGCGGAGTCCGTGGACGAGAAGGAACTCTTGGCGCACCTGAAAAACGAGAATGAGCCCAGTCGGTTTGGCTTCTTCTCGTCCGAGTCGCAGAGCACCGTACATGCTGCCGAGCTCGGTGATCTCGTCTTGCCGGGGGATACGTTCCGGGATCTCTTCCAGCTAGGTCCGGAAGGGGGCGTGTGGTGGTTGGACGTTTTGAACCCCACGGAGGCGGAAGTTAGCGCGCTCTCGAGGGCGTTCTCCATCCATCCGCTGACCACGGAGGACATCATGACCCAAGAAGCCCGAGAGAAGGTCGAGCTGTTCAAGCAGTACTACTTTGTTTGCTTCCGCACCTTCTACCAGCTCGACAAGACCAGCGAGAATTTTATGGACCCCGTCAACTTTTACATGGTGGTGTTCCGTGATGGAGTGCTGTCATTTTCGTTTACCGACAATCCGCACTCGTCCAATGTCCGGCAAAGAATCGGCAAGCTTCGCGACTACGTGTCCCTGAGCAGTGACTGGATATGCTATGCCATGATGTAAGTTGCCTCCAACTCCGCTCCGTGTCATTTCGTGAAAACTAACCCAAATACAGTGACGATATCGTCGACAGTTTCGGTCCTGTTATTCGCGAAATCGAAGTCGAATCCGAAGCCATCGAGGACCTGGTGTTCATCGCGCGCATGGACGATTTCGAGTCGTTTTTGCCCCGGATCGGCGGCCTACGCAAGAAAGTCATGAGTTTGATGCGTCTCCTGGGTGGCAAAGCCGACGTCATCCGCGGGTTCTCCAAGCGCTGTAATGAGCAGTACTCGGTGACTCCGCGTGGTGACATTGGCCTCTACCTGGGTGACATTCAAGATCACGTCGTGACGATGATGTCTAACCTAGCGCATTTCGAAAAGATGCTCAGCCGGTCGCATACCAACTACCTTGCCCAGTTGAATGTGACCAACCTGGTGCTGGGCAATCACGTCAACAATGTCTTGAGCAAGGTGACGCTCATCGCCACTATGCTAGTTCCCATGAACCTGATCTGCGGCTTGTTTGGCATGAACGTGCATGTCCCAGGAGAGAATGCCGACGGCTTGGGGTGGTTCTTTGGCATTCTGGGTGTTATCGGCGCTGTGATTATCCTCAGCGGTGTAGCTGCCCGATTTTATAAACTTGTATAGCGCGATATTGCAGTGTGCATTCTTCATATTAGTTAGGCGTCACCTGGTCTTGGTAGCACATTATATAGTGCAATGGATCAAAAGAAAATAGTATCAAACAATCAAAATCCGTCTTTATTTGTCTTCTTAATTTGACGCCTTAAGCAAATCTCTCCAAAAGTCCTGTCTACTCCTACGTGGTGGACGGTTGTCCAGTGACCGGAGAATCTGCGGATTACCCCATTCGGTTAGATTTGCCTTTCTGGGTAGAAAGTATCTTCACTCTCGCCCTCACTTCGACTTTCCGGCCGTTTTTTACCGGGAGTGCCAATGGGGCCAGGATCCAATGAGTCAAGTCTCTTGACTGTGATAATCACGACCTCGCCGACCCCATCCATCCCATCCACACAATTAGTCTCCTCGGTACTGCGATCCTTCAACCGACACTGCACGGCACTGCTCGCAGCCCGAGTGATCGTCGTCTTCGACACCTTCGAACATGTCACAGTCCGATCCCGCCTGAAAAAGGGCCAAGCGACGGCAAAAGTCGCCGAAAACTACAGCGACTACATAGAGAACGTCAAAGAGCTCATCATCGCCAAATACGCTCCCCACGGAGACAAGAACCCAGCAAGCGAGCCGGGAGCCACCGCGCTCCGCGAATGGCAGGACCGCGCCGAGTTCGGGCTAGAGAACCCCCGCAACGAGGTTACCGTGGCCATCACGCAGACGGCAGACCAGCAAGTCACGTTCATCGAGCCCGCCGCGCGCCTCGGGTTCGGACTCGCTGTGCGCTCGGCGCTGAGGATATGCGGGACGCCATACGTCTGGGTGCAGCAGCACGACTGGGCCCTCGCGGCGGATATCCCGCTAGCGCCGCTCCTCGACGTGATGGCGAGTTCGGACGCCGACGAAGCCGCGCCGGTTAAGTACGTCTCGTTCCCGTCGGAGCGCATGCGCTCGTACGCGGTGTCGGCCTGCGTCAATGACTACCCGGCGCTGCGGGAACTGACCGCGTCGCTGAAGAGGGACTTCACGCCGCCGTCGCAGCCGGAGGTGAAGGTGCCGCTGACGCCGCTATTCTTCTGGTTCGATAAGCCGCATCTGGCGTCGACGGAGCACTATCTTGCGCGGGTCTTCCCGAGTCGGCTGGCGATGCGGCGGGGGGAGTTCATTGAGGATAAGATCGGGCAGCGGGCGAGACATAATATGAAAGAGGGCCAGTGGCACCGGTGGGCCTGTTGGCTGTATTATGCGGATGAGGCGAAGGTGCCTTATCTCCGCCATTTACACGGGAGGACTTGGGATGGTGTAGATGGGAAGTTATACCTGAAATATGGGTGTGTTGAAGATGAATGATAATATTATTCTACTCCGTATCTGTACTCGATCTATACTGTAGACATGCAATGCTGCATAAAAGCCCATTACATAAGCCCTTATCAGCCGTGTGGCTGAGAAATCCGAGACGTGGCGCAGGCTGACAGGGCAAACAAGAATAGATCACGGCCCACCGCAATGCGATCAACGATGAACACAGGATATACTCGCGCTGTCAGGTACAGGCGACCTCAATGCACGACAATCCCAGTTCCATTTTCTTGTCCTACAACACACAGATATAATCAGTGAATGATCCATCCAACACCAGCCGTCGGTCCATTCCAGGCCTCCGTCCGCGCCTGACCCAAAGCCCACTTGTGTAGTCCGCGCTTCCACCATCGCATCGCATCGCATCGCATCTTACCGAGACGTACCGTCCATGCGACCCCCAACACCCAAGCTGCAGTACCGCCTGGCAGCAACGCTCGCCGCATGCAGCGCGGTCCTCTTCAGCGCGCCGGCCTTCGCGCACACAGAGGACAGTCTCACAGCGCCAGCGCCGGCTGGGCCCGACGGGAGCAATGTGACGCTCGGCAGTGGAGGGGGAGGGCAGTTCCCGTTTGCGCTGGGATCGTATAATGGGCTTGTGTTGGAGGATTCGGCTGATGAGGGGGTAGATGCGTCGCTGGATCCGATCCGGAGAGCTCGGCGGGCTGTGTCGTCGGTGGGGAATAATCAGTATCAGGAAGATGATATCAAGCCGGGGGAGGCGCAGAAGTGGTATTTTCCTAGGGATGCGAAGGATAGGGATGGGGATGGGCCTAAGGACGGGAACGATAGGGAGGGTGGTGGTCCTAAGGAGGGGAAGGATAAGGAGGGCGATACGCCCAAGGAAGAGCGCCCGAGTCATCAGAAACGCGCGAACACAGTCTACGTGTCTATGACCATCTGCTCGAAGCCGCGCCTCTCGAAGGGCGCGCCCGATCACAACCCCCCGGCTCTACCCCAGCTAGAGGTCTCGATCCTAGGATTGAACGGGACGGACAGCTGGGCCGTCTTCAAATCCGAAGGCGGCTACATGAGCGCCGTCGGAGACGCAACAGGCGACGTGCAGCTCAAAGTGACAGCGCCCGAAAGCAAAGACTACGAGGGGACCTACCACTACCAGATTGCGGCGTCCGTCGACGCGCTCTTCCACACGGTGGGCGACGACGAATCGCTCTTCCCTGTCGACTCGGACACGACCACGGCGCTCCTCGCGACTGCCGATCTCAACAAGACGGGCTATCACCTGCCGGCTGGCAACGACAGTGACTGGCTACATAAACATCCCCCGTTTGTGATGTTCGCCAATAACGTCAATGACCCGTCTATTGAGGGCATGGAGCGCTCGTACTGCGCGCTGAACCTGCATGCGCAGGTCAAAGGCAAGAAGAGTGTTGAAGCGAGCATGACTAGGCGGCCGGGGGGTGAGAAACTCCGAGAGCAGTTCTACGTTACCAAGCTCAATCGCAGCTCGGAGTACACCGGTATCCTGGCCATGGCGGGGGACTCGACAGACTCGGGGAATGGATATATCGGGGGAGGGGGGCGAGTGTGGAAGCCAGAGACATTCTCCACGAAAAACGGTATCCCTCCTTAAACCCTTCACACACCTTAAGAAAAACAGCCCAACTAACAAAAAAAAACAGACGACAACTGCGCCCTAATCCACGACCTCCCCTTCTGCAACGAAGTCGCCTACTCCGTCCCGACCAACCCCCAAAACTACAAGAACAAGCTCCCCGACCTGATAACCACCTACGACGACCACGCCCGCAGCCTCTACAAAAACTTCACCTACTCGCTCGCCCAAATCCAATGCAACGCCACCAACAACGAAACCAAATGGTCCCTCTCCGTCAACTGCGACGACTGCGCCAACGCCTACAAGAACTGGCTCTGCGCGGTCACCATCCCCCGCTGCGTAGACTTCTCCAACACGAACAATACCGCCCTGTACCCGCGCAATATCCTCCGCCCCTTCCACAACGGCACCTCCCTGCCTTCCAGCGCGGTTAACGACACAATCCGCAAATCCCCCGCCGCGCGCCACGCGCGTAACCCCTGGATTGATCGGCTCATTAAACCCGGGCCTTACAAGGAAATGCTCCCCTGCCGCGACCTCTGCTGGGATCTCGTGCGCAGCTGTCCGTCCGCACTGGATTTCAGCTGTCCTGAGGAACCGGAGATATGGGCGAGTTACGGCGCGAAGAATGATTCCGAGGAGGGGAGGTGTAATTATCCGGAGGCGCCGTTTCGGAATAAGAATGGGGGGGTTGCGTTGCGGGGTGGGGTTGGATTTGGATTGGGGGGTTGTTTTGGGTTGTTGTGTTTGGGTTGTTGTGATGATTGATTGGATGCTGGTGTGGGTGTTTTTTTTTTTTTGGAGTATATACTGGATTTGGATATGAGTTTTGTATAGGTTGGGTTTTGAGTTGCTATATACTTTTTTTTTTATATCTTCTACTGTAATTATATTATACAGATTATACAGATCGAGACGATTGATCATATGACTCGCATTGAAGCCAATTCGAACAGAAGAAGGGAGATAGACGTTGATATAGAGGTTGACGGAGTGCAGTCAACGTATACACTACAGTCTTGTTTGTTTATTTACTTGCTTATCGGCTATTGTTTATTGTTTATTGTTAACTTATCTGTTCTTGTTGATTGATATATGGACTAGATTGATATGGACCCAGTCATATATGAACTAGTTAATACAAATCAATGACTGTATGATGCTTGATTGTAAGGTATAAAAAAGAAATTCGCTAATATCAACTCAATAACCAGCCCATAACTCCTTTGAAAGATCCCAACGCCTATACCTGTTTATCCCATACTCCGATCCATCCAATATAATATAGTAGTAACAGTAGTGTAGTGTAGTGTAGTGTAGTGCAGTGAAATGCAACGATAAGCTCACGTATAACCCGCGCAAGAAACCCATCCCCTAGAAAAAAGGAAAAAGGCTACTTCCCCCTCCTCGGCGTAGGAGTCCACATATTCCTCAACCCCGACCCCGACGAAGACGAAAATCCCGGCGTCCGCGGCGTACTCCCCCCCACCTGATGGAGCAATTTCTGCGCAGCAGGCGTGAGGGCCTTCCCCGGCGTAACACCCCCCGCAGGAGGATGACCGCGCGAACCAAAATCCAAGCGCGGACTGCTGGCGAAACGTGGGGTGCGGTTGACAGGAGTCTTGGTCTCGCGGGCGGCTTTTTCGGCCCGTTTCTTGCGTGACACACGGTCGACCATGCGGTGGTGGAGGGCTTCGCGGTGGCGGTTCTCGCGGATGGAAAATGGGTTGGGGGTACGGTCTTGGGGATCGCTGCTGCCTAGAAGGTCGTTGAAGTCGTCTGCGGATGTGGTGGCGGGGTCTGGTTCGTCCTCGTCGACAAAGGCGTAGCCGTTGACGCGGGGCGTCTCGCCGCCGCCTGTGTAGCCCGGTTCGGAGTCTGTGAGGCGCGGACGCCCCGCGATGGCGTCTTTGATAGCGGAGATAGACGGGGACGGGGGAGGGGGTGGCGCGCGGTGGGTTTCGTCTGGTAGACGAGTATTCTGATAGACGACGTGTTTGGGCCCCGCGCGCGAGGCAGCTTCAGCGCGCTGCTGGATCGTCTCGTGGTCGTCTTCGATGGACTGGGGCGCGAACATGAGCGGGTTCTCCGCCCGGGCCTTCCATGCGTCTGGCTTTGCGGGTCGGGCGTCTAGGTCCGTCTTGATGGCTACCGCCTGGTTGGTCGGGTCGGAGGAGGGCGTGCCCCCCTGGGTCTCGATGCGCTTGGTCTCCCGCCGGTGATGTGCGATCTGGCGCGCCGTGGGAATCTTATTCCCGCTCCACATCCAGGCGTAGTGCTCGCGGCGCTTGGCGTTCTGCTTGTCCAGGACCTTGTTGAACGACTCGTTATCCTCGCTGGTGTATTTAGCCTGGAACTCGAGGAGTCCAAGCCGGGACACGTCCGGTGCGGCGCTCTCCTCTTGGGACAGCGTCGAGGGGGCGACAGTCGACGGAGTCGCAGAGCCCACCGACAACGGCGTCTCACCGCGCCATCCGGTCGGCGTGTCCCCCGCGTTAGAGAACTGTGGTGTGGTGCCCGAGGCGGCGGGGCGCTGCCTGGCTCTGCCGGGCGTTCTTAGCACGTCGACTAGCCTCCTCTTCGAAGTGGCGATCCATTCCTTGTCCTTTGAGTCGAGGGCGTCCAGGTAATCCTGTTTCACCTGGGCTTCGAGTAATCCCGGGAAATAGTCTCGGGCGATGATGTCGGACAAGGCGTCGGTGTAGACGTCTTCGTCGAGGACGGTGGCGGGTCGTTTGATGCGCTTTGGGGGTGGGGGAGGGGGCATCAGAGCGGATTCGCTCTGGCGTTTTATGAGGGCTTGGGAGGACATGGTGGCGGGAGGAACAATGGACTGGTTGTGAAAGGTGTGGTCAGTAATGAGAGGACCTCATCGGTCGTCCGGCCGGGGAAGAGACATGGAGATGATGAGAAAGAAGATGGAGATGCAGCGGAGTGAGATGACGGAGATGTGGACGCGGGCGGTAAGAGAAATAGAAGTGTATAATTGGCTGTTCCTTACTAGAGTAATATACTGCCGATCTAGATATAAAAACTACAAGATAGGGCTCGTTACCAGGTATTATTATATAGGTATCTATTTGATAACCACCTCTGCAGAATGTAAAATGGTTGATTGTATATACAGTACACATGTACAAGTCTATATCCTATCTTTTTACACAGACAGTAAACAACCAGACAATTGTAATCGACCAAGGAAATATCCCAACGACGGCCGTCAATATCCAAGAACGAGAGAAAAAGATAAAATAGATAAAACCACCCACCCACTACAGTGCCCAGATCCTCCGTACCAGAAGAACACCGGATGTTTTTCTTTTTTGGTCCCTGAGGAAGCAGCGCTGAGAAATGCAAGATATAGACCCGAGAAAGAAGAGAAGAAGAGAAAAGAAACATGGGGGAGAAGAAGAAGAAACCCAAGAAGAAAAAAAAAAAAGAAGAAGACAACGAAGGACGAGAGCTGTTGCTGGATCAAAAGACAGACGGAAAGAACGACACGTATGATAGACAGAGCAAGGAAATTCGCCAATGACCGAAATGGAGAAGATGGGAGAAAAATCAGGGAGTCATCAATCGTCGAAGAGATTATCGGCGGTGGCTACACCTTCCCTTTTTTAGGGTATATATGCCAGAAAGTAAACAAAGACTAGAACAGGGAAAGAAACATGATAAAAAAAAAAGGAGAAAAAAGGAGAAAAAAAGAAAGAAAAAATAATTCACCCAAGGTTAATTGGGAGGCGCAGTGGGAAAGAGAGAGTAGGATGGTCGGCCTCGCCGTCGGTGCGCGCTCTTAGGCGGCAGGTCGGGCTTGGCGCGGGCCACCCACGGGGCCGCCTCCAGGTGGGAGGTCGACTGGGCCCGGTCGTGCAGGGTGGAGGCCCCGCACGCATCCCGAGCGGCGTCCCCTGAGGAGGGGTCCCGGCACCAGGAATCCAGCTCGCCGGCGAGACTCTTCGTCGGGCGGTGGTGGGTGGACGCCTCGGGGCGGGCGGCACTGGCGGCCGAGGGGCATCGGGAGGAGGAGGAGGCATCCCCCCCGGCGGACGGGGCCCCGTCGGCGAGGTCCCGGCTATTGGCCAGGCTGTGGATCAGGTCGGGGACGCTGACGGTGGAGACGGAGGACCGGTGTTTGCGGACGATGGAGGCGGCGCGCGACAGGATCAGGCTCTCCTCGGAGTTGTACTTGCTGATGGGGGAGAAGCTGCTGCGAGGGGAGACCGGGTGCTCCATCTGGGGGCTGACTCCTGATGAGTAGAAGGAGAAGGGCCGATCCGACTCGGCGTCCGTCGCCAGGTACTCCTCGTACAGGGCGTCCGGCCCGTCGGGCTTCCCCAGGGCCGACGGGAACAGAGATGGACCGACCGGAGGGAAGTAATCGCCGACGGCACTGGCCGGGGTGAGCGCCCGCTGCGACCCCGGAGTTGCCAGCGTGGAGGGGCTCAGGTGCATCGCAGGCACCGTCGGAACCCCTCGAGGTGCCGGCGACGGGACGGGACCGTCGCAGTCGGTGGCCAGGATGGGGATGTCGGACCCGGGAGTCGGGAGCGGCGGCCGCTCCTCGAGCGACCGACGACCCCAGTCAAAGTCGGAGCACGATTCGGCGGCGTGCTCGTAGCAGTAGTCGATGTCGGCGTCCCACGTCTCGTAGATGGTCTCATAGGTGGGCTTGCGGCGGGAGGATCCGCGGCGGACGGGCGCCCCGGAAGGCGGGGTGAGATCTTCCGTTTGCGACGGCCCACGCTGCAGGTGTGACGGCGGCGGCGGCAGGGTCGGGGAGCCCAAGGCCTCGGAGAATCGCCGGGACAGTTCGGCGGAGGAGTAGATGGAGGGACGGGAGGCGGGCACGGGGCTGCTGCCCCCGCGGGACGATGGGCGGGGACCGTCGGCGAGGTCGGGTTGTTCCGGGCTATCGTGCCAGTGGGTGGCAGCGATCTCCTCGGGCACGTCCGTCAGGTCCGACGGGCGGGTGGTCGGGGACAGCGACATGGTGCGGACGTGGTCCCAGGAGCCGGCGGGGTCGGGGCCAGACGGAGGCGGGCGGTGGAGGATCTCGTCGATGACGCGGGCGGTGGGTTCGGGGATGTCGGGAGCGGCGGCGAGGTGCGGCGAGGCCGGGCGTGGCGGAGGGGAGTCCACGTAGGACGGGCGAGGAACAGGGCGGGAGAAGTTCTCGACGGCGCGCGACGGGCGGCGGGCGTGAGACACCTGCTGCTTGGGGCTGATGGAGGAGGAACCCCCGGGGGAGACCGGCGGGCTGAGGGAGGCGAGCGGGTCCTCGACGGGGGCCGTCGGGGTGGTCGGGGGGAGGGGGGAGGAAGAATCGGGGTCGGCGCATTCGCGGAGGGGGAGGATGTCCTCGGCGCGGATACCCTTGAGGCCGGTGACGGGTCGCTGGGAGGCGCGGATGGCGGAGAACTCGGTGACGAGGTCATTCTGGCGGGTGTCCTCGAGGGCGGGGAAGTGCGACTGGCTGGTGTGGGTGAGGTGGTGGAAGTCGAAGGGGTCGGAGATGAGGGACTTGAGGTGGCCCTGGGCGTCACTCTGGCGGGCGCGATGGTGGCGGTGGAAGAGGTCCCCGACCTCGAAGCGGGCGCTGCTGGCCCTCCGGTCGCGGTCGCGGTCGCGGTCGGACTCGTCGACCTCGTCGAGGGTGGCGACGATGTGGAAACGGCTTCCCTGGCGGCGGAGGATGCGACTGCCGCGGGTGAAGAGGGCCTTGGTCATGCTCTCGGGGCGGTCATTCCGCAGACCGGCTGCGGAGGGGGCGCGGTCGTCCGGGGGGTGGACGGAGGCAGCATCAACGGAGGTCATGGAGGAGGTGGTAGAGCCGGTGGTAGAGCCGGAGTTGGAGGTTGAGGTAGTGGTGGTAGTGATGGAGGAGGAAGAGGTGGTCGTCGTGTTACTGCGAGAGCGACCTCCAAAGACGGAGAGACGTTTGGGACTGTGGGGGAGGGCCGTGGACCTGGAACGGAGATGGACGGCATGGTCTGGGGGGTCACCATTGGAGGAGCGAGTGGAGGGACGGTCATCTAGATGGGCCAGATCTGGACGGGCTTGATCCGGACGGACCTGATCCCGGTGGGAGTACATATTGATATAAACGGGGGTAGTAGTCAGGATGGTCAGAGGCCAGGTGGAAGTAGCATGATAGGAGGGGGTGGATAGAAGTGGTTTGGAGGGGGGATAGAGGAGAGGGAATAGATAGAGAGAGAGAGAAGACAGAGGAGAGGAGAGGAGAGGAGTGGAGGAGGGAGAGAGAGAGAGAGAGAGAGAGAGAGAGAGTGAGTGAAGTGAAAGAGAACAGGGGAGAGAGAAAGAGAGAAAGAGAGAAAGAGAGAAAGAAGAAAGAAAGAAAGTGAGAAAGAAAGTGAGAAAGTGGAGTAGTCTAAGACGCCCGACGGATAACCGTCAAACCAGTGGAGAGAAGAGATTGGTCTGGATCCCCATTCTAGTTAGATGAACCGATTCACGAGAGAACAGGAGAGAACAGAAAACAGAAGACCGAATAGAAAGTAAGAGAGAAAGAGAAGAGAAAGAGAGAGAGAACTCGCTTAGTGAGTGGGGATCCTTTCCATATAAACTCGACTCTCCTATACAAGATCAGCCAAGTGGAATAAATCCAACAATGACATTTAAAGGAAGGAATCCCTGCCATCCCCTGATCCATCGCAGCCTCTCGCTGGTCCATGGTTCATCCAGGATTATCCACGATTTACCCTGTTTAACCATTGACCAGGTTCTCCGGACAGACAGCGGAGACGGGGAAATAGCATATAATAGAGGTATTATACGGAGTAGTTTATATTCATCTTCTAGATTCTATCTTCTAGATTCATCTTATTCTTCTATTCTGTAAATTTCTACATGATATCTATTGATCTATTATATTATAGTCACGTACCTCGGATCCACATGCTGGGAATATCACACCGCCAGGGTACCTGCATCCACGTTCTATTATTTATTAATCTATGATTGACTATTATTATTGGATCTTATATGATATGATATATTATATTATATTATCCGGGGCTGAACAGGATCATCTCTCTCTCTCTCTCTCTCTCTATATTCCCTTATATCCTCTCTCTATCTTCCTAAACATCAACTATAAAATCTAATATTAAAACACCAACAGAGAACAAGAACAAGAACAAGAACAAGAATAAAGAATAAAAAAATCAAACATCTAATAAAACAGAATCACAATCTAACTATAAATAAATCCCCCTATCCTCCCTCCGGACTATCCCAATCCGGTCACTCCAGGACGATCTCTCGCTCTCCCTCGGTCGCATCGCCCTCGTTCTCCATCGTTCTTCCTCCTGACGATCGTGTCTGGACCTTACTTACTACTTGGTGGACCGTATTCTGTCCACTGATACTACCCAGTGGACTCTTGTCTACTTCTGTCGACTCCTAGTTCGACTCGACGGTCGACCGAGTACGCGTCGATACGATCGATGGATCTGATATTGTATACACCTCGGATAACGCCATCATACAGAGTAAATAATAGATAATAATTCACAAGAGAATAATCAAAACAGCCCGTCATCCTCGTGTTCTTCCTCATCTCCCCCACTTTCCTGCCCCCCTTCGTGGCCCCCGACCTCTCCTCCTCCCGTCCCCTCTCCCTCTCCCTCTCCCTCTCCCTCTCCTTCCTCCTCCTCCTCATCATCATCCGCAATCCGTCGGGCTTTCTGTTTCGCCCGTCGGCGCTGCACCACTTCCTGCTCCTGCTCCTCCTCCCTATCATCCCCCCCATCGCGCATCTCCTCGTCCCCGTCCGACCCCGCCGGGCTCCCGCCCCCATCCTCCTCCTCATCCGAATCCACCACCATCTCACTACTCTTATACTTGCTCGACGCCTTCCCGCCCGATCGACGCTCCAACCGACGTCGCTTCTTCGGCGCCGCCTCACCCGCACTCTCCCCGCCCGAGCTATCCCCATCACCCCCCACAGGCCCCTCCTCCCCATCACTGACGAACGAGTCCCCGTCCGTGTCCCGCCGCTGCGACCGCTTCTTGCGCTTCGACGACGCCCCACCACCACCACCACCACCACCACCAGACGCCTTCTTCCGACGCTTAACGCGGTCGCCCGTCTCCTCGTCCGTCGTTAGCTCCGCTTGCTCCCGTGCGTGATCGTCCGCCGCCCGCTGCTCCGCCAGCCGCTGCGCGTCCTCGATCAGCTGCTGTCGCTCGGCGGCGACCTTCTGCTTCCGCTCTTGCTCCACAGCTTGTGCCTGCTTGACGGCTTCGGCCCGGCGCGCGAGCTCCGCCTCCCGCGCCGCCCGCGCCTGCTGTAGCTTGGCCGCGTTCTGCTCCTCGTAGGTCCGCTGGCTTTGGAGGGCTCGCTCCAGCTGCTTGTTGATCGTCTTGCCCATGTTGGCGCGCTGTTCCAGTGCGCCCGCCGGGTAGGGCGGGTTCTTCCCTGCTGCGAGTCGGCCGAAGGTCTCGACCGCCTGGCGGAGTCCCTCGGCTGCGGCTTCGAGGTCGGCCACTGTGCGTTGGGTCTCGCCCAGTCCGTAGGCGAGCGATGCGATCTGGTTCTGCACGAACGCGACGTTGAATTCCAGATGTACCTGCCCCGGTGCGACCGAGTGCGCCCGGCGCGCGTACTCCAGCGCTGTCTGCATCGCGGATAGGCTGGCCTCTTGCTTCCCCCGTAGGAGCCATACTCTGCCTAGGCAGGCAAGGATCTGCGCGTCGCGCGCGCGGTCCTTGGATAGCGCCGCCTCGTAGTGCTCGATCGACCGCGTGTACTGGCGCAGCTCGGCGTACACGTGCCCCAGGTTCAGGTAGACGCTGGCGTCGCGCAGCGTGTCGCGGATCTTGGAGAAGATCTGCACGGCCGCGCTGTAGTCCTTGCGGTCGTCGACGAGCGCGATGCCGATGCCCTGCGCGGCGTAGGCGTTGCGCCCGTCCAGCTGCAGCGCCTTGTCGAAGAACTCGACCGCCCGCTCGTACATCCGCCGCCGCTTTTCGCGCTCCGTGTCCGTCTCCCGCCGCATGTCGCGCGCCGTCAGCAGGTGCACGTTGCCCATGCCGGTTAGCGAGTACCGGTCGTGCTTGTCGAAGTACTGCAGCGTGTGCTTGTAGTGGCGCTGCTCGGGGTCTTCGGCGAGGTTCGCGGTCCGCTTCTTGGATTTGCTGAGGTACCAGCCGAAGAGCGCGCGCACTTCGAGATTCGTCGAGTCGGCTTCGTAGAGCTTGCCCATGCGCTTGGGGCCTTCGTCGGTTGGGCTCTGGCGGAGCGCGATGTAGGTCAGGCGCGCGTTGGCCTCGGTGTAGTCGCTGTGGCGCTCGAGGAGCCCCGCGTACACCTTCTTGGCTTCGTCGGGCATGTCGGCGGCTTCGTAGGTGCGGCCGAGGTTGTAGCTGATTGTGGTGACGAGCGCGTCGGTGTCGAGGTCGCTGGATTTCTCCTGCGAGCGCACGCAGGCGCTGAGTGCCGCTTGGAATGTCGCCCGTGCGGCGTCTATCCGCTCGGACTGGTACAGGAAGCAGCCCATGTTGTTGAGCAGCTGCGGGGGGAGATTGGCGCGGAGGGCCGTCCGGAGCGCCTCGGCGTCGTCGTCTTCCACGCCCTCTGGGCGCTCGTCGTCGCCCATCTCCGCTAGCTGCATCTCCTCCAGCTGGGAGAGACACTGCATGCTCTTCTCGGGCGCGGTCTGCTCGTACAGACGCGCCAGGTACACCAGGACGGACTCGTCCGGCACGATCTTCTTCGCGTCGTCCTTCCACAGGCTGCGCACCGACTCCAGCAGGCCGATGGCCTTTTTGAGCTCGGCCGACTTGTCTTCCTTGGAGCCGCTGCGCTGGAGCGCGAACACCTCTTCCGCGTGGAGCGCTGCCAGCAGCAGCATACATTCTGGGTTCTTGGTCTGCTGGACGATCTTCTCCAGTCGGAACTTGGCTCCGTCCAGGTCCTTGTTCGACACTTGCATCTGCACCGCGCCGAACTTGGCCGGCAGGTATCCCTGGTCGCCGCCGCCGCGCGCCTGGTCGGACCGGTTGTAGTACTCCGCTGCGCGCGCCAGGTCGCCCTCGTAGTGTGCCTTGCGACCGAGCAGGTACCATCCGTCGCTGGCGATCTGCATGACGTCGGTGTGTTCGATCGACTTGCGCGCGAGCGTCTCGACGGTCGCGTAGGACTTGCGCAGGAGGAAGTACCCTCCGAATAAGGCGCAGGTCATGGGGTATTCCTTGTCTAGCTTGAAGGCCTTTTGCGTGTACTGCGTCATGGCTACCTTGTACAGGGAACCGAAGGACGGGTCGGTGGTGGCGTGGCGTGAGCTGTCGTAGAGGTAGTAGACTGCAAGGAGGATGTTGGCGACCTTGGAATCGGGGTTCTATCGAGATCAATCATTAGCTTCGTGATCAACCATCGTAGACGAGGGTAGACTCACCAACGCCAGTGCTCGCTCCCAGGCAACCTTGGCCTGATCTTTGAAGCCCAGCTGCCACAGACAGCACCCAATCCCGATCCGCGGGTCCGGGTCCGTCAACCCCGGCATCTTCACCAACGCCCTCTGGTAGCCCTCGAGCGCCTCCGCATACCTCCCCAGCATGTAATGTGTTCTCGCGCGACCCAGGATCGCCATCACGTTGCGGCCCCCGAAGGCCCGGGAGGACTCATCGAAGCATTTGAGCGCCTGTCGCAGGCACTCGACGCGCTCGGAGGTATCCACGGTGCCCGGGCGGACGGGCCTCGGGGGGTGCAGCGAGGCGCGCAGGAGGGAGAGCACACCACGGGCCAGGAACAGGGGCGGGAAGGCCGGGTTCAACCGGGAGGCCTCGTTCAGCGTGGACGTGGCCTGCTGCAGGTAGTAGTCTTTCGTCTTCGCCTCGGTGTACAGTTCGCCCTCGGACGCGACGCGCGGCGCCTGGCGACTCTTCAGCATCAACAGCCAGCAGACCCAGCCCAGCAGGCCGAGCTTTTCCTTGGTGGCGCCATGGGCGACCGAGGCGAGGCCCTTGTTCAGGATGTCGATTGCGTGGTCGAGTTGCTTCTGCTTGGCGTAGGCCAGCGCGATGATCACCCAGAAATTCTTGGCGGCTTTCTCGTTCTCGAGCAAGGTGCAGAGTTCGGTGGGGTCATCGGGGAGACCTTCTAGACTGACCTCGACTTCGCTGTCGAGGGTGGAGGCGGGAATATCGATGGCGGAGGGAATGTCAGAGAAACGGAGGTTGGCCAAGGAGTTGGCCGGCGCGAGCGAATCCCCGTTGACACCATTGGCGAATCCATTCGATACGGATGCCATGTTTGGACAGGGATCCAATTCCGGTCGGAAGGATATTTAAATTGGAGACAGGAGGGGAAATGGGATGTTTCGTGAGGGGGGGAGGACAGGACAAGTTTTGCGGCGAAGCTTCAGCTCATATTCATCACCGAGGAGAAAGTCAATCGTAGGTGAGACTAGCGACTGCTGAGCATCCGAGCACGATCGGAGAGCCCTGAAGTTGCGCAGCAATTGCCGAAAGTGTAAAAAGAAGAAGGAAGAAAGAAAGAAACGAGAAAACAAGAGAGGTTGTTGGGAGGAGAAGATGGTTGATCCGATCGAGGATTCAGAAGATGCCCCGGAGGCCTGAGGCTCGGCCGCCCGTAATGGGGCTGGTGCTCACCGCCACACTGTGGCTTGCCATACTTTAATAGTCTTGAGAATACAGTACAATATACTACTACTAGATATCAAGTCAATACTATCTAAAAATCATTCAATAACCAATTCTATCATCGATTAACACTGGCTCCAAAATCCGGTCAAACCCAATCCAACGAAGGAAGCTGTCTATCTAGTTGCATTGCCCATCATTATCGTCATCTGCGCGCACTCATCCCATCATGGACCACCTACACCGGTCGATCGCAAAGTCATTCCCCGGCGGCTCACCGTGCCAACACCTTTGGTAACTTGCACAGACAAGCCGCCATCGTCACCACCATGAAAATCCGAGCGAGTTCGCTCCAGTGGCCGAGTCGCACATGGGCCTCGACGAATCCATCGGACGCGACGGCCTTTTGCTTCGCGGACCCGGATCCGGCCTCGATGGTGCCCGCCAGCTCAGTCGGGAACCGCCCTGTTTCAAAGTATTGGTCCATCAAGAGGTCCTTCTCGGCCCATCGCTCCCGCAGCCAGGTATCGAATTCTGCCTGGTCCTCCAGCGGGATATCCGACACGGCGAACCGTCGCCAATACATGTTGACCGACGTCGGAGGTCTCCCCTGGCCATAGGTGGAGCGCAGGGTGAAATATTTATCAGGAAGGCTCCCTTTCCTATTGTCCAGTCACTCCGTCAGCTTCTCCTGGGCTTTGCCATGTGTTTTTATTGGGGGGGTGGAGAGAGGAAGAAACGGGAGGGCTTACGGTGGGCCTTCGTAGGCGACAGTGCAGTCATACACCCAGTCCACCGTCCCGCGTAATTGCTGCAAACAAAAGAAGAGACCGGTGGATCGGGGGAGCAGCACGTGCTCCGGGGTCGGGTACCCCTGTTTCTGGGCGTAAGCGGCACTCCGCTGTTTGGTGTTGGGCGACAGGTTCGTCCCCTCAGGGAAGATCAGCAGCCACATGGGGTCGTAGTCGGGAGAATCGGACTTGGAGCCGGAGTGGCGCGCTTTCAGCTTCTCCAGGCGATGCTCGAGCCGGGGCTTGTCGGAGATCCACTTGCGGGCCATGAAGATGAATCCGTAGAACATCATCCCCTGACCCACGATGGGGATGTACTTGAGGGATTCCTTGAGGATGATAAAGATGCGGCCATGCATCGCATTCGTGTAAGCGACCCACCAGAGGTAGATCCAGTCGGTATACACTTGGTGGTTGGCGATCATCACCAGACGCTCCGGGAACTGGGTCTTCAGCTGTCCATCGACCAGCTGGATTTGTCCTCGCACGCTGTGATCCCCACTGACACGGACATAAGTCGGACACCCCCACTGGGTGAGGGCGGTGATGACCAGTCCAAAGGATTGTTTGGTCGAGGCCATGTACGAGTAATACCAGCGTTTGTTGAGCAGGTACAGCGGGGCGCCGACCAGCTGGGTCGCGAAGATGACGAAGCAGCAGCAGTTGAACCAGGCTCCCAGGAGCAGCGACCGGACGACCTGCATGGGGATGCCATGTTTTAGCCGGGGTTCTTCATCTTTTCGAACTGCGTGGGAGGTTGTCTCGGGGGCCTCTTGTTTTCGGTGTCGGAGCTCGGAACCGTCCATGGTTGTATCGTTTATTCTAGTTGTGTTCTTTCTTGTGCTAGGCTATTTCCTCGAGAACATGGAAACTTCACGGACCGAACCCGTTAGTGGACGAACTCCTTCTCTTTAGACCAGGGTCACGACGTACAAAGAAAAGCGGTGTCTTTTGCCGCTGACGGCACCCCGGGGAGGATATAGAATCCGTCGGAGTAGATAGAGAGTCGGTCGTAGTCGTTTCTTGACGCCAACAGATGTAGCCAAAAAAAAAAAAAAAAAAACTCAAAGGGTCAAAGACGAAAGAGAAGAATCATTTCGAAAGAGAAGAGTCAGAGGAGTTCAGGTGGATCAAGAGTTGCCTGTGGATTTGTTGGCTGAGAGAACAAACGAATGGATCTCGTGATCCCGATCGGAGCATGACGTTTCTGCCGCAGCCTCGGCCTTTATCCTCAAGGCGGTCAGCAGCCGATCTTCTCATCTTCCTCTCTGCATCTTTCCTGTCAATCAATGGTGGGAAACTGTCGAGTGACTAACTGACTGAGTCTGACTAGTCAATCAGATCTCAATCAAAAAATGCAGTCCCTCCATCAAAGGACCTTCTGACATGTTCCACAAGTCCTGGACTAAGGACGCCATACAGAAAGTGGGTCCAGGCTGGATCAGGTATGGCAGGACGACCCGTGGGTCAGGTTGATTGGGATAGATTATCTTACTGCAATCGGTATGAGACCATTTTCAATTACTATATTAAAGTTGGTTTGTTCGATTATATTAAGGTCTGTTCATCAGTGCCATGGCTGAGTCATGTACAAAGGAAAGAGCGCCACCGCGAGGGTGGATGATATGATGCTCAACCACGTTGACCCATTCAGCCATAGTGTGGAATGTGGAGTTTCTCTTGTCTCCTTCCCCTCTCGAACGGGGGGTCTACATCAATCGAACTGTGCGTGTCGTCCCCTCGAACCGCGTGGATGGAGAGACGACGGATCGATCGTGACTCTGATCCTTCTGCCAGGGTGAGACACTGAGACAGAACAGACACCACTGCTACGTGGGACGGAGAATCCGCCTGGAACGACAGACCGAATCAGGCTGACCGTCCAGGGCTCGATCTGACTAATGGATGAAATTCTAGTCTGGATCAAACCAATGGAAGACAAGTCTCAACGTCTCAAACCGAAAAAAGGAAAACAAACAGTAAATCAATCAAATCAATCCCGTTCGAGAATAGAGTGACAATGAACGAAGAGAGAAAGAGAGGATGAATGAATGAAAGGAAGGGAATTCAGTAAGATCGAAGGATGGGGATCCCCCTTGAAGGAGTGAAACCTTCTTGTTTGGACCTTCAACCTCCCTGTCACTCTTTCTTTCTCCCTCTTAATTAACGGTTGGGACTTTACCACTGCCTACTTTCCTCCCCCTCTCCTCTTCTCTCTCCTCTCCCTCTCTCCCTTTCTTGGCTCCTTCTTTCCCGCCTTTTCTTTCTCCCCTTTTTCTCTTCTTCCTCCCATCCCCCCCTCTTTCTCCAGTCTTCTTTCCTTTCTCTCTCTCTCTCTACCAATTGATCGATTCAATTGAGAGATTGTTGAATGCTCAATCCTGCAGGTCAGTGGTGACTTGGACTTGGATCACTGTGGTCTCTCGTCGCGTTATCGTCTGAATCAACGGGGAAATTGTGCATCTCCCGCCTGGAGCCTCCTCGCCCTTGCGAGGATTCTCTGGTTTCTCAACCTGCAGGTCGGAAGTCAGGTAAGATCGCATTTCCTTTCTTTAGAGCAACCGGAGCGGAACAGAAGCGAGACAAGAGAAGAAAGAGATGAAGGGTCTTCAGACAAGATTCTTGACTCAAGTCAAGTCAAATTACCCCACTGTCTCCGCGCGATCTATATGTCTCCCAAGACACCCGCACGGTTGGGTGTACACCACCGTCGGCCTAGTCCAGCTTGCAGGATTTCCCTCTCTCTCTCTCTCCCTTCCCATTCATTATTATGCGGGGGAAGGGTTGTTCATTGATCTTCCCTTTCTGTGCCTTTTTCCTTTAACAGTAAAACCCAGAATTCTAACAGCCAAGCAGTCAATCATTCACCCCGTTACCCCTCCGCGCCCTCGAACAAACACCCCACACCCACCCCCTGAATTCTTGTGTGTCCCTCCTATTGGCCTTGCTTGCGCTCCAGTGCAGAAGGGTCTTATGGAAAGTAAGTGGGCCATTTCTTAGGTCGTTCACTCCCGATCAGACCTGTTTCAATCCAACTTTTTTCTGTTCTTTTTTGAGGGGCGACTCTTCATCTTTTTTGTTTGCTTTTTTTTTTTTGTCTTGTCTTGTGGTGGTTCTGGTTCCACGTAGTCTTGCATTCCGCGTGTATATCCCTCCATGTTCCTAAACAGTCCTCCCTTCGCAGGATGTATTCCCCCAATCAGTTCATGAACCCTGGGCCAGCCCCTCGCCCGCCCGCCGAACGTCCCAAGCTCAACCTGGCCCCGAACCCCTCCAGTGCCGCCACCTCGTTCAGCCAAATGAGTCTCAACTCACCCTCGACCCCGGGGTCCGCGAACCTGTCCCTGTTCCCCAATACCAGCTCCCCCTCGCTCGCTCAGGTCAAAACCAACCAGTCCGGCCAGGGCAGCCTCTCAATCGTCAAGGAGGGCTTCGTCCGGTGCAAGGAAGACAAGTTCCTCGCCACGTGGAACCAGCGATTTCTGACCCTGCGCGAATTCCGCCTGGATTTTTCCAAAAATGAGACCGGCAAGGTCGTTCTCTCCATCCCGCTCTCCACCGTCACCAGCGTTTCGCGGTCGGAAGATACCCGCATGGCGTTCGAGATCATCCGCTTGGCCAATCCCAAAGACGCCGGGGCCAAGGCCGCCGTCCTGTCCCGCGATGTGCCCACCAAGAGCATCACCTGTGAGGTCAAGACCGACGACGAGATCTATGACTGGATCGACAAGATCTACGAGCGCTGCCCGGGCATGGGCGGCGTGAGTAACCCGACCAACTTCAGCCATCGCGTCCATGTCGGCTTCGACCCGCACACGGGAGCCTTCGTGGGCCTGCCGCCCGAGTGGGAGAAGCTCCTGACCTCGTCGGCCATCACCAAGGAGGACTACAAGAAGAACCCCCAGGCCGTCATCGAGGTCCTCGAGTTCTACTCCGACATCAAGATGCGCGAACAGAACCCCGAGTACTACTCGGGCATGTCCTCCGGCCCGCAGCAGTCGAAGCCCTTCGGCAACAATGGCTCCGTGGGCAGCTCCATCGCCCCGCCGCGACCCCCGCCGCCAGGCCCCGCCCAGCGCCTGGACACTGGCATGCCAGGTCGGGGACTCAACTCCTCCCCCGTCAACCCCCACGGCAGGGCCGACGCGGATCGCTCGGTGGCGGAGCAGCAGCAACAGCAGCAGCTGGAGCGCATGAAGGAGATGGCGGAGCAGGAGCGTCGCCGCGTGGAGGATGACGGCCGACGCGCCCGTCAGCGGGAGGAGGAATACGAGCGCATGGAGCAGGAGGCCTACAACGCCTCGCTCCCCAAGTCCCGCGCCCCCACGGCCAAGCAGGAACTAGGCGGCTATAGCCCGGAGCCGTCCATGAATGACCGCTACAAGCCCAGCCGCCCCGCCCCTCCGGCGCCGGGCGCCGGACGGGGCCCGCAGGAGCGCCAGTTGACCGCCCAGCGCCCCGCGCCGTCCGCGCCGACGGCCTCGAACGGACGGGCGCCCGACCAGTCCGCCCCAGGCTCCCGCTACGCGCCGCCGCATGAGCCCCGCTCCCCGTACGCGCCCCGCGCGCCCCCGAACCACGGCCCCAAGCAGCATGCGCAGGGCCCGCCCCCGTCCAAGCTGCCGGCCCCCGTCCAGCCGGTCAAACCCCTGAACATCGCCAACAAGCAGGGTGCCCCCAAGCCGGGCGTCTCCGATGGCGTCCGCCAGGCCGAGGCCGCCTTGACGAAGAAGGCGGAACAACCCCACAAGAAGGAGGTTCGCATGTCGGCCATGTCCGAGAACGAGGTGATGGACCGATTGCGGTCCGTCGTGTCCAAGGACAACCCCAACGAATCCTACAGCAAGCAGCGGAAGATCGGACAAGGTGCCTCCGGGTCCGTGTACGTGGCCCGGGTCAAGGAGCATGCCACCTCACCGGTTGCCCATGAACTGTACCGGCAGTACGGGCCCCGGTGCCAGGTGGCCATCAAGCAGATGGATCTGCGCAGCCAGCCGCGGAAGGAGCTGATCGTGAACGAGATCATCGTCATGAAGGACAGCCAGCACGCCAACATCGTCAACTTCCTGGACTCATTCCTCCAGGAGTCGAGCAACGAGCTCTGGGTGGTCATGGAATTCATGGAGGGCGGTGCGCTCACGGACGTGATTGACAATAACCCGGTGATCCAGGAGGATCAGATCGCCACCATCTGTGTTGAGGTGCGTGTTTAACAACCCCCCCCCACTAATACCTCAACAAGATCATACTGACCACCGCAGACCTGCAAAGGATTGGCCCACCTCCATAGTCAGAACATTATCCATCGTGATATCAAGAGTGACAATGTCCTCTTGGACCGAGCGGGACACGTGAAGATCAGTACGTTGTTTCTTTTTCTTTCTTTGTTATTGACCATGTCGATACGATCGATCCTATGGCATTTTGACTGACCACCCATCTGTAGCCGATTTCGGGTTCTGTGCCAAACTAACCGAGTCGAAAAACAAACGCGCCACCATGGTGGGTACGCCATACTGGATGGCTCCCGAGGTCGTGAAGCAGAAAGAGTATGGCCCCAAGGTCGACTGCTGGTCCTTAGGTATCATGGCCATCGAGATGATCGAGTCCGAACCGCCGTACCTGAACGAAGAGCCGCTCAAGGCGTTGTACCTCATCGCCACCAACGGGACGCCCCGGTTGAAGAAGCCCGAGAAACTGAGCAAGGAGCTCAAGTCCTTCCTGAGTGTCTGTCTCTGTGTCGACGTCCGCAGCCGAGCCACGGCCGACGAGTTGCTGGCGCATGAGTTCCTCCGGTCGGGATGCAGCCTTGCAAGCCTGGCCGAACTGCTCCGCTGGAAGAAGAACAGTCAATGATCTCGATGATCTAATATTTGCTTTTCCGCGTTGTTCTTCTATCGGACAGTCAATTTTCCCTCCCCCTGCACGATTTACACCAGATCTGGCCTTACGCACATATGGGTACCATTTACGCCGCCTCCGGTTGATTTTGCTATTCCTGACGACCTGCATTGATTGCACTTCGATTTTTCACTCGTATGATATCCAACCCAAAACAGCTTCGTCGGCAGACTTGGCGTGGATGATTGGGCGTTTTTTTGTTTTTTCCCCCTCTTCTTGGGAGTTCGTTCCCACTTGGTTCGTTTTGATGATCTCTGATACTCCTGATCTGATTCATGGCGTGGCTATGCTCTTCTTCTCTTGTTCACCTTTTTTTTTTTTTTTTTTCTTCTTCACTTCTTCACCCTTTTTTTCCCATCTGGCCACCGACCCGGGCTGATGGCTCCACGATGCGGTCGACCCAGGGGTCCTGGATGTACATGTCCTAAGGACAGGACCGCGAGGAACAACTAGTATGTACGGATTGGGGGACAGACTCCAGGGTTATGAGTTCTCGGTGGGATCACATAATTTGTTTATAGCAAGCGACTCTATCAGAGAAATAAATTATAGACCACTAATTACCATGCATGTTTACCCTTGACTCATTGGGTTGTGTTCCAGATAGAAAGTAATTAGATGAGTAGGCTTCTAAGATATCATTGTCAATAACGTACATGGATTCGTTTAGAACACCAGGGAGAGAAAGGAGGTGATAGAACAGCAAATAAAGACACCATTCTCCAGGCTTCTCTTTGTTTTTTTTTTTTTTTTTCTTTTTCCTTCCTGCTCTGGTGTTTGTATGATTCCACACCTGGTGATTGATTGATTGATTGATTGATCAGGTAGAATCAGAGAGAGCAATGGTTTAACCCGCTCAGTGCAGTCCTAGTGTGAGATACTTATGTATATCCATCGATCAAACAATAATCAACCAACCAACCAGACCAGTTCAAACCAGCTCATACCCGACAAAAACAAGGAACCAAACCAATAAATAGAGAAACAAAGTAAAATAATTAATAAAGGAAATACATGTAAAGTCATTATCAAACCCGCGCCTCCGCCGCGCAGACCTCCCCGAACAGCACATCACCCTGCAACAGAGCATCTATGCTCTCATTCTCATCATCCGTGTCTTTACTGTCTGCTTCTGTTGGAGAAGAAGAAAAAGAAGACGACGACGACAAAAGTCCCCCGTCAACCAGTTGCTTCTTCCAGACGGATTGGTCTTGGGCGGAGAGGTCGGACCAGAGGTGCTTGATTTGGTCGGGTGGGGCTCGGGAGGGGACGAGGTAGAGGAGGTCGATGAGAAGGTTGTTGGTTTCGGGGTTGCAGGTTATGGAGAGGAGGGGTTTGGTTTGATCTTGATCTTCTTGTTGCTCTTGTTGTTGTTGTTGTTGTTGTTGTTGTTGTTGTTGTTGGTGCTCGCGGGCTTGGAGGATGATGTTTTGGAGCGGGGAGGAGGAAGAGGAGGAGTTGAGGTTTAGGGTTGGGATTGCTGGTGGGGGAGAAGAAGAAGAAGATGACGATGGTGAAGATGAAGAGTCATCCGAACTACGTCGCAGCGAAGTCGACGAGTAAGTCTTGTAAGGGATGACGACAGCGTCGTAAATATCCGGCGGGAGATAGTCCGCGACGCCCAAATGAGGAGGCAGGGCGCCACGGATCTCGCCAAAGGCCTGGACGAGGAAGCAGACGATGAGGATGGAGAGGAGGGCGGTGGAGGCGCCTGCGAAGCTGGACCAGACGCTGGACTCGCCGGGGATGGAGAGCACGTAGCGCGGGGTGCGGCTGGATGCTGGGACGGGGGCCAGCGGGAAGGTGTGCACGACGACGGTGTTGCCCATGCTGACGGAGGCTAGCTTGACGGACTGTGGGGGCGTCTCGGGGGAGATGGGGTGGGCGGGCGGCGTGAAGTGCGAGAAGCAGGTTTTTGTCACGGAGAAGGGGTGCACGTCGCGGAGGGTGGTGTAGACGCGGAACTTGTCGAACCCGCTGGTTTGGCGCCAGCTGCGAGGGTCTGACTCGAGCGTGATGACTTCGATAGACTGGTCGCTGCCGGTTACGGCGACGATCGTCTGCTGCCGGTTGTCGAGGTCTTTGCCGAGGGTGCAGACGTCCATGCCTAGGCCGATCTTCATCGTGCTGCGGAGCTTCTTGCGTCGGACGATGGTGGCTGCCGCGGTGGGGGGTTTGGGGTCCTTGCTGTTCGGTGTCGCGGCTGGTCCCAGGTCGAGCAGGATGAGCTCGCAGCCGGTGCGGTCGGGGGAGTTCTGGAGCAGCAGCAGCGCAGTCGGCGACAGGAAGCGCAGAGCGCGGAACTTGGGCCTGCTGCGGGCGGCGGCTCCTTCGGGGCGAGGGATCGTGTACACGGTCTGCACATCGGGGGCAGCGTTCGACCGGGTATTGGAGGAGATGCGACAGAGGGACACGTCGCGCCCGTTGGTGTATGCCACCAGGAACCGGCCCGGCTGCTCCTCCGACTCGATGATATCCACGTCCTCGGCCTCCTCGTCGTTGTCCAGACGGATGCGCCCGATCACGTCCGCGGAGGCGGGGGTCGAGGACGAGGCGTCGAAGAAGACAATCTCACCCGATGGCGCGAGGCCCGTCGCGATCGCCGCGACCCGGGGCGACTCGGTCCCCTTCCACGGCGACAGCCGTGTTATCCGCTGGTAGGTGTCGCCGTTGCCGCCGGACTTGGTAGTTCGGAAGAGGGACTCGCGGGAGAGAGGCGTCGTCGTACCAGCAGGCTTTTCCCGCGCAGGGGACTTCTTCTTCTTCTTTTTCTTCTCCGGGGACTCGGCCAGGGCCGATTTCCGAGGGGGATAGTCGATCTTGAACGATCGCAGGTGCTGATTGTTGCCGCGCTTCTGTTCAACGACGGAGCTGTTGATGCCGGCCAGGGCGACGAGGGAGTCGTCGGCTGCATGCGCCACGGCCAGCGAGGTCACCGAGTCCTCATCGCGCGACAATTCGATATCGACGATTTCGGAGATTTCGTTACGTTTGGAGGTGTTGAGGAGGGCCTGTGGGGATGACGTGCGTGCCGTGTCAGCTTACGGATGTTTTTTTTTTTTCCATTTGTCTGGTTTTTTTTTTCTGGCTTTATTTTCGTTTCTTCTTGCTAAGTAGCCATGTATAAAGAAAGAAAGTCACGTACAATTTTGTTACCCACCCCACTGCGCCCTTCGCCGCCTCCGCCAGCAACCAGGAGGAAACCCGGATTGCGCGGGTCGAAGTCGGCGGCGAAGAGGGGACACGAGAGCGTCAGCTTGGACGAGGGAACGCGGGGAGCCATAGTGGAGAGGGCGCGCGAAGCATCCACCAGAGGGGGCGAGAGGATGAAGAGGGTTCAATCAAGAGGAGGAGAGGTGGGGAAGAGAACAGATCGTCGGAGAAGGCGGACGATGAAGGTGGTTATTAGTGAATTGAGAGGACAACTGGAGATTCCGTCTTTCCGCCCCGGATTTCTTGGCGTCGACTCTTACATTATACACGGCAGTCGATGGGGAATTAAGGATTGCGAATTGCTTTTTATACACCTGCCCCCAAAATCATATTTATAGCTGGGGAATAATCTGAACGTCTAGGGAATAACTATCTTCGGACCATCTCTATCCCCATCTAATCGACCTCCTGTCCCGTGAACTCGGGCAGGCGCTGGCGGATATCCTCCCATGTCTCGTCGCCGTCCACGAGCGACTTGATGGCCTGGGTGATCTCATCCTCGCTAGCACGGACTTGCTTCGTCGAGTCGCGGTCGCGCAGAGTATACGAGTTGTCCTTGACCGACTGGAAGTCGACCGTGACGCCGAAGGGCGTGCCCAGCTCGTCGTTACGGGAGTACCGCTTGCCGATACTGGCCGACGAGTCATCCACGCGGTTCGACACACCCATGCGACGCAGCTTCGTCATCAGGCGCTGCAACAGCGGGCGGAAAGAGGCGTGCGAAGACAGGGGAACGATCAGCACCTTGGTGGGCGCGATCACGGGGGGGAAGGACAGAACCTAGAAAGATGATCGATTAGTCTCACGGACCGGACAGAGACGCAGACAGGGTACTTACTCCACGAGCCTCATCTCCCTCACGGGACCAGTAGGCGTGCTCCATCAAGCTGTACAGGATACGGCCGATACCGAAGGACGGCTCGATCACGTTGGGAGTGTACTCGCGCACGTTCTCGACGCGGGTGCGCTTCTCGATCTTGATGAGCTCCTTGTCCAGCTCGACCTTGCCGGAGCCGACACCCTCGACGTCCACCTCGATCTTGCCCTGCTGGTCCAGATCCAGGGCCAGCTTCTCCCGGAACTCCTGGGACAGCGCCTCGACGGCGGCGGCGACGGTCTTGCCGTCCTTCTTGAACCGGGGGCCGAACTTCTTCTTGTCCAGATCGACCTGCCACTCCTCGACCTTGAGGGGCTCGGCGCGGGGCTCGCGCACGACCAGCGGGGCGCCGGTCTTGTTCTTGTGCACCGTCAGGTCGTAGGCGCTGCGGTCGGCGCAGCCCACGCACTCGATCCAGCCGTAGCTGGTGTGCAGCTCGGCGTCCCAGCAGTCGGCCGCGTAGTGCGCCATCTCGTTGGCCATGTGCTGGCGGAACCGCAGGCGGTTGGGGTCCACGCCGAGCTTGAGCAGGAACAGCTGGATGCGGGCGATGAAGTAACCCAGGGTCTCGTTGTCGACCAGACCAGTCTCGACAGCCTTGCCGATGGTCATCTTGGTGACCTGGGTGCTGCCGGACAGCTGCACGTCGCGAGCCAGCAGGGACATCTCAATGTCCTTGATCTCCTCGAAGCGCGCGTGCTTCTTGCCGGCCTCGGGGTCGACGTAGTGCTCGATCTCGGCCATGAGGAACTCGCGCACACGCAGGAGACCCGCGCGCGGGGAAATCTCATTCCGGAACGACTTGCCAATCGAGGCGGACGCGAAGGGCATGGACTGCTGGTTGAAGTCCAGCAGCTTCTGGAAGTTCAGAAACTGGCCCTGGGCGGTCTCGGGCCGCAGGTAGCCCGCGAGGTTGCCGCTGGGGCCGATGCCGGTCTGGAACATCAGGTTGAAGGCGACGGGCGGCAGGACGTTGCCGTCGGTCTGGGGGTTGCGGATGTCGTACTTGGCGATGATCTGCTCCAGCTCGGGACCACCGTAGTTGTCGATCTGGGCCAGACACTCCTCGTACTCCTTAACGACGGCGTCATCCAGCTTGATGGCCTTGGTCTCCTTGGACTTCTTCTTCTTCTTGGCCTCCTTCTCCTCGTCCACCACGACCTTCTGGCCACGGGCCTCCTTGTCGCCCTTGAGGCGGTTCTCCAGCACCTCCTCCACCAGGTGGTCCGCGCGGAAGATCTCGCCGGTCTTGGGGTCCTTGCACATCCAATCGGCGAACTTCTCCACGTGGCCACTGGTGCGCAGGACCTCGTCGGGGGTCAACATGGTGCAGTCGACCTCCATCATGTCCTCCTCCAGCACGAAATGTTTCCGCCACAGGTCGACGATGTTGTTCTGGACGGCGCAACCGGGGGGACCGTAATCGTAGAGACCGGAGACACCGCCGTAGATCTCAAAGGCGGGGGTGTAGAAGAGTCGGCGACGGAGCATCGAGTCCAAGACCCCGCGGTCCACGACCTGACCGGTCTTGGTGGTGACGGTGGCCATGGTGGAATTCTTTTTCTTTTTGGAAACTTGAGCAGCAGCGAAAGCGGGCGAGACGGAGAAGGCACGGGAGGATCGAGCAGCAGTGGTGGTGGTGGAGGGGAAAGTGTTGACAGAGGGGGAAATGCGACAAGGATTTAAGTGAAGGCGGGGCACAAGAAAAGGAAATCGTCGCAGTAGAACCGAAACAGGCAATTGAGTCATCCACTCCCACGTGAGCGGCGAGACACCGCTAACCAAGGGCAAGAGAAGGGTTATAATACAGTATGATACAGAGATAGAAGAGAGGGGAGGGCACTCAAGACCGAGAGATGACTATAAAGACATGTAGAAGAGCAGACCAGAGCAATTGACCCAATTGAAGAGGAAGAAGAGGAATGATCGTGTTGATTGAACTGATGTTGGTTGATTGATGCTCTGCTCGACTCAGGAACAATCCGGAGATTCCTAACTTTTCAGGCTGTCACCGGCCAAACGTTCCCCCGCCCGCCGCTTTTTTTTTTTTTTACTTTAATTTTGTATACTGATCACCACCAATACTAAGATCATATATTGACATTCCACCCACACATTCACAATGGGCTCTAGAAAAACCGTGCGCAGACCGCCCACCAGCGTCGAATCCGACATCAAACCCGGCAACAAACTCCGCCGCAAGGCCCTGCACATCAAACGCAAGAAGAACAAGGACGTCACGCGGCGCGAGGCCCGATATGCAGTCAAGAAGGAGGAATCCAAGAACCCCCGGCTGCGGGAGGAGCGTCTACGGCGGAATATCCCGCTGACGCTGGACCGGAAGCGTGTGTGGGATGACGGCGCCGGCAGCGACGCCGAGGGCGACGGACTCGGACTGAGCGTTGACGTGGAGCGCATCAAGCGACAGAAGCAGGAGGAGGAGGACGAGCTGAACCGCCCGCTGAAGAAGGGCGAGCAGTCGGATGAGTCGGAGGATAGCGACGATGATGATGACAACGACAGTATGTTGGCGAGTGACGACGACGAGGACGAAGAGGGAGAGGGGAGCGACGAGGACAACGACCGCGGCCGCTCGAAGCAGCCAAGGAAGTCAACCCTGCGGTCCGCCACAGAGCGCGCCACAAGCCCCTCGCAATCAACACGGAGCACAAACCTGAGCCTCGCGCCCGAAGCCCTCGCCGCCAAATTCCCGACCCTCTTCAACGGCGAGACGCCCACGACGCCCAAGATCCTCGTCACGACCGGCCGCCACGGAACCCTCCACGACGAAGCCCAGACCCTCACCGGCCTCTTCCCCAACAGCACGTACATCAAGCGCAGCGCGCACCGGTTCTCGTACGAGTTCTCCATCCGGGAGATCGCCAAGTTCGCCACAAACCGCAACTACACCGCGCTGGCCGTGCTGCAAGAGGACCAGAAGCGGCCGTCCGCGCTGGAAATCATCCACCTGCCGCAGGGCCCCTCCTTCCACTTCACCATCAGCAACTGGATCGCGGCGAAGAAGATCCCCGGGCACGGAAACCCCACGGAGCACTGGCCGGAGCTGATCCTCAACAACTTCCGCACGCCGCTGGGTCTGCTGACGGCCCATCTCTTCCGCTCGCTGTTCCCGCCGCAGCCCGACATCGAGGGCCGCCAGGTCGTCACGCTGCACAACCAGCGCGATTACATCTTCGTGCGCCGCCATCGCTACATCTTCCGCGAGAAGCGCGAGACCGAGAAGGCTGTCGTCGGCGCCGACGGCAAGGAGATGAAGGGCGCGGAGAACCTCAAGGCCGGTTTGCAGGAGCTGGGACCGCGCTTTACGCTGAAGCTGCGCCGGGTCGATAAGGGGATCCAGCGGGGGAGTGGGCAGGAGTGGGAGTGGAAGGGAGGGATGGAGAAGAAGCGTACATTGTTCCAACTGTGATACCTTTTCTTTACTTTATTTCATATATCTACACTGTCTTTTTGCACTGTCATATAGGGTTCTGGGCGGAGTTTGGTTCTCCAATAAAAGAATTGCTGTCTTATCACATGCTATCCATCTTTCGCACATATCTGGATCGGCCAGTTCTTGATCATTGACGCTTTTGAATACCTATTTGCTATAGGCCCATGATCTAGCTCTTCTTGCAACACACCAAGTCAACCATCTTAGTTCCGAATATAGTGTACGGTGTAAATGTATTACATTCGAAACAGAAACATAATATATATATCGTCATATCATAATCATCTCAATCAAACGTCGGTCCCAATGCTGTGTGGATACCGCTCTTCCCCCAACCAGTGGATTGACTTGCCTTGCAAGTACCCCGAGCGCATCAGTTGCACCCATAGCTGTCAAGCTAATCCTGCCCAGCAGACTGCATCAACCGCTGCATCACCTCATTCTTCCTCCGCTCCTTAGCCTGTTTGCGCGCAGACGGCTTCCTCGCAGTAACGATGTGGACGCGGGTGGTCACGCGGTGGGCGGTCATGAGCTCGTCTCTGACCTTCGCGCAGAGGTCGCGGACCGCGTCGGCCGTCCACTTCTTCGTGGCGGTCAACTGGCGCAGACTGTAGGCCTCGAGGCCCTCCATCACTGCGATGAGGGCCATCTTGCCTAGGGTTTTCTCGCGGGGATCGTCGGGCCACAGGCCGATGGGGATCGTCCGCTCTTGGACCCGGACGTCCGCGAATCCGGCTGCGGTGAGGGCGCTGGACCGTAGGTGGCTGAGGTCGCGGCGGTAGCCGGATGCCTCGGCTGCGGATCGCATGGCGGAGGCGAAGATGCGGAGGTAGGAGTCTCCTGAGTGGGGGAAGTTCAGGGTGTCTGCGGCGGGGTCGGCGTCGGCGATTTCGATGTATCCTCCTGGTCCCAGGTGTCGGAAGGCTTGTTGGTAGACGGATTGCCAGTTGGCGAATGCACCGGATAGTCCGCGGAGGTGGATCAGGTCGAATGGCTCGTGGTATGTCCATTCACCCTGGGCGTCGTCGAGCTGGAAGAAGATATTGGGGACGTCAACATTGCCCAGGCCGTTATCGAAGACGCCGATATCCGAGGCGATGATGGTGGCGCTGGGGTGCATGCTGCTCATCTCGATGGCCCAGTCGCCGGTCCCGGTCCCGATGTCCAGTATACGAGGCGCATGCTTCACGAGGGGCACCGTGGTCAATTTGCCGTCTAGCAGGATCAGATAGATCTGGTGTACAATGTTCAAGCGCGTCTGTTCGGTCTCGTCGTTGGGCATGAAGTAGGTTTCGTTACAATATCGGCGGTCGTTTTCGATGACGAACTCGATACTCTGCGCCTCGAAAGATTTTGTAGATTTTCTGAGGCCATTAGCTACTGAAGTCTACTCAAGCAATGGATACTTGGGCACTAACCCTGAGACGTCTTCATCAGAGTCCGAGTCCGGCTCGGAGGTGACGTCGTTCGCCCACGACTGCTCGTCGGTCTTCATACGGTTGTTCACTTCCAGTGTCGGGACGAAACTCCGGTTCGGTAGCTGGATAGATGTCTCCTCCATGACATGACGAAATCGGGGAATGAGGTGGGAAAGCGTGGGAAACCCCGCGCATGTAGATCAATGAGATCACAGTCCCAGGACGGCCCGGCGTGAATGGCCGGGGGCTCGTTCACGCCTGCAACGCGAAGGGTTCGATCACACGGCACGGGGGTGGAAGACAGACGTCACGGATAGGTGCTGCGGTGATTGGATCTTGCAGTGAAAACGAAGGGGCGAAGGATCGCGGCTCTCTCCAAAAGACAAGAAGATTCTCAATGATTATACAGTTAGCGATTTGGCCGTCAGGGCAGAGCCTGTGGTTCGTAGGGCGATAGGTGGATTGAAAGTCGAGGGGAAGCAGGCGGTGGTGTTGAAATGAAGCCGGTCTCTATAACACTGGCTTCATGCACTGCATGTAGCTACCGTATTCATGTGAAAGGTAGAATGTGTCTATGGATGGAGGGGGTTCGGGGCGGAGATTTGAGGGGAAGGTCAGGGTAGTTTGGGGAGAGGGAGAATAAAAAGGGCAGGAGAGCGACAAGGTGATTATAATAGAATTGACCAGGGGAAAAATAAGATTAAATTGGACTCTAGTCTTCCAGCAACGGAAGAAACGCGTATGGTCAGAGCAAAGACTGTTGGGAATTAGGGAGTCGCATCTAGCGTCTGGAAGCAGCAATTAGTGTGTATGGTCGGATCAGTTCAAACTCAAATGGGGAAAACCTGTTTATTTTTTATTCATTTTTTCTTACTCTCATCTGACTTCAGTTTTAAAATTCGTTTTTAGCCCAAGCCGGGGCCGACAACCTAGAAGGCTAGAAGCAACAATGCTCTCTCAGGCTTGAAGGCTTGCGCCTGATGGACCGAGGACCAACTGATGGATGAATCCCTCAAGCTCCTTGGACCCATAAGAGTGGTAGGATGTTCGGGACAGCGCACTGGTACCACATCCAGCACAATGGCGGACCCAGTCTGGAGGGACCGTTCTGCGATCGTCCGGCCCATTTGTCAATCGGGGACTGATTGTGGACTGAAGTGTGGATAGACAGACCAAGTCTAGGGACGGACGAGACGGACCGTAATCGAACAGACCCGCGAAACAACCGGCCGGTCTAACAAGGAGGAGCTGACAGATTGCCATTATTCCATTATCCCTAGACTTGCGTTTTCCTTTCTTTGACTTCATTTTTATTCTGACCTTTTGTTTCTCTCCCGATTCCCGTAGAAAACCTACCGTCATACTCCGTACACCGTATTCCAAACCCGTATAAGCGTTCCGTCTCAGAAAAGGCAAAAGTAACCAGAGAGCGAACCCCGGTCCTTGGGACAGGGTAACACTGGGATTTTCGCCGACCGGGCTGCAAACCAGCAGGGCGGCGCAGACTAGACCAGGTCGTGGGAAGAAATCCCGGTCGATGATAGGCTAGGGGAAACTAGGCGTCATTAGCGTGGCGTCGTGGCATGAGGACCGGAAACTCACTCGTGCAGTTTCCGCGCAACCGGGATGGGGAGGGGGGACACTTTCCCAGAGGAGTATGGAGCTGCAGGCGGCTGCATGTCGAGTTGGCGATGGATACGGGGGGTGAGAATGGCGTTCATGCGCTGTTTCAGTTGCACACGTCGGTCGGTACCATTATTTATACTGTCCCCCGTCCATGGTTTAAAATGGATGTTTCGTTAAGATCGTACAGGGGACGCAGACGACGGGCTGGAATACAAGATATCGTGAACTCCACTGTCGATAAGATTGGAAGTCGGGGAGAGAGTCGGGGAGGACACGATGGAGACGCAGAGGGAATGAATGGCCCATGAGAGAAATGAAAAATGGAGATCGTGCATATCACACTATCCCAACCTCGACAAGTCCCCGGCGGGAATCGGTTATATCCTCACCACTCCATGCCTTTTACAAAGACTGCTATTCAAGTCATCTGTCTTCGTTGATCAGGGTCTGGATCCACGCGAGTCAATTAAAATGACCCTTGAACCGAGGGTCTCCGAGTCAACAGTCGACGGCCCCGCCATTATCGACGATCTCCCGCTTCCTGGACAGTAAACTCCGTACAAACCACGATAGATGATACGGATTGTTCACCCTCCAGCCTGAAACAGGGGACCTAGGCGATCTAAGCGAGGTGGCCTTCTGGTCCATCCTGCATCCAGGTTGCCGGGATGCTCGGCCGATGCACGAATCATGAAACAGGCTCCATAGCCTGTCGCCCACCGTCGAGTCATGCACGGTCCTGGTTTGTTCAATCAGAATAGTCACCGATACTGAGCAATTTCGCCACTGGTTAAGGTATCATGCCATTCCGACGAACTCAATCCAGTAGAGAATGACACGATGTGCCGGGTGGTTGGCTGAGTTCGACAGATGGATCAGAGACTCTTGACTCTAACTTCAAACTATACGAGATATACTCCGAGAACAAACAAACACAGACTAAACCCGTTTGGGCGGATCTAACCCGATCGAGCAACGGCCATGCGCCTCACGAATCAGGAACAAAAAAAGTTGAGCTTCAATCTCTCTACCTACCTACCTACTATACTACCAATATTATACACATACACATACACCATACACACATACATCACCAACATACGCACATACTACAGACAACTGAAGAGAAAAACCCAATGGCACTCAAAACCCCCCGCCGCATCCTCTTCATCGCCTCCATCGGCAACCCCCGACCCTACCGCTCAACCCGGCACAGCGCCGGGCACATCCTCCTCGATGCGCTGACGCCCCTCCTCGCCGTGCGCATGCCGCTAACCTCCTCGCAACACCAACCGTCCTCAGGACCCCTCTTCTACAAAACCTACCTCAGCCCATCCTACATGAACGAGTCCGGCCCGAAACTCATCCGACAACTTACGAATTGGCTCTCAACGACACAAACAGACATCTTCGAGCGGATCGTTCGACCGGGTTATATACGGGATCCTACATCCACCCCCACCCCCACCACCACAACTACCACCACCAGCGATAGCGCTCCCAAAACAACCCACCCAGAATGGCACCGCCGCGGCACAGACCCAAGCACCCTCAAACACCTCCCTCCCACACTCATAATCCTGCACGACGAGCTCGAGTCCCCCCTCGGCAAAGTGCGCGTCAAACGCGGCGGCCCCGACCAAGCCAGTCTGCGCGGCCACCGCGGCCTAATCAGCGTATTCGAGTCTCTGCGCGGAAAGGGCCTATACCCCGCGCGGGCCGATGCGACGGCGGCGCATGGAGAGCTGTCCGTCTTGCGCATTGGGGTCGGCATTGGACGGCCGGAGACGAGGGGGCGGGGAGACGTTGCTAAGTATGTGTTGACGGAGATGAGTCCCAAGGAGGTTGCCGCTGTTAGGGGGGCGGCGGGGCAGGTTGTGGATGTTTTGGCGGATGAGTTTTATTGGGAGGGGGGATTCTAAGTGATTTTCTTCCTTTCTTTCTCCCGCTCCGACTTGCTTTTTTTTGTTGAAGACATGCTTGTATGATTACATAGTATAGAAGTGCTTAGAGATACCCATTTAGTTTTGGAACCACATATCGAGTTAGATTATCATGATTTGTCGCCCTGGAAAAGTCCTTGTCACATCGTGTGTAGCCAGGTTAGGATGGAGTAGTATAAGTTATAACTAACCACGGTCATCAGAAAAATAATATGCTATCATCGCAAACAAAGCTATCATCGAATACAACGGGTGAAAAGAAAGTAATATCAGTATAAAAACGAACAAGAAAACCGTCTTTGGCAAGATAAAGAGAATAAAAAGAATAAATCAAACACCCCCAAGTGCAGATCGCACAAAAAGATCGATAAAAGAACAAAGACGCCAACTAAACAGTCCCAGCTATGCTCAGATCCCGAATCTCCTGCAACACCTCCTCAACCCGATTATCGAGGTCTCCCCGCGCGTACTGATCTCTCGTCTCCGCATCGAGGTACTGCTGCACCTGGGCCATGCGCGAGTACGCCTCGGCGCAGAACCGCAGCTGGATCTTGACGAGCGCCTCGAAGCTGGGGTCGAGGTAGGGCACGCGGAGGTCGATCAGCTGGGGAAGCTCGGTGAAGAGCTGCTCGTTCAACTGCTCGTAGGCCTGCTTGGCGATTTCGGTCTCGCGCTCGGTTCGGGGCAGCTTGGTGGCGTCCTTGTCGGGCTTCTCGACGAGCTTCTTCACCTTGGCGCGCATGGCGTCGTAGTCGAGGAGTTTGTGGTTGCGTTTCTTGATGCACTCGTTGATGTCGGGGAAGTAGGCGCAAAAGCGGGATATCGGTTCGAGGACGGTTGTTCTATCCAGGTAAATCAGCTGTTGTGCACTCAACCCCCCATCTTGTAGAATCATACCTGTACGGCCCATCCAACGCCTTGATCGTCTCGGTATCAAGATCCTCCACAGCCTGCTTATAGCTCCTGCTCACGCCATCCTTGGTACCCGCATCGCCGTAAAACGCATCTATCGTCTCCGCGATGCGCATCTGCGAAGCCGTCATCGCTGCACCGAGTCAGCCCCTCTTCTCACCCAGAATCCCCATCAGCATCAATAACATACCACGCAGAGAGTCCAGATATCCCTTGGCTTCTTTTTGCAGACGATTGGCCGCAGCCTCCATAGTCCGATACCGCCTAACACACCTATCAGTCCCGGTGCTCAGATTCCCGTTGTGAATGATAGGTACCGTACCGCTCTTCAATCTCATAGTCGCGATCATTGGTTCGTTCCACATGTCCTGTCCATCCAATCGTCAATCACCCATTATTACCACAAGGTATTGCATTCCGCCGCAGGGCGATAGAACAAGTGCCACAGATACTGCGGCGCAGGAAGTGGGGGTGGGAGGGAGTGGTGGCAGGGGGGTAACAAACCCGCTTTCATCATCACCTGCGTCGTGGCGCGGTTGACATTCTTCTTGAACCCTGCACCGTGATAAATCACATGTCAGTATCTCCGCAGTAGAAACAAGGTGGGGGAGGTCTGGAAATGTGCGCACCTGCCCAAGACATGATGGCGAATGGTGGTTACAATGCCCCAGGCGGAAGCGAATCAGTCGGTGAGGGCGGAGGGATCTGGAATCGCAGGGGTATCGAAGGGGACGAAACTAAACGAACTACACTGATAGAGTACAGTGAAGCTAGATCGCAGTGGAGTAGAGTTGGTAAATCAGTCGATGACAGCAATGGCGAAGGAAGAGAGAGCGTTGTCGCAGGGCTGAATCGAACCGGAGATGCCCAATGGATTGCGGGATGAACGAGAGATTCCCAGTGTGGCTTGGGGGTGGCTGTGGTGTATTGTAATTACCATACGTATCTTTACCTCTATAACACGTTCAGCCTGGGAGCCTTCCAGCCCTACGCCAAGGCCAGACCATACTCACCTGTACTTACTGGGTACGGTACTTGTAAATCGTATTCCAACCACGGAACCAACCGGTCCATCATCCTCTCGTTACGTCATGTCTAAAACGCTGCGGCCTGGTCGCCAAGTCTGGAACGACCATCACGAACCACAATGGTGATGTCAGTCTTATTGTAGTCATTAAGGTTACTGGCAGGGTGGCCACTGCAAACCTTCTTCAGATTGAGGGATTGTGATTCGTTTTGGCGCTCAGGGACTGGGATTTAGTTCCTGATTCTGGGTGTAAAAGCGGCATTATCAGACACTTAGTTAGTACTATGAGTGCATGATCCTATGCTACTAGTACACTAGGATTGAATCAATCATTCTCAACACAATATAATATAATATTCAGTGAAGTAGACCCATAACTCTGGCGTGATACTAGCCCACACCCCAGTCTAAGTTCAACTGGACAAATGCCATGCAATCCCGCCGAAGTTGGCGTCGTTGGTTTGTACCATTCAGTAAGTACAAAGTATAGTAGACTGAGTAGGTGAGTCTCCCGTAAGGCATCAACCCAAGACTCCCTCAGTCAGGTAATAATAACCCTTTAGTCACACCGATAGAGACCAGTCTCGTCTAAGACAATCAAGTTCCAATCGTCCGCTCATGCATCCAGATTAATAATAACAATTAGTCATGGCTACTATCGTGACCATCACCACCTCACCACCCAGACTGGCCCCGCAAAGCCATCCCTTACAGAGAACATTCCAAGGAAAAAGGACCGTAGGGCAGCAGCATCAGCAGCAGCGCAGCATACCGCAACAGTTTCAGGCGGGGTTGTGTCCGGTCTAGATGGGGCCACTGACGACCTTACATAGGTCAGCAAGTGCCGAGCATAGTCGACATATTCAAGGCAGGTTAGTAGTGAGTAGGTTAGACAAGGTACCTACACAAGTGCCCCATTCCCGCCAGAACGATGCTGCCTAGGCATTGGCATTGCATTTCCCATGCTCCCTAAGGACAATGCCAAGAGATTCCTGTCCCAAGCGGTGACCAGGTCAGTCATGAAATGAAGTGGCACCCAGCCAGCCAGCCAGCCAGTCAGCCAGCCAGTCCAACCCTACCAGCCTACATCATAAAGCAGCCCTCAATAGATCGACAATCTCCACATTTCCAAGAATGGGGCCTTTCTTCCTTCCTTCCTAATCTTATGGCTAGCGATCCAGTCAGCGTGGTCGTCCGTCCCGCTTCTGCATAACGCGCCAAGAAAGCGCCGAGACAGGTAGGCAGGTAAGGAAGCTGAGGACTGTCGGTAGGTATCTTACACGGTGGTCTGTTGGAATATTATTATTGGTGGATTAAGGACCTGGGGGGGACAGGGTCAGGCAGCCAGTCCAGTCTGATCTGTGGATGTGGATTGGCGTCCGTGTATGCATACATGTGCGTGCATATGTAGGTCCTGGTTAGTAGATACTAGAGGTACTTTGCAGATCCTAACGAGCTAGGGGATCTATTTGGTCTAGGCGGAATTATCGTGAATACCTGAATAATTGAATAAAAAATGATAATAATGATAATAATATTGTCATTATTAATAAAGAAGAAAAAAGGGAGAACCCTAGCTCAGTACTATCTTGGCGTTATTCAGATACCCTGAAATACTAGACAGTGGAGATTGGAATGCTTCCATGGACGGAGAGGCAGTCACGAGACTGTCGAAGTCGTCGATTCCGCTGCATCTGGAAATGCAAAATGCAACGCCAACTCTGCAACTGTAACGGGCTCGGCGAATGCTGTGTCCCTTGCGATAAAACACATGATGCCATACAGGCGAACGAGAAGGGAAATGCAAGTGGGATGTAGTACTGAGTAACTATTCGTTCGGTACAGGTGTGGCATTCTTGCAAGCATTTAGCTAAGCAAATATCTCTCTCCAGCAGTAATCTGGACCGACAACCTGATAAAAAAGATCAAACGTATATACCATACCCGGGTATCCCAATTCATATGCACATCCCATACCCCGGGTAATACATCCAACCAATACTCCCAGATACAATAGATCAACCACCAATCCAGCTAACAAGCTGTTCAAACGTGGGGTATTATAATGAAAAAAAAATCGCACGACGCCTGGGAAATAAAAAAGTCCAACCATAATCGCTAAGTCATCAATATCATAAGATCAAACCGCCATGCCACTAAACAAACACTAATCGCTGGAGGAAATGTGAGGATTATAAGGTATATAAGATGAGAAGAAAGGGAGAAAGGAGAAGAAAACAAAGAAAACAAAGAAAAGAAAAAAGGAAACTAAAAGTAATGGTGAACCTGTCACAATGCTTACGTCCAGAAGCATCGTCCAGCAGATGGGTGAAGATGGGAAAGAAAAACAGCTGCTCAAGGTCATGACTCTCCGTTGCATTGGCATGAAACATAAAGACCAAACTAAGCCCATATGCTAAGTAGCACAAAAAGAGAAGAAGAAGAAAAAAGAAACATAAACACATGCGCCTGTATAGAAAAATGAGAAGTAAAAATTTTCAAAGATGCCTCCTTCTATCATGATGAGAAGGCCAAATACCCGCCTCCCCTTTCCGAACAAGGAGAAACAGAAAAAACCACCCAGATTTTTGGTGAGGTGCTGGTTACCAATGGGGATACACAGTCCGGACCATCTCATATACCCCGGTGACTTATGTCCTCCCCAAGAGTAGGCGGAAAAGATACATCACCCTGCCAAGTCAACCTCAAGATGGCAAAGGTCATTTGATGTGGTCGATTTTTAAAACCCTTCCTCGCCCGCCTTGCACAGCTTGATCTCGCGAAGCCATTCGGATTTGAGAACCTGCGAGGCGTTGATACGACGGGTAGGATTAGGATCAAGGATGGAGTAGATCACGTTGCGGCAACGGGCCTGGTATTTAGCGTTAGCAGAGGCGTCCCACCGCCCACCATGACGAGGAACCCTTACCCGATGCAAGGTCTCAATCGGAGCATATCCATCCTCATGCTTGCGTCCCTCGAGGTACTTCTGGTAGAACTCGTCCTCGTTCTTGCGAGCGACGCGCCAGAGGTGGCGTCCGGTCCGCATGGCCATGTAGATAACGCCGGTCGCCCACAGATCGACCGCCCGCGGATCGAATTCCTTCTCCACGTATTCTTCGGGGGAAATATAGGGGGCGGAGCCACAGAGGCCAGCAGTCATGTGTGCCTCCTTCTCCCAGGCCATCCGGAAACACTCGCCGTTCCCGAAATCGGTGATCTTCAGGGCACCATGCGTGGTCAGTAGGAGGTTCTCCGGTTTGAGATCCCGGTGGGCAACACCCATCTCGTGCATGTACTCCACGCCACGCATCAGCTGTTTGAAAAAGCAATCTGCCTCGGCAACCTCGAGTTTTCCTGCGGCCAGCACAAGGGTGTAGAGGTCACCGCCTGCACAGTACTCCATGACCTCGCAGTAGTCGCCCTTGGCGTCCTGCAGAAGGTCTAGCGTGTGGATGACGTTGGGATGGCGAAGGGATGACGAAATACAGAATTCGGACGTTAACCGCTTCTGGTACTTTTTGGAGGTTTCCTGTGGGCGACGGCGGAACTCCTTGACGGCGTACAGCTGTTCCGCCTTGGAGTCCTTGGGGTCGACTTTGTGGGATATCCGGACAATACCGAAGGCACCCCGCCCCACGATTTCCTGGCATTTTCCATACTTGTCGACCAGGGACGCCGTGGCGTTCGGTCCGCCCTTCTTATCGGCGGCGAGTTTGTCGCGTTCCGTCTTGAACTGGTCGATCCAGGTGGACATGAGTGACAGTTGCTGATCCTCCACGTGGTCATCCTTCTTCCTCCCGCCACCGAGCATGTCTCGAAGCAGGTCGGTCAGCTTCTCTTGGCGGCGGGCACTCCTCAGGTGATGACAGTGCGAGTGGCTTTCGGACAGCACCTCGAATCGCTTGCTTAGCGGCACGCCCTCCTTTTGCTCCTTGTTGCTGGCGGGCTTGGGCCTCTTCTCATTTTCCTCTTTCAGAGAGGCTTGACGGGACGGAGCCCGGGACGGCGGCTTAGATGACGGTTTGGATGACGGGCGAGAGGTCGGTTTGGACTGTTTCGTGGTACTGCCATTGGTGGGCAGCTTGACACTGTCGGTGCTGCTGTCGGAGAGTTCTCTCGGTGTTTCCAACTCCCTGGGAGTGGTCTTCCCGGTGCTGCTGAACATACGCGAGATGCGATTCACCATGGTTGGCCGGGTGGGTGGCTTGGTCGACGGAGGAGGCACGGGGACGGCCTCCCCGTTGGCAGCGGACAGGTTCATGCCCGCAACAGCACGTGTTACCTCACAGTCTCCATCTCGATGGTCGGGGAATATCTGAGATGTGGTTGCGGAGGAGACAGCGGACGGTACAGGTGAAGGGGATAGTGGAGTCATGTGCGATAATCCGGTGGATGGAGTCTTAAAGAACAAGAGGACGGAATTCGCCCCCCGTGATGATAAAGGGAGAAAGACCAGTGCCTACAGCACGAGGCTGGTAAGGCCACGAAGGATATAGCTCACGAAGTAGATGAACGGACAGAAGATGAGTAGGAAGGAAGGAGGAAACAAAAAAAAAAGAAGGGAAAAAAGGCAGAAAAAGAGGGAGGCGAGTGGACAGGGCCCTAAAAAAATTGGCTCCGGTAGCGGGTGGTAATGTGGTGTGCGGCCTGAGGCAAGTACCCAGTGTATGGAGAGTACAGTACAGGCTGAACAGGTGACTTTGATGTGACGACACACTGATCAGTGGAGTCAACCAGGGGAGGATGAAGATCAAATAAGCAAAAGCTGCAACGAGAGGGGGAAAAAAAGAATAATATAAAAAAGAGTACCGAGCAACAAGGCACGGAATGCCCAGAGATGATGGTATTACACAGGGTACCACAAGATGAAATGGGCTATGCAAGCCGTTTGAATTCCACGGTATATGGGAAAGAGGCGAGGTAAGGAACAAGGTAAGAGGTAGTAAGTGATAAGGTAATAAATAATAAGGGAGAGAGGACACTAAGGGAATTTTTTTGTTTGGTATGGAGAAAGAAAAGAAGCTGCCTACCCGGAGAGGGGGGAGAGGGCAGAGGTTGAAATAGGGAAATATTTGGCTAGTTGAGTAGGTAGGAATGACAACGATGCGAGTCACCGCAGTAGTAAAATAAAATCGAATGACATGAAATGATCAATAATAACACAACAATTGATGGGAAGGTAGTATATAGAAGAGTAATCGTTCCAGTATTTTGTAGTAAGAGTAAGACGGTAGTATGGGCGGAATGAAATACCTCGTTGAAGTATGGACGAACAGGCTAAGAGAGAAGTACTCATGACAAGCTCCAGAGTATATTGTTAGCGGTGGATTGTCTGGGCATCTGCAAAGGGGGTCTTTTCTTTTTCTTTTTCTTTTTCCAATTTTATTTCTCTTTTTTTTGGTTCATTTTTCCTTTTTCATGATTTTATTTTACTAATTTAATAATTGGATTTTTAATTATTACAATTCCACTGCCGAGGGTGCAGAAAAGACAGACAGGAAAAGTGGTATTTTCTGGTTATTATATTCCATGATTACTGGGACTACTATTATTATTACAAATATAATAAAAGTGGGTACGGCTCTGGATTTTCAAGCCGCACAAGTCAGAAAGTCTGCTTGTTACCAGATGGAAGCACAGGATGGACCTGTAGAGGATCTTAATTTCTATATTCTTAAGCTCATTCCCTTTATTCGTTGATTGAAAAAGTGAGATAAACAAAGAATATTCTTATTCCTTTGATTCACAACTTCCAATGGAGGACATCTACTCCTTCATCATTCATTCATTTTCAATAGAAAGAACGTAACTCGAGTAATGAATCCATCTGATCTCATTGACCTCCTTGTCGGCCTGAGGTTTGGTAATGTCTTGTCAGCCGTACGGTATCATACGCTTGCAGCCACACACTTCGATTAGTCAGCTGTAATCCACTCGCCCACCGAGTGCACCAGAGAAAACCTTCCGAATGTCACACAATATTGATATCCCTTTGGCTTTTCTTTCTTTTTTTCTTTGATCTTTTCTCCTGCTTATCACGAGGCAGATAATTCTCTTTCTCTACATTCTATCTGTGTGGTCTACCTGCAATGCAATGTCTCCATAGTCCATACCCAAGTCCTATATAAGAGAGAACGGTAATCTCATGCTGCACCGGCTCAATCTATCTGTGGTTTCTATAAACCATGGTAATATTACATCCGTAATACGGACCAGAGTGGCGCGAGACTTTTCTCTCCTGGGGTGGACACTGGACACTGGACGGCCGTCACAAGATCTTCCGACTCTCTCCCCTCTTTGCCTTCTTTTGGTCTCCTTGGACTTATCTATAATTGGAAGATTCCGCCGTCCAACCAGAGTCTCCAGAATGGTTCTCTTTCTTCGGAAAATTGTCAGGTCATGTAAGTCGGTATTATTGTTCGGAAAATCCTTGGGAACAACCGGCTAGAACAACTGGGTCTGTTTCCGCATCGGATTGTCCGTCTGTTGCTTTGTTGGCCAGAGAAAACATCGCCTACGGGTTTACTTTTCCCTGCTTGCTCTGCCTTATCCCAATTGAGACGATTGCCCCCCTCTTTTGCTCCTCCAGGAGTGGAGGAAAACGCAAGTCGGATGACGTTCCTTTCCGTCCAGTCTCCAGCGGGGAGATTGGTGCCCCACGTCTACTTGCTCTGTCTCGCAGTCTTCAAGAGAAAGAGGGGACCAAGAGAAAAGGTGACGTTGGTCGTTTTGTTCCAATCGAGTAGCCATGTCCGTGCCGAGGTGGCGCGTAGTATTAGTCACTCGTCTGGTCTCCTCAAATGCCCGTCAAGTTCACAGTCTAGTGCTAGTCAGAGTCCAGTCAAGCCTGGTTATTGAGGCTGTGCAAGCATCTGCATGGATCATCTGCGCTGGCCCGCGTATCATCGAGCAGTGTGCGCCGATGGCTTGGGTGGCTCGACCCAAGGAATGCTAGTATTGACCGTCCAATACCTCCATACCTCCTCCCGGATGTAGCTACTACGGACGAGGATAAGGACACCCGTTGGAGACTTCTGCTGCTCCCCACTATTCAACGCCCCTCCCCCACCTCCCCTCATCTCCAATCCTTTTCCATCACAATGATATCCTCCGTATACGAGGGGTAAAGCAGAGACCTGTGATATTCGCTACTCCCCCCGGCGGGCGGACCAGGGAGTAGCCCGCTCGGGGAGGGGGACGTTGGCTTCCCGCCTACCGCTAAGTAGTAGGAGGGGTTTTTCGTCTCCTATCATGTTTCAGGGATCAACTGGTAGGAAAAACGCCTTTTCCAGCTCCATTGACATTGACCTGTTAGTGTCGACTCGTCGGTCTATGATTCGATCGTGAATTGCCACGATAATAATCTTTCCAGCCAGCTCAGCTACCAATTCTAAGTGATGGATCATCTGGCTGTCATCATCACGATCAGACAAAGCGTACTAGCTACTCAAACTCTACTGACTTCCTTACAACCCCTTCTCAGTAGTCCCAACTCCCAGGGCCTGAAACATGCATCGCGCCACGGAGCGGTCCCCGTCAAAACTGGAAAGCTCTCTGCAGTAGTATAAGAAATGACAGCCACATCGCATGCTCTTCTCGCAGACAGGCTCGGGGCCGATGTGACTTCGCGTGCGCTCGCCCTATCATCCGGTCACGGACTAAGTTGGGAGTACTGTCTTGCGGTCAATCAAGCCCCGAAGGTAGTAGCTTTGACTCAGGTTATGCATGCACCCTGCCTATTTTGGGATTGCTGTTCTGGGGATCAGCGTGGAGTCGTCCGGGTGGCAGAGAGCACAGCAGTTGGCCTCTTGAGTCCTTGACTGGTCGTGAGGACACGATATCGGACTGCAGATGGCAAAAAAACAGATCCTTTCTGTTTTCTATTTATTTTATTCATTTCCCCATGATGTTACCCCGATCATTCCCAATCGGCAATGCCTACAGGATCGAATCTCATCACCTGGACGAGGGGTTCACCCGTGATATTTGCAGGTGGTAGATGACGTAACTTTGATTGCTCACCTACCTATCTCGCATCACTAGTAGTCCAACTCGATACTCCTCGGTCTCTCGAACATTGGAGCTTCGAACAAAAGCAAGAACAGCTCCGAGTTTAATTGCTGAACCCTGCGTTGATTGTGGAGATCTCGTAACGATTCAGATTCTGGCTGGTAACATGATGTAGAGGTCTCTTGAAGTTATCATATCTATTCCATCCAAATAATAAATAATATTATGATAATTCTCCCCTGCACCATCCATCCACAACAAACCCAGTCCAAAAACCAAAACCAAAACCAAAGCACGGCCCACGCGACGATCGATGAAATACCTACCTACTAAAGCATGTATGTCAATGTATCCAGTACGGACGACGGGAGTCCTCCTCAGACTAACTTAAATCAAACAAACTGACGTAAAGGGAAAGGTGAAGTCTCCACTCTTTTAGTGTCGAAAAAACATGGCTTATGTTTTTTTTGCACGAGGGATTTTCCGTTGCCAATCGTTGAGCAGCGACGCGTTCGACATTCGGAGTGGGGCGTTACCCGCGAGGAAGGATTACTTGGTGCTAGCAGGGGTAGTTAGCATTGATTTCTTTACCTACTTTACTTACCTTACCTAGTAGGTGAGTACGTTTAGTATCTAAGTACGGAGTACAATGCACCTCGTTCGAAGTACGGAGTAACAGCTACTAGGTACATCTATATGCATGGATATTGCAGTCAGTATACCAGGTAAGGCAGGCAGTTACCGGCTACTTCATCCCCCACCCACACCCCCCTCTCCAGTTTATAGTGTCTTTTCTGACCCCCCAGAATATGAATCGTAAGCTGTGGTTTGTTACCAACTGCAGGTAGACTGTCATATTTTCTTTTTCCTTCCCTTCCCCTCTCCATTCTTTGATCCAGTAATGGAGCTACTATGGAGACCAGGACCAGTGAGTCGTGCCCTAAATGGATTAGGCAGGTAAAAAGGATTTAAACCCTAGTTCGGTCTGCATAATCTATGTATATCGTTACGGTGGATGGGGTAGCTGGCGGAAAGGATTTGGGGAGGGTGAGAATTGGGGAGAGAGAAGGGAAGAAAAAGAAAAGATGGCAAAGACAGCTCAAGCTGAGCTCGAGACAAACCTCCCTGATGGTGATTCTGTTCCCTGTCGATAACCATGCATGTCCTTTTTCGGCGAACAGATCCCTTTCTGCGGTTGAGGTGAGGTGAAGCTAGTTGACCGCCAGTCAGTCACTCACTCATTTCTGCTGAGCTATCAACCTTCCTATCTTTATACTTTCCTACCTTCCCATCTGATCCTGCTGGTCGTGTTGGGAGGAGTAGATAGACGATGCAGGGCTGACACGCAGCCAGCCAGTCCCAACCGACTCATACTGCGATCTTCACATGTCTGTGCCTTCTGCATATCGCAGTTGAGAGATATACAGAGAGACGCGGATTTGAACCCTGCAGAGCTCGCAACGGTAAACGAACAAGGCTACGACTGACTAACTTCTCACACTGAACGATCGAAAGTACATAATGTACACTAGGGATGTGAGCCAAGCTCGGCGATCTGGTGGATAGGCCTCTCATCTACCTGCTAGTTATCTAGTACCTGGTATCTACGGTCAGGATCTACCAAACACCGAATTCTCGCAACGACGAGGCTTGATACGGATGAACCAGTGAGCTGCAAATTCATTGTCAATCTATTGGGCAATTTTGTCCCTCACTGTTTAACTTTCTTCTTTCCCTTTTCTTTTTCTGGTTTTCATTCACTTTTTATTTATCTGTTTGTTTTAATATCATTCCAAGACGGTCAACCTCTCCGTCTGCGACTTGAAACCTCCTAGGCAGGGGACCACACAGCTACCCTACCAAGCTAGTTTGATCCCCGCTCTCTCACCGTTCATTCTTTCTTCCACGTTGGAGTTCGGGTAACAAGCATGATACAGCATACAGGATCGGATATTAAAAAATGGTCCTCCACATTCTCCCAACCAACCCACACACACCAACCAAACAAGAAGAAAACCTGCCAAAAAGAACTTACCCAACCAATCACATGAAAAATCGACAATCCATCCATTCATTCAACTCGTGGCAAGAAGTCAACTTACCGCAATGATCCACCGTGGAGAAACCAGCTTTAGTCATCTCTCCATATACCCGATGAAAGCATGACGAGCGAATAATTTCCCGGATCTTCCCGTTCAAGCTTCGGCCTATCTATTTGGCCCCTTCCTAAATGAGATTAAGCTGCGGTGAATGTCGCTCTTGTCTCGTGTGCGCGGGTGGGTGATGGAGGGGCCATGTGGGGGGTGGGGTCTTTTCCAAACAGCATGCGACCATGTAGTCCTTCATACTGAGGAGATATTCACTACCTGGGTAGATAGATTGTATGTACGTAGTCTGTATGTATGCTACTACTATGTCCGTCCGTCCATCTGTGTATGTATGTAGGGCATGGAAGGCGATTATCACTATACATATCTAATGATATGCATGGTTAGATGATCAAGACGCATTGACAACCACGACGCAGTCAACTTCATCCGATCGATCAGTCTCCAGATAGCTGTTTCAGACTACCTACGCGGGCTAATACAGAAACAGCGCCAACCTGACTACCTGGAATGGGAACCTGCAGACTGCCCCATGTGGATGTACACTTGTACAGTAAACTACCTACTAAACAGGATGCGTCCCCACCAGTTAAACGGAGTATCTAGGAAACGAGATCCATTGACGGGAGGAGCCTGCGCGCAGGCCTGTCTGCATGGCAGATAGATATGATGTATTGTATCCGGCTACTTGGTCCACACTTTAGAAAGCTAGGTGAGATCTTGTGCGCTCTGGGTTAGTCTTCGGTTTCTCGCGCTGTGTGTGAGTGGAAGTAGACTGGGTCCTTGACTCCGTTTTGTTCACCCCACCGCGCCTTTTTTTCTATTGACCAGTGTGTCTATCCACATGTTGCTACCTTGTATGTTAGAAGAACGGGGGGGAAAGCAAGAAGTCACTAGCGATCGCGTTTACATTTGGTTTTATTCCATTTTCCATCTGACCAGTCTCTATCTATAAGAACAAAAGCATACTACGTACCTACTATGTATAGTATATCTTGCATGTGCACAATGACCCCACATAAACAACTGCAGGGATGACCATGACTATGACTCAATGAGACATCAAGATCACAGCATTTAGAGAAACACCACCAACCAACCACTCAGTATATCTCTTCCAAATCCCCCAACCTCACAGCTGTAAAAAACTATATGCATGCATCAAGCCCAATCAGTCCAGTCCAGTTCAGTAAACCAAGCCAAAGCACAGTAATAGTACAATCAACTTCCACCTACAAAATCTACACCCCAACCCAATCGAAACTCTATCTCCACCCGATGAGAATAGTCTATGATATCTACGTCACTGCATGCAGTCCACTTCCCCCCCGATCGGAGCCATGCCATGCCATCCATGCTGGATTCATGCAAGGAGCTGCTCGTCTACCCGACGGATTGGACTTGCATACCTAGTATATATATTATGTAACACTGTATGAATGGGATTGTCTTTGCTGATCTTGGTCTTGTCTAGTCTGGTCTGGTGTCCAATGCTGGAGGGTGGCGGGGCCCTCTCGTTCCCTCTTCCCCTCATGGATTGCCCGTCCACGTGCTACCGATGAATGAGATGGATGAGGTGAGTTAGGTGCTATCGAGTGTGGCACTGTCATGTGGGATGGCTGTGGTTGGGTACTGATTGCCGTTACCAAGTTGTCTTGGTATGGATTTCACTTTCTGAGTGGATGGGACTTGTGTTCATGGTATGGTATGGCAGAGCTAGGTGGGTTATGCTGTTGTGCTATAGTAGATGCATGGTCCTAGAGCTACTAGAGGTGTGTATCTGGGTCTTGGTATAGTTTAATAGGAACTGTTGGTTTTCCCCATCCTTTGCTATCTCTTGATTATTATTATGCTTTAGTATCTCTTGGTTCTCATAGTGAATCTCTATAATCCAGCTTCATCATTCAGCGTCTGTCCAATCATATACCCAAGCAAGCCATTGAATAGTAGGTGATAACCCACTTGTGTAGTCGTTTGGTGAGGGGAAGACGATACACCAGCAGTGGGTTCGTCTAACATCGTTAAGTGCTAGCTCGCGCTGGTATACACCGACGATAGATGCGGGGCTATGGTGTTCGCCATCCGCCGCATCGATGACCAGAGCAGTTCAGTCTTTCTCCGCAGAGCATTGGCCCGATGCTGTCTAGTAGCTCTGGTCTAGTGGGACTCGAGGAGGTGGGAACACCGCGGCGGAATACGACTGACCCTCAAGAACCCGCTTCGAGCCTTCGGCGCCGGGCAATCTCTCGGCTGTCGATTTTGGGATGTGGAGAAGCTAAGACCAGACCGAGCGTTTCTCGGATGGTCGCTCAAGCTAGGACCCGAGTCTGCTATCACATGAGTACAGCACATTATAGCCTGAGGGGGAGACATACCACGAATTGTTCTAGCGATTCCTCAAAAAGCTCATTGTTGACTCCAATGCCGCCCGGATGTTCCGTGGGCGATAATGGGTTCTTGACCACTGGAGAACAATCATGTCAGTAGTCGTACGCGGAAGCGGCTAACGTGAGATCCCAACGCACCGTATTCCACGAAAAGGTTGATGTAAATCTGCTGCAGTGCAACCCGCATACTGGGGCTCTTGAGGTCGGTGAGCATGACGAACTTGATGTTCGTCGGGGTTTCGTAATAGTGGAGTTGGTATTGACTGGTGCAGTAGGAAACGAAGCTGGTCGCAAAGTCAACCACCAGCTCGGTCGCGCGAACGAATGAGGTAAGTTCTCACCTATCATCCTCGCCCCCCAGTTTGCGCACCATATTCCGCAGAGAGAAGACCGTGCCGAAGATCAGTTTGGCGTCATCGTCGGTCGTCCGGTCAGACTGGCCGATGGCCGCGGGAAGTCCATTGGTCGGCGCTGGCAACTCAGAATTCGCACGAGATTTTCCAACGACGGCTGGTCGCGGGAGCCAACGCTTCTTGTAGATACACTCCGCTAGAACCGCGACAAGACGTTGGTCAGTTATGCGGCGCAGTGGATGTCAGGGGGCGGGAACGGAAGGATTACCATGACGGTCGAAGATGTAGAACGAGTAGACAACCATTGTCGAGGATTTCGATTAGGCTGATAGATCTCAACCGCCCTCTATCAAACTGAGAATCAGACACCGACGAACGAGAACCCCGTGGATCAGGTATCACAAGATGGAGTAGGTGAGTGTTGTTGTTAAATTAGACTCTTGAAATTCCCCTAGTTTGGGACAACAAGCATGCGCGTGGGCGGTGAACCGCTGACGGGGCGGCAGATCGCTTATCGATAATGATGGAGTATCATTGTATCATTTGTATGATTACAACTATCAGTACTGGGTTAGTGACGGATTATATGAACGCTCAGTGTATGATAATAATAATAATAATATGAGATGTAATTATAGTATCTGTTTTCGAATATTTGTGATACATTTTCAAGGATCCAACCCCGTATAACTGACCCTGCGTCGATATAGATTGGGTAATCTAACGGAGTATGGAATTAATTACATACCAACCATGGCTCTTTTCCCCACCGCCGCTCACTCTCACCACGAAGTTCCAGATTCTCCTCCCAAACAACAACTCTATTATTGTTCGCTGTTGATCTTCTATTTTTACCAACATCCAGGGAAAACAGAGACGCCTTCTCACGCCCCTCCCCCCGTTGTTCTATCTTACTTTCTCCTCCCTCATACGAACGTCTCTTCCTCCGACATCCCCCCACCTTCTCGATCGCTGTTGTCACCCAACAACCCCTCCTCTGGCCTCCCCGACTTCCCCACATCTGACTGTAGGCATCCGAGTTCTCGCGCAATTCTGTGGTTTCATCGAGGGGCATAACGACAGACAAATACCGCAAGCCACCTCTTGTTGTTTTTCGGGCCACTGGGCTGCTACTTCATTGGCTTCGAATTTCAATGGCCGCTGAAAATGCCGACTTTCCCTTAAAGGATGCTAGTCGGAAAGCCCAGCGCCCGACCATTCGTCCTGTTCGCTATACGTACGTTCTATTTTATTATAGCCTGGTCCTTGGTTTTTTGTGTGTTATCGTCGCGTTGGCCGTGTCGGTCGAGCGAATGCGATATAATCCTATTGTCGTACATAGGGTACGCTTCGCGTCGTGGTCACGGTTTCTGCGGTCATCTATAGTTTATATCTTACCAGAACTGATTGCTGACGTCAACCCTTATAATATAGATCGACCCCTTCTTCTTCTTTTGAAAGTCCGCGGAGACATCATCACCGAAATCCGATAGCCAGGCGCCCAGTGAAGGTTGCTCTCCAGGGATCGCTACTTTCTGCTGCAACCTACTGACCCGCTGGTAACAGGAAACGTTAAACGCTCGCTCCGAGTATAGAACAAGCCAAGACGATGGCACCGCAGAGCACCGAATCAACCAGTATGTGATCAAACAGGAGATCGGACGGGGGTCCTTTGGAGCCGTGCATCTTGCCTCGGATCAGTTCGGGAACGAATTCGTAAGGATCATTTCATGTCACCACCTATGACAGTTCCATCACACGATTGATTGCTGATCTGGCCGTGCGAACACAGGCGGTTAAGGAGTTCTCCAAGTCACGGCTGAGGAAGCGTGCGCAGTCCCATCTCTTGCGACGGCCCCGGGGTCCCAAACGTCAAGCAGATGGTTTCAATTCCCCGCTTCACCGTCGCCCACCGTTGGGGGAGGATCAGAAGGAAAATGCTCTCTACCTGATCAAAGAGGAAATCGCCATCATGAAGAAACTGCACCACAGCAACCTCGTGTCTTTAATAGAGGTGCTAGATGACCCGACGGAGGATTCACTATACATGGTCATGGAGATGTGTAAGAAGGGCGTGGTGATGAAAGTCGGGCTCGAGGAAAGGGCAGATCCTTACGACGATGACTTATGTCGCTGTTGGTTCCGCGATTTGATCCTCGGCATTGAGTACCTCCATGCCCAGGGTATCGTACATCGAGATATCAAACCCGATAACTGTTTAATCACAAATGACGACGTTCTCAAGGTCGTCGACTTTGGCGTGTCCGAGATGTTTGAGAAGGATTCGGACATGTTCACGGCGAAATCGGCTGGCTCCCCTGCGTTCCTCCCGCCAGAGCTATGCGTTGTGAAACACGGTGATGTTTCCGGGAAGGCCGCCGACATTTGGTCTATGGGGGTCACGCTATATTGTCTCCGATATGGCCGTCTGCCGTTCGAAAGGCAAAGCATTTTCGAACTTTACGAAGCCATCAAGAACGACCCGGTTATATGCACAGGGGAGGAAGATGGCGAGTTCAAGGACATGATGGCCCGGATCTTGGAGAAAGACCCGGCGAAGAGAATTTCCATGGAAGAATTGCGAGTAAGTTGGAATCCTCATTCGCGCGAAACGTCTCTCACATAAAAACAGGCGCACCCATGGGTAACAAAAGGTGGCTTGGATCCTCTACTACCGGAAAGCGAGAACACCGCGGAGATTATTGAATTCCCGACTGAAGAAGAAATGGATTCGGCAATCACAAAGACCATTGGCCATGTGCTTGCTGTGGTAAGCTTCTTTGCTGGAATCTGGTTTACAGGATATACTAACATAGACTAGATGAAAGCCGTAAAGAAGTTCAAGAAGCTGATTGATCCGACAAAACCGGAATCCCCTATGCAAAGTTTCCTTGGCCAAGGATACGAATCCAATTTCGTTGCGCCCCCGCTTGAGATGGAAGCCGACGAGAGCTTTTCCGCCTTCCCAATCCCAAACAAAACCCAGAGTCTAGATGCAGACTACAGGAAGGCATGGGAGCGGGAGAGCGTCATCAAAGGGCATCACCCGCTGCGCGGGTTCTCACCGTCCAACGGACCACCAGATAGCATCAACAGACCTACAGCCAGCTCGAAGCTCGAAAGAAAGGACTCCGGCTCAATACGAAGCTTCAATTTCCGCGGCGACGCCACCGAAGACGCACACAACATCTCCACCCCGCAATCCCCCCAAGTCCCACTCTCCCGCGCCAGCTCAGCAACCACCAAACGCAGCGTCGAAGGAACGCGAGGCCACGCACGGGATCCCCTCGAAGAAGACTTCCCCTTCCTCTTCATCGGCCCATCCAGCTACACGGGTCACCCATTCGAAGACCCAGCCGAGCCCGAAGCCAACGAACCCATCTCCGAAGATCCAGCCGACAACATGGTATCCGCCGAACCATCCGAAATGATGGACGTAGACCCAATCGTCAGCGAATCCCCCGGCGCCGCCGAATTCGACATCTACGAAACAGCCTACCGCAAAGAAATCGAACGCATCCACGCACGCACATTCCCCCGCGAAGGCACAACCCCCAAGGTCTACCTCACGCGCCGCGTAGACGGCAGAGACGATGTCATGAGGCTTCTTGGCGAGAAGCCTAGCAGCAGTCTCAGCTCTGCCATCGACGCAATGAGAGCTCAGTCGGCGGGGGGGGAGCAGCAACAACATCCATATCCTTCAACTTCAACTTCAACACCCATACCGGTTCCAAATCCCACTCCATCGTCTGCGACGGGACCACCACTCCCTGAGGAGACTTCGCGCGCTAGATTGCGCTCGTTCTTGGGTCGTGTTAGGGGTAGTCGGGGGCTTTGATCTTGATTTATCAATGGAAGGAATGGTATATTATAATAAATCGATTTGGATCTAGAGAATACATATAGAAAGACTTGGTTGGTTAATTCGGATAGCGAGGTATAATCATAATAGTATGCACGTGATTGAGGGCTATGGTGTACGCAGAAATTATATATATACAGATATTGATTGATGTCCCGAAAATGGCGCTCATCAACAAACACCGTTTGTTTGACATTCTATTCTGGTTTGTATTTACTACCATTGATCAGTTCAAGATCTGGCATATACCCATCTATACAACTTATCCCTATCTAAAGTTAAGACTCCCAAATCAGTCATACTAACACATGGATTACAACCCCCACGATCCATATATCCACTCTACTCCATACTTCAAGCTATATTATGATACTCAGTTTACTATACCATCGCATATATTCTTTCTATCAATCAATCATTCATTCAAAGACTCCCTGTACATAGATAGACTTGCGTAAAGATCATGTCGATCATTAATAATTTGTACAGATATGTAAGAAAGTGGACATTAAGATGTGATATTTTCCCGGTGCAGCAGGGAAAAGAGAAGAACGAAGGAGAGAATAAAACCACGTAGAAGATGATGATAAGATAAGCTTGGCGGAAGATAGCGCCATCAAGAAAGAAAGTGAAATTGGCTGGGTCAAAGTTCAGTCATATTGCTCATTCAGCTGAGAAAAATAAAGTCTGTAGTAGATACTGGGGGAAAGATCCCCAGGTAAAAGCCTCAAATGAAAGAAAGGCGTAATTAGGGAAAGTTCGATCGCTATGCAGACTGGATCGTATTCATGTCAATCAGTTCACGGGATCATCAAGGTTCGGGCCTTTAAAAGAACATGAAAAATTCATTATGCGCAGACCGGGCCATTTCTTTGGGGTCCAGAAGCCTGCAGGGGGTGTTCTCGCCTGGTACTTCAGGACCAATTATCCAAAGTGAAAAGCAGAAGGAAAGGTCGGTGGAAATTAATAAGACTCGACAATCGAGCCACAGAGATTTGAATAGAAGCGAGAAATGAAAGGCGAAGAAGTAACGGAAGGAAATGCCGTACGGCGGATGTGTCGATCGTAGCTCTCATCAAAACTCGTCTTGGTCTGCAAAGAAATTGGGTCTGTATCAAAGCTATCTATCGCTCATAATCGACGATATCGTTCATTCATGGTGTCGCAACGGATATTTAGCAAGTCGAAAGGATAAGGGGATAAAGGAAGAAGGTTCGGATTGTTGAACAAGCATTATTCGGCCCGCTTGTCAAGGGACGGCCCTATCGGCAGCTCCGGCGCCGTGGTGGGAGGGTCATCTGGACGCCGAGGGGGCGGGTGAAGCAGCGTTCTGCGACTGCTGTCTGCGTAAGGTATTCGGTCTGGGAATAAAGGATCGTAGGCTCGGTCTCCAGTATCCATTCGCGACAGCGTTTCCCTCCGGCCGAAGTGCAGCGTCTGCGGAGAAGGAAAGGAGTGTCTCATTTCAGCCGGCCGTGGAAGTTCTCGCATTACCGACCCCAACTCCGGGTTTGGTAACTCTCGGGCTCGATCGTCGTCGCTGGGCCCCATTGGTGCTATCCGCCTTGCCGGCAGCGGTGCGTACCGCAGCTCGGGCTGTGGGACGCTGGGAGGTCGACTGCTGGCGCTGGGCGGCAATGAACCGCTCAGCGGCTCGACGGCAGACGGGCTAGTCGGAGTCGATGGAATTTTGATTTTGTGGGAATTTGATCGTCTCGGGGGCGGGTATGGTTCTCCGAGGGCTTCGGCCACCGCTTTACGTCGTTGGGACTCGGCTTTGCTGGGCCGACCTCGTTTTCGCGGTGGCTCGTTTCGAGCGGTTCCGCTCTCTGAGCCCGGTGAGATGAGAGCCGAGAAGCCACTCTCATTGCCAAAAGGAGGGGCGCTGGTCGTTGGGCGGGGTTGGATTGCACGCGGCGCGAGGATCGGCTTATCTGATGGCAGAATCGGCCGCTTCCGAGGGTTGATGCTGTCCAGCGGAGCTGCTGGCGGTGCGGATGACTCGTGCCGTGGAGGACAGGGTGCGTAGTTTTGAGGGACCGGTGCTTGGACGTGTTGGCACATGCCCTGGAAGGCCCACTGACACGAATTCAGAGAACGCCCTGAACGCCGCGGAGATTAGCACAATTCGGCGTTTGTCGGTTTCAAGGGCGTAAAGAAGAAAAAAATGGAGAAGAAAAGACTAGGAGAAGGAAAAAGCGGGCCTGGAACAGGGTCGAGCGAGAGTCTCAGTCGTATGGAGTCGGGCTGCGAGCGGTACTTCACAGCACAAGCAGCAAAAGCGGGGGAATTGTACCTGAGGGAAGTGGGATATCCGCCCAGCTTGGAGTGATATGGAAGTCCCGGATGAGTTTAACCAGATGAGTCGAAGGGACTTGGGCCTTCTTCAAAATCTCGGTGAGCAGAGTGTACTAGATGTTGTCCCGATTAGTTACATTGTCACCTGGCCCATGCGTACAAGGCACGACCACCCCGACGGCCCTATTCTGGGCAGGCTGGCTGGTCCATGTACACATGGGAAAAACAGAGGCGGGGAAGAGATGAGAGGACTGTGGCATCCGTACCTTCTCCTCCTCGGTCCAGGGCCGTTCTGGTAGATTCGACATATCCAGGGGACCATGGAAGCAGCACTGGCGGGCTTCCCTCCTCGGTAAACAATTCAACAAACGAGCGCGGAGCGAATCATGCGCGAGCGAACCCAGTAGGAGAACAGATATAGAAAGATGCGTCACGCGACTACGGGCAGCACAAGAATACAACAAGCCCAACAAACGCCCCAACAGGAGACAAGAGCCAAGATAGAACAATGAAGAACAGATCAAACACAAAACAGCAAAAACAGAACGTTACCACAGAGCCTCCCAAACGGAACAATGCGTCTACACCAGTGTATAAACACGTGGTTGTCCAGACAGGAATCAGAAAGTGGACTAATGGCGCAACAAGGGAAGATCAAAGAGTATTGGCAGTACGAGGAATCGAGGACAGTCGAAGTAGAGAGGGGGGAGGGTTAAGGCACATGGAATAAACAGCAGACATTGAAGATTGGACCAACGCTCATTGAAATGAAATTCATAAGAGACCGTAAACGACGCACCACGGGTGACAGCGAGGAAAGAAATAGCGAGAGAAGTGGGGATCCTGTAGAGAGAGGGAGGGAGGAAGAGAGAGAGCGAGAGCGAGAGACGATAAGTCGACAAGTACTTCTATGCTTGCATCGAATGCCGCGGGTCAACGCGTGTGGGGGGGAGTGGGAATGACTTGAGATTCGGGGAAACTCAAATCAAAATAAAAGAAGAAAAACCAATCAAGACACGCAAGAAAAACAAATATAATCGAAGAAAAGATTAAAGAAAGTAAGTCAAGATCGAAAGAGAAAGAGAGAAAAAATAAATGAATAAAAAAAGACGGAAGAGAAAGGGTGAATATGACAGAGGGGGGAATCAAGAGATGTGGAGGGAGATCCTGACGGGGCCGGAGATCGAATGGATTCCTGGAACAAACAGGTTCAATGATACATATTGTCATCAATCGTCAAAAAGGATAGGGAGTCAAGCATCGACGAAAAGGGCTCAAAGGGGAAAAGTCCACAGAAGCGTGAGAAGAGGGAACCGATGCAGTCGGCACGTAACACTCTATCTCTCCCAGGAGCTTTTTCTAGCCAAACGGACTTTAAATTCGGAACTGCGCAGGGCAGACGCCGCAGGCATGCGTCTGGGTAGGTGGTCAGAGGAAAGCTGCAGGGACTCTGGTCACCTCGGCTCTGGTCCAGTTCTTCTTTTTAATATTTTATTTCTCCTTTTTCGGGGGAGGTTCGATCTTTCCGTTCTTTCCCCAAGCTGTCTGTTTCTGCGGTCTCCCAGCTGCGCGCCAGTTGAAATTCCTTGGGAAAGGTACAAGGAGCACGAGAGATTAACCCTAAGAAAGAGCCAAGGGACAGGGGGGAAGGACTAAAAAAAATAACAACAATAATACTAAATGAATATGAAATAAGAAAGAATAATAACGATGGGACAATTGACGATGGGACCAACCAGCCCAGGTAGGATTAGTGGGAGTAGTACACAGGGTAAGGAAGATGTTTCAAAACCAATGGTTTCAGATGACTTTCAGCGTCCAAGCACCTTGTTGGAGCGGGAGGGGAAGGGCAAGGGTTAGGGAGAGGGAATCGGAGGAGGGGGGGGGGAATAAAATAATAAAATAAAAATGAAAATAAAATAAAGAATAAATCAAATTGCAAAAATTGGGAAATTAAGAATGGGAATAAAAATAATAAAAGAAGGGCAGAAGGATCGTAGGTGCACAAACAACACACTCACAGAAAAGAGGGGCGCATTAGTTTGTGAATTCCCCGAACAAGGGCTAGAAACTAGGAAGAGACCAGGAGGGGCGCGAACATGGAGAGGAAAAGGCTAGGATGCACAATGCTGGAAAGGATGGAATAGCTTGGATGGATCTATAGAGCATGGGGGAGGTGGGCGATTAAACCACAATAACAGCAACAACAATAATAAGCAGTAACTAAAATCCCAGACTGACGGTGGCAGATACTTGAATCAACCTGACAGATAGGTGAAGAATTGATCCAACAGCGATGGCTTCCACTGCACTTTTTGACCCACTGTATATAGAAGGACTGTCGTCAGAAGGATTCAAAACAATATTAGAAAAGTGGGGAGGAAAAGAATGAGAAAATAGATTCATGTGCTCGTCAGATTATGGACTAATCAAAAATAGTAAAACTAAAGCAAAGAAGATAACATGAGGATAGAGACCGAAACGAGAAGGGGGAAAATAAATAGAAGCAATAATACCATGAGGGGACGCGAGAAACGGGACAGAGACAGTGAGAGAAAGGACTCAGGTACCTCGAACTCGCCGCCTGCGTCTGCTCCGGTTCGCGCGTCCATACGCAGCATCAGGCAGACCCTCTTTCGCGGAAAGCGGCGGATGCGATAGGTAGGTTGGGAGCATCATGGGTGATAGGCGCTGTCTGATAGGTGAACGCGGACGCCCCAAGACATTGGATCAATGGACTAGTCCGCGATAATTAATCGTGTTGCGCCAGACCGGACGAAGCTTTCGAAGTGAAAGCGAAGTGATCGGGGCTAGCTCCCGGAAGAAGGAAGTAGCGAGGTCGATCCCATGCCGGTGGCAGGTCCTCATTTCTGTACGGTTAGAAACCGTCCATGGACTCCGTTGAGCGCCGTACATTGGGCCCGTTGATGATAGCGGCAATGCCTCGAGCAATGACAGGCAGACGGAATGGTAGCAGCGGAGGTGGATGATAACCGCAAAGTGGGGACCAGGGCTCCGCAATAGACGCAGACCAAAGCAAAATCCTGGAGGCTGGGTCAATGAGACGGGTCCCGTTCATTAGCATTAGTTTGGAAAGCAATGGAACGACGCTTTTGCAAGGACAGGGGACCGGCCTGATTTCTCTGGCCAGAACGGGTTTGGCCGTGGCGAAAAGCCACCTGTCTCCGTTTTCCTTCCCTGCAAATCGGGAGAGGGAAAAGGAAAGAAGAAGAAGAAAGGAAGACGGAAGGGCCGTTGGATAGATCCAGAATGAGGGATGAAGCAGGGAACGGATATTGGATGACCACCATTTGAAGTAGAATCGGAGAATGGAGACAATTTCATAATAATAGTGATCGCAAATTGCTTCACAAACCTCTCACAGCGACTTTTTATCTTCTTGTGTTCCTTCTATTTTCTTTTAATTTCTTCCTTTTTTTTTTTTTTTTTTCTGTTCAATCTTTGATTTCTCATCTTTCACTCTGATTTTTTCGTTCAACGCTCCGCTATCCCCCTTGAGCCCGGGGGAAGGAGGAAGGAAGATACTAATCAGTGCCTAGCAGTAGGGGGTGGAAAGCGTAGCCACTCAACAAGCAGATTCTTCACCCCACAAGGCAGCGCGCTTGAGAGACACCAAGATGTCGGTGGTCTCGATAGGCGTAGCGCAGGACTAGACTGCGTTGCCGCTGATTTTCATTTGACGGGTCGAGAATCGAGTGGTGGACAGGTATTATTAGCAACGGGGAGCAGCGAGTAATCAGCGGCGTAGGAATTGATCGAACAAGAATGGTCCATGCACGAGAACCATCGGGCTGCAGGAGAGATGCAGCGCCCCGCCGATTTGAATCAACCGTCCGAGTATAGCGGCAGATTTAGTCTTGGGGGTAAATCAGGAGTCTGTCATGGGTTGTGGTGGTCTTTCTGACAGTGCTAGGGATCCCAACCAGTAGAAGCATACTGTGAGTAGAGACAGAAATGACCTTGTCCTGATCATTGTGAACCCGGTAGGAATGAAGAAAAGACCAGGGGAAGAAGAGATGGAAGTGAGAGTTGACCAGGGAAGGGGAAAGGAGAATCCACCGTCAGATAGTGATTCTTGGCAGGCGGGATGAGGTAAGCCAGACAACAACCTGGTAGGAGGACAGAGACAGGAAGTACCAGGTACTTTACTCTACTGTATACTATACCTACCACAGAAGTACCAGTGACTTTGGCAGACGACAGAAGATCTAGTTGCCCCACCTCTCAGGTACCCGGCACGCTTGTACTTTCCGACCCATGGTACGGTATTACCCGGTACTTGGATATGGAGTCTTCATTGTATCTATAGTAATGCTGTAGAATGATTAAGATGATGTAGAAATAGAGAGAGACAGATAGCGATGGATAGAGATATTGAGAACAGGAGAATATGTCATTCATCTAGGCATTGACAGTTGAGTGGCTTTAGTTACTCCATCCATGCCCCACCCCACTTCTATTGTTTATTCATGTTATTTTTTTCTAATTATGGTTGATTTATTTCCTCCAAACAAAGTCCATGTACCTCACTTACCCACCGTGTCGCGTTCTACCTCCTCGTTGGTAACCATATGCTCACTGTCTAATCATTTCTCTTCTGACTGTCTCTTGTAGATCACCCACCGCAGTCAAATATCGTCGCACTGTCCATTAAATGGCGATCGACATATGGACGGTGGAATGATTTACCCGACAACGTATCCTCTCCATTAGCCAGATGAACCCTGAACAGCAAGACGTTCGATGCAACACCCGTTCGCGAGCAAAGTCTAATGTCCATTGGCCCAGTCCATGGCCAGTCCATGACCCGTGTGGCTGATCTTCTTTATCGGTTGAAAATCGGTGGTGCGCCTGTCCATCGGCAGCAACACCAGCATGGGGCAAGAAAACTTTCCAGCACTATGCATGGAGCGACCAATATAGGTACACTATGGAAGACCCCCTGATCGTTATGATCTGGCGACGCGCATTGGTCACTGGGTCGGATTCGGATCTGCAGCTGCAGCTTCCAACCCAAATACGAACCGTCGCGTCCAATCGTTACCCGCCTCCTCTTCCGAAACATCCCCGTTTCGAACAACGGTGGAATACTCCGAGTTTGACACGGCATTATTATGTTTTTTTGGTGGACAGTGGTCCTGCGGCCCTGATTCCTGACGCGTTTCATCGTACTTGATGCGCATCATCGGATCCCCATCATCCTCATCATCCCGGCTCTGTCCGTGCACTACTGCTACTCAAGGCAAGGTCTTTAAGTTTGGATTATCCAACTGGAGCCTCGTGGCCAATGATCTCGTATCGGAATAGTCCATCTTCTTGGAATTGGTTGGAAAGTAACGTTCCATGCGGCTGATGTCTGCATTCTCCATCTCTTCAGCTCCACGGAGTACCACCTCTCTCCTCTACTCGACCTTTTATGGCTTGGGACACCGGGACACGGGTCCGAGCTAGATCAAGGTCCTGCAGATTTGTTGTCGATTTCGAATCTGGCTCCGGTGTAACTACATCTGTCCCCCCTTTTTGCCTCGTCTGCTCTGTTCCTTGGTTTTCTTTTCCCTTTCCTCTTTCCCTTTCACATTTTCTTTTCTTTGTTCGTGTCTAAAATATATTGCCCACAAGTGTCTTCTGCAGCCATCCCGGTGTACTTTTCTGGATGGACTCGTACTGGGACAGAACACCCCCGAGTTCGGTCCGGCAAAATCGAGTCGAACAGAGCCGAATGCGACTCCAATCTCACCAAAGACAAAGACCATCCTAATCACCGGGTTCATTACTGGAGTGGCAATGCTGACAGTTAGTAAACCATAGTCACGTTCGCCGTTGTGTCAGCACGCCCGAAGCCATGGTAAATAAGGCCTACCCCAATCTGGGGGAAAAAGCAAAGCATACAGCTTGACTACAGAACATACGAGGCTGAGAGAATTTGGGACTTCCACAGTGGGCCAATCCCCTGGTCACTGCAAGATGCTAATCTGGACAATGTGGATCTGGCTGAGTATCAGCAGAACCTCACTTGGTCAGTGAGGAGATGGTGTTCAATCTCCTTTGTCTGTGCCCGCTGTGACTTATATTGCTGTTTCCAAGTCATGACTGACAATAGAACTGGAGTGAACTGGCATTGACAGGAACAATGGATGTTAGACCGATAGCTAGAGATTTCGAGAATGAATAGCCAAATGATTGTGACCCCGGTCACAGTCTCAAACAACAGATGAATGAATCACTTCTGGGAAGTCCTCATCCTATTGAGAAGAAAATAAGAATAAAATTGTATACCAAATGCTATAAAAGACCCCAGTTGAGAGCAAGAACAGGCTGACTAGACGCCCTCTCGATGCATTTCTTGGCGCCCGCGCGGGAAAAAAAAAGGTGACTTGATTGAACCAAAAATGGTTCTCCGGCATCCCAAGCCTCACGTTCCCCAATTCCGACCTCGCCTCTCCTCTCCTCTCCTGTCCCTCTCCCTCCTTTCCTCCCTCTCTCTCTTCTTCCTCCCCTCCCCTCCCCATCTCGACCTATCTTCTCCAACCCGCTTCCACCACCCATCCAACCTCACCCTATCCACGCCCTGAACGCCTCGCCACGTCACACAACGCGCGCAACGCCCTCCCCCATCGGCGCATTGTCCCTCCTCCCACTGGCCCCTCGATAGTTCGTGTGCGCGCGCGCTGTCCGTGTCGTCATGTCCCCTCATGACCGCGCGGACCGTCAGTCAGAATCCGTCGTCGCCGACGCGGTAACCGCGATGAAGCTGGACCCCAACAAAGACACTCCTCCCGCCGGGGATCAGCCGTTTCTCGGCACCACCAATGGAGGAGGTTCCGCGTTTCCCGACGACAGCGACGGAGGCTTCTCCTCCGTCCGCTCCCAGCATCCCGACGAGCGCAACAACGTGTCCCTGTCGCCCGGTGAATCGCGATCTGCGTCTCGGTCGTCCCCTGTCAAGAAGGAAGAAGAAGAAGAAGAGGTGAAAGACGAGCTAGACAGCGATGGTCATGTGGATGGCGATGGCGATGGTGACGATGGTGACGACGATGGCGAGGAAGAGAAGGTCGGCGGCGACATCACCGTCAAGCTAGAACCCGGGCAACCTCCCAAGTTGACCCGCAGTTCTTCGCAGAAGGTCGTGCCGCGACCGCCGCAGCTATTCACGGACCTACCCGACAGCACCGCCGAGGCGAAGTCGACTTTTGGCATGATGAATATGTGCACCTACGCCAATAAATACATGGGATATACGGAACATGCGATGGAGTGTGATTGTGCTGAGGAATGGGGTAAGTGGTTCGAAGATTTGGTCTTCTCCAGTCCGATGATATTACCCCCCTTTTCGTGCGTGTCGTTGTATTTGTATGCCAGGTGGTGATGGTGCCCCACCTCAGCCTGTCCCCTCTACATCTTAAGACTTCCACGCATATTGTCTAATTACCTGAATACCCGGGTCAACAAATGCTAATAAACAGCAGAACCCTCTGTCGGGAAAAATGTCGCATGCGGCGAGGATTCCGATTGTATCAACCGCGCAACCAAGATCGAGTGCATGGGCGACTGCGGATGCGGGCCAGAATGCCAAAACCAACGGTTCCAGCGAGCGGAATACGCCCCAGTGGCAGTGATCAAGACCAAGAAAAAGGGCTTCGGGCTGCGTGCCGAAGCCGATCTGCGATCGCACCAGTTCATCTTCGAGTACGTGGGCGAGGTCATCAACGAGGGCCAATTCCGACGGCGAATGAGGCAGTACGATGAAGAGGGTATCAAGCACTTCTACTTCATGTCCCTCAGTAAGGGCGAATTCGTGGACGCGACCAAGAGGGGCAATCTCGGCCGATTCTGCAACCATTCGTGTAATCCGAACTGCTACGTCGACAAGTGGGTCGTCGGGGAGAAGCTCCGGATGGGCATCTTCGCCGAGCGCGACATCCAAGCCGGCGAGGAACTCGTGTTCAACTACAACGTTGACCGCTACGGGGCCGACCCCCAGCCATGCTACTGCGCAGAGCCAAACTGCACGGGCTTTATCGGTGGCAGGACACAGACCGAGCGCGCGACCAAGCTCCCCAACGCCACCATCGAAGCCCTGGGCATCAGCGACGCCGACGGCTGGGATACAGCGATAGCGAAGCGACCTCGCAAGAAGAAGACAGGCGAGGACGACGAGGAATACGTGGACAGCGTGCAACCCAAGTCTTTGGAAGAGGACGGCGTCACGAAAGTGATGGCAGCTCTCATGCAATGCAAAGAGAAATGGATCGCCGTCAAGCTCCTGGGCCGTATCCAGCGGTGCGACGACGAGCGCGTCCGCAACCGCGTGGTCAAAATGCACGGGTACCAGATCCTCAACTCGCAGCTGGCCATGTGGAAAGAGGACCAGAACGTGGTGCTGCAGATCCTGGACATCCTGGACAAATTCCCTCGTCTGACGCGGAACAAGATCATCGACTCCAAGATCGAGTCGACTATCCAGCCTCTCGCGAGCTGCGGGGACGAGCGCGTGGAGAAGAAGGCCGCCGCGCTGCTGCAGGTGTGGGCGACTCTCGAAGTTGGGTACCGCATCCCTCGGATGAAGAGGGACCCCAACACGACTGCGCAAGCCGTCAACCAGTTCGAGCGACGGGAGGCCAGTCGCGCCGAGCGACGACGGTCGAAATCGCGGTCCCGCTCGCGGTCGCGGTCACGGTCGATCGAAGCGCCGCGTGGTCCCGCCGCGCAAGGCCGACAGGGCCACGGGGGGAGGAACTCCCACCACCACGGCCACGGTCACGGCCACGGTCCGCGGTCATTCCGCCGGCAGTTCCAGCCTCTGCCGTCGGGGTGGTTCGCTGCCGAGTCGAACGGCAGGACATACTATTACTCGGCTCGGGGGGACACCACATGGACGAGACCTACCGCACCGGCGCCTCAACCTCCACCGGCACCAGCGAAAGAGTCCCGGGACAAGGCGCTCCAAGATATCATCGACGGCATCATGAACGCCAAGGAGAACACGCCCAAGGAGAAGACAGGCACGCCGGGGACGCCGCAGACGTCGAAACCCACACCTGATAAACACGAGGGGCGCGAGAAATGGCGGAACTACAGCGAAGAGAAGCAGAAGAAGCTGTACGAGAATACCGTACGTCAACGACCCCAAGAAGCACACCATAACAGACCGACTAACAAACACAGTTATTCCCGCACGTCAAATACGTAGTCGACAAGTTCAAGCACAAGCTCCCGAAAGACGACCTAAAGCGCTACGCCAAAGACGTAAGCCACTTCACTCCATTACAAAAAGTCAATCACTAAATACTAATCCGAAATGTAGGTGGCCAAAAAACTCGTCAACTCAGACTTCAAAAACCACCGCGTGGAAGACCCGACCCAAATCGACGAGAAACAGCAAAAGAAAGTCAAAAAATACTGCAAAGAATACTTCGACAAAGCCGTCGCCAAGCACCGCGCCTACGAGCATCGCAAGAACGAAAAGTCCAGGCCCGGAACAGACCGCGATTCCAAGGCCACAGACACTCCCAACGGGGCGGGGGCCAGCGATGACGAGCTGGACGTGAAGATGTCTGATGACGAGGGGGATAACAATAATGATGATAATAAGGAGACATCGCCAACGGCGACAGAAGGCGGCATCAAGCGAAAGAGAACAGGCACAGCAACTGAAGACGACGCGATGGCAGCTACAAAACGACAGCGGTCGTCGACGCCGCCTCCGCCGCCTCCTCCGCCTGACGGGGAGCCTCCTAACAGCGACGACGCGAATATGTCGACCCCGGCTGGGATGGACATGGAACAACCGATCGATACGCCTCCGCCGCCGCCTCCGCCTCCTGGTGATGATCGGTGCATGACGCAGGAGGAGAGGGATGAGGAGGATATGCCGTCGCAGATTGAGGTCGGGGGGGGAGTATAAGACTTCTTCTTCTTTCTTATCTGCAACTTCCACCTACTCCTCCTTTTGAACATGACATCTTCTCACCTCACCTCAGCCTACCTATACCCATCACTCTCTTCACCTACCCACCTCCCTCCCTCCCTCCCTACCTACTACCCACCCACCTATCTACCTATTACCACTACTATCACTATTAAGCATATCCCACCCAGGCAGGAGTTCGGAGTAAAAAAGGGACGGTCAATTGAATTTGATTTGATTCGATTCGATTTGCCTGTCCCATCCTGGCGATGAACATGAATTGAATTGAATTGACTTGACTTTGAGCATTATTTTCTTCTTTCCACTTTTTCAATATCAACTTTTCTTCTCTTCTTCTCTTCTCTTATTTTGTTTTCTATTTATTTGTTTATCATTACTACTTTTTATCTTTGAATACCCCATTACTTTTTTATAACTAAATAACTTACTTGATTATAACTTGACTTGACTTGACTAAACTATACCTATAACTTAACTATAACTACAATCTATCCATCTACCTACCTACCTACTAGTCTTGTAAGTACCTACCTTGTAGGCTGGCTGATGAATAGATAGCTATCTCTAGCTGCATAGCTAGGTAGCTACTCAGGTATAGTAGGTACGTACAGTGCTTACTACAGATACTTAAACTACACATGCAGTGCACATACAAGACAGACAGATCATCTATCAGTAATTCAGCCAAATATTCCAGTAGATCCAATCAGATACCATCCATCACGTTGATTGGTATTGACCATTCAGATTCACATTTCACATTATAACAAAAACCATCCCTCCAGAGACAAAAAGGAGATGATGATGAAAAAATCTCATTGACAGACACAAAAAAAAAAAAAAAATAGAAACAAGGAAGGGAAACGACAGAGAGAGAAAGAGAACTAGTAAAAACTCTCCACAATACTCTCCTTATTAGCCGAATTCCCCATCCCCACGCCCTGAGGACCCATCTCGCCCAGACGGAACACACTTTCGATAACGCTCAGCTCGGTCGCCGTCGTGTCCAGGCCGGTGACGGCCAGCCAGTCGTTGACGACCATGCCGGCGCCGACGACGGAGCTGCCGCGGTTGACACTGCCGGCGACGAGGGGCACCTGCAGCAGGGAGGAGAGCTCGTCCTGGTCGCGGATGGAGGTCTTGGGGTGGACGATGCCGCCTTGGTTGGAGAGGGCCATGTAGGAGCCTGTGAGGACGTTGTCGGCGATTGTTTGGCGGAAGACTTCCACGCCGAGGACGTCGGCGATGCTATTTTTGTTAGTATCTTTGTTCACATATTGGCTTTTTATATATGATATATATCATATAACACATAGGCAATAAAGGGAAGAGAAGAGGGGAAAGAACGTACATCTCTTCCGTCTCGCGCTCCAAATCAGGATGTATGAGAGCCACATGATCGTTGCAGCAAATGACATTCCCCAAAGCCGACAGTCGCTCCTCTATGCGCTGGATCTTGACATCGTCCGGGAGATCATTCCGCAGATGTTGAAGTTCTTGGTCTGTGGTGGTCGTGGGCACCAGGAGGCCTTTGCGGTTACTGTTAATGTTAACTCCAAACCCTTTCATTCCCCCTCGGTATCTTCAATACCGAGTATCTTAAAGAAGGAAACATACCCAGCTGTTAAACGACCAACAATGCGAGTCCCCGCGATAGAAGCATGACAGATGGGAATAACATCTTGCAGTTCAGCCTCGAACACACTATAATTCCCAAGATTAGTCCCCCATCTAAAGCCCAGCCCACAGAGAGCGATACTGTAAGAAGGAAAACACACCTGTAAAAGTTCTCCGAAGCACCAACAGCGACAATCGCGTAAGAGTTCGTCAGACGGGAAAAGACGCCGACTCTGCAAAATCAATCCTGTTAGCGCACTCACTCCTCCCATATATATGTATCTCCCCCGGAAGGACCCTACTCACTCGTTGGAGTTCTCGAATTGAGCACGGACCGCCATAGCTGTTCTGTATGAGATGTCGTGGGTGGTGTTTGAGGAAATAGTGTCGAGAGGTGGTGGTTGATGTTGGAGGGGCAGGCAGTGAGGAGAAAATATGTGCGGGCGGGGTGGAAAACGTCGGAGAACAAACAGGTGGAGGAATAAGAACCAGCACCACAGATACGGAGGTTAAAGGAGCTGGATAGAATAGGTTAAAGATACCTGGTTAAGCTCTCAGCTATAATAGGTATTTATATCAAAAGATGCAAATGCTAGAGGAGCCAAAAAAAAAAAAAAAAAAAAAAAAAGAAAAGGCTCGACGTTGCGATCGCCCCGCCGGTCACGCTAGTCCCAATCGGGCACAGGGAAGAGTCACCGCGGATGAGTCATCCTGGCTCATCCTGGCTCCACTCGGCGGGGACTACTATGCTTCACTGCCTACTGGGGACAAGAGTCGGGGGTGGCAAGGGTAATTAAGTGGACAAGAGGTAGTTGGAACTTTCATTAGACTGTCAACATCATAGTTCTCCTCATGTGGGCAATTATGGATACAAACATGCAACCGGGTATGTACAACCATGGACGCCAACCATGTACAAAACCTGGCAATCACAAAACAAAACAAAGTAAGACCAGTAGACAAGAACGCCCCAGAAGATCGTAGATCCTCAGTCTCCCTGGTAAGAACAGGTTCAAGAACAAAGCCAACCAAGTCCACGCCAGACCGTACATCCACGCTGAATCGATTGCAAAGATGAAACAAAAAAGAAAGCAAAGGGTGATCATAATCCAAACGCCAGAAGCACGTCAGCCGGGGACAGCGCCCTATCCACGCCCTTTTTCAAGGGGGGACCAGGAGCCGGACCAGAAGCGACCAAATCCAAACGCCGGAAGCACCACGCCAGCCAAGGCCAGCCCCCCGTCCACGCTCTTCCTAGGAAGGGGGACGAGGAGGCCGTCCAGGCGGGGGTGCGGAGGATAATACAGGTTGGGGGGATAATGTCCGACGGAAGCACCAAATCAGCCAGGACCGTCACCCGTCCACACTCTTAATAAGGGGGACGGGGCGGGCCAGGCGGCGGAGGGTGCGGGGGGTGCGAAGGGTGCGGAGGATAATACATATTAGGAGGAGGATGTCCGGTCATAAAACCAGGCAGCGGAGGCCGGTGGAAATTAGACCCCGGCGGAGGCGGCAGCTGCGGCGGCCCGCCCCGGGGAGAAAAGAGACCAGGTAATCCCAGCTGTTCGTTGATCGATGGGATCTGCTGCGCAGCGGGGAGAAGCCGTCGTTGGCGCTGCGGTGTGGGAGGGGGGAGAACAAAGGATCGGGGCTCCGTGGGCCCATGTGCGACATGGGGGTGGTGTGGCGGCGGCGGCTGGGGCAACAGGGTTCGATGCGCGCCGGGCTGTGGGGTGGTGAGATGGGACAGGGAAGATCGGGGCATCTCGGCCGACGCAACATCCGCCAGCGCGGACAACGCCGCGGGGAACGCTTCCGGGACGGGGGGCGGCCGAATGTCCCGCTCGACAAAAGGCCCACGGCGAACCTCCACGGCGTTTGTGGCCTGCACCAAGAGGTCGATGATGTCTCCCGCGGAGCAGCCAGCGAATGGACCGGTGTCGGTCATCTCCTTCATTTGCGGGTCGATATCGTCACCCAATTTGGCCCGTTGGAGGAAATCATCCCAGCCGTACTCGGCCCGTTCGTAGGCGGCCGCGCCGGCAGGATCCCGCACGTAAGATGACAGAAACCCCCGAACGACCCCCTTGGAGGGCGGGATCACAGGCACGCGCTCGGGCTCCGTTCCAGAACCCTCGGTCTAGACATCCGGTGTTAGTTCCGGTATGATCGAAATGGAAGAAAGGCACCTACCTCTGTGTGCTCATCATCTTCGGCGGCACGACGGCCTTCCACAAGGGCCATGTAGTCTCCCTGGCAAGCCAGCAGATGCTCGTCTTTGATTTGCTGTGCCGCGTACTGAGGAGTATTAGCTAGAGAATGGAAGAAAGAAAGAGGGGAACGTACCCTGGATCTCTCCTCGAGAATTGCCTTGTTGGCGGTAAACAGTCGATTATCTTGGTCGACGCGCAATTGATATTCCCGACGCAGGATCTCCTTCTTCTCCGCAAGTCGTGCTTTGAGAAGCAAGTTGATCTTGTCGAATTCCGGAACGTCCTTATGCGCATTCTTATCGCGCGCGAGCTTTTTCTGTGACTGCGACGCAAGAACCGCCAGGGCCAGCCGCTGAGCCGCCGCCACCTTGCGGAACGTCCGGTCCAATTCGCGTTGCCGGTCGCGCAGTCGCTGGGTGGCGGGGGTGGGAGACGGCGTGCGGGCGAGCTCGGCATCGCTCGAGCGATCCAGTTGACGACCGCGCCCCCCACGGCCACTGCGCGTCCCCCCGCGACCTCGTTTGGCGATCCCGGCACGACCACGTGCGGCGCCGCTGCCACGTCCTCGTCCCCGGTTTCGACCCCCACGGCCCGACTTGGCGGCGGTCGACTCCGCGGCGTTTTCCGTCATTGGCTCTTCCACGTCTTCTGTCACCTGGCGGGAGTCGTTGTCCCCGGTGAATTCGTCAGCACCGGCCGCCGAGGGGGATGCGGGTTTGTCCTCGTCGCTCGCTCGGAACGTCTCTTCCATGGCGCTGTCCTTTGCGCCGTCTTCCAGCTTGGCTTTCTTACTGAGACCGAACGATCCACTGGCGCCGTTGGGTTCGTCACGGGGCTCCATCTCTCCAGATTTGCGCTTTGCAGGCCGCGCGGACGGGCTCAGGGCGGCTTCCGACGGCTGTGGTCGTTCCGATTCTTCTGGGGTGGCGTGCCGGCTGGTGCCAGGCTTGATCTCTTCCGGAGAGAGGGCGCTCTTGGGTTCGTCGTCCAGTGGATGCGTTTTCGTGCCCAGCCCGCGCGGGGTCTTTTTCTCCTCGAACGGCTGAGTGAACTCAATGCGTTCCGGGAGGGTGCTGCGAGGCGATGGTGATTTGGGCGCCGAGAAGGCTGGCGGAAGGGGAGCCGCTGCGGTGGAGTCATTGGCCCCGTTCACCGAGAGCCTGCTCCGGTTACGCGTTCTTCCGCTCGGAGTGAACGTGGCAGATGGGCTCACGTCGACGGGCTTGGACGCCGCGAGAGGCTCTGCGGGAGGAAACTCGTTCGATGACGGATGAGAGTGAGACTTCAAGCGGGCCGACTGACGGGTGGACCTTGGGGTGTCCTCGACCGCCGGGCCGCGCTTCACGCGTTTCGCTCGCGGAGTTTCGGGGACAGCGGCGGATGCGAGGTCCTCGGACTGGGGGGGCTTGGCCGACGCACTGGAGATGGAGGACCGAGTACGAGAAGATCGAGTCTCGCGTGCATGGTTGGCGGCGGCGTTCGCTAGGTTGTTGGCGGAGTTGTTGGCCGGGTTGTAGCCCCGAACCGCACGAGTACTCAGCGTGACGATGCGTGAGGGCCGCTGGGGACCACTGTGTTTGCTGTTGGAATTGGTAGCATCTGTCGGATGAGCACGTGCATCCTGGCTGGCGCGATGACTTCGAGTCACGCGAAATTGAGGAGTATCGCCAGTGGAGTCTACAGGCGTGTGAGATGGGTAAACTCCGGGGGGCAAGACTATGGTCCAACTTACTAGGGGTGTTGCTGGGGATGGACTCGTTGGCGGCATTGCCACTTGATTGGCCAGTGGCAGGAGCTCTGGTGGCATCCATCTTGCGTTTGACACCCGCCATCGCCACTCTCTGGTTGATGGTTAGTATTGGTTGGATGGAGAGTAGATAGATAAGACGGAAGATTGAGGGACAGGACGGAAGGGGAATGAGCAAAGACTGATGTGGGGAGGGGAGCAAAAGGGATATGGAAGGACATGGCAGGAGTAGAAGGTCAGGTATCAAGGGAAGAAAGGTGATAGAGCTAATGGAGTTCTCTCCGATAGAGAAAGAGATCGACCAATGTAACACAAGGATCTTAAAACAAACAACAAGGTGCTGATGGACGGCGTCGAAGGCAGGGGGGAGAAGCCAAGCGAGTTGCGACCCAAGCATGAAATGGAATCATTAGATGGAGCGCAACCATTGAGTTTCTCAAGCCGGAGGGATGTGCAACGGGGCAGGGATGACAGGCGCGCCAGGCCGGATCAAGAGGGAGGAAACACGGGTAAGAGAAAGTATACAAGATGGCAGAAAGGATTTCCGAGTATGGGAGTTCAGAAGGGTATACGAATGCAATAGATGAAGGGGAGAAAGAAGGAGAAGGAGAACAAGAGAAGGAGGGAGAGTAGAGGGAGTCAAAACTACGCGACGATGGCAAAGAACGTGTAGAAGAAGCTTGAGTTGGGAGTAAAAAAAGAAGGGAAAAAAAGAAGAAAAACAGTATGCAACGGTGGGGACAACAGGAGAAGGCCAAGGCAAAAGGATCCAAGTCAAAGGGAGGAAAAGACGAACCGACGGGATAGGGAAAAAAGAAGGTTAACTTACCAGAGGAATGCAAACCAGGCAGGGCGAAAATGGGAGAAATGAAGTCGAAGTAGACTGATGGTTTCTACTAAAAGTAGAGGGAGACAGAAAGAGGTTCGGCCAAGTGGATCAGAATGGGCGACGCAGGCGCTAAATGGTAAGCCGTTGGTCGCCGGAAGGAGTAAGTCTATACAACTCAATGGTCTCTTCGACAGAATCGATCCACCAGTGTCGAGATGAGATAGAGAGAAGCAATGGAGTTGATGTTTGGATTAAGATCCAGATGATTAGATGATCAGAAGGAATTTCAAAACAGAGGAATATGAGTTGAAGAAGGATGAGATGGTGAGAGATGGAAGAAGAGGCAAGATGGGAGAAGGGGAAGAGAAGAAGAATACAAGAGAGAAAGGAAGGAGGAAAGAAAAGAAAAGAAAGAGACAGATGGATGTAGGTAATCAAGAAGAGTGAATCCAAAAGGACCAGTGAATGGAAGAGAGTATAGGGAAGAGTAAGGAAGAGAAAGAGAAGAAGATGAAGCCATTCAGCAGAAGAAATGAATCCTCGTTTTAGTTCTTCCTCTACTTCCTTTGCTTGTTTTAGCTCCATCGTACCGTATCGTACCGTATTTATTCCTCCGGTAGATCACTATCTGTATCACTACATATTATTCATTTATATCGTTGTAGATACTGACAACACAATTAATACTATAATATCACGATCACTTCTTCAGTCTAGTGATAAATAAAATATTCATCAAGTGTAGTATAAAGACCAAAGATTGAGCTCAGGTAGAAGATCATGGCCTACTGAAAGATTGCCGCATCGAGTAAGAAATCCCCAGTGGAGCCTGAAAAATAAGCAAGAAAAAATAAAATAAAAAACAGGTAACAAATCCATACAACGTAATCTAGACCCCTTTTATACTACACCCATACTCCATCCACTGTATAAACATACATTCTATTAAAGAAGAAAACACCCTCACTCTATAGAATATGGTATAGAAACAGGTATACCTGGATATCAGTGAGCATGTATGCAGCTTACCTATCTACTCACCTACGTATCTAGTACCTCCAAGCTTTGTATACAGAGACCGCCATTTGCTCAACCTTCTCCTCACCGTTCCCTCGGAGAATACTATAAACTTAGAAACCATTCCAATCTATCTTCCGCAGATGGGTTTAGATAAAGAAAATCTCTCTCTATGAAGAGGCACGTGTGCGGTCTACACCGTCACTTCTTCGATCGGCCGTACATTTCCGGTATTAGAAGGTATCTCCCTCCTACGATCGAACATGGATGTTTTCCCTACTAACTTCTATTTACACTTCCTACCAAGAATGTAATATGCAGTGTTGGATATCCAACAAAAGAAAGACTAGAATCATTGGACTGCCTCTAGACCATCTATATAGATCACCCATTAGACCTATATTTATATCTATATCTATATATATCTCTCTATAATATAAATCATATCAAACACGCTAGCTAGACCGAGGATATCTTGCACCTGCACCAAAGAGCACCACAAAAAGCTAAAATAAAAATGACAAAAGGAAAAGATGTAAAGAATGGCATGCACAACACTCATATAACGCACGGATGAGACAGCTCAGCTCTCCTGCGGGGATTCGCTCAGCTCGTGCTTCTTCTCGTACCGCGTGATGCTACTCCGCACGTCGGCTGCCATGATGAATCCGGGGATCTGCGTTTCGTCTGGTTGTTGGCTTGAGTAGATGCTCTTGTTGTTGTTATTATGGTCATCGCCAGACACAACTGACAACAACGATGAGGAAGACGACGATACTAACTGCGGAGTACTCGTCGTGCTTCGCCCCGGGTCGATCCGCTCTCGATCTACCTGATCCATTCGCTCGAACAGCGGCGACCGACTGCGGGGGGTGTGGTGATGCTGTCGGTAGAGCGAATGAGTGGACCGGTTGGACCGGACGCGGCTTAGCATCTTCATCGTGATGGTCTGGCCGGCGTTGGGCGACGCGACCACGATGGTCCCTGGCGTTGGTGTCGGTGGTGGCGAGGAGCTGCTGGGTCGGAAGAGCGGGTGGATGTTGCTTTCGTCTGGGAAGACGAGGGTGGGGAGCACTGCTTTGGGGGGTACGTTTGGTTGTGTTGGTTGTGATGCTGATGCTAGTGTTGTTGTTGATGATGATGCGGGAGATGAAGATGATGTTGCGGTGGTCGTATGGAACGGTGTCTTGTCCCAGGACGGCCGTTGGGCTGGCAACTCGTGGCCTCGGGAATCGGCGACGATGGTGACGCAGCTGTCGCGGTCCTCGTCGAGGAGATCCGGGGTCACGCTGGGGCTGGCGTATATCGAACGCGGGCAGTTGAGATCGAGTTTCAGGTCTAAGGAGGCAGAGGCGCGTCTCGTGTCGTGTCGGTAGAGTGTCCGGCCGGAATAGCGGTTCGACCGGCGGGAGGCAGCGCTGGACGCAGTGGGCTGCTGCTGCTGCTGCTGGGGAGGGAGCACGTCGTAGCTTTCTTTGGAGTGCTCCAGCGAGTCTGTATTCGATGACGGCGGTCTCGATGCCCGCGCTCTGGAGGTCGATCGGTTGGGAAAACGAGTCAGTTCGTGGGCGGCGGATCCGGGCCATCGGGTGGGACGACGTCCTTGGTTCTTCAGGCCCGTCAGGAGGTATCCGCCTAGGACGCCCTGGGCCATGACGGAGATGGCCCACATGACGCAGCGGGAAATCATAAGAGGCTGCCGGCGTTGGTGCTCCGCTGAGTTGCTGGTCTCGGTTGCGAACCGGACGGCACACCATGCGAGTAGGGCTGCGGTTGTGGCTGTTGCGATGGCGAGGTAGGTAATCACCGCGCCATATGTGATGGCCCTCCAGTCCTTCCATGGTTGTAATGTATTATTCTCGACATCGAGGGTCCATAGCACGAGTAATACGATCAGTGTCCCGCAGCTGATCGCACCTAGACCAAGGATGGCGGCCTCGATTGCGGATGTATTAGACGGTGAGGATCGGGAGGAGGCGAGGCATACGCCGTCGAGGACCGTGACTACTAATGTCGATAGTAATGAGGCAGCCCCGAAGTAGTGGATTGGGCGACATCTGCGCACGCTGGGAGTCATTTGGGTAGTGGGTTTCGACAAGCATGTAGTGGGCGCTGGTGGAGTTGCTGCCGCGGGAATCAATTCCGACTTGACTCGATGGTAGGGTGCTCTCTTCACGGACGACGGTGGTGTATATAGATTAATTATTGGAGATTCCGATGGGTTGGAAAAGAATCCAGTGGTGTATAGAGTGCGGTTCAATCGGTGGACGGTTGGGCTTCTACCATCAACAACGGAAGATGTTCATGATAGCAGCGTCCACATATAGGAAGATTGAACAGGAGAAGCTTTCGATAGATTGAGATAAACCAAAGAGATAAGAAGCGAGAGATAATGATCAGACAGACAGGAATATGGATCTGGCCTGCAAGAGTATAGACAAAGCAACTGGACGAAGGAAGAGCGACGAGGGAATGACGGGAGTAAATATCCGAAAAGAATGTTATGACCCAGTAACCTGGAAAGATCGAAAGTCTATCTATCAGACTAGGGAGAGACTAAAGAGCGAACGACGGGGAAAGAGGGCCCCCGATGTTTGGAGTTTGGAGCGAAAGACATGGGTATGCAAGACTAGGGTTAGGATGACAGGGGAGGGAAGTGGGAAAATGATGGTAGATCGCCACGTCTGTTCGAGATCAGACCCTAGGGCGTCCAGAAAGAGAAAAAGAAAAGAAACGAGAAGTAGTCAAAAGTACGGCACCGAGAGACTCGACGAATTTCTACTTGCAGATCTCCAGTTCTATCCCGATCTCTGGACAGGTACCGTTTGAAGCCGTAGCAGAGGTCTTCCTCTTCACCCCCTCCCATACACGATGCTCTCCGCTACACATATTACATAGTAGACACCATTGTCACATCCGGGGTACTTAGAAGTCATCCATGAAACACCCCAAGGGGTAGTTCGTTCCCGAAAAGATTATACTCGTCATCCACGTCCCTCGACCTGCTTGCATGCCTAACACAAGGTCCTTCGCGGGCCGATCCTCGAGCCCACGCCAGGCCAATAAGGTCAACCCACCAGGCAACCCAGCAGGATGGAACTAGGAGACATCACTGACGCATAGCACAGGTCTACCGCGACCGATTTGTCAAGGCTGGTGGCTCTCTAAGTTTTTGTGAAGCGGCCGGGACGATCACCGGGGTACCGGGAGAGCCTTAAATGGCAGAGTGTTCCAATTTTCGATTCCCGGATGGGGAGAGCAAGGTCGACCAATGGACTATAAAATCCCCGACTTGGTGATGTGACGTATCGTCTGTTCGTTTTGGGGGAGCTGAAGAATCCTAGGGACGGGTGGGATGATGTATGTGATGTGACAGTGGATGGGTCTTGGATGTGAATGAGGGGGATCCCGAGACCAAAAAAGAAAAGAAAAGAAGAGAAGAGACAGTCTTCTAGAAAGTAGTGGATAGAGAGTTGATGTGCAAGATATCAAGCGGATTGGCACCATGATCCTGGTCGTGTCGGGGATTGCTCAGAAGTTCTCCCTAGATGACCCCACCGCCATCTGATACATCGATGAGACAGATATCATCACCCGGGGGTGCCCCCTCTTCATGATCCAATTATTCCTTTTTTTCTCGAGAAGGAAAGAGACTCTTTCTTTAGTGGTATGGGAGAGCAAAACAATAGAATTGTCAACACTAACACTGAGGACAGACTCAGCAACCATTCTGACCATGGAGATTATTGCAGGACACTGGATTGAACCGGTAATTGTCATTGTTACAAATATACATTCGAAGCTGTCATGAATAGATTGCAACTCTTTAGTATCATCCTTTCATCAAAGTGCAATCAATACACATAACCACTCCATACTATCGTGTTGATGTGGCGGTGCATATCGTGGCTGGACTGTGGCTTCAGACCGCCTCCGCCTTTCTCCTCTCAGGCTCTCAGGCTCTCAGGCGTCATGCATTGCCATCATCGTCCATCACTTTCTTGCCCACTTTTCTTCCTTCTTCTTCTTCTTCCCTTGTTCCACCCACCTCAACCCATCTTCCTTTCCCTTCCTCGATCCCTTTGCATTCGACTTCTGTTCATAATTCCCTGTTCCGAGTCACATCGTCCCTCTAACCTTCTCCTTCCGTATTTCCCCACCTTGGTTAGCTAGTTGCTGTGTCTGTGGTCCTCTCTGGTGGCGCAAGATGAAGCTCACTTTCAAGGTACCCCCCCACCTTCGCCCTCCACCCGCGTCAACGATGTTTCTCGTCCGTCATCTAATCGTTGATCTCTGCAGGATTTGAAGCAACAAAAGTTTGTAATTGATGCGGAGCCCTCCGAAACGGTATGGCAGTTTCTCGTGTCCCCGGCGTTCTCGGTGCGGGGCTAATCGAATCACCTTTAGGTTGGCCAAGTCAAGGAAAAGATCTCCAAGGAGAAAGGATGGGAGGTTCCCCAACTGAAACTCATCTATTCGGGTTAGTGAACCACCCTTGGTTGTCTTCAGCGCCGTTGGTTCTTCCAGACGTTCGTCGACGGCGTCGACATCCCATCCGCTGACCGTCATCCCACTCTCCAGGAAAGATCCTTCAAGATGACAAAGCCATCGAGACATACAACATTGAAGAGAAGGGCTTCGTAGTCTGCATGGTGTCCAAGGTACGCGACTGATCCCAGAAAAAATCTTCTACGGAAAAAGCAAAACAATCCGAGACGAGTCTAATTCGTGTCGCCATAGCCGAAAACTGCCGCACCCTCTGCCTCTTCTTCACAGGCCCCTTCCACGCCTTCCAGAGCGCCTGCATCTACGCCCGCTGCTCCCCCGGCTCCGGCCCCCTCCACCAACACCTCCACGCCGGCTGTTCCTGCTACTCCTTCGCCCGCCGCCTCCCAACCCCCGCCCACTTCCTTCAATGACCCCTCAACCTTGTTGGCCGGGACCCAGAGTGAGCCGGTCGTTGCTCAGATGGAGAGCATGGGCTTCCAGCGAAGTGATATCAACCGTGCCATGCGAGCTGCTTTCTTTAACCCCGATCGTGCTATTGAATACTTGTTGAACGTACGTCTGAGACAACATTTATCCTTACCTCCGAAATGTGTTTTGGTTTCTCGTCTAACGATGTACAGGGCATTCCGGATGACGTCCAAGAAGAACAGCAACAGCAGCAACAGCAGCAGGAGGAGGCCGCCGCCGCCGCTACTGGCTCCCCCCAGGCCCCTGCCGCGACTGGTGCCACCGGTGCCACTGGCGCCACTGGGGGCGGCGACGAACCCGTCAATCTGTTCGAGGCAGCAGCTCAAGCCGGCGGCCAAGAAGGGGGTGCTACTCGTGGTGCTCGTGCTGGTGGGGCTGGAGCTGGAGCTGGAGCTGGAGCTGGTGGAGGTGAAGGTCTTCCCAGCCTGGATTTTCTCCGTAACAACACCCACTTCCAGCAGCTCCGTCAGCTGGTCCAGCAACAGCCCCAGATGCTGGAGCCTATCCTTCAGCAGGTCGCTGCGGGTAACCCGCAGATCGCCCAGCTGATTGGACAGAACGAGGAGCAGTTCTTGCAGCTTCTGAGTGAGGAAGGGGAGGGCGCCCTCCCTCCAGGCACCCACCAAATCCACGTTACCGAGGAGGAGAGAGACGCTATCGAACGTGTATGATTTTCCCCTTTGAACTATCTCTCGACTCCAAGCAACTAACCCGAAACTAGCTCTGCCGACTTGGGTTTTCCCGTGACCTGGTGATCCAGGCGTATTTCGCCTGCGACAAGAACGAAGAGCTCGCCGCGAATTACTTGTTCGAAAACCCGGACGATCCCGAGGATCTATGAAATGGCACTATCGTATCCTCCCCTCGAGACTTATCAATGATACCGAGCCGCAGACCACGTTCTATGTTCCGCTCCTCCCCTCGCCACTGCCGCTGCATTTATCTGCCCGGGTATTCTACTTGAGCTAGTGGTCTGAGCTGGTATCGCCGTTCGCTGTGTTCCCTCAGCCCAGGATGTTGGTGTCTCTCTACACATCATGCTTACTCCAAACCCTTTCATACATACCATTCTCCCCCTGGACCGTCACACACGATGTGTGCTTTTTTCTTTTTCTTTTTGTTCTTTCATTTTTCCTTTTTTTTTTCTGAGATGACGTTTCCGATCAAGCACTAGTTAATACAACAAAATGGGACATGATGATTCGACCCGTCATTTTAATTCGTAGTAGTAGTTATCTTTCTAGGGATGGGTAGATCTAATCGTGGGCAGGTGGACGTGATCACCACGACCATATGATCAATACTCGAGTCATATGACGTATTCACAGAACAATGAAGGCAGCCTACCCACCACCTAGGTACTCCTAGGTACCTACACAATTATTGACCAAATGATCCAATCGGTTCCCTGACCCAAGTATGAATTAATATCTAGTTATCTACCTACCTCTGTAGGTAGGTAACGATAATTGCCCGTAGGTAGCAATGAATCCGCAAATATCCCGATCGGGTCTGCCCAACCAGACTGGCATATGTAGCCAAGGTCTGGGGAGTAGGTCAGGCGATGTATTCTACTCTATTTATCCATTGTTGTTCTTTTTGGACAGATATGTAAATGTAAATATGAATGTAGATATATATTGAGAATATGGGGAATGGGAAATGGTGGGTTCGTTAGAGGGTAGAGGGTATTGTTGTGTGTGTGTGTGTGTGTGTGTGTGTGTGTGTGTGTGTGTGTGTGTGTGTAGATAGGTCAGTGGGGGAGAGATTTACATACATCTATACGTCTATACGTACGTATGTACGCACATGACATAAATGCATGTATGTGTGCATGCATGTGTAAGTTAGGGTAATGTACGTATGTAGGTGTGTATGTGTGTATGTAAGCATTTATGCATGTCTTTCTTGGTTAGTTGGTAGCTTGGCAGCTTGGTAGGGGAGGAAGCGATTGAGTATTGTGTAGATAGATAGATAGATAGATAGATAGATGGATGGATGGATAGGTGGATAGTTACACGCTTAGTGCGATTGATGGTTTGGTATAAGTTTGATATGATATATGGGTATTCATGATCTATCCATGGAGTATGGGGAGGGAATCCGGAAGACGAGGGAACGGGGGTATAGCGGATACGCATGATATGATTGATATGGTGGGAGTGGGGGGATGAGAGGTGAGTTTTCAATATGGTTAGGACGACAAAACAGGTAGTAGATGATCGCTGAAGATGAAGACTTGAGAGTGAAAGTTGAAGCTGTGAGGTGGGGGAGTATGCGAATGCGAGAAGGATGAGGAATGGTAGGAGGGTGGGCAGGAACATGCGGTGTAGAGACAAATATGGTAGCGCCAGACTTTCATTTCAAAAACCAATAAATTAATCAAAAGAGATAGAGAGGTGGTTTCACCCCTCTGCCAAGCTGGTATACCCCAGACCAGCTGACGCAGGTCAATCGCAGGTTCTCTCAGCCTTCCACACGGCCAAACCGCGACGGCCAATCACGCGTCTCAATGTGGGAATGACCCCGTCGTCACCAAAGTCGAGGTCGTCCAGGTTCAGGTGTTTGCTGTAGGACCAGAGCTGGACGAGCTGGAGGTCGGACGCATCCGCTGACGGGGGTATATATCGGTCGAGGAAGGTGGCAGATTTGGGCGCCACGACGAAGACCGGGTGGTTTGCATTGTCGGAGTCCTTGATGGACCGGCAGGATGGGACTGCCTTTTCCAGTTCCTGCGCCATCTGAAGTCCCGGAATGCCCATTAAGTCTCTGGTTTCGATGTCCAGCGGGAGGGAGTTGTTGTCTCCGAGGAGCCACAGGGGTGGGGAGTAGGTCTTCCACCAGAGCACTGTTGCGGAGACGCTGGGAAGTTCCCCGCCGGACGCCTTCATGGCGCTGGTGGAGATGATCGACGGCATGGCGATCTGAGCTGGCACCACGCCCCCTTGGTGGTAGACCCCCATCAAGAATCCCAAGGCCGCGTTGAAGATCACCCACGCGGCTAGAAACAGACGGGACGGGCCCATGCGGAAGCAGCTCAGAAGTAGGGGTATGCATGGGATCAGGAAGCGGGGTTCCTGGTGCGGAAAGAGGGACAGGATGGCCGTGGCCGAGATGGCTGAAACGGCGCGCATGTCTTTCAACCACGAGAAGCCAGCCGGGAAACTCAACACCGACGAGGCGATCATCGTCACGTAGGCGGGTCCGAGAAGTTGCGGTAGGTTGACTAGGAAGTGATTGTATCGAGGATGGATTCCATGGAGAGCCAGATTCGACTGATCGGTGTTGTATAGCAGGTTGTTCAGAGGCGTGATGACCGGGTCGTAGACCGCCGCCCAGAACGACGCGGACGGGTGGTAAAAGGCCGTGTCGATCAGGACCGCAATACCGAAGAACAGGAGACCGAACCCCACGAAGCAAACCAGGGACAGAGGTCTGAAGATCGAGTCAGTCATCAGTCTACCATCGCAATGTGACAGCACACGGATGAGGGGGACCTACTTGCGCCAGAAATGAGGCAGTAACTGGAACCCTGGGAAAAGGAGGAAGGCTGGGAAAGTAATGCGGTTGAAGACACCGGCGACAGCGATAAAGGAAAGAACCGCGCAGGAGAAGAGCGAAGAGCGTCTCTGTAAACAACCATCAGCTTGGAGAGCTTCACCTCACACTTGACCTCCTCCGTGGGGTGATCCGAACCTTATTCTCCACGATGCGACGAATCAAAACCAGACCCCAGGCTACCAACAACGTTTCAAGGGAGTTGGAGAAGGTGTGCGTCTGATACGTCCAGGTGACATACGAGGATGCGACCAGCACCACCGTGGCGCGACGCTGGCGCGGGAAGGGCACCAACTCATAAACCGCCCAGTCTTCCAGCACAAAGCTCAACAGAAACATACACCCGCGGATCAGGTGGTAGACCAGCTGCGGGGGAGGATTCGCGGTTCCGGTCTCGGTGTAGAACCATTTCAACAGGCTCATCGGCACGTCGTAGGTCGGCCATAATGGGAAAACGCTGCGAATCGGCTTCTCGGCGACAAACTCCCATGGTAATTTGGAGGGGAAGGAAAAGATTCGACCTGGAATTGTTCATTTAGTTTTTTTTCTTTCTTATACATAGTGACTCCCCAATCAGAAGTTTCAGAAAATAAATAATACAATAAGAAAACAGACGAGATCAAGACTTTGCGACGCTCTCAACAGCAGCTACCCGCCCATTTCCGACTGTCGCGCGAGGGATTACTCGCATCCGCGACTGATCGACCATCCGGCCATTCCGGTCAGGGGTGGGTGGGGTGTTGAAAAGGAGGGGGAAAATAAACAAAATTAAAAGAAAAATCAAAATTAGAAGGTCAACATACCGGCGAAAATTTCAGGCCCCTGGAAGTTTTCATCGGGATGAAGATAACTGGGGGAGAGGGCAAAGTAAACACGGATCACCAGGAGGAGTAGATATGTTCGTCTCCACATGACTCAGGCCAGGTGGTTGGACCACGAGAACAGCATATACAGGAGGAAGGGGTTCTCTTTTGTTTTTCACAGCATGAAGGACGGCGAAAGGGAGAGTTTATATCGGAGGAACATGCTGTGACTTGCTGCAATGACATGCAAGAGGAAAAAGAATTGGAGGATGGATATGATATATAAGAGGCGATCAAGGAGAGACGATCGTGTAAGCCATCCAAAAGGGAAAGGGGAGGGAAGGGGAAAGGAAAGGGAAAAGAAGCAGGGGCAGAGAGGGGAAGGGGATTTAAAATAGAGATGGAGGGAGGAGAACAGATCAGACAGCCTGTAAGATGAGGTGAAATGGGGTCAAATGAAAGGGAAGATCAGGATCATCGGAGGGCGAGTGGGAAGGATGGATCGGATTGACCAGACTAAGTCTATAGGTGAAGCTGATTGATGCAGCTAAGAGGCTTAAGAGCCGTGACACTAGAGTGCTCACTGTGCTGACCGAAGGGCAGACGCGTCGGAGGGTGATATCACCGTCATGAAGCTTTGAAGTGGAGAGGAATGAAATTACCCGATGAATCGAGGTGGGTCAATCAGTTGGATTCATTCTAACTATTAACAGGGAGATACACTATAGGTATTAGTGAGGTACAAGTCTGTCTGTCTGTCTGGTCTGATTGTGATGATGCATAATTAGTAATTCAGATATAACTGATGCCCAATCAGTCAGGCACCCACCAGGCACTCCAGCCCCAGGCACTCCAGGCAGCCACAGCTCCAGGCAGCAAGGCAGCCAGCCAGGCAGTCAGGCAGTCGGGCAGAATGACTCACCGCCCAGGCACAGTGGGGGCAAACCCCAATCCGGAACTGCATCATTATTACCACCAGGCAATGACCGAGTGAGCACTAAGTCACTTCCATCCTCGAACTGTTAGTAACAAGGCTGAGCCTCACGCTAAAGTTCTAGTCACTGACTACATCTTCACTTCCCTTTGTCTCTTCTCTTTCATCCACAACATTCTTTCACTTCTCTTTGACCCTTCCAGTGAGATCGTGAACGTTAAATACAGGTGTGTCCTCCCCTCTTCCTCGTGTCTCATCTCCATCAATTTTGGTTCCTCTTTCATTCTGCGTGTCCCCACTCCTCGCTTTCCCCGTACCCCTCTCGATCCGTTTACCTATTCTCGAGTCATCCTGCTTCATCTACACAATCTACCATTCAACATTACTGATCCCCGGAATCTTCAAACGTACAGATTCTCATCATGGCTGCCAACCAAACCCTGACGTTCCAAAGCTCCGATGGCGTCGATATTAGCGTCGGTAAGTGCGCCTTCAACGTGGCGCTGGACTCGTCCTTTCTTGCTAACGTGGTGTTTGACTGTAGATCGCGATGTCGCCGAGCGTTCTTTGCTCATCAAGAACATGCTGGAGGATCTGGGCGATGCCCACGAGGCCATCCCCATTCCCAACGTGAGTCCTCCAAATGCTTGGTCCTGAGATATCAAACGGCTAGTGGATCAGGCGACTCTAACTTTGTGTGTGATTAGGTCAACGAAGCCGTCCTGAAAAAGGTCATTGAGTGGTGCTCCTACCACAAGAACGACCCCCCCAGCACTGGCGACGACGATGACTCTCGCCGCAAGACGACCGATATCGACGAGTGGGACCAGAAGTTCATGCAGGTTGACCAGGAAATGCTGTTCGAGATCATTCTGGTTCGTCATCTTCCATCCACCCTGCTCAGGTGAGCGGACGGGCTAACATGGGTATAGGCTGCGAACTACCTCGATATCAAGGGTCTCCTGGATGTTGGCTGCAAGACCGTGGCCAACATGATCAAGGGCAAGTCCCCCGAGGAGATCCGCAAGACCTTCAACATCCAGAACGACTTCACCCCCGAAGAGGAGGACCAGATCCGTCGTGAGAACGAGTGGGCTGAGGAGTAAGTTCTTTGTTCCACTTAACTCTAGTACTATACTAATGATTTGCTACAACAGCCGCTAAGACGTCGCCTGCTCGATGTCGCTACACCCTACTCCGACCGGCAGTCTGCAATGCAGCGGATTCTGACCGGTAGGAGATGGGCCTGTCTTCACGATGTCTCGACTTTTGTTTCCTCTTTCCACGTCTGTTTCGATTCACGGCGTTCAAGGTTGATTAGGTCTCAGCGACTTTGCGCGCTTTCGTCGCACTGCTGTCTCGGTTCCTTCGAGTTTCTTAGTTCCTTCGAGTCTGGGGTTGGTATGGCTGGTTGGACAGGTGGTCTGAACGAACTTTGATTCTATGCCATCTTTAAACCCGCGTCGGTTGTCGTCCGCTTAGCTTTACACGAGAAAAACGATGATATCTTGTTTGGTCCAATTCTTTATCTACCATCGATCGCCGTAAGCTACTACGTAGTTCTTCTCTACATTGATAGGTAATCTGTTGTGCAACACCCAAGTGTTAGACAAGACCACACGGCCCGTTGACCCTGCACATAACAGGAGGGGTACCTTGTTCACCAGACCACGAGCACAAACTCCGGTGATTTTCTAGTACTGGCAAACAGTAGGTAGTAAGTTACAGCGACCTACGTATACCGAATTTACCACAAGAGAAGAACCATGGCGAACCACTCAACCTTACGAACAACAAAACGAATAGAAAAGAAGGATAGGAAAGGAGAATCATTCCAGCTCGTTATCCATCATAATTTTTTTGATTTTATCTTCAAAAAAGCTCGCGTACATAAATCAATACGGGTTCGACTCTCTAAGACCCCGTTTCAATTAACATGATACTAGACACCCTGCGCCATTAACCCGACGAATAGATAATACCGAGTCGCGCATTTCCTTATACACTGCATTTCCCCAGGGGATAAATGGTGTATAATGAAATGTTCAGATTGACAGATCGACCCGGGAGAGGAAAGACAAAGACATTTCCTGGTTGATTGCGGTTCGAAGGAAAAAGACAACGGATGGCTCAGATCAATGAAACGAAACGAGAGCCCAGACAACTAGCCCAAATTGATTTAATTTAATTGACAAGCAGAACGGCCGAGGTCGCGAGACATTTTTGTATGGTATGCGGTATCACCGTGGGACGAAAAACAATTGCAGGTCGGAGCACATCTCGATCGAAAAGGGAGAAAGATATTGGGGAGGGGCGGCGGAGAGAATGTGTATTCGTGACGATGCGAGTTGTTTAGATACCCAGACGGGTCTTGCGCCAGTGCCTACGCTTAGCGTTGTATCTGGGGGAAAGAATACCGAGTCAGCTGAGTTCTTTTTCTTCGTTCTGTTGTGTCCTCCGTTGGTTCGGTGGGGGATCTTCAATCGGTTGTATGTGGTGGTGGTTCTTTCTTTTCGCCCGTATTCCCTTCTCTTTCTCGCTTGGCTGATTCTTTGCTTCCTCGTGCCTTGTCGTGGTTGATGCTTGGTCGAAGGCGAGGTGTAGATCGTTGTGCGTCCATCCATCCAATCCACATATACCGACCGATCGAAGATCCGAATCCGAGGGGAGATAAGGCAGATGTATTTACCTGATGGTGTTACCGGTCCTCAGACGAATCCACTGGGGGATGGGACGGTTCTGCTTCTGGGCTTTGGCAAGCTTCTGCTTGGTGCGGAAACTCTTGTGGCTCTATATATCGAAAAGGAAAAAAATCGTCAGCAGGCGGTTCTCCCAGGTTGTTTCGTTCATTTTGGCGATTGATTCAAGGTGTATTGATCCTTCATGCCACATGGTGTAGGGGGTACTAACCGGCATCTTGACAACTTTTCGCGATGGCGAGCTGGTAGATGGACTGGCGATAGTGAGGTTGTCGACCGGTCTGTCTTCAAGGGCCCATTCGTCGGGTGGTTTTTTTGTGCGGACAGGGCTTAGCCGGTTCGCTTCTGTGGGGTCATGTGATGGTGTGGTGGCCTGAGGCGGGAGGTCTATGTGGGTGGTGATTGGTTGAGACGGATACTGCGCTCCGTTTAGGGGAAAGTGTGCTTTTTGGCTGGACTCTGGTACCGTCTCCTATATTGAGATAAGAGGCCTAGATTTCAACACCGCTCCTATGGCTTAGTTGGTAAAGCGCATCACTAGTATGCTCAGTTATGATGAGATCCTCGGTTCGAATCCGAGTGGGAGCATTTCTTTTTGTTTTTTGCCTTCATTCTACTTCTATCCTTTGTAACTCTTTGGCTCTCTTGAACTGGCTGTGTGCAGGGTCAATTGAGGTGTGCGTCTAACTTTTGAACATTTGGGGTCTGGGAGGTTGAAGAGGAGCGCTGTAGTAATAGTACAGCGGTCCGCAAGTGTATTTGTCCTCTATGCTTGATTCCAGATACCAACAAAGATATGTTCTGTATAGCTTCTCAATACAGCAATTGAATATTTAGTTTACGATTCAAGTCTTCGTAAGTGAATAATCAAGTGATAACAAAGCAATACTTTGCTAACTAGTTAATACAGGTATAAATAGTAAGACACTAAGCATATAACTATATTGAACTTGGTCAATATTTCCAAATCCATAAAACTGTCTTGATATGGTTATGAATAGTCTGCAATAATCTGCAACTAATCCACAACCAGCTGCAACCAGCTGCAGCCGGTGGCAACCCCTTGCAACTTTTGCCATCGCCCACTATGTACCCACTACTAAAGCACAATCTATGGCAGTATTACCACATGTCTGTTGAGGGGTAGTTTTTGAATACATTGAGACGTCAGGATTTGCTGGGTCATCATGGGCCGGCAAATAGCCATATGTGATTTGACAGACATATAGAGTCCATCACTGACATGGGAAACTCCAGGAGCTCGATATGTCTCTAATCAATTATTCTATATGATGGCATGGATCAAATACTGTCACGACTTTTGCTATTGAATGACTATCAACAACTGTACCAATTGCGTTCTCGGTTTCATCTTTGCCTTCCTTTATCATGAGATCCCTCTAAAGACGATGGGTTGAATAGGCCTGCTGTTTTCGTGGCTACAGCTGATTAAATGATATCTTTGTTTTCACGAGCCTACCAGGCTGGGATGACATCGCACAGAGATATGATATCGGGTACGCTAGACACCGTTCCTAACGCTAGACAACGTTCCTAATGTATAGACCCTAGGGTATAGAGGGCGTATGGAAGTAAAAGGACCACCCGGGTACCGCCATCTACCAATCTTCCAGTCATACTTAAGTACAACTCATAGTACGAGACAGTCTTTCTCATACCTAGTAGAACCTGATATAAAGCCTAGGCTCAGCCACCATGAGTTTCTATGGAGTTACCAAGGGCGAGTCGGTCCTAGATCACCCTTCAAGATTCCAATCTTTCTCATGAGATTTCACTTCGTAAAATAAGCCTATATATTCCCCATGATCGATGGTAGAGTCCCGCTAGTAATCGTTTGCTATCAATGTTGTCGAGGCAATGATACCCTCGGGTATACCGAGCAAAGAATACAGTAGAGGGAACATCCTTGGTATGGTTTGGACGCTAACAGATAACCATCCCATGCTTTACTTAATTAGATCTGTTTGATTATGGCCTGACCGGGTGTAGCCTCTGGCGTGTACTTATCTGTGGAAACAAGCATGGGTAGATACGTGGGTAGTCAGGAAGGGTCCCTGTGAAGTGAGAGGTGAGAAACAGGAATCGAGAGTTGTGTTTTGTCAGTCTCGCTCTATAGTAAATCGATTAGATTAGATGACGCATAGAAGGATAGGATGTACTCACCGATATGAAAATTGGTATTCAAACGTACTTGGGAAACAGACATAATTTGTACTTCTCCCATCCTAATGATAGGTAAGACCACGCCATCACTATCTGAGTCCCATGCGGCCTGTTAAACTGACTCCTTTTGCTGTCATGCATATTCTGTCATCTATGACTGCATTAGCAAAAGCATATTGAAATTTTCTGCTATCCAGATCGTGTATTGGTATGCCGTCTACTTCCTAGCATAGCAGTCAAGGCTGGCCCGACGGTTCAGATCACGACATCGCTATCAATTATCATAATAGAAAAGCCTAACATCAACCAATCAGCTCCTATGGCTTAGTTGGTAAAGCGCATCACTAGTATGCTCAGTTATGATGAGATCCTCGGTTCGAATCCGAGTGGGAGCAATTTCTTTTTGTTTTTTTCCCTCCATGACCTTTTTTTCGGAGTGAGTGGAGAAATACTTTTTTATGCTGGTTATGCAGCATTGCAGTGGCTTGGATGTTGAGCATAACCCGGAGTGCGGTGGAATGTTGTCCGTGGAACTGAGCATACTTCGGAGCTCGGAATACTATTTGGTTTGGTTTCGTAGGCGGTTCGGTGGTGTCGTTGCTTCCCGGCTCTTGGGGTGGGGGTACACCCGGAAACCCCTTGATGAAACTTGGAAGACGACGGGTGGCGGCCAGGGGGTCATGGTTCTTGGTAATTGAGTGGAATACCAATCCCATGATGGGCATGTGGGCATACCTGGTTGTTAGCTTTGGGGGATGGCACCGCATATTGAACCATGATCTCATTGTAGAGTTCCTAGTTGGATGGGAGCTGTTTTCCTTTTCGATTCCTCTGTTCGGTATGTGGTGGTATGAGAGTAGGCAGAGAAGATATCGGGTAGCATGCTTGTTTTCCTTCTTGGTCGTCGACTGGGATCTGTATACATACGCCTATCAATGGGCCCCGCGGGGTGTATTACACTTGTTGTGGCTGATGTAACTGATGGATGCTCATTTAAAATTGTCAATATACGTCCAAAGACGCGGGCTATCATAGCAGATTATACCGAGCTATTGGGGGAGGCATTTTCACGTGGTCAAGTATTCATAGAGAACTTGCTATATCTTGAATATACTTGCTAACTATATTTCGAAAATCGAGATATATCATCTGCTATGGTACGTACTGTGTGATTGCGACACGTGCAATCAGCCAACATGTCAGCTGAGGTATTCGGTCTTGTCTCACATGTTGTTTTCTGATTGTTCAGGTTTTCTTGATATCTTTGTGGCTATTCGCAACTCTTTTCATGGACTTGGTAACCATCGATTTCTTGATATCTTGACCATTTTCATCGGTCCTCCCGCACCTACCTATAAACATGTTTGCCTGTCCCTCTACCCAGAGCACCTAAGACTTAAGAACCTGCTTTTCTGGTGCATTTGTCCCTTACATCTTCTGTGTGACTACTCAGCTAAATCTTAGCATATGTTTTAGTCATTGACCGTGTTTGTGCTCCGCCTATTTTGGTGCAACGACGGCGGGGCACCCGTAGTACATGAAATATCGAATATACATCTGGGTTTCAACCTGGTTTGTGCCACGGGTTATATGATTTGGTATATAATCTGCTTTATATGGCTCCGTCGTGTTCTAGATCTTACCGTGGCATGGTTGGACTAGCAGCCCAGACTCAAGTTGGTAGAACTGTAAGGTTCAGCCTTGGGCTGCATAATATATATTTTACCCCCCTGCGTCATCCGCTGGTCTGCAACATGGAACAATGGCCTCGGCTGTGAGTAGATCAATCGATTATGTCTGTATATGCTGGATATTAATACTAGTAGAATATTACCAGGAGTGGATATATAGCCAAAAGGATACATGTTGCGTGTAGTTTAGCAGGTTGGCAAAATGGCGATAAAGTAGACTTATACGTGAGACACCAATTCCCTGGACTATAAGCCTACAGAAAGGCCATATCAACCAATCAGCTCTTATGGCTTAGTTGGTAAAGCGCATCACTAGTAATGATGAGATCCTCGGTTCGAATCCGAGTGAGAGCACTTCTTTTTTGCCTTTCTTTTATCTTCACCGTGGTTGTGGGGTACCGAGCATATAGGTTGAATTAGAGTGACAGTAGATATCGGCTCTTATGGCTTAGTTGGTAAAGCGCATCACTAGTAATGATGAGATCCTCGGTTCGAATCCGAGTGAGAGCATTTCTTTTTTGCTTTTTTAGTCTCCTACATATTCCGAATATGTGGGCGGGTATTGACCGTAACAGCTATGCTGCAGATTTCCTTTTTTCTTTTGTTCTTTTTTACTTGCCTTGCCTAGTAGTACTGGCCTGCATGGACACCTCATCCGGTACCTCGGCCTGCTTGGAACTCCACGCGGTAGTTTCTTCGACGTTAAATTCACCTTACGCTAAGAAAATAGGTCGCTGCAAACTAGATATCCAACCCAGCGATGCATTTTATGATTGAGCGGTGGACACGTCGATAAAACAGTCGCCTCATACAATATCGATAGATCACATGGCCACTGACTGGACCCAGCCACTAACGCCACATTCTAGAAAATCCCGCTTCAATCGAGAAGCCATCCATGCACCGGATGCGGGAGCCTGACCTGCCGCAGAGCCATTCTGAGTCAAAAGCGTTTCCTTTCCAGTCCCGCTCGCTCGGGCGGGAATCTACCGGTCCTTCTGACCAGTTCTACCCGGCCGCACCTGACCGGGATGATGGATCGCTTTGTTGAGCCTCGTGTTTGAGGAGTCATGGTGATAGGATTATGTCGGGGAATTTATATACCGTGTAATAATGGACTATAATGGGGGTCCAAAATGGAGGAGGGGGGGCTAGTCCATGCAGGATACCCGCATCCTGATGAGATCTCGTGTTTTGAGTATTATCGCGGGCTGGGTTGGAACTCATATTAGTTATCGGCAGTCAATTACTCATTATACTGAGTGAGTTCTATCGTCTTCAATGTTGATTAGCGAAGATAGGAGGTGGAATACACCGCCGTATGCGTTTTAACGACCCACATGAAAATCACCACGACTGCTAGATCCTGTTAAGATCAAGCCTGGACCGAGATAGAGTAAAAGCTTAGGCAACAACCTCTAATCCAATCACGTTCAGCATTCCAGAACGAATACGAGAGCCAGACTGGGTCCATGGTTGATCGCTGGAGACGGATAGACATGCTCGGGGTTCGGATCACCCCGACCCCGAATTCCTTGTATTCTAGGCAGTAAAGGGTGGGTAATGGGTATGCATGTAAGACGGGTTAATTACTAGTCTGTAACCATCATACCGACACTGTTACCTACTTTGCTTCAAACGGTCCCCGACTTTCTTGTACAGAATTGATCGGTGTTTTTACCATAGAGGCGCAGGGACATTGTCCTGCTTTGAGACAATGGGACCAGATAGGAGGACTACACTTGCGGGGGATCCTGACCCATGGTGGGTGGGTGCAAAACTGGTTGGATCAAATCGACGAGGATCCACCAGGTTCCCTAGATATAGCCCTGAAAGACTCATCGCCGCGTCATGCCTTGTATTAGGTGCCCATTATCATACAAGACTGATATTATCTGATTTATGCCTCAAGTCAACGGTGAGTCAGAATGTAAAGTCCGTGGGCCTGTCAATCGAGGCTATAATCATCAAGGACCATTGAGTCATCCGTCTCGGGACGTGACAATTGACTTCATGACCCAGAGCCGATCCCAGATGTGGATAATAACCGGGGGCTAAATCCCTAACGCGTGGCCAATGCCCCATTGTGATCTAGGAACAGGATCCGCTGGTGACGAGTTGTTGAGGAGGATGATATTGGGGATGGTCACCTTGCGTCGGGATGTCCTCGTGGTTTAAGGTTGTATTGGTAACGGAGTAACGTGCATGTTACTTGGAAACATTGATCGTATCTGATCTGTCCTATTTATAATCTATAACCATGGAAGGGAGTGGAGAACTGCTAGTGATTATGAACACTACGGAGTTTTCCGTACTATCATCAAAATTACCTTTGGTAGGGTAGGATAAGGCGGAGGCCAAGACCATATGGGGTTGATATTTCATGCTGTACCACTGCGTCGGATGTTATTAGGTACCTGTGGAGCTCTAGTATTACCATCATGATGAGGATGATATTCCAGATCCTGAGAGTGAAAGATAGGTAATGAACTACAAGAGGTATTGAAGAGTCAAACTAGTGCATAAAAAAATATTCGGAAGGTCAGAACTCCGATTGGTCGAGACAAGTTTTTTATTCTGACACAATCTGTATGCAAACGTGACGGCCCTTTGCGCTTGGTTTCTATGGACTTTAAAGAGGGTTCTTCTCCTTCGAGCCGACTGTCTCGGGGGAAATTACGACTTCAAAAATCCTAAAATAAGTGACTTTGCCCTTCCTCCCCCTTTCCTCACCCCTTTCATTTCTTATTATTGTTCTCCCCTCTGGAACGCTCGGGGGCAAGGCACACGGGTCTCATACCATTCTCCACACAACAAGGGACGTGTTTGCATTCCGAGTCCTCACGGTATTCACGCTGTATCCACTGGGACGGTCTCCTAGAACACCCTTCGTTATCCCACCCCCCCCACACGGGGTCGCGGCGTGTTGGAATTCCACTTCGACGCCCTTCTTGCTACTACCCTTGCTCCCCCATTAAAGGGGTGATTATCATCTCACCCAGTGCTCCGTCTTTCAAACTTTCTCCGACCTTTTGCATTCTCGCCTCATGGAGTAGTGGCTATCTAGAGTGGCCGCACTGCTTCGCGATATCGACAACCCCGACACAGCCTGAGGCCCGACATCATGGCGCCGCCGTCTGGAAACAACAATGTACCCTCCAACGTCCCCGAGGACGTGGACAGGCCCGAGTCGCAGAGGCGGGAGCTCCCCCCACCGGCCCCCTGGTGCGCTCGACATCGAAGACACCATCGACGGTCTCCGGTTCGACAGTAGCCCCCAGATCGGAGAAAGAATCAGATCCGCAGCCGTCACCCGCTAACCAAGTCTCCGTGGGTGAGGGGGATGACCCGCTGTATGGCCATCTCATGGAGGATGAGAGGAACGTCCTCAAGAAGCAGCTCGAGGCAGAGGAGGCCAAGGTGTCTTTTTTTCTCCTCTACCGCTATGCGACGAGGATGGATATCTTCATCATCGTCGTGAGCTCCATCTGCGCCATTGCTGCCGGTATTGCACTGCCCTTGATGACCGTATGTTTTGATCGATCCAGGCCTCTAGGGCGTTCTGCGTAATGCAACGGCGCATGCTGACCATCTCTTCCAGATCGTTTTTGGCTCGTTGGCTTCGGGGTTTCAGGGAATCGCCCTAGACTCCATTTCCTTCAGTGAATTCAACCACATGTTGACGCAGAATGTGTTGTACTTTATCTATCTTGGAATTGGCGAATTTGCAACGATATATGTCAGCACCGTTGGTTTCATCTATACCGGCGAGCATATCACCCAGAAGATTCGGGAACACTACCTCCAGTCCATTCTGAGACAGAACATGGCTTATTTCGACAAGCTGGGTGCCGGCGAGGTGACGACTCGCATCACCGGCGACACCAATCTCATTCAGGATGGTATTTCTGAGAAGGTCGGACTCACCCTGACCGCCGTCGCCACCTTCATCGCCGCGTTCGTTGTCGCCTATATCAAGTATTGGAAACTCGCCCTGATCTGTTCGTCGACGATCGTCGCTTTGCTCCTGGTGATGGGTGGAAGCTCTCGGTTCATTATCAAGAACAGCAAGGACGCCCTGGAACACTACGGTGCCGGCGGCACCGTCGCCGAGGAAGTCATCAGTTCAATCCGAAATGCGACCGCCTTTGGCACGCAGGATAAGCTGGCCCGACAGTACGAGGTGCATTTGGACGCAGGTCGGAAACCCGGCACCAGAGTGCAAATCATCATTGGCTTGATGATTGGGGCGATGTTTGGTGTCATGTTTTCCAACTACGGCCTTGGCTTCTGGATGGGCTCCCGTTTCATCGTCAGCCATGAGGTCAACGTCGGCGAGGTTCTCACCGTGTTGATGTCAATCTTGATCGGCTCCTTCAGTCTCGGCAACGTGAGCCCGAATGGTCAGGCTTTCGCCGGCGCCATTGCCGCCGCTGCCAAGATCTACACCACGATCGACCGTCCCTCCCCGCTGGACCCCTACTCCGACGAGGGGGAGATTCTGGAGCATCTGGAGGGCAACATCGAGCTCCGAAATGTTAAGCACATCTATCCTTCGCGCCCCGAGGTCACAATTATGGAAGATGTGTCCTTGTCTATCCCGGCCGGGAAGACCACCGCATTGGTGGGGCCGTCGGGGTCGGGAAAGAGCACGGTAGTCGGCCTGGTCGAACGGTTCTACTTTCCCGTCAGTGGTGCGGTCCTGTTAGATGGGCACGATATTCAGGGCATCAACCTCCGTTGGTTGCGCCAGCAGGTGTCTCTGGTTAGCCAGGAACCCGTCTTGTTTGGCACCACGATCTACCAGAACATCAAGTATGGCTTGTTCGGCACGAAATACGAACACGAGTCCGAGGAAAAGGTCAAGGAATTGATCGAAGATGCGGCAAAGATGGCCAATGCCCACGACTTCATCACAGGTCTGCCTGAAGGCTATGAGACTAATGTCGGACAGCGAGGCTTCTTGCTCTCTGGTGGTCAGAAGCAGCGGATTGCCATTGCCCGCGCCATAGTCAGTGACCCCAAGATCCTCTTGCTCGACGAGGCGACCTCTGCCCTGGACACCAAGTCGGAAGGAATCGTGCAGGCCGCCCTTGACAAAGCTGCCGAGGGCCGGACGACTATTGTGATTGCTCACCGTCTGTCAACCATCAAAGCGGCCCACAACATCGTTGTCTTGGTCGACGGCAGGATTGTGGAGCAAGGTAACCACGATGAACTGGTCGATCGCCGAGGCACCTATCATGATCTGGTGGAAGCGCAGCGGATCAACGAGGCGAAAGATGCCGAAGCCATCGATATTGAGGACGACGAAGACGACGACGATGAAGATGAGGATCATGTTCCTAAAGCAGGAAACGTGGAGCGCATCCAAACCGCGGGCAGCTCTGGCTCTATGTCTGTGGATCCCGACGACGAAAAGCTTCAGGTCGAGTTGGGCCGCTCCGGAACTCACAAGTCGGTTTCGAGCGCCATCATGTCCAAGAGAGAACCCGAGAAGACCAAGAAATACTCCCTCTGGGGGTTGATCAAGTTTATTGCGTCATTCAACCGTCCTGAGCTCCCGTTCATGATCATCGGCTTGATCTTTGCGACTCTTGCCGGAGGTGGTCAACCTACCCAGGCAGTCCTGTTCGCCAAGGCCATTAGCACACTCTCCCTGCCCGAAAGCATGTTCGACACGCTTCGGCACGATGCCAACTTTTGGGCCCTCATGTTCTTTGTGATTGGGATCGTCCAGCTCATCACCCTCTCGATCAACGGAACAGCATTCGCGATTTGCTCGGAGCGCTTGATTTGTCGGGCCCGCAGCAAGGCGTTCAGGTCGATTTTGCGGCAAGACATCTCGTTCTTCGACAAAGAAGAGAACAGCACTGGCGCCTTGACCTCTTTTCTGTCCACGGAGACGAAGCACCTGTCCGGAGTCAGTGGAGCAACTCTGGGAACCATTCTGATGACCGGCACGACTCTAACAGCGGCCATGGCTATCGCTCTCGCCATTGGGTGGAAATTAGCCCTGGTCTGCATTTCCGTCGTTCCGGTCCTTTTGGCTTGCGGGTTCTATCGCTTCCACATGCTGGCTAAATTCCAGGAGAGATCCAAGGTGGCCTACGAAGGGTCTGCAAGTTACGCTTGCGAGGCTACCTCGGCCATCCGCACAGTGGCTTCGCTCACGCGCGAGCACGATGTCTGGGATATCTATCACGCTCAGTTGGACGCCCAGGGACGGAAGAGCTTGAAGTCCGTGTTAGCCTCCTCCGTGCTTTACGCCGGCTCCCAGGCCCTTGTTTTCTTCTGTACCGCGCTCGGGTTCTGGTACGGCGGTACGCTGCTCGGAAAACACGAATATTCCATCTTCCGCTTCTTCGTGTGCTTCGCCGAGGTCCTCTTCGGCGCGCAATCCGCAGGAACCGTGTTCTCGTTCTCCCCGGACATGGGCAAGGCCAAGAACGCCGCCGCCGAGTTCCGCCGCCTCTTCGACCGGAAACCGACCATCGACACCTGGTCTGAAGAGGGCGAGCAGCTCGAGTCCGTGGAGGGACACATCGAGTTCAAGGGGGTGCGCTTCCGCTACCCCAATCGCCCCGAGCAGCCGGTCCTCCGCGGGCTGAACCTGAGTGTGAAGCCGGGGCAGTATATCGCGCTTGTCGGGCCCAGCGGTTGCGGAAAGAGCACTACTATTGCGTTGCTGGAGCGCTTCTACGATGCTGTGTCTGGTCGTATCCTCATCGACGGCAAGGATATCACTAAGCTCAATATCAACTCGTACCGCAGCTTCCTGGCGCTCGTCAGCCAGGAACCGACCTTGTATCAGGGAACGGTCAAGGATAACATTATGCTTGGTGTCGATGCAGAAGAGATGCCTGAGAAGGCCATTGTGCAGGCATGCAAGGACGCTAATATTTACGATTTCATCATGTCTCTTCCGTATGTCCTTTCTACCCCTCCCCTTTCCTCTCTTTGATCTGAACCATCTACTAACATCAATTCTAGGGAGGGCTTCAACACAGTGGTCGGAAACAAAGGAGGCATGCTCTCCGGCGGCCAAAAGCAGCGTATCGCCATCGCGCGCGCCCTCCTCCGGGACCCGAAGGTCCTCCTCCTCGACGAAGCCACCTCAGCCCTGGACTCAGAATCCGAAAAGGTCGTCCAAGCCGCTCTGGACGCCGCCGCCAAGGGCCGCACGACCATCGCCGTCGCGCACCGGCTCAGCTCGATCCAGAAAGCCGATATCATCTACGTGTTCGACCAGGGCAAGATCGTCGAGAGCGGCAACCACCAGGAGCTGATCCGCAGCAAGGGCCGGTATTACGAGCTGGTTAACATGCAGAGTTTGGGCAAGGCCGGTTGATTGTCGCTTGTGCTATATTTCTGATTGATTGATTGCCCTGCGGCTGTTTCGCGTATTGTATGCTTATATACACTTCCATCACCCTATAATGTTTTTTGGTCATTGGTTATTGGGCAGGTTACCATTTCCGAGTTATCTATCCTTTTGATGCTGTTTTTTGTGATGTTCTTTCTCCCTTCTCCACTTGGGCTTTGGGATAAAAATCTTGTTTAGGAGTTGGTTGTTATTTGTTGTTATCTAGATCTGCTGTGCCAGGCTTTCGGTCGTCCGATATTAGGCTTGGGAGATATCTTTTTAATGAATTCAACGCATCGTATTAATACATATATCTCTTTGAGTAATTTCGCAATAATGCTGTAGGTTTATTAATCATAACCTGTCACCAGATGTTGGTATAATCATCCCTCAACACCGACTAGTCACGATCTCCCACCCCAAACCCCCGCTGCACATCAATCTGTCGCTCCCCCCGCGCATCAGCAAGTAGACCCATCAGGCCTTGGGCGATGTCCTTAATCTCGTTGTAGTCGTGGAGGAGTCGGATATGTCGCCGGACGGTGATGGAGGGGTCATTTCTGGGCTGTTAGCTGGTTGATTGTACAGATTGGTTGGGGTCATTACTTTAGTTGAGACTTTGTCTTTAGGAGTTGGGCCTCTAGCTCGGCGGTTTGGGATTCGAGGGTTGCGATTGAGGTTTGGAGGGTTGTCTGTGGATGGTTAGTTTTACACCCTCCCTTTTGGTTTCTCCGTGCCTTTTGATTATCTGTTTGGGATGTCTTGGATTGGGTTGATGTCAAACTTGAAGGAGGTGGATATCATACTAGTTTCTTTTCTCTCTGGGTCTGCTGTTCTGGGGTGAGTGTGGAGGGTTTGTCTTGGTTGGTAGGTGCGCCCCCTGTGGATGGAGAGGAGTTGTTTATTGCTGAGGACATCGTGATATGAGTACCCTGATGAATTTATTGGGTTTGGTTATTAGGATCACACTTGTGATTGCATGTTGGTACTATCTACTCCGTAGGTGATTTGATCTGCCAGGATATCAGTACTTATTTAATGAATGTGTGGATGTGCGGGTCTTACTGATTATGTGGTTGAAATGAAGACTGACTGCATGCGATCTTAAATAGCTTTACATCCGATCCACTTGTAATTTGAAAACCAATTGTCATGCAGGTAGACCATGTTCATGGATAGACATGTTCATATAGAAACAGAAGATGACGGGGATCACGTGCAGACGATAACGGGACGGACTTATCATCGCCTGCTTTACTTCTTCTCGACTTCATCTTCTCGTCATCTTCTCTCTCTCCTCTCGGATGATCCGCTCTCACAGTTGGCTATCTTGATCTGACTGGTTTGGATTCATTTACTGCTTTCTTGGGTCACGAGTCTCTTATATACTCCCCCATTTGTCTCCATACTGTGCCTTATCCTGGTATCAGTCGTTAGTTCCCTCGGTCTCCCCCGCCCATTATCTGCCGCCCTATCTGCTAACCAGCTGGCATAGGATGGTACGTTCTTCCCTCCCCACTCCTTCTTTTACAACATCTACATACTAGCCCTGGTCGATCTGTCCCCCCTGACTGGCCCATATATAATAAGCCCCACAGCAGCGTCGTGTTAACTTTTTGTCCTCGGTCCAGTCGGGGAACTACGACTATCCACCTGCCTCTCGTGCATCACGGCCCAACCGTTCGAGAGAACCCAGCGAACACATCACTTTGCCCTTGCCCTCGGCCACACCGTCTCCCGTCCCTGTTCCCGCCCCCACTCCCGGCGAGCATCTGCAGCACCTGCGGCAGCTGCTGACCTCGGAGCGAAATCGGGACACCTCCGCTCGTGCCTTGGAGACCCTCAACCAGGAGATTAACGAGTACCGGTCCATCCGGGGCCAGGATATTACCAGTTTCGACCAGGCCAGGGCGGCCGTCGACCGCCAGATTCAACACTACCGGTCCCGCCGAGAGGCCGCTCCGCATGACATCTACCCCGATCGCTTCCACCCCGAGTTGACTCCGTACGTCGATCCCGCGCGACCAGCCAACCGGGCTGCGCGAAATCGCCAGAACCGAAGCGGTGGTCGCCCGCGAACCAGTTCGCTCCTTGACGAAGGTGTGCCTCCCCTGGTGATTCCGCCCATCATGCCTCTTGACCGCGAGGATGACCGCCACGGGGACCGATCGCGGGCCAAGCGGAGAAAGCTCGAGACGGACGATAGCAGGGAGGGATTGCAGAGTTTTCGGTACGGGCAGTATGGGCAGGTCGTGCCGGGGCCGTTGAAGATGGAGCTGGCGAGTTGTGATGGAGGGACATACGAGCCGGAGGGGGAGTGTTCCTGGCCGCAGAACGTGCTCCGCAACGACTCGTCGGTCTACTGCACCAAGTCCGACCGGTGTAATCTGATCCTGAAGCATCGCGGAGACTCTCCGTTTTGTTTGAAAAAGATCGTGATCAACGCCCCGCGGTCTGGCTACGATGCCCCGTATGTTTCTTTCTTGGGTCTAGACGAGATTACCACTGATTGGTTGTCAAGGATACAAGAAGGCATGGTTTTCGTCTCCATGAGCTGTGACGAGCTTCTCTCCCGCACTGCCGCATACCAAGTGGAATACCCGAACCCGCGACGACAGCGTCGAAATCGACGCAGCGGAATGCAGCCGTCGCAGGAGTACCTGAATGCCTATCGGACCCCGTTGCAGACTCTCGAACGGAGGGGCCCTGCCGGCCAGGGGTCCCACCGAGATTCAGAAACAGATCTGACCAGCGCTTCTAACCCCACGAACGATTTCCACATTACCACCGAGTACGACAACCCGTCTGAGCGCAACGACCGCGACACCAACGGGCTAGCAGCCAACCCGCCGTCCATCGCGGACCTCGCGCGGTGGCAGATGGAGCAGATGGAGGACGATCTCCTGGGTTCAGACAGCGACGACAGCGAGAGCGACGACGACCCCGCGGAAGTGAGCGCCTACAGCCGCCGACGGCGCGATCTACAGCGACGAGTACGAGCCATGGAGCAGCAGCAGGACCTGTCCCGACGACGAGCGGCAGGCTCCAGCGCAGTGCCACCAGCACTTCCGGGGAGTCGTCCACAGGAGCCACGATCGGGGCCAAACACGGCCCTGATGCAAGACCCTGATCTACTCCGGCCGCACGCGCGGTTCTTCATCGAGCGAGCCAAGAGCACGGTCAGCATCAAGTTCGACCCACCACCGTAAGGCTTCCTCCCACCATATAGCAGACAGCGCAGCTAATTAATTTGTAGATCCGGACGATACATTCTAATCAAGCTATGGAGTCCATACAGCGGGGGTAACATCGACATCCAGAGTATCATCGCGCATGGCTATGCGGGGCCGAGATTCTTTCCTGCGGGCAACTTTCGATGATGGTCTTCCTTCTTCTTTCTTTGTTTTCTTCTTATCTTATAAGGAAGACTTTACTTTACTATCTGCTTATCTCACCTCCAAGCAAGCAGCCTGTCTGTCTACGTGACTGAATGAATAAATGTCTAGATAGGCATGTATTGTTTATCAACCAGAGCGTATCTGATACTCGGTTATTACCCGAATCTACCTATCTATCGTAGGTGCATCACACGATGATGTATGATCAACTTAGATGCTCTTGTTGTTGATGCTCAGGAGCTCAACCTCGCTGGATGGGAATTAGCCTCGTCGTCAAAGACAAACCAACAAAAATAAACCAAACACGGTAGAAAGAAGTCAGGAAGAAAGAAGAAGAACATACAAGACAAGAGTGGCGTTGGGGGGGATAACACCGGGGATACCGCCGGGGCCGTAGCCGAAGTCACTGCTTTTATTAGTATCATTCATCTTTATGTTTATTTTTATCTTTCATCTATCTTTATTGGGGTATATATGTATATAACCCAAGAGACGAGAGGAGAGGAGAGAAGAGGAGGAGGGAAACTCACGGAGTGATGGTCAGGATGGACTTCTCGCCCAGGCTCATCTGGGGGACACCCTCGTCCCAGCCTGTATATCATCATTAGCATACATGTATTTCTTTTCTTCCTTGATTGTTGGGTGTTGACTGGGTGTTGATTGGCTCTGTTGTTTATTGGATGTGTATGTATAAATGTATATGTATGTTTATATAAACCAGGTAGGTATATAAATAAAGATACCCCATGTACACATAAACATGCATATACATATACATACTCACCCACAACTCAACACCTCAACCCAACCCCAGGAGAACAGAGAAAGAAAGAAAAAGAGAAGAAAAAGAAAGAAACATACCCTGAATCAACCGACCAACGCCAATCTTAGTCGCGAACGGGCCACGACCGGGCTTCTTGGAGCTATCGAAGCTGTTTTTATCATTCTTATTAGCCTTTCACTCAATATCTCCCGCTTGTTTTCTCCCCCACACTTTTTCAAAGTCAAGAGTATACGGCATAAGAATGAAAAGTTGGATAAAGAAGAAAAAAAGGAATACAAACATAGCACCCATGAAATGCTTCGCCTCGCCAGCAGCCTGGTCGTAAGTGCCGCCCGTGTAGTGCATGGTGACCATCGAGCCCTTGGTGGGGAAATCCGCGCCGTTGCCGGGGGAGAGGACTTTGCGATCGACGCCCATTTTGAGTATTTTCTTTTTTTTTTTTTGGTTGGTTGATTGAAAGGGGTTGAAAGGATAAGGGATTGTTGGAGCGAGTGGAAGAAGATGAGGGGAGGTAGTGTGGCGGCAGAATGGGAGGGCGGTGAAGAGGGACGGTCAATTGGCCCCACGGGTGGCAGACCCTTCCTCCTCTAACCAACCTGGTTGACAGGGCACACACTGAGCTGAACTCGCGTCGTTCGACTACAGGAAGACCTGTTTGATCCTTCGCGAAGGGACAGGTTAGCTGCTGCGGTAGCTAGTAGTTAATGTGAGAAGCATTGATACAGTTTGATTCCTACGAATTGCCTATCAGCTTTCTAGTCATTGCTGAAAAACCTCACTCTTTTCCTACTTGCTACTCTTCTCTGGGTGCCCGGTCGCGTCCCGTCGACGCGTTTTCGGCAACGCCCTCGCCTTCTGTTTTAGGAAGAAAACACCGACCCCGGACTTTGGTTTTCCCGACCGGCCTAAGGCATCACCAGAAGTCTCTAGGAGAAGTCGCAGCCTGAAGTTTCAGTAGGTTGGGCGGGTTGAACCCTGGTGTTTGTCCTGTTTGTCAGTCCGGCGGATTAATCCGCCCCGCGGGTCCAACTTTTCGACCCAGATCCGCCTGCGGGGCGGATCAGGGCGGATCAGGGCGGATCCGGATCCGGATCAGAACGGATCCTCTTTGAGGTCTGCCAATTATTCTATACAACTACTCTGTATATACACCAACTACCACATATAGTAACCCATCCATCCGCATGTCAATCTAGAATCCAACCTAGAACAAATCTCCATCCTCTGCTTTTAAGCCAAGAAAGCCCCACCTCAACGCCCCTCTCCCAAACCAACTAAAACGTCACGGAACCTGGCCACAATCCCGCGCCACACCGCAACATGACCACATTCTTCATGCCCCTCCTTCTGTATACATGTACACAATTAGTAAGCTCGGCCCAAGATCTGGAGAAGCAGAGTTCATATACAGGATAATCGCAGTCTCATGTTCTGCAGTTCCTCCTCGAGGTTATTGATCATATACGATGTATTCTGTAGTGGGGTTGGCTTGGGTACAAAGGAGTCGATTATTAACCAGTTGAGCAACCCTTGGGATGTTGCAAGATTACAAAGAACATGAAGACTCAAAACATTAAATACTGTGTAAGACACGGTAAGTCTGCGTACATGTCGTCATTTCATGATCATGGCACTGTCACCTGTGCAAAGGGAAAAAGAACCTTGCCACCTTCCTGATTTCATCAGTCGTGCCTTCCTCACCCTGTCTCTTGCACATCTCTCACTTCCCTTTCTCTCACACCCATCATCAACCCTAGGCTTTCACGCGATCATGGAATCTCTCGATCATACCGCAGACATATCTCGGGGTTCGTCATCTGAACCTCTATCCTCTGAACTCTCGTCGCTCGAAATCAATTCCCAAGACTTCTTTATGCGTTCAGCAAAAGAGGGGGAGCAGCACCCATTTACGACTCGACAAATTCTACAGAAAATCGTTGAACACAGGCTGACTGCACTGCGACGTGATCAGACCCGCGACCAGTATATAGTTTTTTTGTCTGTGCCGCCAGCAGAGTTCTCAATACTAGATGATGACCGCCAACAGACAGGGAAATATTGTCGACGCTTCTATCACGAGCTCACCAGAACGTTGCTTATAAAGATAATGCCGAATCCCGCTCACGAGCTTGCAGCGGAAAGTTTCAAGTCTCTTGTTTCTGTCAAACTCCACGCCCTGAACATAGACGACGAAGTGTGGCCGTATGGATCGACAACGGTGACAGGGGGTGGTTGGAAAAAACAAGCAGATTGTTGCTGGGCGCCCGCCTCGACGAATGCAAGCCTGAGTCTCGTTGTAGAGGTTGGTCTGTCCGAGTCAGCGAGACGACTTGCGCTCGATGCCCACGGTTGGCTTGAGCTTCAGTCTTCGGTGAAACTTGTGGTTACGATAAGCATCAAAAGCGAAAGACCTGAAATTGTTTTCACCCGATGGGAGTTGCTTCCCCGAATTGATGGCGCCATCACCAGAGCCTCCCCCGCTTCAGCACGTCGAGTCGTATCTTTGAAGCTATGTCGAATGAATGATACTACATCTGTCACCAGAGAGTCTACGATGAACGGCATAAGTACAACCTCGCAACTAGTAATCCCTTTCGACAAGCTTGTTAACCGCCCCCCCCACCATCCCACAGAGAAAGACTTGGTGATAACCGAAGAGGAGTTGAAAAGGTTGGCGGAGCGTGTCTGGAAGGAGCAAGGTTTCCTCTAAGCCATCCGATTCTGATAGTTATACTCGACCATGACATCCATGTACCCAAACTGACCAATCATGTAATCAATTGAAATGGATGCTCCTAATCAGATCTTCTAATTTACAAAATTCCAAGGCTTAAACCAGCCCCACCACCTCAACGCCCCATTACACTAATCTCACGGAACCTGGCCCAGTCCCGCGCTACACCGCAACATGACAGCAACATTCGCCACGCCCCTCCTACTGTATATATACAATTACTCTAAGCTCGGCCGGAGATCCGGAGAAGTAGAGTACCCTTTTGTTAGGGTTGAGCTCTTCCGTTCGTGAGTAGTGGTACGTTATAGCTCGGTATTGCCGAATATAGAGGTCGACATCCTCGCCGGCCGCACCGAATGCCACTCTAATCTAGACTTTATATAATATCTATACGTATACCTGGAAGCTCTTTAACTTCTTATATAATAACCTGAATCACCTGGTTTTCCTGGCTAGCTTAACTCTAATTTTTACAGGCTAGCTGTTAACATGGCTCCCTTCCTTTGTCTACACTTCTTCATGGTCGGCTTCGCTCCTCTGCCAACCATCGCGCCACGGCTGGTCAGCTTCACTTCTCTGACCAGCCATGGCACCCACCCTTCTATAATAGCTGCTACCCAACCTGTTCCGCCATCTAAGTTGTATGTTTCTGTTACCACGTAACACGTTTGTTCTACTGCCACAGGTGGTCAGATTGTTGAGCAAGTAGGATCTAGTCCTCTTGCCCACCTAATCGGGACCAGCCCATGTTATGCATTTTAGTACCTCACAGACTAAGAATGAAATATTTTCTTGATCTTCCCTATCAAGCTGTTACAGAGATAAGTTATAACAGGTTTTTGATATCATTATACTATTATATTATATGATAAAATGATTAGTTACTGTATATAATTATTTTATATCTATAGTATACTTCTTCCTATTCTGTAATAAAACGGGTATAAACTTGTAAACTATAGGTTTTTGTCACTATCTTCAGGTTTTATACTAGATAAGATAGTATTAGATAATATTTGACAGCTGTAATCTAATACTCAAATCCTCGGGTAGCTGTTTTATAACTATTAATAACCATTAATATTTACCACTCAGGGCGTGCTTAGATCTACTCAGTGAGCCAAAAGCGGCGAGGGGTGAGCACTAAAATGGAAAGAGAAAGTCTTCGCGCTGTCAAGAAAATCAAGTACATATGTGGTGAAGATAAAGTCGTCCAATTAATCAAACAATAATCAAACAATATGTGTCGTCTTGTCAGACAATGATATTAAAACAGTAGAAAAAAAAACACGCTAGAAGGAGAATCATCATCTGCATACCGCGTCGCCCAGAACGTATATACACTCCTCACTAGGCTTGCGCTCATCCCCCCATGGTTAAATAAACAAGACAAGACACTGGATAGCAGCGGGATCAACCCGCCTGTCGATGCATATGAATGTCACCTCAGCTGGTTGCCTCAAGCCGACGTGTCTTGAATCAATGCTCTCATTGCTCGTCTCTCGTGCAAAGAATCGTCCAACGCCGAACCTTCCTTGTCCAAAAATCAATACTCCTGAAATGAAATCTAACTCCTCCCAAACAAATGAAACCAATCCTTTTCTTCCGTCTTTTTTTGGGGGTATTGTTGTTAAATCACGACCACGTCCCCCTCGGCATCCGCCGGGTCAGAGGCCATCATATCCCCGTACTTTCCCACCGTGATCAATATGGAATCGTCGTCGAGATCGATGGCGCTGTCGTCATTGTTGCCCCCCTGGAAGGCTCCCATGTTTTCCGGGATACCGTGAGGCTTCTCCGTCTCCGCCGCGTGCCCATGCGAGTCCCCCTCGCCCGGCTGCTCGAACGCGGACGGGGCCGGCGGAGTCCCCGTCGACCGCGTCGGGGGCACGCTGGCATGCGGCTCCTCCGAAGCCACCGACGGCGCGTTCAGTCGATCCGAGTCCCCGTTCGATTTCAGACAGCCATTCGGGTTTGCAGGCTGGGATTCGGCGAGCGCTGCACTCTGCAGCGAGCGGGGCGTGTGCCGCATGAACCCCCCCTTCTCCGCCTGCCAAAGCATCATCTCGTGGAAGAACACTTTGGTCATCCACCACGCGCTGAAGCTTTGCGCTCCCCCGAGGGTGAGCCGGTGGAGGATGCGATCCCACAGCGCGTCGACCCGTTCGACAATGCAGCGCGTGCGGTGGTCGGGGAACGCCGCCGGCAGGTTGAGGATGAACGACACCCACTTGTCGGGGAAGTTGTAGTCATCGCCCGCCGCCGACTCGACGGGGTACTTGTGGGCCTGCGTGTCGGCGTCCCCGTCAGGCCGCGTGAAGAAGGGGTGGCCGGCCGTGGGGTTCATGTCGGAGATCGGAGTGAGGAGGGCCCGGATGTCGTGTTTCAGGATCTGCTCCGTCGAGCGTGCCGCGCAGCTGGGGATGTTCGCCTTCGACATCATGTCCTGGGGGTCCACCAGCGTTTTGAAGTCGAACCACATCTGGTTCCGGTTGTCCGGATGACACAGCCACGCCGCCGCCGCGTTGGCGCTCTGATTCACGTCGAGCATGTGTCGGAGCAGGTTGCAGAAGATATGGGCGGGAACCAGTCGCGCCAGGGACACGTGGACCGGCTGGGTCTTGAACGTGTCCGCGATGTGGGAGGTCAATCGCTGCGAGATCGAGCCAAACGCGTCGAGCACGACTTTGGGCACCACCTGGGTGGTCAGGGGCGCCACGAAGGCGATCATCTTCTGATACATCAACCAATCGCATTCCTTGATCCACGGTGCGAGGTTGGGGTGCGTCAGGAGTTTCTGCACCGGAACCGTCAAGGTTCCATGGAAGGCGGAAAAGTACCGCAGCATGTTGCGCTCTTTGCAGTACCGGAAGCTGTCGATCACAGAAATGCAATGTGATCGGTATAGGGCCGCAAGGGCCGCGGCGACCTTGGAGTCGGCGTTGGCGGGCAGGTAGTCGTTGATGTCGGGAAGGTCAAAGGCGTTGTTGTCCACCGAGGAAGCCTCCGTGACCGGCAGGTGAAGCATCTGGTGGATTATCTTCCCCGAGTGGCTTGCGACGTTGTCGAGGGTGACGGCGGGTTCCCCATTCGCCGGTTGACAGCCACATTCGGCGCTCGGGGGAGAATGGCTGCTGACCGATAATCTGGGGGTGAAGGAGGTGGTGGGCGATGGGAAGACGGCCGTGTCGGCCGGGTCCGGTGGTCCGTGACTGACACTGTAACCATGAGTTAGCCTTCTGCAATGGGATTATCTAGTATTGGTAGACGAACCTCTTCGGTAGCACGTCCACGGGCTTTGGTTCGATGGAGCTGGCCGCCTCGCTGGCCGGGATGCTGGGGTTCAGCGGCGGGTGCTTCTGCTGCTTCTCTTCGATGACCGTCAGGTCGACGTAGTGGTATTTGGATTCACCGCGGACACCCAGCCGTCGGGTTTGGACGTTGGGAAAGATGATGCGCACGAGTTTGCCAAACGACGCCGGGTTCAGCACCGAGACGCGCTCCGTGCCACATTTTTCAGCATAGCAGCAATACACGCGATCGCGGCGCACCGATCCGCTGCTCTTCCGGCAGTTCTCCCGCAACCTGATGGACGAGTCAGCCAGACGTCATGCAACAGTTCTTGCAAAGTGCGGTACGTACCAGATCATCGCGAAGACTTGCTTCACCTTCTCCGCCTTGCCCCCGGCCCCCTCGTGCTTGAGGACCTCCGCGGCCATCTGCTTCAAGGTGTAACCCTCGTACTGTCGCAGCAATTTCCGCAGCTCATTGTCATTGGCCAGGGACGAGCTGGACCCTTTCTTCCGTTTGCCGCCCACCTCGGAGCCTTCGTTGTCGTCCATCACATGGTCGGGTACATGGTTCTCGATCCCGCTGTCATACATGCCCTGATATTGGGGCATCGGCATGGTCGGCAAGCCCGACGGCAGAGAATGGTGGGAGAGGTGGTGGCCGTGCATGGCGTGGTTTGGAAAGTCCTCTGCTCGCGGCATGACGGGGTGGTGGGCGTCCGTCATCGTCGCGTCGAGGGGGGCTCCATTCACGGGTTGCGACAGCTGATGACCGAAGCGCATGATGATGTCTTCGGGGTTCCCGCCAAAGACGGGATGACCTGTCCCCGGTTGCGTGGGCAGGAACTGCGAGAATCCATCGGTGATCTGCTGGTCCTGGGTTTGTTGGGTCGTGTTGGAGTGGATGCTGGCCGTCGAGCCTCGAGATCGCGGACGACGACCATTCCTCGAGATGACCGTCTCGGAGCGCGATCTCATCAGGTCCGCCGTCCCCGGACGACTGTGAGGCGGTGCGACTTGGGTGGTCTGGGAGGCCACGCTTGACTGCGACGCCGCTCGGCCTATTCGGTGGGATGGGGCAGTTAGTAACGTAGCAATGTGGATTCCAACACACCAATCACGAGATCAACAAGCGACAGAAAACCGCAACAAAAGGGAAGATGAAATTATCAAACAGCAGAATAGGAAAAAAGGAAAATTAAAATAAATAAAAAGATCAACAATAGACAGAAAGTTGGAGGGTAGGCGACGAGACGAAACAAAGGACGTGCAGGGACACATACCCATATCGAGAGGCATCTTCTTGTTTTCTCTCTTTCTTGCTCTCTTTTGCTTCTGATTTGGCCCCCTTCCAACCAGTTCACTTGTACTGCGGGGACAAGGCTTCGGACCGGCACCAACCAACGAGGGGATTGTGGACTAGTCTCGTTCGCTGTTGCTTGTTGACGGTAACCACGGGCGATGTCTGTTTTGATCGACCAGGACCACCCTTGGGGGGGAGGGGGTTGGGAGGGATTTTCTTCTCACACCGCAAGAGAGAGAGTGGAGACAGAGAAGCCGACCGATGACCAGACGACGAAAGGGACGAAAGAAAAGAAGAAGAAGAAGGCGTCGAAGCAGCAGGACTATCGGCCGCGTTGGAAGTGAAGGTGAGAGAGGTTGGAAAAGGATAAACAGAGCTGAGGCGCCCGTTCCTCAAGCAACGCTAGCCTTGTTTGGTCACGTGTGCTGGTAACATTCCACAACACTTGTATCTCGTATATATATGTTGATCTATATTTTTGAATAGAGAGATACGGAGTATATAGGTCAATAGATGGATATATTTTATTTATAATATATCAAATATATCAATATATTGATATATATCAAGTCTCGTCTGAATTGATATCAGCCTACCAACCATGGTTGATCCACTCCTGGTTGCACGTCGATCTCCCCAGATGGAAGGATTCAATAAACACTCCATTCATCAGTCTGTCTCATGCACCATGATCTGAAAAATTTACATCGACCTAACTACTACACTTCCGAGAATCTCTAAACCAATGACAATACACGCGGAACAGTGGAAAAGTACAGAAGAGGTAACCAAGAGAACTCGGACGGAGTAAGAAAACAAAAAAAAGAAATGAAATGAAAAAGGAAGGTTGGTCGTCTATTAGTCGAGAGGATCAATGTTCACCCAGCCTGCAACTCCCAACACGGCGAGTCGACAGTTTTTCACGCATCCACCCGTCTCTGACTGGATGTGTTGAATACTCCGTGTTGCACCCAAGCCATCTCTATCATCCCCTCATTGTTCATCCCCCACCTATTTAGACAAGATCCCGCTTGACGAACTCGGCGAGCAGGGCCTTACCCAGGGCAGCCGGGCTGCGCTCGACAATCACACCGGCATCCTCGAGGGCGGTGATCTTGGAGTTGGCATCACCCTTGCCACCGCTGACGATGGCACCGGCGTGACCCATGCGGCGGCCGGGGGGCGCGCTGATACCGGCGATGAAGCTGACGGCGGGCTTGTTGAACCGGTTGTTGGCCTTGAAGAACTCGGCGGCGTCCTCCTCGGCGCTGCCACCGATCTCACCGATCATGATGATACCGTCGGTCTCCTCGTCCTCGAGGAAGATCTTCAGGCAGTCGATGAAGTTGGTGCCGGAGAAGGGGTCACCACCGATACCGACGACCAGCGACTGACCAAGGCCGGCTTGGGTGGTCTGGTTGACGGCCTCGTAGGTCAGGGTACCGGAACGAGAGACGATACCAACACGGCCACGCTTGTGGATGAAACCGGGCATGATACCGATCTTGCATTGACCCTATTGAAGGAGGGGTGTCAGATACCGCCGTAGGAATATAGAATAGAAACGTAGAATATAGAAGAGATAGATATCCATCAAGTAGCACTTACGGGAGCAATGATACCGGGGCAGTTGGGGCCCACCAGGCGGGTCTTGTTCTGGGTCTTCAGGATGTCCGTGATGCGGACCATGTCTAGTCAATCATGTCAGCTGCGCTCCAAGCTATGCGCACAAGGGAACCGCATACCGTGCTGAGGGATACCCTCAGTGATACTATATCAACAAAATCCTGTATTAGTCACGCTTCAGCGAACAGAACCCATCCACACAAACATACCAGACAGCCAGGGGGATTTCCGCCTCAATAGCCTCCTCGATACCCTTAGCAGCCAAAGGGGGGCTAATAACGATCAGTAATCAAGCTCTCTCCGCAATCACAGCTGGATCAATGCATACGGGACGAAGAGGGCCGTGGCGGTAGCACCGGTCTCCTTCACGGCCTCGCTGACGTTCGCGAAGACGGGGCGGTCGAGGTGCATCGAGCCGGCCTTCTTGGGGTTGGTACCACCGACAACCTTGGTTCCTGAATATCGTCAACACTACCATCCAAGCACACAGTATAGAGACAGGAGAATGAGGCGATCGGGATCATACCGTAGGCAATGGCTTGCTCGGCGTGGAAACTGCGATGAGCCAAAAGCGCGACGTCAGCGTTTACAAACCACCAAGTGATCCAACCACAACAACCCCACCCAACGGAATGACCACATACGTTCCCTGCTTGCCCGTGAAACCCTGGAAGATGACCCGGGTGTCGCCATTGATGCGGAGGTTGTTGACGGTCTCAGCGTAGGCCGGGGTAGGCTTCGCATAGGCTCGACGCTGCGCGGAAGCAGCAGCATTCCGGAGACCGGACAGGGTGTTACGACGGAAGGCCTGCATGTTGAAAATCAAAAGAAAGAAAAGAAAATAGAAAGATAGAGTGATTAAGAGGAAGAGAGGAGCAGGAGGGAGGGGGAGAGGGGAGGAGGCGGCAGATCAGGAGTAAAAGTAGCTTGGGGGAGGTGAGGTTTAACTAGTGCTCTTTCTCGGGACAAAGATTATTGCGGTCGGTTGGCCTCTTCGGTCACCTTAATTTTCCTCTTTTCTTTCCCGGTATCTCATCCCGTCCCGCGGGGCTAATCTCTCTCCCTCAACTATCCGATCGCTCTCTCCATTCTCCACTTTGCTTGACGTTCTGCATTTGATCGTTTTGAATCTACTTGACCTCTCTCCTTCTAGTCTACTCCGCCTTGCGCGGTAATATTTCTCACAAGAGAAGGAAAAGAGAGAAAGAATCATGGCGACCGTCACCATGACCGCGCCGCCACCGGCATCCTACAAAACCAACAAGAACCGGTCCAAGCTACTCCCCGAGAATGAACGCTTCATGAGAGCCTGTTCGGATATTGCGAATGCCCTGATCCAGGAATATGAATCGCAAAAGGATCCGACCGCGCCGCGCAAGGATATCAACCTCAACAAGCTGCGGGGTCAAATCGCCAAAAAGCACAGTCTGGCCACCCAACCACCACTGACAGCCATCATCTCTGCGGTCCCCGAGCACTACAAGAAGTACATCCTGCCCAAGCTGATCGCCAAACCCATCCGGACGTCGTCAGGCATCGCCGTCGTCGCCGTGATGAGCAAACCCCACCGCTGCCCGCACATCGCCTACACGGGCAACATCTGCGTGTACTGCCCCGGCGGGCCCGACTCCGATTTCGAATACTCGACGCAATCCTACACCGGGTACGAGCCGACGTCGATGCGCGCCATCCGGGCGCGGTACGATCCGTTCGAGCAGGCGCGCGGGCGCGTGGACCAGATCAAGTCGATGGGCCACAGCGTCGACAAGGTCGAGTACATCATCATGGGCGGCACGTTCATGTCGCTCCCCGAGAGCTACCGCGAGCCGTTCATCGCGCAGCTGCACAACGCCCTGAGCGGATACCAGACGGACAACGTCGACGAGGCGGTGCTGGCGGGCGAGATGAGCAACATCAAGTGCGTGGGCATCACCATCGAGACGCGCCCGGACTACTGCCTGGACACGCACCTGAGCAGCATGCTGCGGTACGGCTGCACGCGGCTCGAGGTCGGCGTGCAGAGCCTCTACGAGGACGTCGCGCGCGACACCAACCGCGGCCACACGGTAGCGTCCGTCGCCGAGACCTTCAAGCTGTCCAAAGACGCAGGTTTCAAAGTCGTCAGCCACATGATGCCGGACCTCCCTAACGTCGGCATGGAGCGCGACATCTTCCAGTTCCAAGAGTACTTCGAGAACCCCGACTTCCGCACCGACGGCCTCAAAATCTACCCGACCCTCGTCATCCGCGGCACAGGGCTCTACGAGCTCTGGCGCACAGGCCGCTACAAGAACTACACGCCCAACGCCCTAATCGATCTCGTCGCCCGCATCCTCGCCCTCGTCCCACCCTGGACCCGCATCTACCGCGTGCAACGCGACATTCCCATGCCGCTCGTAACAGCAGGCGTCGAAAACGGCAACCTGCGCGAGCTCGCCCTCGCGCGCATGAAAGACTTCGGCACCACCTGCCGCGACGTGCGCACGCGCGAAGTCGGCATCAACGAAGTCAAGAACAAGATCCGCCCGTCGCAAGTCGAGCTCGTCCGCCGCGACTACACCGCCAACGGCGGCTGGGAGACGTTCCTCGCCTACGAGGACCCCAAGCAGGACATCCTCATCGGCCTGCTGCGTCTGCGCAAGTGCAGCCCCACCCACACTTTCCGCCCCGAGTTCACGGGCCAGCAGACGAGCATCGTCCGCGAGCTGCACGTCTACGGCTCTGCCGTCCCCATGCACGGCCGCGACGCCCGCAAGTTCCAGCATCGCGGGTTCGGAACGCTCCTCATGGAGGAGGCGGAGCGGATCGCGCGCGAGGAGCACGGGAGTCGCAAGATTAGCGTTATCTCGGGTGTGGGTGTGCGCAGCTACTATGCTCGGTTGGGGTATACTCTTGACGGGCCTTATATGTCTAAGATGTTGGATCCTGTTGAGGATGAAGATTTTTAAACGTACTTTCTTCTCTTGTCGCAAGAGAGAACAACAAAAGTTCCTGTTATTTTAACGATCCATGGCGTTTGGGACGGGTGATCTTGTTAGCCGCTGGCTCTGCATAGGGGGTGTTTAGCGTGAAAATTCAACTACTGAGATGATGGGAAGGGAGAGTTCAAGATTCTTGTCATGTATATACAATCAGTTCTACTATTTGAATGAACCGGTTTGGATAGAGTCCACCGCCTACTGTGACAGTAGACGTCGTATATGGCATAATATAAAGAAACAATGTCTATGTTAACTGATAGACTAGGTATATACATCTCACGGATCCTCCAGCCCAGTAAGTATAACGCCAGAACAGCGACAAGGAGGGTACTGTGTGAGGTCCGAAGTCAGAGTCAACAGACGACTCGCTCAACAACAGCGCGACTCAAGACGTCGCGAGTCTAGCCAGCAGAACAGCGCAATCAACCCACGATTCTCACCACATAGATAGGATTGATAAAGTCGGTTGGGAATGGACAATATAGCCCATGGTGAAAAGCAAAGGAAAGTGTAACAAACGAACGACAAGCTCTAGCGATCTAGTTCAACGATATGGAGCCTCCCCTGCGAGCCCTCACGTGCAGATAAGCCTGGAAAGCACAGAATACGAAGAAGGCCTGAGCGTGTTATCCGTTAGCAAATCTTCCATATGATGTGTCTTATCGTGCAGTGTATCGGTCAAGACGTACGATGTAGATGAAAACGGCGGTAAAGATCGAGGCGGCGACTGCGCCGCCGTCTTCAGGCTCGCCTTCCGAGCCGGTGAATCCGTGGTGATCGTTCTGTTTGTTCATCCTGATTAGCTGCTGGTCTGATATGATATGATATGATATGCGGTGGACTGGGGTGTCTGGTCTAGCTTGGATCCCGTGGGGAGCCGGAAATGACGATGACGACGGGCGGACGAACCTGGTATAGCGATCCGAGGACGGAGAGGATGACAATGGCGAAGAGGGAGATGACCACGCTGGGAGAGTTGGTATTAGCTTATTACTCATTGGAGGTTTTTCTGAAGTGAGGGCTGTACCAGGACCAAGCGTTTAACAGGGAGACAACGGGCTTCATGGTGTCGATGCGATAGCGGGTGCGCGGGTGATACGAGCGTGGAGTGGATCCGCGGAAAGCCGGTAGGGTAGGATTCTGATTAGGCGGAGTAGAAATATAGATCAAAAGAGTGCGAGATGGGAGGTTGATGGAGGAGATGTGGAGAGGAAACTGGGTGGATAGTGGAGGTTGTCGATGATGTCGGGTTTCTTGATGTCTTTGGAGTTGACTGGCGAGAACTCCGAATGCGTGAAACGACTATTCCGCTTTCGGTAATCAGGTCATTTGCGGTCAAGTCCACCGCCTGATCTATTTTTATTTATTTATAATCTGTACAATTCTTGCGAGAGGAGAGAACATTCTTCAATTACATTCTGGTTAATTGCAGTCTCATTGTATTTTAGATGCTGGATGATGTTGACGTTTGTTGTCACAGCGTATCGGCTGCAGTATACGAGGACCTGGACACGGCATAAGAAACAACATGCGGTTAGGACCAGGACATGAAAACAGCTTCCACGAGTGTCTCCTGTGTCACTTGGAACCGCTTCGATTCAGTTCAAGTCGAAGATTGTTACTGCCATACCACTAAACACGAATGAGTCAATCCTTTGCACCGTCGCTCTGCTAATGCTTGGGCGACACCGTTGTGTGGCGAGCTTGGACTAAGTGGGCAAGTTGCTCTATGCCGGGGAGAAATGATTGCGCTGCATTGCGCACAATATCATGAGTTGATATCTTAGAGTCGGACTGATGTCAATCTTCGAGGCGTGTTGTTGACTGGGCCGGCTGAGGCCAGTCCATCAAGCACTGTCAGGGCGGTTACTTGGAGTCTATATAGCAGGTTCAATGCTGGGATATCAATCATATCAAGCCCGACCAGAAAGTCGTTTGGTATCTTGGTGCAGTGGCTAAGATTCAATGGTAGTCTCCAGCTGGAACGAGGTGGATATTGTATGCGTTATATGCTTCTGTTTCGCTCTTATCTAGAACGAACGATGATCATCTAGTCGGATACTTGGGCATATAGTTGGCAGATATAGCCCTATATAGGTCTCGTATGGTGCCACCGATTAGAGGGGTATGTTTTTGACGATAGCTTCAGAGAAGACCTAAGAACACGGCGATAAATCAGTCCATAGCAGCCATTCTCTATTCCAGATCCTGCCAGCATTGATGGTGAGATCCTCCCAGCTAAACTAGAAAACACCCAAAGCAATCCCGGAGAAACAAGTCCGTTGTGATCAACACTGACAACCAAAATGGCCGAAAAACACCGACGATCTCCAACTCTCTTCCCAAGACGAGAAAGGTTACATCGGCTAGGACGCGTTATCAGCAACAATCGCATAAAGATGACGGACCGAGCTTCGACCATCACCCGAAGAGCCGTGTCGTCTTCTATCAAGTTCATACTAGGGCTCCGCCGGTACACGTAGTAGTACAATCTCGTATCCAACTAACATATCTTTATCATCTTCCTAACATCATTCCTCCCCATTCCCTCCCATTCCATTCCTTCGCTTCTCTCTAGTATCTACCCTACCAATTCCAACCAGTCAGTCAAGCAGTTAAACTCCAACCCCCCTGTCAGCCCCTCTCGTACAGTGCATTAGCGCGCCGAGTGAACGTGGCGGACAATGCGACTCTATGACGAGCCGAACGACTTCGCTTATCGCTTATCCAACAAGAAGACACCCCCCTCACCTGGGGTCTGTTAAACTTTATCGCTGATTCAGTGAGCGTGTATGAGTGTGTTGTAGATGTGAAACGTGAGGGCTAGCTCGGTGATCACACACAGCCTTGGGCTAAGGCCACGGGCCTGAACGAACCAGACCAATGTTCCTGGACGTTTTGAGACGAGTTGGTTTGGTTCGGTTGTTCCTGGCTTGTCGGCCACCCCGGTTGTTTTAGAGCGTGCATGCTTTGGAGTGTAGCGGCGTGGGTTTGCATGGGTTAGGACTTGCGTTGGAGTGGGGGAGGAGGGGTCGTTCGGTCTGGGTGAATAGCGTGAGTGAAGAGTGGGAGTAGTATGGTATGGTTGTGATGATGTGGTGATGTTATTGCAGTTGGATATTTTCCAAGACTTTCATTCGAAGTCGTTGGCTGGAGCCATTTTGGTTGGACTGTGCTTTTCTATCTATCTACAGATCTATCTATATCACTTGTTGATATCCAACAAGATAGGCAAAATAACCACCTACTGATACTGCAGTGATCACTAAACACTACGTCCTATCCTTCTCTCCTCCGTAATCGGATGTACTTTCTTCTTCCCCCACGGCGCAAGACAACCACCCATGGCATGGACAGAGTTTGTCGCCTCCACGGCTGCATGATTAGCGTGGTGCAAGGAGACTCACGCACAGATGCAATGCACTGTCCAGCAGTAATGGTCCCTCCAATCGAGCTAAACTCAACCACAGTCATCCACCTGCATAAGGCCCTCAAGCGAGGAAGGTTGATCGCATCGCATATCGCATCTCGCATCAGGTGAGCAGCAAAAAAAAAAAAAAAAACCAGGACTAAAAACGAACCAAGATCGACTAACTTCTGTACTAAACTAAAAGCACGACTCGTTCGTGGGATAGGCGTGGAAAGTGGAAAGAAACCCTGCATCATGTGTAACCTGTGACCCTCACATGGGGAACTACTGCGTAAGTCTCAACCACGTTTCAGATCCTGCAGGCATCATCATCATCTCTCCCAGTTTCCAAAAGGCCGTTCGCTTCCCTTCCCTTCCCACTCCCAGCCACCCCGACCACCCGAGCACGAGTCAGCGCAGGGCCTAGAGTGGAAACTGGCAAAGCAGTTCTGAAACGAAGTTGTCGAGTGAGTCCCTGGAGGTGGGAAGAGGGGGGGAAACTGGCTAGCGAAGCCAGTTGGGTTTTTCACCCCGGCCCTCTTGCAGTGACTGTCTGTAGGGATCGACACAGTCTTCTTTCGTTGACTGCCGGAAGGATTCCGGTCTCCGGATAAGTATTGCAGGAGAGATGCCGTGGGGAGTTGGAATCGAATTTTTTTGATTTCATGATGTCTCTCAGATTGTGTCTTATCCTTCTTTTTTACTTTTTCTATGGTCTAGTGTGTAAAGGTTAACGACTCGACAGAGGGTTCGGAGAGACAGACTGCGTAAGCCCCCGTACTTAGTGCTGAGATTGCTTCTTGGCATCTCAAGACACCCCTTCAGTCCGTCTTCTACCTAACTACCTGTTGAAGACCCCAACTATCGCGCAAGAGACGACATATCAACCAAGACATCCAACAGCTGGATCCACCGCCAATCATCTCCAACCCCGAACAAAGAGAGACAAGTTCCCTCGGACGATCCTGAAGGCTCGTAATTCTCCGACGTATCCATAATGTCCCCATCGTGCTGGAGCCCCCGGTTGGTCGAGCCGACTCTCTTAAGGAAGGGGAGGGGAGGGGGGAAAGAGAGAGAGAGAGGGGCCCTCCTGAATGGGTTCCGGGTGTTTACCAGATTTGGGGATAGTGCAGTGGGAGGATCAACTATCCGGATGGAGCGTTGTCGGAGAAGAGCGAGACTAGGAAAGCAGAGGTTGTCAATTTGTTAGACTTTTTACCTTACTCGTTTATTATTATCATTTTTGGTTCTCTTTCCCTTTCTTTCCCTCGTTCCTCTCTATTTCTGCGGTGATCAGCGTGTGTGTGGACTGGCAAATGGAAGACTACTACATCGCACCTCTCCAACGTTTCCCCGCACCCTCCCACATGGGCATGTAATCATGTACGTCTGTTGCAAGGCTAACTAACCGCACATCTGTAACGGAGGTATGTCCCATTACGATGTGGTCAGTGTCCAAGAATGCAGTTGCATCATAGCTTCTGGAATACCCAGCAAGTCAGTACCCCTTGAGCCAAGGGAATGTATCGTAAGATTAATCTAAATAGATTGAATCCAATATAGAGAGTGGCGCGATCGAAGTCGCTAGAATCCGTCCTCGTCTTCTTCGTCCCTTTTACTCTCGTGGTGTGCTCTGTTTTATTTTATTTTCCGATGGTTTCAGGTTTCAGGTAGGATGATCAAACGACGAGGCCCGTTGCGTCGCGGGTGAGGGCTTTAGTGCCGAGTTAGTGCCAGCCTCTTTTCGACAGGTACTCGGTACCTTAGTCTGGAGGAAGTACTGGAGACTTAGAGACTAGAGGGTAGAGAATCTAGAGACTAGAGACTAGAGACGAGACGAGTCGATAACGGGGCGGCCCAGACTTGGCGTCGGTCGTTTCGTGGTACTACCGATGTCTATCATTATTTATTCATAGCGGGTTGTCTCTCGACATGGCAGGACCCATATGTTCTCGACACGGCCATTGAGTCCATGACTGAGTCGGACCCAGACATTTTGACTCGTTGTACGCAGCATTATCATTAGTATTATCATTGTTATATTTTCTTCTGAACGAAAGGCAAAAGGGTCTACTCGTAGGTACCAGGTAGTAGGTACTAGGTAACCACACTTCCGAAAAGCAGAACGAGTAAGGTACAAAAAAGCCCTAACGTACTACGGCCGACCCACCAGACCTTCCAAGATTGTTCCTCGCAGACACAATCAAATTTAATATGCAGCAGCACTCTAAGGTAAAAAGATATAATCTACGGAACACTGCGGAAGAAGACTTTAATATAAGTCTCTCGGAGAAGCCTTAACAATGGGGTATATGTCTCCGACAGTAGGGTCTCTGGGACCTGGCAGTTCTGTATTGAAGACAAGGATGATGCGAGGTCTTCCGTTCTCCCGGGTGGTATAGTTTAGTATTAGTTAGTATGTATGTAGGTAAAGTGGTTACTTGCATTGTATGGACTAACTGCTGTAGGGAGTAGTCAAGCAATACATCCTCCAGTCCTCTATTGTGGGACTATCGAGAGTGGACTAGGAATCTAGATATCGGAGAATTTTTTGAATATTATCTTAAGATACTATCTAGTATCTACAGTTCAAATCCACAACCACCAACTAAATCCACCAATTCCAACCAAAATGCAATCCACAATCGTAAGATGGTAGTGTCGAGTCGGGACTCCATACTTCGGCCGAAAAGAAAAGCAAAAAAAAAAGTATAGACTCGACCTACCTAATTGTGGGGCTCCTTGGTACGACTACGGTACCCATTGAACGAGGCACACAACGGATCGAACCAATAAACGTTGAAAAGCCCGGAGAACGAAGAGGGCAGGAGACCACTACTGGAGGTAGGTACTAGCTTACGCATGGTCAGTGACAGTGAGTGACAGTGGCCCCCCCCCCCACCTTCTAAGTAGGTAAGTAGGCAGGAATCTAATTCTAGATCTTGTGTGATCATGTTAAGTTGTGATCTTCATCGTCATCGGCTGTCATTGTGACTAGAGATAATTCTCCTACTGCTTAGGGATAGGATTCGGGATTTGCTTGGCTAGTACGGATAGTACTGTACCGTACCTACTACCTAGTATGGTGTAGTTAATACTCCGTACCTGTGTGGCGGCTCAGACCGGTTTCTGAGGCTGTCATATCCTTTCATCTATCCGGTGTCATATATCATATCATATCGTATCATACTTATATCATAGTAGATCATTGGCACTGTCAACTTGACCCTGCAGATCTCGTTAGGTCGGATGGTGACCGTTGGGTTGTTTATCTGCTGCATACATACATGGTATGTGGCCAACGGGTCTGTATAGTACCTAGAAAGGATCAAAGAATGGTATTCTTCATTAACGGGTTTGTGACCTCCCATTTGCTAATGAAGACACCCCCTTTGCATAGCAGAACCCCGCATTCGTCTGCCTCGAGGGCGATGGTTGCGATGTGGGATTGGATGCCTGTCGATCTTTACTGTGGTCGACTGACTGACATGCCATGATCAGGATCCTGTACGTAGTTACGGGAAAAAGGCATGGATGGTTGGAACGGCACATGATGAGTAGGTACTAGGTAGCGAATATCCATCCCGCTTGCCACATACCACACAACCTGCTCGAAGCACTAACTACCCAGTAACTACCACTAACCGCGGCCAACAAGTGCCGAACCTACCGTCTCCGAGTCTGCGCTAAAAATGATGAAAATATTACTCAATTAAACAAGTGCGCCACTTTCACGACAAGCCCAGATCTTGTTGAGCCTTTGCTCCTGCTGAGGGCCTGGATGGGGACCTGTTGTGGGGAACCCAACTGTCCCGTTCCATGGTTGACAGCCATCGCTTACCTTGATGGAGACGTGGTCTCTGCCCTGAATCTAGAACAAGTGGCCGGGGCGTTGGGCAAATTATATACGTACCTAAACATAGAGGTTGAACAAAGGAACCATAGCTCGAGGAGAGACAAGTGATTTGGACGAGTCATCTGGCGAGTCTTGCTTTTCCGGGATCGAAGCTCAGCGCGGGCTAACTATGTCGTGGCACCTGGAAACTGGAGTGTCCCTCCTCTCTACGGTTGATATTAAAATGTCAGGCACAACATGTTCGAGTACTGATTGGATACCCGGGCGTCGTACACACTGAGATTACCTAGTCCTACCGAGAGGAACAAAAAGAAAGCATCACGCGTTCTGGGTCCTGCTTACACGGGAAACCACCTCCCAGTGTAACCTGGATCCATCGCCTGCTCGCAGGATCGATCGAGTAGATAAGTCCATTTCCAACGGCCATTCGTTCCCTCGTCAGGCTGACTGGCTGTCACTCAGCACTGTATACTTAGGGACAAAGGAAGTAGGCACTCTGGACCCGCGGGATCGATGACCCTGAACGTCGCTAACTACAGGGGGAAAGGGGGTGGTTGACCTGTCAGGTCAGACGGAGCGCATACCCTCATAACCCCCCAGCAGGGAGGGAGGACAAGAGGGAGCTCCAACTGTGCACCGACTGCGTTGGGGACTTGTGGTGAAAGGAAAAGAGGGAGGTAAGGTCAGCATGGGATGGGTGGAAGATGCCGATGATATCTACCTAGATAGGCAGGAGTCGGTGGCGGATTCGGGAACATCCTTCTAGCCTCTATCTAGGGCCTTGACCGTGTGGTTTAGTCGTTTACCTATATACATCAACATCAACTAGACCAGTTGTAAGGAGAATAGTCCCGTAGGTCAGGACGGGAATAGTGGACTGAGAATTAAGGAGCCGGAAGGCTGAAGTGGAGGAGGAGGGGGAAGATACTACTATTGTCTGGTGGGATTAATTGGTTGGTTGTAAGCGCCTGCAGGGATTCCGAAATAACTCCAAGATAAAATCACAGAAATCATTTTTATTTTCTGTTTTATTTTTCTTGGAGGGAAAAAAAAAAAAATAATAAAATAGTTGAAACAAGGGGCGGATGCTTCACAATTGTTTCCCGCGCCAGTTTTATCGGGTTGTGCAGGCTTGGCATTGTTTGTGGTCTCCACTCCTTGACCCTCCCTGACTCCGGACACCCAAGTCCAGCGATGGTCTCGACTGGTATCTTCAAATCCAGGAGTTGCCAGAAGGACAACTTTGAACTTACCCTACCTTGGAACTGGATCCATTGAAATTATATTATTAGATGATCCAGTGGGTGGTCGTGGTTGGTTGACGACGGGGTGGACCGATTCAGTCCCGGCCATCCATCCCTCCCGGCTCAGCTGCCAACCAAGGGACCCATGATGTTTGTTTAACCGCTGGGGAGACTTTGGGGATGTGCCAATGTCTGCAGAAGTGCTTGCGACAATTAATCCACTAATGATGAATCCGCTGGCCAGCCTCTTGGACCAGATGTGCGGTGCATATGTAGGATATCCAGTATTCTACGTGAACTTTCGCTCTTTTCTATTGATTTTATTCTATTTTATGCATTTCTTCTTATTTTCCCCTCTCCGTGAAGAAAGGTGAAGCTATTGAGGCAGGTACTGAGTTGGGACGAAGTGTCCCCATCACCAACCATGGATGAGCTCATGTCATCTTATTTCCATCCTTACTTTCATAATTATTTTTTATCCCATCTTTCTGTCCTATTAAATATTTGATATTTAATATTTAATATTCAGTATTGTATTATATTATATTTTATACTTTATACTTTATATGCTCATATCTCTCTATACAAGCCATTCATCTAGATTCATCAATTTTATATTATGTTAATACCAACAATCTGTTTTCTCCTCCAGTACAGATCAAGATCACCATCTGTCAATCTCGCAGACGACCTCATTTCTCCTTGGCGATGTCCCATTAATCAGTCAACCAGTCAGCTTCGTGTTGCGTAAATGGGGAAGGAGAATAAGTCGCTTGGTCAAGGCGTCAGGAGTTCACCCTCGTACTCCATCTAAATCCGGATTTGAGCAGTCCATTAACATCCAGCCTCGCCTAACTAGTCCGGGAGATGGGTCCCGGGTAAGAATAACGGGTATACGGTCGTGGTGGAGGGGGGAGAGTACCAACTACCAGTACCTAGTAGTCTAGTACACTTAGTATAGTGTGGAATCTTGGGGGACCAAAGTTGACAGAAGGGCGAAACCCCACTCATCATGGTTCATACATACGGGTACGGGTTGAGAGAGTAAATAACCCGGCCCTTTTACTGCCGACCCGTCCCTGGATGGTCGGGATTGGTCGATGGGTGGCCGGGTTGGCTGCATGTATCGTATCTGAAATAAGCATACACGGTATGGTCACATTGGATCGATGGAGGATTCCTCCATCTTTGTTCCTGAACACTATAGGTAAGGGACCAGGCTTGGTTTAAGATCTATACTATTGACTAGTATTGGCCTTGGTGGACTTTTGAATGTATATTGTATTGAAGTCGAAAACCAGTAGCATAATCTCCTGATCTATTTAGTTCTATTGTCCAGATCAATCACTCTTATTGTAAGATGTTGTATGATTGTATAATTACAAGGGTGGAGTATGGTGACTGTTATTATCAGGGTGTATTATTATTGATTGGAAATTATTATTAGTATCCTCCATTGTTTATGATATTATTATAATAATATTATTATTGTGGTTACCATGATTATAATTATAATTATAATTATTTAATTTGATTTTTGAGATTAATATTATTATTCTTGATCCCAATAATAATCATTTTCACTATTACTACGATTCGCTCCCATATTTGATGATGATTATTACTGTTCTTCCATCCCACTAGTAGTATACTTAGTACTGCTGGCAACTGTTGTTGTGATTACTCTAACCGCCTGGAAAAATAACTAAAGGGACCCTGACCTACCTCACTTGGTATTCCTCCTCTTCCTCTTCTTCTTCTCCTCTCCTCCTCTCTCCCTCCTCACTTCCGCGCGACTGGCCTCTTTTTTTCCTTTCATCGCCTTTCGTTTCTTTCCCCCCTCCCTGTTTTATTTTATTTTTCATTCTCTTTCGCCGTGCGAGTTATTCAAGGAGACTTGGAAGTGGGCTGGCCCAATTCATCTCTATTGCCTTCTTTCTTCCATCCCCCCTCCAACCCGACCTTTCTTTTTTTGTCCCTTTCTTTGTGAAAGGGTGTCACGCCGTCAGCGCCTAACGACGATTTCCGGGAGGCTGGTTCCTCTGAGTGTGCCTATAGCCTCTGTTATATCATCGCTTGTTGACATTGCACCGTCACTACCTTGGACTCGACTTGGTCCCCCATCGTTCTCTTTGAAGAATCTACTAGAAGGGGGGTTGCTGTTCTGACGGTACGTACAAACTCCTTGTCGTGGAAGTCTGATCCTACGATGATCAGTGAAAGGGCCGGCGCTGGTCCAACCTATCCCGCTCTTTCATTGTTCGCAAGGGTCGATTTCATTCCCTCCCCCATCTGGCACAGGCTAATGATGTGAGATTAGAATTGGCAACATGTATCCTCAACCTGGTGCCCCGATGGCACCTCCTCAGAAACCAGAGACATTCATGCTCTCGAGCGAGGCGCAGCAGAGCCTTCCCCAAGATGCGCAAGTCGCCCTGCAACAAGTTGATAACTGTGAGTTGGACACTGTCGCGATCCGTTCTCCGTTCCTTCGAATCCTGTACGAGGTTCGATCCCTTGTCGAGTCGGCTGGCTGACGTTGAATCCCCCTCTAGTGAAATATTTCCTCTTGTCGGCCCCTGTGGACTGGCAGCCTGATCAACTGATCCGACGATTCTTGCTTCCGACCGGCGACTATATCTCCTGTGTCCTCTGGTTCGTTTGTCCGCAGACCATCGCGGGTTGTGAAGGGAAGAAAAAAGACCCTCGTGACTGACTGGGCGGCAGGAGCAACCTTTTCCATGTGTCGGGTACCGACATTGTTCGATGCCTGGCCTTTCGATTCCAGGCCTTTGGACGTCCGGTCAAGAATTCGAAGAAGTTTGAGGAGGGAATCTTCTCCGACCTCCGAAATCTCAAAGCCGGCACCGATGCCACCCTGGAGGAGCCCAAGAGCCCATTCCTCGACTTCCTGTACAAGAACAACTGCATCCGCACGCAGAAAAAACAAAAGGTCTTCTACTGGTACAGCGTGCCACACGACCGCCTGTTTCTCGATGCGTTGGAGCGTGATCTGAAGCGGGAGAAGATGGCTCAGGAGGCCACCACGGTGGCGGTCAGCGAGCCGGCCCTGTCCTTCGAATACGATTCATCCCAGTCGTTGTACGAGCAACTTACAAAGGCACAACAAGCGAGTTCTTCGTCGTTTGCCACACACGCAAGTACGACATATGGCCAACCCGCATCCCCAGTGGTTCGGAGCGTTGACGCAATGCCTCCCCCCCAGATGGCTCCCCACATGGCTCCGCCGACGCTGCCCCTCCTCCCGGACGAGTCTGGGCACCCGGCCATGTATAGTGCGATTCCCATGTCCAGTGCCATGGCTCCGGGCCTTGTGAAGCGCGAACCCGAGTACACCACCATCCAGTTCGACCGCAATGGCATGCCCATGGCTCGGATCCACCAGCGCCATGCGTCCATGCCCACCTTTGTCGAATACTCGCCAGCCCCGTCCTTTGTTTCCTCCCACTATGAAGACTACAGCAACCGAGGGTTGTCCTTTGAGCCAGTCACACCACCCCAGCACAGCTCGCACATGGGCGCCGAGCCCGCCTATATCGCCAACGAGGATACCGGTCTCTACACGGCCATCCCCGAGCTCTCGTCAGCCCACGCTATGAACCCGATGATGCAGCTACCGCCGTCCAATCTCGCCAGCGCCCACTTCCCGGCCCCACCGAGGTCGTTCCACTCGAACGTCTACTCGATGATCGAGGGGTCCCCGACATACAAGCAGCGCAGACGGCGCTCGTCCATCCCGCCGGGCGCTGCCAATGCCGTGGCTGCCGCGCAGTCGCAAGTGACGAACACACCGCCGCCGCCCGTCAGCTATGCCGCGCACCGGCCCAGCGACCTGCGACGCTCAGTTTCCAGCTCGGTGGCCCCCGTGGCAGAAGTCGAGGAGTCGCACCCGGCTTCTTCGCATCGGACCGTGAATGGATATCCGTCGGCCATGCTTCCTCAGAAGAACTTGCTCCAGGAGATGTCCCGGAATGGGACCCCGCTGTCGGGGTTGGAGGAGAACCCGGAGAATGGCCTGACGATCGCAAACCCCGCCGATGAGCTAGCGGCGCTCCCCAACAACGAGACCCTGGAGAACGCCGTTCAACATAGTGCGACACACAAGGGGGATCGGTTCGCCCCTGGTCCAGTCCGCCGCGCGCGCAGCGCGACCATGATGGAACTGGGGCCTTACCCTCAGAAGTCCCACTCGTGTCCGATCCCCTCCTGCGGGCGACTCTTCAAGAGACTAGAGCATCTGAAACGGTGAGTTACAGTCCCCTCCCAGCCCTTGACGTCGATTGCGTCCCTTGATTGGGTTCCTCTTCTCAGATCTGAAACCACCGTCTAACACTTAGCGTCTAGACATGTGAGGACCCACACGCAGGAACGGCCCTACCCTTGTCCATACTGCAACAAGGCCTTTTCTCGTTCCGACAACCTTGCACAGTAAGTTCCTTCGGTACCCGTTGCGTCACCAGATAGGAAGGTCTAACCTTTGACCCCAGACACCGTCGGATCCATGAGGCCCAGCAGGACGGGCATCCGCCACTCCAACCTCACGAGGAAGATCTGGAAAACGAGGACAACGAATCTGGTTCGGCAGATGAAGACTCTTCGCCAATGGAGTCGGGGCCGCACTCGATGCTCCATGTCTCCAGCATGGCGTCGATGGCGCCCGCCATGACCTTACCAACCGCCATGCCCTCGATGATGGGGTCGCACTTGATTGCTCCGCAACTTCTGCAGCAGCACATCTAAGCGCCATGGTGGGACTCCATTCCGCCGTCATTGGATCCCTTCGCCAGCCACCGTTGCCGCATGAGTACACTTGATGTGCCTCATGTGACTCATTTTTCTTTCTCGCTCCTTATCTTCTTTTTTTAATAGAGTTATTGATTCCTGGACATATCTTCGCGTGTCTTTCCGTGTCGGCAAGTTTCTGCTCGGTTGTCGGGCAGGCCTGATGTTCTCTGTTTGTTCATGTCTACTATTTGGCGAGTCACCCGGGTGGCTCTGTTGATATCGCGGGTCTCCCTTTTCGATCTCTGTTTTTTTTTTTGCTACAGGAAGGTCGGGGGGTCATTTTCCAGCACAGGATTGCCGGGGTGGCCCTCTGTCTTTTGTTGGCGCTCGCGCTGGGGTTTGTTTCCATATAAACCATCGCTGGTTGTGCCGCGTGTTGTGACGTTCTCATAGCTAGCCCTCCTTGACTGCTTGGCTTTTTATCTTTTTTCCTCTTGTTTTTGTTTCATTTGTCTCGTCCGTTTGTCTGGTCATTTTGCGCTTTGTTGATAATGTTTTTTTTTTATACTCCCAGCTGTTTTACATTGGGAATCTGGAAGGTGGGTAGGACAGAAGAAGCACAGTGCGGGTTGGTTTGCTAGTGGCGTATCGTTCTGAGGAACGAACAGTTTGAGATGTCAATAAAAATCAACAACAATATCTCAAAATCATTCCTGTAGCTTTTGATAAATCTCTACTGTAGCTTCAAGATTAATATATGGCTATGTGTTCTGGCTGTCTAGGCAGGACGAATGATGTGATCCCGCCGTATCTGTGATATCATAATGGCGCTAACAAAGACCATGTAGATATGTAGACTAGACAAAGCGTACTATAAAACCAGGAATAGCGCTCAGAATCCTACCCCACATATAATGAACACCGCATGCTTCTATCCATCCGCATCATTCTCATCAATAGTAATAATACAACCATCCTCATTGTTGACGCAATTACTTAATAGTCTCAACCCGCAGCCTAGACCGGGTCACGTGGCTGGCCTGCTGACGTCGACCCAGTTCGCCATCACAAGGACCTCCAATTTCGACATCCTTTCAACACTATCCACGGGAAAGACATATTCGAGAAGACTTGTGTTTTACTTTTCAAGAGTGATCTGGCCTGGGTCGCTCGCAGACGCTTGATAAGGCTTACTACAATCGGTAACCATACACCGTCTTTGTACTCCGCACTCCACTCCGCACAGGGCGTGGCGCACGGCAGGACCCATGAATGCTGGACATTCTTAGTCCTTACCTACTATATTTTTCATTGAGATCACCGCTCATATCTCTGGGTGTGCTCGGACTTTTATAATCCTCAGCCCGATATTGTGAGGCCTGGAGTCTGGCATCAATGACGGACACCGATGGACGAATTGCGGACGAGACCTCGCCCCTAGTGGGTCCGGAACGCAGGTTTAACGATAGCGATGTGGATTTACTGCTGGGTTCTAGTGGACGGGATGCTGGTCGGCAGAATGCTCACGCGGGTGATCTCGCGGAGACGAGAAGTAGTTGGTACTTGTTCTTGTTGACGTTGAGTATTGGCGGGTAAGCTCTTGACTCTCCTTGCTGCTTGTTAGTTTGGCGATTGACATGTCAGGTAGACTTCAGGTCGTATGGTCGGTTGAGTTATCGTATGGATCGGTAAGTGTACCTGCTGCGGAGTTATCTGGGAGTTAGAGGCTGACTATGGTTGCAGCCGTATTTACTGTCTCTCGGGATGAGCAAGGCCCTGCTTGCCTTTGTGTGGATTGCCGGCCCGTTGACAGGAGCCCTGGTGCAGCCGTATATTGGCATCTGCAGTGATAACTGTCGCGTATCGTGGGGCAAAAGGAAGCCGTTCATGATTGTGGGCGGGGCGGGGACTGTCGTCGCGCTGCTTGCCCTCGCCTGGGTCAAGGAGATAGTTGCAGGTTTCCTGGGGATTTTTAGTGTTGATTCGACTTCGGCCGGTACCAGGACGGCCGTCATCGTCCTGGCGACGATTTTCATGTACTGTTTGGATTTTGCGATTAATACCGGTATGGCTGTCTGTTACCTGTTCCCTACGTTGCCCCGTGCTGATATTTTGTCTATAGTTCAGGCAGGTATTCGATGTTTCATTGTGGACAATGCCCCTACGCATCAGCAGGAATCGGCAAATGCTTGGGCGAGTCGTCTTACCGGGGTGGGCAATATCCTTGGATACATTTTTGGATACGTGGACCTGCCACGGTATATTCCCTTCCTTGGAAACACTCAGTTCCAGGTGCTGTGCGCGCTGGCGTCAATTTTGCTTTGCAGCACGTTGCTGGTCAGTTGCTCGTACATCCAGGAACGAGACCCCCGGCTGGAGGGGTCCTCTTCGTCCAGCAACCCTGGTATCACGACCTTCTTCAGACAGGTTTTCAAATCGATTAAGAACCTACCGCCTCAGATCGCCAAAGTCTGCGAGGTTCAGGTCGCCGCGTGGGTGGGCTGGTTCCCTTTCCTTTTCTACTCCACCACCTACATTGGACAGCTTTACGTCAATCCTCTCTTCGAGGAACATCCGAACCTGCCCGATAAGCAGATTGATGACGCCTGGGAAGAGGCTACGAGGATAGGAACCTTTGCGCTGCTGGTCTACGCAATTATCTCCTTCGCTGCGAATCTTACGCTCCCTATCTTCGTCGTTCCGACTTACCGACCCGTGGATACGAACAGCTCGGGGAGGATACCTGTCGATAGTAATGCCGAGCAGGAATCGTTCCTGGAGACGAGGAGGATGTCAATCTCGAGCTTGCCGGTCGGGACCACATCCGAGCCAGCACCGAACATGCCCCAGGACAAAGACGGGGGTTCCCAGGGCAGCGCCGCTAAGTGGGGATCGAAGCTACAGATTCCAGGGTTTACTCTTCGCCGGGCGTGGCTGCTTTCCCATGTTCTTTTCACGCTTTGCATGTTCAGCACCTTCTTCATCTACAGCTACCAGGCGGCGACCGTGGTCATTGGTCTCGTGGGGATATCCTGGGCGATGACGCTCTGGGCCCCCTTCGCGCTGATCTCGGCGGAGGTTGCGCGGGTGGACGCAGAACGTCGAGTCCGACGCAACCAGGCCGAGATGCACCAATCCGACGATCTGCAGCATAGGGTCCAGGACGGCCAGCGAGGGCGGGATCCGAACAGTGACGACCTCGAGCACGGGTCGTCGACTGCCAAGGCGACCGACGACGACGACGAGAATCTGGCGCAAGCGGGAATCATCCTGGGGCTCCACAACGTGGCGGTGTCATCTCCTCAGATCGTGTCCAGCTTGATCTGTAGTGCGATCTTCAAGGTCTTTCAGAAGCCTCGCGGTGAGCCTTGGGATGATAGTGTCGGTTGGGTGCTCCGGTTTGGGGCTGCGCCGCCCTCGTGGCGGCGTGGCTGACTGGGCGGCTTTCTGAGGGACGGTGATAATCTTTTGATACTTTTTATTATTCTAATTTTGGTCATTTAATCCGAGGTATGGTTTGTAGAAATTTAACGGATTTTATGGTACCCAGACTATGACATAGCAGATAGTTGAAATGCGCCAGGATCGGCGGGCCGGGCGACAGATGGACGCGCTTAAACCGGGACTAGACCGTTACTTGTCCTTCCTTGTCCCGTCCGAGCTCCCCTTCTCTTCACTCTTGACTTGCATCTTCCCCATCCTGTCATCTTCTCTCCAACGCCCCATCTGTAAGGCTATTCGCACATTTCTTTCGTCCTGGATTAGTGTTTGGGATTATGTGCGCCTTGATCTACAGTTGTTAACACTGTGGTGTCATTCGCCGTCGTGGTTGCCTTCACTCTTTCATCTTACCAACCAATTTAATGGCTGAACAACTGATGGGCGGTGCCCTTCATTTACTCCGTATGTATCCCTTTTCTTGGCTGTTGTCTTCTTTTGTGCTTTTTGTTTGGTTTCCTGTTTTGATCTCTTTCTGTCAGTCCAGTTTTTGAGCTGTCATGCGTTATTCCCGTGCCGACTGCCTTCGTCTTGATGGTAGAAACGAGAGATAGGAACGCCCGATGCTGATATCTCGACTGCTACTCATAGGAAGAGTCGCCGAATATGAATCTGACCCCGACGATGGTACGCGCCCCTCATACTCGACCTCGGTTTTCTTACGAGCGATGTCTAATCGATGGTGGTTGAAACAGATGCTCCCGAAGCGGGCACCAAGGAGTTCTTCAGCTCCTGGGCGCTGTTCATTCTGATCATGCTGTTGATATTCGCGCTCTTTACGAGTTACATCTTGCAGCAGAAGAAGATCCAAGCGGTTCATGAAACAGTTTTGTCTATCTTTGCGGGTACGTCGATTCGAGTTCCGGAGGGGCCAACGACCGCTTTCTGACACGTGGGGGGTAGGGATGTTTGTCGGCTTGATTATACGCTTGAGCCCCGAGTCGCCCATTCAGGATAGCGTCACCTTCGATTATCAATTCTTCTTCAACCTGCTTCTTCCTCCGATTATTTTGGCGTCTGGGTACGAATTACACCAAGCGAACTTCTTCCGCAATATCGGGACGATCTTGACGTTTGCGTTTGCGGGGACATTCATATCTGCGATTGTGTTGGGATCGGTTCTGTACGTCTGGACGCGGATCCCGTTGGATGGCCTGAATATTACCTTTGTCGAGGCGATCTCGGTGGGCGCGACGCTGTCTGCGACAGACCCGGTGACGATCCTGGCTATCTTCAACCTGTACAAGGTCGAGCCGAAGCTCTACACGGTTATCTTCGGCGAGTCGATCCTGAACGATGCGATTGCTATTGTGCTGTTCGAGACGGCCCAGAAGTATGCGGAGAACGATGCGGAATCGTTGACTTTCCTCCACTTCTTCGAGGCTATCGGTCTGTTCTTGATCGTCTTCTTTGGCAGTATGCTGGTCGGTATCATCGTGGGGATAATAACCGCCCTGGGGCTTAAGTACACGCATGTGCGCCGCCAGCCCAAGATCGAGAGCTGTCTGATCATCCTCGTCGCTTACGCGAGTTACTTTTTTTCCAACGGCGTGTATCTTTCCGGTACGTCCCCATGGCTGGTAAGTGACCGCTATTGTGTTTGCTGACCGTTTCCAGGGATCGTCTCGCTCCTGTTCTGTGGGATCACATTGAAACATTATGCATACTACAACATGTCCCGACGGACGCAGTTGACCACGAAGTATCTGTTCCAGGTGATGGCCCAGCTGTCGGAGAATTTCATCTTCATCTACCTCGGTTTGGATCTGCTGGTTCAGCGACACCTGCAGTTTAAGCCGTTGTTCATCATGGTGTCGATCTTCGGCATCTGTCTTGCTCGCTATCTCGCCGTGTTTCCTTTGTCCAAGGCGATTAACTGGTTCATCCGATACCGGGCGCGTCGGCGCGGACAGGAGGTGGCGGACGAACTGCCCTTTGCCTACCAGGCGATGCTCTTCTGGGCGGGGCTGCGTGGTGCAGTCGGTGTCGCACTGGCGGCAGGCCTTAAAGGGGTCAACGCACCCGCTCTCCGGGCCACCGTCCTGGTGGTGGTCGTGCTCACCGTCATCATCTTCGGAGGGACGACCGCACGCATGCTGGAGATCCTCGGCATCCGCACGGGGGTGGTGGAGGAGCTGGAGTCGGATGACGAGTTCGATATCGAAGTGACCCATGGGGGCACATACTACAAGCGCTCGGATACGGCACTGGGGTACACCCCTCGCCGCATGGACTCGACCATCCCCTTGGACGGAGTGACGCCGCGAGGGGATCTTGAGCGGACCGATAGCTATTCGAGCGGCAACAACCGCCGGCCGAGTCCCCGCGGGCGTCGTCATCCGGCCGGAGTCGCGGACACTCGCGTCTCTATTCGAATGCATATAACCCCCGGGATGCGCAAACCCCGCGCGACCGATCCTCGACGGCCACTCTTCTCGGGGGTGCCGGCCCGCACGACGACAGCAGTGTAGCCAGCGAGGACGAGTTCGGCCTGCGGTCGAGCGGCAAGGGCCGACTATCGGACCCGGACCACCCGGACGCGTTCGAGATCGACGTGGACGACAACGACGACGAGGACTTGCCACCCACCGCCCCGTCAGTCTCGCGACTGCGACGGTCGCCCTCGCAGCCGATGCCATCCAGCGGCCCGCATACGGCAGACTCAGCCAGTATGTCCCCACTGCGGCGCGAAGCAGCGTCGGGGTTGAGCGCCCGGGACGCAATCCGCGATTTGTTCTCCGGCGGGCCGTCCGGAGACCACGGGGCGTGGTTCAGGCAGCTGGATGAGGATTATATTAAGCCGCGGCTGCTGCTGGACCAGTCGAATCATAAGGGACCGGGACCGGGGGCGGTTTAATGACTTGTATTATGATTTTCTTAACTCCCGGTTTCTGTTCCTTGTTGGTTTTGGTTGGTTTGTTGGCGGTTTACTCATGTTTGTGATGTTCACTAGCATCTTTCGTGACGTGCACTGGTATTGACTGGTGATGCTCACTTGCATCAATTGTGATGTGACGTCCAGGGTCTGGATACTCTGGACTGGTTGAGTTGATGTTCGGATAGAGATGTATGTCTCTGTCAGCGTACTTGTTTGTTTCTCATTCTCTAGACGGTGATATCTCTATAATTCACCGAAGCTCTGTAAACCTGTGGGTTAGTCGTAACAGACTCGAGAGTCTGGACCAGTACCTAGGTCAATATACAGTATTTTCAATCCTCAACTCAAGGTTCGATGTGACTGACAGGCTTGGAGTAAACATTAGAAACTACACCTAGAATAGCCACAATGAACTGGTAATGATAAGACTTGAATCTATCCTCATTTGCCTCTATATTCTCTTCCAATGATATCCACCGATCTCATGTTGTATCTATAATGATATCCACCGATCTCATGTTGTATCTATTTATCTATCTATCTATCTATCGTTCTCCCACCTAGCTTAGCACTGAGCAGAAAACCGTATGAGTAATGCATAGCTTAATTATTACGGGGTGATTATTTATAGATACGAATTCTCTCTAGGTAAGGAAATATGTGGAATGGTTCATTATGTGTATTAGCTATGGGTGCTAGTCATGTCATTCTGTTTCGTATGTTTCTTTCGTCAACGTTCGATGATATCGATATCTGGCCATCCACTGGTTGATTGATAGCTGAGGTTTGATGCGATGATTACTGAGGCACGTCGAGAACGTAGCGGCCTGCGATCTTGCCTTGTTCTGTTTATTGTCAGTATACTCTTGCCAAACAACACTTTCCATAAAGCAAAGAGAAAAGTGGAAGAAAAGAAAAGGAAAGGAAACCAACCCATCAACTCAAAAACCTGCGGCAACTCCTTCAACGGCACCGTCTTAAACGGCGCATGGATCAACCCACGCGCGAAGAAATCAATCGCCTCGACCGAATCCTGCCGATTGCCGACGTAGCTGCCCTTGATGTTGATCATGCGCACGACGGTGTTGAACACGGGCGCCTTGAGGTAAGCACCTGCTGGGAGGCCGATGGCGACGATGGATCCGTGCGAGCGCACGTATCCGGCGGCTTGCTGGAAGGGCCCTTCGCTGACGGCGAGGAGGATGACGGCGTGCGCGCCGAGGCCGTCGAGGGTGGCGGCTTTGACGTCTTCGACGACGTCTTTGGATTTGGTGAAGTCGACGTAGGACTATCTTTTCTCAGTTTCTTCTTTCTTTTTGAAGGGGAGGGGAAGGAGAAGGGCAGGAGAGGGAGAGGAGGAGGGAGATACCTTCGCACCGAGCTTCTCGCACATGGCTTTCTTTTCATCACCCCCGTCGATGGCAACCACCTGGAGACCCATGGCCTTAGCATACTGCAGAGCGAGCGAGCCCAGTCCACCACCAGCGCCGACAATCGCGACCGTCTGGCCAGGACGCGCCCCTGACTCCTTCAGACCCTTGTAGACAGTGAGACCAGCGCAGAGGATAGGCGCGACCGCGTCGAGGGCCACCTCCTTGGGAATCTTGGACGACAGAGCAGCCTTGCCGATCGCATACTGCTGAAAGGTACCGTCGACGGTGTATCCAGACAGCTGAGGATTAGGGCACAGAGGCTCCTCGCCCTGTCGACAGAACTCGCAGGTCATGCACGCGCCGTTCAGCCACTTGATGCCGGCGTGGTCGCCCAGCTCGAACTCGTTCACCAGCTCGCCCTTGGCGACGACCACGCCGGCGCCTTCGTGTCCGCCGACCAGCGGCATCTTCAGCGGCAGCGGCCAGTCGCCTTTCATGGCGTGCAGGTCCGTGTGGCAGACGCCGGAGTAGCGGATCTTGACGAGGATTTCGTCCGGGCCGGGCTTGGGGACGGCGATTTGCTTGTAGACTGGGGGGCCGCCTTTCTTTTCGACCACTTGGGCCCATTGCTTGTCTGGGAGGGACATTTTGGTGGTGGTTGTTGTTGTTGCTGGGGTGTGGACTGATCGAAGGGTGGGTTGTAGAGGGATGGGAGATGTAAGAACAAAGTTACATCAGCCAGCGAGAGACATGGTTCTTATAAGAGTCAATTCTTGATCCCCCTTGGGATCAAAGACAGTCACTAATAATAGGTAGCCAGAGACTGCCAGACGAAGAGGTTACACGGTAGTGCATGACGAGAGGTGACGGAGTAGAAGACGTCACCAGATTGGAGCGGGTTGGTTTCTCCGCACGACAACCCGGCCATCGCATCATGCCATTGCTCGCTTGATATTTCCCTGTCACACACTATGTTGGCTGATGGGGGTGGAATTGTGGTGGTCTAGACTGTGCTGTGGTCGATGGAGGTTGATTGACTGGTTATGTTTTACTGGGGATGAACGGGAGGGGTGGATATACGGATATGGATATATGGATATGGGTGATATGGATGTTCTGAGTCTCAGTGGCACATCACAGCATTAGGATCATGTTGCCTTGGTATATCTTCTGATATACATATTTCACATACCCTTTCAGTGACAGCCACTGGTTGTCTGTGGTGTGACTACACCAGTGGCTCAGTCAGTCTCCCGAGTACTCTGTAATACCACCGGATTATCTCCATTCTCAATCCCCAGATGCTGTTACTAAACAAGCCACTAACAGTCACTAGACAAGAAAGAATTCTCTCCTTTGTTGCTGTGGAGGTACGCGTCTTGAGTCTGGACCCAGACAGGTTGGGGTCAATCAAGATTGAAGGGACTGTGCACTGGCTGGCCAGATAGCAACCGAGAAGGGATGGAGGATGTTTAGTCTAGCAGTTCCTGGGCCTATCAAATAAGAGGTCTGTTCGCTTCTTCTCTTCTCAGACTTCTCACTGGGGACTAAGTATCGGATAAGAGTACTAAACGGAGGGAAGAGTACTGAACGAAGGGAGCATCCTCTGTATTGCTCTTAATGTATCAACCCCAATGATGTACTGGGTGTGGATTGAAGGACCTGCACTATTATTGATGCTTTACACATGCTTCTGCTTCTCTCAGGATGTAGAAGAGCTTGCTCTTAGGAGTAATGGCAGTGCACAGACAATATAGAAGACGAGTCACCGTCCGACAGGATGATGTTCATCGATACAGAATAGATATGGTGAGTTATCTCTCAGTCTCTCAGGTAGAGTTCATGCTGTAATTCGTATATCAAGTAGAAAGAATGATGGGAGAATGATGGAGAGAATGCAGTGGAGAGAGAGAGAGAGAGAGAGAGTATATAGAGAGAGAGAGGAAGAAGAGGATGCCTCAGGTTGACGATACGAGTAATCTATGGCACGTTGTCTCCATACCCCAGATACCGTAATCTACATAACATACCCCTGGATACTATGGTGATGACCGTACCGTACACGATGAACCTCACTCTCACTTCTCTTCTTTCTACTGACCCAGAATCATCATTCAATCTTCTTCTTCTTCTTCCTCTCTCCACTTCACGTTGTCGTTCTTTCTTTCCTCCTTTTTTCTTCCCCCCATCTTGCCCATCTGCATCCTCTTCTTCCTCTCCTGCATCATAATCCCCTTCCTTCACCTCCTCCTTCATCCCCCAAATCTTTCTCCCTCTGCTCTCATCTTGCCTCCCAATCCGGTAACTCCTCCAACCGACCGACTGCGCGTCGCTGACGGGCTTCACGTCCTTCGACTCAATCCTCCATCGATCGGACGGTGTACTGGTAAGTCGTGTCAATTCATCATTCTCGGAAATTCCCTCCAGTGGTAGTCCTTTCATCCTCCCATCAGAAGAGAGAGATCGACCGCCGACGATCCTCCGTTCGCTGCTTCCTTTTCGCCCCTTCCAAACTTCCCACCTCTCCATTTCTTTCGTCCTTTCTACCCACCGGATCCTGGATCCCCTCATCGCCCCATCACCTCCTCATCTTCGTCTTCTCCTCCTGTTTATGTTCATGACACCCCCTTCTCCACTCCGAACCGTGAATTAACCCCCCGGCAGAAAGATTCCAAAGATCGAACCCGTGTCCTGCGATCACGCGTGGTCGCTGACGTTCCATCCTCCCCCATTCGTCTCGCGCATGGCTGGCGCCGGTGTACCCTGACGGATCGTACGCCTTTCCGATCCCCCGTCATCCCATTAACCGCCGTCTCCATCCTCGATCGCGAATCGTCCATCTCCGTTCGTCGCCGCGTGCCCGGCGTTCGCGGTCACCATGTCGGGCGCTCCGCCGTACAACCCCCAGTCCCCGACCTCGCAATCCCGGTATCCGGCCTATTCGCCCTCCAACAAGAACCGCGCCTACTATCCCAACAATGAATATCCCCAGCATCCCCCCAGACCCCGCCGGCCTTCCCCCCGGCCCAGCCCGCCTCGCTGTCTCGGAGCCCGCACTACGCCCATGCGCCGTCTCCCTTGCCCGGCACCCTGCCCCCGTTGAACGGCGCCGGCTCCCATCCCTCCGATCCGGCGGCATCGTACTCCTCCCATTCGGCCTCGGGCACGCCGCAGTTTCCCCTGCCGCGACCCTACTCCGGTTCCTCCCTACCGGCGAACTCCGCCTACGGCCACCACTCGCCCTCCCGCAATCATCATCCATCCGGTCGACTCGACGGCTACCTCTCGCCCAAGCGGGAGGCCGACTCGCCGTACCCCGTGGGCGGTCCCGCCGTCGCCGGGTACCCGTCCGCCATCGTGCGAGAACCCCGACGCGCCTCCCCCCCAAAGGAAACGGTAGGACCAACCCCCTCGTCCACGGGACGCGCCCTTTTGAGACCCCAGGACCTAACCCTCGTGTCCCTGCAGAAACCCGCCCGAGCCGCCGATCCGATGTCGTTCGCCAGCATCCTGTCCGGTCCGGCGGAGGAACGTTCCCCACCCAAGAGGCCCTCCCCGCTCCCCGACACCGCCCCGCAGGCGACCGCCCCCGCGCCGGCGCCGGCGCCCCCCACTCCCGCCGCGGCCGCGACACCCCCGGCGGTCAAAGAGGTGGAAACCACCCCGGCGCCCCGGCCGGAGAAGAAGACCCCCGCGGAGCGCCGCCGCCGGAACGCCGACAAGAAGGCGGCCGATGCCGCCGCGACCAACGGCGCGCCGGGATCCCACATTACCTACCCCACCCGGCCCCGCAAGATGCTCTCCGAACGTGACATGGAAGCGGTGAACCGTGCCTTGGCCGACATCGACCATGCGGACAAGAGTGACGTCGAGAGCCCCGGGTTCGAGGCCGAACAGGAACGCTACACCCTCAAGGGCAAGAAGCGTGCCTTTGGGGCCGAGAAGGCCGAGAATATCCGACGCAAGGTACGTGATTGACGAAGACAGGACCTTATATGTACACGACACCAATTGACCACGCTACAGCGCCGTCGCCACGATTTCCTGGTCCGGCTGGGCAAAACCTTTGAAAAGCAAGCCGCCCTGGGCATGGACCGGTTCCGCCTCGCCAACGAATCCTCCGTCATCGCCGAGGTCCAGGCTAAGGAGGTCCAGGACGAGAAGGAGCGCAAGAAGGACATGCAGCGCAAGCGCCGGCGGGAGAACACGGTGCGCCTGGAGATGCAGAAGAAGCTGGAGGCGGAGCGCAAGGCCCACAAGGCCCAAGACTCCGCCGAGAAGGCCAAATTCCTGCGCGAGGCTGAGCGCGCCCAGCGGAAGATCAAGACCACCAAACGCGCCCTGGAGGGCGTCACGGCTCCCGAGGAGATCGGCGAGGTCACTCCGCTGGCCCCCAACCTCGAGGGCGGCACCACCAGCTCTTTCCACATCGGCCGCAGTTCCCCGTCTCGCCGCAAGTCCGGCCGCAGCGGAAACTCTAGCCGACCCAAGAAGTCCAAGGAGCAGAAGCAAGCCGAGAAGGATGCCGCCGAGGCCGCCTACGCCGCCATGGAGAACGACGAACCCCTGCCGCTCGCGCCCAAGGAAGCCGCTGCCGCCGCTGCCGCCGCCCCTCGCAAGGACGCGCTCAAGAAGGAAGCCAAGGGCGGCCTCTCGAAGGAATCCACCCCTGTGCCCGTCTCCGCCTACGAGACCAAGGGTTACAATCAGATCTACGAACAGATCTGGCGCGACATCGCCCGCAAGGACATCCCCAAGGTCTACCGGGTCAAGGCCATCTCCCTCAGCACCCGCCAGGAGAACCTGCGCAAGACCGCCCAGTTGGCCAGCAAGCAATCCCGCAAGTGGCAGGAACGCACCAACAAGAGCATGAAGGACACCCAGGCCCGCGCCAAGCGCACCATGCGCGAGATGATGTCCTTCTGGAAGCGCAACGAGCGCGAGGAGCGCGACCTCCGCCGTCTCGCCGAGAAACAGGAGATCGAGTCGGCCAAGAAGGCCGAGGCCGAGCGCGAGGCCAACCGCCAGCGCCGCAAGCTCAACTTCCTCATCTCCCAGACCGAGCTGTACTCCCATTTCATCGGGCGCAAGATCCAGGGCGTCGACGACGCGGAGGGCGAGACGGCTGGGGAGAGCGGCGGCAGTGGCGCCGCCGGTGCTGGTGCTGGTGCTGGCGCCCCGTCCGGACCAGAGGGCCAGGTCACCAGTTTCGAGGATCTCGATTTTGACGCCGAGGACGAGTCCGCCCTACAGGCCGCGGCGCGGGCCAACGCGCAGAACGCCGTCCAGCAGGCCCAGGACCGGGCGCGGGCCTTCAACGAGCAGGATCCGATGGCGACGATGGACGAGGGCGAGTTGAACTTCCAGAACCCCACCAGTCTCGGAGACATCGAGATCTCGCAGCCGAACATGCTCAACGCCAAGCTGAAGGAGTACCAGCTCAAGGGCCTGAACTGGCTCGTCAACCTGTACGAGCAAGGCATCAACGGCATCCTGGCCGACGAGATGGGCCTGGGCAAGACGATCCAGTCCATCTCCGTGATGGCGTACCTGGCCGAGGTCCACAACATCTGGGGCCCCTTCCTCGTCATCGCCCCGGCGTCGACCCTGCACAACTGGCAGCAGGAGATCACCAAGTTCGTGCCCAACATCAAGGTCCTGCCGTACTGGGGATCAGCCAAGGACCGCAAGATCCTCCGCAAGTTCTGGGACCGCAAGCACATCACCTACACCAAGGAGTCCGAGTTCCACGTGCTGGTGACCTCGTACCAGCTGGTCGTGCTGGACGCGCAGTACTTCCAAAAGGTGAAGTGGCAGTACATGATCCTGGACGAGGCCCAGGCCATCAAGTCCTCCCAGAGCTCCCGGTGGAAGAACCTGCTGGGCTTCTCCTGCCGGAACCGGCTCCTCCTGACGGGGACGCCGATCCAGAACAACATGCAGGAGCTGTGGGCCCTGCTCCACTTCATCATGCCCACGCTGTTCGACTCGCACGACGAGTTCAGCGAGTGGTTCTCCAAGGACATCGAGTCCCACGCCCAGAGCAACACCAAGCTGAACGAGGACCAGCTGAAGCGGCTCCACATGATCCTCAAGCCCTTCATGCTGCGCCGTGTCAAGAAACACGTGCAGCAGGAGCTCGGCGACAAGGTCGAGAAGGACATCTTCTGCGACCTCACCTACCGCCAGAGGGCCTACTACACCAACCTGCGGAACCGCGTCAGCATCATGGACCTGATCGAGAAGGCCGCGGTGGGCGACGAGGCCGACAGCACCACCCTGATGAACCTCGTGATGCAGTTCCGCAAGGTCTGCAACCACCCGGACCTGTTCGAGCGCGCCGAGACCAAGTCACCCTTCTCCACCGCCTTCTTCGCCGAGACCGCGTCGTTCGTCCGGGAGGGGTCCTTTGTCGACGTCGGGTACTCGACGCGCAACCTCATCGAATACCCGCTCCCGCGGCTCCTGTGCAGCTCGGCGGGGCGGCTGGACGTCGCCGGCCCCGACAACGTGCACGCCGGGTTCCGGGGCCGGTACCTGGCCCACCTGATGAACGTCTTCGCCCCCGAGCACATCCGGCAGAGCGTGGCGGAGGACGGCGCGTTTGCGTTTCTGCGGTTTGCGGACACCTCCGTGGGCGAGGCGGCCACGCTCGCGCGGCTCGGCGTGTTTGAGCGCGCCGTCCGCCGCCGGGGCCAGCCCCCCCACCACCATCACGACCGCTTGGCCCGCCTGCAGATTGCCTACGACGCGGACGAGGCGGACGAGACCACCGCCACCACCCTCCTTCCCCACACGCTCTTCAACATCGTCGAGCGGAACGACCCCCGCGCCGTGCAGGAGATCCTCCCCGAGGGGTGCATGGGGGCCCTCATGTCCGTGTCCCAGTCGAGCTTTGCCCGCGAGGGCCTCGGCACCATCGAGCCGTGCGCCAGTCCGGCGGCCTCGGCGCCGCCGATCGTCCTCTCGTCGTCCAGCAGCGCGACCCAGCAGGAGATGCGGGACCGCCTCCTGTTCCCCATCTCCGTCCGGCACGCGCTCTACAGCACGCCATCGCGCGAGGTGGAGGCGCAGATCCTGGAGCAGCGGGTGGACCCGGCCCCCTACGCGGTGGCGCCGATGCTGCCGGCGCCGCTGTCGACCAAGGGCCGCTACACGCACATCGAGGTGCCGTCGATGCGGCGGTTCGTCACGGACTCGGGCAAGTTGGCCAAGCTGGACGAGCTGCTGCGGGAGCTGAAGGCGGGCGGGCACCGGGTGCTGCTCTACTTCCAGATGACGCGGATGATCGACCTCATGGAGGAGTACCTGACGTACCGCAACTACAAGTACTGCCGGCTGGACGGCAGCACGAAGCTGGAGGACCGGCGCGACACGGTGGCGGACTTCCAGCAGCGGTCCGACATCTTCGTCTTTCTGCTGTCGACGCGGGCGGGTGGTCTGGGCATCAACCTGACGGCGGCCGACACGGTGATCTTCTACGACTCGGACTGGAACCCGACGATCGACTCGCAGGCGATGGACCGGGCGCACCGACTGGGCCAGACGCGGCAGGTGACGGTGTACCGGCTGATCACGCGGGGCACGATCGAGGAGCGGATCCGCAAGCGGGCGCTGCAGAAGGAGGAGGTGCAGCGGGTGGTGATCTCGGGCGGCGCGGCGGGCGGCGTGGATTTCAACACGCGGAACCGCGAGAGCCGGACCAAGGACATTGCGCTGTGGCTGGCGGACGACGAGCAGGCGGAGCTCATCGAGCAAAAGGAGAAGGAGGCGCTGGACCGGGGCGAGGTGTTTGGAGCGGCCAAGGCTGGCAAGAAGGCGGCGCAGAAGCGGAAGAAGGACGTGACGATGGACGAACTGTACCACGAGGGTGGGTTTTCCTTTCCCATCTTTCCGCATTGCAAGTATACAGACTGATCATTTGTACAGGCGAAGGCAACTTCGACGATGCCAGCGCGAAGCCGTCAGGTGCGGTGACGCCGGTGTCAGAGACGGTGGGCACGCCGTCGTCGACGCCCGTGCCCAAACGCGGCCGCGGAGGGACAGGCAAGGGTTCCTCGAAGCGAGCCAAAACGACCAAGGAACGACTGCGACTGATCGATGGGGATGGAGGATTGGCCTGATCTTCTTTACCCTCATTTTTCCTTCCCTTTTCTCTCTCTCATTTTCCCTTCTTCATTCCTCTCTTTCTCATTCTATGATTTTTATACTATTTTACTTTTTATCTCTTGACGTTGTGTTTCCCTTTTGGCGCTTAATTTCATCTACGTCGATTTCTCGAATGGTGGCGATTCGTGCTACTTTGTATCAACAGCAGAAGGCATACATGGCGCGTTGCCACGGAGCATTGCCCGGGGATGGGAAGATGGGGTTCTCTTCTGTTGAGTAGTGGATTGTGGATTGTGGATTGATTCATTGTTGCTCTGATTCTGCATGTGTATGAGGAGATGAGGGATCTCGAAGTGATATATGTTGCTGTATGACTACATGCCTACACATTGACCTGTCCACCCTGTGGTAGCATTCGTAGTAGTAGTGATATTAGTAGTAGTAGTAGTAGTAGTAGTAGCAGCATCGAGGCCGGATACGGATACGGATCCCACCGGATCCCAACGGGGCAAGATGCCGCGGTGGGCCTAGGGAGTCAGGCCATCATCACAAGCGACGCCTCGGCGACGGCAATCGATCCGGGTCGCGGTCGGCTGTCGGTAGTGGCGATTCATCGATTTTCTTATTTTTGAACGACTATATCTTAATACATATACATATTCCAATACATCTAACTGTTTTAATCGATACTTATATCTCCATATAGAAGTGCACAATTTTATGAAGAGAAAATAAGATCTTGTACGGCCAGAAGGGTCCACCAATCACAATCCATCTAATCATCAGCCGGAGACCGCTTTCCCTCTTTGGGCCTAGCGTCCCCCACCGCCTGGTTTTTTCCCCTTAGGTAATCCTATACCATCCTGAAACTTAAGGCCATTGATCATCTCTCCACTTTTTCCCTGATCTCTCGCTCTCTCTCTCTCTCTCTCTTCTCTTCGTCTTTCCTACTCTCTCTATCCCTCCCTATCTCTCTCTATCCCGAATTGCACCTTTCCTACCAAACAATGGAGTCCCTCCTCCAACAATCCCGCGCCATGTGCCCTTTCCTCAAGCGCACCTCCCCCGGCGCCCTCCGGACCCTCGCAACGGCCACCCGGCCCACCGCCAGCCCCGGCGGCGGCACCATGTCCAACCTGCAGGTTCTGGCCCGTCGCTGCCCCGTCATGAGCAAGGCTCTCGCTGTCCAGAGTGCCCGCTTGGCTGGCGCGAAGCGCTTTACTTCCGCCGCTGCGGGCGTCCCGGGACGGAACGTGCGCACTCAGCCCCGGAGGGATTTGCATGCTACTGCCGGTCCCGGGGCGAATTTGAGTCAGGGGGTTTACAAGAAGGAGGAGGCTCGGGCTGGTGAGTTTTCTATTTACTCCCGTAGTGGGACCATAATGAAGTGGCAATGCTAATTCAACCAGAACAACCCAAGTATACCCGTCCCAACCCCTCCCCCGGTCTCAACGTCGGTGCCGGCCCCCGTCCGCAGGCCCCCGCAACCGCCCGCTTCGATTATGGCGCCTTCTACCGTGGCGAGTTGGAGAAGAAACACCAGGACAAGTCGTACCGCTACTTCAACAACATCAATCGACTGGCCCGCGAGTTCCCCGCGCCCACACGGCCTCCCCCGAGGAGCGCGTGACCGTCTGGTGCTCCAACGACTACCTAGGCATGGGACGCAACCCCGAGGTCCTGGACACTATGCACCGCACCCTCGACACCTACGGTGCCGGCGCCGGCGGCACCCGCAACATCTCCGGCCACAACCAGCACGCCGTGGGCTTGGAGAACACCCTGGCCCGGCTGCACGGCAAGGACGGCGCCCTCGTCTTCAGCTCGTGCTACGTCGCCAACGACGCGACGCTGGCTACCCTCGGCAGCAAGATGCCCGACTGCGTCATCCTGTCCGACTCCCTAAACCACGCCTCCATGATCCAGGGCATCCGCCACTCGGGCGCCCGCAAGATGGTCTTCCGGCACAACGACATGGCCGATCTCGAGGCCAAGCTGGCCTCCCTGCCCGCCCACGTCCCCAAGATCATCGCCTTCGAGTCCGTCTACAGCATGTGCGGCTCCATCGCCCCGATCGAGCGCATCTGTGACCTAGCCGACCAGTACGGCGCCATCACCTTCCTCGACGAAGTCCACGCCGTCGGCATGTACGGCCCGCACGGCGCCGGCGTCGCCGAGCACCTCGACTACGAGGTCTACGCCTCGCAGGACACCCCCAACCCCCTCTCCACCCGCGGCACCATCATGGACCGCATCGACATCATCACCGGCACCCTGGGCAAGGCCTACGGCTGCGTCGGCGGCTACATCGCCGGTTCCGCCGCCCTAGTCGACACCATCCGCTCGCTGGCCCCGGGCTTCATCTTCACCACCTCCCTGCCCCCCGCCACCATGGCCGGCGCCGACGCCGCCATCCGCTACCAAGCCCGCCACCAGGGCGACCGTGTCCTGCAGCAGCTGCACACCCGCGCCGTCAAGGCCTCCCTCAGCGCGCACGACATCCCCGTCATCCCGAACCCCTCGCACATCGTGCCCCTCCTCGTCGGCGACGCCGAGCTCGCCAAGCAAGCCTCCGACCGCCTCCTCGACCAACACGGCATCTACGTCCAAGCCATCAACTACCCGACCGTGCCCCGCGGCGAGGAGCGCCTCCGCATCACCCCGACCCCCGGCCACGTCCAGGAACACCGCGACCACCTCGTCTCGGCCGTCCGCTCCGTCTGGCGCGACCTCGGCATCCGCCGCACCAGCGACTGGGCCGCCCAGGGCGGCTTCGTCGGCGTCGGCGTCCCCGGCGCTGAAGCTGCGAACGCCCCGATCTGGGATAACACCCAGCTGGGCCTGCAGCCGCACGAGACGGTCGACGCTGCTCTCGCGCGCGAGACTCCCGCTCCGGCGTCTATCCCCCGCATGCAAACCGGCGGCGCTCCCGTCAGTCCTGCGGCTGCGGGTATCGCCTCGGCTGTGGGCGTGGCTGCTTAGGTTAAACTGTACTGAGTTCAACTAAACTTATTTTCTCATGCGAGGTATATATTGCATCTGCATGATTAGATATTTTCTATTCATTCCTGTCTGTCTGGCATCACTGTGTATGTGGCATTAGTGTGATAGATGATGGGTGGGGAAAGTGCGGAACCGGACTGTCTTTACCGAGGATTGGGTTCTTGTAATTAATTAATTGATATCATGATTGACTTGATTTACATACTCAACTTTTGTTATATGTAGTGTTGATTTGTAGTAGTTTTTACTTGGTGTTCTGTGTGGAATACGGAATACATGTGCAGCCTATATGGGAGTACAGTGCTAGACCGGATTCTATACAGGAGGGAGGACAGATGCAGGCACTGACAGGCTGACAGACAGACAGACAGACAGACAGACAGACAAACAACCAGGCAAGTCATCAATCAAATAGCTTGCACTACCTAGTACCTACATCACAGAGTAGTTAGTACCCCATAGGTACTCCATAGCTAACCTCGGTAGGGCTTACCTTGAACAACCCAGATGATGAGCACAAGCCGTGAAACCAAGAAGCAACCAACCAGGCGGGCTTATTGTTTGCCGTTTGTCTCGGGGGTTGTCATTTACACCTTTTTGGGCCTTTTGGGTCGCTAGCTAGGTGGGTCGGTGGGTAGGTAGGTAGCAGGTAGCAGGCAGTAGGTAGGTAGGTTACCTGGTAGTAGGTGTAGAGTGTCTTGAGTCGGTGGTACGTAGATAAGGATACATACTTATTTCACTAGGAGAACCCAATCAAGATAAGCGCCGTCGAACGGATGGGATGCGCTCTCGCTGCGATGAAGAACAGTAGAAGAGAAGCGAAGAAGAGCATGTTGATGTTGGTTGTCTATGCTAGTTGGGTTGGGACGTGGGATGTTGAAGTCTATAGTAGTGATATAGCTTGGTAGGTCTGTCTTGTCAGAGAGGAAGACAATCCATTGTGGTGCTTCGCGATGGTACGTTGATAGTCTGCTCAATGCGGGAATTGAGAATACTCAGTTATACAAACTGCAATGGGAACCACGTAATTCACTGATGATCGCAATGGAAATGATAGGATTTGAGAATAGGGCAGGTAAATGATCACTATCAAGTGGTTGTAGTCTCGCAGACCTCGCCTTGTGGAGATGTTCTCTCAGATTTCTTCATGAGTCTTGAGACACTTTTATAGAAGAACAGTTTTATTCAACTGTCATCTTGATTTGTATTTATAGAAATGGGGATGGGATTCATACTCAATTCAATTTGACATTCAGCCTAGATATTGTTCTGCAGCTGTCAATTGAAAGTGGGTGGAAAACAGCATGACACATCTATACCTATCTACATTTATATCAGACTACCACGTCAGTATCATACAGGTCTACTAGTATTTGACTCACGATGTGGGTGGTATGTAACTTGCAGGGTATCAAGGGCAATATCTGCCGTACAATGTAGTAGATGGTGTGGCTGTCATCAACATGGCAAGTTTGGTTCTGTGAAACGTGAAGATATCTGGATCAGTGTAGATGTCATTGATCACCTCATCTGGGAGATAGAATCAGTGTATAAAGCCTTCTGGTGGATAATTTATCTTTTCTTGAAAGGGTTTACTACAGGAAATCTTGTTCCTCTCCTAAGATATCTATCTAGTACCATATCATCCATATCAGTCCCAACCCTAATCCATCCTAACCATCAATCCACCAAAATAATACAATGCAAACAATAATCTACCACCCCACCTATACCCAATCCATCCCCGCAGGCATGGCAACAGGAAGCACCCTCCACAGCCACGGCCACTGGATGCCAGAGAACATGCACCTCCGCCGCGCCTGGCTCTCGCACCTCCTCGACAAGACCAAAGCCGAGATCCCCCCCAAACTAGGCGCCTCCCCCAACCCAGTCAAAGCCTTCCAAGAGCTGATCGAAAACGACTCCACCCTCTACATGCTGGCAATCTCCATGTTCGACGAGATCCCCCAAAAGGCACCCTACGACAGGGACCCCACCACCCTCAAGAAGCAAGTCCGCAGCTACAAAACAATGCTCTACCTCTTCTCCACCCTCCTCACCCAAGTCCCCGAGTACTTCCTCAACGAGGCCGAAGACTCCAACATCCCCAGCGGCCTCATCGGCTTCCCCTTCAACATCATCCTCGACTGGCCCATGGGCACCCCCAGCGGCCGCCAATTCTTCCTCGACCCGCGCGTCAACACCCACCTCAAAGAAATCCTCTCCTACTGGAACGCCTTCCTCCAAGACCCCAACGCAGAAACCTCCGATCCAGCCGGAGGCAACAAAGCCCTCATCGCCGCAGGCTGGGGCTCCCAAAAAGCCATCTCCCAACTCGAACAAAAAGCCAACCAGTCCAACCCCCCCGGCATGGACCCCAAACGCTTCACAGACCTCTTCGAGCACCCCGCCGCCGGCACCCCCAGAACTTCTTTAACTACCCGCACTGGGACGCGTTCTTCACGCGGAAATTCAAACCCGGGATTCGCCCCGTCGATGACGACGCCGCCGTCGTCAACGCCTGCGAATCATTCCCCCTCGCCTTCGACACGGATATCTCCCGCCGCTCGACCTTCTGGCTCAAGGACGCCCCGTACTCGCTATACGACATGCTAGGCGCCACGCACGATCACCACGTTAAATACTACGTTAACAAATTCATCGGCGGGGCCGTCTACCAGGCTTTCCTCAGCGCAGACTCCTACCACTGCTGGAATGCCCCCGTCACAGGGAAAGTCATGTACCGCAACGTCTTCCCAGGCACATACTACGCCGAGACCCCCGCGTCTGGGTTCGGGGGATCGAGCGGGCCCGACCCCGCCGGTCCGGACCTATCCCAGCGGTATATAACGCATATCGCCGCGCGGGGCGTCCTCGTCATCGATACGGATAGAAAGTATGGTGGAGCTGGGATCGGGCTTGTTGCTTTCGTGCCGGTTGGGATGTCGGAGGTGTCGACTTGTGAGTGGGAGATGCCGGGGACGGATGTTGGTGAGATTGTTGCTAAGGGGGATGTGGTTGGGGCGTTTCATGGGGGTGGGTCGACGCATTGTTTGGTTTTTGAGAGGGGGGCGGTTGAGAGGCTGGGGTTTAATTCGAGGGCGGAGTTTCCGGAGACGGCGACGGTGAATTTGGGGGTGGGTTCTTGGTTGGCGAGGAAGGTTTTGGATTGGAGTTAGGATTGGATTGGGATTTGATATTTGGGTTGGGATTTAGGATTAGGTTGGGTAGAGAGTTTGGTATAGAACTCAGTATAGGATTAGTGTAGGATATGGGATTTTATATATGATTTGATATAGGATCCAATATTAGGGTTTGTGGATCAGTGTTAGATGTCCAGCTAGACTGAACTCACTTTGAAATGTTTCTTGAAGACAAAGTTATGTCAATGTAGATGATACCACTGTGGTATCGTTCGACTACGCCGAGGACGTTCCCTCTATACTATAAACCATGTGTGAATCAAAGTAGTGATACAGCTTGCCCTCAAGCGCAACAGAACAAATCTATAAATTATAAACAGCTATACACATGCACCTTCAACGCCAGAACCACTTTTCTCCCCCTTCTCCTTATCTCTTTCTTACTTCTTACTCAAGAAAGTAAGAAGACTACCGCCTCCCACCCCGACTCACCCTCGGAAACTCAACCGGAATCTTCAATCGCGCCACGCGTCTGGCGGCCGCCTCCGCCTTCCCGCCCTTAATCCCCCACTTGGCGAACTCCGACTCCCGCGGCTTGTCCACGCGACAGCCCAGCTCGCGGAAATACTGCGTGATGCTGGCGTTGTCCAGACGCAGGTCGTCGCGCAGATCCGACGGGTCCGTCGCCAGCTCGTTGGACGCGTTGCCGCCCTGCGTGCTGGCGCCGCCGTCGCGCTCAGGCTGGGGAGGGATGTGCAGGGACAGCGCGCAGATGGTCGTGTGCAGGAGCGTGACGTCGTTCTTGGACATCGATGACCCCTGGGGCGCGAAGCGGCGGCGGATCGCGTCGATGATGGGGTCGGGCAGGGTTGCTGTGGCGGGCGTTGTCTCGTCTTCGTCTTTGGCGGTGGCGCCGCCGGTGGAGGAGGAGAGGACGCGGCGGAGGTCGTCGCGCGTGGGCAGTCGCTTGCTGCCCGGTCCGCTGTCGCGGCCGCCGGAGCGGAGCGAGCGCGCGAACTCGAGGAGCACGAAGATGAAGCGGAGGAGCTGCAGGTGGGTCGTGTTGCCGGAGTGCACGACGGCTTCGACGCGTCGCGACACGTACCGCGAGGTGGTTGACACTGCCTCGCCGGCGTTGACGCTGCCGGTCCAGTCTTTGAGGCCGGGGAGTTGGCGCAGCGTGGCCAGTCCGTTCGGCACGAGGTTGTCGATCGGGTACACGTCGGACGGGTGGGATGCCTCCAGGTTGGCTTGCGGGACGGGCTTGGCGGCTTGCACCTGGGCCTGCACGGCGGCTGCCTTGGAGGCCAGGTCGGTGGCAGAGTCGGTGGGCATGGCCGACAGGATGGCCGTTTCGGCGGCCACTGCGGCGCCGGCGGGGGCGTTGGACAGTTGGGCGTTTTCAGCCATGGACTGGGCCGCTTTGCGGGATTGTTTCGTGCCGAAGGTGTTGGTGAGTTCGGTGCGTTGAGCGCGGATGTTTTTCTACATCATTAGTTTTTCTCTCTAGAGGTAGGAGGGCAATGGATGTCATGAAACAACCACTGAGAAAGGAACATACCACCATCTCATCCTCACTCTCACTCTCCTCCTCATCCACATGCTTCAACGTCCTCACAGCCCCCCTCACCACCATGCGCCGCACCTCCACAAACTCCCACGTCTTCTTCTCAGCATCCAACACCGCAACGTAGTGCTTCAGCTGGGAGTCCGCATCCTCGTTCGACTCGCGCCCCACGAAATCCAGCTTCGGGTGCTCCGACGATTGCAGCAGCAGCTCTGACGACACGATGCCCTGGTTCCGCGAGGAGGAAGAGGAGGGGGCGGCGCGGTTCTTGACGTAGGGTTTGAGGTTGATGTTTCCGGAGGTTTTCAATCCGGGAGTTGTTGCTTTGATTGTTAGTATTTTTTTCTTTTCTTCTTTCTTCTCCTTTCCTTTCCCCTCTCCTGCCAACCTTTCACATTATAACCAATTGGGAGAAAAAAAAAAAAAAGAACATACTGATAACAGGCGCCAACTCGCTATCATCCTTGAGCACACTCACGGCCAGCGGAGGCAGCTCGCGCGGATCCAGCGCGGTCTTCTTGCTGGGCCGCTCATGGCGATCTGAGGCGCGCTTGCGCTTCTTTTCGATCTTGTCAGAGCCCATCTTGCCTGGTGATTTGTGGATTGGGGTGAGAAGGACGGAGGAGTCGAGTTGAATTGTTGCTTGGCGGGAGAAAAAAATGTCAAAAAACTGCCGGGCGGAAAATCCGACTCCGCTCGGAAGGCGGAGAGCGTTCTGAGTGTCTGATACGCCAATGCTACTATGACCTAGGCACTTTTGAGGTATGCACGGTAAGGCATTCCACGCACAATACTTATTTATGATGAATTGCATCATGAACTACTCATTATTCCTACGATAACTACAAGAAGATATATAGAGTATTCACGATTTTGTGTTATTGGGTAGATTTAAATAAACACTCAAAGGACCTCTCCATAACTCTGCACCCAGACCCCCAACCGAAGTCAGAAACCCAGTCACAGAATCACAGTTGACCAGTTCCGTACGAAAAACTCAAGGACCAGAGAATTAACAGCAAAAACCATCCATCCACTGACCCCTCCAACCCCACCAAACACTGGTACCACTCCGAGACAAAAAGAGGACATAAGTCTCACAATCCGATCGTAAAAATAGTCGATAGTCGAACTCGTTGAAAATGGGCCCCGAGGGATTGGATCATCGTATGGTGTCGAACGATAAGACCCCGAATTCGACAGTAAAGAGAAAAAAGACCAGATAGGCCCCGTTGGAGTGGCCGGAGCAACGCACGCAGCAAGAAACGATCATTCAAACGTCGTCACGTCGTCGGTATTGTATCATGTTCAGCGTTCAACCTGAGCTTTCGCACGAGAAGCTGAGATGGAGTGGGCGAGTCATTTACTTGCTGTAGCATCGTTAGCATTCTTCATTCTTTGATTCATTCCCGCTGGGTTGGATTGAGCTCACCTTCTGGCCCTCATCTTTCTTCTCTTACGCTTGAGGCGACGAACGCGCTTCTTTCTCCACTTGGCTCTCATCTTCGTAGATTCTAATCGTAGTTAGTATACTCTTTCTCTCAATCCCTTATGGAAAGGGAAGCGGCCCAGTATAGGCTGGAGAGGCACTCACTCTGCGATGATGAGGGAGAAGGATGGTTGCAAGAAAGACGGAGAACGCAGGCCCGCGAGCTTCTTGTGTGCGCCGTGGCTGACTCAGCCAGTAGTGCCGCTAAGGGCTCGCTAGTGCGGCGAGGGCGCTGATTGGCCCGTGGGCGGCACTTTACCGAGTGTGGTGATTACGTCAGCCGGTGATATCACGGGTTGGCTCCACCCGGTCTGTGCTGGGAGTTGTTCGGCGGGGTGTAGATATTGTACTGTGTGGACCGCTGATTGGGTCTGTTTCTTTGTATTTCCATTGAGTTCATTGTTTGATTTTTATTGTTTTTTTTCGATATTTATTTTTATTTTTGATTGTGGTGTTGTGGATGTGTTTGTGTGTGGTGAGTGGTGATGTAGCCATGCTGAGCTTGTTGGGTATAGCAAGGTAGTATCCATGATTGAGTGTCGTGTGCCATTACGTTGCTGTTCTAGAGCTAAAGCTTAAAGTTAGCTTAATGTGCGGTCGTACGATAATCTCTTACTCAGTCTCTACATATCTACTATAGGACAATCAGTATCCTCAATACAGTAGAGTAATCCCTTCCAGTATCTATATTATAATCCCCTAACATCAGTATACCCATCCAAGACTAATATGCATAGCGATAGTTCACAGCCATATCTCCAAGGAGCTCCTGGTTCTGGTCCTGCTCCTCAGGCGCCGTCCCGTTGGCCGCTAGCCGGTCCCGTCGCCGATTCTCCATCCAGATAGCCACGAAATACGAGATGCAGCATGCCGCCGAAAAGCTGAGGAAGGACACACTGATGATGTAGCCATTGCGGTACAACGGGTCGTCCTTCTTCAAGAATGAATACGTCGCGATAATGCCCCCAACTGCAAGTGTCAGTGGACATGCTTGCTGTATATAACTATCGGTCAAAATGATAGATGGTCAAACTCACCATTACCGAATCCAATCTGCCACGCCGTACCTACACCCCGCCGCCGGTGTCCTCCGAGGTTCATGACGAACCAGCAGACAACCACCGGCATGGCGCTGTAGCAGCCGCAGGTGATCATGAACAGAGCCCCGTATTGGACCTGGCGGTTTTCGATCCCGTGCACGTTCAGCAGGATCGCGAAGCCCGCCATGGCGATTAACATGGGAATGATGGTGAATGCAAACCGATGGCGTAGCTTATCGGACAGGATGGCGATGAGCATTGAGAAGCCCCAGGCTGCTGCCCATGGGGGAATCGAGTACAGCTGGGTCATGATGGCTGGCTTGAGGTTAGTGATGGCATCAGTCAAGTCGAACGCATACGTACGGGTGTAGCCAAAGTTCCTGATGATCGTTGGTGCGAAGAACGCATAGCCTGTGTTGTGTTAGCCAGGTGTATTCTCCCATATCCTTCAAGAGCAATAGGGCCTCGGAGGCATCCACGGCTTGACTCGAAAGTATTGATAGAATGAGTAGGCTTACCATAAGCTGTAACAATCTGCCCGAAATACATCAACCCCCCGATGAAGATCTTATCTGCTGCCAATTAGCACCACCCAACAGCTCTCGCTTTCTTCCCTTCCAAACTCACAGTCCTTGAATACATTCAACACACCACGCCAGGTCAATACCGTTTCATGCCCCGCATCACCCACATCCTCAGCCAGCTTGACCCGGAGGAACTCGCGCTCCTCGTCAGTAAGCCACTTAGACTCCTCGGGAAAGTCAGGGAGCATGAAGAACAAGGCAAACGAGACGAGGCAGGTCAAAAGACCCTCGAATATGAACACCCACCGCCAGCCGTTGTATCCTCTAATACCTCCCATTTTGCCAAGTCCGCTGGCCAACAGGCCCCCAAAGGCGCCGGCTAGCGTCGTGGAGCTGAAGAAGAAGGTGAATCGCTTTTGGGCCTCGCTGCGCTTGTACCACATTCCCAGTAGATAGAAACCTGTGCCGATTTTAGTACTTTAGGTTAGAACCCAGCATGGGAAAGGCGGAACATACATCCCGGGAACATGCCCGTCTCAAACATGCCTACAATTCCACGCGTTAGCAGCGCTATATATACTGTGACAACGGGCTTCATATCGCACCTAGAAACCAACGCGTCGTCATCAAACCACCCCAACTGGTAACCAAACCCTGGAAAATAGTCACGAGACCAAAAAGGAACATGCACATCGACACTACCACGCATCTGTCTGTCAGCTCCTGCGTCGATCAAAAAGGACAAACAAACATACACCACACATGCGGCTTAAGCTTCTTCAGCAAAATATTCGACGGAATCTTCACAGTCCCATTAGCGCCCTGCTCTCTCGCCGTCCATGCGGCAGTCGCGCCGAGCAAAACCTGCCTCGAAGATCACGTAGGGGACGAAGAAGATCGTGAGCGCCGTGTTGTACTTGGTTCCTTCGACGATGCCCAGGTCTTCTGGGAGTCCGAGCACCGCTGCGTTGCTGATGTTTACCCTAGTAGCCACCCCGAGGTCAATTCATATCCTAAAGAAGAGCCAAGACAGCCAGGACAGCTCATACCGGTCGAGGAACGCCAAAAGGTACATGACACACAGACAGGGCACCAGGTGCCAGTCGATCTTGGCCATGAGCCTGCGCTCCGTGGTCTGAGTGAGACGCGGTAGACCCGGGGGTTGGGTCTGCGTCTGGAATTGGCTCTCCTCCGGTTCATCGTCGATGCCGATATGCTCTAATTAGTCCGTGCGAGTCAGTGTTCACCCCAGACAAGACAGGTTCTGGTTCTGTACAGACCTTTGAACTTCATGGTGTTCGTTTGATTCAATCCGTACGTGTCTCGGTGGTATCTTTGGCGGTTATAACCGGAGACGCGCGAATGTCACGATAGACCGGTGCCCTGGACTGAAAATGACTCAACTGTAGAGGGAAAGGCGGAAGCAAGGATGAAGGCTGACAGCAAACCACGCAGAGCCTGACAGCGGAGAAGAGAATGGGGGGAAGAATAGAACAACAGGAACAACCCAAGCCAAACGACAAGATAAGAAAACCAAATGAAACGTCAGAAGAGGAGAGAAGAAAAGGTAAAAAAAAGTACAGCCAAAAATAACCCCGACAGCCATCATTCAAGGCCCCCAATCCCTGAAGCAACCTCGCGGACTATTATCAACCATTGGACATCGTGTCTCCGCACGGCGTCCTCCGGTGCTCTCGCAGCCCAACTCGCTAGCCTGATCCCGGCAATTAGTGCGAGGACTTTTGGTGGATATGTTCGGTTTGAATCGCCGTTGTATACTCCGTACGTGTTTATTCAATTCTAATATCGAACGGTCCGATCTAGATGACAACTCCAGATGAAAGTTCGACCCACAGTCGAGATTTCCCCGCAAATACCGAGCAATACCGGAATACGCGGCGGTTACCGGTGGGTCGGATTATGTAATATATCCCCTCTCCGTCCGGTCACATGCCCGTTGTCACATGGTCTGGGCCTCTCCAGCTTCATTTCGTGTTGATCTCCGTCAACGGCTCTGATAATCCCTACATCGCCTGGGGAAGGTGTCCAGCTGTCGTGTCGACGGGCCCGGGACGTGGATGGGAGATCCCACCACAGATCCAGATGCTCCTATAACTTGGCTTCCACAGAATAGATCCGAATATCATACAGATAAGAACAGTCACCCTCTAATCGTCATACCAATCTCCGGGATTGAGAAACACATGCTAGGGTAGGAAGAGGATTTCGACAGAAGAAGAGAATCAAAGAAAAAAGAAAAGTCATAACATAAAGGTGACGACGCCTTGATGCTCTACGCGGCGGATCCCTCGGGCAGTGGCTCATGAACTGCCTTCCCCCACGCCTGCTCAAACGTCGAGTCACCCCCGGACGAGATATGATGGTACCCATCCTCCTCGGCCGTCTCGATCTCCTCGCGATCGACCAGGACAGGCGCCACGTACGATGCAGAGTCGGACCCGGTCCCGTCGGCAGGCTCCGCGCCCAGGGACTCCGCCTTTGCTGCCGACCCCAGCAGCTCCTGGTCGAAATTCGAGCTGTAGACTACCGCGGCAAACGCCTCCAGCTCGCGCACGCCTTGGTCCATGGCCGCCAGGTAAAGGTTGGGCGGGTTGGTGCCGTTCCCGATGACATGGGCCTGGCGGGCCATCACGGCCAGCACGTTCGCCAGCTTGGCCCGGGGCTCGACCGTGGGGACCACCGTGGCCACGGAGGTGAACGATCGGGGGTCGGTTTCGGACGCGGACGTCTTGAAGGCGTCCGCCGTGCACTGCCGGATCAAGGTCTCAAAGGACTCGTTGTTCAGGAGCGTCAGGACGCGCGTGAAGGTGGGAGACTCGATCAGGTCGGCCGTCTCGTCGATGAGGTGGCGCAAGGCCGATGTGGTCTGGGCGGAGGTTGGTTCTGTCACCCCCAGAACTCCCGAGTCCTCCAACAGCTGATCTTCCTCCTCGCGGGGGGGAAGCAGGTAGGCCAGCCATTTCCGACTCCTATCGAAATTAGTCCATGCTCGATACAAGGAATACAAATGTGGGGGAAACCTACTTTCGCTCCTCCTCGGTCTTGCCCTCGACCCGTTTCCGGACTTCCAGCGCCAGCTCCGACAGTTTCGGCAACGCGATATCCTCCCGGGGGTTGAGCGAGCCGAAGACCTCGGTCACAGCCGCCTGTACCTCCTGCATAAGCTCCTTCCAGCCGCGGTGCAAGAGCCACCAGCTGAACGCCAGATATCGCCGGTTGGTCTCAAAGTCATTGCCCAAGGTCTGCGTGAGGTCATCGTCGTCATGGTCCTCCAGGCGAATCGTCGGGGTATCGGCCGGGGGCGTGGCCAGAGAGATGACGCTGGACAGGTAGTTCCGACGGCCGAGGAGGTTGAGTTGGATTCGGGTGAAGATGGTCAGCAGGGAGAGGGTGTAGATGAGAGTAAAGGCGCGCGTAATTGCTGTAGTTGGTTAGCGTCGATCCTGGCGTTATGTCCCCAGTCCCTTTCCCATTCTCCTTCCATACACCAGGCATCACCAGGAATGGGTGGCATACAAGTAATCTTGACTTCATTCCAGAGCTGGGTTTTGTTCCGCTTCGGCTGAGCCGCTCCTTCGCCTTCCAAAGCCGACTCCCCTAACTGGCTCGCCCGGACGAACCCTTCACTCTGCAAGCTAGACAAGCTCCGTCGATCATCCTCGGGCAGGCTGGGCGCGACGGAGCTCATATCAGAGGAGCCTGTCCCTTCGCCGACATTCAGCCGAGCCAGCCTCTCGGCCCGTTTCTTCTGCAATTCCTTGGTCAGGTCCTCCACGGGCAACGCTTCCAAAATATCCTCGGTCGCGGTGGGCAGGAGAGCCAAGACGGTATAGGTGCAATCGGTCTGATTCTGTTCGAAGCGACGTCGCAGACTAAACAACGGTCAGGTCAGAATGGGGGGTTACTCGAGTGGTTTGGGAGAGAATAGGGCGCTCACTTTTCCCGGGCGATTCGGTCACTGCTCATGCGTTCTCGCGCCTCGGAGATCTTGTTCAAGACATATTGACCGGCGAGATAGCCCGCTCCGATGACGCCGGCGCCAATAGCGAGGCCCTTGCGATTGCGCCGGAACCAGCGCCTGGTGGCCCCAATCATGACGGAGCCAAGATCGAGGGGGGCGTTGCAGAATGGGATGTATCAGAGCTGATCGAGTGGATTTTTTTGCTGACGGAGAAGAGATATTATAAATAGATGTCTTGTAGAAGTCAATCCGATGAGATGGGAGGACGAAAAGGGGGAAAGGAGTATGGAAGGGAGAAGGAGAAGAAAAGACGAAGCTCGGATGAGATGAGGTTGGTCGGGGAAGAATGAATGGGGCAGCGCGGCCTCGGCTAAACTGATCAGTCCAGTTGATCAACATGGACCTCTCATGTAGGGGCTACAGCCTAGGTACCACAGTGGAGAATCTTATTCAAATATTGTTTGAGCGTCGCAAAGCTCAGTTTCTTCCAGACGAGAGAGTCTCCAAGTATAAAGATCTGGGGTGGAGAGACGAGACCGAGTATGTCGAGGATGCAGTATACACGAAGAAGCATATGCGTGGTGATGAGCCGAGTGCCACCTTAGGCATCGATACGGTAACGATACATCGACACCTTATCTTACTGACACTTTCGCTCAATCAACTTACGTTATCTTTTTATCTCTCACGAGGGGCAAATCTTCTTTCTTTCATTCTCTGTCTCCTCATTCTGTCTCCTCATTCTCTCCCCCTCTCTCTCTTCTCCTCTTTGTCCGTATCCTCTTCTCAATATGCATTCATGGATGTCTAGTATAACAGACTAACCCCCCCCCCATCATCCATTATCCATCCAGCGATGGGTCCTCTATAAGCCCCTCTATGTCATCATAGACCAGATTGCAATCCACTCCTCCAATAATCTCCTTGCTCCTCCTCATCTTCACCTTGTTCCTCCATTTAACATCCAGTCAATCTTTTCTCTTTCAGCCCTCTATCCTGTTCAAATACCTTCCTTTCGCTATATAACCCGCCCTCAGAACAGGTCACCCCATATCCACCCTTCTTCTCCCTCCCCAGAGACCCCTGGCCCCAGGGTCCCTACCTGTCCCCAACCATGGAGCCCCGCAGGACCCCTCCAGAGTACTTCCTGGAGATCTTCGCCGATAAAACCACCGTCCGAGATGTTTTGAAAGGTACCTACACCTACCTATTTACCGTAACCTCCTTTCTTCCTCCTTCGCGCCTCCCTATCTCTCCCCCCCAATACCTATGCTATGACACCCCGCCAATAGACAGATCTGACCCCCACAGGCGTCCTCAACCTAATCTTCTTCCATCGCTACTTCCCCTGCATCCGTCCCAAAACCTTCGACGTCCTAGACTTTACCCTCCCCGTCATCAACGACGTCGACCTCGAAACCCTCATCGACTCGCGCATCAGCACCCTCGTCCGCCAACACGCCACCTCCGCAGCGAGTACCCACGACGGCGCCGGCGCCGGCGGTGGCGGAAGCGGAGGCGGCGTGCGCGGCCGCATGGCCGTCGAATTCTACGAGAAGAAGCGGCGACGCTCGGGGTTATGGTTTGGGGGGTTAGCAGGGAAGGGCGAGGAAGAGGTCTGCTGGGAGGTGTGGAACTTGGATGTGACCATCGCGACCCCGCGAACAGAGTCAGGTATTCTCCATTCTATCTACCCAGCGCTACAAGCAAGGGGTGGACCCAGCAAATATGCTAACAGGTCAACAACAGAACGCGCCAAAGTCCGCAAAGCCATGGAAAACATGCTCCAAAAAGCCGCCCTCAAGATCCTCACCGTCGTCAACCGCGACAAAGACCACATCCCGCCCATCACCACCAGCGACTCCAACCCTTTCCCCTACCGCGTCGTAGTCAACCCGCGCACAGACGGCTGGCAGAACCGGTTTGGGCTGTACTGATCATCAGCCACATACATCCATATATCCACACCTACATTGTTGACGACTTTTCATGACCTTATGCGAAGCAATCATTGCGTTTGATTCCTACTCCTGCTCCGACTTGTTACTCTGGGCTACGGTACCCGGTGTAGCGTGATGTCGGTATATAGAAAGAAAGAAAGAAAGAAAGAAAGAAAGAACTCGCTTTTACGATATCCTGTCTCGTCTCTTTTTGCTGCTGTTCAATTTTATCTATGTCTTCTAGCTCGGGTTTTTCCTGTACATTACTACTCATACGTCCTGAATACTACTACCAGAATTTAAATCCACCCAGAAAAAGACAGTGAACAAGATACTCCAAATTGATCAGTGGCATTATCACATTCCAAAATCACTCATACCCGCGTCCTTGCACGGCCCGGCGCTAGCCGTCCGAACCATGTTCCCAATTCTACTGACCCAGACTCGGGCCAAAACAGGGGGAAAGACAACATAAAATAAAGAAAACATCGATCAGACGACAAAAAGGATGTAATCCAACAGATTCCATCCATCCCATTCGCAACAAACAAAACACGGGATCCCAAATCATCATCTTCTCCATAGATTTCGTGCAGAAAACATAAATCTTGCAGAAGAGAGACAAACAAAGAAAAAGAACCATGGGCTGAAACCAGCCCGGATTCCAATCTACACCAGTACCACTCAACGGAGCGTCGATCGGGTGGATCCACGGCGAAGACGGGTCACGTTAGGCATCCCGCATCTTTAAACTTCGCGCTCTATTTACTGGGACTTGGCAGCCGCTTCGGCCTGGGCCCGGAGGTTGGCCGAGGTGGAGCCGCCGGTGAAGAAGCGGCCGAGGACGGGCTGGAGGAAGGAGTGGAAGACGACTTGGGCACCGCTGTACGAAGATACGGGTTAGTGGAATCGATCTGGAGACGTGGGTTTTGCGGAGGTTGCTTACTTGGTCTGGGGCAGAGACATCCAGAGGACCAGGGCGAGCTTGAAGATGTAGTAGAAGGCTGACCCGGTTAGCAGCTGTTTAATGGGATAGATGGCAGGAAGATCCTCCATCCATATTCACAGAATACGTACGGAACCAGTAAGGCGCGCTGATGGCACTCTCAACAACGGTAAAGAGGCCGTACACCACCCAGTACTAGGAGTGAATCACATGTCAGCCAAGGGAACGGGGTCACCGTCGGGGACGTCACGTGGGCGGGCCAGGCCGCGGTAGCTCGCCTAAGCGCAGCACCGCACACGATCCGATCGGGATCACGAGTCACACATACCGTCAACCACTAGTAAATCATCAGCATTGTCACCAGACAGTCATCCCAAGGGGAGAAAAAGAAAGAAACTAGTAAGAGGGAGGGGGAGCATACCTGAGTGTCATCAACCGTAGTAGCGGTGAAGAGAGCATTGAGCGAGTAGTAGCAGGGGACGATGAACCCGGCCAGGTTGACCAGGAACTCGCCGGCGATGTTGAAGAAGACGAGGAAGAAGTAGATGCCGACCAGACCGAGGATGACGTAGACCTTGGGGACGGAGGTCTGACGCTCGAGGTTGTTGAGGACGGGGTACTTGGAGAGCTGGTCGTATGGGTGGTTAGCTTGGTTGCTTCCAGCTAGCTAGGCGGTAGCTTTTTCGGAGATTTCGCGACGAACGCATCGATCGCATCGCGACGGGGAATAAAACATCATGAAACAAAGATCATCGCAAGTATGATAGCAAAAGGGTGGAATGGGGGATAGATCCAACGATCAAGGGCGAAAAGAAAATGCGCGAGATCCGAGCAGTACGAAAACAAGCCCGAAAAATGACGCATTCAGAAATTAGGAAGAACAGGACAATCAGACAACACAAAAAACAGAGATCAAAGCAGATCATCTCGTTTGACCAGCGACAAAGACACAAACACACAAACACAGACACAGAAACCAAGTCACGAACTCACCTCCTTATCAAGCTGAGCAACAGCGTGCTGAGCACGGTCCTGGAAAGAGGCCATTTTGTGATGAGATGGAAAGGAACAAAAAAGGGGACAAGTAAATCCGAAGCTAACAAGCCAGATAAAAGGGGGTAAATAAGATATCTAAGATGAGTGTGTATCAATCGGGGGAGTGAAGCGTGAGGGGATAGTGAAGAGAGAAGAGGAGAGAGAGAGAGAGAGAAAGGGAGAAGAAGAAGAAGACTGGCTGGACCGGACTGGACACGGACGAGCTGGCCTCACCTTTTTTTCCCCTACAGTAATTAGTGAGGAGCTCCAGTTCCGTCGGGTCACGTGAGTGCTCGTGACGTCGCTGCGGTGACGTATGACTTTTCACTTATTATCTCATCGTTCATCTCAGATCCATTTGGATTGTGGAGATCGAGAAACATCGAGAACTGTCTCATTTGATACTTGATTTGGTGACTCTACCTATATACAGGACTTGAGTGATCTACACCCACTACTATCAAAATGAGCACGCACAAATCAGGTGACCATCCATTTATTCAACTTGTGATACTTCACAAACTCTATCGCTGCCTCTAATGAGCCCTCTAGAGAGCCTAAAGAAGACCAAAAAGACAGATAGACAACTAGATAGCTTTGTAGGTGCGGAGTAGGGGATCGGTTAGGTAGGTATGTAAGTATCTAGGTAGGAGGTAGTATAAAGCAGCTATCTCCAACCAATCCAATCCCACCCACAGCACGCAACATGGTTGGTCCTCTTCCGTAGTACTAGTAGTCCATACGCTACTGATGCGCATGCGTATGTACTCTCCATCAGCCCCATCTATATACCTAGTCAGCCAATAACTGGGTTGGATTGTGCGCCGGAGTGGGAATTGGGGAACTCATGTGTGTGTGTGCCTGGCAGATTTGAGGTATACTACTACTAACTTCCTATACTAGCTACTAGTTACTTACTGGACTCGATGCACTAGTTATGTATACAGCTACACAATGTACATCCGACTGAGGAACGCGATTATAGCATTCAAAATCAATCAATACATCTCCTATCTAACAGACCAAGCAGTATAGTGTAGTAGGAAGTGTAATGCAATGTAGTAAGTAAGGTAGTCACACATCGAGGGGGACAGCCCACGAGACAAATGATAAAAGTCTGATAGAAACAAGAGTAACGTAAGATAAGAATATAGTAAGAAATAATATCATCCGCCATAAAGTAAATAGATAATAAAGAGAAAGACAAAAAAGTTGAATATCACAAGAATCACCAGTCTCCAGTCGGCACCCTCTCAGCGCTGCGCTTCCATCATCCATCATCCATCCATCCATCCATACATCCATCCATACATCCATCCCCAGCCAACCAAGTTCAAGAACGCCGGCCAGAAATGGATCAATAAAACAAAACAAAACACCCGGAGGGGATACATGCCAAGATCGATCAAGCAAAAGATAATAAAGAAAATAAAGAAAGAAAAAAAATAATGTTAACTAGGTAGACACGGGATAGAATAGAACAGAAGAGGGCGAGGAAGCAAGAGCAAGATCAATACACACGCATCCCGTGGTCGTAATCCTTCTCTTCCTTTTTCTTTGTCGAATATTATTTTTAGTTGATTTTTCTTTCCTTCCTTCGTCCGATTTACTCGTCTTCGCTCCCTCCTGTCATGGGCCCTCCGTTGATACCCACGCTCTCCCGGTTGCCGCTGTTGAAGGTCAGCTTCAGCTTCGGTTGGCCCGGGGTGGCTGCGCTGGGCGTCTCGGGTCCAGAGGCTGCTGCGGCCGAGTCATCGTTGCCAGCCGCGGCGCTCGCGTCGTCAAAGTTGGCGAATTGAGGGTGGTCCGCGGTCATTCTCTGCAATTCGGAAACACATTTCGCCTAATCGGAGTTAGCCATGTTCTAGAAACTTTCAATAAAGTTGATTAAGGGAAGGAAAAGGGGTACCTCAATGTCGTTGGCGTCTTGGAATAGAAGACTCCCGTCCTCGTTATACGTCCGCGCGTTCTGGCACAGCAGGTGGATGTCATTACGGAAATCACGCAGGTTCTGGTACTCATCGCGGTTGATCTTCTTCCGGATCATCTCCATCGCGATCGGCGTCTGGATGATCATGTAGTAGTCAGGGTACTGCGACTTGGGGGGCGGCTTCATGAACGGCTCGATGACCGAGCGCGTGACGGGCCCATCTTCGCTGTCCGACTCGTCGGCCGGCAACTCCTGCTCCATGTCCATCAGTGCTTGATAGGTGGTGTTCAGGATGCGGTTGATGATGGCCCGGTCTTGGCTGCTGAGCGTGTCGGGCGGCTTCGCCTGCCGGCCGCGCTTCCGCTTGGGCTGCGGCGTCTCCTCCACCAGCTCCTCCGCCTTGCGCTTCGGGGCGGGCCCCCGACGACGCTTCTTGGGCTGCGGCGTTTCTGAGCTCTCCCGCGACGGCTCCGGCGAGGAGTCCGGCCCGCCCCGCCCTCCGCGCTTCTCCTTGTTGACCCGGCGGCGTTCCACCCGCGCTTCTTTGCGCGCGATGGCCTCTTCGATGGTGTCGTCGTCGGCGTCCACGGCCATGAGCCACTGCTCTTCGGTGAGACCGTCGTCGTAGCGGGTGATCTTGCGTTCGCGCGCGCCGCGACCCCCAACGTCCACCTCGACTTCTTCCGGGACCGGGTTATCCTCCGCCACGTAGATCTCCGGTAATTCATCTTCGCACATCAGGCGAGGTAACGCTTTGCCGGGCCCATAGGGGGAGTTCTTCTGTCGCTCCTGGTCGATCTCCTGGAAGCGCACCAATTCCCCAGCAGATCGGGCCATGATATCGTTCAGGTCATCGTCGTCCATCTCCTCCTGGTCGGCACCAAGCTGGTCGGCGGCCTCCGCGCTTTCCAGCAGCGTCCGCAGGAGGGCATCTCGCTCTTCGTTGGTGGATTTGTTGTCGAACTTTCCGGCTTGGATGACCTTGCCGTCCATGTCCAGCTTGAACTGGGCACGCTCGAGGATCTTCTCCTCGACGGAGTTGGAGCTGATCAGCCGCAGGATGCGGACCTCGTTCTTCTGGCCGATACGGTGCGCACGATCCTGGGCCTGCAGATCCTGATGGGGATTCCAGTCGGAATCGAAAATGACAACGGTGTCGGCGGCCTGCAGATTCAGACCCAGACCACCGGCACGGGTCGACAGCAGGAAACAGAAATACTCCGAATCGGGGGCGTTGAACTGCTTCAGAAGGTCCGACCGGTCGTCCGCTTTGGTCGAACCGTCCAAACGGAGGTACTTGAGCCCACGGAGCCGGAGGAAATCTTCCATGATGTTCATGATCTGCGTCATCTGGAAGAACATCAAGACGCGATGGCCGGTGGCCCGGAACTTGGGGAGAATCCGATCCAGCAGCTCGAACTTGCCCGCGGTACGCCAGAGGAGATCGTTGGAGCCTCGCGTCGGGTTCATCTGATCTTCCACGGGCTCGAAGACGAACGGATGGTTGCACAGCTTCCGCAGTTGCATGAGCATGTTGCTCAGACCACGCATGCCGGTCTTGCCGCCCTTGCCATCGCTGACGACCATCTTGTTGTGGGTGACCAGTTGCCGGTAGAGCTTGGCCTGCAGCGCGGAGAAGCGGCACTTGATGACTCTCTCCTGCTTTTCGGGCAGATCCTTCTCCACGTCGCGCTTCAGACGACGGAGGAGGAAGGGCCGCAGGACCTTGTGCAGACGGCGAATGACCAGCAACTGTTCTTCTTCGGAGAGGTCCATCCGGTCCTGGCCGCCGGTGTTGGCGAATGGAGTGTTGAACCACTCGTCAAACGACTTGACCGACTTGAAGATGTTGGGCAGCACGAAGTTCAGCAGCGCCCACAACTCCGGCAGGTTGTTCTGCAGCGGGGTACCGGTCAGAATCAGGCGGTAGCGGCTGGTGTAGTACGTCGAGAGCGTGCTGCTCAGCTTGGACTGCGTGTTCTTCATGCGGTGGCCTTCGTCGACGATCATGTGGGTCCACTTGATCTTGCTGAGGACGGGCCGGTCCTTGATGATGTATTCGTAGGTGGTCAGAAGGACCTGGAAATTGCCCCAGCGGATCTGCTGCTGCTGCTGCTTCCGCGCATTGGGCGGTCCCTTGTAGACGACCTTGACGACCGACGGGGCCCACTTCTCGAACTCCATGTTCCAGTTGGTCAGGGTACTGAGGGGGACGATGACCAGGAACGGGCCGTTGTTTTGCTTCTTCTCGATGATGTAGGTGATCAGACTGATGGTCTGGATGGTTTTGCCAAGACCCATCTCGTCGGCCAGGATGCCGTTGAGGTTGTTGTTGTAGAGGGAGATCATCCATTGGAGACCCTTGATCTGGTATTCCTTCAACTGACCGCCAACGAGGATGGACGGCTGCTCGGTGACATCTTCCTTGATGCGATGGGCCACGGCGTAGTAGTCGACCTTGGCCTTACCGCCTCCCTCCTCCTCGGTCCCGGAGGCAACATCCTCCTCTTCCTCCTCGTAGAAGTCATCTTCGAGATCTCCGTATCGTTCGGCCAGCGTCCGTTGCTGTTCCCTAACCGACGCCGCGAGATGTTTGAGGAAGTTGTCCGTCTGCTTGAGCAGGTGGGAGATACGCGAATCCTTGGCCTGGCCCAGCAGCTTCATGTACGTCTCCTCATCGTTGGCCTTGAGCGCCTGGAGACGTTGCTTGGCGGTCCGTTCGACCCGCTTCGCCTCTTCGCGCTCCATGTGCTGGTGCTGCTGGAGCATGATGCGGCCCAGTTTCTGCATCCGGGCGCGCTGTTGGTTGGCCGCATTCTGGACCTCGATGCCGTGGTTGAGGATGGCCTGGAGCTGATCGTACTGCTTCCGCTTCTCTCGGGTCTCGCGCGCATCACGCTGTTGCTTCTCCAGCTTCTCCGTGATTCTCGCCTCCCGCAAGGACTGCTTCTTCATCCGACGATGGCTGGAGCGGTTCGCGGTCATGCCCAGGTTGTCGAAGTGGAACATTTCGTTCTGCATCTGCTTGCGGAACATCCGCTGCTTGGGCAGCAGATTGAGCATCTTGTACTCGATCAGCGCCTTGAGTTTGAGGGAGTCATCCGAGGTCGCCGTGTCACTGCGACTCGAGTCCCAGACGCCGACGTTGGCGGGCAGCGCAGCCAATTCGGCTTTCCTGGCGGTGATCTTATTGTAAACCACCAACTCTCTCTCTTCCCGCACCTGCTCCAGGTCAATCCCCGGGGGCATCAGCGCCGGGACGCGTGCACGGTTGACGCGAGACGCATGGTCGTTGAAGCTGATGGTCTTGGGGAACAGTTCATACGGCGACTGGAACGTCTCGTAGAATTCCTTCGTCTGGACCGCCTCCTCGGGGGCACTGGTCGATTGCTCGCGTTTCCCCTGGGACGCGCTGTCCAAGGTGGACTCGGCCGCGGCAACGTTGTCCGCGGGCGTAGGGGTCTGTTGCTTCTTGGACGCGAACAGTTGCTGCTGGACGCCCGGTGGGATCGCAAGGTTCTTCGACAGCAACTTGAAAGCCAAGATCTGGTTCTTGAGGGTCTTGAGCTGCTCGGGGGAGAAGCTCCCCCCGGGGACAGGGGCGCCCTTTTGCTGCGGTGTCGACGCATCTTGGACAGCACTGTTGGCCGAAGAGACGGAATTGGCTCGACCTAATTGCACGTCGCGTCAGTATTCGACTCAAGGCACGTGAAACAGAGGATGAAGCCTACCATTGATTCCATTTGAGGCGGCAGCGGCAGCATCGGGGGTGATCCCATTCAGCTGCTGTTGACGTTGTTGAGCCTGCATGTGCTGCTGGGCCATGTGTTGCCTTTGTTTTTGAAACGCTTGCTGTCGTTGCACGGCAATCAGGAGTTGCTGCGCCTTGACATACTCGGGGTCGTCATGACGGACACCCTGTTCTTGCATCTGTTTGAATTTCTGCAGGGGTTCGTTAGCACGTACGCATGGGCGATGCATCAAAGGATGGATCACGAGATCAATTGACAATCAAGAAAGACGCGACAGGAGTATAGGAGTGAAAGGGAAGGGAAAGACATACATGAAGAACCTCTTGAACATGCTGCTGGGTCAAGTTGGCCGGCAGAGACATGCTCCCAGTCGCCATATTGGGAGCCGACTGGAGGGAAGCCATCGTCTTAACACGCAGGTGATCTATTCATAGGCCGAACAGACACGGTGCGGGCAACTTGCGATGCGACCAGATCCCACGTCCCGATCCCAATGTCGGCAGTTGATCCAACACGTCGTGTTTTAAGGAAGAAAAAAAGAGAGGCGACCGTGGAGGAACGAGTCGCGCGTGATCGGCGACAAAGTACGCGAATTTTCAGAGGGTAAAAGACGGTAGGGAGGATTTGTCGATGAATGCGACCGGTCTTGGTCCTGATGGGATCCTTGGCGACAGGTTTCGTGATGTTTTGGACCGGGTCGGTTCGGTCGGGGGCAGGAAGAGATGAAAGGTGTGCGAGAGGGAGAGAACGTGACCCAGGGCGGTGGACTGATTTACCTAGGAGAGGGGGGGAGGAGAGGACAAAGGGTCGGAGAGAAATAAAAGAATAAAGAAGATACAGAGGACAAGACTCGGGGATCGCGTCGACCAGATCGCGTGGAGAAACGGGATGGAAGAGATGGAGATGGGGAGGGAGGGGGGAACTTTTTCGCGACTTGCGGTGGTGGTTCTCGGGGAAACTGGGCGGTGCTTTCAGCCTGTCTTGTCTGTAACGAAGGGAGACTCAAGAGACGCAGAGGCGGCGAGACTGGAGGGAAGAAGATTTCACGCACACGTGATGCGTCGGGTGCTGACTCAGGATGTGGACGCTAACCACGTTGGGAGGTCACGTTCATCCAGACCGATGAGGTTGAAGACTGACAGGTACGTATATCAATCTTTATAGAGATATCATACTCATTTAGTTGGTTCTTTGGAAAGGTCAAGGGGAAGATGTCGAGATCGATGGTAGATGGTAGATGAATCTCCAAGCCCAAGGTCCTCAGCCGAGACATCACATACCTATACAACATACACAGTACACATATATATATCTAGTACTCTACTCTGAGACACCCTACTGCCATGTTCACATACCCTATTCCACTACAATCAACAACACCAGATGACTATCGACAATCGATACACAGATCCTTGTTCAATCTACTGTCAAGAAGCTAATAAATACAGACACGCGACTATCGCTAGGACACCACTGAAAACACCGACCATGCCCCCCCCCCCCCTCCCTTGCGCCGGTTGCCGCCAAAACAACTCCAATCCGGATTCTTGACCCCCTCTACACCTCAGTCGCACTAAGAATCGGCCGCTTCATCGGAGGCGGAGGTGGCGGTTTCTTCGCGCGCGACGGCGGCGGGGGGGGAGGCGCCTTCTTGGCCAGCGTGGCCCCATTCAACGTGTTCGAACTGGTCCGTCGCGACATGGCATCACCGTAAGAAGGTGTGGGCGAGATGGACCGTCCGTAATACGACCGGTCTGGACTGCCGCCATTCTGACGGTACTGACCGGCTACGTCGGGCGGATCCATGTAAGGGTCGGTGACCACCCGACTCACGGGCCGGGGGGGACCGTAGTTCTCGCTGACGGTACGAGACGGCCATGCCTGCTCCTGGCGCAGTTGCATGGGCCCTTCGAAGGTGGAGGTTCGCACCGCAATCGGTCGCTGCGGCGCTGGGTCGACAGGATAGACAGGGGAGGGTTCCCGGTTGGATCGGATGATGGGTCGCGACTCCATGGCGTTGACGAGTTCTTCCTGTACTGGTTCATAGCGCTCCTGGTACGAATGCGCGGTGTTCGAACGAGGGCGCCCCGCGCGACGACCATTTGGAGGGTGGGAAGTAGATTGGCTGGCCCATTCGTCAGTAATCTTGAGTCTCTCTCCATTGGTTGACCCGACGTACCTGCTCGGCCATTCCTTTCTGAGCTGCAAGAGCACCTCGCGAGACCGCTCGTGGTATTCCAACTGCGCGTCCAAGAACGCCTCCAAGTCGGTTACATGCTCTCCCTCCGAATCCTTGATGTCCATCATGCGCCGGTACACATCCTCGTTGGCCTCCTCGTATTTAATTTTCTGGGTGCGAAGTTCTTCCTCCATGCGGAAGTCCTCCTTCTTGACCTTCTGCATCTTGGACAGAGAGGTATCATATGCCAGTCGTCGATTGTCAAGCTTCTTCCGAGCAGACTATACACAAGTCAGATATGTTGGACCGCTGCATGATGTACTGGCAAGCCATACCTGGTAGTCTTTCAGCTGTGTCAAGGCCCGCTCCAGCGACTCGAGCCAGCTCGAGTTCGACTGCGCAATATAGGACTCCTGGACGCGCGCGAGGCGCTCCTCCGTTCTTCCAAAGGCTATGGTTCATCGGTTAGGAACATGCAAACCAAACACTGACGCAGCCAATATGGTGATATGAGAACGTACTGATCAAACAACGGCCATAATCGGAGTGTGCGTCGAAATCCTCTCCGTGGCTAATCATACTAGAGCCCAAATGCGCAATCGGCAGGGTCTTCTCCTTGTCATCGCCTTCGTTGCGTTTCGAAATGGACTTGACATAGCTAGTCATCGACTTGTGTATGCGGTCAACGCCTAGGGAAGGAGTCAGCGATGGATGGCCCCATTGCATCGCGGGTATCCATGAAGCTTACCATCATGTCGGACATTCATTTCGGTCTCCATGGCCTTGAAGTTGTCGGAGAGATTCGTCTTGACTTCGCCGCCCATTCTCTCGCCGGCCCATTGCCTGAAACGGTCGAACTTGCGGTTGACGTTCATGGTGAGAGTATTATGGTATTGAAAATGTTATGGGATTGAATACCCGAGTAGGTCGATTGTGTCGTTTAGGAGCTTCGAGTTCTCGAGTTGTGGGGAGAAATGGATCTGTCCTGCAGATAAGAGAGTGGGAACAAGAAGCCGGATGCGGTGGGGGTGGTGTTTATTCGATAGCGGGGGCTTTTGTCTAGTATTCAACAAACGAATGGAAGAAGTGATAAAGAATGAATTGAAAGAAGGTCTAGACCAGATTTCACAGCTCGTCTGGAGAGGAGGATGGAAGAGAATTGAAGATGTGTGAGGAGGGGTTGGGGATTATCAGGAAGGTAAGGAAGAAGAGAAGAGAAAGGACGGTAGACGGGGGCGATTGCGACACAAGAGGAAGTGGGGAGAGAGAACACTCTAATAGGTATGGAGTCGAGTGACCGTCAGAGGGAGAGAGGGATCCAGTTTTATTTGCTCTGGATGAATGATTGTTATTATGATGGTTAATCGTTAATAAGTTGAGTATTGTAATTATAGTATTTACTCGCTGACCACCGGGACGGGATGGAGGACAGCGGAGTGGGGAGGATTCTTGATCCTTTCTTATTGTATTATTTCTATAATGATAATGATTATAATTATATAATTCTCTTGTCTCTATTCTATTTTAATATTTTTTTTTAACCTATTATTTTTTAATTGAACCGTCCCTTGAAGAATGAATCAGAGGACAGTAACAATGATCAAAATAAAGCCTGTCGCAAGCGTCCAGCCGACATGGTGGAACATGTCTGAACGCGCCACCACCATGGATGGATTAGGCCCATCTCCACCAGAACCTCCCACTCTAAAAGGCCAAAAAAAAAAGGGACAGGGACCATGGAATTAGGGATGGTCTGTACAACCGGGCAGTCTGAACCGTGGAAACAAGTGTCATATGTAAGTAAATGCGAGGAAAGCAATCAATCACAAGCCAATTTGATCAGGGCGCAACGTTATCCCCTGCCTATTGTTGTACTGATTCCCCTCCCATAGGCACCTTACTACCTAGGACTGGGAGGTTGAGGATCGATCATGGATTGGAGTCAGAGTGGAGACGAGAAAGGACTCCACTGATTGACGCTGCAATTGGCTTGTTTGTACCTGAAACATCTAGTTTGGTCTGGAGTCGTATTCTCACGATTCAAGATTCATCATGGGTGGGATGACACTATAAGTCAGGTATTAATTGGTTATTCGAAAGGGATAGGGACTTCTGTGTATGTCCAGTCAGTAAGCCATAATAATAATAAATTTAAATATATTGCATCACTTGGAGCCATGAGTAAATGATAGGCCAGACCAGGTTGTTGAACCAGGGTTGTTGAAGGGTCAATTGCAGGAAGTGACACGCGTTGGTGGGGGCGGTTGGATGCCTTGCGATTGGCCTAAGGCTGCTTGCCACACACGCACACACTCTGTGCTATTTACAGAACAGGGGGGACACACAAAAGGTACGGTTGATTCCATTGTTTCGTTGAAAAGACCAATGGGTTTATGAAACCAGAGAGAATAATGACATCTTAGTCATGAGGGTGTTTCGTAATTCAATAGGACCCAGAGGTTGACTTCTCTGGTGTGTCTAATAGGCGTGGAGTGCCCGCCCGCTGCTAACTAACCTGTGGTATCATGGTTGCCCACATGCAGCTTGTAGATCATGATGGTTTTATGATCTCACTAACTTGATAGGAATAAGATAAGAGTGATTTGATAATATCGCCCCTGATGACAATTGTGCCGTATTCTGGGGTCTGGAGCAATGGGAATAAGAATCGTCATCAGGCGGTTATCATTCCCGGTGCCCCCACCGCATTGATGCTCACTAGGGACGTGCACAGATGCCGTAGTATACAGTATTGGCATCTTGTGCTGATGAACCAATAGTTTCTACTTTCTAGAAGGTATTATGGCAACAATGCTGCTCGAATCCGTAGATCAGGGATCAACATGGGACACACATATGGCTGTACAGTGTACACATGAGCCAAGCAGATTACTCCCCTCCCCACATAATAGACATGTACCATGCAGGGCCTCGCGAAACCCAACCCACAGCATCAAACAGGACCCAACTCCCCGGAGTTCAAACCCACATATCTAAGAATAGACGAAACCTCGAAAAACGCCCGGCGCTCCAACGAAAGACAGTTATAAAAAGACACCCGCTGCATCACGCGAAACAGATCACACCAGCGGCTCGGAGACTTGTCCCAGATGGGGCAGACCGTCGACCAAGCCGTCTAGATCACATAAGGCCACCGTACCCGGAGAATTAACCGCAGGATACAGACCAACCTCGTCCAGAGGCAGAGGCAGTGCATCGCACGGCTGGGAGCTATACTCCAGCTCCGCGGCTATCAAAGCATCAAAGTCATTCCACAAGACTCCCTCCTCCTCGCCAAGCCCAACGAGACCGCCGTCGTCAAACACGGCAGACAGACACGGAGGGTCACGCAACCCGCAAGACTGCAAAGCCGCCCTCTTCCCACCCCCCTCTGAAACAGTCTGGTCCGGCGATGATACCTGTTTGCCTTCGCGGTGGACGACAAACGTGGCGTACTGACCGGGCGTCACGCCCGTCATCTTCTTGAACACGCGATGGAAATGGCTCGGCGTGAGGGCCGCCTCGTCCGCCAGTTCGCGGAGCGTCGGCCGGGCACTACCATCCTTGATGGCTGACCGGATCCTTTGGCAGGCGGTTTCGATGAATCGCGTCTGCGGGTTAACCGCCTGTAAGCCTTCTGGCTTGCAGCGCTTACAGGGCCGGAAGCCTGCTGTTTCGGCTTGGCTGGGGGTGTCGTAGAATTGGATGTTGGCGCGTCGGGCGAGCCGGGCGGGGCATGAGGGCCGGCAGTAGATTTTTGTGGTTAGCACGGCGTAGACGAAGGTGGTGGCTGTTGTGTCTCTGTTGACGACGGCTTGCCAGCGGGCTGCGGGTGTTGTTGGGCTGGTTAGGCGGGGGATCTTTTGTGGCGAGTCTTTTTGGCGCATTTTTTTTTTTTTTTTTTTAGCTCAGTAAGTTTTTCTTTGTTATTTTCCAGTTTGAGGGGGCTAGGTCAACTATCTCATTGTTCAGGTATGAGTTGGAGGTATTGACGGGTTTAAGGTAGGTTCGTCGTGCAGCCTGTGACCTGCACTGACACAAGTCGAAGGCCGAGGCTCCATCCAATATGATTGGTTACTTTGACCGCAAAGTCATGCCTGAGGACCAAGGCATTTGTCCTTCCAGACTGGGTCTGTAGATACGAAGCACATACCCGTGACTCTGTACTGCCTACAGATCTAGGCGGTAGGTAGATGTCTACATCGGTAGTGGGTGTGCATAGAGCACTCCGTCCATAGAGTGAGGTTAGAGATGCGTCGATTGTCCGTGACCCACCAGACCCCTTATGAAGTCAACCCAGCAGCAAGCCTTGCAGAATGAATGCCCTCTAAACCTGCGCATGACTGATGTACTACAATGCTTGGAAATTAAGGTCCCAGCCAAACACAATGGTTGATCATTGCGTCCATCTAATGCTCTACTACATACCTAGACACCAAGCGAAGCCGACTTGCTATAAATCATTATCATGCACCCGGTCATGCAAACGTTGAACCTAGTTGTTTCCCTTTTATTTTTGATCGTTCATCAAGAAAATTTTGGTGGCCACAACCTGTATTCGCTAAGGGCGCGTGGGAGGCTTATCCGCAGTCGCCTAGGTACATATGTCTCATAGCAAATTTTCAACCCGTCACAAAGAAAAGAAAAACTCCACTCGGTATCACATTTATTCCTTGATCTTCTGGGTACCACGGAGCAGACCAGTTCTCCGGGCAGCGATGAGACCGGCCTTTTGACCCTGGGTGGCGTAGCGGGAGATGGTCGAGGCCTTACCGATATGCTGGTGGTTACCACCACCGTGAGGCTGTAGAGAAAAAACCAGGTCAGTAACTGTACACCCCACAAAAATAGATTGGGAGTCCTTACATGATCCACGGGGTTCATGGCAACACCACGAGTCTTGGGCCACGAGTTGCGCTTGACAGCGAACTTATGCTTGGCGCGAGAAGCCTTGAGCAAAGGCTTGTCGGTACGGCCACCACCGGCGACGATACCAACCATACCACGGGCGGTGTTCTTGACAACCTTCTTGGCACCGGAGGGCAGCTTGATACGGGTCTTGCCATCCTCGGGGTTGTGGCCAATGACGGTCACGTAGTTACCGGAGGTACGGCCCAGAGCACCGCGGTCGCCGGCCTTCTCCTCAACGTTGGTGACAACGGTACCCTCGGGAACGGAGGCCAGAGGGAGAACGTTGCCGACGGTCAGGGTAGCGTTCTTGCCGGCGTAGATGAACTGGCCGGTGTACATGCCCTCGTTGGCGATGAAGGTCTCGGTGACGGTCTTGAACTTGTAGGGGTGACGGAACTGGACCTTGGCGAGAGGAGCACCACGACCGGCGTCGTGGATGATCTCCTTCACAACACCCCGGATGTAGCCATGGCGCTCAGCGAAGTCGAAGGTACGGAACTGAGCAGGAGTCTTGTTAAGACGGGTGTTGGCCGCTGTAGAGCGAAGATTCGTATCAGCAATTCTCGATCTGAATGATAGATTTTGATTTTTCCTTCTCCCTGTTCGTCTTCTTCTTGTTTTTATTTTTGTTCTTCTTCTTCTTCGTTTTGTTCTTTTCTTCCTCCACGCCTCTCGTCTTGCTCAGGATAGATTGCGGTCGCACTCACTGAAAATGGAGCCACGGCCCTTCCTTTGGTTGCGGATCACACGACCCATGGCGACTGTCTATATGAAGACCTTGGGGTTAGTTTGTTGGAAGGAAGACCGCCAGCGACCCAGGATTGTGGTGGGAGATATCAAAGGGGCTCGTCGTACCTCTAATCGAAGATGGGCTTGTCGGGTTGGATGGTAGAGAATTCGAGTGTGCTGTGTGGGCTTTAGGGCGGGAGTCCAAAAATCTAACCGAGTTGGCGCTAGCGCCTTTTGGGCACAATCCGCGGCTAGTGTGAGTTGGGTGTGGCGGCTGCGGTTAACCCTCTTTGACTAAGCATCGTGGGCTTGGCGAGCTCACTACGGAGTACTCCGTATGATTTAGACCCGATAGTCTCTCCCATAACATCCCACCCGGACGCGTTCTTGGTTGGAGCGCTATAATGGGCGCGCAACAGACTTCGAACTGCTCTGTTTGTGTGCTTTGATACTAACTACTTGCAAAGGACCACGTGTGTCGACTCCGAAATGATGACTTTCCATTTCTCCAGTGGAGTCTGTTATTGACAATACGACAACAGCCCTTGTGCCATAATTCGCGGTCAAGTTCCGCTATAGACAGCCCGTGTCTTATCCCAGTGTTGGATCTTAGAGGCAATCTTGTCACGACGTGATGGCATGATAACCTGGACGTGTTTGAGTCTCGTCTTGAGATCTCTCATCACGACCCTGTTCATGTGCCGACCGAGTTTGAAACAATCACCCCTGAATAGCTCGTGAATAGCTTGTGCGAAGCTATTCAATATCCACATATATACTGGTTTACACAATATGAACGAGTTTGCCTCGTCAGTCCTACCATTCTACGCCGACTTTTAAGGAATCGCAGTGGGCGTCGTTAGAAGCCGCGGCAGTCCGAACGATACAAATGAAATTCATCCACTGGATTTGTTGGTCCTTTCTCTCGGTAGCTGCCATGTCAATGCCGTCGCTTAGGCATACGGTCGTGTCATGGGTGTCCAGCGTTCATGACCCCAGATTGTGCGACTCGCTATGTGCTCCAATCTGTCGTCTACGCCAGTTCTCACGATACTAGTCAGATGTTTTCCCAAGATACTCTGGTTTCTAGCCACATCTCCTGATCGAGGAAGCCGTGCAGTTTGTCGTGCTGTGATTTTGCGTAGATGCGTCTTCTTTGTTCGCTCCAGTACGCAAACACGAGGTAATATATCTTTTTTTACAACTGCTCGATAGTAAAAGACGTAAATAAGTGCCGAATCGGAGAAAAGGGCCGTGGTCGTAAGCACATGGGCGAGGACGGGTGCTGATCATACCGTGAAACGGACAGCTATGGATAATGGCAGACAGACGAGGCGCGTAAAAGCCGCGCCTCAACCCTAGTAGCGCATTTGACCTTGGGCTGCGGCGCGCGGACTTGCCCACTTCCACCTTCCCTCCACACCACCCTCGCCCAAACCACTCTAGAACGCGACCAGGATGTCTCTTTCCGATTCAGATCTCTCGTCGCTGTCGTCGGCACCCCCTTCGGATGAAGAAACGGGGTCCATGGCTGTCGACGAGCCCGTGGGCATCAACAAGTACTTTAAGAAGGAAACCGAATCTCCGCCGCCGAAACGGGCGCCTTCACCACCCCACGAATATGTTCTGGCCGATAACCCAGATATCGCAGTAAGTCCTCCGTGAATTCGAGCTTCGAGAAGCTGGCGGGAGCTTCATTGTCGCGTCTCCCTGCGTTTTTGGAGCTGTTGGTTGACTTGTCGCAATCGTCCAGTTCATCGTGATGTTCCGCGCGCGTTTCACCGATGTGTTCCCCCGATCGACACCACATTTTGGTCCGCAGGATGTCGAGAGAGGCGTGGCGGATCCTACACCCGGAGATCATATCGAACGATTGCTGTGTGCGTTTCTGGGCTTGGTGCTGAATCGGAAGAAGGACGTGGAGTATGAACGCCACCATCCCCCATCATCACCTCCACCACGAACGGCCGGGGAAACAATCGCCGTTTCACCTGTTCCAGTGGCCTACAACTACATTATTCCTACAGGAAGCTGACTTATCGTTATCATCGCGCAGTCGAAGTCACTACACTCGCCCGCTGGAGGAGGCAATCCATACCCATGTGTCTCAATGGCCGAAGGCTTGGCAAGGGAAAAACCCCCTCCACGGAGGTCGCAGCTTTGCAACCATGTCGCCAGATGAACGCGTATGTGACGCGACTTCGGATGATATTTTATAACCCGATTTGTTAACACCCTCTCTAGATTCAACTATTGAAGACGTTGATCCTCTGGTCCCTCTCCTCGTCCGAAGCCGTCCAAGCCAAGATCAAGGAGTCCTACAAGCAAGCACGCCATGAAGACGACCTGAACCAGCCGCTTTCCGTGCAACCGTGGGGTCGCGATGGGTTGAAGCGCAGATACTGGCTCATTGAGGGTCTGGACGATACCCACTTCCGGCTGTATCGCGAGAGTAACCCGGCCTTGAAGCATGTCACCTGGTGGAGCATAGCGGGCAGCATCCCCGAACTGGAGACCATCGCGGCCAAGCTCGAAGAGGAGAGGAGCACGAACTCGAAGAAACTCAGCGAGAAGATCAAGAATGCCATTCCTCGTTTCGAAGGCGCGGAGGAGGTGAGTCTACGGTCCTGTCTTGCTTGTGTCGCGTCCTCCACTAACTGGGAACTAGAAACGCAAGCGTCGCGATTACCGCCTCGCCCGCAAAGCCGCATTCTCGCGACCGGAGCCGGGCTTCTCCTTATACGAGGGCCGCACTCGCGGAAAGAAGTTGAAATACACCTACTCCGATGACGAAGACATCTTCTCCGACGGCCTGCCTTCGACGCGCCGATCCACCCGTAACACCTCGGGTGTTTCCACCCCTGCAGAGCCCTCCGGTCCCCGGTACACGGCAAGCGGGCGGCAGGTCCGTCCGCGCGGAGGCGGTTTATACGGCGCGTCGGCGCTCACCGGCCAGCGCGAAGACGAAGCCGGCGAAGAGGATGCCGGGAGAGGCCAGCGGACGCGAGCCACGCGAGCCAACGGCTACAACGACTACAATGCCGACGAAGACATGGACGACGACGCCGAAGAGGGCCAGTCGAGCGAAAACGAGTGGCAGGGCGGCGGGGACGACGACGAGGAGAATGAGTTCGAGGGCGACGACGAAGGCGAACTCAGCACAGACGACGCGATGGTCATCGGAGATAAAAACCAAAGCCTGGTCGTGCAACTCCGGTACGGCAAGGGTAAAATGCGCAGCAGTCCGGCACCGGAGTCGTCAGAGGACAGACCTGAAAGTAAACCAGAGGCGCCAGGCCAGCCAGAGCCTTCTCAGTCTGCCCAGCCACCACCGCAACCGCAACCCGCAGCCAACGGTCTACCCTCACGGCCTCAGAATCCCCCTGCTGCCCCACCAGTCGAGACGCCGCCTCAGCCTCAACCTGGCACCGCGACAGCAGCACCAGTCGCCCAACCCGACGAGACGGCCTAGCCTAGCATTCCCGGTGCTCTAGTTTTTATAGAACCACGAACGAGCGCCGAGAATTCAACCGTCTTACCTTCCCAACCCTGATATTTCCGATAGAGATTTGTTTTTGCTGGAGCGTTGGTGTCTTATTTAGTTCTATTTGTATACGAGGGCAAAAACACGGCATTTGATTATGGATTTCATTGTTTCCGTGGGCGTTTCTTTCTTTCTCTTTTCTGTTTGTGTGTGTGATGCGCGCGTGTATGTATGGTATGGTTAGGGGGTAATTTGCCAGGAGGTTTGGAGGATTCAATGTATACGTGTGTTGCATTTGGTGTGAGTTACTTTAGGTAGGCTGTAGATGGATGTTTTTCTTTTGGTCTAGTATTGTGGTTTGGTTTTTTTCAAGTAACATAAGTATAATAAGAAAAGACCATGTGAACTTCCCATTTGCCAAAATGTATATACATTATCGCCCGTCCGAGGCCCGCCGTAGGAGAGGCTTGAGTAGTTAGTTTTGGTTTGGGGTTACATGGAGGCTGAACACGCGAACAAGAATGTAAATCAAGGGACACAAAAGAGAAACGCCGTGACCAGAACTCCCGAAATGCAGGATTGGAATCTACCACAGGGTGGGAGAGATTTTTAGGGGTATGCTATGTTGTTGTTACCATGCCGCTGTGGGTTCAATCCGCGCCTGCATTTGAGAATTGCGCTGTGTAGAACTGTAGAAACTCGTTGGAGGTCAGCGTCGAAAGTACTATTAATGTGATGAGTGAGTGAGTTGGTACTGGCGCATTGGATGGGAATTGAGTTTGCGGTTGTCGCGACGAGGGGGGTAGACAGAGGGGAAAACAGGGAAGGAAGATGGAGAGGGACAACTCACGTCTTGCACTTGCTCCGCTAATTTGGGATCTTTCCGGGTAGACGCCCATCGGGGAGGCAGTTCCCAGTTGTTTACGTCGTACCACCACCGTCGGATCTTGCTGCCCAGGGTCTGACCGGTGAGATTCGCGTTGCGGTTCCAGAATCGCCAGCCGGAGAGGGCCAGTGTCCAGAGGGAACCTTGCAGGAAGGGGAGGAGGACCTGGATTGTAGGTAAGCGCGTCAGCTTATGGCGTCTTACTCGTGGATCTCCATTCGGCGTTTCTCATTCGGCGTTTTTTTTTTTTTTTTTTTTGCGAATGAACGAGGAAGAATAAGAAAGCATGCACGCAAGAAAGAGTGAGTCGTGTCGACCCTTGAATAGTATTTGTTCCGTACCTGGTCTCTGATGGTGATCCACGCTACCCTTCCCCAGGTGTCGGCTCCCCTCAAGCTGGCGAGATAGCTCTGCTCGAACCGTAGATCAGGCAACGGAGGAAGGGTGTGGCCTCTTGTAGTCGGTTGAATCATCCGTCGAGGATCCACGATGTCCGAAGGGATACTGTCAGCTTCGGAGGAAGCTTTCTGAATCGGGTGCTTTTCGGCTGCGGTCGGGGGATTGATGTCGGCAGGGGACGGGTTGGGGTTGATGGAGGCCGTTTGGATGGTCTCTGCGACCTGAATCGCGGGGTCTGCCATATTGAATAAGACTAGGGATGGGTGTTGGATGGTGGTGGTGGAGATATAGTTGGAATTGAGGTTGTATGTAGATCGGAAGTTGAGCGTGGAGAGAAGTCGGGTTCACATAAGATACATAGTTACATAACTCATGTATTATACTAGGATAAGCCCCTCCGAAAAAAAGACTCCACCCCCCACTTGTCTCCCCCTCCTCATCCCATCTTCTTCTTCCTCCTTTCTTCCTTCTTCTCAACCTCATCCTCATTCCTCTTCTTCTTGAACTACCTCGGATTCATCCCCAATTCCCCCTCTTTCACTCACCATGGCCGCCCCTCAAGGATATCCTTTCCTCTGCCTCGAGAACCCCCTTCTGGGTGCGTGAGATTGTCCCTCCCCGATTGACTGCTCCATTCTTGACACCATAACACCTTACTATATACGGGAGATTTGGCTGACGTGAAGCTTTCATTGATTTGGTATAGACATCCAGGCTCAGGGGTACGTACTCTATCCCCCACCCCATTCAAGAGAACTAGAACTGACTCGATTAGTGATGCTGCTCTCCTGGAGAAGTATGGCCTGAAGGACAACGATGCTATCCTCGCCGAGGACAAGCACATGGGCATCTATGAGGAGCTCCTCCAGAAGGATGCCAAGCTGATTGCTGGCGGTGCTGCTCAGAACACTGCCCGTGGTGCCCAGGTATGAACCCCACCTCAACCAAAACAAGGTGCAACCAAAGCTAATGGAATGCTTTTCTTAGTACATGCTCCCCGAAAACTCCGTCTGCTACATTGGCTGTGTCGGCAAGGACAAGTACGCCGACATCCTCAAGGAGGCCTGCACCACCGCCGGTGTCCACACCGAGTACCGTGTCGATGAGGCCCAGCCCACCGGCAAGTGTGGTGTGATCATCACCGGCCACAACCGTAGCATGTGCACCCACCTTGCTGCCGCCAACGAGTACAAGCTGGAGCACCTGAAGCAGCCCCACATCTGGTCCCTCGCCGAGAAGGCCCAGGTCTACTACATCGGTGGCTACCACCTGACGGTGTGCGTTCCTGCCATCCAGGCCCTGGGTGAGGAGGCCGCTGCCAAGAACAAGGTGAGTCTGCTCTCTTCCCCAACGCCCCAGGGTATATGTCTAACCAGAGACCCCAACCAGATCTTCATGCTCTCTCTGTCCGCTCCCTTCATCCCCCAGTTCTTCAAGGACCAGCTCGACACCGTTCTGCCCTACACCGACTACACCTTCTGCAACGAGACCGAGGCTCGTTCCTACTCCGAGAGCCACAGCTGGGGCACCGACGATGTCGTCGAGATCGCCAAGAAGCTGGCTCAGCTGCCTAAGAAGAACACCAGCCGCCCCCGCGTTGCCATTGTCACCCAGGGCACCGATCCCACCGTTGTCGCCACCGCCAAGGCCGACGGTGAGGTCGAGGTGAAGCAGTTCAACGTCCACGAGATCCCCAAGAGCAGCATCAACGACACCAACGGCGCTGGGTAAGCTTTCTGCCTCTCTTTGAGCTGGAATTTCAGGACTAACATTGTCGCAGTGACGCTTTCGCTGGTGGTTTCTCTGCCGGTATCGTGCAGGGCAAGTCCCTGGAGGACAGCATTGACATGGGCCAGTGGCTCGCCAGCCAGAGCATCCAGGAGCTGGGTCCTTCGTATGTCACCTCAGCCCTTAAAAACCCCAGTGTTTGACCGGTCACTAACTGAGTTACCACAACAGCTTCCCCTTCCCCAAGAAGACCTACACCCCCTCCAAGCAGTAAACTCTGCAAGCCAATGACAGGCTCCATCCAACTATAATCAAAAAGTACCGGAGTCGGAGTCAGTCAAGCCTCTAGCTTGAACGTTCCCCCTTTCCTTTGTCTTTTCTTTAGGATTTTCAACCTCTTATACCCAATATGTTCTTGACTTAACGTCTAGACTTCATCTCATCAACACGAAATTGTGGGACAGAAACGTGCTCCGTTACTTTACCTTGGGAAATACGATGGATTCACAGGATAGATGGACAGGAGTTGCGGCAATGACGTTCTCAACAACGAATCTAATGATGTATATAATTGAACCGATCGATCTATCGGACTTGATTCTTCTTACATGGTATTGTAGTACTGGACAGTAGGACATAGTTCAAAGGAAAGCCCATCGATTTGACCTATAAATGATACACTTGCTTCAAACGAAGATGTCGAGACAGTTCAAGCTATATAAAGCACCAAAAGTATCAGAAAGATAGACGGATAGACAGATAGAAAGATCAGAAAAAGGAGCAAGAAATGAAAGAAAAAGAAATAATAAACAAAGAGCGCCAAGGAACGTGCAAAACAACAAACCAACAATGGGCTCTTGATAACTCCCCCAGGCTCTTTTAGACGTACATAGACATGACAATGGCCGTGCATCTATGGGACTTGGAGGGAATTCCATTCATTCTGTCTACGACGAACATCACTCTGTGGTCATTCTTCCCAAACAATCTTAAATCAGCAATTAAACACTTAATCAAACATCAATCAATCGTTCGATGGATTGAATCCAATTTCATCCAATTTCAATTTTTTATCGATAATCGATCGATCGCCTTGATTCGTTCGTCCATTATGCACCCATCATCTATCCACAACCCACGCTAGGACATCACATTTTGCGAATAAACGGCGGAAAGAGAAAAAGAAAGGGAGAGAAAGGGGAACGGAAAAGAAAAGAACAGAACCGCTGACATAGATAGCCCCGTGGGTTCTTCAGTCTGAGCCCTCTATCCTCCTCTTCCCCCTCTCCTTCCACATGTCTTTTGGATACTCGATGTTAACTCACTAGCTAGCCGGTTAGCCGGCTAACCAGCTGACTCGCTAGCTAGCTAGGCGGGTAGAAAGTGAACCATGGTTATATCCCCCCTGTTAGAACATTGGACAGTTGGCGATAGGTAGACTGTTGGTGCGGACTCGATCGGCGAGATGACAGACGGGAGAGAGCCAGTAGGTAAGGAGCAAAGCAAATGATCAGAGGGGAGGGTTATCCACCTGCGGAAATAAAGACAGGTTCTTCTTGTTGCTGCGGTTGTTTGATTATGACCTACACACCCGTGTCTATTTCTACCGTTCGAGCGCTGGATGGTTGCTTCCGGTTGCTTCCGAGCCCCATGACCCGCCCCCGTTACTTGAGAGAAGAAGAAAAAGGCAGAGCGGGTCCGAGATCAGCCTCCGTGTCCGCAGGGGGGCGTCTGCCCGATTGCGCCGTACTGGGTCGTGGGTCTGCGGCTTCCGTTGCTGAACCCGGGGGAGCTGGGGTACCCTGCTCCTGACGAGAGCGTGGGGGCGAGGAAGGCGTCGTTGGCCCATGAGGGGTGCGAGAATTCGCTCGACGAGTGCGGCTGACTGGGCAGTCCCATTTGCTGGGAGGGGCTCGGGCCATCTAGGGGTCTGTCCCATCCCATGCCGGACACGCGACGGTGATGCGACATCGGGTTGGGCGGGGACATCCATGATGAGAGGAAGCTTGAGCTGTCTAGGGAGCTTTGCGGGTTGGCCTGGTTCATCAGACTCTGTCGGAGAAGTTCGTCGGCGATGGTGCCCTGGGAGGACGGGTGTTGATGCGCGGGGGCGCTGATGCCGGGCGGCGGCATCATGGTCATTGGGGGGTGTCCGAGGCCTGATGGGGTTCTTGGGGCTGACGTGTCCCCGAATGGATGGGGCGAGAGACCCGTGCTCCAGATGTTAGGGATGCCGGGCAAAGCAGGCCGCGAGGAGTACGATTGAGCCGATGGAGTCCGCGCCATTGTGGCTGCGTTTGGCATGGGCCCCCCAAGCCCAGGAGGTGCGATAGGCGTCTGGCGAGGGATGATCTCTTCCCGGAATATCGACTCCGTGCTAGGATCGAATATACGGCTAGACGCGGGCTGCTGGACACTGCCGCCACCACGCGAGAAGGGCAATGGCGTTGGGGGAGACGGGGCGTTTTCGTAAGTGTCGGACTCAACCAGGCGCTCGACCCCTTCGACAATTCGGTGCATATCGGCGGACAATGACGCCGAGGCCGACTGCGAGCCACCGAAGGCGCTTCGGTTTTCTGGAGTTGGCTCCTGTATCGTTTGTCGGATGTCGTCGCGTTCAATGTTCGTCGTAGGGAGCGTATGGGGATGGCCCGACGGGCTGGCGAAGAATTGAGAAGGTAGCCCGTCCTCTTGGTAAATGAACGTTTTCTTGTCTTCGTCGTCCACCAAAGCAATAGGGATTTTCTGCAGCAAGTGTTAAAAATGGGATCCTGTAATAAGCGGAAATTGAATGCATACGTTGCTCACGACGAGGTCCAACCCATCAATTACGAACTCACGGATTCGGTACAACATTTCGATATTCGGATGGTTTCTCTCCACCCCTGGGTCGTCCATCTGGGGCTTCTGCTGGCCGTTCGAGTCCAAATATCTCCGCGACGTCGCCTCCTGGTTCAATGGCGCAAAACGCAAAGTCTCTTCGTCCTCCTCAAGAAGGTAATCGATCTCGGGAAGGTGAACGACGTCGAAGGTGGACGCAAGAAGCGTCAACGTGTTCGCGTATATCTTCCAGAATTCCGTGATCTGAACCGCAAGTGGCGTGTCCTTTTCCTCTTTGTATGCGACCAGCAGATTGCTCACGGTGAGAAGCCACGAGCTATAGTTCCGCAGAGCAGGCAAGACTCGGCGCGCAACCACGGTAACCTTATCGGCCCCATTGGCGGATTCTTCCCCGTTGGACTCGTCTTCGCCTGCGAACCGTTCCACTTCCGCAAGGAGGATCTGGAGCAAGATGAAGAACGTCTTCACGTTGATCCGCTGGAAGAAGAAGCGCGCATTGGACGACTCTTCTGCTGAGATTAATGGCGGGTCCAATTGAAGCGGAGTCCGAAGACTTACCAATTGAGCGTTTCCGAGAGAAGTCTTCCGCAGAGATGTTGATCAGGCAAAATTTCTGCAAAGTGCCTTCGAGAGAGCGTTCCTTCAGGTCGACAGCAAGCTGGCTCAGAACCTCGCTCTCCAGTTCGTCGTGTTCGGGGAAATCAACTCCTAGGTAACACTGCGCGTGCAAGTATACGAACCAGGGAGCCAGTGCCCTGCCAGGGATGCCGGCATCCTCGGGACGGATCAGCTCCCTCTTGGCCCACAGATTCCTGACCTTTCTAAATTCGATCTCCAAGTTTCCTTGCGCGGATGGGTGGGGTTCCTGCGCCGCGAGTGCTCGATAAATGTGATATGTGGCTCTCAAGTGGTTGGCGTCGGCCAGGGCAATGACAGCCAGCTGGTTGTGGGAGGCACCCGAGGCCGGGTAGATCGCCTCGGCCAAGTCGTAATAGCCGATCGCAGGGCCCCAATTGCGGTCCTTGCTGGTCAGTTCGGTTTCGCGATAGCGGGACAGATCGCCGAGGCGGATAAGGGTCGCGTGACATGACTGGAGGATGCGCTTCCGAAGGTCTCCTGATGCTCGAAGTGGGGAATCTGCCGACAAGCCTGGAAGAGGGACAGTTCAGTTAGCGCGCAGGCAGAAAGCCGGTAGGAGGAGACCAGCTCACTATCAAAGTTGAATTTCCGGGCAACCTTCTCGAGTTCCGAGATACCTCCGAAATGCGACGACAACTGTTGAATGTAGCCGCGATAAAACCGCTGGCTCGATTTGATGAACTCCAAGTAGTGTTTCTCGAGCTTCCGTCGCTCTACCGGTTTCTTCTTCTTTCCATTTTCCTCGCGAAACTAGATTTTGCGCCGTCCCCGTTAGGACGCCGGATCGAACCAAAAAGGATGCGTGACACTTACGCGGGAAAGCAATTTACGGAACCGATTGTTGATCTTGAGATGAGTATCCCAGAGACGGCCTTCCACGTCGGTGGAGCGAGCGGCACCAAAATCCTGGAGAATGGCGTTCAGGCAAGCCGTGCGGAACCTAGCGATCACGAAAGAGAGTCGGGTCAGCGCGATGCGCGCGGGGTCGGGGAAGGATTGACCGAACGGCGGATCAGGACATTGAACTCACTCCGATAGGAAATGGGAGATTTCAGCAAACGTAGGCTCTTTCTCGGCAAGACAATGCAACAGCTGCTTTTCGGCGTCGAACGCAGTCCTATACATAGCGGGAAGTTAGTAAACGCGAGTCCCCGACGAACACAACACCAGCGGTGGGAAATTACTGACTGGCACGTGGTTTGGAATGCGGACGCCATAATCAGGACAGTGAGAACAAGGCCCGAGTCACTCCACCGTTGACTTTGCCCGTCAAATGGGTAGCGCTGGCTGAGAGTCTGCGGGCGACGAGAGCAGTGAACGATCCATCAGTATGAGAGAGATGGCGAAAGGAGCGGACGGGATCTCTAGGGTGGGGCGCGAGACGAGTGCCAGCAGCGCCGGCAGCAGCGGTAACGGCGATATCAAAATAAGAACGTTGAGAGACCAAAATTGGCGATAGTATAGTGAGGCCAAGAGCAATGGGGGAAGGAGGAACGAGGGGGGTTGAAGCCGCTCGTCGAAGATATCCAGATATCACGGGAACTTTTTGCTCCCCGAGAAAAAAAGAATTCCAGCGCCCGCAGTGGCTGAGGTTGATCTGATTGGTTGAGGGCTGTGGCTGGTGCCGCTCCGTGGATCGTACGGTATTGATGTGACCGTATGGTATGTAATCGACGTACGGCCGTTATGATGTAATCTATATTTCTATCGATCATACGGATTCTGTTGTATCCCGAAGTATATCATATATCCCCCGATTGACCTTCTATTACTACGACTAGACAAACCTCCCTTACGAGAATATCATACTCTAAACCATAGAGTGTATACTATAGAATCAAGCACAAACACCCTCCCAACCAAGAAAACGCTGCAGCTGCAGGACGCGCATATCCACAACACCTGCTCTCAACCAATCAACCAACCCCCAAACCCAAAGGAGGGTGCGCAAGCAGAAGAACGAAATCAAGAAGAGGGAAGAAAAAGAGAAGAAAAAAAGAGTCCAACATGGCCAAACGCTCTCGATCCCCCTCCCTCGACTCTCCCCCAGACACTCCCTCCCAAGCGTCGCCATCGCCATCCTTCTCCCCGACTTCATCACCACCCGGCCGCTCCAAGATCCATCTCCAGGACCCCGACGCCCCAGTCGCCGAAGTGATGCGCTGTTCGCTGCCCCCGCACCGGGAGGCTCTGACGTTCCCCTCGTATGAAGACTACGAGGTCCATTATCGCCAGGCGCATGTAAACCGCTGCGTGGAGTGCGGGAAGAATTTCCCTACGGATCGGTTTTTGGATCTGCATATTGAGGAGAATCATGATCCTTTGATTGCGGCGAAGAGGGAGAGGGGGGAGAAGACGGTGTGTTTATTTGTCTCTTTTTTATTTACCCTTCCTACCATGTCTTCTCATTCTTTCATTCTTTCATTCATGTTATGGTGGTCAATCGCTGACTGAAAACAGTACGGTTGCTTCGTGGAAGACTGCGAGCGTAAATGCTCGACACCCCAGAAGCGCAGAATGCACCTTATTGACAAGCACATGTTTCCGAGGGTATGTCACACTCTCCTTCCCTCCCTTCCTCGCTCCCCTCCTTTCCCCGGGGGAACACAAAAACACAGGGACAAACTAACAAGATAGACCTACAATTTTCACATCGTCAACGACGGACTCGACAAGCAAACGTCCATGCTACGCCCACGACAGTCCCACAGACGGCGCATCTCAAACCCCCCAGGTTCGCCACAAGAAGGCCGGCTGCGGCATCGGCAGACGTCTTTTTCTCGTCCGCATCCGCATCCGCAGCCTCAGCTCGTGGATTCATCTCAGCAAACGATAGCGTCTCAGATTGAGTCTACCGAGGAAGATAGCGTCTCCCAGCTGGAGAAATCTATGGCTGCGTTGCGGTTCGTCCCGGCGAGTGTATCTAGACAGAAGACGAAGACGAAGACGAAATCTGGGGTAGCGTCTTGAGTGAGGCCTGGGGGTTTGGTACAGTGTGTTTGCGGGGCTGACTACACTGGCCAGATGAGGGGACTGTCCCTCTTTAGAAGATACCATTACTATAACTATAATATAATATAATATAATATAAATACGGGTAGTGACCAGCCCTACTAAACCATACTAGAAGACGCGAAAGATTGCATTGCATTCCATACTGTAAGAATCAGTAGTAAAGTGAATAGTTCAAAACCTCGTTCTCTTTGCTTTTCTCTCGCAAAGCCATAACCACGCCGTGAACATTATAAGAGAGGGAGAAACAAAAGCAGCAGAAGATAATCAATCCCATTCGGTATTCTGATGGGCGTGAAAGAAACCAGAGGAGTAAAAAGAGAAGACGCCTGCAAACCCATAACCGCGCGGCAGATACTCGGCCCCCGTAAACGCAAGAGTCAGAGATAGGTGGGGGATAGAAAAGGAATTATATACAGCACAGGAAAATAAAAGAGGAACAAAGTTCATAGCAGAGAGAACAATAAGAAAACCTCATCCAGAACGAACATGGGTATACAGAGATGTCGTGTATCATCCAGGATCCACCAAACCCAGAGAAAGAAACCAACCGATCAGCAAGCAAGAAAGAAGGGGAAGATAAGGATAAGAAACCAAAACAGATAGGAAAGGTTCAAGCGGGGGAAGTCCTCCAGGTCCGGTCGGACACTAGAGTTGGGTCTCTAGTAGATCTGCATAGGCGTCCAGGCTGGATCCGACAAGGTCGACGATCGCCCAGCTCGTGTTCCCCTTAAAGGTCCGCGCCCACACGCGCACAATGGCGACACTCAATTGCTTGACCTTGTAGGGGTCGGCCATGAAATCTATGTCCGGCGCGCCTGGTGGGTCGACGGCCATGTCGGTCTCATCCATCATGCTCTTGATCCACAGGAGCAACTTCCTCTCATGGTCCGATAGCCTCTGCTCCGCCTGGGTCATCGGGATCAGAAGCAGCCAGCGGCTCAGTAAGAAGGCACATTCTAGGCTGCAGAGCGAGTGCTGGATACTCCAGAAGAACGAATGGGTCCTCGCCACAAAGTCAATACCCAGTCGCACAGGAATCGACAGGGCGTGGGCAGAGTGTAGGAGGGCCATGATCAAACGAGGACTGCGGGAGATCGGGGCCGATTCATTCAGAGCCCTAGCGATCCGAAGCGGGTCCTGAGTGATAAGGTTTCGACAAGGCCCCAGATCCACATGCAGTCGGATATAGGCCAGCCCCAGAAGGGCCGTAGAGGTAAATGCAATCGGGCCGGCTGGGTTCTGGGGGTCAATGCTGGATTCGGGAGTCCGCTTCCACAATGCCTTCCAAGAGCTCAATGAGCTGTCCAGAGCGGACAAATCTTCTGGTCGCAAGCTGGTGCCGTGCATGTTCGGCACGGAAAGACACAGTTGCCGGGCAAAGAATATCTGCTGGATGATCGCATGGATAAGGATGTAATTGCCCAGCGGTGAGATCGGCGCGGCCGAGCTGGGTAGGTTAGACTTGAGGAACAACCTGGCAAAAGCTTCCTGGAACGGGATCTCTAGAGGCTGCCGACTGCGGATCACCCGTCGCCACTGGACTGCATTATTGGCCTTCCATATATCGTGAGAGCAGGGCATGTTCAGTTTGAGCTCCGCATTCAGGATCAAGGGGGGAATGTTATACATGATGGAGTGGAGATTGAAGAAGCAGTAAACGATGAGCTTGGTGCGTCGGTTACCTTCCCGCCGTACCCAATCTTCCCAGTTATTGGGATCCGGACTTGGCGGAGGTTCTGACAGCCCATGCTCTCGGACGAGCCTGGCCAAGGTGCTTTGAAGGGAAAGGATCTCTCGCAAAAGTTCAGGGTGCCTCTCCCAAGAAGCAAACACGGTGAGCAACAGGAAGGTTCGAATTACTTCCATGTGGGCATCTGAATCTTCCAGCGCGTATCCTGCGGGGTCGACCGGGTGAGGCATGGAGTGGTGTGATTGGAAGGGGCTGCTTGGATGGTTTGAGACCATGGACGAGTCACGAGATTCGTGGAATCCCGACTGGGGGGATAGGAAGTTCCACGACGGGCAGGCCACTTGCTTGCTATCTCGTCTCTGTAGCCGTTCCAGCAGGATGGCCTTGGCCGCATGGAACAGGTCGATACCCCGGTTGTTCTCAAAGCGATAGTGGGAGCCTGCCGCAGCCAGCGCAAGGGTGAGTTCCGGGGAGCACCTGGCAACGGAGAGAGTAGGCACATGGATAAAGGGAAGATGCTCGTTGAGGCCGTTGATGTAACCGGCAAAGAAACGGGAGAGAGCGTGTCTGGTTGGGGGCACAAAACCCTTTGGCAGAACATAGGCGAAAGCCTCCAGTTTGGACACAAATACTTGACGATCGTTATTGGATATGTCCCACGCGGGACGGGGGCCGTCATCGCCAAACCCCAGGCGGTCATCCACCTCATGGGGCTCGGGTTGCAGAGATGGCAGCCGAGAGCCAAAATTCGAAAACGACGGGGGATCGTCGGCCGTTCGCGGATCACTCATCATGTCCGGCCCCAGTCTCGAGTCGCGGGGCGTTGGTTTCGACTCCATGGGGAGGGAGGTGGGGACGATTGGTTCTTCCACACTGGAGAAGACCCCCGAGTCCCAGTCCGACGAGAGGCCAACACTCTCTAGAAAGACCGTAAAATCCTGAACGGGGTCCCCTAGATCGGTGAGATCCAGGATGGACGGCTCCACGCCATAGTTATCACTGATGACTCTTTCTGGGATGTGGGTGAGCGGTTGGGGCGGGCCGGCCACGTTCTGAGGCTGGGAGGACTTCCGGATCGATTCAAGGCTCTCCTGCTGGCTCTCGAGAGCAACATGACTCGCAGCGTGGGAGAGTAGGTTTAGATCATACCCCCAAGAGTGATTGAACGGGGGATTTTCCACGATCGGTGGCGGTTGTACCTGCACCTCTGGCGGCGGGACCGGAACGGACTGCTGTGCTTGAATCGGGATAGCATCTGCCAGCTCTAGCATGCGGGATTCATGGTGGGCCGGTTGGATGATCGTCGGTGACGTCTGGGGCACTTCATGGGAGTGATGATTGCGGTTTTCTCGATGGACTGCAGCCTCAGCCGGATGAACTAGACGTTCATGCCGTACGAGTAGATCGCTACAAGAATTTTTCCCTCTGGGTTAGCGCGACATCTCTCGTCCCTGCACGTCCACCTCCACCTGGGGAGGGGATGAGCCTACCTTCTGGCAAACGACTTGGAGCATATATCACATGTGAAGGGCTTCTCCTTGGTGTCTATAAGCACGCATTAGTCAGATCGTTCGATCGAAAAAAGGACCGATTGCGATGATGAACGGCATCCAGGGTTACTCAACGGGTGCGGAGATGGCGTTGGAGGTGTTCCAGACGCGCAAAGGACCTGCTGCAATACTCGCAAGACAGAGACTTCCGATGGGCGGGAGTCGTTTTCTTCTTAACCTTTCCCGGGGCAGACCTATCGTCTTCCATGGCGAATTAATGATGGCCGGGGAATTGGGGCATGTTCTCACGATGGGATCGTAGACGAGCGGGGAAAGGAAAGACTGTGGGGTTGTCGGGTGAGGGGGGTTTTGCGCGGTCCAGTCACGTGAGACCCGACCATCTACATTCTTTTTTCATTCTTTACCCTGTTTACACTACAAGATACTAGTACTGCAGTCTACATCAGATTGATTATTATGGGTCGTCTGTGTAAGCGATATCTGGATTGCTCTCTGATCCCTCCGCCTACGTTGTTGGTTCCTACTTGTTCTGATATCTAGGTTATCATCCTCGTCGATGAGTTGGCAACCCCTCGCACGAGACTAGGTTGAACAAGATTGAGCCTGCATACTGATAACCTCCGCTCTCCCCACTGGTGCGGAGATGCAGTTTTGACAGAATCACGGACGTGGCTTTATACGCTTTCTCCGCGTCAGTTCGCTTGTCCATCCGCCATGATGCGGGCCAACCGTCATATGCAAGATAATGAAGCTCGGGCGTTGGAAGTAGTCATCCAGAGAGTAGATGTCTATCTATTCATGGCTCAGAGGTAACGGTCGAGGATATGGCTATACATAGCATTCCAATTCGATCAACAATCAAGGCTAGCTTCCCGCTTTGTAGCTTCCTGAAAGCCGCTATTCATGGCGCTTTGTATATGAACATAAATATCGTCTGCCAGTTCTTTGAGGTCAACGAGATCGAGATGATCAGATAGCGACAAAGAAATAGGGATTGGGCTGTTAATTCGGCTATCTTGAAGAGAGGAGCTTTTTGTCGTATGACAGCAATATATAAATATCAACATTGTCACACCATAAGCTTGACCGTTGTATAGCGAAATCGGCAGAGGCAATAGCTTGTATACTAGGGTGTGTTTAAAAGTCACCTGTTAATAGTTCTTAGTACAACGACAAAGGTAAGAATATCCCAGCCCTAAGAGGGCTCAGACGTGAGTGAATCCAACCCAACAAGAATGATGTATATGAGACGGTCAATATTACGCCTTTCAGGTGACATTACACATCACCGTAGTCCGTATCATGGTTGAGACTTGTCGCATACGAGTTTTGGGTAGATTTATCATCTGAGGGGTATTTAATATGAGACTGCAGGATTGGGTAGTGCCCCGTCGGTACAGGAGCCAGCCCATCGATCGCCGCCCAATTTTTGTTCTGGTGGGCTTAAAATAAACACCCAGATCGGGTTTCATCCCCGAGATCTTTCCGTCTGGAAAACCTCCCCACCGACACCCGATTTCAACCTGCAAGGGGTGGGTTGGGTGTCCATTCGGTGAGTCTGGATACGCTGTTTCAGACCAGTTGGGGGTGGTTTTGACCCGTTTCTGCGCTTTGATACCCTAGCAACCAGACCAGTCTCTCTCCTCTTCAGTGCAGGGGACGGGACTGACTAGGGGAAGGCTTAATTTGATCTTTTTTGCCCTCCCTGGTTGATTCATTTTCCCCTCTCATCATTGCGGCTGAGATATGCACCAGGTCATCCTTACAATGGAATCAGTCCTATTCTGGATGGGGAACTTCCACCCGGGTCTGGTACAACAAACCCCACCGGACCAGAGACGTTAAAGAAAGAGACAAAAAAGGGGGGCAAGAGAAGAAGAAGAAAAGAAAAGGCATGGACAGATGACCAACGTCACACCGAACGCAATGGCTTAATACGATGCAAGTGTTGATTGGATGATTTGACATGGACTGAGTTTCCCAACGGTGTCTCCTTTGTTCTGAAGCTTTGGAACTTGGCCGTCGTCTGCAAGTTTCAGACCGGCTTGTCGAACCAACACCAGTAGATTGGACCCCCGGTCTCAGTCATTGATAGACGTTCGGGATTAATAGCAGGTAGTATTGAATAGATTCACCTTCTCCCTTGATCGGGATCCTGGGGATGGGGCACGAAAATCGTACATATACACCTAACCATATGAATCACCCCCAACCAATGGTAACCAAACACGAATGACGGAGGGGGGTGTAGTCCAGAAGCCTCACATCCTAAACCAACAGTTAGTCACGAAGTTACTTTGAGAATCCAGGATAGAATGAAATCTGGGGAAGCAACAAAGCAGAAACAAAGGACCAAGGCGAAGAACCATGGAAGGACACCGCCATGAAGCCATCAGGGAAAGCGGGACGCGAGACTAAGAATAGACGGAGAATCCTGTCTCCTCTGTCTGATACCCTAGACCCGAATGAATCCTATCGGTGGGTTGACAGGGGGTTTGGCTTTGTTTCAGGTTGGATCAGGTTGGATCAGGCGTTGACAAATCATGGTCCGCGGCGTGTTTGAGAAACGCACATCGAACCGCATATCGGTCGGAGTTCAACCCACTTCGCTCTCTCTACAACTACACCTCTTAATACGGCTTCTCTCTTTAGTCTCGACGCGCCTGTCAGACCGATCTTTTCTCTTTCTTCCTTCCTTCCTTCTTCTCCCTACCCCCTCCTTTACTGTCCTCCTTTATTACCTTCTCCCCACCCATCCAGCCAACCAACCCCTCAAGCATCACGACAACCAGAACCCTTCGTTCATCCTCACCCTCGGCGTTTCCCTGGCGGAGTTACGATTAGGGGGTAACCGGTGACGGCGGTACTATCGCTACAAGAACAGCCAGGACGGGAATATTGGTTCAGGGTGTCGAAATCGGACAACCGGACTTGCAAGATATCGGTATGGGAGACAATAAAGACCCTTGGATTTCCCGCGTCAACACCCCCTCTTATCCTGAGATGACCCTACAATATGCAATCCCCTCACTCTCGGATGAGAACTCCGCATCGTTTCATGAACTAATAGGCGTAGTGCCGTACTGTAGGATCATGAATTAGCCTACGTTGAATCTTATCGATCGGCACCTATTTGCGCACCGTCGGACAACGCTCTCTGTTCGATAAAGGGGAGAGAAAGAAAAAAAGGAAACGAAAACCACGATAGATTTGAATCTCAAGGGAATTATTGAAGCGAACTACACCCGGCTGCTCTCGCCGTTGTTGCAAGATGCTCACCTCCAAACCCCCCTACACTCCGTTGGCGATGCCTCCGACTCAAACCCCAACCACCTCGTACCACCTGGGCCCGGCCCAGAAATCAGCCATCTTTGGAAAATCACAGGATGGGATGGCTTTCATGAGTCCCACGGAGTCGGAGTTTTCGGATGTACACGACGGGCTCCAGGCCGTCCGGTAAGACTGCGCAATTGACGACCTCCCCGCACGCGGAGAAAGAGCCATGGCGGCTAACGGTCGGTCAGGTCCTGGGACGAGAAACAAGTTATCTCGTGGCTTCACAGCATCAACTGCGGCCAATATGAATCGCTTTTCAAAGGTATGGGACTTCATCGATCCTCTCGCGGGTGGGGACTGATTTTTCTCTAGCCAACAACTTTGATGGCAACAGCCTCATGGAGTGCGATCAGAAAATCCTTCAGGAGATGGGCATCAAGAAGATTGGCGATCGCGTCCGGATTTTTGTCGCTATCAAGCAACTCCGGAACAAGTCGGTCGCCAATCGAAAGCAGAAAAATATGGTACGTGGCTCCGGGGGTTGCGTGGGGCGATAATAACCTCTAACCCCCCGTCGTTTAGAAACAATTGGCAGCGCTGGAAGCCGTCTACACGAATTCGCAAACCTATCCCCGCTATGCCCCGCCGACCGGTCGCCGCCCGACAGATTCAGGACTTCATGCTCATCCCAATGGCAAGCCATCGTCGCGACCGGGATCACCCCTGCGCCCCCATCGATACGCCGCCAGCCCGCTAGAGAGCGCGCGCAAGGACTATTTCAGCCAACCGTCATCCGGAGGCTCCAACCCCGGCCGCCACCCTGGGACGCCGAATGAGGCAGGCCATGGTCACCGTGGCCCCAGCCACCTGCGACAGAACCCGAGTTTAGACGGCTTGACGATGGGACCGCTCCCAGCGAACACGCCCGTGATTCGGTTCATCTACACCGGCGGACAGACCAAGGTGTTGAATATCAAACACTGTAAGACGGCCGATGAGGTGATCCTCTGCGTTCTGAAGAAGCTGCAGCTTCCGGAACACCAATACCGCAACTACTGTTTCTACGTGCTGGATGGGCTGGACCCCGACCCTTCCCACTGCCGGAGACTGGCTGATCATGAACTGATGGAAATCTGCGAAAATGCCCATCGCTGGGAACGAGGGCGTTTGATCCTGCGCAAGATCCATGCGGGCGAACCGGATAACGATGAACTCCGCCGAGCGGCGCAGCTGGCCCTTGACGAGAGCCAAAATGCCCATCTCAATGCGCTGAGCGGCTCCAACATGCGCAACCGAGATAAGATCCAACAGCTGACGGGCGAGTCCTGGTACAAGATCAACAAGCCCCTGTCGCCGGGAGCCCCCCGGCACGGGGAACAGGACGTGCCGCCCGCGACGGAACGCAACCCTGTTTCCAAACTGCGGTCGTTCTTTGGCGCGCGTCCTCCGAGCGAGATGATCATTCACGAAATCCAGTCGTATTTCCCCAGCCACCACCGGGAAGATATCGAGAAGACCATGCGGATGTCTGTTCGCCGGTCGCAGCGCTTGAGTCGTGCGGCGAGCCGGGTCAGCGTGATGAGCAACGCCAGTTACGCCTCCAGCCTGCGAGATGCGAGCTTGCGTGATGCCCCGCCGATCCCCAGCATTGCGGACCAGTGGCTCAGTTCTGGAGCGCAGGGTCGCCCACAAAGACCCCTCTCCGTCTCCAAGTTCAGTCTTCCGCAAACCACCTATCGGGACTCGATTGCCTCCAGCTCCCTCCAGCCTCTGCAGGAGGAATCACCCATCGAGCCGAACCGCAAGTCATACGTCTCATTTGATAGTGGCTCCGACGACCCCAGCACATCCCGTCAAAGCCTGATCGATGAGAATGCTAGTGTCGCCGCCACCGACGGTGGGGACTCCTTCAATGAGCGGCTGAGTGTGCTGGTGCTTGAAGACGGCGAAGAAGAGGATGACGGGCTCAACGACTTCTTGGCCGGGAACAACTTCGCCCCCAAGAACTGGATGAAGGGCTCGCTGATCGGCGAGGGATCCTTCGGCAGCGTCTTCCTCGCTCTGCATGCGATCACGGGAGAACTCATGGCCGTCAAACAAGTCGAGATCCCCTCGGCCACCAAGGGCACTGAATTCGACAAGCGCAAGAACAGCATGGTCACGGCCCTCAAGCACGAGATTGAACTTCTACAAGGACTCCACCATGACAACATCGTCCAATACCTGGGCACCACCGCCGATGACCAGTACCTGAACATTTTCCTGGAATACGTCCCTGGTGGTTCCATCGCCACCATGCTCAAGCAGTACAACACGTTCCAGGAGCCGTTGATCAAGAATTTCGTCCGGCAGATCTTGGCTGGCCTTTCCTACCTCCACAGCCGGGATATCATCCACCGGGACATCAAGGGAGCCAACATCCTCGTGGACAACAAGGGCGGCATCAAGATTTCCGATTTTGGTATCTCAAAGCGGGTGGAGGCCTCAACGCTGCTTGGCGCCCGAGCCAGCGGCACCGGCGGCGGCCATCTGCACCGGCCCTCCCTGCAGGGCAGTGTATACTGGATGGCGCCGGAAGTGGTCCGCCAGACGCACCATACCAAGAAGGCCGACATCTGGAGTCTCGGCTGTCTGGTCGTGGAGATGTTCATTGGCGCCCATCCATTCCCCGACTGCAGTCAGCTCCAGGCCATCTTCGCCATCGGGAGCAACAAGGCCAGACCCCCTGCCCCCGAACATGCCAGCAAGGATGCCGTCGCGTTCTTGGACATGACATTCCACTTGGACTTTGAGCAGCGACCCGATGCCGATGAACTCCTCAAATGCCAATTCCTCGCGTCTCCAATCGCATGAGGCCTGAACCATATGGCTTTCTCCTTTTATTTCCCTTTTCCTTTTGCTTGTTTCTATCTCTTCCTATAACGAGGACATGTCTCAAACGTTTCCCTTTCCTTCCCCACCATCGTTCGAATTTCAGTTGAATACCCCGGAGTCAGCCTGTTTTGGAGCCCCCCCTTTCCCACGACGTCTCTATCTACTTACCACCTATGTTTTGGTCACGCAACGTGCCCTCGGGATTTCTATTGCTGCTCGCACTAGTTAATTGCAATAGACGCATGCTCACAGCGGAACCAAACCAGAAGATGATCTGATCTGATTTGCGTTGGAGACTTGGCTATCATGATTATGATCATCATTATTATTACCACCTTACTATTGGGTCCATTCATGCATCACCTATTTATCTTGAGCGTTCTTCTAAAGACCCCTGGCGGGTTTCCCCCCACTACCCTACCTCTAAAAAAAAGGCGCTTTCTACGTTGTTTTTTCCCGGGTCGGTTCCCCAGGTCGATCTATCTATCCATCTTATCTATCTAGAGAGTTTTGTTGTCGAGTCGACCTGAAGATGAAATGAAAAAAAAAAAAAAAAAAAAAAACGCATACATCTATATCTATACAAACACATTCTATTTTAATATCATTGACCAGCGGGTTTTCTCGAAATCATTTAAGATGTCTGTTTGTCTGCCTGTGCAAATTGGAGGAACATCAGAGTGTATTTTACATGAGTTGATGAATAGAACTAAAAAGGGGATACAAAAAGAGAAGCTAAAGAAAAAAGAAAAAAGAAAGTGGAAGAGATGACACGAATCAATCAGTATGACATGAATAGATGAAATTCCTTCCCGCTCTTGTATACAATGCGCAATGCGTGCGTGTGATCTTTCCTTTCCTCTTCTAATTTAGTCCACCAGTTTGCCGTGGAATGGGACTCCCATGGCGCTGAGCAGGAGACGGGCGTCCTTGTCGGTGTTGGCGGTTGTGTGGATGGTGATGTGCGCACCGGGGATCATTCTCGGGGGGTACCTTTTTTCATTGTTAGCCAAATGTTTTGACCGGGAAGACAAAAAAGAGAGAAAGAGAAAGGAGGGATAAAAAAAAACAGGAAAACTCACATATCGTAGTTCACCTCAATCTCCGGGAAGAGAGCGACATGAGCCGGTTCCAAACCAAGGGTGATGTTACCACTGCTGTCACCGCTGGTTCCCTTAACGCCCTCCCAGTCCTTGACCTTGGGTAAGACGACGTCGACCAGCTTTCCGAAGAAATGGTGCATGTCCTCACCGCGGAGCTCGGCCTTAACGGCGACGGTGTCGCGACCCGGCGCGATCCCCCACGTTGCGACACTCGTCCGGGACTTGAAGGTCGAGACGCGCGCGTTCGAGATAGCCTGCACGGCCATGCCGGCCACGTGGATCCAGCCCGAGTGCTCCTGCGCCGCTCCCTTGACGTAGCTGTGGATGGTGATGCGGTCGAGCTTGGGGATGTTGTTGAAGGTGACGGGTTTGCGGAGAAGGCGCAGGACGTCACCGCCGCGAGGCCCGCGCAGCTGACGGTTCTTGTGGTAGGGCGAGCTGTCATCCCAGGAGCGCAGACGGGGCGCCTTGGGCGGCGGCTTGAAGCCGGGGGGGTTGTGGACGTAGCAGAGGGTGAGAATGTCGGACGCGACGGTCGACTGCCACGTCTGCTCGGTTCTGGGCAGCATGAAGGGGCCCGGAACGTATAGTCGAGAGGAGGGATCGGATTCAGGAGGAGGCTGGTGAGGATGTAACGGCCCACGGTTGTATTTGGGCGAACGGAATTGATATCTAGAAGCCGTTTGTTAATAACCGGACGGGGTAGGCCTGAGCAGACGGGAAGGTTTTCCAATCGACTTACCGACTCCGAGGAAGCTGCTTCTTCCGCCCCTTGGAATTCGCGATAGGATCGTATGATTTCACCGTCTCCTCCGACACGGGTGCCGTTGTTAGAGACCCGTCCGACTCCAGATCGCCCAAGTCAGCGGCTCGGTTGGAGGCATTGCGACGCCAACAGAAGCCCAGAGGACGGGCATTTTGGGCCAAAGCCCGTGGCAACGACCTTGCCAGGTATCGGGAAGACTCGCTGGCAGCCATTTGAATCTATAAGAGATGCGTGGCCACGATTGATGGGGAGGTAGTGGTGTCTGAGGAGGCGTCCAAAAATTATCAAGCGGATCGGAGATGCAGATGGGTGGAAGGTCACGTGGGAACCAGTTGCATGCCTTGGCGCTGGTGCCTTGATGCCTCAACGGTGCGGCATGAACGTCAGGCACACAACGGGCGGTCCTCCGCTTAGTCAGAATCACATTGCCATCACTTAACTATGGCCCAAAAAGGCAATCCAGCTCCACAGTTCGGTGATAGTTGTCTCTTGCTCCGTTCTTCCCCCCGCCATCAGTGTCCCTCCGATCTACCAGTCAGTTACCTAGATCGTTGCAGATCGCTCCTGATGGTTACCTGGCGAAATAAGTTGGCGACCTTTCCCATCATCGGCCCTGGTGATTACGGTCTTTCCACCTGGTTGCCATTGTCATCTCCAGATATTCGTTGCTAGGGTCACCAGATGTGATGTCACTGGGTGTGTTCGCCGCTGCAGCCTAGCATCACACGTATGGATTTACTCTACGGCTTACGTCTCTGATCTTTCACCTGATGTGCTCTATGACTTTTCTCGAGGATTCTTCGCGTGCTCCATGAAAACTCAGGAGCCTGAATTATCCCTGCACATGTCGATCCGCCTTTAAAGATTCTGCCCCCCCACCAACCTGGTGGCGCCTTTATCTCACTATCCATCGTTGAGCTTTTCTGGGGCGTGCGTGTTGAACGGCATAAGATGAGCGGAATTCATAGATTCTTGACCAAACGCGAGAAGACCGGCAAACAGAAGAGAAATAAGGATGAGGAGGTGAGGTTCGAACCGAGGTCGGGATGCTTTGTGGCTGATACTGATAAGTATGTCCGGTCTAGACTACGAACATCCTCTCCCGTCCCCACTTTCGCGGGCTGTTTTCCAGCCAGACGAGCGTGACAACGGAGAGCGCGAGTGAGGACGCAAAGAAGGTAATTGGGGTTCTAAATTCTGTTACTCCGGTTGCGCAGTGTTCTTACAGACATGCAGATCAAAGTCCTTGAACGACGCCTTGCGCAGCTCGGCGTCACGGATCTGAAACAGGAACATCTCAGCTATGCGCTACACTCGCCCCACGCCCAAGGAGATGTGGACAAAGCGCTCGAGGTGCTGTTGCTTCTGGAAGACTCAATTGAAGGCATAATCAAGGAATACTCCCCTAGCACGAAACTCCTCGGCGCAGAGAACCGTATGGGTGTCACTTGCTATCTCGATGCGCTTCTCTTTGCTATGTTTGCTCGTTTGGATTGCTTCGAGGCGATCTTGTACACATCCTTTCCGGACGAGCCCCGCCGAAAGCTTTCGGTACTATTGAGATTATGGGTCAATCTGCTGCGATCAGGGAAACTCATAACGAAGGATCTTGTACGTAGCCGCCGAAGGTTTCTTGATGCGATCAGACACGGACTAACCGCGAATTGCAGACAAAGCACCTGCAAGACGCTCTCGCGGAATGCGGCTGGGAATCGGCAGCTCATCTCCGCCAGCAAGATACGTCGGAGGCCTTTACTTTCATCACGGAGAAACTCGAGCTGCCTCTGCTAACCCTGAAGATGGACATCTATCATACAGGGAAAGAGGACAAGAGTGGCGACCACAAATTCGTCAACGAAAGGCTGCTAGAAGTTGCCATACCTGAGCCAAGCGAGGGCCAGACTGCCGTCACCTTAGAGGATTGCCTCGAGTCGTATTTCAACAATAAGATTGAAGTAAAGCGCTATCTCGAACGACACAACACGGCCGATTCCGTCAAATCAGCCGATTCCCTGTCCATGTCTAAAGGGTTCTCAACTCATGTGGAGGCAGTTGAAGTCAGCTCGCCCCTATCACCATCGCCCACGCAGTCGGCTCTTTTGCGCAATGACGAACTGACGCCGATGCCGTCGAAGGCGGAGGTTGAACGGTCTAATTCGTCCCGAACGCGACGGGACAGCATCGTGCAAGAGCGATTTATTCCGGAATCTGACGAGGAGGCTATCGATGGCAGCCCTGTCAAAAGCCCACCCCGCGGGTCTTTCCGAAAGGAGGTGATGATGCCTGCGTGGCAATTTTTCAGCCTGATACGTGAGTTACATCTTTCGTGTGCAAATGCGCCTTTCTAACGTAATTCCAGCGTGGTACACCGACAACACCCCGACGAATGATGCGCAGGTCGCAGCGCACTTCTCGGCCAAGCGACCAATCTTGGGAATGTGCTTGAAGCGCTATTCCATGCTCCCTAGCGGGAAGGCGGTCCGGCTCGACACCTTCGTCGATATCCCCACGGAGATCGGTCTCCCGCATTTTATCCAGGACGACAGTCTCGAGGAGGATGGCCCAATCTACGGGAATTTCAAGCTGTCGTTGCAAGCGCTCGTCTGTCACCGTGGGAAATCGGTTGATTCGGGACATTACATCGCCCTTGTTCGAGGCACCAGTGCCGGTGCGCCGCCCGCCAGTTCTCACGGGGAACCCGTCTCGTCGGACGCACCCCGCTACTGGATGCGGTTCGATGATCTAGCCGCAGAGCGTGTCACGCTCGTTGACATTGAGCAGGCCTTAAGGCACGAGTCGCCGTACCTCTTGTTTTATCAGATCCTGCCGGTGGATGAAGATGCGGCCGCAGCCAATCTCCGGGACCGAAATTCTTCGTTAGGATACTCGGAGGACTCCCATGACTCGGATCCGGCTACCATCACCCATAAACTGCAGGCGTTGCGTACAGGCACTTCATCAGATGATCTCACGGAGGGCGGCAGATCCGGGCGACCCAGCTTCGAAATCACTGTTTCAGAAAACACGCAGCCGGCGCCCGCCGAGCAAATTGAGAAGAAACAAAGTATCTTTTTCTCCGATTCTGTCGATTACGCCAACAATCCCACAAGCTCTCACTGGGCTTCAGTCCCTTCCACCTCGCCGCAACTCCTCCCCAAGGATGCCGAGGGGAATCGGAATTCCTTTGGATTTCCTCGGCGCGGATCCCGGGCAACCCGAAGCAACCCCGGAAGCCGTGCAGGCAGCCAGGCGAGCGAGAACCGGATTAGCACTACGTTTCAACGGTTTACGGGGCGGCGCAGCCGGGAGAAAGTCAGCAATGATGGGTCCCTCCCCGACGGTGATGACGATTTTGTGTACCAGGACCTGTCATCTTCCCCCACCATTCGCTCAGTACCCAGCGGGGAGGCGAGGGACAAGAGTCCGCGACGTAAAGAGGGAACTAGCCATAAGGAGAAGAAGGGGAAATCCAAAGAGAAGCGAATTGGCCGTAAGGTGGAGCGCGAGTGTGTGGTCATGTAGAGGGTGGTGCGGGACACCTGCATGGGATTTCATTTTTGTCTTTCACTTCTTTTGTGCTTTGAAAGCGCAGGCGACTATTACTTGATACCCGTGTGTTATATAATTTACGCATGCTTTCGTGATGAGATCTTGGTCCTCGACTGTAGAGATTAGAGAGGTATACGTGTGTAGCCTCAGGCATGTGCCGATCGATGGTCAGGTATCCAGGCACCCACCGCTCCGCCTCCGCTATCAGCGATCCGTCATCGTCAATCACCTCTCCCCAACTCCGCCAACAGCTTGACCACCCCAGCTCTTCTCCTGGTCCTTGCTTTTCCCCACTCCCCTGGTCGTCGCGATATGATATAATCTTCCCCTGCATAATTGGCGCATCATGGCGCTGGACAGCTCCAGTGGTTATGCTGCTCCCGGCAACCTCGTCGACCCGCCCGATTCTCTCTCCATGTTCGATGTCCGCCGCGTTCAGCTCCAGTTCCCCCTCGCGGCGGATTTCGTCGCGGCCCAGGTGGCGAAAGACGTTCTGATCTTGGCCCTGTCGACGAACCGAATTCTGCGCATTGACCTGGACGCCCCTGAAGATATCGACGGTACGTTGTATCGATGACGTGGTCCCCCCCCCCCCCCGCCCCGGATTAGATTCCGCTAACTGAGCGGTCCCCTAGATGTCGACCTGCCGAAGAAATCGTCAGAAGTTGGCGTCATCCGTCGCATGTTCCTGGACCCTTCCGCGTCCCACCTGATTATCACCACCAGTCTGGGCGAGAACTACTACCTCCATACCCAATCCAGACAACCCAAGCCGCTGCCGCGGCTCAAGGGCGTTTCAATCGAGAGCATCGCATGGAACCCGTCACTCCCGACCGCGTCGACTCGGGAGATTCTCGTCGGGTCGACAGATGGACACGTCTACGAGGTCTACATTGAGCCGTCGACGGAGTTCTACCGGCGCGAAGAGAAATATGTCCACACCGTCTACCAGGTCCCGGAGGGTTCTCCCGTGACCGGAATCTGGGCAGAGTTGATGCCCACCAAGCCGGAGCAGAGGCGGGTGTTGCTGGCGACACATGGCAAGCTGATGCACTTCGTGGGACCCTCGGCGCGGCACGGCAAAGATAGCGGAAGCCACGTCTACAGCGACCTGTTCCAGCGGGAAGCGCCGGCGGTCCATGAGGTGCCGAACCCGTCACGCGCCGCGCCGTCGGCGCTGGTGATCTCGCCTGCTGGCGCGGACGGCACGAGTGTGGACGCCAAATCGGGGAAGGAATTCGCGTGGCTCAACTCGCAGGGTATCTTTCACGGCCAGCTGCCGTATTCCGCGGACGAGTTGCGCCAGCCGTTCGAAAAGGCGACGATGCTTCCCCGGACTCTGTTCCCGGCGAGCGAGTCGGCTCGCGGGGGGAAGAAAATGATCCAGGATCCTATCACGGCCGTGACGCTGTCGGAGTGGCATATCTTCGTTCTGGTCGAGGGGAGGGTCGTGGCGGTCAACCGGATGAATGACGAGATTGTGTATGAGCAATCGGTGCTGGAGCCCGGACAGAGTGCGCTGGGCCTGTTGACGGACTCGATGCAGCACACGTACTGGCTGTTCACGGGGCAAGAGATCTTCGAGGTGGTCGTCGAGGACGAGGACCGGGAGGTGTGGAAGGTCTTCCTGCAGAAGAAAATGTTCGAGCAGGCCCTGCAGCATGCCCACACGAGTGCGCAGAAGGACGCGGTCGCCACGGCATCCGGCGATTCCCTGGCGGCCAAGGGCCGCTACCTGGAGGCTGCCAAGGTGTGGGGCAAGAGCAGCAAAGGGTTCGAGGAGGTCTGCCTGGTGCTGATCAATCGCGGCGAGCACGACGCGCTGCGCACGTATCTCCTCTCGCAGCTGGCGACGTACAAGAAGTCGTCGTCGATGCAGCGCACCATGGTCGCCAGCTGGCTGGTCGAAGTGTTCATGTCGAAGCTGAACTCGCTCGACGACAACATCGCGACGCGGGCGGAGCTGGCCGAGGGAGCCAGCACAGAGCAGATCCAAAACGAGCTCGACCGCGTGCGGGCTGACTTTCAGGACTTCGTGACCAAGTACAAGAGCGACCTAGACCAGAAGACAGCCTACGGCATCATGAGTAGCCACGGGCGGGAAGAGGAGCTCCTCTTCTTCGCGACGGCCACCGACGACCACCACTACGTCCTATCCTACTGGATCCAGCGCGAGAAGTGGACCGAGGCGCTCAACGTGCTCCAGCGGCAGAGCCGCGCAGACGTGTTCTACAAGTACAGCAGCGTGCTGATGACGCACGCGGCCACGGGATTAGTAGATATCCTCATGCGGCAGACGAACCTGGACCCAGAGCGACTGATCCCGGGCCTCCTGCACTACAACAAGACGGCGGGCAAGGTGCCGCTGCGGGAGAACCAGGCGGTGCGGTACCTCAACTTCATCATCGTCAACCACCCGCGGCCGTCGGCGGCGGTGCACAACACGCTCATCTCGATCCACGCGTCGAGCGCATCCTCGTCAGAAGCAGGGCTCCTCACATACCTCCAGTCGCAGCCATCATCACCACCGCCCTACGACGCAGACTTCGCGCTCCGCCTCTGCATCCAGCACGAGCGAGTCCAGTCCTGCATCCACATCTACAGCGCCATGGGCCAATACCTCCAAGCCGTGGAACTCGCCCTCCAACACGGCGACATCGAGCTCGCCGCAATCGTCGCCGACCGACCGGAAGGCCAAGACGCGCTCCGCAAGAAACTCTGGCTCCTCGTAGCCGAAAAGAAGATCCGCCAACCGGGCACCGGAATCAAAGACGCGATCGAATTCCTCCGCCGCTGCGAACTCCTCCGCATCGAAGACCTCATCCCCTTCTTCCCGGACTTCGCCGTCATCGACGACTTCAAAGACGAGATCTGCAGCGCGCTGGAAGACTACTCGCGACACATCGAAGCGCTGCGCCAGGAGATGGACAACTCGGCACACACGGCGCGGCAGATTCGCGGCGAGATTGCCGGGCTGGACACGCGGTACGCGATCGTAGAGCCCGGCGAGAAGTGCTGGCTGTGCGGGCTGCCGGTGCTGAGTCGGCAATTTTTCGTGTTTCCGTGCCAGCATGCGTTCCACAGTGATTGCTTGGGGACGGCGGTGCTGGAGGGGGCGGGGGGCAAGAAGAAGTATATGCGGGATTTGCAGACGCAGTTGAATCGGGGAGATGGTGAGGGGCGACGGGAGGCGATCGTGAAGGAGTTGGATGGGTTGATTGCTGAGGCGTGGTATGTCTTCTTCTTTTCTTCTTTTCTTCTTTCTTCTCTTCTTTCGGATTGTGCATGCTAATTTCTATAGTATCCTCTGCGGCGACCACGCGATCAAACAGATCGACCGACCGTTCATCACGACGGCGGATGCGACCGACGAATGGGGGTTATAATATTTATCATCATTATTTGAGTCTTCTAGGTATTATTATCAGCTGTATAGATGTGTAGGACATGTTAGGCCATATGGATTAATTGATACTGCATTTCTAGCATCTAGTATTTACTGCGCCTCTGTTTATTTATGTAGGCGGGCGCATAAATCATAGGTGGGGAGGGATTGAATCAGCAGGATTGCATATTTATATATATCTTCAGCGTTTATCTACCTACCTACCTATCTATCTGTGTCTATCCTCTCCTATTATTCTCATTCTCATTATGAGTCTTTCTCTACCATAATACATATACCCGATAATACAGTCCATCCAGTAACAACCAAAAAGCCAAATAGCTAGAAGGTTCCAACTGCAGAAACACAAGTAAGACAACATCCTCAAGGGACAGAGAAGAAAATTCAACCCTTGCAGGAAAAAAAAAAAAAAAAAAAAAAAAAAAGACTCCACCGGGCGTCACGCCGAACCACCTTAGCTGGCTAGGTTCAACCAACACTTTTTTACCCCGGGTTTGTCCCACAGAGTCGATCGATGATCCTTGTTAGACTTTGTGGGTTATTTATTGATGGATTTAGGTGTGGGTTTGTTGAGTTGGGTTTATTATTATTTTATATCATTTTGATGAAATTAATGAGTTCAATGAGTTTAATGAGTTTAATCAGTCAGATTCACAGATTCAATTCAATTGTAACCACTACCTTAACCAACTGGGTTTGAATTACTTTGAGGACAGAGAGTTGGAAGCACAACTAACTTTTCTTTTGTCATTTCCCCGCCCCCTGTCTTCCTTTACAGATGATACATATACATACTTCTCCTGCGTACATAAGTGGGGAGGATGGAGTGAGGGAATGTGGAGGATCGTCATGGGGACTCCAACCGACCTTTTGTTGTTGTGTTGATCCTGAGGAGAGGAGAGAGATAGTTAGTATGATACTAGTCCGGTTGATGGTCGGGGAAGGATCCGTTTCGTCTTGGTCGGGTCGAGTGCATATGAGGAGATATGGATGTGATAGGTGGGATTGTAGTGTGGTGTTATGGTGTGATGTGGTGGTGTTGTTGTTTGGGGTGTTGTTGGTGTTGAGTGTATGATGTAAATCAATGAGTACGTACTTCTTAGTACTCCTTAGTACCAGGTACTTATAGGTACCTGGTAGATAACTAGATAGGATGGTAGACAAGGTTAGTAGTGGTGTAAGATATAAATTATAGGATAGTGTGTTTGACAAGGATTGGTATATGTACCTGTACATATACATCGACGTATACTCCGTCCATCAGGGTCCTCCGTACAGGAGACTATTGACAGGTGGCCCCTTTCTAGTGTCGACTGGTTGGGGATAGCGCCACCAGATGATGATGATGATGTGTTTGGGGTTGGATGATCGTGCGGGGTAACCTCACATTCTTTGATTTCATGTCACCAAGGGTGTTACCTGGGATACCTCAAGTTGAAAGAAAGAACGCAGTAATCTAGACTTTCTACCTTCCAGTACTCAGGTAGGTAGTACTTAGGTTCATAGTACTTAGGTAGGTCAGTACGGAAGAACACGTAGTGCCAGTTGGTCCAAGCTATGAAGCCAGTTGGTCCAGGTCAGGTGTCAAACCTTACAGCCACACCACACAGCAGCGGTGTGAGAAGTGACCAGGGACTGCTCCTTATCGGGAGATTCTTCCTGAGACGGAATGATCCACCGGGTGTGAGTGGTTTGAAGAGGGATTGGTTGTTGGGGAGGAGGTGCAGATGATGCAGCGGGCTGTTTTGGGTTAAGATCTTACCCAGCAGGTCCTCAGCAGGTTTACCTGCTGAAGATGCTGGGTATCTGTAGAATACTCTACTGTGTACTGAGTACTGACTAACTAGATACTCTCTACTCATTCATCTGTTATCATCGGTATAGAAGAACTATTGATGTTGAATCGAGTCTGACTCATAAAGGTGGAAGGTTCCAGTAAGGCGATGACGACGTATGGAGGGAAACCATGGGTGTATCCGTACGGTATGTATGGTATGGGCAAATGGTGTGATAATACACCGCTTCCGGTATGGTATGACCGATACCACGAGGAAACCACCAACCAACTCTTGACTGCTCCACTCACACTTCATCCACCACCACTCAGACTACTGTCTTCCTCCACGAGTTCCCCACCTCCTTTCCTGCTAAGCCGTCTTCCCGTCCGGGTTTGCCTCCATCCTCCCATACTTACCATACATACCAATACCAAGACTGACTAACCTCCTATCTCCTATCCTCCTCTCCTCTCCATCTCCCTATCTTCCTCTCCATCCTTCCTCTTCTTTCTCTATCTCTCTTCTTCTCGCTCTTTCTCATCTCCTCCTCATCCCCATCCTCTCGTCCTCATCTTCTCTTCCTTCCTTCCTTCTTCTTCTTCCTCTTCGCTTCCCTTGCTTTCCATCTTCCCACTTCCCATCTCTATAACTCCTTCCCTTCGCCACTACCTTCTCAACTACCCTCTACTCTATACTACATCGCCTCCCAATCATCCATCTACCTATCGTCCACTCTCCTCAATCCCCAATCCAACCACCAATCCACCATTGCAGTCAATCTCCTCGTGCCTATCAACGGACAGTTCTCTTCTCGTTGATCTCGTCAATACACAAGGCACGCCTGCCTATCGTCCGGTGCCACGGTCTCGTTGCTGGCCCGTTCGAACACCCTTCGTGACTCACCAACCAAGACTCCACCCAAAAGCAAGACGACAACCCATCATCGGTCTCCCTGCAGACCCGCCCGTCTCGCTCCTGCCGTCCAGCTCCTGCTACGTTTCAACTCTCTCCTCCAGCAGCCGCTGAACACTCCTCCTTGGGTGTGATCCTATCGTCCCGCTCCATCGCCTGCTGAGTTGTCCCTCTTCGTGAAACAAGTTCCGGGCTGGGTTGCTGGTATTGAGGTCTCTTCTGCCAACGCCCGTCAGGGTCTGAAGACGCCGGGTACCAGTTGTCCAGTGCCTCGGCTATATATCAGGGAACCCCTGCCGTTGACTTGCAACTCAACTCTCCGACAATCGATGACTTGATCGTCCTTGGAGTCACGACCCCCCCCCCCCGTCCTTCAACCTGGTGTTCGAAGGCCGCTTTCCTTGACCTCTTGTCTATACTGTTTGGCATCTTCTTCTTCACGATATTACGCAGCGTCTCCTCTTTTTCTTCTTCCTTACTTCCATCTTTCGTCCGTTCGGTGCCCTCGCATTGAACCCCCACCTTCTTTACTCCTCTCTTTTGGTCTGCCGCATTTGGCTCCTGCCATCCATCTTGCTATACTATCAAAAAAAACCCACGACAGATGAACCCATAACGATCTTTTGACTACAAACCTCATTACTTTTTCCTATCGTCATCCCGCGACTTCGCCTCTCATCCTTTTTCTTTTGTGATCACTTTATCACTTCTGCTATTTATATGAAACTTTGAGCCAACAACCAACTGTTTTCCTTGTCTTCCTTCGATTCTTCTTGCCGCTTTACTTCCTCTCTTCTTTTTTTTCCTCTTCTCGGTCGTCGCCTCCCACAGTCCTTGTAGGACTCGTCAGCTTCGTTCAATCTATATACGCATAACTTTAATATCGGGAACCAACCTTTCGACAGCATGGACGCCTCGAACAACTCCTTCGTGCCCGGCGAGCTCCTCAACGGCCGCTTTCGCACCCTCGCTCCGTTGAACCATGGCTCCTTCGGTATCGTCTTCCTGGCCACCGACATCCAGTCCGGTCAGGACGTCGCCATCAAGCGTCTCGTCAAGGCTTCCGCGGCCGACCCGGTCTCCCCGGCCGGCCCGGACTATCGCCTGGTCGAGCTGGACTGCCACCGCCGTCTTGCCCACCATCCCAACTTGGTCAACCTGGTTCACTCCTTCGAGACTGACGAGCACCTGTACCTGGTGCTGGAGTACTGCGCCAACGGTGACCTCTACGAGGCCATCCGTCTCAACCGCGGCCCCCTCGAGACCGAGCACGTGCGGGACTTCATGCTGCAGCTCATCGGGGCCGTCGAGTTCATGCACGCCAATGCGCTCTACCATCGCGACATCAAGCCCGAGAACATCTTCCTGATGCAGGACGGCTCCATGAAGCTCGGCGACTTCGGTCTGGCCACCGGCGATGCCTGGTCCCACGAGGCCTGCGTCGGCAGCGACCGCTACATGGCTCCCGAGCAGTACGACCCCGCCGCCACCGGGTACGCCCCCGCCCAGGCCGACGTCTGGGCCGTCGGCGTCTGCTTGCTCAACGTGCTGTTCGCCCGCAACCCCTTCGCCACGCCCACCGAGTCTGACGTCCTGTTCGCCGACTACGTCCGCGATCGCCAGTCGCTCTTCGACATCTTCACCAACATGTCCCAGGACACCTTCGAGATCCTGCGCCATGCCCTGGCCCTCGACCCGAGCAAGCGATCCCTCGCCGGCATGCGGGACGCCGTCCTCCGCGCCGTCTCCTTCACCACCGACGACGAGGCCCTGGACGAGTTCTGTACCGACGAACGCGAGGTGGTCCCCGCCACCGCCAACCGCGAGCCGCTCCGCACCCCGTCCCTCCAGAGTCCCTTTGTCAACCAGGGCGACTCCTTCCCCTGGGCCAAGGCTCTGCAGACCAGCCCCCCGCCGTCGGATCTGGCCCGCCCGCTCTCCGTCATCCCCGACGACGCCTACTCGGAGGATCTCTTCCCGCCCTCGGAGACGGCCGGCACCTCGTGGTTCTCCAACCGCCAGGCGACGACCCCCTCGATGGCCTCGGTGCTCGAGTCCGCCCTCGGCGAGTCCGCCCCCGCGGCGCGCCCCGTCGCGTCGCGCTTCCCGCCGCCCTCGGATCCCGTCCCCATCACCGGGTCCCTGCCCGCCCACAAGCCGCTGCCGTCTCTGTCTATGGTCTTTGGCCGGCGCCAACAGGACCAGATCTCCAAGAGCTGGAGCGATCTCTGGGACGAGGAGGAAGAGGAGGAGGAGGCGTTGTCCGAGCACGAGGATTCGGCCCTGCAGCAGCGCCGCGCCCAGAACGCCCGCAGCTGGAGCCAGGAGAGCGGCAGTGCCGACGGGTCGGCGTTGCCTTCGAGCGCCCGCCCCGTCCAGCCCGTGACCGCCGCCGCCGCTACCACGGTCTCGCCCCCCCGTCCCGACACCCCTCCGGCCGTGGCGGACCCTCCCGCCGAGAAGTCGTCGCCCGCCGCGTCCGGCGTGTCCTCGGTCACCTTCCACGTGGCCCCGCGCACGCCACCGCGGTCCCCCAAGACCTCGCCGCTGGACAAGTGGGCGGCATTGGGTGACAAGCGTCGGAACTACAAGCCGTCCGCGCCGCCCGCCGCCAACCCCATGGCCTGGCGACGGGACTGGGGCCTCGGCTCCTCGGGCTTCGACTACGGCACCTGGACCAAGAAGGACCACCACCTGCCATCCCCGGGCCGTCGCCGCCCCTTCCTGGCGAAGGGCTGGCGTCGCGATTCCCCGGAGGCCTTGCAACCCGTGGCCGACCCGTGGACCTCCCCCACCTACGCCGACAGCGTCGACGAGGATCTTGATCTCGTTGGGGGCTGGCACGACCTTCATCTGTAACGGGATTGGCTCTTTTTTTCCCGCCACTTTTTCGATCCGCCTGTGACTTCTTAATCCCGTGGCACCCCCCCCGGAAGCGACTCGACGATCATTTGCAAATACCTGGTTCAACTTTTTCTTTATATCTCCACTCGATCATTCTGCACAGAAACTCCGGCTCTTCACAGCCTTTGTTTTTTCTTTTCTTTTATCCCCTCTTAAAACCATTGAAACCCTGATGATAGAACTTTCTTATTATTGGCATTTTCGATGCATGAGCATGTTCATGCTCTGTGCATCCTTTCTTTCTTTTTCTGTATAATAACACATCACCATTTGCAAGGAGCGACAGGGGGTTGCGGCAGTGTTCAAAAGTGACGCATGGACGGATGACTGGCGGGGACGGTTCTGTTTGGCGAGCGGGTTGGACGCTGTGGTGTTTCTGTGAGGGTATTTTTGATTGATCGCATCGGTCGTCTTCCAATTACGATCTTTCCGAACGGGAATTGGACGTCGACGCAGAGACCCCCGGGCCATCCCGGGGGAGTTTACCAGATATATGAAAAGCACAAAACGAAAAAAAGTGTACGGGAAAAGCGACCGGTCTCTCTTTTGACATGAAGCATTCTGTATTGTATGTAGGATGTTGGGATGTCTGGCGGATGACGGTAGTCGTGGTATTCGGAATAATATCATCGATAGTATTATCGTGACACGCTATGTCTTTCTCGTAGGTTGTAGATCTGTATCGTGTCTTGATCGTATGAGCTCACTCTACTGACCCTGATTGACTTTACTATGTAAAATGAGGATATCGGCTTAAACAGTACGGAGTATATAGATATAGATATCAGATCATTCAATATTGCTCGAGTCTTCCGAGTGTAGTATCATATAGTCTATAGAAAGACAGGGGATAGTATAGTATAGTATAGTATAGTACGGAGTACAGGCCAGATCTACCTAGTCTATCCTGGTTAGGTAGTTAGTATGGATGTCAGGCACCAAGGGCTTACTTCCTGGGAAGAAGCTTGGACGTACAGTAATATGTATAATCTTCATCGGATAATACTGGTAACCACTGTCCCTTTTCTGATGTTAGACCATGGCCACTGGAATGTAATGACTATAACTAACTATCTGCTGTTGTTTACCTACCTTGGTTGCACAGTGAGTTGTCTGATTGTCTGATTCACGTCTCAACATGACAGGAGATAGATACCGGGAGATATCGGAATCTCTCGGACAGTTCTCCCTGATCAGTTAGTGTACAGACTAGGTAAGTAAGTACCTTACAGAGTAACAGTGATCAAGATCAAGATCAAGGCAGAGAAATCCCTCGTCATCGTCATAACGTCCCCACCTGTATAGCGTATTAACCGATTAATTACCCCTGGTATCGACCATCATGGTCGAGACCCATTACATCATCCTTAGGTTACGTAGGTACCTGATGTTGGCGCTGACGCTGGAGCTGGCGCAGCAGTGCGTTACCCGCTCGGAACTCGGAACTTCCACAATTAGTTTCTGCAGTTGGAAGACGGAGACGGAGACGGATGTTTCTGACCCACTTTTTGTATGTATTGTATGGTTGTTTTGGGTGGGTTTGATTGGGGGGTCTATCTATTAATAGTATGCACTTGATATCTGGCCAGTACTGTGATTTGTTCTGTATGTATGTATGTATGTATATGTTGGATGGGGTGTGAGTTGGGAGTTAGGGATTGAGGATATAGGATGGAGGTAGGAATCATCGAATTGAAGCCATGTTGAAATTGAGAGATGAAGAGAAGATTCAATCAGATTGTAGTCAGGTGACGACCGTCTCCAACAGATCTCGTCTGTCGTTGTCCACACAACACACCTTGCATAGTAGCACACTCAACATACATTCCAACCCAACAACATGAAATTCACCCACAACTACCACCGCCACCAAGTCCCAGAATGGACGGCCTCCTACGTGCCCTATGCAGCCCTGTCACGACAGCTGAAACGCATCGTCTGTGAGGCTGAGTTGATGGGGAGAGAGCCGGTTTTTGATGGTTAGATTGCATTGTATTGCATGTGTTTTGTTGAGGACTATTTCTTACCTGTGTTTCATTTAGAAGTTTATGCGTCTCTTGCTGGGAGTGTTGAGTCTTTCGACGAGTGTTGTGAGGGAAGATATCAATACTTGTGTGCTAGGCGCATGGAGATTCTCAAAGCGTATGGGTACGGGGAGGAAGAGCATGGGATGTTGAGGATAGGAAACGCGAACTGCGCTGAGCTGGGGAATCTACTCAGCGCGATGGTGGAGTTGCGCGGAGATTTAGACAAGCTGCAGTGGTATTACCGCGTGAACGCCGAAGCCATCGAGCTGGTCTACGCGAAGATCGAGAGACACTGCGTTCCCCCAATGGTGGAAACCCACCAGTCTCGTAAATCGAACTGGATGGACATAAATGCCCACTGGGCAGCACGGGCTACAAGATATGAAGACATTTTCAACATGTTGACAGTCCCTATTGCGCGAACTTATGCGGATGTAAAGCTTCATTCGGGGGAGGGATCGCCGGGTTTGGATTGCGTGGGGCTGGGTACCGAATTGGATGACTACCGCATATTTCTGGTGTATTTTGTCAGGGAGGATAATAAGTCGTGGGAGCTGGCTTCAATGCTAGAGAAGATGTCGATGGATGACGCCATCATGGGGCTGCATTTCCGTGCCCTGATTTATGATCTAGCGCTGCTTGCTATCGTCTCTGGGGCGCGTGATTCGGTGGCCTTTTTGCTGGAGAAGGCGTTCGCTAGGTATGGTGCTGCGGTTGACCACAACGTCTTGAACCAGATCATCACTGTCGTGGGTCGGAGGGGTATGTTGAATGGGCAGTCGAGCTTGGAGCTGCTGACCTGTTCCCAGTGTGATGACACTGAAGGGAAGGATGGAATGGGCGAGACTTTATTCCTCCGTGCGGTTGAACGTCTCGGTCCCGATGGGGAAGATGTCCTCTTGTCAATGGACATCTTTGTTCGCCGTCCTCTTCATTATGGCGCGATGTATGGATTGCAGACCGTGTGCCAGCGGATTCTGAGCTATTTTGAGGACTGGGAGGTGCTACGCCTTGCAGGTCAGATCTTGACGTTGGATTCTCAGGGACAGACGCCTTTGCATTACGCTGTTATCAACGGTCATGCGGGCGTTACACGGATCTTCCTAGATATACTCAACGACGTTGAAGACAGTGAACCTCACAACAAGACAGCCATCTTGAACGAAGTCTTCTCCATCGCCGTCAAGTACCAGCACGATGAGATCGTGTACATGCTGGCAAAGTGCCGCGCGGTATCTCACCCGTGTCCTCACGCAGAAACAGAAACAGCCCTCTACATCGCAGCCCAAAGCGGCCGTGCTGAATACGTGGAAGCCCTGCTAAACCACAACAAGCACATCAGCCTCAATCTCAACACACCCGAGCCAGTCCACGGCTGGACCCCGCTGTTCGTCGCCTGCGTGGAGGGCCACCACGCCGTGGTCAGGCTGCTTTTGCGCGCGGGTGCGAAACAAGATATACGCGATCAGCTCGGGTGGACTGCGAAGGAGCATGCTGCGCTGAGGGGCCATCTGGAAATAGCTGATATGGTGGATGCGGGGAACACTGACGACCTTGATATTTCCGATGGTCCTGCCAGCGTACTACCCAAGACTACACCCACGGAGAAAGCCATCTTTCGAAAAAACCGCAGCTACGTGATCGTCAATCTTGGCGCTCTGCAATATGGTCAACGGGGGGAAGCGCTGGAATTGAGAGATTTCAGCCACAGTCCACCGATGCCAAAGAGCGTGTATGCGCCTAATGGCTTCTTGATGGAAATCTCCATCGGCGATGGACGCGAAACCAACAGTCACTGTGTGAAACTGCCCCTCCTGAGAGACATGCTCAACGAGCCGTTCGTCTTCCCAGTCGTGGACCCCACCGAGGCTGTTATATCGTTTAAACTGTTTCGTGCGGGACGCAGGCTGGTGGGTAGTGGTGCCGCATTATTGAAAAGCCTCAATGATGGTCTTGGGGAGGGCCGTGAGAGTCTTGTTCGCACGCGTACTATAGCTATTCTTGAACGGGAGAAGCTGGGCGTTATGGGGACTGTGACGTTTACTTTTGTGGTTGCTGGGCCGGTGGATTGTGCGGTTCCGGGAGCTTTGCAGAGTCGTGATGTGGGAGGTGGAGGTGTGCAGCTTGTTGGGCATAGAGGTGGGATTTAACCTACTCTTGTGTTTGGTGGTGCAGGCTACTGACAACACAAGGACTCGGGCAAAATACGGCCAGTCGCACGTATCTCCAGATGGGCGAGAACACGATTGAGGTGATTCAACTATATCCATCCTTCCAGCGTCCAGGAAAGGAACGATTTGAACACTGGCGGAACTAACACAATGCAGTCATTTCTCTCAGCTGCAAAACAAGGCGCTGCCTTTGTGGAAGTAAGAACCCTAACCTAATATAACCCATGCCCATGCGACTGACTGACATGCTTCTAGTTTGGTAAGCGACTCGCGCAGGGCTTCAATTTCGGTGCTAAGTATAGATAGACGTGCAGTTAACCAGAGACCTTGTGCCTATCATCTACCACGACTTCTCGCTGAGTGAATCGGGAACAGACATCGCTATCCATGATTTGAGTTTTGATCAAGTCAGTCTCCCATCAAGGAAGTATGAACCACTCTAACGTGCCTAGTTTGCATACGCGAGCAAGCTCCAATCTACAATCAACCAGTCGATATGCATGCCGACCAAACCCCGATCACGGTCATTGACAAGGGCCCATGAACGCGAACTCGAGGGAACCCGCCAGAGAATGATGCACACTGTTGACTTCATCAGTAAAGGGTTCAAGCCAAACACTAGAGGTGACTTCATCCAGGATTCGTTCGCCACGCTGGAAGAGCTGCTTGTGCAGTTGCCTCAGTCGATTAGCTTTAACGTTGAGATAAGTACGTCTGACCCTCCCCCTCCCGCCTTTCCGAGATGAAATCGAGAAAGGTAAGCTAGGTTAGTTAACAATAAGTAGAATACCCCCGCCTCCACGAAGCAGCAGAAGCAGGCGTCGTCCCCGCCTCCATCGAAATCAACACCTTCATCGACAAGATCCTCTCGCGGATATTCCACCCCCACCACCCCCAACCCAACCGCTCCATCATCCTCTCCTCCTTCACCCCCGAAGTCTGCATCCTCCTAGCCATCAAGCAGCAAGTCTACCCCGTCATGTTCATCACCAACGCAGGCAAGCCGCCCATGACAGACAAGGAGATGCGAGCGGGCAGCATGAAAGCCGCCGTCCGGTTCGCGAAGCGGTGGAACCTCGCGGGGATTGTCTTTGCGAGCGAATTGCTCGTCCTCTGTCCGAGACTTGTTCAGTATGTGAAGGGGAGGGGCCTGGTGTGTGGGTCTTATGGGGCGCAGAATAATTGCCCCGAGTATGCTAAGGTGGGTTTGGTGTCCTGAAGCAGTGTCATGGTGTATGTTTTGAGAATGCCTGGCTAATGGGTTTTGTAGATGCAAGCTGCTGCTGGGGTGGATTTGATCATGACTGATCGGGTTGGGCTTATTTCTGCTGCGCTGGACTAGGTGGTGCTCTGCTTGGGCTTCCTCCATTCGTTGTTGTCTAGCTCTGTGCATACAATGGGCTCAGGACCCAGATGAGATACTTTACATCCATCTTAATACAAATTTAATACACTTATTAACGGATGTCTTTTGAATGTCAGATAGGCATGTTGTTTTCTGAATGATATGACTTGATCTGGAAAGTAAGTGTTTGCTTGAGAAGTATATTGTACCTTATCTCCATCCAAAACACGAGTCTGAAATCAAGCCAACGGGGCAGGCACCTGCTGCGTCACGCAGTGTATGACGCCTTCGCTCAGGTGGATCGCATTCAAATTCACATACCCTGACAAAAAAATCGTCGTCTTCCGCACAGGGCAACGCGCTCATAGGCGGCTCGTCCACCGCATGAATCTCCAGCTTCCGCCCCTTCGCATCACTCTGGGTCTGCAAGGCCTCGAGAACCTCGTGGGACAGATCCAGCCAGTCCTGACAGAGCCTCTCTTGCGTCAATGACGCTCAATGAATGCAAAACAAGCGCCTTTTTCGAATATCATGGGGATCTGCCAGCACCGGAAATGAATGTCTTCCGGTCTGCTTGTCACTTTACGAATCCAGTCTATGGAAATACCGAGTTGGTTTGTGGAAATCACGAGTTACCCTTGCGCTCTAACCCTCGCCGGTTTGTTCGCCTTCAGTTTGCTCTTCCCCCCGGAGGCTCTCATGGCTGAGATAGAACACAGGCAAGATGGTTACCCCAGCCAACGCCCCCAATGTCCAGGTCATCGGCTTCCACCCGTACCTACTTAGCATATTCTCGCCAATGATGGGTCCCACTGAGAGGCCGGCGTAATTGGCCATTGTCTGCAACGCAAATGCCTGCGAGACTGCCCCCTGCTTTCCAAAGATGCCCGGACTGTGCTCCTCCATTTCTTCGACCACGATCTGTGACTCCATGTACAGGGCTGGCAGGGCCACGCAGAGCGAGAGGCCGCATAATGCCAACAGCGCGGCTAGTAGGACCTTATGCGATATACTGTCCTGGGTGACGAATTGCAGACATACCAGCGTCGGGGTATGCATTGCGAACCCCAGTACTGCCAAGATGCGGACTCCGAAACGGTCACATAGTCGTCCTGAGATTGCATTAGTGTTGAGGCCTCAAACAGACATGGAGAATGTTCGATGCAGAAGCACCACTCAATCGTTTGGACTAACCAAACCAGGGCTCCAATAGTGCTGGCACTGCCATGGCTAGGAGGAGTAAACCGGCTGCAAAGGCATCCCATCCGAACAACTTCTCCACATAGGTAGGCAACGTCTTGAGGGGGTATGGTCAGCTCCGGGACAACAACATCAGGGAATCGAATGAACCTGAACACACCGCATCACAAGCGCCGATGATCAGCCCATCGATGCCGAGCGCCCAGAGCGTGATGACCACACGTGGCTGCTTTAACAATTTCCACATCGCAAATGACACCCTTGTCTTTGACTCCTTGGGCTCCGATTCGGCAGGTGTATTACTCGCCGTGGTTGTGGATTTCCTGTCGCTTTCCTCAACCCCAGCAGCATCAACACCTTCCTGCATTTGGACGGCACTTTGCTCCCCGCCCTTCTCCTTCTTCTCCTTCTCCACCACTGCTAAGCGCATCACTGCGTCCACAGCCACGATCACAAACCCTAGGATACAGACCGCATAATACCCACCGGCACGATCCACGAGTCCTCCCAGTGGCGGCCCTGCCACCAGTCCGACCATTCGGCCGGTCCCCGCGTACCCCAGTCCTTCTCCTAAGCGGTCGTTGCCCACACCGTCTCGCAGCAGCGCCAGACCTGCAACGTCCACGATCGCGGATGCGAGGCCCTGCAGAATTCTCCCAACGATATACATCGTCGTCGATCGCGCGGCGGTAAAGAAAGCCATCGCGGCGGCAAGCCAAACCAAGCCTATTAGGAACGGGACTCTGCGACCAGCCGATGAGTCTACCCAGAGTCCGAAGATCGGACAAGCCGCAAAGGCCGTGGCTGTTTCACAGATCAATAGGATGCTGGTCCAGAATGCCTCTGTGAGGGATGAAACAAGAGTCAGTTAGCGGAACTATGGCAAGTTTTTCGATTTGCAGCGACATACGCTGATCCGGTGACACGCCTGCTCGCGCGACCAGCGCCGAGGGCATGATGGGAACAATCTGATACGATTCAGCTATGAAAGGGATGCCCTTGACGTGATAGGCATGAGGTGCAGCTAACCATTCCGTACAAGAACAATGTCTAAGAGTTTTTGACCTTCTTGCGTTAGCACCTCAAACCCCCAATGAGGAGGCATGACAAGGCTAGGTTCTGGGCATACCGTCATATACGCAGTCGCGACCACCAACACGATAAACCAGCGAGATGAGCGCATAGATGAGAGCCATGATGGCCCCGATGATCTCCATTTTGAGAGCATCTCTGAACTAGGAACCATGTTGCGCTCTCAATGCGTAGTGGTAAGAACATGGGAGAAACAGGGACCAGAGAGAGAGAGAATGACGAAACTTCCCCTTGGGTCTCTCCCACAAGTAATAGAATCACACACATCTTGGATGTATAAATCATTGCATGCTACCCTCATTCAGGAAGGGGTTTCGCCTTTGCTGCAATGTTCACTACTATGGGTTTCGCCTGATCTTAGCTATACGTTAGAGGTCCCCGAGGCCCCTTGCATGGATACCACGCAGATCAGCCCGGAAATATAGCCCGTGTTATGCAAGATGCGATTTCAAGTCGTTAAGCAGTGGGGAAAGAGGGCCTCCTTGCTGCTCGGCCAATAACGATTCCATGCCGCAGCGCATGCTGTGGTGATGTGGGCGAGATCCGGCCGAAAGAGATACGCGCCATCACCACATGAGATGGTCTCAAGACCCCGACAACTCTTACTCGGCGAATCGAGAATACCAGACTGGTTTCAGCGTAGTCATAGCTGAGACTACACCGGCAAAGCTTGTTCAATGTCTTGATTCAACTTTTTCTCGCCCTAGGTATGGTTTCTGATACCCAATGCATATTGTGATCTAAAAAAATAGGCTGGAAGAACGCCTCCATCCATGATAAGCAACGGCCAATTTATATAAACATGATCATGGACAACCTGATTGACTTGGCTCTTCATAACAGACTCTCAAGCGTTAGTAAAAATGGGCAATCTGTCGCCGACGAAGAGCCCTTTTTCGTAGCAGACCTCGGCCAAGTCGTCCGCCAGCATCGCCGATGGAGGTCAGCCCTTCCTCACGTCCACCCTTTCTATGGTAAGCGTTGTTTTCCGCACCACTTCTTCTGGTTATATAGCCCCTTCTGATCGGTGTCAGCGGTGAAATGCAATGCCGACCCAACCCTCCTCAGACTGCTCTGTGAGCTCGGCACCGGGTTCGACTGCGCCTCCATCGCGGAACTCCAGAGCGTACTCAGCCTGGGCGTCGACCCGTCGCGCATTGTCTTTGCCAACCCTTGCAAGACGGCGTCGTCGCTCGTGTTTTCCCGGCGCGTGGGCGTCACGCACACGACGTTTGACAACCTCGATGAGCTGGACACTATCAAGGCGTATCACCCTGATGCGCAACTTGTTCTTCGGATCTTCGCCAGTGACAGTGATGCGCTGATTGATTTTGGGGAGAAGTTTGGGGCCTCGACTGAGTATGTCCCTTTACTGTTGGCTCGAGCGAGGGAACTAGACTTGAACGTGACGGGGGTTAGCTTCCATGTTGGTATGTACCTACATCGCTTTAAATTTTTTTTTTTTAAAAAAAAAAACAAAAAAACAGCAAATAACTGACTTAAACAGGAACCGGCGCAATCAATGCATTCGCCTTCATCAGGGCCATCCAAAACGCCAAAGCCGTCTTCCACCAAGCCGAGAATCAAGGTTTTCAAATGACCCTCCTGGACATTGGCGGCGGATTTCAGGATAGCAACTTTGAGGGTATTGCATCCTCAGTGCATAAGTACCTCTGCGAAGAGTTTTCCCCCCACGTCCGAGTCATTGCTGAGCCAGGTCGCTATTACGCGCGCAGCGCTTACACACTCGCCTGCAAGGTCATTTCCCGACGGAGGCAGATTGGCGATGTCCGCAAAACGGAAGAACCGGACATGCTATACCAGAATGACGGCGTGTATGGGTCCTTTATGAACGTGATTATGGAAAAGGAGATCATGAGGCCGAGTCTGATCACTTCGCTTTTACCTCCCCACTACCTATCTGGTGGGGCAACGGGAAAGAGACAGCAGGGGGAACGGAGGTACTCGATCTGGGGTCCGACGTGTGATAGCTTGGACTGCGTGGTGAGAGATGCGGTGTTGGAGTCGGAGGTGAAGGTGGGGGATTGGCTGAAGTATAAGAATATGGGTGGTAAGCAAGAATCTTTCCTTTGACTTCAGATGGATTTGAGGTTCATTGACTTGACAAAACAAGCATACACCACCTCAACATCCACTCAGTTCAACGGATTCTCGAGCGATCACGGCGTGATCTACATCGACAGCGAGTCTGAAAGCAGAGCCTTGAAGACAGGCATCCCGAAGTATTGTTACATTCATCGACAGGCTGAGATGATGGGGATTGCAGCGTCTGTGAAGCGAGGGCACTATCAGGCGAGTTGTTGACAGGTGGATAGGGTGTGTGGGGGACTTTCAGATTAGGATGCAGCCCAGCGTAGACAATAACACGCTGCGTGCCTTGTTTATGAACTGTTACTTGTTGCAAAGTGTAAATACACTGCAGATAGGACGGTGTCACCTGTCTACTAATATGGCTCCAATTGATGAAGTAAACCCATCTTCCATCTTCATTGATCGCCTAAGTATGAGCATCCTGGCAGCAACCCCACCCTACAACTGATAGTCTATAGACTACTTCGGGAACAGTAAGTCCAGAATAAACAAGTACATTTCATGCGAGAAGCTTGCAAGCTAGACTAAACCAAGACTAAACGAGTGAACGGTTGCCAAAGCAACCCAATGAAACCAACATGGTTCCATGCATTTTCGGTATCACCTCCCACGCAGCAGGGGACGAAACGATCCATTCCAGAATGGACGGAGGCCAGCGGGCCTCTTCTCCTGCGGCGCTCTAGATGGCCTGGACATCGACCCAAAAGCGAGTGTCGTCTTCCTGGTACTTCTCGTCGCTCTCGATCTGCTGCTGGATCCACTCGATCGCGGCGATGTAGTCTACCCACCCGGTCAGTCAAGCCAGTCAAGGTGCAATCTCTGTTCATCGCGCAAACTTACTGTTGATGTCGTCGGTGCCGGGATTGTTGATTCCGGACTCGCCGTTGCGGTGGCCGCTGAACCACGTCTCGAAGCCGTACTTTTCCTCGCCCTCGTGGCGACATTTGATGTCCAGGTCCAGGTCATCGCTGCATAACGCCCAGAACATCAACCACCACGCAAGCACATTTGGAGGTAGGACCAGTGAACTTACTTGAGAACGGCACCATCGTCTACCTGCTCGACGGTCTCGTCGAGGAATGCAGACGCAGAATGTCTCAGGATGAACCAGTTCTGCTTGAAGATGCCAAAGTTTGTGGCGTCGCCGGTCTTGCCGTCACCTGCAATCAGTAGAAACCCGGCCGTTAGCTCGCAGTTGCTGCGTGGTCACCCGTGCTGCTGATTGGTCTGCAGACGTACCATAGGTATAGTCGCTAGTCATGGTTGTACTGGGACGTGTCAGCGGGAGCGTATCACGGACGCGGGTGGAAAGAAGGGACTGACGTTTCCAGCATGGCGATGGCCAGGTCGCGGGTGTTCCCACCAGCGGACACAACCGCCTGCTTGCGAGTCCCAAGTCCGGCAATGGTCTCGTTGCCTCGATCATTGGCGCGGATGAAGAGGCTGGCAGGGGCCGCGTGCGGGGACGAGGCCACCGCGGACACGAGGGCCAGGGAAGGAAGAAGAGACAGGAGCTGCATTTTGCAAAGAGATGTGGTGTTTCTTTGTTGAGTGAGGTGGTGGATAAACTGTAGGATGCAGGTCAACTTTGAAGACATCAGCTCTCTTTATAATGAAGAGTCGAGACGAGCCTTTATATAATGTACACAGTAGGCCCGAGCAGCCCGCGTCTCTGGCTGTGTGGTATACGGAAAGGATATCCTCTTTCTGGATCCGTGTGGAATTCGGAAAGACTAGATCACAAGGCAATAACTGGCAGTGGTGTTGCATCTATGGAAAAGAGTCACGGCCCGTCTTGGTCCTTGCTGGTTCCGTCTAGCTATATCCTTGATCGAGACAAGTGCCTCTTGGGTTGTAACAGCTTTAGCATCGTCAATGATATGAAGCCAGCGTCACAAGCTCAGCAGTTAATAAAATTGCGGCACAAGACTGGCTAAGATTCGTTCAGTTGCCTACTAGCATCATGAGACCGACATGGAAACTGGCGCATCAGGCCGGGAGGCACTATACTCACATGTCGTCACCAGTTGAGATCTCATACTACTCCGTAGATAGTGTGGAGTAGTGGGACATGCAATCGACCAAACGTCTGCTGACTTGCAGTGTTTCCCCCACATAAACTATTGCTTTGTTTCTTCGTGCCTTGCAACTATTCGCAACCTTGGGTAAGTCATTGTTATAATCGTTATATTGGCCATTTTTATAATCAGTTGGTGAAGCAATGACCCAGGATCCCATATCTCGGTCCCCATGGTGGAGTGCTTCAGACCTGTTTCGAACACCCCGTCTTCTCCGGGCTCAAATAGGCAATCGGACAGAACCACGGGCGTGGGTCCGTGGCTGTTACGGCCGATCAATGTCGTAGGTGGTTAGAATGACATCGGTGGCCCCCGTCTGAACTCCGCAAATACGATCTCGCCCCAGTTTACAGAGCAGACTTCATGCGCTCCGCAATTTCCCCAGACTGATGGAACAAACGCAGCCTTTTATGTTGTCCCTGCGGATGTGCCCGACCAACTTTTTCCTGTTTCAACTGATTTCTGACCGAATTGAGACCAGTTTCCCCGCATATTCCCATTTCGGAGCCTGTGTACCAAGTCTGACACGGACCGGGTCACGTCGAGCTGTTTCAAGTTGATAGTGGGGTAGTATGTATATTGGGGTCGGCAACAGGACGTGACTTGAAGAACTAGGCACGGTGGGCCGCCGTTGGCGTCGTTGTCAAAGTGCCCCCCTCCCCTATAGACGACGAGAAGACCAGCCGGCACTGGCTCTGATATGCGGTGTCGATGAGGGAAAATGGCGTGATTGTTACGATGGAGTGTGTGCTCTTCCTCTCGGGGAATGGCCATTTGGGATGCGGGCGTGTGGTTGCCAAGGAGGTGAAGCCTCCTCCACCAATAGTGTGATGGTACCCAATAGGTAGGGGCTGAGAGTGTTCGAGAATGAGGTCTGTGAGCTGAGTGGGTGATTGATGTGGAAGAAGTGAAGTTTTCTTCTTTGCTGGATGGGACATTGCCCAGAGTACCTGATCATGTGATATCACCCAGGACAAGACAGGCTTTACATGTACTGAGTCCTTCTCGCTTCGAAGGAGCACGATATCAATTCACTCCATATGCTGGATAGACCGGAAGGTAAGTTAGATGAGACGACGACGTTGATAGCTGGCTGACCTCCCTTTGGTCCAAAACCAGTGCACACTCGAGAGCCGTACGGTCATTGGAGGCTCTGATAGTCGAGTGGCGCCTTCAGAGATCGAATAACGAACTACATCAACTTCCCTCAGCTCGGCTGTTTGATGCAGAGATGACCTGAGTCCCATGGGATAGAACAAGCTTCAAGGCGGGTGATCATCCTCATACATGGTAAAATTGACAGGCGCGCCGTTTTTGATAAGAAGTCTCACAACTCCGATGGTGTGCGACTGCCGTTTGAGTATGTGATGAATGGGCTGGCCTGGCCGGAAATTTGCCACTGCATCATTGGAAGAGGTCATTCGACAGTTTACTGGAGAAAGAGTGGTGATCTTGGGGTCATAAGCGCACCCTAGAATAGGAGGGGACTGGGCTCACTCACTGGCTGAATGATATCCCACCCGTCTGCAAGAGACGCCATGAAAACGGTCTTAGCCTTCGTCTTCGCTGTTTCTATGGCATAGACCGGGTCCATGGACAAGCTGCGACGAAGCAGCTCCTGGGTCAAATATATAGTTCATTGTCTAGTTTGATATCATAACAGCATATGAGTTGCAGATTCCACAGTCCCTCGGCACAAAGCACGAAAGAAGTGAGCTCTCAAACCTCAAGATACTTTCAAATCAATATATACAATGAACGCAATGTGCGACATCTGTTCTCATTGTTCTAGCCTGATCATGTTGTTTCAAGCCTGCCAGCGAATCCAAGCTTGGGATATTGTTTGTACTGCGGCAAAACCGCCAACAACTCTAGCTCGAATTCGACCACATAAGTCAAAGCTTCTGATAGATCCAGAATAACTGACCGGTCAATGCACAGATATATCGTGTGGATAGTCTGGAGAAGCGACGATGCTATCCATATCAGGTGACGTTATATGATATGTCTGACTAAGCGGCGCAGTGAAGCGATTCGTTTTGTAGACAATTCGGTCAATGATGATAGGTTCACTTCTTGTAGAGGACACGCCAACCATAGACAAGAACAAACTGCGACCGGATACTCCAAGGCCATCCAAATATCATCTTGAATTGCAGCGCATCTCCCCCTCGACTGACGCCCGGGCTATCAGACTAGCTATCATTTGGAGTCAACCGACGCTAAGGTATCTGCTCCACCGCATCTTCCTTTTTCTCCCCTTCTCATTTCCCCCCACGAGCAAGCAATCGTGAATCTATTGACTGACGCGCTATATTACCCTGAAGAGAATGTCGATACGTTAACTACTTCCCCTCCCGGGCCGGATTTCCTGCACCAAGAAACAAACACCTGCATGGTGACCGAATTATCCTACGAGGCGGTCAGACAGATAGCACACGAAGATAGCCCCTCCCTCCTGCGCAGGAGGCCATTATGCTCGTCGGCGGATGGACAATAGCATGTTGGATCCTCGGGGCCGCCCTGGCCTCCGCTAGGGACGAAGGGACGGCGAGTGGAAGCACACCGCCGGTCTGTCCGGTACAGGGGTGGAAGGAGGCGCAGGCGGAGATTTTTAAGCACCCCGTGTGCATCGAGACGCGATGGGTGCGCGTAACCCTTTCTGACTGCGAGTCGCCTACGATATCCGATCATCCTCAGCCGGTCAACGAGACGGTTGGGGCCGCCCCGACCGGGTCGACGACAGGGGACGATGCGGCGGCCGCGTCGGGGGACCAGGAACTCGACACCGAGTCCCCGCTCGACAACGTGAATTTCCTCTCATTCGAGGACTGGAAGAAGCAGAATCTAGCCAAGGTGGGACAGTCGGCGGAGGACCTCGGGCAGAAGCGCGCCGCGGGCGCTGCAGGGAAGGAGGATCGGCAGCGGCCGACGGGGATCCATAACGCGCTAGATTCTCTGGGCGATGATGCGGAGATTGAGCTCGACTTTGCGGGCTTTGGGGCTAACTCGCCCGACGCTGCCAGTCCGGCGTCCTCGTGGAGTGCGGGGGTCGCGGTTGAAGGAAGGAAGGGCGCCGACGCGACGGCCCAGTCGGGTGAGGAGGACGTTGCGGTGCCGCGCCCGGGGCAGGAAGCTCCCGCGGCGGGGATGGCGCACTCCAAGGACGCCGGGACCACCTGCAAGGAGCGATTCAACTATGCGTCGTTCGACTGTGCGGCGACGGTGCTCAAGACGAACCCGGAGTGTACGGGCTCGTCGTCGGTGCTGATCGAAAACAAAGATAGCTACATGCTGAATGAGTGTCGCGCCACGAACAAGTTTCTGATTCTGGAGCTGTGCGACGACATCCTGGTCGACACCGTGGTGCTGGCCAACTACGAGTTTTTCAGCTCCATCTTCCACACCTTCCGGGTCAGCGTCGCCGACCGATATCCGGCCAAGCCCGACCAGTGGAAGGAGCTAGGTATCTACCAGGCGCGAAACACGCGCGAAGTACAGGCCTTTGCGGTGGAGAACCCGCTCATCTGGGCGCGGTATCTCAAGATCGAGTTCCTGACTCACTACGGGCATGAGTTCTACTGTCCGCTGAGTCTAATCCGAGTGCACGGCACGACTATGCTGGAGGAATACAAGCACGACGGAGATGCGGGGAGAGTGGAGGAAGAGATAGCGCATGAAACGCTGCAGCCTCACCCAGAGGGAGGTAATCTCGATGCACTGGAGACGCCTCCACCGCCGCCGGCGGCAGTGGGAGACACCGAGACGCAGGCCGGTCCATTGCCGGCGACATGCCCCCGTCCTCGGACGGAGGCGTCGACCCACCTCCTGCAGGAACCGACCTGCGGAGTGAACGAGGCATCTACGACCGAGCCGGCGGAATCGGCCAAGGCGGCTGCCCAGTCGCCGCCCAGTCCGTCTCATCCGCCGAATGAAACCGCAGGCCCCTCTGCCGACGCGGTCGCATCAGTCGACCCGCGAGCTGATACAGGCAAGGAGGCGACGGAACCGAAAGCGACGGAGCAAAATGGTGCGCAGACAGCACCCTCTGCGCCCCCTTCCTCGACCCCAACAATCCCGGTGTCCCCTGCGCAGAAGAACGCCACGACAGACACCGACACGCGGGTCACCCATCCGCCGCCCAAGGACGAGGCCGGTGGGCACGGCGGTCAGGGTGGGAACGCAGGTCCTGCGGAGGGCCCCCGATCGACGACGACGCAGCCACCGGCGGCCAACCCGACGACGCAGGAGTCGTTCTTCAAGTCGGTCAACAAGCGGCTCCAGATGCTGGAATCGAACTCGACCCTGTCGCTGCTGTACATCGAAGAACAGTCACGGATCCTGCGCGACGCGTTCAACAAGGTGGAGAAACGGCAGCTGGGCAAGACGTCGACATTCCTGGAGAATCTCAACGGGACGGTGCTGGGGGAGCTGAAGCAGTTCCGCGAGCAGTACGACCAGGTGTGGCACAGCGTAGCGCTAGAGTTTGAGCACCAACGCATCCAGTACCACCAGGAGGTGTCGGCGATCAACGGGCAGCTGGGGGTGCTGGCGGACGAGCTAGTGTTCCAGAAGCGCGTGACGGTCATTCAGAGCCTGCTGGTGCTGCTCTGCTTTGCGCTCGTGCTCTTCTCGCGCGGCAACGTCGGTAGCTACATGGACTTCCCGCGCATGCAGAACATGATGTCGCGGTCGTACAGCTTCCGGTCGGGGTCTCCGCCCCTGTTCGGGTCGCCGTCGGGGAGCCCCAGCTCGACGCGCCCAACCTCTTCGTACCGGAATCCCGCCAGCGGCGGTGACGACGAGGAGGACGATGACGACGACTCGCAGGACGAGGGCGTGCCGACCACGGCGGGGGTGTATTCGCCGCCGACTCCGACGTCCGATCCGTCCACGGACGACGAGGCGGGCACGAAGTCGGCCGTGGTGGCGGATGGGCTGGCCCCGCCGGACGTGACGCCTCCGCACCTGCGATCGCGCAGCAGTCCGCCAGTGATGAACGGAGGGGTCGACGAGAACGGAGGGATTGACCGGGTCCTGGAATCTTCTTCTTTGCCATCTGAGGATTCGGCACCATCTAGTCTCGAGTCCTGCTCGTCCGTAGCGACCGGCAGCCAGGACGGGAGTCTCCGTCGCCGCACATAGAATCTCTTGTAAATATCTCTACGAACTATACACCCAATGTACCCATGCATTTAATGATGAACACAAATATCTACTCTGTAGCCAGTAATCCACCCTCTCGAACGGGGCGCAAGAGGAAGATCCACGGAACGTCATGTCCAGCCGGGGGTTGTTGCCATGACAACAATCAGCGTTTTTTTTCTCCCGCTTTTGTCTTTCTTTTTCCCCTTCACACCTCATTCTATCTTCTTCATTCCTCCAACCACTTCATCCTGTTTGATTTTCTCAACCGTCAGAGTCTACAAACCAAAATAGCCAACCGATCAAAAATCTAAACAGAAAAGACGAAGAAAAAAGAACAAAAATGGACGCCTCGCAGCCCCTCACCGACCGTTCCACCAACACCCACCTGGCCAACAACGCCGACCACGAGAAAGCCCAGGATCTCAAGAACGCGCCCGCGACGATCAACTCGATGGACTATCACCGCCAGGTTCTGCAGGGGAAGTTGGAGGGTGATGACAAGTATGTATTTCTGACATTGAAGGTGTGGTGTTGATGCGATAGACAAGGCATGGGGCTAACCGATGGGGTGTTTCCAATCCAGGAATCAAGCGAGTTATGTGTCTCCGTCGGATGATATCATGAGTCCTTGCTCGAAGAAGTTGAGCGATTTGAAGGGGAAGCGGTTTAAGAAGTATGTTTTTTCTTGACTTTTACTTCTGGTCTTTCAATTCTACTCCGTTGGAGTTGATTATTCTGGCGCCAGAATGATCAACCACCATCAACAAATCAAGAAAAGAAGAAGAAACTAACAGATGATTAGCGTCGGAAAGCCGCAATCTCTCTTCGCCAAACTCGGCAAGAAGAACTACGAGCAGTCGTCGTCGGCTGAGAAGAATCCATCTGCCGCGTCCGAGTCGGCTTGAAGTCTCCGCGTGGGCTTCTTTTCGGCGCAGAAGGACGGTCAATGAACTGACTGGCTATGGGTTGATCATTCTTGGGTTCTGGGTTCTGGGTATCGTTTCTGTTCGGGACTGGTGATGCTTTTCTGGTCCCTGGTGGGGTTTTGGGGTTTGTCGGGATGGACTATCAAACATAGATGGGATGGATGGGATGGGATGGGATGGGATAATGGATGGTTTTCTTTGTTCTTATTATGTTTATGTTCTTGCTCTTTTTTTCTTTTTTGCTTTCTCCGGATTTGTCTGGTTCTGTTTACGGTGTCTGCCGGTTGGCGATGAAGCCGAACATCCTCTTATCTCACTGCTCCAACTATTCTATGCAATGCCAATAATACTGCATTTTCACTGAAAACCAAATCGATCAAGAGATCTGATCATGACAGAATTGTGGTTCCAAATGAATGAATATAACTATATGGTTAACCAGAAATGATTACAAACCGACCAGCCGAGGTCCAACAGCGTCTTCGGCTCGACTCCGCATCTCATCTTCATCTCCGCAATGTCAGCCCACTCTCTCCTCCTCTATTTATCCTTCCTCCTTCCTTCTCCCCCTCGGATCTTTTTTGCTTCCATTGATTAGATCCCTTGAACTCGATCATCATGTCCGCCTCTTCTCGAATCCCCCAGATCGCCCAGCCCTTCGTCAGCGACCGGGCCAAGAAGACCCTCGACCTGGTATGTCCACATCCTCGGACTCCCATTGCCTCGCTAACCAAACCCTGCTTTCCTAGGTCGAACAATTCGTCGAGAAAGACTGTATCCCCGCCGAACCCACATTCCAGGCCCAGCTCGGCCAGGGCGAGAAGCGATGGAAGACCAACCCCGTCGTTCTGGAGAACCTCAAGGCCAAGGCCCGCTCCCTCGGCCTGTGGAACATGTTCCTGCCCAAGAACCATTTCTCCCAGGGCGCTGGGTTTAGCAACCTCGAGTACGGTCTGATGGCGGAGTATCTCGGCAAGAGCAAGTTGGCGTCGGAGGTAACAAAACAATCACCTATCTGATGGGACGGGCCCATCATGTTGGCGAAATATATGCTGAGATTCACACCCCATGCTAGGCGACCAACAATGCCGCCCCCGACACGGGCAACATGGAGGTGCTGGCCAAGTACGGTAACGAGGCCCAGAAGCGGCAGTGGCTGGCGCCGCTGCTTGAAGGCAAGATCCGCTCGGCTTTCCTCATGACGGAGCCCGAAGTCGCCTCCAGCGACGCTACCAACATCCAGCTCGACATCCGCCGCGAGGGGAATGAATACGTCTTGAATGGTTCGGTCCGTATCCTCTTGCCCTCCCTGTTCCCCATCCGGGCAGTGCGACATATCTAACACCCCCCCAGAAATGGTGGTCCTCCGGCGCCGGTGACCCCCGCTGCCAGGTCTACCTCGTGATGGGCAAGTCGGACGCCTCCAACCGCGACGTCTACCGCCAGCAGTCCGTGATCCTCGTCGAAGCCAACACGCCCGGCGTGACCGTGCACCGCATGCTCACAGTCTACGGATACGACGACGCCCCCCACGGCCACGGCCACATCTCGTTCAAGGACGTGCGGGTACCCGTCGCCAACATGGTGCTGGGCGAGGGCCGCGGATTCGAGATCATCCAGGGCCGCCTGGGCCCCGGCCGCATCCACCACGCGATGCGGACGATCGGCGCCGCCGAGAAAGCCCTGGAGTGGATGATCGCGCGCATCAACGACGACCGCAAGCAGACCTTCGGCAAGCCGCTGGCCGCCCACGGCGTCATCCTCGAGTGGATCGCCCGCTCGCGCATCGAAATCGACGCCGCCCGCCTCATCGTCCTCAACGCCGCGGCCAAGATCGACGCCGGCGACGCCAAGTCCGCCCTCAAGGAGATCGCCCAGGCTAAGGTCCTCGTGCCCCAGACGGCCCTCACCGTCATCGACCGCGCCGTGCAGGCCTACGGCGCTGCCGGTGTCTGCCAGGACACCCCGCTTGCTAACCTGTGGGCTATGATCCGTACCCTCCGTATCGCTGATGGGCCGGACGAGGTCCACCTGCAGCAGCTGGGCAAGCGTGAGAACCGTGCCCGCAAGGACGCCGTCATGGAGAAGCTGAACTGGCAGCGTGCTGAGGGTGAGCGCCAGTTGGCTGCGGCGGGGTATCCTAAGAGTCATCTGTAGTGTTTTCTAGGTTGGGTTTTTTATCTATTTAAGATCATCCATGATACAAATTCAATAGCTAGTGACTTGACTGTTCATGTAATGTAAACAATCAATCATCATACGTACATACACAGGTTCCGTCTTCCGTACATCTACATCGTACCAGCCATCAATGAACCCAAATCTCAAGCCTACACAAGAAAGAAAGAAAGAAAGAAAGAAAGAAAAGAATAAAGTCATGATTCATTCATCTTCAGGGTAATCACAAAATCAAAACATAAACATCAACACAAACATAACCATAAATCCACTCTAAACGTAACTTTTCACTTGCAATCGATCGTCTCATGCATGCACTATGCAATACCATGCCATGTCATACCATATCTAACCATCCAAAAAGAGAAGAAAAAGGAAAGAAAACACACATTAACTCACACCCTCTCGTCACTCGCCCGCGAGTTATATAAAATAAAATCGACCCATTTATTCAGGGAATAAACGAAACAGGGACAATGTCACATAGATAAAGGTTCAGGGAACGAAGGAAAAAATGGGAAAAAAGGATTCGAACGAAAGAAAGAAATGCGAAAGTGAGACGAGGCTGCCATGGAAAAAAGAAAAAGAAACTAGTAATCGTCCTCCTCGCCCGCCTTGCGCGTCTTCTTCGCCTGGCGCTTGTTCGCCTTGAAGTGTTTCTTCGAGTTGGTTTTGCGTACTTCGGACGGGTCGATGCCGCGATCCATGGCTACCATGAGGCGCTCCTTGCGTCCGGTCAGCGGCTTGCGCATCTCCTGGCCTTGAGTCGTGTACTGCGCGTTGAACGGCAGCGTCATGCGACCTGTGGACGTCCCCGTTCCGGGGCCGAAGAATCCTGTGTCCAGGTTGCGGGAGCGCAGGCCCGGCTTCTCCGGGGCGACGGACGAGAGCAGCTCGGCGTCGATGTCCGCGGCGGCTTCCTGCGACTCGTCATCGTCGCCGCCGGCGCTGGTCGGGTTCCGTGTGGCGGCGGCGGCGTTCGCCTCTGCCTCGGCCTCCATGGTCTTAAGGAGCGCGGCCTGGCGGCGGGGAGGTAGGTGAGCGATGTCGTAGAGCTCGTGGTTGAAGGCGGCCGGGTCGATCGGGTCCGCGTCCGCCACTTGGGGCGGCGGGTGGCAGTAGAGCAGCTTGCCGTTGACGTAGTCCTTGAGGACGTAGCGGGCGGCGCGCGACTCGTCGGGCTGACCTAGACCCTGGGTGGAGAAGCCGCGGGCGCGGGCGTAGGCGCGCAGCAGCTCATGGGACGTGGGGACGCCGGTGCCGCCCTCCTCGAGCGGGCGGGTGCGGATGCGCATGCCGTAGATGTTCTCGAGGAAGGTCTTGGGGATCCGCTGGGCCACCAGGTGGGCGGGCCCCGTGAATTCACGCTGCTGGTCGATGGGCAGCACGCCGTTGACGACCAGCTCGGCCTTGGTGGAGGCGAAGTTGGGGAACACGAGACCGGGGCAATCACACAGCATGATCTCGGGCGTGAGGTACAGCGTCTGGAAATGCTTGGTCTTTCCCGGGGTCGCGGAAACCGACACCTTCTTGGAGCCCAGCAGGGCGTTGATCGTGCTGGACTTACCGACGTTGGGGTACCCGACCAGGCCGATGGTCGTCTTCTGCTTCCGCGGGTGCTCCGGGTTGTCGCTCTCGGGGAGCTTGTCGGGCGCGTTGGAGAGGAAAAGCTCCTCAAGTTCTTCGACGTCAAGGATCTCGATGTTGCGGCGCTTCCCGTCCTGCAGATTCATGGAATCGGTCGCGCCTGCGAGTTCCTCCTCCGCTTGTTCCGTGTCTTCCTCCGTCTCCCCCCGCTCGAGCCGCTCGTTGCGTTCCTTGGCCAGATGGGCGGAGAAGAATCGGAAGTCGATCTGCTCGCGCTCGAAATATTCGGCCCACATGACGCGCTGCTTATCGGTCAACATATCGGCCTTGTTGATGAGCAGGAGATTGCGCTTCTTGGAGTCGATCTGGCGGACGTAGGTCTCGAGGTCATCGCAACGGAAGAGGAGAGGGTTGCGGGCATCGACGATCTGGACGACGAGGTCGGAGCGCTCAATCACACGCCAGAGCTGACGCCACACCTCGATGTTGCGCTCGAAGGGAGTCATGAGCAAGTCGTTGTTCTCCTGCAACTCGGCCAGTCCACGTCGCCACTCCAGCAGATTCGCCCGCTCGCGACGATCAAGCTCCTCCCGCGTCGTCGTCGCATCCCAGGCCGGGCGACGGGGGACCGTCAAGCGGTTCCGGTTCTTGGACTGTTTGCGGATTGCGGACTGCTCTTCGGTGGCGGATAAAAGGTAAGGGTTCTTCTGGTCTGAGTGGATGATCTTGACATTGTGCATCTTCTCGGCGGTAAAGTCGGTGTTGGCCAGTTCGGCGGTGGACAGGAACTCATCGAGAGCCTGCTGTTCCGTGACGGACCGCATCTTCATCCAGGCTGCCTGCTTCGGGGCGTTGGTCACATAGCTATTTCCGTCGGGATCCTGGCGGACGATGGCGGCGTTGTGCGAGGCCTTTTTCATATTCGAGGCCTTGCCTTTGCCAAACCGGTCATTCATCAGGCTGTTGCCCAGCCCGGCGGAGTTTTTACTCTTTGCGAGAACCATTTTGAAGGATATAGATGGGAATGGAGGGTGATGGGAAGAAGAGGAAGAAGAAGAGAGAGAGAGAATGAGAAGAAGTGGATAAATTTGCATCGCCCAATCCGGTAAACCCCGCCATGGATAAGATAAGCCCACGTGACCGCTATCCAGATCTTTTTCGTTGGGCTTCAATCGGCCTCATTCTTCCCTCCTGTTTTCGTTTGATTTCTTCCTCCCACGGTTCCAGTAATATCTCGCAATCATGCCGCCCCGTAAGCAGTGGATGTATGTTTTATCCCTCACCAGTTTCATCTAGGCCATCCCCACAAGGACTAACAATCATTAGTGACAAGAAAAACGCCACCACTTACCAACTCTTCCACCGCTCGCAAAATGACCCTCGAATCCACGACCCCGAAGCCGATGACCGGGTTCTGTATCAAACCTCAGGGCCTGCCCCGGAGTCCAGCGCCTCGTCCGATGCCGCGAAGCGCGCACAGAATCTCAGGGATTTGAGCTCCCAGTTCGGCCCCGACGCCCTCCGCCAGAACGAAGGCGAAGCCGCCAACTACGGCGTCTACTACGACGACTCCAAGTATGACTACATGCAGCATTTGCGGGAGCTGGGCACCGGGGGTGGTGCATCGCACTTCGTGGAAGCCGCCTCGAACGACAAGGGCAAGGGCAAGCCCAAGATGCGCTTGGAGGACGCCCTGCGCAACATGTCCGTGGCGGGCGGCAGCACCGACGACGACACGCAAAGCCAGATCTACGGCTCCGAGATGCACTCCACCGCATCTACCTACTCCCGCAAGCCCACCTACCAGGACCAGCAGAACGTGCCCGACGCCATCGCCGGGTTCCAGCCTGACATGGACCCCCGGCTGCGCGAGGCGCTCGAGGCTCTCGAGGACGAGGCCTTCGTCGACGACGAGGACGACGACGTCTTTGGACAGCTGACCTCGCGAGCTGAGGAGATGGAACCCGGCGAGTGGGAGGACACGATGTTCGACCAGGACGACTATTACGACGACGAGGACTACGACGACGGTTGGGAATCCGACGCCACGGAGAAGGCTCCCGTGCAGGCCTCCTCGACCAACGCCGCATCCCTCACCGAGGACGGAGCCGCCCACCCCACCGCACCAGGCGAATTGCCCTCGCACGACGCCCCGGCGCCCGATATGCCCACCGAAGACCAGGGGTGGATGCGCGAGTTCGCCAAGTTCAAGAAGGAAGCCAAACAGCCGAAACCCGAGGACGCCGCGGCAGCAAGACGCCCCGGCGCGGCCGCCAGCGTGGCACCCAGCGAGCTGCGCAGCGCCCTGGACGCATCGACCGTCTTCACCGCAGGCGGGACGCCCATGCGGCGCAAGAAGCGCAAGGGCGCGCTCACCAACCCGTCTGCATACTCCATGACGTCGTCGGCGCTGGCGCGCACGGAGGGCCACCGCCTGCTGGACGACCGGTTCGACCGCGTCGAAGCTCTATACGCCCTCGACGAGGAAGACGAGGAGCTCGACGACAGCATGTCCATGGTCAGCGGCGCGACGGGCATGACGGGCATGACAGGCATGTCGACCGCGTCGTCGCAGGCGCCCAGCCTGATCGACGCCAACGGCCGCGAGGTCGCGCCCCGCCACGACATCAACAACATCATGGATGACTTCCTGTCCGGGTGGGACGACAAGACGGGCGCCGAGGTCAAGCGCAAGGGCGTCAAGAACAAGCGCGGCAAGCACGGGAACGAGGCGATCGGGATTCGCATGCTGGACGAGGTGCGGCAGGGGTTAGGGCCGGCTCGTGTGTCGGGTCGTGCCGGACGGGCCTGATATGGATGGAGGAATGAAAAAAAAAAGTTGTTTGTTTGGTCATGGTTTGGCGTCTGGATGATCTTTTCTTTCTTTTCTAATTCTTTGGCCTTTTTCTCTTACTCGAGTGCTCTGTTTAAGGCTATTGTTTATGATTCATGTAGATAGATCCATAGAGTTTGATGCATGCGGAAGCAGTTCTCCCGTCTGGGCCCTCGGATTCCATATCCTATATCTTTATCGTACACATATACAGAGCGATCCGCAAGATATAAGTAATATACAGTGTACACACATACCGTGTACACAAACTATAAAGCACCCCCCACACGCTCAACAATCCACATCGCCAACCGCACATGCCAGCCAACCCGACGCTCCGTGCGGCGCAAATCATCACGCTCGATAACCTGCGCATCACTCTGCAGCCACTTCGTCTCAGCGCCCAGCTTGCGCTTCAGCTCAGCATCACCAGTGACGACCAGCGCCCCGGCCTCCAGATCCAGGCTGTAGCTGCGCTTGGTGTAGTTGCTGCTGCCGACGACGGTCACGCTGGGGTGGTCCTCGCCCGGCAGGGTGATCCACAGGCCCTTGGCGTGGTAGGTCCATCCGCCGGGCTGGCCGACTGTGCCGCGGCGCCATTCCTTGAGCTCGATGGCTGGGGGGTGGGTTGGGGAGGGGCCGGAGGCTGCGGCGACTCGGTCGAGGAATCGGGCTGATAGGTGCGTGTAGGCTGCGGGCAGCATGCCGGAGATGCCGGCGGAGCCGAAGAATCCGTTTGCCCAGGGGGAGGCGGTTAGGACGGTGCCGCGCGTGGGGTGGGCGGCGGTGCTGGCGATGAGGAGGGAGGAGAGTGTCGGGTGCATGTTGAAGTATCCAGCGGTGAAGAGCCAGTGGGAGCCGGCGAAGGCGGGGACCTGGCATAGTAGGCGCAGGATGGCGGTCACTGCGGGGAACTCGGTCGATGTGTCTGGGCGGAGTAGCGGGGTGAACTGTGCGATTGGGTAGACGAGGGTCTGGCTGGGGTTGGGGCTGGGGCTGGAGGGTTTCGGTTCGGAGGGAAGTTGTTGGGAGCCCGACGCCGGGTGGATGAGCGGGTTCAGCACGGTGGCCGCGTCGGCTATGAACTTAGACGGGTTGTCCAGCGGACACGGGGCGCCGTTGGCCGATGGCCAGTCGAGGAGATAGCCCGAGGGTTGGTGGGCGTCCGGAAGGACCTGGAAGCTGAGACTGCAGACGGCGTTGTGGATGCGGGCGTAGTAGTCGGTGAGTTCCCGAGAGTGGAAGACATGGTACCGGTCGAGGCGGTTGGTGAAGTAGTCGCTTGAGAGGTTGGCCCTTCATCCAGCATTGTCAGCATCTAAATCGCCGACGACTTCCTCCGCGGAAGGAGAGCATACCCTGAGAGGATGATCTCGTCATCAAACCCGTACAGCTTCATATGCTGCAGTCCCCAACCCTCGTTGATCCGCCGCGGAATGTGCTTCTTCCGCAGCCCCGTCAGATTAGGCGTATGGAACATGCGGATCTCGACCCTGTCGGGGCCATGCTTGGCCACCAGCGTCGACAACAGCGAAGCGCACGACGGATCGGGCGATTCGCGCGTCCCGCGTAGGGCATCCGTTAGGATGGATACCTGGAGGTCGGGGTTATCCGCCAGCGCCTGGTCCAGCGTCTCGATGAGATCATGCTCGGTTTTGCCGATATACAGCGTCGAGAAGTAGATGCGCCGGCGGGCTTTGCGGATTTTGTCCTGCAATGGTCAGTGTCTGCATTCCTCGATATTGGGGGTCCCCTCACCTTCAGGGTTTCATAGAAACTGGCCGGGGAGTCAAGAATGGTGATCTTCGACGCAGGAACCTCAAAGCACGGCGAAATACGGTCCAACTCGGTCCTAATGGCACCCAGAGACGACACCCCGGACGAGGCCGCCATGCTAGGACCGGGGTGATGGGCGGAAAACTTGCGCTCACAATTGCACAACCGCCGCCGTGCCCAGGGTCTGCGCACCGTACAGCGGAGGGACTGACCCCCAAGGCGACCGAACATAATGACTTTTCAAAACGAAAGAAACAGAGACCGTCGACAGAAAGACAGAGCGACAAACGACTGGATGGATCGCGATGAAGCAGAAACGCGGACGATTATCACGGGTGCAAACAGACCAAACATTCCACCACGCTAAGCCGGATCGGGCGAGTGCAACTTCGGCGAATGAAGATGCGATCATTTGCACCATTTCCAGCACTTCCTCTCCTGCACCTCCCTCTCCTCTCTATACCCCCCCCACCACCACCCACCATGTCGACTATCCTGCGTACTCTGCGTAATCTGCGCAGAATCGGTTTCAAGGTAAGAATCCCCATTGAGCTCGTTGGTGGAAGCTCCCCGCTAACTGTCGTCGTCTACAGGAATATGGTCACCAGATGCAGGTATGCTAACCCCCCCGGGGAAAGGCACGACGAATGGATCGACCCCGATCGGAATTGAGGACGGACACTGACGACAGATGCTACTCTCGCGGCGAATTAGAACATGGGTACGGATCGCACGCCAATCCCTTGCACTAGACGAGAGCTCCGGAGCTGACGGAAGACAACTCAATACAGGTGACACCAAGGCCGGTACTCTGATCGGAACCGACCGTTTCGGCAACAAATACTTCGAGAACTTGGGAGAAGAGCTGCCTCGTAAGTGACCGAGGTGGTGTATGGCGGTCCCTGGATCCGCCCGCATCCCCCCAATCGGAAGATCGACCAGCCCGGTTGATGCTGACTCCCTCCAGTCCGCACGCGGTGGGTAGACTACAAGGTGTCGACATACGGTGACGCCTCGGAGATTGAGCCCGGCTGGTGAGTGTTCCCTGCGTGGTCCGCTGTCTGGATATGGACCCCCACCCCGGCGGGGATGAGACTGACTGGCCGTTTCTAGGCACGCCTGGATCTCCTACATGGTGGATGCCCCTCCCACCCAGGACAAGATCCTGCAGACCGGTCACCGCATCTGGGAGCTGCCCGATCACCGTGCCAACCCGACGCTCAGCCGTGGTGCCTTCAAGACCTACTCCACGTGAGTCCGCCCACCGTCCGACCTACCCCCGACGACCCCTGGACTAACAATGGCTGTCTAGGACCCGCCCCAAGTTCAGCGCCTGGACGCCCGTTGCGGCTCCCCGGTAAAAACGACAAAAGCCTCGCTATGGAATGATTTGGATCCAGGACTGGGTGGAGAGGACCACTGCTGGGTCCTGTGTAAATAAACAAAGATGTCTGTCTGTCCGGTTTCTTTCTAGGTTGCTTGAAATACAAAGGGTTTCTATTATTCACAAACGCAAAACGACGGTGTAGACGAGAAACGAAAACATAAAAGAAAAAAAGAAAGAAGAAGCTAGTCTAGCCAAAGTTCCACTATACATAAAAGTAAAACAAACTGCAACAATTCTATCAAACAGCAGGCAGGATATGGAAGGTAGGTATCTCGATCAAGGAAGAAAGGCAAAATCGACAAGAAAATAAAGGAGCAATCAAATAAAATCAACCCAAGAAACCAAGACCCGTCGTGTCAGATAGAGTAGATACACAGATGGTACGAGCGATCGAATGAACAAAAGGGGGGACGGAGGGAGACAGGGTAGTTTTCGAAGATGGATTATGGATGCCTGTTACAGCACGTACACCCCCGAACCCAGGTGCGACCAGTGTCGGATGGGCCGGCGGTCTTCCAGTTCGATGCACCACCACAGCACCTCCTTGAGCTTCTCGGTCTGCCCCTCCGCCTCGTAAGCCCGCGACAGCACGAACCACGCCTCGCTGTTGTCCCACGAGCTGCCGCGCTTCGTCAACGCCGACAGCAGCGCGTGCGCCCGCTCGCGCGCAGAGATCCGGTTGAGTAGCTTGGCTTCGTCTTCGTGCGGTGCCGGCAGGACCGGCGCCACCAGGGCCTGCGACTGTCGCTTGTCCAGGTGCGCACCCAGGGAGAAGTTGGGTCCCCGGCTGAGCCGCTTGGAGGTCTGCTCCGGTGTGGGCGCCGCCGGCACCCGGGCCTGCAGGGACGGGTCCAGATCAATCTCCGGCTCGACTAGCTCCAACGGGAGCTTGCGGTCCCAGATGTCCAGCAACAGGGTGGACAGACAGATGGTCGCCTTGGGATGGTCTGAGTCGAGCAGGAGGGCGTCTTCGAAGTGGCCCATGGCCTCGTGTGCGCGCCCCTGGGCCGTGGACAAAAGGCCCCGCTCCGTGTAGAGGTCCGCTCGCAGCTCATCGGCGCTCCGCCCCACGGCCCAGCCACGCTGCCGGAAGCCCCTTGCGGACGAATCCTCGGCCGCCACCAGTGCCTCCACGCGTGCCACATGCTTGGCGGCCTCCTCCGACGCCTCGGCCGCGTCGTCGAAGAGGGACGCGCGGCGGTAGAGGCCTGCGATCAGCAGCCAGGTCTTGACTAGCAACCCGAGCGCATGCTTCTGGGACTGGACGCGCGGCAACTTGGTCACCACCTGCGCCGGCGAGTCGAAGCTGTACGAGGTCGGCACCCGGACGTCGTGCGTCGGGGGTTGAGAGGCATGCCCCGCCGGTGGGGGCAGCTGGTCGTGGCTGATATTGTGAGGGATGGGAGGCAGCGGGTGCCGTGCGTTGGGGGGTTGCGAGCCGGGTGGGGACCGGGTGCCGTTCGCGTGGACTCCCACCGACTCCCCGTCCCCGTTGACGGGGTCGGCCCCCAGTCTCCGGCCGCTGCTGCGCTTGCGGACCCTCTGAGAATTCGACCGGGATACCGCGGCGGAACCCTCCGGGGTGGGGTGTCGGGCGCCGTCGGACACGTGGATCGCGGGCGGGGCGTCTGTGGTGGCGGGGGACTCCGCTGCACGTGCTGAGACGTGTGGGCTATCCGGCGGAATCCCGGGGACCGGTTCGGGGATGCGCGGGACTTTGCTGCTGCGGCCAAAGATACTGCCCCGGAAGGTCCGCGTAGACCCAGCGGAGCTTTTGGGCGGGGTCAGATGGTCCGCAGGCTCTTTCCGCTCCTCTGACGAGAGATCCAGATCGTCGAACAGGGCGGCAAAGAGACCGAGCAGTTGCTCGCTGTGGTTGACCGCGGCCTCGGGGCCCTCCACCAGCTCCACGAAGGCAAGTTGGGTCATGCGGGTCTCGAGGATGCGCTCCTTCTCGCGGCCGCGGAGGCGACGGATGAGGGCGTGAGTCAGTCCGGCCGCGTTGGATGGATCCGGGCTGCTCGGTGACTTGGTGGCGCGTCGGTCGCCGTGCGTCAGGGAGGTGACCGCGTTGGGAAACTGCTCGAAGGCGGCTTCACAGGAACGCTCGGCGATGTCGAAGTCGTGCTTGGCGCTGAGGAGCAACGCCAGGAGGTGCCACATCGGGACCAGGTCCCTCTCCCGGACGAAATGCGCCTGGGGCGGCGACGGACCACCAGGGGCGGTCAACGCCGACTTGACGTAGTCCACCGCGCCATCCAGATCGCGGTCCTCCGCTAGCAGTATGGCCAGCGTGTAAAGCGACGAGTAGTTGGCGTCGTCGCCCAGGGCGGGGTCCAGGCTGCGTTCGAGATAATCGATGGCCTCGGCGCGGATGTCGTCTCGCTTCTCGTTCACCGGGGTCCAGTACGCCCAGTTGGCCAGGCCGATGCCGATGCCCCGGTAGGCCGTTGCCAGATCCCGCGGGGCCACCGCCGGGGAGGCAGGGGAGCGCGACCCGGCGGCCACCAGCTGCCTGTCCGCGCCGCTGTCGTCGTCCCCCTCCCCGACGTGCCGGGCGAGGACCGTCTTGATGAGGTCCACCAGCTCTCGTGCCTTCTCAGCCTGGGGTTTGGCCCCAAAGCAGCCGAGCATGACGATGGCCTCGGACAAGGTGCGCACAAAGGTCCCGTCGCTTTCCGTCGCGCCGAACTGGGCCCCCTTGGCGGCGCGTTCCTTGGCGTCCGTGACGATCTCGATGTACGCATCTAATGCCTTGAGGGCGAGGTCGAAGTCCGCCAGCGACGCGTGAACCTGGAATAGCCGGCGCAAGATTAGGTGGGAGTGGTAGGTCTTGGTTGCCGCGCGGTAAAGGATCTATAGGATGGGTTAGCAATGCCCCGGGACCGCGGCGATCAATTGTCGCGAGACGAGCGCGGCGACTTACGTCGAGGACGGCGCGGCCCACGGCCACCTGGCCACCGTCGCCCAGTTCCTCGTCGGTCCACTGAGGACCCCCAATCACCCCCCAGTTCCCAATGACCTGCTCCACCCATTCCTCCACTTGGGTGTTGCGCGAACTGGCGGTGGGGAATTTAACTTCGCGGAGCAAGTTGGACTCGCAGATGGATTCGACCAGTCGGAGCTCGCTGGCCAGCTGGGGACGCGCAGGCCCGCTGGCCTGGGGCGTGTATGGCAGCCCATGGCGTAGGATGGCGGACAGAAGGTCGTAGTAAGATTTCCAGATGAGGGACTTGGCGTTGGCCTCCCGCGGGGAGGCGGGCGCGGCGCTCCCGCGCTTGACGTGGGGGTGGGTGGACCACAGTCGGAAGAGGCGCAGTGCGGTCTGCAGCAGGACGTCGTCCGCGCGGGGGGCCATATGGCAGGCCTTGTCGCCGGCCAGCAGAGCGCCCTCGGCCACCAACTGCTCGGACCACTGCAGGAACTGGGGGTTGTTGAGCGAGGCGGCCTGACTGTAGCCATTGAGCCACAGGGTCAGCGAATCGAGCGTCTCCAGGGCCTCGTCGGCCCCGGCTACGGTGTGCTGCGCCGCTCCTATCGTCGGGTTAGCCAAAAGAAGGTCAATTCCATGGGACCCGCCACCCAGATACGTACCCTTGATATAGCATCCCTTAACCAGGCAGACCTTGGTCCACGGCGTCAGGTCCTCCCCGGCACTGGCGATAGCCTTGAGCGATTCGCCAAAGTCCTTGGGAAGTCGGGCGACGGCCAACCCAGGCTCATGGAGGGTCCAATGTAGCCATCCCAGACACACTTGGGCCTGGAAGATGTCCTGTCTTGGACTGTCGCCGCGGTCAATGGTGGAGAGCAGGGAGGGAATCAGTTCGGGGAGGGTGGAGGAGGCCGCGGAGGAGGGACGGGGATTCGAGGGATTTTTGTTGAGGTCGGTGGCGACTTGATGTTCGGCTGAGGCTACTTGGATGAGGCCTACGCATCATGTCAGCTTCTCTCCTCCCAATGTCCATCATCAGGGGAGACTCCCAAGAATAGGGGGAGGGGGACGAACAAGATCGGTGCGGAGCATGTTTGGTGATCTTCCGGACAAGCTCCGGTACCTCCTCCCATTTATTCTGGCAGCGCGCATTGTCAAGGGCGACAATGTAGCGTTGCGCCTTCTCGGATTCTCGACTCTATCATAGATTGGTGTTATTATCGAACGTTGTGACCCGTAGGAATCAAGTGGGGGGTTCAGTATAGTCAAGAATGAGGCTGAGGGAACACGTCAGGGGTGGGGGAGGAATGTTGGAGACCAGCGAACAGGGAGAGGAATGTCCAAATAAAACGCGGTAGGTCATATCAAGAGACAGAAAAAGAGAAGAAAACTCACGGCCATGATCTGAGGCTCCAGGGGAAGAAGAGGGAGAGGACAACAGAGCGAGTGTGGGGGAAGAATGAGATGAAACAAATGAGTGAAGAATCTGGGGAAGTACCAGGATAAACAACAATTCCCCCTCAAACCCAATCAACCATTGTGATCCACAGAACCAGGTTCGATCTATAAATAAATTCAACGACACGAACTCCAAGAGGGGAGAAAGAACAAGAAGGATTGACTGCAGAGAGAGGAGAGAGAGGAGGAGGAGGAAGAGAAGATGATGACGATCTTCGGCCAGGGGAGATTGAGGCCTGTTCCTGTCTCGTACCATACCCGTCGATACCCACCGTACTATACGATAATACCATTGTCTGCCGTATTCCGTAATACCGCACGGCGGGTATGGTATTCTGCCCGAGGTTTCACGTGGTCCGAGCGGTGAGCGGTGTCTTTTTTTTTTTTTTTTTTTTTTTTCGTCTCCGAATCATACAGGAAGAATCGCATCTTTAGCTTCAATTTCGCAACCCACTTGGCTCGGGATATAGTCAAGAATTACCCCATCATGGCCTCGATTTCGGTGCTCCATGCCGTCAACCACCGTCTCACGAACATTCCGGTTAAGCAACTCCCGGCCATCACCGCAAGCTTGGCCATCTCTCTCTCCAACTGCGGGGAGTTGCTGTCCTCGACTCAGTCCCTGTCGCAAAAGTCCAAACCGGGCAAATCCGATGCCAATTCCGACAATGCGATTCAGGTGCATCGGTTGATGACGCGACTGTCGAGTCTGCTCCAAGATCGCAGTCCGGAAGGGCGATGGACGGCCGTGGTTTTGATCAAGGCGGCGGTGGAGGCCGGACAATGGGAGATCCTCCGCTCGTGTGAGCCGCTGGTGCGCGGTCTTATTGCGATCCTGACGGTATGATCGAGATAGAGGACAATCCCATTAAACAACGGGACCGAGAGCGTGGCTAATGGTTTAGAAACCCGATCCCAATTCCACCAAGAAAATGGCCCTCATCACCTTGACCCGCATCTTCCACCTCACCTACCAGTATCCCACCCTCGTGCGCGAGATTACCACCCCATCGCTGCCCGGATTCGTCACCTCTGCCTTGAACTTGATCTCCGTGAAGGCCTCGTCTGAACCCGTCCGCCGTCTGAAGCCCAATACCCCCTTCGTCGAGATCGTCCTCCAGGCCCTCGGGGAGCTGATCGTCCGTCACCCAACTACCTTCCGTCCCTTCTCCGCTCAGATCCATAGCGTGCTGCTGGCGATCATTGGGTCGACGTCGCCGTGTTTCCCGGATCCGGTGGTGGACGTGGCGGAGCGCCTTTTCGTCTCTCTGCACCATTGCGCGCCCAAGAACGCTTCGACCGACGAGTGGAAGAGCGCCTGCCACATGACCATCGCCTCGGCGCACGAAGCCGCCCAGTCCGTCTTCCGCTCGGTCGTGGAGCAGTGGGAATCGGTCGATCCGACCACCAGGAGGTCTGCGAAATCGTCGGACTACACCAAGGAGGTGGGTAACCAGGGGGATGCCCTGGGACTCGGGGCCTGGCAGAGTGTACACGCCGGCGTGGATCGGCTCGTTATGCTGCTGCGACTGCTCTCGACATTCTTGGGCACCCCCACTGCGTCAGCCGTCGCCGTCCCCATCGGAGCCATCCTGGATCTGACGTCGCGACTGACATCGCTGACTGTGCCCTGCGCCGGGAGAGACGTCCAACCCAACCAGCAGATCAGTCGCGTCGAGCGAGAGGAGCTCTTCACCGAGCTGCCCCGCATTCACACGGCCTGCCTGGAGCTGCTGCTCACGCTTTCCAAGACCCTCGAGTCTGCAGTGACCCCCGTGGGCCAGACCATCCTGGAGCAAACCCTCTGGGTCTTCCCCGCGGAGCGGTTCAGCCGTCAGGTGCGCTCGTCGACCTACGAGCTAGTCCAGGAGCTCCTCCCGCACCTGGGTCCCACGATGTCCCGACAGAGCGTCTCCGCGTTGACAAACCTCATCCGGGCCTGCTGCAGCGATCTCCTCCCGCCGACCAACGACCAGACCGGCCCCGCCGCCGACACAAAGGGCAAACCGAAATCCAACCCAACCACCGCCAACGCCGACTCCTTCCTGAACCCCACCCTCAAGCAGACCCGGCAGGCCGACTCGTCCTCCTCCCCAGACCTGCACCGCACAGCCGTGTCCTTCCTCCCCGCCGTCCTCATGCACGCCCCCACCGAGCACCTCTCGCCGGCCCTGCGCGCCGAAATCGACCGCACCGTCATCCTCACAGCCGACAAAGACGCCATGCTCGCCAGTGTACTCAACCCCATGCCCGCCATGAAGGGCCGCGCCGCCGCCGCCAGCATCCTGCCCTTCCTCGCGCGCAGCGCGCCCACCGCACCCGACGTCGAGGCGCTCATCCGCCCGCGCATGCCGGTCCTGATCCCCACCTCAACCATCGGCACCTACGACACAATGGACGAGTCGGAGTCGGAGTCCGAGTCCGACCCCAAACCCACAACTACCATCCCATCCCACACCAAATCCGGCTTCCTCCACACGTCTTCCTCAACTACCACCATGCTCCAAACACCAGCCGCGCCCCAGCAGGCCCCGACCCTGCAAATGAGCAAGCGCACCTACGAAGAGGAGCCGCTGACCTCCCGCCCGCAACCACCAGCGCACACTACCGCGTTCGAACGGTCTCACAGTAAGAAGCCCCGCGTCTCGGCTGAGAACACCCCGACACCGTCTCTGGGCGCCGCCTCGCCGGCTACTTTCACAGGAACGGCGGCCATCCCGGTGCCTGTGGACTCGGAGATTACCGCTGCGGCGGCTCCGGCTCCTGTGTCGACGGCCGGGGCGGCTCTGGCGGCGGAGGAGGATGGGGATGAGAGTGGGGACGATTTGCCTGCTTTGAATCTTGATCCGGATACGGATGATGATGATGATGATGTGAGTATGGATGGTTGATTGGTAGTCAGAATATAGATGAAAGAGGGGGTAGAATATAACTTATGCATATACTACTATCGTGTTTAGTATCTTTACCTGTGTAGTGTAGACATATGATATGTATTCGCGTACGTCCAAACTCTACTTTCTAACCCAGGTCTACTTACATCTATATACTGGAAATCAATATGAAGACAGAGCGAGTGTAAAGAAAAATAAAATCACATAATCCGTACCCCCCGTTCCCAAAAACTCCCCCCATCCCAGACCCTCATCCACGCCCCTCCCAACACCACCAGCCCTCACCGTCCGTCCCCGTTCCCAAGCCCACACCCCGCAGCAGACTCACCGGCAGCGGCTCCGTCAGGAACAGCCCACTGCGAGCGAAATCATCTACCACGAGCGGGCCCGACCAGGCCAGCCAGGCGAAAACGAACAGCAGATTGACAGTGCGGCGCAACCACCTCGGTGGGGGGTGATGCGGGGAGGGGAAGAAGATGGATGAGCATGCGGAAGAGAGGATGCCCTGGATGATGATGCCGACGGCTTGCAGGAGGAAGAAGCAGCACGTGTCGCGGATGGGGTGCGTCTCGGCAATCTGTGTGTAGCTGCCGCAGGCATGAACCAGGCCACTCAGCCCAAACCCGATCACGGTCGTTGCGATTCGGCGAACGGTGCGGTTGGTGGCTAGTCTGGTGGGACAGAGGTGGGACAGGAGCCATTTGGCGGATGAGGCGAATCCAAATCGGAAGAGCTGGTGCCACCATAGGACCCAGCAGCCGGCGAGGCCGTGGTCCAGGAGAGAGGGGAGGAAGGAGCCGAAGGCGGAGGGGTAAAGCCACGGGGCGTCAAGGGGGGCTGCAGTGAGGGAGCGGGCGGCGTTGGGGAACCTGAGTGACAGGCCGAGGAAGATGATTGGGTTGAAGGCTGTCACGTAGCTCAAGGCCGCGAAAACACCGATGCCAGCTAAGAAGAGCCGGTAGATGCGGATTGCCCACGGGAGGTCCGGGAGTACGGCGCTGATTGGGAAAGGAGCGGGTGGCGGCGAGGATACGGTGCCTGTGAGGAAGTAAGGGTCGCGCATCATGAGCACCTTGACCACGTCCAAAAGGAGATAGGCCTTGAGACAATTCATGAAGGCGGCGTGCAAACGGGACCGTCCGTCCACAGTGCCCGTCGCGGGAGTCGCTGACCACGGTTTCCTAACGGACGGGGAGGAGCCCAGCTGCGCTTGCACCGACAGCGGCAGAGCATCCATGGTGGGCAGACGCCAGTTCCATTCAGGGCCACGCATGTTAAAAAGTAGGCCGAGGGCCCAATTCAATCGGTGTACCAGCCCCTGGGGATATGGCTGCCACACCAGAAGCTCCTCCAACGTGGGCTCCTTCGAGGTGCTATCCGTGACGGCATTCCCGTCCTGGCCTGCAGCCTTGTTGGGTTCTGCGCCTAGACAGCGCCGCTCGATCCGTTGGAAATCCCGTTCCGGGTCATTGAAGACGAGAAGAGTGCCGCACCAGATACTCCACCACGCTACGAGAAGGCCCGGCATATAGCCATTCCCTCCCAGCAGCGACCGCCGACGCAGGATCACATCGCAAGCCACACCGATGGTGAGGCACAGAACTAGAGGTCGCAGGAAACGCGTCCCTCTCCGCTGCGGTATCAACAGCGCTGATAGGGAGAGGCCTATGAAGAGGACAAAGTGCCAGAGAAAAAAGGGGTGAAATTCTCCGGCCCCGATGAGGGTCTCAAGGCGGTCTTGATAATCATGATTGACTTGACGATATGACCGCAACGCAGGATCGGCCATAGAGATCAGGATTGGACAATTCTGTCGCGAGTTGAAACCCAATCCGTGCGATCCACTAAGTAAGTGGTTCTGTGATGTTTATGCTTCCGGTGTTCCAGGGAAGAATTCAGCCGTGCCGCCACCCAAGAATGCTATGTTGGCATCAGAATATGCAGAGTCAGTCAGCCACGAGTCTGCTTAGATAATGATATCCAATGAGTCGGAGATTTTCTTCCTCTCGTGGCACAGGATAAGTCATCCCAGAGATATTGAGTAGTGGACTGGTCAGATCAGGAAGATTGAACTCTTCTTATCTATGTATGCAACGGGATTTCATCGTTTCCCATGGCATTCTGTCCAGTGTCATTGTTTTCGACCGTAGATCCGGGTCCACTGTAAACATGACTCTTTAATCCAAAGACCTAATGGGCGAAGTCCTTGATTGAAGGCGCTTGTTGCCAGTCTTAAGTCTATAACCCTATTGACCTGAAGGGACGAGGGAAAGGTTAGCAGAAGAAGGACGGATCGAGATGGGGGGGGAGAAGAAGACGAAAAGAGAAGAGGAGAAAATGAAGAAGAAAAAGAGGTAAAAAGAGAAAGTCTCGTGACTCGCAACGTGACTATCATCCATGATTCCATCTTCAACTTCAACTTCAACTCCATCTTCCTCTTCATCTTCACTTCTCTCTTATCTCTTTCTTCCCCCTTGATCAACGTCCGGGTAAAACATGGTCAAGCTTCCCTAGCAGTGGATACGTCTCCAACCAAACCACAGAAGGATTCCAATTTAACATAACCCCCCACTTTTATCCCCGGTCAAATGAAATGAGCTTTCCACTTATTCGTGCCATAGTAGTCTAGCCCCCCTCCTTGTCCATTCATGACTCCTGGTCAATAAGACAGGAAAAAAAAAAAAAAAAAAGAAGAAGGAAAAGGAACGAAAAGACAAGAAAAGGAGAAAAAGAAAAAACGATCACGGATTGTTTCCCCTCGTGTCCGGATCTCACCGACCAAGACGACCCCCCGTCAATATCCTATCAAATGTTGATGTTTCCCAAGGCCCCCGAGGGGTTGTTGGAGATGGAGCTCTGGGAGCGCCTAGCCTAGTCCCAACAGTTTGCGTATGCCCAATCTTATGCTATGAAATCTTGTGAGGAAGATGGCTGCATAACCGACGATTTGTCGACCCACTCGCTCGCATGGAGGTAACCTGTCTCCCCACTGACATCGCTGATTGGGTCAAAGAGCGCCACCACTCTTGTTGACTGGCGTTAGTTGTCTTAGCGATTACTCGCATAACATCCGGAATACACGGCACAAGGCCGTTTCGACGGAAGAATTCGAAAGAACTTGTGAAGGCACCCAAGGAAGCCGATTCCATGCGGGCCCCGCTCACGGTCTTCGCCCGGTCCACCGGGTGTATAATTATGTACGGAGTAAGCACGGTGTACTTATGACCGACTCATTGTGCATCTTTGCGGCTGGAGACTATATTAAATGAACTCTCCGTCCACTTTTCCCCGTCATATCGTTGTGATTCTTCTACCCAGCACCCTGACTGGCCCCATGATGACCAGCTGATAAAAAAACAACCCCTCCCCTCTCACCCCCATGCACTCGACGCAATTTTCAGCCTCCCCCCGGTTTCATCAGCGGTGACACAACAATCCATCCGACTACCAACGACACAGACTCGTGCGCCAAATCTCTTCTCCCATGAGCAATTCGACAGCCGATGCGGGCGAGCCTGTCAAGCCCACACGCATCACACACTGGCGCCTCCTCTTTGACCAAGGAGTACTCACGCAGGAGATCATCAACCATGACTATCCGGGGTCCGGCACGGAGGAAGACCCGTACGCGGTCACCTGGATCCCAAATGACCCTCGCAATCCCCTAAACACGTCCATGACGACCAAGTGGATCTATACCAACGCGATGGCTTGGGCCACCCTCGCCGTGTCGATGGTCTCGTCGGCATACACGGGCGGTATAGAGCAAATTCTTCGGGAGTTTCGAGTGGGGACGGAAGTGGGCACGCTGGGCGTCTCCTTGTTCGTCGTCGGATTCGCCGTTGGCCCCTTGGCGTGGGCCCCGTTGTCGGAGCTCTTTGGCCGCCAATATCTGTTTTTGGCCAGCTACTTCGGGCTCACTGTTTTCAACGCCGCGGCCGCCGGCTCTCCGAACATCGAGTCGTTAATTATATTCCGGTTTCTGGCTGGGGCATTTGGCTCGTCCCCGCTCACCAACGCCGGCGGCGTCATTGCCGACCTGTTTCCCGCCAGTCACCGCGGCCTAGCCATGAGTATCTTCGCGGCGGCACCCTTCTTGGGTCCCGTGCTGGGCCCGGTCATCGGAGGCTTTCTCGGCATGAACGCAGGATGGCAGTGGGTGCTAGGTTTCCTGGCCATCTTTTCCGGGGCGCTCTGGATCTTATGCAGTCTCATTGTGCCCGAGACTTATGCGCCAGTCCTGCTCCAGCGCCGCGCCGCGCGACTCTCCCAGCTCAGCGGGAAAGTCTACCGGAGCAAGCTCGAGATCGACCAAGGCAAAAAGACTCTGACGGGTGCCTTCAAAACGGCTCTGTCTCGTCCCTGGATTCTTCTCTTCCGCGAACCCATCGTGCTGCTTCTATCAATCTACATGTGAGACCCCGATCACGTATTGCTTGGTTTTGGTCCGAAGCTAACCCCAGACAGGGCCATTATATATGGAACTTTGTACATGATGTTCGCTGCCTTCCCCATCGTATATCATCATGACCGGGGGTGGAATCAAGGGATTTCGGGCCTGGCCTTCCTGGGTATCATGGTGGGCATGATGTGTGCTGTCACTTACACAATCATTGACAACAAGCGTTACGTCAACACGCAGGCGAGGCATAATGGGTTTGCACCTCCGGAAGCCCGCCTGCCTCCCTGTCTCGTCGCCTCGATTGCCGTTCCCATCGGCCTGTTCTGGTTCGCCTGGTCGAATGGCCCAGAGGTCCACTGGATGGCCAGCATCGCCGCCGGCGCGCCGTTCGGATTCGGCATGGTCTTGGTCTTCTTGAGTCTGATGAACTATCTGATCGACGCGTATACGATTTTCGCCGCATCCGTGCTAGCCGCCACCTCTGTCCTGCGTTCGCTCTTCGGCGCCGCCTTCCCACTCTTCACGACCTACATGTACAAGGATCTGGGCCTGCACTGGGCATCCAGTATCCCAGCCTTCCTTGCCGTGGCGTGCGTGCCCTTCCCCTTCCTCTTCTACAAGTACGGCTCGTCTATCCGGGCGCGATGCAAATACGCCGGCGAATCCGAAGCCTTCATGCAAAAGATGATGGCCCAGGTCATCAAGCCCGACCAGGAGCCCAAGGCAGAAGAGACCGGTGCGGTCCCGGAAGAAAAATCGATCGGCGAGCAGGACTCGACGCAGGCCGACTCGTCCGCCGATCAACTCGGCCCGCCGGGTCCCAGTCCCGCTGCACACCGCGCGCTGTCGATTGCCTCGCAGGCGTCGTCGGGCCCCACATATGCAACATCGCAGACCGTGTACGATGCGAACCCGTATGACATCGACCGCGTGAACACGCGGGAGTCCTTTAAAAATTAATCTGGTGGGGATAAGGAGGTCCGACATTATGCATATATATTTTTTTTGTAATAATATCAAGCGTGCATGAGGTGAGCTGGCACTGTTTGTGTTGTTGGCTCCCCTCCCCTTTTCCATATTGTGATCATGTAGCATGACCTCAGGATAGTTGTTAATTAATAATTTATCTATACCACTGGCTCTGTAGTCTAACTCGTGTGTCTAAGCCACACCAAGTTTATTGTGGAGACTGATAGAAAGAACAAGAGACACATATGAACACAGAGATCTAATTTCACTGCTAAATGGCTGTAAAAGACAAAAGCACCGAGAACAGAGCCATTAAATAGTACACGACGCTACAAAGAGACCAAACCCGAGACACGATATAACACCCCCTTTTCCCGCAAAAAAAAAAAACGAATCAGAAACAGCAATCATCCCAGCAACTGTTCAATATCAGCGATCCTCGTAGTGCGATCATCCCTCTTCTTCGGCGCAGTCTCCCGGAACGCATCGAGCATCAACTTGCGCTTCGTCTCCTGGATATCGAGGACGCGGTCCTCAATGCTATCCTCGACGATAAGGCGCCAGAAGGTAGTCTCACGGGTCTGACCGAGGCGGTAGACACGGTCTAGGGCCTGGGATTCGATGGCGGGGGCCCACCACGAGTCGCACAGGATGGCCTGGTTGGCGGCGACGAGGTTGAGGCCGACACTGCAGACGCTGAGGGAGGCGAGGAGGACGGTGCAGGATGGGTCTTTTGAGAAGCGGTGGGAGGCGGTGTCGCGGGCGACGGAGGGCATTTTGCCGTCAATGCGGGCGAAGTCGATGCCGTGGCGGTGGAGGTGCGGTTCGAGGAGGTTGAGGAAGGAGGTCCATTGGCTGAAGACGACGGTTTTGGTGCCTGGGGCTTGGCCTTTGGCTGTGAGGATCCTGATTAAGGCTTCGATCTTGCTGCTGGGGTGATCGGGGTCGGCTGCGGCGCCGCTGTTGCTGTCATCGTCGTCGGCGGACTCGCCCATGTTGACGGCGGGGGAGACGAGCGTGTCGGTGTTTTCGATGTCGGCTCGGCACATGGGGCATTTGTGCTGGCGCTCGATGACCTGCTCGATGCAGCCGCGGTCGAAGGAGTGGGCGCAGGCGGTGATGACGGGCTGCTCGAGAGTGTCGAGGCATATGGGGCAGGTGTCTTGGCTCTCGATGCGGATCTGCAGGTTCTCTTGGAGGGTTTTGATGTTGGCAGGTGTGAGCGGGATGACTTTGTGTTTGTCGAGAAGCTTGGCGAGGTTGTCGACACGGGCTTTGCAGAGCGCCCAGTGGTTGCAGACTTGTCGGAGGCGCAGGATGACCTCGAGGAGGTTGGAGTACGTCGTACTGGATTTGTCTTGAGACTTGAAATCCAAGAGCATACCCTTGGCTTCGGATCTGGTGGACAGAGTAGTTAGAGGTTAGTACCAAGCAGAAGAAATGAGGTGATCGTGCGTACTGGAACATGTTGTATTTCTCCTGTTCGTGCGGGTGGAATTTCACGCGGAGGACGCGCGAGGCGAGCGGAGGCAGGCGCAGGTTCACGAACTCCATGTCCTTGCGCCGACGAAGGCATAGGGTGCTCATGAGGGCCTGGAGGAGCAAACGAGCATTGGGATCCTCATACATCAGAGGTCGCACTAGAACACCGTTGAACACCGCCGGGTCTTCCAGACCGCCGGTCAGCCCCAGGAAGCGAATTTGCGAGTACAGATCTTTGAGCGAGTTGATGATCGGCGTGCCCGTCAAGGTCCATCGAGAATCCGCCTGCAGATGACAGGCGGCAAGGGCGCCTTTGGAACGCGGATTTCGGATCGTGTGTCCTTCGTCCAGCACGACACGCCGCCAATGGATGGAAAAGAGCCCCTTGGCTGGCTTTTTCTTGGAATCAGGCTTGTATTCCATGGCCAAGGCGCCGTAACTGGTGACCACCACGTCGTACTGGGCTAGATTGCCCGCCTCCTTTTTCCCCGAGCCGTGGTAGATGAGCACCCGTGGAGCATTTTCGCGGTGGGTATGATCGTTCATTTGATCCTTCCAGTTACTCATCACGCCGACTGGACTGATAATGAGAGTCGTCGTAGTCGCGCCAGGAGTTTTGGGCTGAGGACTAGCCAGGATCAGCGAAATGACTTGAATTGTTTTCCCCAGACCCATATCGTCGGCCAGGATGCCGCCACTCGCCAGTGGTGGGGCGTTGATCGTCGAATAGTTTGTTGCAATGTTTCTAAATTTGTGGCCCTCGCGCTTCCAGAGCTGCACCACGTCACCGGAACCTGTTGTCGGGTGGCTCGGATTTTCTTTATCCATCATCCACGCCAGTCCCTGACGCTGATACGGGAGAAGCTGGGTCGAGAGGGCCGAGGGCAAATCCGCCATGGGCATGTTGGCCAGGTCGGACTCACTCAAACCAAAGTTCTCCGTGACTTGGCCGATATCCCTGGGGTTGAAGGCGCTACTCTGGCCAATGATGTCCTCCAGGTTTTCCTCCGAGATGCCTTCCCCAGCCATGAGATTCGACAAACCTAGATCACTTTGGCCTTGATACTGCATCCCCTTGCCCGAAGCCAACGCTCGGGCTTTCTTTTCAGCCGCCTTCTGAGCTTTCTCCTGCTCCTTCTTGCTCCGGGCCTCCTCGCGCTCTTTGCGCTTGAATTCCGACAGAGGCAGTTTGTCAGCCTCCATCTGACTCTTGAGACCCTGGCGCCTCACCGGGTCACTGGGACCGAAGAGACGCACCAGGATGGGGCAGTCGAACGCGCCAATGACGCCGGTCAGCATACCCTCGAGGATTAAGGTGCGCTGGTCCATGTATTTGGCCAGCTTGGCAGCCATCACGCGGGGGATGTGGCCGATCTGATCGCGCATGACGTTTTCAACGCGAATGGCATTAGAGTCGTAGGGGTTGTCGGCCTGTCTTCTCAGAATGACCGTCTCGCCTATGGTGGCGTGGCCGGTGTAAAAGCGGACGCCGACGATTTTGGTGCGAATCTCTCCATACAGCATAACGCTGGTAGCGGACGAAACATCGACATCTTGACTCCCCTGAATCAGCCCTTCGGCTTCTGCATCGTCGTCCTCTGTCTGGGTGAGAGGGATAAAGGACGTATCCTCCCCGAATCGCTGGGTGGGGGTGGTGGCTGCGCGCTGCACCTTGGGCTCCGGGCCCTCGTAACCCACAAGGTCAACATTGTTAAACCGCCTTTTGGTCGAAGGATGACCCATGAGGAACTCAGTTGACAAACAGACAAAATATAAAAGAAATACTGGGGAGTAAGATGAGGAGAGAGGAATCTAGAAGTACGAAGTATGCAAGTATGAAGCAGAGAAATGGCTCCACTGCAATCCAGTCGGGTGACGTGAGGCGCGGACTAGTCTGGATGCGGTTTAGCGCCTCGGGTGCTCGGACACGCTAAAACACGCAGTCATGTGACTGCGCCTGACAGGAGCACGTGGCTGTGTGCATAGCTGATTCAGCATGTCATTGCTATGCTGTGCTGTGCTGTGCTGTGCTGTATTTGCCGATCTAATCTATGCTTGGCCCATGGGCTATCCATCGGTTTTCTGACTTCAGAATAGCTTCATCCTGCCTGTTCCTGTCGGTTTACCGTCTCCAATACGCGTTGCTTCAACGAAATTCAGCGCCAGGGAGCCAACGGAGGCATTGATTACTAGTTTATTTGACCGCATCACGGCAATATCTCGAGCCATATATCTGCTGGTGATCATCTACAGCGAACCGTCCTGTCATATTGAAATAACTAGACACTCGATTCTCGTATTTTATCTGTCAAGTCGGCTCCTTCTTCTGCTCCAGAGCATGTGCTCCTAGAATACTGATAGACCAGCCAAACCTTCCGAGTGGTCAGGGAAACAGTTAAAAAAAAATGGCAGCCATGTCGATCGTGTCGATCAGCGCCCAGGAATCAGAATCTAGCCCCATTTGTCGTTAGAGATGTCTCACTTGTCCTATATGCCTTTCTTATTCCTCCCGACGGATCCACGTGCAGGAACCCTAGTGGGCATGGTCACGGAACAGGATTCTCTAAAGTCCTCCGTTGACACTGGCTGGCTGAGATCGCCGTGGTTTAAGAAGCAGATGGTTGGTTGGGTAGGACCATTTGTTCCCCTGGTACCTCATCCTTCTTCCTTTGCTATGTGCACACCTGGATTCCCACCCAACGGTCAAAAACAACGTGTTGAGCCATGGACCACCACAGTAAAGACGGGGCTCGGTTCTCCTCCGTCCCCATGAGCAGTGAAACCTCTATCCTCAGCCCTCCGAAGACCCGCCGACCATTTTCGATTCTTGACAGGATCTTTTTGAGGTCCCCCAATGCCAAATTTCTCGGCTCCAGCTGGTCCTTGGAGATTGTCAACGGCGGGATAGCCCTTGCATCGTTCGCAAGCATCGTGGCAGTCCTCGCCTGGTACGATGGCCGACCCATGCCTGACTGGCCGGAGGGCATCACACTGAACGCCATTTTGTCAGTGTTGACGAGCATTATGAAAGCTGCCATGGTTCTCATCATCACCGAGGCACTATCCCAACTCAAGTGGTCATGGTTCAATCAGCGGAAGCAGTTGAGCGATCTGGCGGTGTTGGACGCGGCCAGTAGGGGTACTCCAGGCGCGATTTTGGTCCTTACCCGGTTTATGCCCAAGTCAGAGGACCCTTGATTCCTTTCGGCTTGGATTCAGACAAGCTAATCCAATCCAGGCATTTGGTCAGCCTTGGCTGTTTCGTTCTCGTTATCGCCGTCGCTATCGCCCCCTTTGTGCAGCAAATCGTTGCCATCCAATCCCGCGCCGTGCACACGCCCGCTGCACCCTCCGTCAGAATCTGTGACACCAGCATCTACACGGATTATGACCAGGGCGAGGGCCCTGGCATGAACAAGCTCCCATTGGGTACGACGGCAGCCCTGTACAGCGGCATCTTCCAAAGCCAGAGCACCGTCAGTGATGCGAGTCTAGCGTCGTGCCCGACGGGGAACTGCACGTTCGCCCCGTATCAATCGCTGGGGTTTTGCTCTCGTTGCTCCAACATCACTGATCTGCTCAGTATGACGACCACGGGCGGGAGTAGCCTCACGATGAGGACCTCGAATTTCAAGCTGCCCAACGGATGGAAATTCCAGACGGGGATGAACTTGAAGAATCTCATGAACAGCACCACCGGTCGGCCTCTGCTGCGCGTGGATACGGCCAACGTGCCCGTCGTCCTCAACTTCACAGCCATCAGTTCCTCTGGTTTGGGCGCGGCCGCCTCTGCCACCGAGTGTGCCTTATATTTCTGTGTTCAAACGTACGAAGCCAGCGTGGCCGACGGGAAATTCACCGAAAGAATACAGTCCACTGCGTCCTCAGAGGTCACGAAAACAGCCGACGACCCCGCCCAAGACATACGGCTGACCCCGGAGACGTGCTATGTCAACGGAACGAAACAGGCCCCAGATAAATGCACCTACAAAGTGAACTGGCTGAGCCGCGTGTCCATGTCCAACTCGCTGTCGCCTTTGCTCAAAGGTGACGGTTCGCTGTTCGTCAGAAACCGACCGGATTGGTCCTCCGATACTGTGCGGGCCGTCTACGGCAACGAGGGCAACACTACGGAGATCGATTCCGTTTTCCACTCACTGGCCACTGCACTGACCAGACACGCACGATCGTCGGTGTGCCACGCCCGCACGGTGACCGGCATCACCTGGGGACAACAGTCGTTTGTCCACGTGCGGTGGGGCTGGTTAGTTCTACCGGGAGTGCTGGTGGTCCTCAGTCTCATCTTTCTGGGCATAACCATCTTCCACACGCGAAACCAATTTATCTGGAAGTCCTCCCCGCTGGCTCTCTTGTTCTCGGGGCTTGGATTCGAAGCGCCGACCATGCGGGACCCGACGCTCAATGGCATGGAGGATATGTCCCGCAACTTGAATGTATGGCTGGAGAGCTCCACGGGTGGTATTCGGCTCCGGGAGGATGCTCGATAATTATCCATATATCAAGGCGAGCGCTCTAGGGTATTTTTGACCGGGATAGGTGATGCTGCAGCCCCTTAGGGTGGGCCCATCGACCCCATTCTACTTCAATTCAATGTCTACCTGTGTACATATACACCAGATAACTAATATATTTACCACAATCTGGCTCTTCTCGGCTAGGGACCCTAAAATCATCGGCCATTGTAACGGATGTGTAGTCAGGAGGCATTTTAGGGTTGGGTTGTGTCGCCCTAGACAAATACCTTTCTTCTACTAACCATGACGATGATCCATCTAGTGATTCTATACTTATGAAAAGTCGTCATCTTGAAAATTCATCTAGAAGAGGAGGAATGACAAGACATGCACGATGTCGATCGACCCCCTCCCACGTGAGTGAGGGGTTCATATATATGAGTTGGTTCTCTACCCCGTCTTTCCCTCCGCCTTCCTCATCCATCTCACAACCCCGCTCAACTACTATCCGATACTCTCAAATGACAATGGAATACCCTCGTCCTGACTTCCAGCGGTCTTCGCTGAACTGGACCTCACTCAATGGCACGTGGTTGTTTGCCTTTGATGACACGGACGCTGGGCTCTCACAATCCTGGCCGCAAACCGGTCTCCCAGCCTCCCAGACTCGATTCATCAAGGTCCCCTATGCCTTCCAGGCCCCCGCATCGGGTATCGGTCTGCGTGAAGCTCACGAAGTCATCTGGTACGAGCGGACCATCCGCGATATTCGTCTTGGAGGCGCCCCCGACCAGCGTCTGATTCTCCGGTTTGGCGCCGTCGATTTTGAGTGCTCCATCTGGCTCGACGGCGTCCCAGTTGGAGGACACACGGGCGGCCACGTGCCTTTTGACCTGGACCTAACAGACGCCTTTCGCTCGCTTGCAACTGGCGGAGAGAGGAAAGAGACGGCCCGGCTAACCCTGCGCGTGCGTGACTCGCCCACCGACCTCGCTCAGCCCCGTGGTAAACAATATTGGGGGCCCGTACCGGAGAGCATCTTCTACACACCCTCCAGCGGAATCTGGCAGTCGGTCTGGCTGGAGAGCATCCCAGCCATGCGCATCGGATGCAGCAGTGCGGGGACCGTCCTGCGATCCGACGATATCACTTCTGGGACGCTGCACGCAGTCGTCGCGGTAACTGGGCGCCAGCCGGTCGCTGGGCCGGTCAGTGTCCAGATCACCGCCAGTCTAGGGGGCAAAACAGTGAGCACAAGTCCTCGCTCCCCGCTGCCTAGTGATAAAGAGTACGTGCGCATCGACCTCGACGTGACGCTCCCCGCCGCGGACCGACCTCGTGGGGGCGCATTCGACGCCGACGGGGCCTGGCACGATAACGGTACCGCGCTGTGGGCACCAGAGCATCCTATCCTCTACGACATTGTGCTTCGCCTGTACGATGTAGCAGGGAACCTCGTCGACGAGGTCCAAACCACAACCGGCATGCGCAGTCTCTCCTGGCAAAACGGCGACGGGACCTTCCGCCTCAACAGCAAGCCTTACTTCCAGATGTTGGTCCTGGACCAGGGCTACTGGCCCGAGACCGGGATAACCCCACCGTCCGGCGATGCCCTGCGTACGGACATCGAGCTGGTCAAACGCGCAGGATTCAATGGCTGCCGCAAGCACCAGAAGATCGAGGACCCACTGTTTCTGTACTGGGCCGACCGACTGGGCTTCATGGTGTGGGGGGAGATCGCGAATGGGTACGAGTACAGCCACGAGCTGGTAGAGCGCATCACAGCGGAATGGGCAGACTCGGTGCGGCGAGATCGTAACCATCCCAGCGTGGTGACCTGGACTCCAGGCAATGAAAGCTGGGGGTATCCGTCTCTGAAGGACAATATCGAGCAGCGGGACCACATTCGATGTCTCTACTATCTCACCAAGTCAGTCTTCCCTATGTAGTATTACGCCAACAACATGAACCACATACTAACCATGTTCTAACAGATCCCTTGACCCCAGCCGCCCGATCAACGACAACTGCGGCTGGGAACACGTTCAAACGGACCTCACCACCTACCACGACTACAGCGACTCGGCCCAGCTGACGACCACCTGCGCCGATTTTGAAAACGGCATTCTTGGTCCCAAGGACAACGGTCACCGCGCCATGTTTGTCGAGCCCATCTCCGCCGGCTCGGTCACCCTCGATCCCGGTGCAAAGCACGCCCCCGGCGCGCCGGTCATCTGCTCCGAGTTCGGAGGTGTGAACATCAAGCCCCCGAAGGATGTAGCCGCCTCGGACCGCGACTGGGGATACACGACGGCGAGCAACGCGGCTGATTTCCTGGTCCGGTTGGAGAAACTGGTGATGGGGATTGTGAAGGGGGGGTTTACCTGTGGGCTGGTTTATACGCAGTTGTACGTTCCTTCTCTTTCCTTTGTTTTTGCTTTCTCTCTCATACGTGACACACGGTTCTACCCAAGTTGGAGGTCCACTGACCACTTTTAGATGCGATGTCGAGCAAGAAGTCAACGGGCTGTATGCCTACGATCGCAGCGAGAAGGTTCCCCCGGCCGACATTAAAGCCATTATGGACGCAGCCAAGGATTACTATTTTCAGCATGTGGCGCCAAAATCAAAGGTTTGAGGAATAGCTTTGCGGATCAGATGAATGGGTATTAATTGTAGACCTTTCACCCGGGAGGCTTGCAAGGTGTCATTGGATTGAGATAGCATGGCTTTGAAGGTTTCTTTGAGTTAAAATCTCTATGATTTACTAATGGGGCCGTCTTTGATTTCTGCATAGTTATCCTTAGTACCGACAAAGACTTATGTCTGACATACTTGAGGAGACAGTGAATGGAGAGCCCCATACTCATCTCTTTATTCCACTACAAAGACAAACTCTCTCTAGCTATACCTCAAGTCCAATTGCCCTATAAAAAGCCCTACCATCCCAACAAAACATACCACCAGCCACCTCTCTACTCACAATAAACCACACCACACCACCCAATCCCACCCAACCCTAACAACCACCCCCCAAAAATGGCCATCCACGACCCAGTAACCTACAGCGTAGGCCCCTACACTAAACTCCACCTCAACAAGCTATCAGCCACGACCCCAGCCCGCATATCAAGCTACAACAAGCACCTCTGGGCGTGGGTTCCCGCCAAGGGCCTCTTCAACAACATGGGCCACCTGACCAACGTCATGTCGATAATGATCTACAACGGGCTGGGCGAGTTCATGGACGAGCGTGATGAGGAGCACCACGGCGGCGTGTGGTTCTCGTTTTGGGTGCAGGGGTCGGAGGATAGGCATCGGCTGAATACGATTGCTGTTGCGGGCTTGAATGAGTTGGCGAGGGAGGAGAGGGAGAGGGTGGAGAGGAGGTAATCTTTTTTCTTTTCTTTTTATCTTTATTTTGAATTGAATTTGTACTGTAGACGTACTGTACTGGGTAATGGTTTTGAAGTTCGGAATTTGGATGATAGATGAAGTTTGTTTCGTTCGATAGAAATAGAAATTGGTAGAGGTAGTGATTCTATCACTCTATCCTCAGGCAACCCTACCATCTCTCCAAGATTCATAGTATAACCAAATAACTAAATATATTACCAATCAAAGCATATATCTAAACTCCGGCGACCTGTCACCCAACTTCTCAGCCTCGACCGGATCCAAATGTGCATCAAGCGCATCACGCTGGCGATTGATCCGCTGATACGACAGTCTCAAAGCGACAACGGCAAACATGCCCATAACGCAGAAGCCTAGCTCCAATGCGTGGCCTAGGATGTAGCCTGGGGCGTCTTGTTGGCGGTAGAAGTTGGATGCCATGGCTGTATCCATTTATTGGGTTGGTTAGTGGGTGTTACATGTTTGCGTTGAATATAAGATAATTGGGGGGGGAGAAGAAAAGAAAAGAAGAATATACCTCCAGACAAATTCCCCACTCCAATATGCAGCGCCATACCCGCTGCTCGCTTGTAGTCGCCTGCGAGGTTGACGCTGATCCAGGCTACGTTGCCGGGGAATGCAGCGTATATACCTGTGCCATGGGTAAGTACTCAGAGAATATCACGGGGGGTAGTAGTAAGAAGATGACGCACCAGCTACAGCAACAAACACCCCAAAATACACCACGCCAGGAACGCCCCGGTTAGTCGACGCAAGGACAATCACGAACCCGATGGCAACGAGCGCCATGAAGAAGAACACGAACGGAGACCGCTCTCGTCTCCGATCTGACAGCCACGCGGCCGCGACGGCGATCACGGCGGCCACAATATAGATGGGCACGGTGAGTAGCTGTGCTGTAGACGACGTATATCCTAGGTCTTTGATGATAGAGGGTAAGAAGTACGAGATGCCGTAGAGCGGACAAGTAATGCCCCAGAACACTGTCGCCGTCAGCTCTGGCCACCCCACGTCTGGAAAGGATGGAAGGAGGGAGTGAGGAGGACGTACTCAAAATACCAACGTAGATCTGCCAGTCCGTTAACGCAGCCCGCACATACTGGAAGCGGAACTTCCTCTCCTCGCTACCGATAGTAGCAAGGCCTGACTCCGGCCCAGCGGCAGTCGTCTGGCCACGCACAGAGCGCAACACCCAGTCTCTCTCCTCGTCGGTAAGAAAGGTCGCTGTTTCAGGGGAGTCGTGGATAGCAAAGGGGCCGATGAACGCGACTACAACGGTGAGGAGGCCTTCGAGGATGAAGATCCAGCGCCAGCCTTCGTAGCCGCCGACTCCGTCCATTTTCTATTGAGTAGGAAGGTTGGTTATATTCGGTTCGGGAAGCTGGATAGAGGAATTGTGTAGGGACCTACGGCTATGGCGTAGGCTAGGATACCGGAGAAGGCACCGGCGACGCTGGCGGCGCTGAAGAATAGCGCTTGGCGGTATTGTGCTTTGTGGCGGGGATACCATTCGCTGATGTAGTATGAGACGCCGGGGTAGAGACCTGCTTCTGGTGTGTGTTAGTATTCGGACAGATAGCAGGTGGTATCATCGATGATACAAGAGTACGAACCGGCTACACCTAGGAAGACACGAGCAGTCACCAGTCCAGAATAGGACTGCACGATGCCCATCAGGGTCTGTATGTCGCAACCACTCAATCAGCTCATTCCACTTGGTCTCAAAGAAAGGATAAAATGGGATATCACCATGACAATCCCCCACGCGACCATAATTATCGGCAACCATCGAGACGGTCTTAACTTCTTCAGCAGAAGATTACTAGGAATCTCAAAGGCCGAGTATGTAAAGAAGAACACGGTCACTATTTCAATCAGCAATGTATTCATCCATTTTTCCCCGTGGACAGATCCATACAAGACCAACTATACTGCTGTCCCGTCATATGCTGTCAAACGTCAGTCACATCCCTGTATGACAGGAGTATACCGTAGATCGACTACGATATATACATCCCGCGCGAAAAGGAAAATAAAAACTAACCAAATCATCCAACATCCCCTCAATCTTCGCATTACCAATATTCCCCCTATCCAAAAACGCCAGCAGATACAACACCGCCAGCATAGGAATCAACCGCAGATCCATCTTGCGCAGGATCTTCTCCTCCATCTGCGGGGTGATCTCGTATGCGGGGCTGCCATTGGGAGTCGGGGTTTCAGTCTCAAAAGGGACGACGTCGGCGAGCTTTTCGCTGCTTTTGGTTTTGGGGGAATACATATCTCCTGCTTGAAGATAATTATGGGAAAACAGGGAAAATATGCGCGGAGGGAAAGGGGGGAATCAACAATTATCAAGTGTGGGGAGGGTTATGTTATTGTAGATCACCCCGGTTTGCGGGGGAGCTTGGCGCCCAGACCCCTAGTTGTGTCCCTAGCGTCTAGACTGTAAGGGAAAAGTCGGGATGTCGGTCGGGTGGTGAGGCTGAAATCCGAGGAAGGCTGAGATGGGTTGTTTACGATGAGAGAAATGGAAAGATCTTAATGGCCATGCCATATGGATTGATAATACTCATGTACAGGGATATCATATGCAACAAATAAAGTGAATAAGGGCCAATGCAAAAAGATGTAGAGTAGAATCTACTGCGTCTTGCAGCTGGGACTCGTCCAATAATCCCGCTGCTCCTCCTCGTCCGACTCTGGGCTTTGGGATCCCGATCCGTCGGCACCGTCGGTCTGCCCTCCCAGGGTCTGTGGTGGTAGTCCCGGTGGCTGCTGTAGGGGACTGGGCCCGTGCGGGCCTGTCCGCGGCGCTTGGGTCGATGGGGATCCTCCCTGGTTGGGTGGCTGCTGCAGAGAACGTGGCGTGCCTGTATTGGACGCACCCGGAGAACCAGACGAGTAGGCAGCGTGCTCATTCCGGGGAGATGGAAAGGACGTGAGACCTGCTGCTGGGGACGACCATGCGGGCCGGTTCTTAAAGACGCTGGTGTCCGGGGTCAAAGCCGGCGGGCCGACATTGTGCGCATGGGTCGGCACGGAGGACGACGGAATAGTCAGGGACTGCTGGCTGGGAAACGGCGGCGGGGCATGTGCAGGTCGATTGGGAGGCTGGAATAGTCCGGGGTGGGTTTGAGCGGCGAGGATGGGGGTCGGACCCTCGGCCATCAATCTCCTCTGCCTTTCGGAAATCCGCCGGGCGTACTCTTCCGGGTTGGTGCGCTTCAGGCGCTCGTCGTCTAGTTCCTCTTGAACACCTTTGGTCTCTTCCTCCGTCAGCCGCTCGTCGTCTTCCCGTCGGAACGTCTCTGTCAGGGCAATCTTCCGGATGGACCGTTCTTCATCGTTCTGTTCCAATAATATCTTATCCAACACGTCGGGATCCTTCCCAATAAATTCGGAAATATCCTCCTGGGGAACCTGCTTGACTGGGAAGAGATAGTCTCCCGGGGATTTGGACGCCTGACGGATAGGATTCTTCTTGTCAACCACACGGAAGGCAAGCTGGGTCTTGAAGACGACATTGTTGTACACGATCTCTTCAAAGGTGCCTCCGGAGATGAAGCGGTAGACGAAGACAGGCTTCTTCTGTCCTAGGCGATACGCACGTCCGACGGACTGTTGTTCCCACACCGGATTGAAAGCAAAGTCAAATATGATGACGCGGTTGGCGCCCGGGATGTTCAGACCCAGGCCCCCCGCGCGTGTCGAGATCAGGTAAACATGCTGATCAACCCCGGTATTGAAGTTTTTTGTTGCCATCTGGCGACTCTGGACAGGGGTATTCCCATCCAGTCGGCAATATTTTCGGTTCCGGAGCGTCAACACGTGCTCGATGTAATCGAGCGTGAGGAGGCTATGGGAAAATACCAAGACCTTGTCATTGACACGGACGGATTCCTCAATGATCCGGTCCAGAATCTGCGCGCGATACGAGAGCCCCACGGCCATCATATCCGGGATGCTGGCAAAGAGTTTCTCCTGTTCTATGACGAGCTTCTCTGAGTCCGGAAGACCTGCCTGGCCGATTGGCTCGTCGCCGGGAAGCTCCTCGACTTCACGCAGCTTCTGGTCGATTTTCCGCGCCTCGCTGGCTCGGTTCAGCAGCTTGTCACGGAAGCAGGCCGGGTGGTTGCAGCAGAGCGAAAGGATAGCTAGCCAAGACCACAGCTTGGCGTTCCCAATGTCCCCTTTGCCCTGCAAGATAGTGTCTACATAGAGGTTGTACGCATCCGTTTGCACCTTGGTCAGCGGCACGGTCAGGACAAATTCCACCTTCGGCGGCAGATTGTCCGCCAGCACGGTGATGTCAGCCCGATTGATCTTGGGGTTCAGGATCCCTTGGAGCACCTTTAGCTTAACAAGAGACCTTCGTCGCTCATGACGTGAGCTGTCCAGGTAGAGACCCTGTTCGATCGGTTCGACAAAATTGGCCTTGAACTCCACGAACTCACCCAGATACCCCTTGGCAATCCAATCAACCATCGTGAAATAGTCAACCAGGTTGTTAGCGAGCGGAGACCCAGTTAATGCAATTCGACTTTTGGAGCGAAATTGCATCGCAGCCCTGGAGGCAGCCGTTGCTCGGTTCTTCATCATGTGCGCCTCGTCTGCAACAATAAGATTGGGGCCTTCCAAGAGCCACTTCTTGACGTTCTCGTGGTCCTCTTCAGTGAGAGGAGGCGGCCTCTTTTTGGTCTCCTTGTTGAAGATCCATGCGTGGAACATATTGTAGCTTATGATCAGTATGCCGCCTTCCTGGTCCCATTCCGATATCAACTGTATTCTCTCTCGAGGCGGGCTGGCGCTCGTCACCTTGCGTGTGAGTCCGATCCCCGAGTCCTGGGGAGCCCAAAGGATGATCTCCTCGTACCAGTTCTCGATCAGAGATGACGGGCAGATGATCAGAGTCTGAGGTCGGTGAAACGCTTCTGGGACCTGCTGTCGGACCTTCGGGTCATTGGAAGATGCTGCGGCAGCGATCGTGACCAACAGCGCGATAACTTGCATGGTCTTCCCCAGGCCCATGGTGTGGGCAAGGAGACAGCCCTGCTGGGTCTCGTCTCTGATCAGTTCGCGCCACATGAATTGGATGCCCTCCAGCTGGTGGGGTTTTACGACCTGGCCAATATGGGGATCCAGATAGAGGACCGGGTCGTCGAAGCTGACAACCTGGTGGGCTGGATCATCATTACTGATGCCCATGTTGCCCATTTTCCTCTTCAACTTCTCTCTCTGTTCATGTTGAACAGCAACACGTCTTTTGGCGCTGGCTTGGGTATTCTTCGCCGTCAAGCTTTCTTTGACTTCCCTCTTCCGCTTCTTGTGGGGGGTGTGTGCAGATTCGGCGAGTTCCCCTTCGGAGCTATCCGACGGCTTTTGAGATGACCTTGCTACATCCCCAAGTGCCTTCGACTTACGCTGTGGCCTGACCCAGTTGCGGTAGGCTTCCAGGCGATTGCATAGCTGGTTATAAAACTCGGCGAAACTATCCTTCAGTTCATCTATGCTCTCCAAGATGTAGTGTCGCCTAATTCCTTTGTGGAGCTGAGCACAGTTGACCCACGAGATGTAGAAAGATGCCGTTCGCATAATGAACTGGCTTTGCTTTTCGTCGACACCGGGGAACGTGTCCTGGCTTTGACACAAGATTTCCAATGCAGTATCTACATATTCCTGCATAAGAGTCACGCCATACTTAGGGACCTCGTCTGTCATGGCCAATCGAAAGTCATCGGCCAAGCTCCCGATGATCTTTGCTAACAGCCTACGGCGGTCGCGGCGCTCTTCGAGCTTCGACCAAGGGATATCAAGTATTGCACCGAGATCGCTAAGGTCCGGAAGAGGTGTTTCCGCTTCTGTGCCATTTCGCGGCTTTTTCAGTTGGGGAATCACAACCTGGACCCGGGAGGACGTTTTCCGTGCAGCCTTAGATGCTACTGTAGGGCCCAGATCAGGTGGGGGAGACACGGAAGGGGCCCTCTCAGCCTTGACGTTATTACCTGCCGTCTTGGATACTTTGTGTTGCACCGGGTTAAGTGGCGGTGTCTCGATTTCCAAGTCTTCCTCAGCTGAGTCTACTGTGAGATCGATCAGGTCACCCGCTGGTTGACTTGCCGCTGGAGGTGACTGAGAGTCTCGTGACGAGATGCGCTCCGGAGACGACGGCGAGGAACTGGTGGCAAAGACGCGATGCATCGAAGTCCGCCGCCGAATGCCAGAGGGGCTGATGATGCCACCCTCACTATCAGTTTCCGAAGGGGAACTTACAGACCTAGCTGGTGATGCGGGAGTCTCGAGGAATGGGCCAGCGCGGCTATCCAGGTCAGATTTGTCGATGAAATCATCAAGCGAATCACTCGACTCGTCTGTCTCTGAATGGAGAGATTCTTCATCTGCATTCTTGGGCTTTTTCTTAGGCGCAGGCCGTGGAGGAGCAGAGACCTTCGGGGGGCACTTCTCCTGCTGAAGGACCCCAATCCGCCATTTCTGGCTCTGGATTCCGAAAATCGTCTGCTCCAAGCTTTGGCACTGCGTTTTTAGCTCCGACTCTGAACCATACTGGCTTTTGCAGATCTCCCTCTCTATCCCGCCGAGCCGCTTTTCCAGAAAACCGATGTCTCGGGTGATGGCGGCGATTTGCAGATCCACGCGCCCTTGCCGTCTAGCCTTCAGCCAGATCTTCCGGGCCTTTGGCTCCTGCCTGGGGCGGGCGATTTGGTTCCACCTATCCTCGTAGTCTGATATGCATTGGCTGATGAGGGGTTCGAGCTCGGCGGATGTGAGGTCCTTCTCCTGTTCAGGGACTCGGTCTTGGCGCTCGTCGTCAATTTCCTCCCAGGTCTTGTCATCGAACTCCCCCTCCGAGCCGGATTCTCCGTACGGAGGTAAGACATCCTCCTCCTGGGGTGGATACCTCTGGAGGAGGATGTCATATTTGTGGCTCTGGGGTTCATTGCTCTGAAGGAACGGGTCGGAACCTGACTTGTGCAGATCTGCCACCGCTGTGGCTTCCTGAAGTTTACGAAGCTCCGGCCATTTTTCTATGGGTTCCTTGGTAACAGATACTTTTCCATCCTTCGCCGTATATAAAGTGAAAAGTCTCTGGCCCTTTGTCTCCGATAGCTTGTAGGGGATGATAGCCCATTGAACACAGTCACTACTCGACTTTAGCTTGATTCGCTTTTGTCTATAGAAGTAGGCAAGGCGTTTGTTGACAGAAGTGCGTTGAGCAGGGAAACCAGATCCTAGAACAACAAACGAATCCTCGCTGTCACCTGGGTCAGACGAATGGAAGAGTTGGGCGTTCGTAATCTGGCCTGGTCCCATATACCATTCCTTGGCTTGGGTTCCGGGATGTTGAGATCCGCGTATCCCCGGGACATCGGGCAATGAACCCAGATCTAGTTTTCGCCGTTTTTTGCCATGAGCGTCAACCACGATCTGCTCTTGGCGGCGCGCGTTCACCGGAGGGGGTGTGTTTTCTACCGTCCGATGTGATGTAGAGGGCGTCCCTAAGATCTGATCCCGCCGGTCAGCTTGCCGATCCTCGTTTCCAGGCGGGAGTTTCTCGGGTGGAACAGTCTGCTTGCCCCTCACTTGTCCTATCGGCTGTGAAAAGGGGTTTTGCGGGGTGACGGGATTGGTATCCACGGACATAGATGCAGATGGAGTCAACGCATTGGTCGTTGTCTGTACATGTGTCTTTGGGGTTGTAGAGTGACTCGGAGGATTGAAGTGGGCAGGGAGCGAGGGCTGTCGGAAGATTCCGGGGGATGAAAAGGACGGGCGTCTTGAGGAACCAATGGTAGGGTCATCCAACGGGCTGTGGCTGAGAGACTCTTGAAACTTTTGAGACCTCTTCTGTAGGTACCTTATAGCCATTGAGATGCAGCTCCGATGACCCAAGGCCCGCAGCCCCAGGTCATCCCGCAGGGTATTCTTGTCGACATCATGTAGGAGGACCTCGCCGGTGATGAAGTTTTCCCGGAGTGCGGCTTCGAAGGAGACGGGGTCCGGACGGGGAGCTTGCGAGGAGGACCGGGACCATGGTGCTTCGGGACTACGGCAGAGGAAGTCGACCACGTTGTCGACCGTCCAGTCGAGAGGGTCACCACCGTCAACCTGCATTTCGTCTGGTGAGATGGGAGCATTAGCTTTCTTCGCCACAAATGATAAGTTGTCGGGGACAGACTCACAATGTCTACATTAATGAAACGATCAAGTCATGTGAGAGATCAGTAAGGTAAACACCAAAAGTAGAAGCGCATCATAGAAGATCCGAGAGCTGAAGAGAAGCAACAAGAGGCGCGTTAGACGCTGCAAGTAAGGCGAGAGTGAGGTGGAATCGATAACAGATATTATCAAAGCGCGGCTCCGATAAGATGCTGGGAGATAAAATTAGAGCGGGGAGGAAAAATGCCAGCCGAATCAAGGCCACATGGAGCTCTGCAGGAACAGTTCAGGTGAGGTGGAGATCTTCACCACAAAAAGCGGCAAACCCTTAGCCTTTCTGCCGATCATCCAGGCGGTGGGCTGGACCGAGATATGCGTCAGGCCGACTCACCGCCTGATAGCGTGTTGTGGACGTGATAAGATAAGAGAACAAACAGGACAAACAGGACAAACAGGACAAACATACATTACCATATCAGAAGTTCTTCTCTCACTAGAACCTCTCCAGTTACTCATCCCATTGTGCCATGCCAGATGGTACTATAGAGTCTATCAAGATGGTCTATTCTATGGGTAAATGACAGATACGGATGTTTAACTCTTCACTTCTGTTGTTCTGCCCAAAATCCGACTGGAGCTTGTCCATTTCCCGAGTCATGGCCAATCGAGCCCATTGCCTAGTGTTAGTTGAAGGACAGCGATGACATCATATATCTAGGAACATGCTTATGATAGTCATAAAGAACTATACAGGGCAATGAGGAAGCAAGACAAGATCAAACCATACACTAGAATGTATTGACACCAGGGTGAACCCCATTTCATGGGAGCAGAAAGTGCTTCGTCATGATGCGCTCCCCCCTAAATAGCGGACGACACTGGGACCTCATGGGTAATGGATCAAAAATTTAGATCTATGCTCATCTGCATCTACATGTGTAGTAAAACAGATGGTTTGCGGAGGGTACAGGACGTCTCAACAATATGTGCATATGGCTACTTTAGATAGAGTCTGAAGAGTATGCCTCAGTACACTACTACCAATACTACTGAAAACTAACACTTATGATATCAACAATCAGTGGGATTTACTATTCTAGGTAGTAAGCTACTCCAGGGACCCTCCAACAGAAGCTTTTCCCCAGTTCTCATACCACTAGGAACCTCCAACGGAAGAATCCGCCCAGTTCGCTTACCAGGAATCACCCAACAGAGGTCTTCGTCCAGTTCGCCTACCAGGAATCCACCAACAGAGGTATTTGCCCAGTTCTCCAACCAGGAATCCTCCAACAGAGGCCTCTGCCTAGTTGTCCTGCTTCTCCTCCTCCTCCTTGTCTCCCTCCATCTTGTTTCCCTCCCCCTTCTCCATTTCCTTCTTCTCCTTTTCCTCCTTCTCTCTATCCTCCTTTTCCTTCTTCTCCTTCTTCTCCTTCTCCTTCTCTTCCTCCGTCTTATCCGGATCCACTCCTATTCCCGGCCAAATCCCCGAGCGCCATTCAATATGTCCATCAGCACTCATCGCACTCTCAACCAACCACTCGTCGAAATTAACCTCCTGACTCAGATCCTCGTCACCGGTCTGCGTGAATTCCTCCGGCATAGGGCCAGAGTGCTCAGCAAGCTCAGTGACTTCAGTGGGGTACCGCATGCCGAAGGGGTCGGACCTTCTCTTCTTGTCCATCAGAACAGGGACTCTAACGACATCCAATTAGTTTTCACAGCAAACCACGATGTAGCACAGTAGAAAATCCAGGTCTAGTGACAGATGATGCTACTAACCCATTATTGCCAGTCTCCCACGTTCTCTTATGACCAGTGTGGGCGTTCGAGTGGGCGTTCGCCCCGCCAAACGCATCGCCCTGGTCAGAGACGCCGATGCCGTTCAAGATCTCGAAAAACGGATACAGCTCAGACGAGAACTGCGGGGCACGGACGTTTCTCGAGGCCGTCTCAGCGCGAGTGGTAGCAGCAGAGTTAGCAGCGTGGGTCGTATGCGCGGAGAACATACCCTGCTGGTATCCATTCATGGGGGCAGGGGCAGGATACTGGTTCACCTGAGCGACATGCGCCTGGTAGGGTGTGCCGGAGCGAGCCATACAGGCCGAAGCAGGGCCGATATGCGCAGGCGCAGGGAGGGCCGCTGTGGATAGGAAGGGTGAACCATTGGGCTTCACACGCGTGCGTCTCTTTTTGGCATTCGCGGCGGGGATAGCACTCTTGGGTGCGGGAGCCTGGCCTGCCATTTTGGGGGCTTGAGTGGGGTTTCCCTGGGCTGGCGCCACCTGCATGGGCTGGCTCGACTGCATGGTATGGCTTACCTGAACGGGGTTGTTCGTCTGCATAGGATAGTTCGCCTGAATGGGATTATTAGCCAACATGGGATTGTTCGCCATCATGGGATTGTTCGCGTGCGCAACCTGTGGGTAGTACTTCTGCTGGCCAGAAGCCACGTAGGAGCCACCCATCACCGGGACAGCCGATCCAGGAGCAGCAAAGTAATTGATCTGGTTCAGCTGGTTGACACGGTTATCCTGGTTCGGGACAGGGGCAGCCATGTGCGAGTGGGCGAGGCGCATCAGCTGAGCATCGACGGTCTCCATGTCTCGTTTGACGCCGTGCTGCTGCGGGATGGACGTCTGATGGGGGTCGGCCGCACCCTCGCGCGTATGGGGAGACGAAGTGTGAAACCGATACATCTTAAACCACGCCTCGGGTATCTGGGGCTCCTGATCCATAGCAGAAGGCTGGTGCTGATACGCAGCGGGGTCGAAAACAACCCGGCCACCGGCTTCGCCTTTGGCCGGATCGATCAAGCCGGGCGTGACTCCACGGGTGGTGTTCTGCTCGACGTCAAAACCCTCTCTCTTGACCTGGCGCGTCACGGCGTTGATGGATCTCTGGGACGTCCAGTCAGCAACATTGTAGGCCAGCCGGAAGCTCTCTCTGCGCCCTTCGATGATTTCCTCGCTGATGAGGTGTCTGAACATGGGGTTCACACGGTCCAGGATATCCTCGGGCTTGATGCGGCGGTCCAGACGAAACCAGGCTTCCAGTCTAAAGCCCTCAACTTGAGACGAAATGCGAGGGGGCAGGGTGTAGAAGTTCTTGACCTTCTTTTCGAAGATCATATGGTCTGTCATGTGAACCTTACGGCGGGACTTCGCGTTCTCAGGCTTGGGACGCAGGACATACAGGATGTCGGGCAGGTTCTCAAGACTCCAGTCGTCTTGGTCGCGGTGGCCCGAGGTGACATCACGGGCATCGACAGCCGCCATGTTCTCAGTAGCTGTTTCTTCGCGTTTCTTAAACACTTGGGTGTCAGGGTTGAAGTGCAGCATGGGGGTTTCAAAACGACGCTGCTTGGGATCGGGTTGAATCCGTTCCTGTGGAGAATAGGTGTTGGATACAAAGAGAGGGGAGAGATGCAGGAGTGCAGCACTTACTTTGTACTTTTTCAAATGGTCTTTTTTCTCAGGGACCCGCGCGTCGGACTCTTCGTGGGACTCTTCAGTCTCTGATTCACCAGCCGTCTCTTCCTGGACTGCCACCTTTGGAATAGGCTTTCTGCGGCTTTGACGTTTACCAGGTTTCTTAGGCTTGAGCGTGTTTCTGGTTGCTTGTCTGGTGACGCGAGCCATAGTGAGGTCTCGGCGTGCACGCTCAGCGTGCAGAAGTAGAGGTAGATAGTTTGAACTAGGGCTTTGTTAGCTATGTGAAGGTATAAATGTCAAAGGCTCTTTACCTACAGAGTTTGATTCTAAACAAGGAGATTTGTAGAGACTTTGTTTGTACACGAAGTAGATAGAAGAAGAGGGAGGAAATTGAGTCAATGTCAATATTGCATGTATGGGTTGCTATGGTTTATCGTCATGGAAATCTGCTCAACAGTAGGCCCAGCCAAATTTCTGAATAGAACTTCAAGAACACTCTTACTTTTTCAGTCCTACGGTTGTGCAGTATGACCATTTATAGTATGAACATTGTCTACTTGTGACTCTGGCTCTATTTCACTATAGCTATATACAGTTATAGTATGGTAGAGGGAATGATAGACCAGCGGGCAGAGACAGGTGTGATTCTGTCTCATCTAAGTGGTAGACTTGTAACAACCTAGTCTTTCCTCTGATCACTATTGATCTAGACTTTCTCTAAATCCTTGCCTTTTAAGTAGTTATGTCATAGTAGTAATATAACAGTTATAACTCTTATCTACTTTCTGGCTGTCACTGAGAAACAAAGTCATGGTTCTCAGTCTAGGGCTTCGCGGCTCAGCTGACAGTGAATAACTTGCTACTATTACTAGGACATAGATTTATTCACTTACACTGTTAGGTTCTCTAAAGTATGGAGATGTCTAGCTATAATCACTGGTAATAATAAAACAGAATTACTGGTCGTTGCAAAATGGCAGGTTTTGATAATCTTCTACTTTGCAGATGTCAACCTATCATATGGATCCCGAGCACAAATAATATGGTAGAATATATTTCAGAAGGTATACTAGAATCTATGCTCAAAGTACACTTAGTCTCAAGAAATTCTATAATCATTTTTATCATTTAAATTTATCATTACATAGATAAATAATGACTGCTGAGGACCATCGTTGGTTGAATTGAGTCCAGAATGATAAGTAGACAGAACAGCATACTACCCAGTTTCATTTGCTGTTCTTACACATCACCCTCGAAAGATCAAATATCAAATGAAGACCACAAAAGAACCTTTCACAACCCTAACTAAAGAATAAAAACTACATTAATACCTCGATCACCCGTCTGTATCATCTCCTATAACCCCAATACATACCAAACCCAATGTCCATCCCCCTCCTCCGCCTCCTCCGAACCACCCCCGCGAAAGCAACAGCAAAAGCGACAGCAAAAGCCAAATCCAAAACCAATCCCACCCAGAAGCCCACCTACAACCTCCACATCGCTTGCCACGTCAAGCCCAACGCCTCTAGCAAGCGCGAGGGGATCATCGGCGTCGGGCCCGACCGAGTCGACGTGTGTGTTGCGGCAGTGCCGAAGAACGGGGAGGCTAATTTGGCTGTGGAGGGGTTATTTGCTGGGGTATTTTCCCTTGCTTTCTTTTACTTTCTCATTTTTTTCCCTAATTATAGTCATTGCTGGAATTGATGGTAGAGTGCTAATATGAGTGTCTAGGTATTGCAAGTCTCCAAGTCTCGCGTGGAAGTTATTCGCGGGTTAAAATCGCGGGAGAAGACGCTGTGTGTGGAGGGGGTAGATGTGGATGGGAATCCTGATGGGGAGGAGAAATTCCTGTCTGATATACAGAGGGTTTTGCTAGAGGCGGTGAAGTGATTTCTCTTATTATTTTGATATCTTATATATTGTTTTGTCAAGGTAAAACAATCTTATGATAGACGCCTGATACCACAATCTGATAACGGATCAGACGCGACGTGACATCACGGGAATCAATCCAGCCGATCATTTTTTTCCGCGACAATCAATACTTAGATTTCTTCGCAGCATTCGTCCATCCACAACACAAAAACAAAAAGAAAACAAAGCAGAAGAAACGAAAAAAGAAAAAAGAGAATTAGAGAAGAGAGAAAGATAACCACAATGTCCAAGCGAAAACCCTCCGAAGCACCAGAAGCAGCAGCAACAGCACCCAAAACCACACACCTCACGTCGCGCAATTCCCCATGGACATATCTCAAGCTCCAATTGTGCGTTTCCCCCTCCCCCTCCTCTCCCTCTTCTCAATGCTTGAGAATCAAAACTAGAAGCTAGGCTAACAAATAATAAATAAAAAGAACCCACCAACCCAACACCTCCAACACCACAAAAACCCAACCCCTCGACCCTCTAACCGCCCGAACGCACCTCACCTCCGCGCTCTCCCAATTCCTCGGCCTAACAGGCACGGCTATCCCGCTCGATATTCTCAAGATTACAACGCCGGGGTTGGATACAGCTAGTGATAGTGGCAGCACCAACCAGGAGAAGATCGTGTGGGTGCGTGTTCCACGCGCAGACGCGACTGCTGTGGTTGACGCGCTGAGTTCGTGGATTGGTGGTGGCAGTGGTGGAGGGGGAGGGGAGGATGGTGATGATGCGGTTGGGGCGGTTGCGTGGAGGGTGTGTGCTAGGGGGAATTATTTGGGAGGGTTAACGTGTGGGGGTGGGGGGGATTTGTTCTCGTCTTGATTGATTGATATTTATCATATGTATATGGATGGTGTTTATGTGTATAGGAGATGGGTAATGAGATATGAAATGATTATACCAGTGGATGTTTTGGTTGATAGAGGGTTAAACAGGTGAATGCTAAAAATGACACAAACTGGATGATATGATATACTTGACTACGCCGTGAACAGAAACAATAAAAAAACAGAAAAGAAACAAGAAAGAAATCAAACACCCAAATTAATGCCCGAAACACACCTATCAATAACAAAACCCACTAACAAATGCATTTTTCACCTCCTATTCTTCCTTCCAAATGAGGAAACCAGAGAAGAGTAGAGAAGTCAAACAGACTGTTTACTCCTCATACTCCCCACAACAGTCTCCGCATCGGACGTCGTCCCACCCAACGGCCCAGAGCCATTACTATTAGCAGCACTACTACTATTAGTATTAGCAACAACCTTCGTGCGCAGCGCGGCACGGATCTCCTCCACGCTGCGGTCCTTCCAGTCGGAGAAGCCGGCCGTGCTGAGCGGGTAAAGCACGAGGTTCTCGTCGCGGGTGGTGAAGTTTTCGACCTTGGGGGGCGGCATGGCGGTGATGATGTCCAGTTCGAGGGCGATCTGGCGGCAGTAGGTGTCGAGGGGGAGGTCGTTGACGTCTTGGCCGAAGGGGTTTTCGATTTCGCTGCCGATGGTCGCGAGGCCGAGGATGATGTAGGCTGCGACTGTTTTTTTTTATGAGTTTCTTATTTTGTATAAGGGTGGTAGACGGGTGGGGTTGAGAGGGGGGAAGAGTAAGATTGGAGGGAAAGGGGAAATACCAATTGAACCAGGAATGGTAACCCATTTCAAGGCGTTGTAGAGCTGGAAAGGCAGCACAAGCACGTAGATCCAGGCGATCTGGGCAATGGCGATACTGTATGCGGCTGGGAGGGGCGTATCGAGGACTCGTTCGGAGCCGGTGACGACCTCGTTCAATGTCGCCAGGGCGCTGACTAGCAAGGGTTAATCTAAGGGTAACTATCATATTCTCGCGATGAGTACTCACTAGCTTGACCCTGGTGCAAGCTGATAGTGAGAGTCTCACTGGCAATACACTGATCAATGTAAGCCGCCAAATGGTTGAGGATCTCGAGCGGGAGATGGCCCAGCGGCTTCTTAGAGCGCTTGATACGTTTGCGCGGGTTGGACTCGGCGAAGGAGACACCCAGAGACTCGCCGAGGGATTTCCAGGGTGACATCTTGGGCGGCTGCATGTTGACGCGGTCGTGGGCTTCTTTGGCGAAGGTGTCGAGGTGGCCGATTAGACCGGCGAGGTCCTCGTAGCCGACGTCGGGTTCGAAGCGCAGCTTGTGTTTGAGGGAAATGGCGAAGGCGAGGATGAGGTTCATTGCCGTTCTATATTCAAATGTCAGAGACTTTTCTTAGGACAAGCCGATGGGTTCAAGGACGAACAGCTTTCCCATCAGATCTTCCTTTCCCTTCTCGCCCGGTCGTTCGGCTGTGCTGACCCAGATGGTGCGGGCCAGGTTGCGGGAGGTCTGGATCAGCAAGGACCAGTATTTGCGGCCGTCAGCCCATCTGTAACGTTAGTGAGTAAATATCCATTTCGTCTGCCAGGGTCACAAGTACCGTTCATAAGCGGTCGAACTGCGGAACGACAGGGCCAGACCGACGACGAAACCGGTCACGGTCAGGAGGATGTTATCAATGCCGACTAGGGAGGTCAGTCATCCCAGTGTCTACCACGTCCATCGATCGAGAGACTCACGGTTATGGAAAAAGAAGGAGATGCAAGTGATAAGGCTCGACCAAGCCGCGACAAACGTCAACGGCAGGATCATCTTAGGCATGACACTGCCGTGCATACGACAAAAAGTCGGCCATTTGGAATGTTGATTCAGATCGCGCGGGCCGTGCTATAACCGTTAGACTATGCGTTCTAACGCTGAATACCCAAACCCCACATCATAGGGAAGGACATACAAAGTAGCGATCCAACTCGCTGGAGTTGCTACGGCTGAGCGTAAACTGGGCATCCCGCGAACTAGCTCGGAGATTGGCGAGGAAGGTCGGACGCGGCGTCAACTGGCCCTTGGAAGTCTTCTTCTCCACGTGCACGTTCGGTTGATCATGATGGACGGCGTGTGAATGATGAGTGGCCTGGACAGGGGCCGGGCCGTCCCCGGCTGGAGCAGCGGGAGCGTCAGCGGGTGGTGGAGGAGCAGAGTGGCTATCCATGATGAATTGATTTGGGTGTATCTGCTTGTCCTGGGGGATGCAGGGGATAGATTCCTAGATATAGTTTAAAAAATGGAGACGGAGCAAAAAGAAAGAAGAAAGAAAGAAAAATTCCAGTGACAGAGATCAGCCCAGACTAATCCGTTCCAGGATCCCAGGAGGCTCTAAAGTTACTCCGCCATGATCGGGTAAATTAGGACTGGGGCCAATTCCAACGCGTCCATATTAATAGGAACGCCAACGGACACTGCCGTATCTGGATCGATCTAGAGCTCCTGGTTTCAAGAACCCCTTCCAATCTGTCCTCCGTGATTCGTTCCTGTCCGTCGTCGGTGAAACTCGGACATGGGTTGCGGCGAGGGAGCTTGGCTTGATTGGAGATAGTGGTCTAGCTTGAGGAACTTGGACTCCACTTGGTTTGGTCCTAGGTGTTTATTCCTTTCTTCTTCGTCAATTGAGAATTTGACAGCTGTCTGACAGGGGACAAACCCCCGACTCGACAGGTAGTTTTGTTAATTGGCTGACACGTTGGACGGGCTTTGAGAATCAATATAAGATTAAAATTGGTGGCGCAGTCAGCGTGCCCGTCAGACTTATCAGACCAAGTTTCCAAGCCACGCTAAGTTTCAGACTCGACTGGAGGAACGGTCGACCCAGGGATGGGAATGATTGACAGGAATAAGGTTGACGGTTGATTCTCTGATTCCCTAATTCCCACCGTATGGGACATTTTCAAACTCCGTGGTTCATCCTCTGCTCCACCCGGAAATATAATATAAGACGTGAATATAAATTAGCCCCATAAAAATAGACCCGATCCAGGACGGTTTGAAAGGAATCTAAGAGCTACTATATATAGGCATCGGCACCACCGACGGCTCTCGCTCCATTGGGCGACCAGACGGGAGATCTGGACATGAACCGATCGATGCCCAGACATGGTCCCATAAATCATGAATTCATATATTGATATATCTCCGTAAATTGCTATATACACTAACCCACGCTATTGAAACGAACAAAGGAAGGGAAAAAAAGCCACGAGGCTATCGAGATGAAGACAGCAGTTGTTGCTGCGCCGGCTCCGGCCCCTGTGGCTGATAAAATCTCTCCGAAGGGGATCGATAATTCGTATCCGCCGAGGTCAGACGACTCATGTGCGCCGCCGACGGGGACTCTGTGGCGATGAGCTCCTCGTCCGACCCGTGGACAGCCTTGTACGCGGCTTCCACGTCGCGTCTTGTGGACTTCGACTTCGACGACGCTGACGGAGAAAAATAAGAAGAAGAAGATCGGACATGCCAGGCTGCCTTCGCCCAGTATTCGTTCCACACCCAGCCTGGATGGAAGAAGGTCAAAACGACGACGGCCAGAGCAACCATGGCGCCCTCCAGCACCATGTAGGTGATCTCATTACCGGCTAGCTTGCCGTCAAACCCCTGGCTCAGCTCGACGCAGCGGAACACGGACCGGACGAAGACCGCCACGGTAGCGATCGCCAGCGCAGCGAGAAACAAGCGAAAGCTGGGAGAGCGACGCAGCGGGTCGAATTGAGCGTTGAAGCGCACGATGGGGGCGCGCTGCACCCGTAGGGTGAAGTCAATGCAGAGAACCACGAACACGGCGAGACTGAGGGCTTGACACGCTAGCCCGGCGATCATAACATACGTACTAATGTCGCGGGTGTCTTTATCGTCGGCGACGCAGGCGAGGGCGCTGCCGACCGCTTGGAGGATGATGGCGATGATGTCGGCGGCGATGAAGGTGAGGGAGTAGACGCGGGGTTTAAAGGCGGCGATGCGCTCCCCGAACGCGATGACGATGCGTGAGAGACAGAGGTAGATGGCGGCGGAGATGAAGGCGGGGCCGATGGTGAGACAGACGAGGTATCTATTTTATTAGTCCGTTTTTTCCTTTGATTTTCTTCTACTAAATGGAGAATACCTACAGAAAGAAAGTATCGGACCGAAATGGGTTGTGATGCATCCGGACCCGACCCATATAACCCAAGATCTCAAGAAGGCAGCCGCCCACCATGGGAATCATGAAGCTCCATGTCTTATAGAAAGCACCCAGAACGAACTGCAGGAAGAAGGCGACGCCAAAGACGCCTAAGTAGAGCGAGTTGCCAGAAAACGAGGGCAGGTACTGCACCCAGGCTAGGTCCAGGGGGCAGGTCTCCAGTGTGCAGAGCTCCGGATGGTCGAGGAGCGTATGATTTGTGGGAAGGTCGTACATGGCGAGACTGTGCTCTGAGGAGGAGGAAGATGTTGATGATGACGGCGATTGGGGAGAGCCTGGGTAGACTGACTTTTATAGATACCTACTATATTCTCACCGTTTGGGTCAGCATCGGGCTGGTCGTGTTTGATGCCCCACCATTAGCTTAAATCTAGTCTATTTGCAAGATATAAAGGATATGATTTGTTAAATCGTATACGAACCTACCGATTCGGAATAGATGGTGGATGTGATTGGGGGCCAAAGACGAGGCTGTGATGCGGCTGGAGCTCTAGAGCTTATACAGAGACTAGTCTTTTGGGACATGTTGATCGTGCGTATTCGTCTAGTCCTCGGTCTGTTCATCTGGATTATCAGATCTTAAGATAACTAACTGGTCATATCGTATCCACACAAGTTTGGACTTCTTCTCTTCATGTTGTAAACAAATGCCTCTTTCGGACTATGACCATGCATGGAATATGGATGACTCCTAAGTTCAGCTGCCTCAACTGCCCTATCGTATAAACCTGCATGCTTACTCTGACCGTCATTTCTACCTAATCCTCCATCATAAACAGGGGTCTACGTGGTACTGTAGGGCTCCTGGTCTTGCGAAAGGGTAAAATCACAAGAAGGCCCACTCTGCCTTATCGTTCTTAGCATGTTATTCTATCTTATCTTGGCTCTGGTAAATAATAGAGTCATGAGTATCCACTTATCAAAGCGGACAGTGGTTTTTTGATTCTTTTTAGCGAGAAAGCCAAGTTCCAAGTCAGGGCTCAAAGTGACCTGATAGATCAGTACCGCCCGTCCTAGCATAAGCCCTAATTGTCCGGACGGTACTCTGTAGTCTATCCGTCATTTGTTGCTCTATACAGAATGGGGTGATTGATTCTGACAGATGTTATAATTATGAATGGGCGTAAATATCAATGTCACTGTGCTCCAAGATCCAAATACTCACCATATCCAGCATGTCCAAAGAATTGTCCAAGTAAGACACGATGTACTCCGTAGATGAAGTTATTATCACAGTGGGGCAACGCGGGGCCCTGTCAGCCCCGTAGTTCGCCTTGAACTTCTGTATCGGTGCGCTGTCAATTCTTCGGCCTTTGTTTCTCTCGTAAAATTTCTAAAAAAGAGATCAAATCACTACTCCCTACTTCTGACTAGTTCTGCTTCGCTCCCTAGTCATTGATACTACGGTAACTAACTAACTATAAACAACCAACGGACCCACCGATGGATGGGACCCCAACTCCCTTGAATCAATGGTGAACCCTTCAACAGTGGACTCGGTGGAGACTCCAGTGGGGTCTAAGAGGCTTGGAAATACCGACACGAATATCATCCAATCACACTCTGCGGTTCGTCTATAGTCATTTTCCATGGCTGACAGGCTTATCATGGCTCATATCGCTCTAGTACTGAATTAGGCTGATTTGGTTGATCAATGTCCGTCAACTCTGCATCTACTGAATACGATATTAGGTCATATTCTTCTAATCGGCTGGCAGTGGAAAAGTAACCGCCAAAATCAAGCTGGACGTATCGAATCTATCTGGGAGGACAGGTGCATGGTAGTCGGGAGGACTATGGAGTATAACTTGGCATCATCTTCACGTGCTACCTCGTGTTGAATGGTTTCTGGTGTACAGAGTATAAATGTTGAATTTTACCTAGATCTAGGCTCGGGTATCTAATAGCTCGAGCCGCGCATCATCTGTGCAGGTTGATAATAACCATCTTGTTCATCTATAACCCCCCCTCCTTCAATCATATGTTCAGTAACTGGAAACGGTGCTCAATTACCATTACAAGCCACCTGGTTCCAGGTTACCTGCGCTCAGTTCGGTTACACGTTAAGGGAAGAGGACGATGGCTCAACATTAAATCATGTGATGAAGAGAAGGCAGTAGGCATAGAAGAAGAGGAAGTCATCTAGGATCTGGATCGACCAGCACAAACGTGTCCGAGCTGTTCGTCCAATATGATATGATGATAGAAGGTTTATATGATCATGGCTCTGGCTAGAATCGACAGACTAACTTTTCTCAGCCACTGCACCAGAATGCGGAGCGGCATTTTGGCCGGGCTTGATATGACTGATATCCCAACATCTTCTGATACCCTTGCTCACCCCGCCAACAAGCAACGTCAGTCCAACGACAGAGGTATATATGAGCTATTCTGTTCCGGCATAGAGTTATGTCTGTGTATTTTGAACGATGCTATCTATCATCGCAGGACAGCCCACAGCCCCATGATTGTCAACGAGCCCACGACTAGGTATATCCACTGGATGGCGAGGACCATCCGCTGGCGGTGTCCGTAGGCGGGTGGGGTTGAGGTTGCAGGGGCGGGGGAGAAGTTGCCTTCGTTTTGATGTTCGTTGTCGCGGTCGTGGTTGGTGGTGGGTTTTAGAACCGTGGTCATGTCTGTGGAGGGAGGGTGATGGTTTGTTTTTGGAAAGGGTGTTTATTGATGTTATTTTCGTTGTTATGGTCGGCTGCTATGGGTGGTGATAGTGTCGGGTTGAGTGAGGCCTATTATGGAGAAGAGATGTAGACCGGTGCGACAATGGAGCTGCTATCGCCCCTTGCTTTGGTGAGTGATGAGTTCCGGGTGCATAAGACATGTCATGGTTGGTGATACACCATTGGTTCGGTTGAATCTCGCAAAGCGAGATGGATCGCTCGAAGGAGATTTGGATTGTTTTTGACGCTGCTAAGTCGTTGAGTAGAGTAATAAATGGAGGTAACTGTGTAGGCGCTAGTGTGTGCAGCTAGGAGCTGAATATGAACTATGTATCCACGATCTAACAGTGTAGCCAGATCACCTCATGGGGTATTTGAGTGTAGCTGCATGGTGCATGCTAACCCAGACTATTCATGTTGAAGGATGGGATGGACGTGTATTCTGCCCAAAACTCATGAATTGATGGTAAACCACCGCTAAGAACTCCGTGTCTAGACATAGAAAACAATCCGACCTAAACTCCTATCCGTGCATTGGGGAATTCCTCAATCCCTGGTAAATATGTGCGACGATCGTCGATCCGGTATCGGGTATGCGGTCGTGGTGGTGTATCGAATTGAACCTGGCTTGACCCAGCCCCTCACGTCTCCTCTTCGCCCGTGCTTCCATCTCTCCTGGGGTATTCATCAGTATTGCCCTAAATTCTTTGACCAAGGCAAACGGAAGGAAGATACATACGGAATGTACTTGACACCCGCCGACTCCAAGCTCGTGATAATCTCGTCGGGAAGCTGCACGCGTTAACCGTTGTCCCCTGCCAAACAGTAGATACGGTGTAGAACTCACCGATCCAGTCACCTTCACCGCGTATGTCCCTGGCACGTAACTATCCAGCCGCTGCCACCGCGCCACCCAGCTAGTCACCGGATCCCGCACCGTGACCAACCCTTCAAAGACTTGCGAGGTGCATTCTTGGATGGCGTCGTTGTTGTTACGGAGGCCGAGAACGTCATCGCAATTGGGGCAACCTTCCCGCATAAATTTCTAGAGCACGGCGACTGCGTCAGTTCCCGCTCAGCGAGGGAGGGTTGGATCACTCACGCTGTGCAATTGGACGAGCGAACACACCATGCAGGCGCGCAGGGTGCGCTGCTGGCTGGGGGGGACGTAGAAGGACATGTACTAGATTTTAAGGCGGTATCAAGGAATATGAACAGGAAGAGCAAGAGAGAAAGTTTATGGTTTTCAGTAGAGAGGCGTGGTGTCTGAAGAGCTGACGATGTTGAAGCTGGAGAAATCGCCCCCGATCGGGTTGCTGGACGGGCAAATGCCAAGCCCGGAGATTTCATCGGAGCAACAAGGCGGAAACCGGACCAGTCAAAGAGAATCTTCCATCAACATCTCTTGTTGTGATTCCTTCATTCTTTCATTCCGTCTACGTCCGGTTGGAGAGCGTGTGTTGATTTCCCGACTCTCTTGGTTTCTTTCTGATTTATTGGTGATTTCTTCTATCTCCACTTTCTTTTTCTTTGTACGATTTTCTCCCCTCCCTTGAGAGTGAACCCCACGCTTTTCTCCCCTCATTTGGAAAAACCCCTCCTTCGCCCCCGACTATTCGCAACAAATTCCACCCCATGGCTTCGCCGGATCTCGAGGCTGCCACTGCCCTTAAAGTGCAGGGCAACAAGGCCTTTGGTCAGCATGATTGGCCTACCGCCATCGACTTTTACACGCAAGCTATCGACAAATATGATCGCGAGCCGTCGTTCTTCAGCAATCGGGCTCAGGTACGTTGTGACTCCGGGACGAGCAACTCCTCTCTTTCCTGCATTTCTTGCTCTTTTCGGTGGCTCGGGTGTATTTGCAAATGACTTACCACGATCTCAACAGTGCCACATCAAACTTGAGGCCTACGGTTTTGCTGTCGCGGACGCCACCAAGGCGTTGGAGCTGGACTCGTCTTACACTAAGGTGCGTTAAACTCGAACACCGCATGCGGTGGATCGGATGCGCTGCTACGCGGGATATACTTTGGTCGGTGGACTGACTGTCGGTAGGCGTACTGGAGGCGAGCGCTGGCCAACACGGCCATTCTCCACTACAAGGATGCCCTGAAGGATTTCAAGACGGTGGTGAGGAAGGAGCCCGGTAACCGCGATGCGAAGATCAAGCTGGCCGAGTGCGAGAAGCTGGTGCGCCGGTTGGAGTTTGAAAAGGCGATTGAGATCAGTGACCCGCCGTCTGCGTTTGAGGGCCTCGACATCGATTCGATGGCGGTCGACGCCAGCTACGACGGCGTGCGGATCGAGAACGAGATGACCCAGGAGTTTATCGACGATATGATTGAGCGATTCAAGAACGGCAAGAAGATCCACCGCAAGTATGTGTTCCAGATCATCAAGGCCGTCAAGGATCTGGTATACGCGGAGCCCACCATGGTCGAGATTGGCGTCGAGCAGGATCATCGCCTGACGGTGTGCGGTGACACGCATGGTGAGTTTTCCCCCACTTATGTATCCTGGTGAAAAAACGCCTAATAGGACTAGGACAATTCTTCGATTTGCTCGAGATCTTCCGCCTCAACGGATACCCCACCGATACGCACGCCTACCTATTTAACGGTGATTTCGTGGACCGCGGCTCGTGGTCTACGGAGATCGCCCTTCTCCTCTACGCCTACAAGTGGCTGCGCCCCAACGGTATCTTCCTCAACCGCGGCAACCACGAGACGGACGACATGAACAAGGTGTATGGATTTGAAGGCGAGTGTCGGGCCAAGTACAACGAAACGGTCTTCAAGGTCTTCTCGGAATCCTTCTCCGCCCTGCCCCTGGCCACTTTGATCGGCGACAAGTATCTCGTCCTCCACGGCGGTCTCTTCTCCGACGACAAGATCACCCTGGACGACATCCGGAAGCTGAACCGTCACAACCAGCGGCAGCCGGGCCAGCAGGGGTTGATGATGGAGATGCTCTGGACCGACCCGCAGACGGAACCCGGTCGCGGACCCAGCAAGCGCGGCGTTGGCCTGCAGTTTGGCCCCGACATCACCAAGCGGTTCTGTGAGAACAACGGGCTGGAGGCCATCATCCGCTCGCACGAGGTTCGCATGGAGGGGTACGAGGTGGAGCACGACGGGCGGTGTATCACGGTGTTCTCGGCGCCCAAGTATTGCGACTCGACGGAGAACAAGGGCGCGTTCATCAAGATCGGACCGGAGCTCAAGCTGGAGTACCAGGTCTTCGACGCCGTGCCGCACCCGGACATCAAGCCGATGGTGAGTCTCGCTTCAACATTGGTGTCCAGCCGATGCTAATCTGTCTTCCTCTAGGCCTACGCACAGAATTCGCTCATGTCCGGTACGATGTGAGGGATTATCTTATATCTCTTCGACTATATTTTTCTTTTCTTTTCTCTTTTTTTTTTTTTTTTTTCTATGTCCTAGGCGCATTCGTGGGCGATCCAGCAGCGAGGCAGAGGATCTCCCGACTAGGGTTCCACACGCTGGCATAACTCGCCTACCTAGTAGATAGACCGATACCCTGGCGTAGGAAAGGGGGAAAAGCGATCTTGGAGTAGATGTCTTGTCTTGGGATACGGGATACCCGAGCGCTGCATGTATGTATTGAATCACGATGGGAGGACGACGACACGTTTTGCATAGCGAATTCGATATCTTTCCAGGCGTATCTTTTTGTTTTGTTGTGATTGTTATTTTATTTTGTAACATGGAGTAGTCAGTATTTCTTCGGCTGAGATTGAGTCCGATCTATGATCCGGCTTGAATCTTGCCAGTTGTTGATCTGTAGGAAAATCTTGTATTCCACTACATATCCACCTCGAACTTCTTCTCATCGCTGTCTTCCCCCCCTCTATCTATCTATCCTCTCTCCTCTTCTCATTTCCAACCCTCTCTCCCACCCATAAAAGATCTTACTATTCCCGCAATGGGCTCCGACGGTCAGTGCCGTGTCGTCATGCCCCTCCTCCCCCACTCCCGCTCACCAGCAGACCGCAGCGCCAGAAGACCCCGCCAACCGTTCCAAATCAGCCACAATGTCCGCGCATGAACGGTGGCCGATAATCCTCGTACGCTGTCTTAGTCTCCCTCTTTTTGTGACAAACAACTAACTTATATTCGCAGACCGGCGCCATTAATGACCTCCACCGCAGCGTCGGAGACGCCACGGGGGAGGACCGGTGCAGAGAGGGTAAGACGATCATCGGGGCGCTGGGAGCCTTGAAGTATGAGTTACAGCATAATCGACGAATGATGTATGTTTTTTTTTTTTTTTTACAACTCCTAGTCGACGAAGAAAAAGCAAGAATACGAGGAAAGCAAAAAGAAAGACATATTAATGATTGTTGGTCTAGACCCCTCGAGGATGATGATGATAATGACGAACCCGCGATCGCGGCATCCAAGCAAGAGCTCCAGCAGCGGGGATATCCCGCCTGGTATGATGCGCCATGGCTCTTCGCCGAATGTTACCTGTGTGCGTTGAACCAGTCCCCCCACCGACGTCCGACGTCAGGCATCAGACATCAGACATTAGACGTCAGAGTCAGAGTCAGAGTCAGATGTCAGAAGTCAAAGCGATCATGACCATCAAAAATAAGGATCATCATAATAACAAGGTTGACAATGGAATCAAACAGACCGGCGCATGAGCACCCTGTTCGCCAAGTCCCAACACTGGCAAGACTACGAGGTGTTTGCACCGCAGAAACTAGCATCCTTTCAATCCGCTCAGCCGGCAGTTGTCGAGCTGGCCATCCGGGACCAGGACCAGGAACATCGGCAGCTAGCGGCAGTCGAAACGAGGGCAGACGACGAGGGGGAGAGGAGCCCCGGACAGGCGGAGAAGAAGTTGCTGCTGCTGGGGATTGCCACAGTGTCTAACGACGGACAGGGATCCTTCTGCACGCCAGAAGCAGTCGAGCAGGTCGGCTACGGTCATCCCCCGCTTTCTGAAAAGGAGTTGGTTGCTGTACGGTTTCTCTTTGGGCGGTGGAATCGACTTCGATGAGATTCTCCTCCTATCAACGGCTGTGGAGAGTTGACTTGTCTTACTTTGGATTGGCCTTTTTTTATAGGTAGTGTTTAGTATTCTATGTGTCTATACTTTTTTTTTTTTTCAATATTTATAATCATTATAAATATATCTATTTGTATATCTATGAATTGATCTTTCCAGTTTTATAAAATTATTTATCTTTTATAAGACTCTATAAATATTTTATAAATATTTTATGATATTTCTATAATGTTCTGTACAATTCAAATAATAATTGGTAAATTCCACCCATAATCTGACCCAAATAAGATGAAGGACTATTTTAGCCCAGTGTGGAGAGCGTCTGGTCTGGGGTGGTTTTTCTCTCGTGTTCGGTCCGCCACTCCAGACTTCCTCCAGATAATTAATTTAGCTTCAACAACCCCTGCAAGTCTCTCACCACAAACGAGCTATCCTAATCTCTTTTCTCATCTCCCCCTCTCCTGATCGGTATTGCTCCCGGATCAAAAACATGTAATACAATAAGGCCAGTGAGAGGTTATATTACTTCCTCTATCCACTATCCACTTTTTTCTTGCCTAGCCTTTCTCTTCTTTTCCCTTTTTCCCTTCCTCCCACGATCGACAACTGACAACTTCAACTTCCCACTACCATCCATCCTTCTACTCCACCAATACACCCCCATTCCCTGCCCTTGGGGCCTTGCGGCCCCCGTCTCCGAGAACTATTAATATCCACAACGACATTAACTGATTTCCACCGACCTGTCAATCCTCGGAGCCTCGTCCGAGTTCCCCATATGGACGACTAGTTTCACCCCGTGTCGTGACCACTGAAAATCCACTGAGGATGTCGATATCCTCTCTCTCGCATTTCGCTAATTCCTTCTCTCCTTTCGCCTCTCCCTACGTCACCAGGATGTCTCGTTCCCGGACGGTCGGCCTCGATACGCTGGCCGAGGGTTCGCAGTATGCCTTGGAGCAGCTGCAGCTGTCACGTGAGGCCGGTGGGGTCGCGCCGAATGACCCCACGGCGCCCTTACGATCCTCCCCCAAAGATCTGTCTCTGTATGGAGATGAGAATCAGGGCCAGAACGACCCCAATCTCCAGAGCGCGCTTCGGGCCTCCATGTCCGCCGTGAAATCGTCTACCCCGCGCGATCCCTTGGCTGAGGCTCGCTCCGCCATTCGCAAAAACTCAGCCTCCGCCCCCGTGCGGAGGCGAATCAGTCGCGCTTGTGACCAGTGTAACCAGTTGCGTACCAAATGCGACGGTCAGAATCCATGTGCCCATTGTCTTGGTATGTATATATCCCACTATATACTCTCCACGCGGGTTATATTAATGATGTTCCGAGCAGAATTCGGATTAACCTGCGAATATGCACGGGAACGGAAGAAGCGGGGGAAAGCGTCGAAGAAAGACCTCGCCGTCGCTGCGGGTACCATCGGCTCCGATCCCTCGTCGAATGGCACCGCCGCCAATGGCCAGACCCCTCCAGACCATTCGTCGCACGAGGTGCAGGGACGGTATGATCCGGCCTTCGACGTCGCCCGCACCCTCTCGGCACCCACCCAGTCGCAATTGGCCCACGGGGACCTGTCCGGTCCGATGGTGGACGTGCAGAACGCCCAGTCCCATTCGCAGGCACCCTTGGGACCTAGCATCGATGCTTTGCAGTTAAACCACCTGTCCGCCATGAGCGACTCGAACCGTCCCCCCCTATCCGTGCCCGATCTCCGATCACTGCAGATGCTGCAGTCGGCCACCACCACCACGCGGTCCCCGCCCGCCAGTCAGGGGTTGAACTCCGGCTATCATGACGGCTCGTACGCGCTGGTGAACCCGCACGAATCGAATGCTACCTCCCTCCAGCAGTTTCGACTGGGCGGCCACGCCAGCGATCAGCACCAGCAGGCCCCGTTTATGGGCCTGTCGCCACAGGGCCAATCCCCGAGTTGGCTCCCACTTCCATCCCCGTCCCCCGCCAACTTCCCCTCGTTCACCATGCCTCCGTTCCCCACGCTACGCTACCCTGTCCTGCAGCCGGTCTTGCCGCATATCGCGTCCATCATCCCCCAGTCCTTGGCCTGTGATCTGCTGGATGTTTACTTCTCCAGTTTTTCGCCCTCACACCTGTCGCCCCTGTCCCCCTACGTGGTGGCCTACATCTTCCGGAAACAGTCCTTCCTTCACCCCACCGAACCGCGCGTCTGCAGCCCCGCCCTCTTGGCGAGCATGCTCTGGGTCGCCGCTCAGACTAGCGAGGCCGCGTTCCTGACCTCGCCTCCGTCCGCGCGGGGGCGGGTCTGCCAGAAACTGCTGGAGCTGACGGTCGGCCTGCTGCGCCCACTGATCCACGGGCCCGCCCCCGGGGAGGCATCGCCCAACTACGCCGCCAATATGGTCATCAACGGCGTGGCTCTCGGCGGCTTTGGGGTGTCGATGGATCAGCTGGGCGCCCAGAGCAGCGCCACGGCCGTCGTGGACGACGTCGCCACCTACGTGCACCTGGCCACCGTGGTCTCCGCCAGCGAGTACAAGTCCGCCAGCATGCGGTGGTGGACGGCCGCGTGGGCCCTCGCCCGCGAGTTGAAGTTGGGTCGGGAGCTGCCGCCTAACTCGCCGCCCCCGCCGCCGGCGGATGGCGACCCGGACGGCGACCTCGACGCCAATGACCCGGCGAAGCGGAACCTGCCTTCGCTCTTGACCTCGGTCAGCGGCGGCGGCGGCGGCGGCGGCGGTGGGGGCGGCAATTCAGCCGTCACCGTGACCGAGGAGGGCCGTGAGGAGCGCCGGCGCCTTTGGTGGCTGCTCTTCGCCACAGACCGTCACCTGGCCCTTTGCTACAATCGGCCCCTCACACTCCTGGATACCGAGTGCTCGGGCTTGCTGCAGCCGATGAATGACGACCTGTGGCAAACGGGCGACTTCGCGGGCGCCAGCTACCGCTCGGTCGGTCCGCCGCTCGAGTGTTCGGGCCACAGCATGTTCGGCTACTTCCTGCCGCTCATGACTATCCTCGGCGGGATCGTCGACCTGCACCAGGCCAAGGAGCACCCCCGGTTCGGGCTGGGCTTCCGGACTAGCTCCGAGTGCGAACGCCAGCTGCTGGAGATCACCCGGCAGTTAGACACCTACGGGCAGAGCCTGAAAGAGTTCGATGCCCGCTTCACCAGTAGCCTTGCCCTGGGCACCGTCGAGACCGAGGCCGCGCTGGAGGGCTCACATATGGACCACGTGAGCCCCGAGGGCCGGTCAGGGAGCCACCTGGGGTCCCGCGTGCACGAGTCGATCGTGCACACCAAGATGGTAGTCGCCTACGGGACGCACATCATGCACGTGCTGTACATACTCCTAGCCGGCAAGTGGGATCCCATCAACCTGCTGGAGGATCACGACCTCTGGATCTCGTCCGAGTCCTTCATCTCGGCCATGAGCCACGCGGTCGGCGCCGCCGAAGCCGCCGCCGACATCCTGGAATACGACCCGGATCTCAGCTTCATGCCCTTCTTCTTCGGCATCTACCTGCTGCAGGGCAGCTTTCTGCTGCTGTTGGCGGCCGACAAGCTGCAAGGCGGGGCCAGCCCCAGCGTGGTTCGCGCCTGCGAGACCATCGTCCGGGCTCATGAGGCGTGCGTCGTGACACTGAATACCGAGTATCAGGTTCGTCTTCCTTTTTCTCCCTTGAATCTATCTACCTTGCTAACCCTTCCCAGAGAACCTTCCGCAAGGTCATGCGGTCAGCGCTCGCGCAGGTGCGCGGACGCGTGCCGGAAGATTTTGGCGAGCAACAACAGCGCAGGCGGGAAGTGCTGGCTCTCTACCGCTGGACGGGCGATGGCAGCGGACTCGCCCTATAAGGCGAGCCGTGTGATTGGCGTTTGGGGATCTATATATACCTACCTACCTTACCTTACCTAGCGGGATACTGGCATTATGACGATGTGATGTGCATTCAACGACCCATTTTGATTGATCGGCCGCGAGGGACTCTACAGCCTGGGGTTGGGGAGTTTTTGCGGTGGACCAATATTGACTTACCCTTTTTTGATTTGGATTTACCTTATCTTTCTTCTAGCTTTATCTGCTCGATTCATATGTTGTTCTCTTGGGGTCCTTTGGCCCGTGGCATCATGGTTTGTTCGCTGCGCGGTGCATTGGTGGCACATATGTGGCTTTTGCCACTCTCTGTACATTATTTTTCTTATTGTATATGAATCGATACCCATTCTGATATTACACATTTCCCCTATTTCGTCTATCTATCTATGTTTTGAATCGCCATTTGTTAATAATGCTCGAAGATGATTGATGGAGAGTGCTGACTCATCTTCTCATACCATGACGCACTGCTGGAATGTCTATCACTTCCCTTCATCTCTTCAACAGCGACCTGACTATCCTCGTCGTTCCTATTCTCCATCCGAGAATCAGACCAGACCGTGACCGTCATACGACATGGGCTGACTCCACCCCACCAGCGTCAGTGCCTACCTAGTACATCATGACCACACTCCAGCGACCCCTGCGATTCGCCTCCCCCCGCCTTCTAGCGCGGCCCTTCCCACCCCGTATACTCCCTCCCTACACCCCCAAGCGATTCGTAGGCATCCCCCCAGCCTACCTCCTAGACGACTACATCCCACGCTACCACATGCTCAGCTCGATCGACGCCGCAAAGAAGAGATCCCAGGCCTACGCGCACCTCCGCAACTGCAACCTGTGTCCCCGGCTCTGCGGGGTCAACCGGTACGAGACGACGGGGGTGTGTCTGATCGGGGCTGAGACGGCCAAGGTAAACGTCATTGCGCCTCATCGGGGCGAGGAACCTTGTATTCAGGGGTTTCATGGGAGTGGGTCTGTGTTTTTCTCGGGGTGTAATTTGCGATGTGTTTTTTGTCAGAATCATGTATGCTGTCTTCGCCCAACTAGTATTTTCTTTCGATCGGTTGGTTGCTCAATGACTGTTAGGACATTTCGCATCAACGGAACGGGTTCGATTTGACACCAGAGGAACTAGCAGACTGGTACCTGAAGCTCCAAGATGTAGGCAACGTGCACAACATCAACCTCGTCACGCCCGAGCACGTGGTCCCGCAAGTGGCGCTCTCGATCCTAGCCGCGCGGGACATGGGTCTCAAGATTCCGATCGTCTACAACACGTCGTCGTTCGACTCGCTAGCGTCGCTGGCACTGCTAGACGGGCTAGTAGACATCTACCTAGCGGACTTCAAAGTGTGGAAAGACAGCACGTCGAAGCGCCTGCTCAAGGCAGAAAACTACACCGCGACAGCCATGGAGAGCGTCAAAGCCATGCAGCAGCAGGTCGGCGACCTGAGCTTTACCTCAGACGGCATCGCCAAAAGGGGCGTCCTGCTCCGCCATCTGGTCATGCCAGGGAAGGAGGACGAGGGCCGTGAGATCATGCGCTGGCTGGCTGAGAATGTATCCAAGGATATGTACGTGCATATCATGGAGCAGTACCATCCGGATGCGCACGTGGGGAAGAAGAAGCGCACGTCGCGGACTACGACTGGCGAACATTCATCCCCCTCAGACGTCCGCTACGCAGAGATCAACCGTGCCGTACGCGACGACGAACTCGGCTCCGTCCGAGACGCCGCCGTAGCAGCGGGGTTGTGGCGGTTCTGCGAAGCCAACGAGAACCAAAGCATGTTTCACCTATGATGACGACGACGTCATCATCATCATCACTCCGGTAGATCCGGGTGTTGGTTCTCGGCTGAACGGGCCCGTCCGTCCTGTGCTGGGGTTGGGGCTAGTCTCATCCGGTAGCTGGTCATCTCCCAGGATGCGAGCAGCGAGCCTGATCGACGGGGATATCGATCCTGGATCCTGCGCGGTCGCGTGGCATCCAGTGCGGGGGAGTCTTTTTCTTTAATATCCATAGGGGGCCCGTTCCTGGATCGTGTTTAGGGGGGGCAGGGCCAGGGCTAGATGTGCCGGATGGTCAGGGTCCATGGGGTGTTTAGGCTGAATGGGCCGGGTATTCGTAGTGTGTGTTTGTGCCTGACGAGTTACTACCTGATATACTACTCTTTGGGGGCTAGGCTTGTTTAGTTCTGGTTCGTTTCATATTTCGTGATGTTTGGATGTTGTGGATAGTGGTGTGGGGATGTTGATGAGGGCTGCATGTACATGTAGAGGGGCTGCACAGGTCATCTACCAGAAGGATTTGTCTAAGTCATCAGGGTGGATTGTCTTAGACATGATACTTGATAGAATCCCATACTATTGATCATATACACCATACCTATCACAATTTCTTAGAATAGGTATCACTACTTAAACAACTGGGCTGATTCTTCCATAGGTTCAACCTGACACGCACCAATCCACTCCGATCTCAACATTTCGGGAAATTTCTATAATCGCAAGCATCCCTGCTGGGCTTTGAACCTGCAATTAAAAACAGTGCACCACAAAGGCAAACTATACTAAGCCCCAGACACGCTATATATGGACACCCCACGAAAAACCCTCAGCCAAGGTCAGCAAACGCACGACCTGGGAGTCTACGAGGGGTTGGTACTCTCGAACCGTTCTCCAATCGGGCACGCAGTATAGTTCATTAGAGCGCCAGCCACCCTCTGACTCCAAGGCCTTCCACGGGTGGGGATCGGGTGCTCTACTCTCGAGAATCTTTATCACAATTTGCCTGTGTCTTAACATCGCAGCCACTGCTTACCTTCGGACCAAGTATCCACCCAGCGAGGACGGGCTAGGCGTGATTCTCGGCCATGACTGCGGTCAGACTCGCAGCATTGACAGCCGCTTCCACTATGCGATCAACGTAATTACGACCGTCCTCGTCAGTGCAAGCAATTACAACATGCAATGTCTCACCGCGCCAGCGCGCAATGGAGTTCACACGGCTCACAGGCGGAGAAGGTGGCTTGTCATCGGGATTCATTCGACACGTGAACCTGCCCGCATATTACGCGACCCGAAGTGATGTTCTGGCCGATGCTCGCGCTGAGCTCATTCCCTCTCCATCTTTTGTGGAACTCGGCGGTGTTCATGACCACCACATTGAACGACTACAGCGGCCTGGTGGTCACGCCGGAGTTTCTAGAAAGAAAGCGCTTCAGTTGGCCCCGACTGCGGACGCGACGCCATGGCGCAGTACAAGTCTTCAGACCAGGCGAGCTACGTGACTTGCTGGCTGCGCAATATGGCCCTGCAAACACCAAGAAGCATGAGCTGGGTGGAGCTTGAAGATTGTATGTCTACGTATGGGAATAGTCTTGAGAATGGGACTTTCAATCTTCTTGCTGTCACCAAGGATGATAGCCACCCTAAGTAATCCGACATGTTCCTATCATCGCACGATGCCACACTGCCCGTGCTTGCTTATGTTCACTTCCTGGACCTTTCACAGAAAGTACAAGATTAATGCTCCAGCAAGTATGAGTCGTGGAATCTGAATAATATCAGTTATAAATATCACCGGGATACAGATTAGGACTTGATCATCTATCTCATTTGCTTGCTTAGAATATATAGTGAACAGGACAGGTTGGCAACCAAACCTGATCCTACAGGTCATATACTAGATCTGTGCTCTAGATATAATACTCTATAACTGATGCAGCAGCTCAGAAGCCCAGAAAAATTCTAGTAATAGGATTATCCTACCAGGATACTATAGGATTGATTGCTGTTTGATAACGGATGCAGACCACGAATGTCAGTTGAAGTACAGTCTAGTGATTTCTATACAATGCTATTATCTGTAATGTGGTAGAACTTGTGTCAATATTGGGGTGTCTTCTCATGTCTCAAGAGCTAATATTAGCAACTATTGGCGACGCCGTGGATTCAATTTTTTGACGCCCAGACTAGGCGCCAAGAGGCCGTTGTCTGTTGTTAAATTCAGATGACTCGATTTTCCCTGGCGTTGACGAGACCGGCGAGTACATTCCTTTGGCTTCCTATCCTCCGCAGCCTTGGGTTGAGGGTGACATTTGGCTAGGAAGGCATGGGATAGCTCGACGCTGGGCAGGATGCCTATTCTTGTACGTGACAAGGGTTGCTCGATCCAACAGGTTCTCGGCATAAAACTGACTGATAAAACTATCCATAGATGGCTAGCATGTGTAATCATCGAAATCGTCTTCGTGGTGAAAGGATACAGCCTTGTGGGGGTGAAAACCGCTTTAACCTTGGGATTCGGAGCTCTTCGTCCTAACGCCATCGTCGCCACATCCAAGTACAAGAGCGGTAGCTCCGAATCGATTCTCACCACTTCCCTGGTAGCCAACCTTCCCCAACTTCTTCTCTTGGGTCTATACTTGATGTACAATGCGTTCCTCACAAGCATGGGGCCGCTACCCACGAATGGAGCACGTTTGCCAACAAACGGACCACTCTCCGAGTCACACTCCCCGTGGGCGCGCAACGGAAGACGTACTAGCTGGGACTTCCCTGGCGATATTCTTTGCCTTTTTTGACATGTAGTGCTGTTTTTCCACTGGCTGTTTTTGCAGTCAATCTTTCTGATCAACATCAAAATCTACCAGACGAACACCGAGGTTTTAAAATGGAACCAACCGCTCATTTCCCCAGAGTAAGCAATACCGGCATGACCACAACATGCGGATGTAGTACGCTTGCCCTCGCGTGTGCGCTTGGGGTTGTATTGGTGTTGTTTATCGCTTTGGCCGTCTTGGGCTCGCGAAATTGAAGTCAGGGATCCATGTGGTGGGTAGTTTCAGTCTTGCTATAAACGCTGTCTGTCGTCTTCCTGGATCAGATGAGTCGGCCGCTGTTAAGCCACTGCTGCTCTGGGGTGCCGTGGGGCATGAGGAGAGTAGAAAACCAGGTCATTGTTGTTTGACTTCTTTCGAGGTGGAAAAGCCGAGGAAGGGGGGTTTATATGCTGGCTACTGACTACTATTGACAAGGTCTTCTCTTTTTGTGTCAAAGCAACACCACCAATTTGCATACGAAGAAGTTGCCAATCAATCGGATGGGTTATGGTACAAGATTTATAATACTGGCTTGAAAATGGCTAAGTGGATGGGAAGCCCTGTTCTCTATACTTTGCGGCCGAATGTAGTTGAGGGGATTCAAGAGTGGAATATATCCTGCAGTGTAAGGACAGGCATCTCGTTCACAAGGTCATATTCGGGGTTCTCGTTGAGAGCGTAGTTGGATTTGAGCCAGTTCCGGCTTCCGTCTGCCTGCATCATACCAGTAACAACGATCCCACTCAATCACCGATCAAGTCCCAAGGTATTGGCCATTCATGGCATGTCACTTACAGCGTGGGTATATGTGGAAATTTGTATGATTTTATGACACCGGGTATTCAGGCCGGTGATCTTTTGCTCGCAAATATGCTCACCAGTTATCCTGGATCTACAGAGAGGATCGAGTTGAAACCCGTAGACGGGGATACTAGGACCCTCGGAGAACCTGGTAATAACCTAAACATTCGCCATCATATGGAGAATTGGTATTCTGAACCGGGATTTCATTGCTAGTGTTTCCACGGAGGTTATCATCGTTCGCAAGAGTATATCACCTATAGATCATTTTCTGCAAGAGAAAACGTGAGACACGAGTGGCGTTGGTGCCAGCCAATCACATATATGTCCATATTATTGGTTATAGGGACATTACTACGCCGACTGAGCACTAGAGTACCAGTATCTCTCCACAAGCGTTAGAGTTTACAGCCTTGCTTGCCCTGGTCCAGTAGAAGGGCAGGGCGGCCCGCATGCAGCATGGACTACTGTATGGACACGCGTGTAAGTGATGCATGGAACCGCAATACAATACCGGCACCAACTCGTAACACGTATATTGGATGGCCTGTGCATATTTACAGCTCAAGTATAGATCAGCAATGAGTTGAGGAATTGCTTTGGGCGCCTGTCAGACTAGTCCATGGTGGCCGCATGGCTCGGCCCGCGGGCAGTTAGACTTACATGGTATACAAAGGAGGGCCGAGCACCTGGATATTTACTTAAGCTGACCTGCTGCAGCAGTTAGCAGTCACAGTCTGTGCGGCCCTTCAGCTGGATGCCCCGCGAGGGCATTATCCAATTATGATGGCGGCCCTACAGTCCGGCTACAGCCCAACCCCGCTGTGAGAGCTGAAAAGCAGTCTGCTTTCCTACCTAATATTCAACCGGTGCCTGCAGTTCTCTAAATGCTTCCAATGGTTTGTGACTGTCACCCTGTTTACGCAGATAATCAAATATGTTGACGCAATAGACCACTGCATCAGCCACCCGATTAGGGCTAGCGCCCACCCGGAAGGAGGATATCCTCTGCTTCCACATCTAAATAGCTTCATACTTCTCCATAGTTCTCTGTAGAATGAGATCATCTATCTTACCTTCCTTTTAAAGCGTTTTTATCTCGCCCTCAACAAAATACAAAAATTCAATTGTCGGAGCCTTTGGGCGGTCATGCATCGGTCTATCTGGCCCCCTGCGTGCCAACTATAGCACACGAGCCCCTCATTCACTAGAGCTGCATATTTGTGCTTGATCCAGAGGGACGAACTGCCCGATGCACCGTGGAATGTTAAGATGAGACATCCGTGATTCCTATTCTGGTAAAACTTACATGATCTCACATACCGTTTCAGCCGAGTGCTTTTCTCGGCGATTGTGTGGGAAATCTTCGGCACGCTAAGAAGTGATTAGGCGTGCGAGGCTAGCCATGAGAGTATGGTGTACGTTTTGTACTTTTCTTGTTTGACGACAACTTGATGACGTGGACATGTTGCTTCAAGCACGGCCGGGGGAATCAATTCAGCTGGTTTTGCTCCGATTAAATTTGATAGAGCAGGATATCACAGAAGCAGCTTTGCGCAGGTGACATTGTAAGCACTGTCCAATACCATCCTGATATACGCAGACTGCACCAAGTCCGGAAATGGCAACCTCACCTGCATAGCCATACAAACAGTAACACATAGCTACTGGAGTCTGGAGCTAAGCCCTAGAAGTATCAACATCCTGTCTCTGAGACTGCGAACATAGGTCATTGGTTACTTCTCTGCCTTCCACACCACAGGTCCTATAGTATGTGTCTTCACTCCATCGGAGGACGAATGGCAGAAGTGCCTCAAGCATATCAGAGAGAAGAGGAGGGAGATATCCCAGAGAAGGAGGGGTTATTTTGTGCATCGTAAGCATGTAAAAGCCAACTACGACGGGCAGCATCTGTCAATCTCCGAATACGAGGAGGAAAGTGATCGACACCCACACCCATCGGGTTCTCGAAGAAGCATCCTGATTCAACGTCGTCTCCGCTGCGTTGAAACCCATGCGACACGTAGCATGTTCCGTCGTCGAAGCTCACATTGAGTGTAGCTCCTCCCCACCTTTCGTAGGTATCCTACCTTTTGCGGTAATATAGAGAATCAACTCCGGGCAGCTCTGCAGGATATTTCAAAATACGGACCATTCAGGTGCTATACTCCCTTAAGAGCAAAAGTGAAGAACGATCTTTTGCTGCGTTTAAATTCCGAAGTTGAGGCGCAACCCATCTCTTCCTGGATCAATTTCTTTTTTTTTCCCTCGACACTGAATTACCGGCCAGGTCTGAACTTAGCTGCTCATACGATCACACACAGTTGTTATTCAATCAACTATTACATTGAGTACTCAAGAAACCCGTCTTTTCTAGCTTCGGACATACAATAGTGCAAGCTGACGATTGTTTTCCCCCAAGCAACCATGCTATTCGATCAGCCTCCATTCTATACCCAGGCCTTCAATTTTGGAAACCTCTTGGAGAAAGGAGTGGATCCGCGCACTGGTCAGTTCACATGCGCAATCGACATCTGGGACGCGCCAACAGATGCTAGGAACTGCCCCCCCTTCAAGTTGAGCCTGGTGTTTGATCCATTGAACTCATTGGACCTTGGACTAGGAAAGGGGTGGTCGTTCAACCTTAGCTACTATGACTGGAGAAATGGCATCCTCCATCTCTCCACTGGCGAGCGGTTTCGTGTCATAGATGAGGGGGGCGATCTGTTACTTCCCGACCAGAAACTTCAGACCTTCAAAGTGAAAAAACATGGGTCTGACTACCATGTGATCCACAAGTCAGGACAGATCGAAGTTCTGGAAGATAACAGCAAGTGTGGCAGATACGTGCCTGGTCTGATCTACACGGCAAGCGGTCGCTGTATAGAACTCACATGGGAAAGCCATGAAGGGTATCCCCGACTTCTTGTAATTCGCGAGAGTTCTCAGATGCAGGTTGCAATTGATTATGGAATCAATCCTCGGCGGATTCTGCGAGCGGCGGATAATTCGGAGCAATGCGAGCTCAGCCTCTACATAGAACATGACATGCTCACGAGGCTTGTGTTGCCTCTTCCTCAGGCGCCATCCTGGACATTCAGATACCACATCGGTAACCCGTTCATTGGTCTTTCGTATGTTACCAGCCCTTCGGGTCTTCAGGAGGAGATTGGCTATGATGATAGAGGTCATATACTTCCACCATCCAGCCAGGAGTGTTACTCCCTTCCATATGTTACATCCCATGTCATGAAACCCGGCAATGGTCAACCCGAAATCAAAACCGCATACTGCTATTCTGAACAGAACTTCCTTGGGCTCGGCGATGTCTACTGGCTGCAACACGACAAAGACAATCTATACCAGGCACATAACGATTACGAGTATTGGACAATGGCTGAGATTGAAGGCGGCTCCAGAACAACCTATACCTATAATCGGTTTCATCTCCTCGTGAAATCTGTGGAAGAAAATGGGGATTGCACCACAACCCAGAGAACTAGATACCCATTTTCTGATTCTGTCCTATTCGAAGATCAGCTTGCCTACTTCCAGATGCCAGAATCGATCACGAAGACATACAATGATGGAAGAACACGATCCTCTCGGTCTGAGACCACTCGATTCGAGTTTGACGAATGGGGCAATCCAACCAAGGATATTGGACCCGACAACGTGGTGGTGAGCCGAACCTACTATGCTACTGCCGGTGAGAGTGCCGCCGAATCCAGCGAGCTAGGATGTCCGGCAGATCCGCATGGATTCAAGCGCTATCTGAAAACACAAACCGTGATACCCCCAGACACTGGATTTCCGGCACCGATCCGAACTGAGAGCTACAAGTATTGTCAAATCCAAACGGCTGCGGGTGCAGTAACATCTTATTATGTGGCCGCCGAGCAGCATATAGGTTACGAAAATAGCGATGTCGTCAAGAGGAACAGATTCAAGTATGTGGATGAGCCCATAAGTAGCGATCATGGACGTCTCCTGCAACACGTGAGCCGACATTTGGACCAAAGTGTTACCACGAAAGACTGGAGCTACGAGTTAAGGCGGGACGATCGACTGGCTGTGTCAACCAGGGTAACCAGTTTTGACGGTCATGTCGTCGATGACCATGTTGTTTATTCGACGGTGCATGGGCTAGCCACGACCCATAGAGACCATGCCGGTGTGGAGGACCACTTTGAATACAACCTACTAGGTCAAATCGTCAAGACCACGAGCAACCCTGGAACGGGATACGAGACAGTACGAAGGCATGAATACACCTTGCTCGAGGGGACAGCCGGCACTCAAACCACGGTGACAGACGCCAAGGGGGTGAAAACACGTACTATCACTGACGGTCTAGAAAGACTCTGTCGTGTCGAGAGACAAAGCCACGAACATGTTGAAAGCCAGGAGTCCGAGAATTTCTACCCCCTCATGACACATGACTACAATGCGCAAGGGCAATGTGTTCAAACGACCCAATTTGACTGGCTTACAACAGATGACGGGCAGCTGCAAAAACAAGAGACCACTCAACAATTGGAGTATGATGACTGGGGCCAGGTTTCCAAAGTCATTGGAGCCGATGGATTGATCACAATATCAAGCTCGGATCCAATCAACCTCACCGAGACCAAGGGCATTCAAGGCGAGGGAACGACAAAGACTTATTTCAATGTTACCGGTGCTCCTATTCGGACTGTCTTTCATCAGGCAAATAACCAACTATACTCTGAGAAAATACATTACTACGATGGATTGAATCGTCTCGTCGAAGAAAAAGATCCACTCGGTCGAGTCACAAAGTACCAGCCCGATAGTTTTGACCGCATCATTCAAACGACCTGGCCAGATGCTAGAGCAACTACGATCGCGTATGCAGAGCATAGCGAGGCACCGCTGCCAGCAAGGGTCAGTCTCAATGGTTCCACGGTGGGGGAACAGTCGTTCGACGGGCTGGGGCGCGTTAGGCTGCGGAAGGCTGGCGGCCAGCGCACTATCAGCCACAGTTATCAAAGCAATGCGCCTGAACCAATGGGAACTATATGCAGCAGGGGACATGAATCCCAACTAGATTATGATCCTATGTTGCAGTTCGCACTCAAGAGTCACAGTAGGAGTGACGGCATAGATACCTTCGATTACGACCCGCAAACTGGCCTGCCGGTGCAACTCAGGGGAGCCGATAGTACACACACACGCCATTACACCCCCTCATCGTTGCTAAAAGGGGAGACAGTTCATATCCATGACGAAAAGACATTTTCCACAGAATATCAGTACTCTCTCGCGGGTAAACTGCAACAATATGTCAATCATCATCAGCAAAAGCAGAACATACAGTATGATGATCATGGCAGAACTGCCTCTTTGACACAGGGGAACATCAAAGTCTCAATCACATACGACATGTCAAGTCGGCCCACGGTCTACAGTGTGGAGGATAAGGAGAAGCAGGTAGAACTAACATCAATTCTGCACTACGATGACTTTGGTCGCGAGATTCAGCGGATAGTCAAGAAGAGGCAAGAGATTTTATATATCTTGAGCCAGACTTACACTCAAACCAGTCATATCTCCGCACGGACTTTGACAGACGGGGAACACGCGGTTCTACGAGAAGAGCATTTTATATACGACAATCGGAACCGCCTTAAACAATATAGATGCGAGGGAAGCCAAGCACCTTTTGATCAGCAAGAAAAGCAGCTGAAAGAACAAGTCTTTGAATTTGATGATTATGATAATATCAGAGAAACAGCGACTCTTTTCAGTGATCATGATACAAACATAACGACTTACACATATGCTCAGCATGATCCCACCCAGTTGATTCGAATCTCTAATACAAACAACCACTACCCTGCAAATATTGACCTTGAGTATGATGCCAATGGCTGTTTGACCAAAGACGAGCAGGGTCGTAGCCTGGAATACGATAGCCTGAGTCGACTGGTTCTAATACGGGATGTCAACGGCGCGCAACTTTGCAAATATCAATATGATGCGTCCGGGAAGCTGGCATGCCAACGCGTGACAGACGGGCCGAACATCTTTCTCTTCTACCGGGGGGACTCATTGATTGCTACGAAAATAGACGATGATTGCATCAGCTATGTGTCAGACGGGACAACATATTGGGGCCAAATCAAGCAAGATGGGTCTGGCAGTCCGCAGAATGAGCTCTGGGTATCCGACAGTCATAATTCCATCCTGACTCTACTAGACAGCCAGTCAGAGCAGCTCCATCATCAGTCATACACCCCATATGGCTTCGGTGGAGAGTCCGAGGTCGCGTTCAATGGACATTGGCGGGACCCAGTCACCGGGTGGTATCACCTGGGAGACGGCTATCGCGTTTATAATCCTGTTTTGAAACGCTTCCACGTCCCAGACTCGTGGAGCCCCTTTGTCTCGGGAGAGATCAACCCGTATACCTACTGTCTCGGAGACCCCATCAACCGCATAGACCCCAGCGGTCACTTCAGCATTTGGGGAGTAAACTATAGCTGGAAAAATGCTATAACCCTGGGACTTGGTGTCGTGACGAGTGTTGGGCTTGGAATCGCAACATGTGGCGCGAGCTTAGTCGTTCAGTGCGCGGCAGGTGCAGCTGTTGGGGCTGCTGTCGGGATGCTTGGAGGAGCTCTTGGGGACTTGGCAGACAACAACGAGATAACACTGAACAGCGTTATGAAAGATGGCTTGTGGGGGGGAGCAGCCGGCTCTCTTGGCCCTGTAGCAGGCAGGGTTTTTGGCGGTGTTTGGCGATATGGCAAGGAGTGCATGGGAAGAGCGGGATCGTACACCATCAACAATGTCTCTCGGGATGTGATTCGGTTTGGCTTCCAGAGGAAGGTTGCAGCTTATGGCTTGACAAATATTGCAAAAGAAAAGGTCCAGGGCGCCATCATCGGGGCCGTTGCATCGCAAGGCCTTTCTTTCTCTGCGAAAGCCGTTAAAGAGAATTGTTTCTAGAAGGACAAATCGTCATCATGAATATTCAGCTCCGCCGGTCAATCTCCTGATGTAAATAGGATACAGACCCGCTAGATATCGAAATACAGGTGGCCATACATTCTAGACTCCTTTCAGAACCAACCATGCCTACCTTACAACAACATCCAAAATGAGTGACTTCCGCTCTTCTATCACAACCCTAGGCCCCTCCCTCAATACCTCTTAACCGCTACGCCAAAACGTTGACCAACGATTAGCCCGACTGATATACTCATCAATACCCCCATTCGAAGGGGATATTATCCACCGTGAGAAAAGTCACCGTGTATAAGAATCGCTACTTAGAGGGGGATCGGCAGGCTTGACATGGTCTGAAGGTAACATTTGGTGTTCTCTTGCAGATGGTGCATATCCAACCCCCCTTTTCGTGAGATTCCGGTTGGATAATCTATCACTTTCTAAGCAAGCCAATATACTATAGGAACTTTTACTGCCATATGGCGATATAATATTCGTGAAGCATCCTTTTTAGGAGTGTGCCGCAGTTCGGATCCGACAAGGTCCGAGCTGAGGCCGTGGACGATGCAAGTGTTAGCCAAGGAAGATATCTGTCGATACCATCGATGTCAGAGACGCTATCATGCAGCCAGAGCGCAGACTGATTGCTGGTCCCGCGTGCATGAGAATTTAGCACCGGTAGGCGTTTTCAAGCAATGCACGCGTGATGCAGCCCCTTCACAACACCAACTCTTGACACGTATCTTGCATGACCTGTGCGTGTTTATGACCCGAGTATAGATCGACATTCTCCGGGCTTTCTTTTGATGCCACTGACCGCACGGTCCCGCAGGTAGGTGGTTCGTATGCTAAAGGGGGGGCTCACTAGGGAGTAGGCCTCAAAACGACCTATTCTGATATAGATCTGGATTTAGATCAGAACAAATTCTTGCGCAGCCTAGTTGAAAGCCTTTAACCTAAATTCACCCCATACCTAGTTACTAGAACCCCAGAAGATCCGATTTAGATCTAGTTTAACCTAGTTTTAACATGAATAAGAGGCTTGGTAGTTATAAATTTGCTGAATTGACTAAATTATATACAGAACCAACATGTTTATGAAGCTTATAATCTAATTTAGGGCTCTGGATCCAGTACTAGGTCTAGGATTATAATCTAGACCCATCACTAGATCAAGAGGTTGGGTCTGCGTTTTACTGGGTCGTTCGGAAGACTGAGATAGATTCGAGGATAATGCAAGTCTCTCTCTCTCTCTATACCGGATTACCCGAAAAGGGTAATCCAGGCTGGATTTTCTGGGCAGCCTGACGTCTACTCCCTGCTCTCATACGAAGAAAGCGCGGGCTCTACCCCCGCCTCTCTCCACCTTTCTAGTTCACTCCATGTTACATGTCATAAGCTCTAGAAGCAGGTGACCGTATCTGGAAATGTCTAAAGCGCGCAGTAGGGGATTTTCCAGCGGCGGGGCTAAAACGGAATATGGTCCTTACAGTGGTGTGTGTGTTCTCGACGCTTTGATACTGCCGTAGGCAATTGGGCATCAGTACATAGTCCGAAAGGGTGTGGGACATGATGCAGCGTAGCAGAAGATACTGTGCGTGACTTAATCCAGGTGCAACACAGTAGTAAGAAGAGGACCAAGCAGAACGTCGACGTGGGCATGGAAACAGGCATAAATAGAAGGACAAGTCAGGATCTCATTTTCATTCTTTCCAACTCTCCATCTACTTTCCTGACCAAGTCAATATCAAGTCAATATCTTACAACATTTGCACGTTATCTGCTTGACGCAATGGCAGAACCAACCCCAGCCATACATCATCCCACGAAGGGCCCATTCGGGGCGTATGTGTATGAATGCAACACTAGAATAGCAAAAGGGGGTTCTGGAGACAATATTGAACTAAACGATTGGTTCAAATCAGGAGTATGCGTTGTTTCCAAAAGCATGAGTTGAGTTAGTTAACATCTGCTTGTTAGGAAGTCAACTCTCTGCCGGGAGACCTACGTGGAATACAGCTTGTTACCCTTTCAGACGATAATGGGGGCTGCTGGTATGACCGAGGTAATTGGACATGGTTTGAACTGGCAATTGAAAAGAACAACGGTTTTGTCAAAACATTGAGTGACACGAAACAATGTGTTTGGATGAGCCATGAGAACCGCCTGATGACCTGGAACACTGGCTGGGTATGGACGGACACCCTTCTCCCCACTCCAATACTGGCTGAGCTAACTTGTACACAATGAAGCGCCGTGGAAAGTTCTTCCATAAAGATCACCCATTGTTGGAAAATCTCAAGGTTTGCCTCACGTGTATTTACTCCTTTTCACGCAGGCTCAGAGTGCTTTAGGGCGATGATCGCGTAGTAGTCCGGATCTGTACACAGTACAACTGGGGTTTCACCGCTGTCGTGGCCAAATTGATTTTCTATACTGGCTGCGAACCATGTACAGTTTTACATCTCGCTACTGTTTACTCTGACACTAACTGGTTGATAGTTCAAGTACCTAGTGCTTTTCCGAACCCGACAAGGGAGCCTGCCACGATATCTGGGCCTGGCACGGACGGATTGAAAGAATTATTAGGTCCAGAATGCACAGAATGCACGAAAAAAACCGACACGTCAACGGTGAAAATAACATGGGGAAACTTTGTCATCAAGGAGCTCTCAAAACTTGATTCTTCTGAGGTATCAGCAGAAGAGCCGAGAAAGACAGTACTGGTTATCGATGTTAAGCTCCTGCACGACATGAACAAGAACGACAACAACAACGACGGCGCTATCTCTACCTTGTCATGGTACCAAGAACTCAAAGACATTGAGGAAAAATTCCTCAGTGGTGAAAAGTACGAAAACGAGTTTGGCAAATTCCACATTATTATTCGCATTGGCAACGAAGCTGCAGTGTACAAAGATCCTCGTCACCCTAAATCTGCACCGATGATGATCTTTGAACCGAGTAACAGGGAAGGCGGGTATCTTCGCTCAAAGTCCAAGCTTGGGGATAAAAGCATTCTTGAGTCAAAGCTAAAGGCTGTCTTCTGTGTTGGCCTCGCAGACTCACTATTGCAGGAATCATCAACGAGCATGGCCACTGAAAATCTTGGCAAACATCAGATCCGTCAAGCCTTGGTCAATGCCCTCAAGTGGCCGCGTCGATTTGCTGCGTGTTATACGAACCCAGACGGACAGCTTAAGTCTGACGTCGTTGCATCAGAATTCGAGATGGAGAATAGAACGGATGTTGATCCAACTCTTATTCCACTGAATACTGGATACGAAGGCAAAGACACTAGTCTGAAGAGCGGGAAGGTGGCTGAGAGTATCTTCAACAGCATGAAATTGGACAGTAATCTTTTCGCCCGTGATGTTGTAACCTGGGGCCCCGAAAAGTGCTTATCCATCATCCCAACCACATCATACGGTGGAATTCTAACCGCCGATCGGGCGGAGATTGAGGGTTTCCGAAAGGCGGCAGATGCCATCGATGCCTACATACAAGGCCATGCCACAAAGCCTATGCCCATAGCGGTGTTTGGCCAGCCTGGCTCCGGAAAGTCGTTTGGGGTCAAGGAGGTTGCCAAGTCGATTCTTCTCAATCATGGCTACAAGGCGGAGGATACTCGACCTCTTGAATTCAACCTCTCCCTGATGACTGACGAGGTTGATCTCATCGACGCCTTCGAGACAATTCGGGGGAAACAACTTTCTCGCAAGGTGCCAATTGTACTGTTCGACGAATTTGATTCCGATGACTGTAGGTGGTTAAAGAATTTCCATGACCCACTATGTGATGGGAGGTTTAAAGGCAAAGACGATAGATGGCACCCCCTTGGGCGAGGCATCTATGTCTTTATCGGTGGAACCTCAAAGACCTGGGAGGAGTTCCAAACAAAACGTGGGCTGCAACCACGCAAGGAGAAATCCAACGATTCGGATCCAACTAGCACCGCAGCCGACAGCTGGAATAAATTTGCCGAGTACCACTCGTGCGATCTTCAGGGGAAAAGTGACGACGAGTTGAAGTCTGTGTTCCAAAATATGCGCGACACAACGCTCGAGGGAAAGCTGCCAATTGTACTCTTCAGAAATTTCCATGCCAAGAGAGAAACAAAGCCATGGGGATGGCTGAAGTCTTTCCTGGCTCCGATGCAAGACTCTTTGTACCTGGATCATGGCCAACCCCGACTGATCGGACAAGGGGTCTTTGTGTTTATTCAGGAACCTGGGACGCCTGGCCAGAAACTCAAGACAAATTCGACACTGCTCATGGACCCCGATGACCCACGATATAAGGATACGGCTATTAGAGAAGAATTTACAGATGCCAAAGGACCCGACTTTGTTAGCAGACTACGTGGGCACGTTAAACAAGACGAGAAAAATGGGGAAATAGACGTTAGCCCTCTAAAATGGGTGATCGAAGAATATCTGCAACCCCAGATCAGGGAAAAACCACTTTCTTTATGTGTGACAGCCGGCGAACAACATGATTTGAAACAAAAACTGAATGATCTATCTCTATACACAGTAGCGGAGAATGCGCTGGATGTGCCGAGCAAGGACAAGAGCGATGATAAGAGCGACGACAAGAGCGACGACAAGAAGAGCGACGACAAGAGCGACGACAAGAAGAGTAACGACAAGAAGTTTGTGGATTTGATAAAAGGCTACATCAATATCACGGGGCCCAACCCAGTCCCCCAGCCGCAATCCACGACCGGCAGCGACAAAACTGGTAAAGATTCTGACAATGGGGACGTTGACTGGGAGCACATGGCAAAGATAAGACGAGCGATTGTTCTTCGATCAGTGCTCCAGAGGCGATGGGGATTTAAGAAAGGGCAGGAGATCAAGTTCGAACCAGGTGTTCTCGGTGCACTACTGGACACCAGAACTTTCTACCATGGCGTCCGCTCTTTAGAAGCCATAATGGGTATGAGTGTTTTGTCCAAAGGCAAACGTGCCATTACGTTTCCTAAAGAAACAGAATTTAATGGCCAACTTGGTCTACACGTCGACGCAACCGAATTCAAGAAGACGATTGATGAGAAGAAGAAACTTGATGAGAAGAAGAAACTTGACGAGAAGAAGAAACTTGATGAGAAGAAGAAATTTGATAAGACGGAAGATAAAACCCACTGCCAGGATTCAAGCCATGCTCCAGGCAACCGTCGCTACACGGAGCATTCAATGCTGCATCTACAGGTGGGATTGGCCTTGCCTACAGACAGGTGAAATTCGTTTTACCCCATTTCCTTTGTCTTTCCCGTGTTTTGTTCTTCTCCTTGCTTCTTGTACTTAGGTTTTAGTTTGCATTTATCATTACAGCGACTAGATTGGACAATACACAAGCTGCTGCCTCTTCAATCATTGGACCATAATGTTAGTCCGTAAGAAAACAGCAAGAATGGGGTGTCAATCTACTACAGTAAGACGGTTGGGACTAATCAGTCCCGCCACTAAGGAATTCTCAATGGAGGCCAGCTCATCTATAAGGAAGCCAAGCTATTTTGATTCAGGCTTGCCTGGAAGCTCTCGGCTTGTGACATCCGACACATGTCATGATGATTGTTTTCAAAGTTAAAAACAAAGATTGGTGTATCATTATGCCAATCGAAGACTTGAAGCAACTAGTGTTTTATGTCCACTAAACCATCTGCAATGCCGGACCATTAATGAGCATTGAATGTGTAGTATGTCAAGTCCATCAATTTATCCAGTCGATCAAGTGAATAGACAAACTAGACAAACTAGACAAACTAGACAAATCAGATAAATCAGATAAACTTGTCAAACTTACAAATTCAAATAAACTAAACAAAGTAAACATACTAGATAAATTCAACAAACTACACAAACTACACAAACAACCAGCGACGTCACATCGAGCATCATCCCATCCAGACAGCCAACCATCGTCACCGCATGCGGCCATCTCCCCTCCGCTCGGAATTCCACGGTACCTGGGTTGACAAAATGAATCCAGAACCTGGCATGGGCTGTCAGGTCACTGTCAGAGTATGCATCTCCCCCTCAGTGATCGTCCAGTCAATCTCGGTCATGGTGGGGTGCTGTTTGCAACCTGGCATAGTATGCTCCAGCCACTCCAGGAACAACAAGCTTCCATGGGAATCCATCCACCTCGATCAGTGGTGGTGATGTCGTGGCGATGGGAGTTCTTTGTTCCCATTGTGAAAATCATGGCTCACTTTACCTGATTAGTTCTCTTAAGGAGGGTGTGATCTCGTCCATCCTCTCCTCTGCAACTTCCTTGCAAGACTATACTATACCTCTGGGATAACTTTTTACTTTCTTTCTTTTTTTTTTTTTTTTTTTTTTTTTTAATACGATTTACTTCGCTGCATACGCTATATGTGACCTGTCCTCTACCTCCAGACTACTCTCCGCATCTCCTCCGTGTTTACTACATTACCCCTCTTTCAACATTCCCGAGGAAAGCGTTCTTTGCTTTTTGCGGCGCTCTGGTTGTTCCTATAAAGAGCGCGACTATATTTACATCCGGCCTGTCTTTTCTCGCCTGCGTTGTTGCTCTCTTTAGAATTGACCCTATCCTATTCTAATTCGATCCGACTATTCAATTCTCAACCAAGATGTCGCCATTGGCGGTTCCGACAAGGTCGGTCGAGATCGTGAACATCCATCAAAATGATGTGGGGTATTCCTTGGTCAACGATATCCGCAACGGTCTTAACCCCCCCGCCGGGTCCCCGCGTTCCATGCCGACCATGCTGCTGTACGACGCCCAAGGCCTCAAGCTGTTCGAGGAGATTACCTACCAGGACGAGTACTACTTGACCAATGCCGAGATTGAGGTGTTGGAGACCCATGCCAAGAGGATCGTCGAATACATCCCCAACAAGGCACAGATGCTTGAGCTAGGTAGTGGGTATGTCGTTCTTCACACTTGATGGGAGCAACGATTCCATGAATCAACCTCTCAAAGGGCAAGCTGACAGGCTAGAAACCTCCGGAAAATTGAGATTTTGCTGCGGGAGCTGGAACGCGTGGGCAAGGACGTGGACTACTACGCCCTGGATCTCTCCCTGTCGGAACTCCAGCGCACATTCGCCGAGGTCTCCGTAGACCGCTACCAACATGTTCGCTTGCACGGGCTCCACGGAACTTACGACGACGCCTTGGAGTGGCTGGGACCCCCGGAGTCCCGGTCCCGCCCCGCGTTCATCCTGTCGATGGGGTCGTCGTTGGGCAATTTCAGTCGTCCTGAGGCCGCGGGCTTTCTGGCGCAATTCGCAAAGTTGCTGGGACCCGCCGACCGCATGGCCATAGGTCTGGACTCGTGCGAAGACCCGGATAGAGTCTATAAGGCGTACAACGACGCCAAAGGCGTGACGCGACAGTTCTACGAGAATGGACTGGCGCATGCGAACGCCGTGCTCGGACACGAGGTCTTCAAACCGGCGGAGTGGGACGTCGTGACGGAGTATGACCACGTCGGGGGACGGCACCAGGCTTTTTACTCGCCCAAGAAGGACATGGTCGTCGAGGGTGCTCATCTGCGCAAGGGCGAAAAGCTGGTCTTCGAGGAAGCGTTCAAGTATTCTGCGCAGCAGCGCGAGGATTTGTGGCGCAGTGCGAACTTGGTCTTGGGGACGGAGTTTGGGAATAGATCGGGCGAGTACCGTGAGTCCTCTCTTTCTTAACTAACGTCGATCATACTAGCCGTGACGGAGATAGAACCTCAGCTGACGGTACAGATATCCACCTCTTGTCGTCCGCTGCGTTCCGCTTCCCGACCTCTGTGTCGGAGTATGCCCCTAGCGCTGTCCCCACCCTGAAAGAATGGGAATCCCTGTGGACGGCATGGGACGTAGCGACTAAATCAATGGTCCCTCGGGAGGAATTCCTATCCAAGCCGATCAAACTGCGAAACGCGCTCATCTTCTACCTTGGGCACATTCCCACGTTTCTGGGTTGGTCTCCTTGAGCCTGACCCCCTCGCCCCCGCCAATAATCATGGTGTGCGTGTGCTAATTGACGGCAGACATTCACTTGACCCGTGCTCTCTCAGGGAAGCCCACCGAGCCCAAATCCTACCAGCAGATCTTTGAGCGGGGGATCGATCCCGACGTGGACAATCCGGAACAGTGCCATAAGCACAGTGAGATTCCCGACGAGTGGCCGCCGCTGGGTGAGATCCTGGACTACCAGAACCGAGTCCGGAGTCGCGTCAGGGCCGTCTGTCAGCGGGACGACCTTGGGCAGAACCGGTCCTTGGGGGAGGCGCTGTGGATCGGGTTCGAGCATGAAGCCATGCATCTCGAAACTTTCCTCTACATGCTGCTCCAGAGTGAAAGAACGCTCGTCCCCGCTGGCGTGGAGCGGCCGGACTTCAAGCAAATCTTCGACCACGCCCGGAAGCATGCCAAAACGAACGAGTGGTTTACCATCCCTGAACGGACGCTCGCCATTGGGCTCGACGACGACGGGAGCTCAATCCCGCCGGTCTCGTTCGGATGGGACAATGAGAAGCCGGAGCGGACAGTCGCCGTGGCGGCATTTGAAGCGCGCGCGCAGCCCATCACCAACGGCGACTATTTCCAGCATCTGCAGGCCAAACCGCACCGCCGCCCGCCCGCGTCGTGGATCCTCGCCCACCCAGACGGCCCGGATTCGATGTCGCGGTTCGCCGTGCGCACGCTGTTTGGGCCGGTTCCGCTGGACCTCGCGCAGGACTGGCCGTTGATCGCATCGTATGACGAGCTCGACGGGTATGCGCAGTCAGTGGGGTGTCGGATCCCGACGATGGAGGAAGTCCGGAGTATTTACGTACACGCAGCGGCACTACAATCAGAGGGGAAGGCAGGACATATGAATGGGACGAAAAATGGCCAAGTCAACGGAAATGTACCAAAGGAAGTCAACGGAAACGGAGTCCATGGAAATGGAAATAGCCATTCGAAGATCAACCCCACCCGACCCCGGTCGCCGGATCACCAGCCTGTTCAACCCATTTCGCGAGAAGGGCTGCCAGTGTACGTGGATCTCAACGGACACAACGTTGGATTCCAGCACTGGCACCCTATCCCGGTGATCGCGCAGGGCGATCGACTGGCGGGACAGGGGGATTTCGGGGGTGTGTGGGAGTGGACGAGCACGGCTTTGGCTGCGCATGAGGGGTTCCGCGCGATGGAGATATATCCAGGATATACCTGTATTTTCCCTTTTTCTCTTTCGAATGATTTGATACTGACGTGAACAGCGGACTTCTTCGACGGAAAGCACCACGTCGTCCTGGGTGGATCATGGGCGACGCACCCGCGGATCGCAGGGCGGACTACATTGTATGTATACGCACTTTACACCCCAAAGTATTACCAAAGCTAATAATATAGTGTGAACTGGTACCAAACCAACTATCCTTACGCATGGGCGGGGGCACGATTAGTGCGGGACGTGTGATTAGACATCATACCTACCTAGATAAGAAGGCAACATCACGTTTGACCAGAATTACTTACCGATTTCCACTTGTAGAATGTAAATTGTAGCAGAGTACCGTGGGATTACTTCCCGCGAGGGCAGTGATCCACCATCGTCAACGTCTAATTGGGCTGAAACACCATCCGCTGAGCCGTGCGGGACTGAAAACAAGGGAAGCAAAGGGAAAGAAAACCGGGGTGGGATGGATTGACGTCATGGGCTTTTTTGAGTATCGTATAAGTGTCACCACCTCAAAACCATACCCAGGTCCTCATTCTACAAAACAACTCAACCAAGACCATTAAACCAACTTTCACCAAACTGACACCATAAACAAACCCAATCTCAAATCTAGAAATATATGAAAAAAGAGCAAAAAAAAGACCCAAAATGTCCGTCGAAACCATAACAACCATCTCGCCCAAAACCGGCCGTCCCATCATGTCGCGCACTGGCATCACCTCCGAAGGCCTCCAACAAGTAACCACCGACGCGCAATCCGCCTTCCAAAGCTACCACACCTCGACGAGCCTACAAACGCGCCAGCAGATCGTGGCGCGGGCACTCGATCTGCTGATGCAGCGGAAGGAGGAGCTCGCGTACGAGATCACGGAGCAGATGGGGCGGCCGGTTGCGTACAGCGGGGTGGAGATCATGACTGCTGTGAAGCGCGGGCGGTACCTGAATGAGATTAGTGGGGAGGTTTTGGGGGGTGATTCGGGGGTTGTTTTCGATAATAAGGATGAGAAGTGTAAGGGGTTGGTGAGTAGGGAGAAGGAGGGGGAGGAGGGGGAAGATGGGGTCAGGAAGGTGATTAAGAAGAGGGCTGTGGGGGTTGTGTTGGCTGTTGTTGGGTGGAATGTTTGTTTTCCCTTTCTTTTCCTCCTTTTTTTGGATCTTTTTGGTATGGATTGGATTGATAATGATATGTGCAGTACCCCTACCTCGTCCTCATCAACACCCTCATCCCCGCCCTGCTCGCCGGCAACGCAGTCATCATGAAACCCTCCCCGCAAACCCCCACAGTCGTGGAGCAGGTACTCGGGGCGTTCGCCGAAGCCGGACTCCCCCAGAACGTGCTTCAATACGTGCACTGCGGAAACCCGAAGCTCCTCGAAGACCTAATGCGGTCCCCGCATGTGAACCACATCTGCTTCACGGGTTCCGTCGCCGGCGGCCTCGCCGTACAGCAAGCAGCCTCGGAGCGAATCGTCAACGTGGGGCTCGAACTCGGCGGCAAAGACGCGGCATACGTACGCCCCGACGTGAACGTCGCATGGGCCGCAGCGGAGATCGTCGACGGGGCGATCTTCAACAGCGGGCAGAGCTGCTGCGCGATCGAGCGGGTGTACGTGCACAAGGACATCCGGGAGCAGTTCATCGCGGAGGTGAAGCGCGTGCTGAGCAACTACCGGGTGGGCGACCCGTTCGAGAAAGACACGCAGATCGGGCCGGTGGTGTCGTCGCGCGCGAAGGAGGTCATCCAGCGGCAGATTGACGAGGCTGTTAAGGGCGGTGCGCTGGACGAGACGCCTGATGATAATGACAGTTTCAAGAATATGCCGCCGGAGGGGAACTTTGTGCGCCCGACGCTGCTGACGGGCGTGACGCATGAGATGGCTGTCATGAGGGAGGAGACGTTTGGGCCTGTTATTCCTGTTATGGGGGTGGATGGGGATGAGGAGGCTCTTGGGTTGATTAATGATAGTGAGTTTGGGTTGTCGGCGAGTGTGTGGACGAAGGATGTTGCCGGTGCGGAGAAGTTGATTGAGAGGATTGAGGCTGGGACGGTGTTCATCAATCGGGCGGATTATCCTGCGCCGGTGAGTTCTTTCTATTCCTTTCTCTATATACATACCCTTTATAGGATGAGGCTAATGATGCAGGACCTGGCATGGACGGGATGGAAGAACTCCGGACGAAGCGTCACGCTGAGTCAGTTTGGATTTGACCAGTTTGTGAAGCTGCAGAGTTATCATATTCGCGAGTGTCCTTAGACTTGATATTAACAATTATATTATTTTATCTTATTGTTTGTTTCATATTATGAGGTGTGCAGTCAAGGCGTCGAATGATGGGGTAGATGTACATGATGGATGGATGAGATGAGACGATGCGTTGGCAGGGACGCCGCCGTGTACGCGACCAGATGAGTAATATCTATATATATCTTATTGAATAAGATATGATAAGTAGGGGAAGATAAATTAACAAGAAATCAACAAGAATGATGTTCATACCAAGGAGGAAGAATGTAGTTGACCAACCCAGGAACATTCCTCTATCCCATTCCCCCTTCAGTTTAGTATATGTCATACAGCCCAGCTTTTTTAGGAGGAGGGATTAGCATACTACGTAAGGTAATAAAATAGAATAAAGTATACTCGAATAGCATAAAAAAGATAGAGTAAAATAGAATATTAGATGGAGAACAACACCATCATGCAAGGGACAGCCACTCAGTACTCTTCCTGCACCTGTGGGTCTAGACTATGCCTCTTTATGTAGGGGGTTCTACAAACATACTTACATACTTGTCAGTGGTGAGTTGGCGTCTTATCTGAGGCGAATGTTCATGATACTATCAAAGGGGAATAGGAGGAATGCTGTCTTCTTTTTCTTTCTTTCTTCTTCTTCTTCTTTCTTTTTGACTCGACTTGACTTGACTTCGAGTAGGTAGGTAGGTGTATTATAAGGGGTTATAGCGTAAAGAAGCTGTATAGTATATTATAGGTTAAGTATAGTAGAGGTTAAAAGCTGCAACAGCAATATCCATAGGGCATGACACGTCTGACGCTGCTTCGCCTCGCTTGGCGTGTCCAGATCATGTCAGGTACAGTTGACAAGAATTCAGGCACCTGCATGGAATCTTCGCAGGGGTGCGTTAGTGGTCTGCCAACTCTTGTAATTAGATGACGTAGTCAATCACATCCCATCGTCTGTATGGAGTATACCATCTTATTATCTCCCGTTGTACGGAGCACTCCTGAGAGGAATACCGTTGCACAATACCGTTGTAGATCCCCATATGAGAGGTTCGACACACTCTCCCCAAAGATGATCAAACCAGGGGGGCTCCGTCTGACCCGCCAGGGGAAACAGAAATATCCAGAATGTGTCACATAACGTGGTCGCCGTCCCTTACGCAGCGAACCAGACCATAGAGGGAGGGAGCCTCAGGGGGGGCGCAGAGACAGGCTGTCTTTTTTTGCATTTGCGTGCCTCGGAATCCAGCCGAGCCAAATTCCCTGCATTACACGGGTCAGAGAAAGCCGTTGCTCAATAATGTAGTCCTTGAATTAGTTATCAAGGAGTACGTAGACTCCGGAAGAGAAAAGGAAGAGAGTGGCTGACCTGCAGGTCGGTATATATCCTTGCAGACTCCTCGACGTCAAACCCGTCTGATTCTCTCTCTTCTTTGTTTCTTTCTCTGCCCATCCTCCAACCAGTGCGTCAATGCCATAGAGCGGTCGCCAGTCCTTCTTTTTACATTCATTCCTTCTTGCTTCTTTTGTCTTTTTTTTGCTTTTCTTTTTCTGCATTTGATTTCTTTCTTTTCCCTTTTGGGATCGGTGGTTTCATTCGTTGACCGCCCCTCAAGCTTCAGCTTCACTTTATTACCTATTATATTGTTTTTTTAATACCTCTCGTCTCGCCCATTCGAGCTTCGTGGCCCGCTTGGTTCTCCTCGTCTTCTGATTTCGGTCCTGGTTGTATATAGACCGAACAGAGACACTCCACACACTCCTTCGGACCGGCGGTTCTGCTTCGTTTCATTACCATTTATCGGTTTATAATCTCGACCTCGTTTCAATCTCCATCTTCATCTTCCTCTCTTCCGACGCAAGAATGGAATGTTTCCGGCAGATCGCTCGACTGGTCAAGTCCCCCTTTCAGCGCGACTCGCACCGCCCGCTGGAGATCGTGAGTCCTTGTCCTTCCAGGCTTCCAGGTATCCCAGAATAGGACTAACCCTGTGTATAGGGTCCTCCGACCAACTTTCGAAAGGAGGAACTGCCCACGTTCTTCTCTGACGCAGAGGATGAGTGAGTCCATCATCCACACAGACATATGTTGAATCTGTCTAATTTCTCAGCGCTGCCACCCTGCATAGTCACGGCTCAATGACGGAAAAGGATGAAAAAGACGCCATGATCAAGGAGCTCGAGCGTGAGCCCTCAACGACACAGAAGCTCCGGTCTCGCGTCCGCAGGCTGAGCGTCCGTGTCGCCCACCAGCTGCCTGATCATGACGATGGCCCGCATCAATAGATTTGTCCTAGCGGATATGATGTACCTGATTTCTGATTTCTTTTTGTTATTTCCTTTGTTTTGTTTTGTTTGGGTTCGGCGGAATCAGAGCAGGAATGTGGGAACCTCGTTGAGTCGTGACTGTTTTTTCTCTGTGTCGCGTTGATGGATATGTCGTTGTGCTGTCTCGATAGATGGGGATGGCGTGTGGTCTGGTTCGGATAGCTCTGGCAGCTCATCGAAATCATCGAAGATTGATTTTCTCTTTGGGTTTTGGGTTTTGGTTCGTGTTCGTGTCGTAGCTTTACCCACTCTTGGCTTGGTAGGCTCACTCCCCCTTGACGTAGTAGACCCATCCCTCGCCGTATCCCGCGGACGAGGCGTCAGAGAGACCCTCGGTGGGCTGGAATCCATGCTAGGATCCAGTTTCACAGGGCGGACTGGACGGCGCAATCTAGTCGGCGAATCGGGCTGGACATCAAGATCATCGTCATCATCGTCATCACCTTCCGAGGCAGTCTCCTCCCCCCCTTGACCAACCACCCCCCTCCGCAGTGGCGACGACACCGGACCGCCATCATCCGCCCCACGAGTCGTCACCGCTCCCCCAGAAGCCTGCGAAAACCCCGCCGCAGCCCTCGTAAACGACCTCACGCCGCGCGCACCAACAAGCGACGGGCCCCTCCTCGGACTCATCATCAGCCCATGCAGCGACGTCCCCACAAAGCAATCATCCCCTTCATCATCCTCATCCAACTCGACCCCCCTCACGCGCTTACCCTTATCCTTCTCCTTACCCAGCCCATCTCCACTCAAGCCAGCAGCCGCTAATCCCTTCTCACCAAGCAGAGATGGCGCAGTCGCACGCGCAAGATCCCCAATAGCAGCCTGGTTCCGGAGCTTAACTTCCTTTCGCTGTTTGATGTACTCCTGGTGGTGCAGGTGGCGGGTAAAGTCTTGCGCGATGGAGTGGAGCTCGTCTTCGACCATCATGTAGATGTCGTCGTTGGGGAGGCCTTCAATTAGGTATCTTTTTTATCTTGTTAGATGACTAGGTGGGAAGGTTGGGGTGGACAGGGTGTATACTCTTCTGAGGGACAGTGATGAACAGGCGAAGAGGGGGGACTTGGGGCTTTCTTCAAATCAGTATTGATCTTATGGTGTGGAGATGAATTGAGGATATAATAGAGTAGAGACGTACATGATCGCAAGAAGTTCCGCTTTAAGCTCTTATCTTCGCGTTTCGGCGTGGTGGTAGTCTTTTCTCGCTTTACGGGCTGGCGACGCGGGGCAGGATCCGGATGTTCGCTTTTTGGTACGAGCCATGGTAATGTTCGAGGCATTGTTGCGAAGATTATCGAATCGCGCTTGGGAGGTTGCGATGTTGTTGGTTGGTGTTATCGGAGGTGTTCCGACTGATAGCGCGGCGGAGAGTGGCGCGGGCGGAACTTCTACCTGGAATGGATTGGTCCCGCTCTATCTCTCCCGTATATAATCCGTCATCACTCCATATTAACCAAGGAAGCTTAATGAAGATAGACCATACTGATAAAATAGTATTGATATGGGTATCTGCTTCAATCTAAGGACCCCAGCGGGACTAATATCTCAAAACTAGCTAGTGATCAAGACGCCGTGAACCCTCATTCCATGATGAATATCCGAAACGCCATCCCAAAGACGATAAAAAAGACACTGCAATGTATCCAGTGCCCAACCCGCAAAAAGAGTAGCTACTGCCGCAGCAGCACCAGAAGAAAAAAAATCACACCTCCCCAGGCCTCTTGCTATTACAGCTCACAATCTTCACCTTATCCGCCGTCACAGGGGTCTGATTATCGAGCTTGAAGGTGACATCCTTGATGAGGAAGGTCCACACTTCGTCGCAGAAGCGGTAGGTATCGAGGTGGCCCTAATCAGATACAACAATCGTCAGCCATCCATACATTCACCACATGATAACCCAAAACAGGTAGATATCTCTTCAGAAAGTCCTGGAAAATGTATACCTTAAAGTTCAACCTCGCGCGCACCTTATCCGCCAAAACCTCCGTGATGATCCTATCAAACGTGGACAGGATCTTCATGGCGAGCTGGGGCTCGATGCGGCCTTCGTTGATCAGGTCGTCGAGGGTATCGGTTAGGGAGAGGCCGAGGCTGTATCAAAATAGTCAGTAAATGAGTCAAAAACGAAGTCGCAATATCCATAGTGGAAAGTAACATACCTGCTCCCCCGGTAAAGTTCATAATAAGACTGAGCGCTCATCGTGGCGGCGTCTCAAGACAGACAGAGGTGGTTGACGGAGAGAAAGTCGGTCCAGGCAACAAGGCGATCGTGGGGGGTCGATCCTCACGTGACGGCGCTAACTGGGGTATTGGTTGGTCAGGTGACATCATTGTCTTGATCATCTTTGTTCACTTACTATTTTGGAACAAGATCTTGATAACGGGTTTTTTCGAATACTGACTATGGAATAAGGTCGTCATGTTGCACGCTATGTGTAGAGCTACCCTGTTGAGGCACAGTACACTCTCGAGGGTGATTCCCTTGCCTGTGTCTGCGTCTACGGCTTGTTCGTCTGGGCAAAGTCATATATCGGCCTCGTCGATAAGGGCTTCATCGGATAGCAACCACGGTAGGAGCCATTACTTTGTTCCACCAAAAAAAAGTAGTATATATGTACTCATGATGGTTAGACGAACACCCTCCCAAACAAGAACATCCAACGACCGACCAAGCCTCACCAGACACCGCCGGACCAGCCAACAGCAACAGCAAAAGCAAGAGCAAGAGCGTCACCCAAGCGGACCAAGAACTCCGAGAACGCCTGGAGCAAATGTCTGGCGAGGGGGGAGCCGCTGGTATCGAGTACGAGGATGGGAAACCAGCGTCTATGAAACGGAGCGTTCGGAATAATATGTTTCGCTATATTTGACCTACCAGAGGCATTTATTCATTCATCTTAGGAAATGAGGTAGACTAGACTAGCTTAATACAGCCGCTAAGATGGAGCCGATGAAACCAGCGAGGAAGGAACTTTCAATTTCGAGACTCCGGTCCTAAGATAAATGAGGCCTTCTATTGCCAAAAATAAGGAATTAGGAAGAAAGAAAATATGGAAGAAGATATAAGAGAAAGATAGAAAGAAAATCAGAATCACATCAAACTCCCCCACCATAGTGCTCGTCCGTAGGTGCCCAAAGACAAAATCGTCACGTCATATCGATGCCGACCGGTAGAGAGCCACAGCCATTACGGGGCATCTATCCTACCGTGGAAATTCCGGCGAGGACCCCGGCACCAATGACCCCTCCGTCGGATGCTTCTCGCAGGAAGACCGACTTCCCGCTCTTCTGGGGCCCCGTCCGCATGATGAGCCGGTCAATGTATTGTTGGCACATCTCCTTGAACTGCGGGTATTGCTGGATGATGCCGCCCGTGTAGGCGACTACCAGTTCCTCAGGGCCCGACTCCCAGTCTGCCGGCGTCGGGGTGGGAGACAGGACAGGCACAATGTGGCCTTGGCCGCCGTTGTTCACGCCATCAGATATCCCCGGGGTCAGGCTATCAATGGATGGCCCCGGGAGCGGGGTGTTGCCGTTGGGGGCAGGCGAGGGAGCAAGGGAGCTCTCTGGCGAATTCTCGGTGCTATCTGCTTTCAATTCAATCTCCCGTGTGCAGGCCAGCAGACCCACCACGGCCGCCGCGATCAGGCCCGCAGATCGCCGTTGGACCGTTCGGGCGATCTTCCGGAAGGCTCCTGCGGTCATCACGTCCCAATGCCAGTCGCTGCTCTCCGGCGGTGGTAGCGTTCGCTTCAAGACATCGACTAGATCTAGATCGGACCGAGCCCGGGCCACGGTGTCGGAGACGTACGTCGTCGTCAGGGCGTACTCTTGGATCAGGGTCGCTGGCAGCTGTTTCGGCGACAGTCCGGCGATGTTGACGAGGTAGTCGAACAGGATGATCCGGATCAGTTCGCCGATATACCGGCCGCCGGTCATATACTCGAAGGGTTGGAATCCGGGGCGAGCGCACGCTCGGTCCAACTCGTCGTCCCATTTCGTAATGATGTTGAGCTCTTGAAGAGGAGGCAAGGCACCCGAGATGGTCCACTCCGTGTTGATCACGGTCTCCTCAGCCGCCGGGTTCTTCGACCGGACATGGTTCGCCTTGGACTCGTGGAGTGCGCTAAGCTTCATGGGGATGGTGGCGTTGCATCCCGTGCCTACGATGATGCCCATTGCGACGCGGCTGTTGGGCAGAGACTTGACCGCATATGCCAGCGAAGCCAGCGTGGCGACGGCGTCGTTGGTGATTGCGGCGATCTTTAGCTTCGGCAGGGAGTACAGTTTGCGGCGCTTCTTGGACGGCTCGTGGTCATCATCCGGCCGCTTCGTGTGCTTCTCGTAACCGCTCAGCAAGATGTTCCGCAGGTTGAGGTCCGACGTGATGGCGAATCCTTTGCCCATTGGCATCAGAGTGGCTTCTGTCAGAGACTCCTGCCTGCATGCTGTCAGTCGCCGGAATGAGTGGGGTTTGAGCTCCAGTTGGGCTCCAGGGAAACAGCGGAACGTACATAATGGGGAAACTGAAGGTAATTCCCATCTCCAGCTCCTCCGGTATACTGCCCTTGGTCGCATCCGAGGTCAAGCTCTCCGCCACCACCTCCGCAATACAGTCCCCGATCCAGGAGAATAGGTCATCCGCTTTGTCCTTCTTCAGATGCTCCTGAATAGGCCACGCCTTTTCTAACGTCCGTCTCACCCGTTGTCGCTGCGCCTTTCGGATCGTATCTTTGGTTCTCTCCGTTGCATCGGCGGGCTTGTTGTCGGAATCCGCCGCATCTCCGAGAAGTTCAATGAACGCGACGCGTAGGTTACTCCCGCCCACGTCGATCGCCAGGTACCGACCGGTCTCCATGCCGGTAGGTAACTTGGTCACCGGCGTCGGCAGGAACTGTTGATCGGACTCCAAGGCGAGGTCACGGTAGACGTTCGAGAAGCGTCGCGCCAGTTTGTAGAGGATCGCTTCCCGCGGGATGAGCGGGGACAAGAATTCGTCCAGCTTCCTCTGGTATTCCAAGTATTCTTGCTGTTCCGGATCCAGGTCGGGTCCTTCCTCCTCATCCTCCTCGATAATGTCCTCCTGTACGTTATCCTGCTCCTCGTCCTCCTCCTTATCCCCCTCCGCATAGATCACATCGGTCGAGGCCATCATCGGGAGTCGCTGATCCGCGTCGCAATATTCCGGAGTGCGATTCTGCGTGAGGGAAAGGTGGTCAGAGGATCGGTGCAACGCCCAGCTAGGATGATTGGTGAGACGACGATGCTGTGTGTGCAACGACCCGTAGGTTGAAAAATGAATATGCCTTCGGTTCGCGGAATGTAATTTAATTTATATTTTGATTTTTGATTTTGGTTGAAGTGAGACGAGGTCGATGCAACGTAGCTGAGTTACCAGTATTGGTAAAACCTTAAACTGTTGTGAAATCGACCGAATATGCGACTCCAGGGGGCGGGGAGGGAATCCGGCTGAGGGAGGTTCGCTGGACTCTCAAACTAGACGTCCCGATTGATGATCAGCATTTCCGATTGTACAGGAAGAACGGTCAAATTCCAACATTGTTGGCTGCGGGGACGCGTTGTCTGAAAATGCAACGCTGGAGAAAGAATTCCGCAGGACTAGACCAGCGTGCGCGGCGACGATCACCACCACGCAGGAAGCCTTAGTGCCCAGTGGGGGGAAGAAAAGAGACAAGAAGGACTAGGGGGAGAAAAAAATCGCACCACCGTGGGGGGAGTGTCAACAGATGGTCAAGAACGACAAAACCACCCAAGCCATTGGTTGGTCCAGTACCGTTCTAGACTGAGAGAAACAATCCCAGGTTGTGTTGACCTGGGGCGATGGAGAGAATGGCGTTGGGTCTGGCGACAACACGACGGTATACACTATATACGACTGCAGATAGGATGGCGGGGAGTGGGGAGAGACGATCGTTAAGTAGATTTGAATGGAAGAACCTTGGGCGACCACACCCCAAGGCTCCGAATGACAATGGGATTTAGAACGAGAAAGGAAGAAAGAGTCACAGACTCCGAGTCTCGTTGGACGCGGACCCAAACTAAGTGAATGCGATGCTCCACCGGGTAGTGGGGTGGGAGGGAAAGGAAGGGAAAGAGATGTGGAGAGGAAAAGAAAAAGCGATCCAACGGTCAAAACACGAACGAGAGAAAGTCACCGGATGGTTATTATGTCAGAGAGAGCGACAGGAAGAAACTGGGAAGAATCTCCAGAGGTCAAGTCAATTAGGTAGTCAAGAAGTTCGGCGATGGCAGCAAATGCGACCATCATCTGTTAGGCGATGTGACGTTGCTGCCACCCTCCCCCCTCTCTCTCTCTGTCTCTCTATCATCCCTCTGGTTCGATTGGACTCGATGGCTTCTTTTACTTGGTTTGATTTGTTTTAGTTTTATTTATTTGTTTATTTCCCAGATGGAATGGGTTCTGCACCATTCGTTCAACAATGGTCCCCCCTCAATCGGTCTTGTCTTGGTACAGTAGCTGCGCGGACCGTTCTTGTTGGCTGACCAGGTTTTGGTTTCATTGACAACCTTCTATCATTGGTCTGCGTCGGCTGGAGACAATTGTGGATGGCACACGTAGTGCCTTCTGGGAGGTAGTATTCCCCCTCTTTTTTGCCCTTTGAATCCTGACTATCGCCGGGCCAGAAGTCTCTCGGCTGATCACACTGGGTGGGATCATCTCTATCTAGTCCATCGGTCTGGGTCCATCAGTCTGGGGATTGGAGTCGACAGGTCCGTATAATCTCCACCGGTTATTCCTCGGTCTAGGCGGCTCAATCTATCACTCCCGCCTCACACCTGGGGAACGGCTGAAACAAAAAAAAAAGGACGCCAAGGGACGCAGAATAGCACCGGAACTTCCCAGATGCTCGGATCGCGCTTGAGGTCTCCAGTGTGTTGGACTATCAAGGGAAAACAGTGGGGTCGGAGGTGCACTCGGCTCCCAAGCGAGACAGGCGAGGATTAGAGTATGGAGTCCCGTGCATAATTGAACCCGCTCGACAGTCTAGGTACTACAGTTCTGGGGAGCTCCTCTGGTTGGTCCGGCTCGTATAGGTCAGTTGACGCCATGGCCTTCAGCTGCGATGGACTGAACGGCTCTCCGTCAGGTTCTCGTGTTTGCAGAGACCTGTCGAGTCGTCGACTCCGGTCACTTCCTTGAATACGGCCTGGGGAAAGATCTGATAGGGTCCCGGCTGCGCGGCCACGCGTACCGAGAGATTTTTCCGCCGGAGTTGATCCAAGAGTGGATGCCGGTCATCGACTTGGACCATCATCACGGGCGAACTAGCCTGTCTTCGGGACAACTCGTAAAGGGCAACTCGACGGCGGGACACCAGAAACTTGATGTCTCGAAGCTCGTAAGGAGCCAGTTAGCAACCCACGAGACCGCTAAGCCCCTTGGGGATACGTATCCCATCTGCCTAGGACCTACACTTGTGACCGGGTTCCATCTCCATCAACGGGTCCGGGGGTGACCTGTCTCCGAGATCGGAGAGCTAAAGCAAACAACCTTTGCCAAAGCGCTGCGGAGGAAGACAAGTCTGAGCGGCTGGGTGATCTGCGTCGGAGTCATCCTAGCTTTCTTTTTCCCTATCTAGGCCTAGATACGAGGTTGGCCTGAAATCGCGTCCGGAGTCTGGCCAGCGCGGTCCGGCGAAGACCGTCGTAGGTTAATTAGGAGGAGCTGTCGCAGCCATCTTAGCTTCGTAGGACAAACAGGGGTTTTAGAGTAGTTCATTCTGCTCCCTCGGGCTCCCGCCGTCTTCATTCCTTTCCCACCTTCCAGCTCCCACGTCGGGATTCGTTAGGGTGATATATATTTGCCAAGCAGTTGCATCGAGACAGGGCAGCGAACGAGATTTGTCCATGACCTCTGGACCACCAGTCGGCAACATTAGCCAACATTAGCCTTGGAGATGTCCGGGGGAGGGATTTGACTTTCATCCATGCAAGATGTACCTGCTCGATAACCACTCCACGTTTCATTCTCTGGGTCCTGTGTTTCGTTACTCCGTGTAAGAGATCCCAGGATTGTGATGGTTTGGAGCCAACTGGCCAATGAGTGGGCGTAACCATGACGCAAGAACAACAACAATGTCCTTACCTCATTATCTTAGGCACCATAATATGGACAACCACCAGACAGGAATAGACTGATGAACTAATCAAGCATTGGACCATTCATTGACGGGATATAATAAGAACACAGTCCAGGGTGTATTCTTCATCTGGGTGTAACGGTGAACGGGACAGGGAGAGTAAGAAGGACGGGAAGTCTTGAGTCCCCGCAGTCACATTGACTTGGAACCTTTGGAATCCTTTTTTCCATTTCTCCCTTGCTGGTTCTGGACCTTCTTCACTTGTTCCCTTTCTCTTTATTCTATTATTATTATTACCATAATATTATTCTCATCGTCATACATATCGTTACCTAACTACCGCTCACCATGGAGAAATCCCAAAGTCAATACAACCCCGACAACCAATACGACGGTTTCTCTCCGACTTCCGCCGCCCCCTACGCAGCCCGCGCCCGACGTAACCGGGCGCTGTCCCGGCTCACCCTAGGCGTGGCGGTCGTCGTCCTGCTGATAGTCAGCGGCGCCTTCCTCGCCGTGCCTGGGCACAATCTGCTGCCATGCCACAAGTGGATGGGACGACGGTCCGACGGTGGGTCTGCGGTCGTGGTCGGACAGGGCGACAAATCCACCGGGACGGAGGAAGGCCTAGAGAACCACCCGGAGGATCGCTCGTCGAATCGGAGGGTTCCACTCGAGGCGCACATCATGAGTAAATGCCCGGATGCCCAGGCTTGTCTCCAGCAGCTGGTTGTGCCGGCCATGGAGCAGATCAGCGACAAGGTGGACTTTGGCTTGTCGTTTATTGCTAAGTAAGCATCGGGTGTGCATTGACATCAATAACAGACCACTAGGCTAATCTATGGATAGTGTATCCAGCGGCTCGTCGGAGATCAAGTGCAAGCACGGCCCCGGGGAGTGCGTGGGCGATATGATCATCCTCTGCGCGGCGAACCTGCCGTTCCCGCCAGACGGGAGCGACGAGGGCGCGAAGACCCCGACTATTCGGTCGCTGGGATTCGCTAACTGTCTCATTGGCGAGTATGAAGATATCCCTGGGCGCCCGTTGGTCGAGAAGTGCGCCGCGCAGCATGGGATTGATTTCGACGCTCTGAACCGCTGTGCGAGCAATCAGGATGATGATCCGAATGATCCTGATAAGCTGAGCGGGCTGGCCCTGCTGCGGAAGAGTGCCCTTCGGAGCGCAAAGCTGAAGGCTGGCATCAGCTGTACGGTCCGGTTGGATGAGTCTGTCTGGTGTGTTCGTGATGGTGGAGTCTGGAAGGACTGTGTTAAGGGTGGTAAGGCGAGTGAGGTGTCGGTGCTGGTTGAGGAAGTCAACCGGCTTTATGATGAGAAGAATTAGATGAGCGGACCTTTTGGTGGGTTTAGTATATATATGATGTGCTCTGGCACGGGCTGTCTTTTACGATTAGTTTGAGAATGAATCTTGATTATCTTGGGGTACTTGTTCTAGATCCTCTTTTTTCTTATTGCTCACGATGATATAGGAATGAATGCCTTTGTTTCTAGCCATGCACAATGATAGAACACTGGGTGTTTCCATACAAAATACCCACCAACTATCATGGAGACGTCTATTATATCATCAGGCTATCATTCAAGGTCAAGCAGCAAGCAGCTCTACCACAGATATGACTTTATCAAATCTGCTCAATACCTACCTATATCACTTTACTTGCTCACTTCACCATATTGACCATAATACGCTCACGACAATCAGCATTCACTCCAAAATGGAGTAGCCAGGCCAACATTTTCGTTTTCTCGGCGGTCACTGACTCTCATTTCCTCAGCAGACAATTGCAAAGCAAGTCTCCCTCAATCCCTCTGTTGTTTTTTTGTCCAAACCCATCTCACATCTTCCAAACCCTCCCATCATCCATCTCCCCAACACCGTATTCCCTATCCCCAAACCAAACACAACAGCCATGTCTCCCTCACACAGTCGCAGTCGCCACTCCAGAAGAGACCACCACCATCAACATCAAGACAGAAATCTAGACGATCTCATCCGCAGATACACCCAAACCACCCAGCCATCACCCGTCCTCGCCGACATCCTCAGAAGCTCCCGAGAATCATCGCTCCTCGTCAGCGCCCTCCGCCGCCAGGTCTCGCTCATCAAATGCCGCTCCCCAGACCCCAGAGATAACCAGGTCACTGTCTACGACAGAGCGCTGATGGAGCTGTCCCGCTCTGGCGACGATCCGAGACACCTTGGTGCTTTGGAGCTCTATTTGACAGAGTATTTGGGGATTGTTCCGATTGCGCCGTTCCAGCAGGGGAGGGATGTGGCGAGGGAGTGTGTTGACGTGGAGATGACTTTTGGTAGAGGTATTGCACATGTTTTCTTATCTTCCTTGTCTGGCTGGATACATGCTTACCTCGCTGTGTTATAGCCCGCGAGACTGAGACAGACAAAACCGACAACAAGAAGAAGAAAAAGAGAACTAGAACTCACACCAGACACTCAGTCTCACCAGCCGAAAGAAGAACAGCCAGTCCTACCAGAACACTAGCCTCCCACCACCACTCCACCAACAAAACTATCCATAGTAACCCCCCACCCCCCAACGACGAAGTCCAAACCCGCATCACCCGCCTCCTCTCAACCTACCAAGCCGCCAAAGACGACTACTTCGGATCCCTCCAGAAAAACGGCATGGTAAGCATGGACGCGGCGCGCTTCCTGCGCGACACGGCGGAGAACACCCTGCGGTATCTGCGGAGCAATGGGCTTGCGGAAGAGAAGGGGGGATTGGTGACGGAGCTGGAGTATACGTTTGCGGCTGCGAGGGATAAGGCTACCGCGCTGTCTGGGGGCAGAAAGAGGCATTTTGATGAGGGGGATGGTGGTGGTGGTGGTGGGCACGAGAGTAGGAGGCGGGGTGGGAAGAGGAGTCGGAGGGTTATGATGGATTCTTATCGGCCTGAGGGTTGATGGGGTCGACTTAAGAGTGGCATTTAGTGTAGGCTCCTAAGGTAGGGTGGTAGTCGTGGTAGGGATGTGAATCTGTTCTGGCGGCGTTCAAGGTGATGAGAAGTGATTCTTTATTGGTAGTTCGGTTGAGTTGAGGCGAAGATAATGAGGGGAGGAAGAGGATATGGCTTTCAGGTACTAGGTACACTATCCGCGAAGTTGATGAACATGAGCCTGTTGTAAGATACATATCTCTCCACTCAATAAACTCCGATACGTTATGCTATATCTTTCCTGGAATCCTAAATCATTATGTATCTTTCTATGGACATCCTGGGGTCAATGATGCCAGACATCATTAATATATTCTGGGCTCGACTAATTGTATTTGTACTTTACATTGTCTCGATTTGCGTCTAGTGGAAGGTCTATGCTTTCCTACAGCTGTATATTCAGTCATATAGCTAACTTGGTTATAGGTAGAGTTAGCCACGCTACAGTCTTAGAATGAACCCCGGCCATGGTATCAATCCAGCAGTTTACCACCTCGAACAGGTGGACAGCTGCTGAGACTGGATAAAACATGTGAGCCAAGTCTACATATACGAAAGTAGTGCACAATGTATATACACTAATCATACGCCCTAGCAACATATTCTCGAACTTACCAAACAGTCCGTATATTCCACCCCTTCACACGTATCCGCACCCAGAGAAAGCAAGCAAACGCAGTCACATAGCTCAAGCCTGTAAACAAGATAACACCCCAGTACCCGCGACGACCTCCACCAGTAGACGTGATGAGGTTCCCAGCAATGGGGATCCCAGTAAGACAGCCAATACTAGCCACAGTGTACGCGCTAGCATAGTATCTGCCATAGTCATGGGTAGTGCACAGCTGACCAACACAAACAGGCATCAAGCTAATATTAGAGCCGCTGGCAAAACCAAAGACCACGACAAACGTGATAAGGAGAGCCTTGCTGGGCGGCGCGTCGGCCAGCGCGTCAGGCAGCCACAGACCCATAACGGCAGCGAAACAGATGAGGTTAGAGACGATCATGGTATTATACCGGCCCTTCTTGTCAGCGATGTATCCGATGAGATAGCGGCCGAAGCAAGACACGGCGTTGAGAATCGCAAGTAGCTGGTACGCAAAGGCCGCTGCACCGCTGACGGACCCGCCTTCTAGGAGGCCCTGTCGGGTGAGGTAGTAGCTTGGGATGTACGTCACGGGGATGAAGTACGCCCACTCGAGGAGAAAGACACCCGCCGTGGTGACGGCCATGGTGCCCGTGCCGTCTTTGAATATGCGCGGGTCGGGCACCATGTCGCGCCAGGAGGTGGCTGCACCTCGCTTGGGTGGCAGTCGGCTGCGGCAGAGGATGACGCTGAGGGCGCACAGCAGGAGGAAGACGAAGCCGACGATGCGTGTCGACCACGCCCATCCTACCTGTGGTAGTAGCGACTGGATCATCAGTGGGAAGAGCACGCCGCCAAATCCGCTGCCGGTAAAGGCGAATCCGCTTGCTTCGCCGCGCCGTTCGTGGAACCAGTGCGAGATGGCGCCCATTGCTGGGGTGAAGAGGAACGAGTTCCCGATGCCGCTGAGGATGGAGAACGCGAGGACGAACTGGTAGTACTCTGGTTTGGAGCCAGCAAACTACGTATAAGCTCGTTTTGCTTGATAACTGGCTATCCTGCGACCAAGTTGAAGCTGTGTCTAGACTCACCGTTGCACAAGCCGAGCGTAAAAGTACCAATCAGCAAAAACGCACTCCCGATCAACATCAGCCCGCGCGGTCCCCGGGCGTCGAAGATGGGCCCAATCTGGACGCCACAAAAGTAAGAGACAAAGACGTAGATGCCAAAGATCTAGCTAGTGGTGGTGGTCGAGCTGGAGGTCAGGATATTCGTCGCTACGTATGCCTCCAAAACCCCCACCGAGTTGACCATGCCTAGTCCGGCTGTCATGGAGCACCACGAGCCTAGAGCAACCGTCCATGCAGCAACCCCACCTTCTGGATAGCCGATTGCTTCTACTGAGGGGCCATCTTCACAGGAATCCGGTGGAAGCTGGTTGCTGGGTTGTTTCTCGATGGTTGCCATGTTTGGGTCAACGAAAGCAAAGGTGGAGGGTGGGAAAAGAAGATGAGTGACTCGCTAGTCCATTAATTGCAGAGAAGAAGCACCAGGGGATGTTGCAGAAAGGTGAAGGAGGGATTCTCGTTCAAAAAGACGGACTATATTGCGGACAAAGAGCTATATAGCGAAGAAGTATGTAATTATTAATGGCCTTGAGGCCTTGACGGGCCGCTCCGCTTACTAACGCGGGCGAGTGGGACGATCGGGATCAGGACGAGAAGCGATTGGCTCGATCAGGGGAGACCCTGGCCCGGACGGATTGCGGGTGATGGACCGAGCGGAGACAAACACCATGGATAATGGATTATGGATTACGGATATACCTACCGAAGCGGGTAGGTGTCTATTTTAACCTCGAGATATACTATGTATAGATGGATATCCACGGTCTAACGTCGCTCAGAAAGTTGAAACACGACCGACTGATCTCCCGTTTTCCTCCACCACTTGACGACAAAATTGCCAGAGAGTTCACGCGCCTGGTGGAACTGCTCCGCCGTATACTTGTGACAGGATGGCCGGACCTTCCAGTGCGGTTTGGCTGAGATTAGCCATGGTTTTGAAGATGGCTGCCAGGTTCGACTGGGGGTTGGTGTTGTTCTGGAAACCGTTGGGCTGGTATTCTGACGAATTGTCACAGACGGATAATTGCTCTGGGGAGCCGCCGCCGTGGCTTGCAATCGCATGGGCCACGAGGTCGTTGAAGAGAGGTGTCGTGATAGTCATTGTGTTTCAACATTCGCAGTTGATTACTATAAGATTTGATTGAGAGATTAATTGTGCACTCTGAAGTATTTGAAATATAAAGATGGTTGTTTGAGTGAATTCTGCTATCACTCTCCAAGACTTCAGACGCCCTCTTTATACCCTTATGGTGGCTATCCTTGTTTAGTTATCCATCATACCTTCCTCACATACCGAGCCCATTCTCTGGCCGCTTTGGAGGTCTCGTTCATCCCATCCCATCCCGCTGCTAAATTGCTGCACCAAGCATACCAATTCTGAGACCTTCGAGACCTCATCACAAACGGATGGAAATACATACACGCACTACCCAGCAAACCAAAGTACATCGAATCAACGAGAAGGAGAGAGCTATTATCAGTAAAAGCGCCCTACGGATTCACTGCCAAATTGACCTCCTCTTTCTTCTACCCAGAATAGTATAGTCACTACCGTACAAGCAGGGGACGTTGCACTATTCGGCACTCTCCCCACTACATTCAGACCACCCCGCTGTTGAACCCGGGGTCTGTGTAGAATCTACGTGCTTGTGAGACCACGCTGGGTGGATGTGATGCTGCTGGTCTTGTATCAGCTCTGCGGAGTACTTGCTCAGCATTGAGTCACCTCTATATAGTATATATACCTTGGCTACTTCCACAGACTGTTTACTATTGTTCCCATGGTACCTATCGATTTATGACGTCATAAACACAGCACTAGTACATCACTCAGTATGTCAATCCATGGTCAACCCAGGAACGACCAGCTAAAAACACCATATCAGCCAAATATGTAGATAACGCAGAAGACAGACTATTACCACGACCACAGAATATGATGATGATGACGCTGTCGGCCGTCGTCAGTAACCCTAATCGTCACAGGGACAGTCAATGATTGGTTATCGGTCACCGCCTTCTCCACCGCCGACGGAATCCCCCCCGAACACGTGCCGCACGTGTCCCTGAGTTGTGTTTATCCTGTTTATCTTGAGATTCATCAATCCTCATCTAACTCTTCCTCTGTCGAGTAGTATGGATTCCTCATCCTGATTCCTCGATGATAAAAATCTGCTATGGCCTCTTTACAGCCTCCCCCGGTGGGAACCTCCACGGGACCCCCCGCGGGAACCTCATCTTCAACCTCTAGCAACGGTTCATTTAACACCCCACTAGATACACCCTCGGAAAGGTCTGATGCGGACGGGGACGCCCCCAGCATGAATTGGAATCGTCCGGTAGCCGGCTCATTGAGATTGCAGACTGATTTTGGACCCGAGCAGCATAGGTCGTCGGAAGATGACGAGAGTAAAGACGATGGTTACGACACGCCGGATGACTTCCCTCGAGAGTCCCGGCCCAAGTATACGGCCATCGAGGAGCAACAGGTCGTGAAGAAGTTCGATCGCAAGCTCGTTCCCTTCTTGGCTTTTTTATATCTCCTGTCTTTTTTGGATAGATCTAGTAATTCTGATCCCATTTCCCCTGATCATTCACATCCGATGGAAGACTAACCGCATAGTAGATATTGGAAATGCAAAGATTGCCGGACTCACGGATGATCTCCATCTTTCCTCCGCTCAATACGAGTGGGTTCTGACGGCTTTCTACATTACCTACATCCTTTTTGAATGGATGACTCTGATGTACCGGCTGGTCCCGGCGCACATCTACGTCGCCCTGTGCGTTTTCAGCTGGGGACTGGTCGCCTCCCTCCAGTCGATCGTGACCTCCTTTGGCGCCCTCGTGTTTTTGAGAGCGGCGCTCGGCATCGCCGAGGCAGCCTTTGGGCCTGGGGTCCCCTTCTATCTCTCTCTATTCTACCGACGCGAAGAGCTGGCCTTTCGGAACGGACTCTTCATCTCCGCCGCCCCGCTCGCCTCGTCCTTCGCCAGTACTCTAGCCTGGCTAATCGTCCGGCTCAGCCGCCACGGCCCGATCTCGCCCTGGCGCACGCTATTCTTGGTGGAGGGCTTCCCCAGTGTGATCGTGGCGGTCGTCGCCTGGATGGTGATCCCCGACGCGCCGGGAAGTGCCTGGTTCCTGTCGCCGCGGCAGAGACAGGTAGCCCAGCTGCGCATGGAAGCCAGCAGCACCAAATCGGGGTACTACGGGCAGGCCCGAGAGAAGAAAATTAACTGGCACGAGGTGGGGAAGACGCTGGCGGACCCCAAGTCGTACATTGCCGCGGTCAGTCCTCTTTATTGTCTTTGATTCACTGCCATATACTGATGTAGAGCCATCGGTACAGTTCATGTTCTTCAGCTGCAATGTCGCCTTTAGCTCGATGCCCGTTTTCCTCCCCACCATCATTGCGGAGTAAGTACCAGCTTACCCCACCCTACCAAGAACCATCACCTAGGGCCCACCAACGCCCACGCACCCTTGATCGTCGCTGAGATTAACCCCCTTTACCAAACAGCATGGGCTACTCCTCCCTCTCCGCGCAAGCCCTCTCCGCCCCACCCTACCTCGTCGCCTTCGCTTCCGTCCTCTTCACAGCCTACATCTCCGACCGCCGACGCAAGCGCAGCCCCTACCTCATCCTGCACGCGCTCATCTCCTCCACCTCGTATCTCCTCATCGCCCTCACCAGCCACTTCCACGCGCACCTCCCAGTCTCAGCCCACCGACTCATCCGCTATGTCTGCGTGTACCCCGCCGTGGCGGGGTTCTTCTCAGCCATCACGCTGATCATGACCTGGACGATGGACAACCGGCCCGCAACCGAAGGCAAAGGCGCCGCCATGGCCGTGCTCAACCTCATCGGGCAGTGCGGCCCGCTGCTCGGCACGCGCCTCTACCCAGCCGCCGACGGCCCATGGTACGTGCGCGGCATGGCCACCTGCGCGTTCTTCATGCTGCTGGTCGCGGCGCTGGCCGTCGTGCTGAGACTGCTGCTTGTGCGGGCTAATCGTGGCTTGCAACGGGGGAACAGCAGCAGGAGGATGATGTGATTGAGCTAGAGGGTGGGGAAAGTGAGGTGTTGATTGGGGGCGGTCAGGTGGAGGTTGCGGCTGGAGAGAAGTTCACTTATATTTTGTGATGTTTCCCCTTATCTTGATACTATATAGTTGGTATGTTGTTGGTGGTAATTGTGGTATCCAGATAGTATATAGGTGAACAGGTATATAGATTGATATGTAGGAAATCAATACATCGTAATGCAAGCCATCATCTGGGTATTGTAACATGCAACAGCCCTATCTCTTTCTTTTTTTTTTTTTTTGCAGCCACCCACCCACATTCAGACTTATGGTAGATGCAATAGATTATTTGAGTTGATCTCATTTCATTAAGTTACCGTAGACTTGATTTGATACCATTCATGACATTCCATTAGACTGAGTATCTCAAGTAAAATATCAAATTCGACCCCAAACTCGTGACTGATAAAGAAAGCAAAACAAAAGAAAAACAGGAGCAGTCAAACCCAAATGCTAGACGAAGAAATAGGAAATAAAGAAAGGGAAACATGGATATGTATGTATAGGTATGTAGGTATGTATCTGTGTCTTTTATGTATGTATGGAGAGAGAACACAGGAGAGTATCGGTAGGTCGAGGTAGGAGGTAATAAATCAAGCAGCAACATCATCCTGGATAACTTAACAACCCCGTAGCCCTAAAAACTCCGTAATGCGCCGTCGTTTTGTCTTTCTTTCTCGCCAGTGCCATTCTATCTCTTTCTATTCTTTTTCTTTTTTTCCTCTTTTTCTTTTCCGCAGGCAGTATAAACAACCTACCAAGCGGTATGCCCCCCATCAATAACCAGCGTACTCCCAGTCATAAAGCTGCTCGCATCACTAAGCGCAAACAGCGCCGTACCCCGGAACTCCTCAGGGTACGCCAGTCTCCCCAACATATTCTCCGCCTCCCACACAGCCCTGGCAGCCGGATTCTGCTGAAACACGCCCTCCACCATCGGCGTAATAATATGACCGGGGCAAAGCGAATTCACACGAATCCCATGCCGACCCCACTCCATCGCCAGCGACCTCGACAGCTGGATAACAGCCGCCTTGGACGAGTTATAAACCGGCGACGTCATGCCCTTGTTGGCGATCAGGCCGCTCATGCTGGCAACCAGCAGGATGGAGCCCTTCTGCTGGTAATTGAACATCTGGCGCGCGGCGGCGGTCGCGGAGTTGAAGACGCCGTTGTAGTTGATCTCCATGACTTCTTTGAGGGCGACTTGGCTGTACTCGAGCGAGCTCTGCAGGTGGTTGATGCCTGCGGCGGCGATGAGGCCGTCCAGCCGCTGGTGGCGGCCGGCGATGTCGCCGAAGAGCGAGTTCACTTCTGTGTCGTTGCGCACGTCGATCTGGTGGTATTCGAGGTGGCCGCCGTATTCGCGCTCGGCGTGCTCTTTGGCGACGGCGAAGTCGGGGTGGGGTTGGTCGAGACGGTCTAGGCAGTGGACTGTTTATTCATTGTCAGTTTTATCATTCTAGAAAGAAAGGAAAAATAGAGAGAGATTGGAGAGATAGGGAGGACTAACCTGTGGCACCCGCCTCCAGCAGGGCCTCAGCCATCGACAGACCGAGTCCGCGGCCACCACCCGTGATGGCGTAGACACGGCCGTCGAGGTCGAATTCCTGGAACCGGTGGTTGTTCTTGATCTTGGGCTCCTGCCGCATGGAGGGCATGCGGGTTTGGATGTGATGGGCGCCGGGGGGAGGGGAGCTGGCGCTGTGTGTTGTGGAGAAGGCCGCTGCTGCTCGTGTGATGGGCCGGATGGCGGCGGTGGGACGGCATGCGCGCAGCGCAGTGGGGAGGGATCGGGAGATGGTGAAGCTCATTGTTACGGTGGGGGTGTGTATAGTATTAGGTAGATTAGATATTAGGTAGGTATAGATGGGGAAGACGAGGGAGGAAGAGGAAGGGAAGAAGAAGCGAGGAGGAATCTAGAAAGAGGACGACTGGACACGCAAGAAACGGCTACCACGGGGAAGATATCGACAGTCAAAGATGTTATTGTTCAATGGGTCTGTCTACGACGGAGGAGCAGCTGGGGTTTATAGTCCTGGGAACGGCCGTGGAGACAACTACGAGGAAACCGACCAAAGCGAATCATGAGAGATGTTGCACGACAGAGCCGAAACAAGAAGGACGCAAAAATAAAAATAAAATAGAATGCATGAGCAAAAAAGAAAAGAAAAAAATGGGGACTGGGAGAAAAACATGAAGGCCGCGTGATGCCCTTGATGGGTCCGCCATTGCGTTCTAGAGCGGCGTTCACGATGACTTCAACGAGGCCAGGTTTATTTAATTTTTCGATTTTATTTTAACATACCCGCGAACATCCATGAGACAGGAACTAGCTCCATGCACCAGCTCAGAACCCGTCAAAGCTTGCCATAGGAAGAGGCGAGGGATGTGGAGAGAGGGAGGGGGGCAAAAGGCATGAATGGCCAAGCATTGAACACATAACCCTCTCTCCGTCGGATAAGGGGGAAGGAGTCATGAGGGGATCGTGACTTTCTGGGACAGATTACCCCCAACCCCGTTACCTGGTCGCCGAAGCCGGCCGGCAGGGTGGTCAGTTGATCGAGGGATGGCGATCATCCATTCGTGGAATGGCCCACCAGAACGGGATTCCCGAGTATGGGGAGGCCGATTTTTTTTTTTTTTTTTGCTGGATCAGATTTTCAATGCCGGTGCTAACGTGTCCCCTTTCTTTTCTTCTCCTAGCGAGTAATACAGCGGTCAGACCTGGTATTCTCAGCAATTTTTATTCTTGATACCTCCTTCCCTGATGAAGGGTTTTGATTCTATGCCAGTTGACAGGAAGCAAAGCCAGGGGGCGGAAGAACAAGACAAGCTCTCCCCGGCTTGTTGCTGAACACATTCATTCATTCCTCGGGGAATGGGGGACCCAGACAGGCCAACGCTCCAATGACGGACTCGGCATCGCACTGGTGGTGTAATCCGCTCTGCGTAGTCAAACCCAAGAGGATGTTGGGTGGGACCCCACAACTCCCGTGCCCCCATCCTGCAGGAAGATAAGAATACTGGGAGTGGAGCCGGCTTGTTTCTTTTTTCGGTCTCATCCTTGCATCTTCCGGACCCATCTGTTGGAGAGAAAGAGGGGTCATGGGTCTTTTCTAGATTTTCTCTGTTCTGGGTCCTGCATCCTTCCCCGTCATAAAATTGGTATGATCTGAACGGTTTATCCTGATTGGGGTTTTTTTTTCTTCAAATTTGAAAATAAAACGCCCAGGTTAAATGTCGGTGGACAGAGAAAGGATCAGATTCCAGGGAAAGGATCTCTCCTCCTCTCCACCTTGGATTTTGTCCCACGATCTCACTTGTCGCAGCGTTGCACGCCCAGCATCGTGAAGGGCATGCATCAGATTCATCATCCTACCGAAAAGGGTAATCCGATCATCCATTCCGGGGACAGACAGTCTTGCCATCTAGATCTGCTAGGGTCTCTGTATTTCCTCGTTTCTTCTCCCAGAGATTCCATTCCTGTTCCAAGGGGAACCGACAATCGCAAGAATGCATGAAGTGGCTCGTGCGAGCAATCGCGACAGGGGAAGATCAAAGATCAAAAGTACAGACTTCTAATCTAACCGGTTGAGATAGACAATACTCAATCGGAGTCCGTGATACTCAAAAAGAAAGAAAGAAAGTCTCGACCGACAACGGGTTTCCCGCACGGTCCACCTTATCCACACCCGGGTTCTCCGCATTCGGTAACCCGGGGATTCCTCCCGACTTTGTCGGAGATCATGCGTGCTTCAGATTTTTCAAATCGAAAAGCAAAAATATATCTGAGTAATACATTTACATTGGATTTGACAATTGAAATCAATCAATTTCAGTCAAGCATTCAATAAAATAATATAACAGAAATAACCCGGCCCTTCCGCGGCGCAGGGGAACCGATCTCCGCAGCAAGGGAGGTGATCCTCCGCTGAATAAATCAATAAAATAAAACAATAATAAAATAAACTAAATGAAAATGATCTAAATTGAGGAAAATATATAATATCTGTCTATCAGCTGACATGATGAAAATTCTATCTATATTTGTTATTGCTTGACGTGGGAAAAAGGATTGAGAACAAAGGATGAAAAGCTCCAGATAGATGCAATAATCTATGCAGGAGCAGGCCAGGTGATACTTGTTCATGCATCTAAAGGACGGGATTCCCGTGGTACTTTGTGCATGACAGACTCCCATCACTAACTATTCAAAGGAGCTACATATGGTACCTCTGCAGTAGTGGACGAATCGTGCAGGACCGAGATCTGTCTGGTGTATCTTGTCTCATCTGGAGAGATCCAATGGTCAGATCGAACCTTGTTTCTCCCTGGAACTGCTCTCGTCCAGCCGAAATTCCACCCTGAGGTCTACTCTAATTAACCATACTTAAACTTAAAAGATGAATTATAAATTTAAAAAGGTAAAACACTTGATTAGAAGGGATGGAAGGTGTCAGGTGACGGCAGCGTGTCTGCATTAAGATCAAACCAGTTGGCCGATCCCTGGTCCCGTTTGGTTGGCCAGACAGTTCTCCACCAGCAGGGCGACTACAATGCAGGATCCAGCAGTCTAGACGCGACTCCCGTTGGCATTCCCAAAGTCCAGCTTCATCAGCAGTCGGTCGACGCCCGCCGTCTTGCGAGGCACATAGTGAGCGCCGTCTGGTCCTGCGCACCCGGTCCAACTCTCGGCGGAGGGGTGCGTTCGCTGGCCGAGGGCGAATATCTCGCGTCCTTCGGCTGATCGGCTGTCGTCGATGTCGCGTAACCGTGCGACCACCTCCCGGATGCTGACTTCCATCCGGCCCCGCGCTGCCCCGAGCGCCTGCCACAGTTCGGTCTCTTCGCCTGCGTAATCGGCCAACGCGTCGACCACGCCTTCGTCTGTTTCGAGGTCCATGTTGCGCTGGATCGTCTGCAGGCGGATGACCAGCGCGACGAAATGGTCAACTCGCTTCAGGAGCGATCGGAGGGATTGGGTGAATGGGACGTCGGTTAGGAAGAGCGACTGCACGAGTGCGAATAGGTATCGCCGGTGTGCGACCGTGAGGGTCTCGGGGTCATGCCGTGGAGGGCGGGTGGTGGAGTGGTCGGGGTGGTCTGGTGGCTTGCTCTGCGCCGATGAGGCAGTTCCCGGTCGCGAGCTTGTCGGGGATGATGGTTGGCCATCTTCGATCCAGGTTTGGAAATGCTGCCAGGAGCCCTGGATGACTTCGGCTTGGAAGAAGCTTCCGATTTCGGATAGGAGGAAGAGAGAGGCGCTGCTGGTTGCCCACACGGGTCGCATCTGCCGCGTCCGCGTGTTGTCTCGTTGTCGGCCCACGCTCAGCATGTTCTGCCCAAAGGCCGAGTTGCTGCGTGGCGGGCCCCACGGGGATGGGTGGTTTCGCCGGAGAAACGTGTGCTTCCAGAGTCCGCTTAACCGGATTTGCGCGCGCCGGATACCGAGTAAGTAAGCGTGCACCTTTGAATAGACGGAGATGTCGGAGGTGGAGAGAAACAGGTCGAGAGGGGGCCCGACTTGGACGGAGAGGCAGGTTGGTGCTGGAAATAGGAGGTCGTCGAACGCGACCTGGGAGATGTCTGGTGACAGTCCAGACCCGGCTAACTCCGCCGGACCGGCTGCCGTGGAGTTGCTCTGCCCGCCGACAGAGAGCCGTAGGAGGTCTTTGGCGAGATCAAGCGCGTCATCCACGGGATCTTCCTCAGACTGCAGGGAATAAAGCTCGGACAGCGCGTGTCCCAGCGTTGCCATGACGTCCCCGTCTTTGACGGACAGCCCTCCCAGACCATCCACCGCTTTCGTTCGGGCAGCCATGGGTCTTTCCTGCAGCCGCACGTCGGCGTGCGAGACGAGCGCCATGGCAAACTCGCCGCGTCGTAGAAGCAAAAAGTCATGAAGGACAGATAGAATTTCCAGGATCTTAGGAAGCGGTAGGATCTTTGAGAGGGTGCTCTGCGACAACGACAGTCGGATGGCATCGACCGCGTTGGATAGCATCGAGCTCGCGATGGGCGACTGTAACGCAGCGAGGTATTCGACATGCTCGCCTTGCAGAGTCACCGGATAGGTTGGTAGGCCGCTTGGCCTGGTTGTAGAAGCATTGCGCTTCGCGCGGATCAGGTTCAATGTTCTCCCAATGAATAAGATGGACGACGCCGTCTGCGGCGAAACAAACTTTGGCAATAAACTCGTATGCAGGACAAAAGACGCCTGCGCGGTATCCGGGGAGACCCTATCTTCTTGGATAAAGAAATCGTCTTTTCCAAGCACCGGGACATTCCCATACAACAGCCAGGTTGACACTTGTCGCATCCAAGCCGTCTCCGCGATCCTGACCAGGTGCAGCGCCATTTCCTCAATATCGACATACCCGGTCTGCGACTCCGAGCGGAGACGATCAATCAAGGCGGCACCTGCGCAGCCTTGATTGCGGCTCGCCTTCGGATCGGGGAGGATGAACCTGACCACCTCCCACAGCCATTCCAGGCGCCGTGTCCACGGAGAAAATTCCCCCACAATCGTCGACAACGGCACTATCCCGTAGCCGCCCACATAGCCGCTATCCTCAACCAAGATGGCCTTTTCTACTTCGAGGATCTTCTTCTGAAACCCCCCGAGGTGTTCCGTGCTTATCGCGGTGGAGACGGACCGACAGATGACAGACGCGTGGGATGAGGATATGGCGGTGGTGTGAGCACGCAGGCGCGCATGTAGCCGACTCAGACGGGCAAGGGAGGCGAGGAGTGCTTTCTCGGGCGGTGACAGGAGAGGAAAGGCATCATCAGAGACCAGACCTTCTTCGGTTCGGGCATTGAAGAGGGGTGACGGTTGGCCGGAGAGGGAGAGAAGGATCTCGTGGAGCATGCTGGCTGGAGCTCTCTGCGGACGGCTGTCAGAATATTGAAGGGCAAGATGCGAGCGGTCCTACCTACACCGGGGATGGATCTTCCTCCAATGTCGGCCTTTTGCGCTGCCAATATAGAAGCCCGCTTCCAAGGAGCTCGTATCGGCACATGTACAGGGATTGGCGGGGTATCTGCTGGCGACACAGGCCTTGACTTCTAGGGTCTGTGGGCAATCGCGCGTCGCGTCAACGCGCAACCTGCCTTGGGAAGATGATAGAACTGGTCAATTCAAGTATGATCTGGGTTGAAGGTATCATGCTTTGTAGGAACATGACGGAAGAATCACATCATAGCCATCAATCATCATCATCAGCATGGAGATCCTCATCTCAGTCAGGAATTCCGCGGCAGGTCAAAAGAATAGATGGAGATGGCCAGTCGACGCTAGTCCTCTTTGGGAACTGGAGTCCATCAGCCAAGATGACTAACACTTTACATAATCAATAAACATGCTGAATCAGCCACCGAACAAACCAGACAAACGGGCTGAGCTTGTCCCTCTTACGTCGCCGAAGTGACCCAACTGGACGCCCATCTCCGTTTCTACCTTACCTTTCTCAACTAACGCCTCTCTCTTTCTGTTTCGTCTGCTCACGCTTTCATACTCTCTGTTTCTTTACTGCTTCATACCCTTCTCAACTTTGAGTCCCTCGAAATAAACGCATCTCCTACCTACAGCGGATCACTGATAAATCACCCCGCTCGCCGCTCCCGCAGATACTTGACCCCTCCTAAGTATCTGCCCCTCTTTGGTCTGCACTGGGAGTTGTAGACTTCAGCATTGTTGGAAAGTCTTGCCTAGCTGCAAGGCTTTCATAGGAATTTTCCACAATTTCTTCGGAAATTCCCGTTCGTGACGCTACGAAGCTGGGAAAGCGAAGAGCGTCTGGTGATAAAACAGTACTGCCACCTGAGAAGAAAATCATGACGGTATGTTGAATAGCCAACACGCTTGTCTTGTAATGATCTTTTTCTGATGATCGATAGGACTCCAAGATGCAGGTTGATACTCCCCAGGAGACGGTCGAGATGATCAAGCAAGGGGAGATCGACGAGTCTCTGTACAGCCGACAGCTGTGAGTATAATCTCCGTTCATCATTCCCTTTATGTAGAGCATCCCCTGCTAATGACTTCTTCACCATAATATAGCTATGTCCTTGGTCATGAGGCGATGAAACGTATGGGCTCCTCCAATGTGCTCATTGTTGGACTCAAGGGCTTGGGTGTTGAGATCGGTAAGTCGGGTCGCCCTCCGCATACTATGTGGCAATGCTGATTGACTATATCCAGCCAAGAACATTGCCTTGGCCGGAGTCAAGTCCCTCACCCTCTACGACCCTGCCCCCGTCGCCATCTCCGATCTATCATCCCAGTTCTTCCTCCAGTCGGAAGACGTCGGCAAGCCCCGCGCCGAAGTAACGGCTCCCCGAGTGGCGGAGCTCAACTCATACGTTCCCGTCACGGTGCACGAGGGAAATAATATCGCGGAGGACCTGGAGCAGCTGAAACGCTACCAGGCCGTCGTCCTCACCCTGACGCCTTTGAAGGAACAGCTGGCCATCGCCGACTTTTGCCACCAGAACGGCATCTACGTCACCGTCACGGACACCTTCGGTCTCTTTGGCTACCTCTTCAACGACTTTGGCAAGAACTTCACCGTTGGCGATGCGACGGGCGAAGAGGCTGTGAGCGGCATTGTGGCTGGAATTGATGACACTGGTCTGGTTTCGGCGCTAGATGAGACTCGCCATGGTCTGGAAGACGGCGATTTTGTGACCTTCTCCGAGGTCAAGGGGATGGAGGGTCTGAACGACAGCGCACCCCGCAAGGTCACCGTCAAGGGCCCTTATACCTTCTCTATCGGAGACGTCTCTGGCCTTGGAACGTACCAGAGTGGCGGCCTCTTCACGCAGGTCAAGATGCCCAAGTTTGTAGACTTCCAGCCGCTCAGCGAACAGTTGAAGAAGCCAGAGCTCGTGATGTCCGATTTCGCCAAGTTCGATCGTCCCCAGCAGATGCATATCGGTGTCCAGGCTCTTCATAAGTTCGCCGAGAACCATGATGGCCAGCTTCCTCGCCCCCACCATGAGAGCGACGCCCAGGATGTGCTCAAGATCGCAAACGATCTCGCCTCGAGCGAAGAGGACAAGGTGGAGTTGGACGAGAAGCTTATCAAGGAGCTTAGTTACCAAGCTCGTGGTGATCTCAATCCTCTCGCTGCGCTGTTCGGTGGTATTGCAGCCCAGGAAGTCCTGAAAGCGGTGTCTGGGAAATTCAGCCCTATCAATCAGTGGCTCTACTTTGACTCCCTGGAGTCTCTTCCCTCCTCTACCACTCGTTCTGAGGAGAGCTGCAAGCCTCTCGGGAGCCGCTACGACGGCCAGATCGCTGTGTTTGGCAAGGAGTTCCAGGATAAGATCTCCAACGTCAAGCAGTTCCTCGTTGGCGCTGGAGCCATTGGGTGTGAAACCTTGAAGAACTGGGCCATGATGGGTCTGGGAACCGGCCCCAAGGGGAAGATCTTCATCACCGACATGGATCAGATTGAGAAGAGCAACCTCAACCGACAGTTCCTCTTCCGTACCAAGGATGTTGGTCGGCTCAAGAGCGAGTGTGCGACTACGGCAATCCAAACCATGAACCCGGAGTTGCAGGGCAAGATCGTCGCGCTCCGCGATCGGGTGGGACCCGACACCGAACACGTTTTCGACGAGAAATTCTGGGAAGGCTTGGACGGGGTTACCAATGCGTTGGACAATGTTGATGCGAGAACCTACGTCGACCGACGCTGCGTCTTCTTCCGAAAGCCCTTGCTCGAGAGCGGCACCCTTGGCACCAAGGGCAATACCCAGGTCATCCTTCCGCATATCACCGAGTCCTACTCGAGCTCCCAGGATCCTCCTGAGAAGACGTTCCCGATGTGCACGCTCAAGAGCTTCCCCAACCGCATCGAGCACACCATTGCCTGGGCCCGGGATCTCTTCCAGACGTACTTCGTTGGTCCCCCGGAGGCGGTCAACATGTACCTGTCCCAGCCGAACTACATTGAGCAAACGCTCAAGCAGGCTGGCAATGAGAAGCAGACCCTGGAGCACCTGCGCGATTTCCTGGTGACGGACAAGCCGTTGACGTTTGACGATTGCATCGTGTGGGCCCGTACCCAATTTGAGAATCAATACAACAACGCCATCCAACAATTGCTCTACAACTTCCCCAAGGACTCCACGACCTCTTCGGGCCAACCTTTCTGGTCTGGCCCTAAGCGGGCTCCGACGCCGCTCAAGTTCGACAGCACCAACCCCACCCACCTTGGGTTCATCATCGCGGGTGCGAACCTGCACGCGTTCAACTACGGCATCAAGAGCCCTAGTGCCGATAAGGAGTACTACCGCAAGGTCGTCGACAACATCATCGTCCCGGAGTTCACGCCCAAGTCTGGGATCAAGATCCAGGCTGATGAGAACGAAGCCGACCCGAACGCTCAATCCGGGTCGTCTTTCGATGATGGCAACGAGATCCCGAATCTGGTTGAGTCGCTCCCGTCGCCCAAATCCCTTGCCGGCTTCCGCCTGAACCCCGTGGAGTTCGAGAAGGACGATGATACCAACCACCACATCGACTTCATCACGGCCGCCAGCAATCTCCGTGCCGACAACTACGAAATTCCTCAGGCCGACCGCCACCGGACCAAGTTCATCGCTGGCAAGATCATCCCTGCGATTGCCACGGCCACTGCCTTGGTGACCGGACTGGTTGCATTGGAGCTGTACAAGATCATCGACGGCAAGGATGACATTGAACAGTACAAGAACGGGTTCGTCAACCTTGCCCTTCCCTTCCTGGGCTTCAGCGAGCCCATCGCCAGTCCCAAGGGCAAATACATGGGTAAGAATGGTGAAGTCACGGTGGACAAGATCTGGGACCGTTTCGAGGTGGCGGACATCCCGCTCAAGGACTTCATCAAGCACTTTGAGGACCTGGGCCTGGATATCAGCATGGTGAGCTCGGGAGTCAGCTTGTTGTATGCCAGCTTCTACCCGCCGTCGAAGCTGAAGGACCGCCTTCCGATGCCGTAAGTTGTGCCGAAACTCCATACCCCCGTGCCAATTGACTAACTGCTGTACAGGATGAGCAAGCTGGTGGAGCACATCAGCAAGAAGCCCGTTCCGGATCACCAGAAGAACGTCATCTTCGAGGTGACGGCCGAGGACCAGAATGAGGAGGATGTGGAGATTCCGTACGTGATGGTGACTCTCCAGAAGTAAGCGATCGGCTACGGTATAAAAATATAAACTTTGCCTTTTGACTATGGGTTGTATCTATTGGAACTCGATTAGAAATGATTACATGGAAGCAATGCTAGTATTTCTCTCCTGCTTAAATTCTGGTTGGGTAATTAGTGTAGAACCCACCCTTGAGACTAGATTGATAAGGTTGGTAAGTGCTTGTCAAGCTTTGTAAGATCTGAATACAAGATCGGTCAGCAGAAAATCGGCCCAAAACGTCATCGCCCTTGGATGGCTCCCCGCACCCAAACCAACGACCCCAAACCTATTTAACCAGTTATCACCACCAGCCCTTTGTCCTCGATATTACTCTCTCATGTTCTCCTTCCTCCGCCAAACTCACCGCATCACCCAGCGCATCGCATCACCCAGAGTCATCGCGCCCGCGCCAACCTACAGACCCTCATCAAGCTCCGTAATCTCCGCACTACCAACACGCACCATGGCCGTACGTGCCTACCCCTCCCCCAATCTAGATCCTCACTAATAATAATAATTACAGACCAACACGCCAAACAAAATAACCAACTGGGTCAACCCCAACGACAAATCCGGCGAATTCAAGCGCCAGGAGTCGTCTTTCCGGAACTGGATCTCCAGCGAACCAGGCGCGGAGTTTCCCCCTGAGAAGGGCAGATATCATCTTTATGTTTCGTATGCGTGTCCGTGGGGTGAGTCTTCCCTCCTCCCCCTGTTTTGGGGGCTCTTGTTGGGTGCAAAGTGGACTTGGCTAATTGAGTAGCTCATCGCACTTTGATCACCCGCAAATTGAAGGGATTGGAGGATATCATCTCGTATACGTCCGTCCATTGGCATTTGGGAGAGGGGGGTGAGTTCCCTACCCATTCAACTCCTATGCATTATGCATGCATGCACGCACGCATGCATACATACGCATACATGGTTTCATGTATCAAGGCTAATGATAGCAGGATGGCGATTCGCAACCCAAGACGAAGCAGTCCCTACCGAAAACTTCACCCCAGACCCGCTGCATCCGCAATTCACCCATCTCCGCGAGATCTACTTCGCCGATGAACCGAACTACAGTGGTCGGTTTACCGTCCCTGTGCTGTATGATAAGAAGGCGCAGAAGATTGTGAGCAATGAGGTATGCTTTCCCCTCTCTTCCACTCTTCCACAATCGATATAGACGGACACAGAGAGAGAGAGACACACAGAAATTGTTCGAGAAAGAGATAGAATAACATCTAACAAACAAACCAGAGCTCCGAAATAATCCGCATGCTCTACACCACCTTCGACGACCTCCTCCCCTCCACCTACCAAAAAGTCTCCCTCTTCCCCACCCCCCTCCAAGAATCCATCGAATCCGCCAACTCCTGGATCTACCCAACAATCAACAACGGCGTGTACCGCTCCGGCTTCGCCACAACCCAAGAAGCCTACACCCAAGCCGTAACCTCGCTCTTCACCAGCCTCGACAAAGTCGAATCCCACCTCTCCTCCACCCCGGGACCCTACTACTTCGGGTCCACCATAACAGAAGCCGACATCCGACTCTTCACGACCATCATCCGCTTCGACCCCGTCTACGTGCAGCACTTCAAGTGCAATATCCGCGATATCAGGAGCGGCTACCCCGCGCTGCATCGCTGGATGCGCAGGCTTTATTGGGAGGTTCCTGCTTTTGGGGAGACGACTAAGTTTGATCATATTAAGTTGCATTATACGAGGAGTCATTCTCAGATTAATCCTTATGGGATTACGCCTGTTGGGCCGGTGCCGGATGTTTTGCCGGCGGGGGAGGAGGTTGCTGCTGTTGCGGCGAAGTAGGTAGCTATTGCAGGGGGTATAGTATAAGCGGTGCGTATGTTATTCTTGCTATACATAATGATTACTAGTTCTATATCATAATATCTCTTCACTTTATTCAAACAAGGCAGTAATGCCAATATATGTTTCTAGATACACCCCCCAAAAGTAAGGGAAAAAAGTAAACAATAATAATAGTAGTATATGGGTTCTGTGTATTCCACAGATCAACCAGGGGAATCCAGTGTACAACGAGATGGTAGCAAAAAGAATATAATCAGCGGAAATCAAAGAAATAAAGAAGAAGAAAAACTCCAATATGCTTTGCCGCACGACGCCTTGCCATGCGAGGGTGGGTGGTTGTGTGTTAGTTATGCAAACGGTTAGTTCCTGGTGGACCGAGCTGCGAGCGTTTGCCCCGAAACATTGGCTTGGTTTTGTAACGGTAGACGGCCCGACAGGATGCAGGAGGATATGTATGGGTGGGAGCGCCGGGGTGGCTAGCTGTGACGCGGGAGATGATGATGGGGTTGCGTAGTTAGGGCCATGCAAAGCATACGGTGCCATAAGTCTGTTATTGGCCGAAGGGTATCTTGACGAATTTTCTAAAGATCAAACAAAACGAGACGGTAATCGAGGGTATATGGCGACGAGAGTGGGTGAGCGCCCCGGCGCAGTTAGCCCTTAAGTTAACTTATTTCAGGCCGAGCATGCGTTTCGCGTTTTCGTAGACGACGTAGCTAATGGATACCGCGGGAGCGACCTTGAGAAGGTTTGGCGTCAGACCCTTGTAGAAGCCCCGGAACCCTTCAGTCTGGATCGTTCGGCGGGCGACATCGCCGATCCCCGAGTAGGTGGCGGGATGGAGAATGGAGCCCTGCGCCTGGAGTCTTGTTCGGAGGACGTTAAGCGGGTAGACGACGGATGCGCTCAGACCTCCGCTCAGAGCACCGATCCCGCCGGTCGTGAAGTTGTTTAGGGGAACGTCGTCCTCGTGGCAGTGGTGGAGGCGAGCTTTGCGCGCGATCAAGGTGCGCTTGAGGTATTCGAAGGTAGACAGGTCGATGGCCGCGTAGGGGAACATGCCCGTTATCCCTAGCGGCAGGCCGCGGAAGAAACCGAAGAGACCGTTTTTATTCCACACCTTTCGAAAGGTGGCGGCGATCAACTTGTTGCCCTTCGGGCCACCTACAACGGTATCACACTGCATGCGGCTGGAAGCTGGTGAGTTTCGATGCCCGACCGAGAGAGTCCGGGTTACTTACAACTTCAACGTGTCGAGGGGATAAACGAAACATCTACCATGTCTGTCAGAGAGGATCCAGTACCAAGGGCGGGAAATCAACACATACTGGGCAACCATTCCGCCACAGCCCCCGGATAGGAATTGGGAAACCGGTGACAGCTTTCTCGGGTCATGATGACCTTCCATGCGAGCAAATGCACGTTTCGCAGACTATCCCACGTTAGTCCCTGATACTCAAAACGCAAGCTAGCAAGCTGACCTCGTAGGCTCCGAATTTGATCGCCGATTCGGGCATGACCTTCACCACGTTCAATCCATTGCCTGCAAAAGTTAGCGCACGTCCCGATGGACGGGCGGTTCCGACAAACCTGCAAACAGACTCCGCACCCCTCCGGCCCGCCACAACTCCCTGACAGCATCGGCTAGCGTCCGAGACGCTCTCCCCGCAGCTTCCAACGGCGCACCATCCTTGGCGGCAACAACGGCGGACGACTGGATGCCGGTCTGGGCAATCAGATAGACCTTGAGGCGATCCAAGGGGGCCGTCGCCGTTCTCGAAACGACGCCCGCAATCCCGCCCGCAATGAAATAACCTAATTGAGGAGTGTTCTCGGTCAACTTCTGTTCATAATATCGAAAGGACATCCACATGGCGACACGCCTTGGTATGGGTAGCCACTCCAATTCCGAGTCACCATCTAAGGATACAAAATCATCATGGCCGGGGCCCGGGGCTTCTGCGTGGGCGGACGGGATGAGGGCTGCCAACGCAGGCACCGGGATATTGTACAAGAAGCTTTTGATAGCCAAGAGGATACGTTTAGGAAACGAGTGGTCTGTACCTAAACCCTGTAGATCGTTGATGTGGACGTCTCCTTCCGGGTTTAGATTTCCCGTGGCCGTGTAGTATGAAAGGATAGCGTGTAGGTTGGAGGAATAGGCGGGCAGGAAGAGCAGGAAATCCCTAGGAGCGGCACCGTCAGTCATGAACCATGGTCAGAGGGGTCCTCATCTGACGACCCGTCTGACCGGCGCAGGGGACAACATACCTCCATTCCTCGTAGGAGATGACCCCATCTTTATTCGTATCGACGTCGCTGAAGAAAGCTTCCAGCTTGGCACTCGAGACCGTCACCTCGGAATTGGAAAAGGCGGATTTGAGCTCGTTCTTATCGATTTCCCCGTTCCGGTTCCGATCGATATTCTGGAAAAGCTGCGACAAGCCGTATTCGGTATGGTCGACGAAGGCGCGAAATTCTGGGCGATCATTAGGTTGGCCCAAAGACACCAGCATGGGGGAGCCAGCCCACTCGACGATCAGAGGTCCAGCACACGCGATCTTACCAGAATAATCAATGAACCCATCCCCATTTGTATCGACCGCATGCAAGACATTCCCCAGCATACTATCCGCATTTTTGAGCGCTAAGGTGACAGGAGGAACCCCGGTCAGTTGACAGCACCATCACCACGGGATCGGGTCACGAATGGAGAAGAGGGGAAGGGGGGGTCGGATGAGAGGGGGTGAGGGGAAGGCATTTTCCAACTCACGATGATCAATTTTCTTTAAACCCTTCTTGAGACCATTGAGATCCAGACGGCCACTTTTGGACACGCCGAGACTCTCCCAAAGATCCGCGATCCTGCGGTCACGCTCGTCTGGGGATTCCGGTTTTACCATGATCGCGAGTGAAAGGGATTATCGGAAACCCGGCATCATTCGACGAGAAGAATTCACACGGAAGATGTGCGATCGGAGACCGACTCTGTCACGACAGGGACCGGTGAGAGGAGGATAATAAGGAGAGGAGATGGTGATAATAGAGGTTGTACATCGAATAATTTGGTCCGGTCGGGATGAAATTCTCAAAGCAGCGGAAGTTCGGACATGGCAGTTTGGCCGGAGTGGAGGCGGGCGGGTATAAGATAGTAATCAAATAATAATAATAATAATAAAAGCGACGATAATGGGGTGGATCAGCAGCAGAGAAAAGGCCCATAGAAAAGACTGCGAGTGAGAAATCCACGCGCCATGATTTGCTTTTCTATTACGACATGTTCGGAAGAAATCTCGGTCCTGACAAAGGGCCAAGCCCTACTAGCCTGTTTGGGGTTTGATAGATAATGCGATCACTTCAACTGATAGGGAATACAACAGATACCTACGAAGCAGCTGGGAGAGGACCGATGAAACGGTTTAAAGATTGACTGTGAAGGACTGCGACTAGTTGCGAATAGTCGCAAGACTACAAAGCTCAGAACTTAAGAATCAAAACAACAATTTAGGTAGGAAACACAACGCAAATCAGCTACTATCTCACAATTCCACAGTATCATACTCCTTGTAGCCCGTTGCTAAGAGTAAAGACCCCCAAGCTCATAATGAACTCCTTGTACTGTCAGTATAAACCCAGTACTACCTACCTAGTCATCGGAATACAGTTCACGCATCTCCTTCGTGATTCCAGCGACTGTGTGGGCATACTCAGCGTCAATCCAAGGATCCCACTCCCAATCGATCCAGTCCGCAAATAGGCTTGCCCGTTGATTAGCTTCTTTCCATCGCAGCAATGGTGAGACGTATCCTCCCACAGTAGCGTTCATCTCTGACGCAGCAGGAGGAACTCGTCTCTGGCCAAAAGACGTAGCGGCTAGGTCGACAAACATAACCTGAGGCTGGTCGCTTGTCGGCGATGTCAAGGTGATTTTTCGCGGCTCGATGCCCATGATCGACACGCTCTTCTCGTGGAGCTCGCTTTCGAGGTCCACGATCGACCTCATCAGGTCTTGACGGAGGGACTGCTCAAAGTACTCCGGATTGGCACTTTCCATGATAAGGCCTGGGATATGCTCGATCAGAATCATCCGGACGGTCCGTGTGTGCCCTCCATCCACGGGTAGAGTCAACGAGTAGGACCCGTAGTACTTCGGGATCCGGTGACCTTGCAGATAGCGAAGGTTCGCATATGCTTTAACCTCATGGGTGTAGTCCCAGTCCAGGCAGATGAAAGGGTCGAGAGCCCCCTGCACGTCATCGTAGTAAAGCGGGTCGTACAGCTTTGCAACGAGCTTTGTGCCCTTCGGGGGAAGCGATTGCGATGTCGTTTCTAGCAACCGGACCATGAAGACCTGGGCCTCGTGGTTATTGCCTGCGTCGAAAAGACGCATGATCTGCAGGCTGACGGTGTCGTCCCCGTCTCTGCCAGGCGCCGGTGGTATCTTCACACATTGCATAACTGGGCTCAGGTGTAGCCTTTCCTGCCAGTCACTTTCGGTGATGAAGCACTCGTTGAAGTTGGCCGGCGTCGGAGCTGGAGGGATGTGAGACTTGACTTGGAATCTCCAGCCGGTCACATATGGCACCGGAGGCTTTGAACGGTTCGGGCGACGTGTATAAGAAGCCATAGCTGCTGCGAGTGGGGATCTTGGCTTGGGGAGGGGGTAGAGAAGACATGATAGCAATAAGGGAAGCTGTGTCGCGGCAGGGTCATTTTGTCCCAGCGGAATTGTGGCTTCGTCGTCAATATTTCATCATCGGCGGTGTCTTGTGAGTAGGGTTTGAGGGGTCACGCTGTAGATTTCCGTTCTTTCTTCGAGGTTCTCCTCTCTTTCCGTGCCTTTTACCCTTTACCAAGAAAGTCTATACACGGGACAAGCCTGGTACGATATAGGTCATTATAACATCATGATCTCCCTTCATAACCGTGTTCCTATACAGATACAGCGTTCAAGAGAGCTAACAGCCTAAACAAACTCTTCTTCCCCCTAGCATGCAAAGAGGTCAAAACAATCAAACTAAATGCACATAAAAGGTTAGTCAGAATACCAGGCAGTTACACACATGTTTACACACATGTGTATTCGTAGCACTGCATTTGAAGAAGATCATGAGTGCAGAAAAGGGTTCACCTACCTAAGGTAGGTCTAAGGTAGGTGGTAACTACATGCTTTAGCTCAGATGTACATAAGCCGCTATTTACATACCTGGATAGGTAGGTACCAGCTAAGGAGGCAAGCATGTATAGACTATTCACCTCATGCATACCATACACACATCTACTAATACAGCACGATCTACCTACCTACTGACCTGAGTACATATTTACCTACCTACCTACCTATCTAGGTATGTACCCATCTACGGAGTACGATCCATCTATCCATCTACCCCTGGAGAGCTCCCTCCCTCCCCACTTTCTAGTGGGAACTACATCGCTACCCCGTATTTAGTGTCCGGTAGTTATTGGTTAGCGCAATGGGTCATGGAATCACTCATGCCAGGGGCTGGACTATTTGCTTGTTTTTCATTTCATCTCTTTATTATTATTATCATTATTTGTTTGGACGTGTTTCTTTCTCCCTTGCTAGGTAGATACCTAGATAGGTAGGTAGGAATGGAGCCGCTAAGCTATCTAAAGAAGGCGGAAAGGGTTACTACGAGTAAGGCAAGTATCTATGGGTGTACGTAGGGGGTATTTTCATTGTTATGATGGATAGGGGAAACCTACCTGTCTCACAATCTTAGTCAGTGTTATGCTCTGGATTGTTTAGGACATGCCATGGTGAGATCAGATCAGGTGTTGTGTCAAGGGAGTATAGTTGTAGCATGAACATACCTTTAGCTCGTGCTGTTGACGGTGCCCCTTGTCTGGGAGACCGACAGGCGCCTACTCCCTAGGCTTGTTTCATCGGGAGACCCACGGCCTGACAGGAGGATCATTAGTTGACTGGATGATATTCACTTATTCAATAATTGGCAATGCAATTCTGGTCAATTTCTATATTTAAAATATCGGTTAGAGTGTTTACTACGGAGTACTCCGTATTCTTTTCTCAAATGAAAGAATTGAGACCGGTACGGCCATGGCGCCTGGAGTGCAGCCGGCCCCGCACTTTGTCAGAAGGATCGGAATTATGATATCCAACCCCCAGATGACATGTCTCATTGGTCATTGCCTGGTTTTCTGAGTATCAGACAGAAAGGACCTTGGATCCTCTGAGAGAGCGTCTCGCCCACCCCTCCAAAACACCAATCGTTGAAATGATTTGATATCTCTGTCTCAGTTAGTCTACCTGCAGGGATGGAATCCACCCAAAGGGGCGGTGAGCCACCAACTCCAGGAACGTGAATGCCACCACCATGGACAAACCTTCAGAGGGTGAGCTAACGGGCAAGGTCCATGTGTCTTACTCCAGCCTGTTTGGTCGCGCATCATGCAGCTAGCACGGTCGACGCACTGACTTTCCCTGGCCCGGCTGACGCCAAGGAGGGAGGAGGAGGGGGTGGTGGCGCTCACGCTCCGGGCAGAGCTCTGGCCCTATGGTCAGTACAGAATATACTATTCGTGTGCTCCCCGTAGCCGCCGCCCATCTTCCTCAAACTTCCCGTCCTCGTCCGTCATTGCTGGCCAGCCTCTCAGATGCCGGTGTTCCCATGCTGGGATTCGGGGGCTTGGGCCCAAGAACGGCGTCAGTTTCTGGCTAGCGGGCGGCAGATCCATATTGATTTGATCAGTACCTTTCGAAGTGGAGGGAGGGAGAGGGGCGCAGGCGCGATCATCTCCCCCCATTCCATGAATACGTAGTAGTTACTCCGTGGCCCGTCCGGATGAGACACTAGTCCCTAACTCTTCAACCTTTTCCCAAGATGGAGGCGACGCAGATCGGGTGTCGAAAACCGTCGAAGTCAGGCCGAATCCCACGGCCATCCATCGATCAATAACGATCATGGTCGGTTATCGAATTGGTTGAGAGGAGAAGACAGACCCGCTTGGCTGCTTGCTGATCAGGACCTAGGGCTGGGATGAAAATTACCAGTTTCTGATGGAATTTCGGAGTTGGGACTGAAATGTAAACGGGTATTGAAAAGCGCTAGGGTAAATTTGAGAATTGGGCCAGGTTCCGTCCGTCCAGTTCAGCTCCCGAGGGCTGCAAGTGTCATCCCACAGATCACGTGGTGGTCAGTGTCAGAGTTTAATGAAATGAAACAGACCGTATTCAAATTACACGGACCCGTACGGACGGATCAGCGTGGCACCCGTTCCAAGGGGACAATAAATGAAATCCATGACTGGCTTGACAATTCATTTGCTACCTTTGTGGCCCCGGTGGAGCCATGAGTTGGAGATGTTTGCCAACGCATGCCTGTCTTCGGAAAGTGGAAAGGTCAACATTCCCACCTTGATTTTCCATGATTGATTCGATACCCGCTGGTCAACTATTATTATCAACCTCTCCAACTGATACCAGCAGAGAGAAAAGAGTGGAACAGCATCGCATCGCATCGCATTTCCACCTCAGTCCTTACTGAGGGCACACCATGCTGGTTGACAGCAGATGGTTACACGTCCCATCGTCGTCAACCTTTGCATGCCCCCCGATCCACGATCTTCCCCGGTTCTGCCTCATTCAACACCTGCCGATCCACTTTTCCTGCAGTGGTTAGCTCGGTATCATGCAGGAAGGTATTATTATCTGGCTGGCCCTTGCCAGGTCCGACGGCTGTACGGACTACGGAGTCGACGGACCATACCAGTCCACCGGGGGTAGTGACCGTACGGTGTCGGACATGTATTCCCACCACATTGGAGGGTACCAGGTCCATGTAGGAGCATCTCCAAGCTGGGATCGGCCGTCAGCCACTCTGTACGAGATCAGAAATGATTCCAAGAAGAGACTTGCCCTGAAACAGGACTAGTGGAAATTTTCCAACGTCACAGTGGTTCCACCCTGAATGACGATGATTGGGACAAGGAAAAGTGGCTGCAGGAGATCCACTTTCCAGACCGATGAAGAAAGGCGATTGGAGATCAGGAGTAATGACTCGCCACCAAGCAAGCCAAGAACAGAACTCTTGTTGGTGGTTTGAACTGCCCTAAAACTTGAGCGTGACCTGATTACCATACTAGCGTCGAGTCTCGGAACCTTGGATTGACCCTTTGATGATGCTTGATAGGGTAACATTACCAATTCTTACTCTATAAGTCAAGTATGAATGGGGAAACTTACTGAAAAAAAGGAGGGAGTGTTCTGTGTATGGTAATCCATGGTATGGACATTCTTTTTTTTTTCCCATTTTCCATTTTCTTTTATTGCTATTATCAATTGATGCTCCGCCCCAGTCAAATAACCGTGTCTGCACCAAAAAAAGCCCCTCTCGCTCACTTGCCTCCCCCGTTCACTCTTCTTCCTATTTTTCACCTCTCCTTGTCCCGCCAAAGCCGCCCCATCCCATCTTATCCCATTCCACATCCCACACAACCATTTCGCATTCTCTTTCTTCCCTTTTGTCCTCCATTTTCTTCTTCCCCCCCAATCTACTTTGTTCAATAACATTTTTTATCTCGTATTTATCTTTCTCGCATTCTTTGTTTGGACGTGATTGATTTGGATCTTCCATTTTGTTGAGTCTTGTTTTTCAAAGCCTTCTACCTCTCTTGTTCTCGGTATCCCAGCGAGCTGGTCCGAGTTCGTTCTCTTCGATCTATCCATCAACCACAAGTACAACGACAATCACCAATACCTTCATCATGTCTGCTTTCTTCTATGGCCAGCAGCATCAGCAACATCCGCACCATGGCGCCGCCACTCACGCTCATCCGAACGTCCACGGCCACCTAGGGGGTCGTTCCCGACGAGCCCCCAAGATGGCTCCCCAGAATGCCCAGCGTCAGTTCCGTGGTGTCAAGAGCATGAGAGAGCTTGCTGAGGCCCCTGCTGTGACGGCTTTCCGCGCGAGATTCGAAGCTGGCCGATCTTTCGATCTGGATGATGACCTGGAGTTCTGTCCGGGTCTTCTGACTGAGGACGATGTATGTTGCCATTCACTTTCGAAAGAGATCCCGAACCCTTCGACTCGTAGATCCTCCCGTGCCAGACGCTTAACTCAAACTCAATACCTTTGAATCTTCGTCGCTAATATGAACACCGTTCAGCTCCATTCAATTCACTCGGCTTCTTCCGACCGATCGTCGCTTTCCAGTGGTTCCCCCGATACCTCGCCTCTTCAGCATCAGATTCAGCCCGTCCAGCAGGTCACCCCTTCGATCTCCCTGTCGCCTGCGTCCAACAACGCCTATGTCCATGCTGCGGTCGGGAATCTCGGTCACGCCGGCTACCAACAGCCTTCTGCTGCTGCGGCTCGCACCCGCAAGGTCATCCCCATCGTCAACCCCCAAACCGGGATGACCTTGACTAGCCCGCCGACGTCCATCTCCCCGGCTGCCCTGCAGAATGTGCACCGCCGGTGGTAAGGACCACCTACGACCAGTTGCCATTCCATCGGCAGGTCCTCCGCTCATGGCAGCGTTCGCCATTTCGTCCACTTTCTACATCATCGGGCTTCCTAACCGCGGGTCATAATCATCCTTCGCTCTACTTCCTTCTCCTTTTGTTCTTTCGACTTATCGACTTACTTTTGACGACCATCGCATCCTCTTTTATTACGACTGACAACCCTTTCTTCTTGACGAAACGCCAAACGTCAGATCATTCAGTGATTCTCTGTATATAACTACCTTCACCGATGACGACCTTTAGCACTTACATCTAGAGTGATGCTTTCGACTTCCTGCGAGCGACGGCGCCTGCTACTTCGATTTTTGCATTCTTCCACCTGTTCAACGATACCTCTCTTCTTGTTGTCTTTCGGTTAGGGAAAATCCATATCTTTCTGGCCTCGTGGATTGGTCGCGATGATGTATAGAAAGCGCGGCGACTTGCCCTCGGTGTGCGCATCTATTGTTCGGAGTTGCTTTTTTTGGTGTGTTTGGGCGACTGGCCGATGACTCGGCAGTTTTCTCTTTTTCGGATCTTTTGGGGTTAATCTTTTGGGTGGGACGGGTTTTTCACGGTTTTAGGGATCTAGAAAGGTGGAAACGATATACGTGTGCATTGTTTGGGTATGTTGAATTCGGAGTGTTTGTTTTTTTTATTCCTCTCGTTTTCTTCTTTCTCCTTTTGACTTCTCTTCGCATCTGTTTCTTTAAATACCTTTTGTTTTATTTCGTTCTTGTACATGGATCGAGGCTGGGTGGACATTCGATGCTCGGGACAAGCCTTTGAAAGCAGGAAAACAGAAAAGTCCATGGATTGGATGTGGAGTTTTGCAGGGTCTGTTACCTGTTGGTTCTATTCTCTTGACTTCCGCGTTGATTCGATCGGATGTTCATATTTGTTTTGGGGACTCCCGGCGAGTGTTGATGCCGTGTATGATTTGATTACCTTTGTGATCTCTCTTTATCCTCTCTTTTGTCTGTATGGCTAGTCGTTATTTCGAGCTTAATCGATGTCACCTCATTCCATTATTCTATTCATTCCATTGTCGATGTACCCATAACACGGTAATGACAGCTTAATAAATTATACGGCATCACAACGGAGTAGTCATCGCTATACAGCATACCGAGCATACCCCTTACCGACACCATCACATACGCAAACTCAACACCGAGACCCAAGTAAGCAAGTAACCTTAAGTTTGAATAAATGCAAAAGTATCGCAGGCACAGCCCGCATCATGCTGAAGAAGCACAAGCACGAAGCAGTAGAAGCACCAGCCAGATGTCTCATCCTCATAACACGCAATCCGCTCAAAAACCAAGTTCACCCGTATATGATGTCATACTCGGTGCGTCTTCATCCGGGTATCCCCTCCTCCCCTTTCAATCTAGCCCATCATTGCTGACCCTTTTCAATAAGTAGGTAGGATAGTAAGTAAGTAAGTAAGTAAGTAAGTAAGTACATAGCAGACATATCCTCAAGACAATTCAATAAATCTCTACATCTCTAATAAATAACCTCTTCTCCCAAAGCAAGCCAAAAGTAACAAGAAAGCCAAGAACGCGGCGAAGACAAACCTATGACGTCACGTCGACGTGGGCGAGCGGAGCGTCACTCTTCTCTCTGGGTTTCTATCAACGAGGTCCGGGAAATCAGCTTGATGTGGTTGGGCCATGGGGTCTGGATTCTGGGTCGAAGTTGTAATATTGTATTGCCGAGGGTTTGAAGGGTGGAGTTTAAATAGATGGGTTGCTTCCCTGTGGTTTTTGTGCTTCTTCACATCTTTCAACTATCGACGTCATTTAAGTTACGACCTTTACTTACTTACTACTTCCTGGTTATATCTCTGGTGAGTTATTCGACTATATAAACTATACACCACCCACCACATACATACATACCTATCCAATCAATTGAATCAATTAATCTAACCAACCCAGCAATTCCCTACCAATTTACACCTATCAACTTCTATCACAAAACACTAAAATGTCCTTCCTCGCACCCACCGTCCGCGCATCCCTCCGCGCCCTCCGCCCCCAGCAAGGCTACGCCGTCCTCTCCTCCCCGCTGCACACAACCGCCGCTCGACCGGGCCTGAAAGAATCAGATCACAGTTAGTATTACCCAATTTACCCCTCACCTTCCAGGTTCAAACTGACACTTATGTTTTTAAATCAAGACCGCGAAAACCTCGACGTCCACTACGAAGAAGAGAAGGAGGAGGGCCTCCAGCGCAAGAGAGAAGGACGGGGGCAGTGGAAGGGTGAGCTGGCTAGTAACAGTGAGGCGTCGGTATGTTCATCATTTCTTCCTATCTTCTCAAATTTCTCCTCTTTCTTCCAGAGGGGAATTAGAAGGGTTAGGATAAGCTAACGAATGACATCCACAGATCAAAGCAGACCGGGGCGATCTCGACTCAGAAGACATCACGACGTTGCAGGAGAAGACGAAGAAGGAGCTGCATAGTACCAAGAAGCAGAAGTAAAATTGATTGTTAATGTTTAATTAATTTTTTTCGCTTTCTGTCTTTTTGGGGAAATCAGGTTGTATATGATGGTGCTTTTTATTGGCTATTGGGTCTGTTCTTGTTGATGATGCCCTGTATTTTACTTTGAATTTTTATTTCGATATATGATTATGGTCCAGTGTAGGTATAGACGGTAATATAATCTGTATAGATATTCTGTATAGATAAATGAACAATGTAGACTGATGGAACAGTCGATCCCAACGCCATACATCCCGCGCCTAATTCATTAACGGCTTCGTCACAGGTGAAACAACGCCACGCGCCCCGAATTAAAAAAATAAACCCCAACTCGTGAAAACATGGCAGAGTAAAAATCACTTCAACAAAACAATCAAAATAACCAGGACAATGATGAGTCCAATAATCGTCATCATACTCCAATTGTCGCCGGCACTTCGCCGGATCTTGTCGAGTCGCCGCCGCGCCCCGTCCAGCCGGCCCTGGTGTCTGTCGACGTGGCCATCCACATCATCCAGCAGCGCAACGTGGCCCTCGAGCTCGTCCCCGATCTGGATGCTGAGCTGGTGCTGCCGCCCGATGGACTCGCCCAGACGATCTAGCTGCTCGTCCTGGTCGCGCATCGTCTGCTCGTGGTGATCGTACACCTGCTGGTTGTCCATGTTAGAGGTATCCGCGCCGTGCGGCGACGGCGAGTCGCGGTACGGCTGGAACAGGTTGTTGCGCCGGTTGAGCTCCTCCTCCTCCGCGGCAGCCGAGTCCATGAACCGCACCGACTTGCCCGGCGGGTGCTGTGGGACGGGCTGTTTCAGGTCGGGAGACGAGCTCTGGACGAACTCCGACGGGTGTAGGTGGTCGTCGTCGCCGGTCGCGTTTCCGGGCGGCGAGTGCGCCGGCGACGAAGAGGACGACACACCCCCGTGGAACTGAGATGACAGATCGCGGAACTGCGACTGCAGGTGTGAAAGCTGGTCTTTCAGGTCGGCGGCCGCTTCTTCGTCATCGGCGGCTTTCAGACGGGCCTGTTCTGCCTCCACGCTTTCGATCCCTTCCCGCATTGACTCCAGGGAGCGCGAGATCTCTCCATCTTGGCTGTTGGGTTCGAGGCTTAGTGAGATCGCCCGTTGTCGCTCCAGTAGTGAGAGCTTGATGTGATCCGCGAGGAGGAATAATTGCGATGGATTGGTCATGGTCGAATGATCGGGTGGAATGCGAGGGATCTTGGGATGGGTTTCAATAGCGAACGGAGAAGTCACACGGTTTCAGGTGAAGACGAACGAGAAGAGGAAGCTGATGGGAGGGGGTGGTTGTTGGCGCTAACGAAGGAGGCGATGCGGAGAACGGCTCACACCGTCGACCCGCTCGAACCGGATAGGTTGGTGTAGAAGAACAAAGAGGGAGAGCGTCTAACGACGAGTCATTTGAGTCGAGGGATAGTACTGGGGAGGATGCAGGGAAGATGATAATAACTGGAGAGAACGAAGATCATTGATTAGGTGACCTTCCCAGTGGTCTGTTAAGGTAGCATTGGGGCCACTTGACTATGCAGGCCTGACCGCCTTGTTGGATTGATCTGCCGCTTTCCGCCTCAGGATCCGATCATTTGCATCTGATTGACGGCTTGTCTTTCCCCCCGCAATCTTCCTTCTTTCCGACCCCCTCAGCTCACCCTTCGCTTCTCGCTTCCACTTCAGCCTCCTCTTTTTCTTTGTCTTGCTTCTTTGCTAGGGTGCCTTCATCCGCCACATCCGCCACCCTCTGCCCTTATTTTCTCCCTGTACCGCTCATGGGCTGTCCCTTGGAGCATTCGTCTCATTCTTGCTCTCTTTCGGCAACTCATCGGGCGACCCGCTTTTCCGTTATCGCGCCTTCTCTTCGGTTCGTGGTCGAGAGGGGCTCGCAAGTCCTCATGCTATAACTCGAATCGGTACGAATAGGAGATTGGAAGATCGTCTGAAAGTTCGAAGAATTTCTCGCCATGGATCCGCCGAATGACAACGAGGTGGTCGACCTCCGATCTCTCGACTACGTCTCCCGCTATGATGACCACCTCATGTGTGCGATCTGCCATTGCCCTTTCATCCGTCCAATCCGACTACAATGCGATCATGTCTTCTGCCAGAAGTGTCTCAACACCGCCATCACCAGCTTTGCGGGCTTTCGCGACGATTTCACCTGTCCCTCCTGCCGAACCCCCACCAAAGGCGTCTACCTCAATGTCCCTCGATTATTGATCAACATGTGTGACGATATCCGTGTCAAGTGTCCTTTTGCGGTGGAGGGGTGCGAGGAAGTCATGCCGCGCGGCCATGTCCAGTCTCACGTTGATAAATACTGCAACTACAGGCTGGTGGACTGTCCCAATGACCAATGTGGCAACAAGACCCGCAAGATGGATTTACATCCCGAAAAGTGTATGCATGCGCTCCATACATGTCAACACTGTGGGGATGATATCATGGAGAAGGACTACGAGGTATGCTATGTTCCTCCCGATTCTGACTTGATACATCCTGACGATTGATACCACACAGGAACACGTGCAAGAGTCATGCCCCAGTTTAGAAACAACGTGTCCGGACTGCCAGACGACCGTTTTACAGCAAGAATTTGAGGAGCACGTGAAAGCCTGTCCCGAAATGAACCACCCGTGTGCAGCATCAAAATTCGGTTGTCCTGTCAAGGTCACACGGTCTGAACTGGCTGCGCACGAGCAGGGCTGCCCCCTGGTGATGATGGGACCTTATCTCGACGCCCAGAACTCCCGACTAGGTTCCCTTGAATCGACCGTCCGCCACCTCCAGCAGCGGAATGAGATCTACGAAGATGGGCTATCCAACATTCGATCAACGTTGTTCGAGTCGTCCCGGGGAATTCCCGAGCGGGACCCGAATTTGCCACAGGAATCGCTCAACGAGGGCAGGCTATCAGGCGCCCCGGAACAACCGGAAAACGATCAGTGGATAGACCTTCCCAATGTATATTCCACCAATGCCAACACGTACCTCCTCTCGCTGCACGAATCTCTGCGGGAAGAGGTGGGGCAACTGTCCCGCGCCATTACCGATCTCGACGCACGCGCCAGCATGGCAATCATGAACGAATGTCTCCGCATCAAAGAAGACATGGCTCACACGAATGCCGCCGTCAGCAGCATTCGCATGCAAGTGCAGTGGCTTATGAACCCTCGCCTGCACCAGGCCCAGCGGATGGCCGGTGCACGCAACAGTAACAATGGCAACGGCAACACCCACGACGGTGACGACACGGCGACCGCCGGCCCCAGCAACGCAGCGGGACCGTCTCCGGGGCTACTTCGACCGCGGAGACTCAGTGACGGCGGCCGCGAGGGGACCAAACTCTAGACGGCGGCTCGTCGATGTGCAGGGCACGGCTGGTTCGACCTACGATTGATGACCACACTATGATAATAATTTACTGTTACAATAGAGATGTCCAAGGCTGGCCCGTGAGACTTCGGCCTTTTTTCCCCTTATCTTGCTTTCTGATTCCTTATGCAGTGTATCGTTAGTATAATACATTTGGTTCTGGCTGAATCATAATCAATATTCATGGGACGGTTTAGTGTGTATAAAGCCACCTTGACTTCACTATGCTGAGCTATTTGTTCCATTTTCTCCTTTTTTATACACATCCTGCTTCACTGCAACTCTCTTCTGTCGTGTCATCTAGTAGTATCCGTCAGTCAAATCATATTTGAACCCAATTGGCGTCCGGGAAGAAATACCGTAGTCGGAGTCCACTAGAGATTTGCTAACGGGTGTTTGTCTCTTTAAGCGTTGACTCCCCTGTTTGCAGCCCATACACCTGACAGCATCAACATGTCTCAACCGAAAAATACCAAGAAAACCGATCGCGTTAGGTTGGTAATACTGTTCTAGTATCTTGTATATTTATGATAAAATCATTGTCTACTAATATACTTTGCTGGCCTACGGAGTACTACTGGTGCCACACCTAACAGTAATCTTTCCCATTGAGGAATGATGATGCAAGTCGACTATTGCGTGTATCACGTGGCCTTGGCGCATCGCGTATAACATCAAGTCGAGAAATTTAGCAAATCAGCAAACATCCTGGACAGGTCGACTGAGCTGGTCGGTCTTTCCCAAAAGCTCAAAATGAAGCGAAGTATCGATGACAGTTTCCCAACCCATGGGCTCGACAAGCAAGCCAAATTGACCCACAGTTCTTCTTCTCTCACTCGCCTCCCATTAACAGAGGAGTATCTAGCACAGCTGAATATGACGACAGGGTCAAACACCACGTTCCTTCCCGCCTCAGTATCATCCATATCCCGATCTCAATCCTCTAGTCCGCGGAAGCCGAGCGAGTCCGCCTGTCGCACACAGACACTGTTCCGTGCCGGGATATATGTGGATGTGGATTTGCCTGAAGAAGTACAACATCAAATCAACATCGTCCTTGCAACGCCCCCCGCGAATGCGCCCACCCTTGAACGTTTAGCATCAGAGCTCCAGCGCGAGTCTATGGAGCTGACGGCGGCCCAAGCCGGGGAGTCTGACTGGACGGTTCTTCTGCGCGAGACCCTGAAAGGCCTGAAGTCCACAAAGTTGATGGTCGCGCTCAATAGAGGTATACTTTACCGATAAGTCTAATTTTCAGGGAACTGACACTGTACGTCCTAATAGAATGGCGACCTGACATCAAACCTCAGGTCCATCAGCCGCCAGTGTCCCGGCCTTCGGTTCCCCAGAAGCGGCTACGCGATCAAACCGGAGCTCAAGAGCCAGAGAATCCTGGAAGCAATGTAGCCTCCGAAGACCCTTCTTTCGATCAATTGGCACGACCCACAGATGTGTTGGGCTCAGTTGGGCCAGGGACAGCAACCCTGCCGGTGCAGCCTGGGCCGATGCCGATTACTCCATTCACGTTGAAGAACCCCCGTCCCGACATATCAGTGGGGATCTCAGGTCAAGGGCTTGCAACTACATTACAGTCCCGACAGGTCAGAAATGGCAAATACCTGTTGAATGATCTTCAGGAGACCGGCGAGCTTATCAGCGATCCCGGGTTGACCCCACTCAATTTACGCTTTCCGTTCTTCCTTGTCGAAGCAAAATCCGGTGCAACGGGCGGTAATCTCTACCAAGCACAGAATCAGGCAGCAGTAAGTGGTGCTTCGGCGATAGAAGTTCTCAAGGCGCTTTACCAAAAATCTGAAGGGCGAAGACCATCAAATACGGCCTCCCCAGCTGTCGGAGGCACCATGTGCCAGCTGCTAACCTTCTCTGCAACCACCGAGGGGCCTATCTGCGAGCTCTGGGCTCACTTTTGGGATGAGGCCAACGACAGTCATTACATGGCCAATATTGACACATGGCGGACGACATGCCGTGATAAAGCATTCGATTTCGTTTCCAAGATCTCTACCATATTGAACTGGGGCTCGGCGACATTTCATAACGCAGTGGTTGAGCATTTGACTCTGTTTGGTTTTGATGGGGCCAGTACCTCGGCTTGATACCCATGTTTGCCTTGGTGAGCGTCGTAGAATTCTTTTCCCTTGTCGGTGTCGCTTTCATTTCCATTTTATTAGACTATTTTCTACCTTCAAATAGCAGGCCAAGTCGGTAAAGCGAACAAAGATTGTCCCATACTGCTCCATACTGACTATGCTGCCAACTTCGCTAATTACCACCAATAAACCAACGTGACGTAGCAGACCGCCAAGCCAACCAGCCACCTACAACTTTGTATGACTTTCACTTACAGCCAATGTGTATGGTTTTTTTATTCCGTGGAACTAACAGAAACGACTTGAAACCGCGTTATCAACTACCTTGGTCCTGAGGGCCAATTCCTCAAACTTAGTAACGATGAGGTTACCTCTCCCATACTTCCGCACCATTAGACACATGAGGTTAAACTACACAGAGCCACCCACCTGGCACCTCTCCCAGCGCAGGACAGCAACATCTTTACAAACCTCCCAGCCACACGTGTTCCCAACGTCGGGATTCATTACATTAGATTCTTCAACGAAGTTCGAAGGAGGAACTCTCCCTGATTACATGAAGGAGAGCTTCTACCCAGTCCATATCGGGGAAGTCTTCAATTCCCGATATCAAGTTATCACCAAACTTGGCTTCGGCTCGTCGTCGACTGTCTGGCTCTGTCGAGATCTGCGGTAAGTGGGGGACCCTTTGTTGTTGAGATAAGATATGGGCTGATATCGCAGAATGTGAGAAATGCTATCTAGTCCTGAAAGTGCACGTTCGAACTCAGCGGAAGCTCCCAGAAGTCGACATTTCGAACCACTTGAGAGCTAACTATGACGCTCGCGGTGTCCAGAGATACCTTCGGCTAGTCATCGACTCGTTTGAAGTTCCTGGGCCGCATGGAGTGCATCCATGCCTCCTATATGAGCCCGCTGGTGTAGATATCCGTGATTATATACACTGTCTTGAGGGCGATGCGTTGCCGGAGAATCTCCTTCGACCTACCCTTCGATTTGTCCTTATTGCCCTTGATCACCTTCACAAAGCCAGGGTTATCCATACGGGTTAGTAAATAGCACTAATGACCGACTACTTGGGGGTCCTTTCTTATTAATCTTAGATGTCCAGCCCAACAACGTACTTCTAGGCATCGATGACGAGTCAATCCTTGCTGAAATGGAAGAGGATGAGATCTCCGACCCCGCTCCTCGAAAGCAGCTGTGTGATCGCACGATCTTTGCCACCCGTGCGATGCCTTTAACAGGCGGCGAACCGGTTCTTGCTGATTTGGGAGAGGCGCGATTTTCTGATGGTAAACAAACTGGTCTTATCATGCCGAGTGTATACAGGGCGCCGGAAGTGATGTTGGGTATGACCTGGGATAACAAGGTCGGTATATGGGCTTTAGGCCAGATGGTAGGCATGTCGACCAGGTTTTTCTGATATTCATTGACATTTTCTGTCGCAGGCATGGACATTGTTCGAACAAGGACATCTTTTCAAGAGCAGCTACAGTCTCGAGAATGAGACCGGCTCTGCCCGGCGGTTTGCGGAAATGATTTCTCTTCTGGGACCACCTCCAGTTGAGTTCCTCGCGCGAAGCGAAGGGAGTTTCAAGTTTCGGGACAGGAATGGTAAGCATACTTATACTAACTTTACATGTGCTCGCGAGTTTTTTTTATCTGATTAATCTTTGTTATATAGGTGTTTGGAAGCCCTCCCAGGAAATTCCAGAACAGTCTCTGGAAAGCCGAGAATCCCGTCTCGAGACTCATGGTAAAGCGATTTTCCTCCGGTTTTTACGAAAGACGTTGCACTGGGTTCCTGAAGAAAGACCAACCGCGGAAGAGCTGCTTTTGGATGAGTGGATTAGGGGGGATGATTATTGAATGTTGATATAATATAATCTTTTCCAGACGGGTTTGTTATGGCGTATCTTTTTTTATTTTTTTTATTCTTCACAAGAGCAACATTATCGTGTCTGTAGCTTTAGCTATGTATTGGACGAATTCAACATAGAAAAATGATAACGCACCTTCTTCCACCACAACAACTGCAGTGCAATGTTTTTTTTTTATATATATTATATTCTCTTACGGTATGAGTAAACATAGTAAATAAAGGTGGCGGAAGGGGAAAAAAAGGAAAAGAAAAAAAAGATCAAGCCCAACGCGGGGGTCGAACCCGCAACCTTGAGATTAAGAGTCTCACGCTCTGCCGATTGAGCTAGCCAGGCAGTACTTGATGGAGGGAAATTCCTCTTATGGATATATATGGACAAAGTAAACTGCTTCCCTTCCACTCCAATGGTGAAAAAGAAAGACGAAGAAAGAAATATCAATACCTAATTAACTTTGCTACATATGTATGATATAATATGTGTAATAAATTATAGAGTAAAACATAAACTCAGCAGTACATCTTATTTGACATTGTATAAAGTATAGTATGGTGATGGTAGTATTGCCCACTATTTCACTATATATATCTTCGTTGTCCCCGCCGCCCGACATGCCTACTATACTTGCCTATTGTTTGCATGCAACTAACCAGGTTATAACAATATTCATGCAGTCAACAAACACCCCATTCTCACATATCCTTGTCTGTCGTTACTTCTATACATGCTGTCTAGCTACCGTTGAGAGAACTGATGGAAAACAGTAAAAACGATGAAGAACTTGGTGATATTCTCTTCTATGCAAGGTTGCGACTGGTTGCAAGAATTATTGAAACACGAATGGCAAATGGTGTGTGAAACGCTCTGCAAGTCAGCTGACATGCTAGCTGATTGTAGTCACTTCCATAGCTACAATACCTACCATGTCAACCAATGCTTGCATAAAAGGTCGGTCTGAGCTCATCATCCGGCACCCCAACCTTTGGTGCATTGGCCCGCAGAAGCACAAAGCGAAAGTCACGAAAGGGCCCAAAGAACCCTCTGACATCGATCTCAATTACCTGCCCATGCTCAGATGTCTCAGCAGAAGACATCCTCGCTCAAAACTTATTTTGACGAGCTAGAAGAGACCAACGGCGATGACGAATGCAAGGCCTGGTTAAGTAGAGCTTTTGACTCGAAAGTTGAACTGGCCGCCTTCGTCGCCGTGCGGCGGGAAGAAGGGGGAGCTGGAAAATAAGTTGGATTTCTCAAGGGTTCCTTCAACATGAGCTTCCGCTTCAGCTTCGACGATGGACGGCCGGATGTCATTATTCGGTTTCCAAAGCCCGGGCACACGGCTACCGCTTATAGGGACGAAAAAATCGTGAATGAGGTTGAGTTCATGGAATATCTCCGCCAACACACTGATATCCCCATCCCTCGTGTGCACAGCTGGGGCCTAACTGCCGAGAGTCCGCAACGCCTTGGTCCATTCATCATCATGGATTATGTCGATGGTACACTTTTATCGACTATCTTGAAACAACCCGATCAAGAAGATATGGTACTGAACCAGAACGTCAACAGCACAACACTAGACAAGATCTATGATCAAATTACCTCATACATGTTCCAGCTTTCTCGACTGACGTTTACTGGTATCGGGACCATCTCGAGGGACCGTGGTTCAAGTGCTACATGGAACGTTGCCGGAAGACCTCTAACGTACAACATGAACGAGTTAGCCACTGTCGCCGGCTACCCTGTTGAACAATTTCCAAACGCGCCGTTTGACCGCGCAAGCGATTTTCTGAGGTCGGTCGCAAATGAGCACTTGACCCACCTTCGGACCCAGCGCAACCTTGCCGACGATGCTGAAATCGCTCAGCAGCGGTTCATTGCCCGTCATCGGTTCGCGCAGCTGATTTCAAAGTACTATCCCGAGGACTGCGGGCTATCTATACCCTTCTGCGACGACATGCGACCCTCAAAAATGCTTGTCGACCCAGAAACACTCCAGATCACCGCCGTTCTCGACTTCGAGTACACGAATTCCATGCCAGCGGAATTAACGTATGATCCGCCCTGGTGGCTGTTGCTCTCTGGGCCAGAAATGTGGCTTGAGCACTGCGCGATGGATGAGTTTGTGACTCTTTACGAGCCTCGAATGGAGCAATTCTTGCGAGCGTTAGAGCGAGTGGAAATTGAAAGGGCATCAGAGGTCAAACAACCCAGTAGTGGACCGCCTCTCTCTGCCCGTATGCGATTCATGGAGGACTGGGCGATTTTGGTTCGACTATGCGGCAAGAAAGAGCTTCGACGTAGACACCATCTATTGGGCTGCATTGCATAATGGCGATGACGATGCGGGGGTTGAGTTGCTTGATGATAAGGCGCGTGCAGAGATGGAGCTATTTACGCAGACTAAGATGGAGCAGTTGAAGGCATATAAGGAGGAGTGTACTGCTCGCTTTTCATCGGAGACATAGAAGGTGTTTGGAAAGGATGGTATACCACTCGACTACAAAAGATACCATGACGCTTTGCGCTCTGTGAGTCAATCTTACAACATCTAATCGGGGGATATGTAGCGATAATATCTGTCAGATCGTCCACCAACGTCATTGATTTCCCTTATTTTTCATCAAGCAACATGTTCGTTGAGGACCTGGCCATCCCTATCACCGCGGGTAGTTCGTTCTGCAGGTGTATCCTCCTCAACGCCAGATATCAAGCAGAACGCGGGAAACATATTAGGGCATATAGAATGTCCAGTTTCCAAAAAAAAAAAAAAAAAAAAAAAAAAAAAAAAAAAAAAAAAAAAAAAACAGACGGTATCTCTGTAATGTCTCCACGAGGATACATACGCGCCGACGCCAACCCATCAAAGTAAGACCCAGCGCCAAAGGATGGTTTCGATTGTGGATGCAGCGTATGAATCTCATGATGACAGCAAGATCACAAAAAACAAGGCATTGATAATTTCTCGATGGTCGACAGAATGCCTTATTAAGGGGATACATGATTTCAAAATCAACATCCCAGTATCTGTCGTTATCTTTCTCCCTTGTCAACTTCCTGTTATTGACCTCATAGGACAGGCGCCGGGTACGATGATGAAGCCCTTCTTTACCACCTATTTCTCGAGGAAATCAGGTACTTTGGTCGGAAGAGACTTGCGTCTGGCGTTGAAAACCGCGAACGTGTGGTGTGGTCCACATTGTTTGTCAATGGCAGCTGGACACTAAACACCCCTGGCGACCGAGGCCGCCTATATCTAATAGAATGAGGGGTTAGTCGGTGGCAAGTCCACACCCACCAGGGGGGCAATCACTCACAGATAGCATCCATGGCGCTCGCCACCAACATGTTACATTAACTTAAGCTGCCAAGCATCCTGGGGTCTCGATTTTTAGTCGAGATCACTTCCATAGTACGGAGTCGCCGATGGAATTGCCAAGTCACGGAAGGCAATCCGACAGGACACGGCACCATTAGATATCTCGCTAATACAACTCATGAGGCCTATCGACACACGCGACATCAGCCATGCAGCTCATGACGCGATTCGGGCGTGCCGCTCACAAGCTGCACGCCGTTCAGTGGATACCATCGTCTGTGAACAATCCGGCCTAACGGTCCGCCCGATCCAACCAATATAGGCCCTGAAGACATACAGATTACGCGATAGATCCACGCTAAGGTCACCCGAATCGGGGTAGATCTCCAATGGACGGGACGGGACGAGAGCGGGGGCGCTGAAGCAATTGGGGCATCCAATCAAACGCAATGGCATTTGAAAAGACCCACCGCAGGATATGCTTGCCAAGTCTACACTCGCAGCCAGTTTGGCGAGCTTGGCTAAAAATCATGTCTCAAGTAGCTGCTTCATTGGACCTGGGGTCCGGTGGGGCTCGTTTATAGAATGAGGGCCTATGGCCGCAGCCCAGCCCAGACTCAAACTCAGCCAGCCACACTGAGGGGTTGTTGTTCGGAAGACGACAGAATAAGGCATTTCTCGTCGATGATAGGTTAATGTAAGAGCATGAGATCGAGTGCGAGGCGGGGAAAGTGGAATTAACCGCAGCAAGATATGCTTCGGGGCGTCCCGTTGATCTGCATGACTACGTAGACCGGAGGGTCAGAGTGTGGATACTTTTTCCATTGAACAGGTCAGTGACTGGTCCACACGGCCAATTTTGCACAGCATCTGTGTGTCGGGCGACTATGACGAGGCAATATAGTCATGGATGGACTGACGAAAACAGCAGAGGAGAGAGGGGAGGTGCATTGTTGACCTTAACCATCACCATGCATATGCACTGCAACACTGCATGGCCGAATAGCTGAAACATCCATACACTATGCATGCCCGCGGAGATTCAAGATTCAACTGGGAAACACTGGGATATAACGTCAATTGGCTACCTTTGCGCCGCTTCTAGTATGTGTCTACGCGTTCACCATTTCCCCCGCTTTCTTGCAGGAGGGTGGATGAGATCCAGATAGCAACACGCCTGAAAAAGTGTTGCGGGACTATTCACTTTCAAAGGAGGTCCAGTCTTCAGCCTAAATCAGTTTAATGGATGTCGATGCCCGGATAGTTATATAAGGGGACACTGCCCATCCATTGACAAGTCCTGGACATCACTCAGATACTTCAATACAGCAAGAGCAAAACACTACCATGGATGCAACCTCCTCTTACCTTACGGCCCCACAGTATGGCTATGACTTTGTGCTATCGACCACGCAGGCTAGCATCAATGCCAACCTTCTCCAATACCTCGACGAGTCCGATCAACCCGAGCAGTACATCTGCTACCTGGCCGATCCAGCCACCGGCAATCCGTCGGAGCAGATCACTCTCGAAGATCTGATTGCCAAAAGTGGATTCAATCCTTTTGATATCCCGGAACAGACAGAAGCCACGTTGGACGCCATTAAAGCATTGACTGCGCAACGCTTTCTCGTTGGCGTCCGTATCAGGATTGGCCTGCCACCGGATGTTGATTTCTCGAAGCTACCCCCGGTAGTCACACTGGGTGACGATGTGAAGCAGGTCCGCTTCAACATGCTCTGCGCAGACTTTACTGTCATCCAGAACTCCCCCCCCAACGGCTGGGGTGGGGAAGGGCGATGGGACGTCTGGACTCAACCCGACGGCGACTTTTGGTCTGTCTCGACCAATGTGAACCTGAAGATTGCGGACCTGGACAACGAACTCGACACTCCGTACTTCCGGAAACATCCAAAGGAACAGCAAGCGATTCTGGACCAATTGAAGAACCTCTCCGGCAGCGCATTTAGTCTCCAACAGCTGCTCTTTGACCTGGACAACGCCTCCCTGCAGAACAACATCGGCTTTGGCGGCATCGACCCGGCATCCAATGCCTACGTAATCCTCCAGAAAAGCTTCATCAACCTCTGGGCCGCGGCTGCAGCTGAAAAGGGACAGCCACTTGTCTCGGTTGTCGCTGTGAATCAGTCGACCGACCCAAGCCAGCTGCAGTTGACAGACTTTGAGCGTGCAATCAACCCACCTAGAGACAACAGTGGAAATGTCATCACTTCGCCAACCCAGAGCCAGGCTGATGCAAGCACCATTGATCACCTCAGTGCTGTCAATCACAACACCTTGCCCCAGCCATCCCCATTCCAGTGGAACTGGTTGCGAACGGACCAGGTCACGGACTTCAGCGGTGTCATAGCCATCAATCGAGGGACTTATGCTAATTTTCTCATGAACCAGCTGGTCCCTGAAATTAAACAGACATGCCTCAAACCCGATGTCTATGTCTGGAACACGTTTGCGGAACCCCATTTCAGTATAAAGCTCGACGCTTTCAACAGTCCCCAAATAGCGAAAGTAACAGATTCTGGGAAAGACATCATGCGCATTGAATATACCGCTGGCGATTATGACGACTCACACAAATGGTTAATGTATTCTGGGTGTAGCGTCAGGTCTTCATACACCTGTGATGTGTCCGTGAACTCTGCCAGTGTCACTGTCAAGCAGCGTTTGACGATTTACATCTGGCTCAAGTTTGATCAAACCACTTCAGAGGCTAATGTGGTTGACAAAATTCTCACCGATGACTACAACTTGACTGTCACGCAAGATGGCGCTTTGAAGCTTGCCCACAGCGGGAATAAAATAGAAGACTACTCGCAGTCAGGCAGCCTGGACGGGTTTTCCAATTGGTTCGTTGATTTGAATAGTATAATCGACGATGTCAAAAGCTGGGCCAACAATATCGCTACTATATACGACAAGTCCATCGGCTTTGATAACTTACAGAGTTTCATCTTTCCTGGATCAAAAGTCTTCACCTACAAGAGTCCCGAGTTCTCAGAGTATCAAGACCTAGTGTGTCCAATCACCTATGTTGACACTAGTACTAGGCGTCTGGGTGCGGGAAATGGCAAGACACGCCCTCGTCATTCGCTACAAATGCTGCAAGCCACAGCTTCAAGCGAGCCGTTCACTCTCACTGCATCCACGGATCTGATAGAAAATTACCTCCAAGGCCGTTTCGTGTCGCCTACCGGCAAGTTTGAGGCGTTGCAGACAGCCGACGGCCATGGCCTTGTCTTTTCGACTGACAATGAAGGCGTCTTCCACGTCATTGAAGAGCAACTGCAAAGCACGGCCGGGTGGACCGTAACCGACCTCTCGACATCTCTCATAGGAACACAATTTCCTGGGAAGACAGACGCCCAGGTGAGCACCTTTGACGTGGGGCAGAGTGTGGTGAACGGCAGCATTTCACTGGCAATGGCTGTTCGATCCGACAATACCGATACCCTCTTTGTCTCGCTGGGGAATTCCAACTCGAAGACAGCTTGGATCCAGAATCCCAGCTGGACTCGGGTCCCATTCGACGCGGCAGGAAGCTCTTCCACCAGTACCACTATCCGGAGCATTTTCTTCGCCGAGGCCAGTGGCAGCAAAGACTATCTCATCGTGGACATTGATCGCTCTCCTACATCTGCAACCAAAGAAATCGAGCGATACTATATCGACATGACAAAGGCCAATGGCCACTACTGGGTCAAGCACGACGTGCCAGTTGATATTTCCAGCGGAGACTATCAGAGTTGCATTGGGAGAGTCAAGAAGGGCCGTGTCGACGGAGTGTACACATCTGGTCAAGTCGAAGGATCCCCCCAGTTGGTTTATGTTCCCATCGTCAACGTTTACGGAGACACAGCTCCAGCTCCCCGGCGGTTACAGCTGCCGAACGGCGCCGTGCCTTCTGCCATAGCATCCGCTCGAAACGGCCCTGATGCTGTACCAGACCTGCGGGCCACGACAGACCTCTACGTGACCAGCGAGTCAAAGCTATACTGGTTTGCAGCCGACACGCAGAAAGATGGCAGCTCCGGCACTCTGCTACTGGAGGACGATGTCTTCTCCCAAACGACGACCCTGATCACCACGACGCACGCCGGCGTCACAACCATCTGGGGCAAAAACGGAAACAACCAAGCCTACTACCTCTCGTGCCCAACCAGCCAGATTGCCCTCCCGGGCTCGTGGAGCGTTCCCGTTCCCCTTCTCACCGGCATCGAACATCTTTCCGCGTATGTCAACAGCGTCGATGGCGGCAAGACGGTGTTTGCATCTGGAGGAAACGATCTCTTCAAGATCGAACAAGCCAGTCTCACGGGCTCGAAATTGTGGAAGCCCCAGAAGATCTCTATCGCAGCACACCCGGAACAGAAGGCGATTCCCTTCAAGTCGTATACCTCCACGCTCCAGGTGACCGACGAGAACGACCTTCCGGCCGACAAGGCAACGGTGAGCATCACCACAACCGCGCGTACGCCGGTTTTCATCAACGGTCTCTACTACGTGTTGAGCCCAACGCCTGTCCAGATCGTGACGGATAGGACCGGGTCCGTGACTGTGGTGGAGGCAACGGAGGATATCAATGCCACGGTACTCACGGTGACTTGCAACGGAGGGTCTCCGCAAGAGGTCAACCCAATGCAAAAATCATTCGATAAACTGACTTCTCTCACCTCCGAGGACGCTCTTCGTGGTGCAACCGTGCCCAAGACTCTCACAGCCGGCGGAGTGGTGGGCTCTGTATCGTCTGTCCCTATCGTGGATGCATCGACCAGCTCCGAGGATCTTCAGGGAGTCGCTGCGGGATTGGATCATCTGCGAGATGCCTATACAGAAGCGCAGTCGCAGCCGGGCTCATCCCTCGATGGCTTCAACAAGGGTGTGATCCCCGCCACTCTGTTCTACTCATCCGGCCCAGCGAGGGGTCTAGGTGATGCAATCGCAATCGCAGCCGGAGACGTATTCCAGTGGCTGAAGTCTGGAGTCGAGCACGTTGTCGATATCATCAAAGACGCCGCAACCGATACCTGGCATTTCATTGCACGGATCGCGGGCAAGGTCTACAGCGCCGTTCTCGATACCGTGGAGGCTGTTATTGGCGCCGTTGAATGGGTTTACAATGTGATCAAAACGGCCATCGAAGACTTGATTCGTTTCATCCAGTTCCTGTTCGAATGGGACGATATCAGCCGCACCAAGCATGCCATGGCGAACATTGCTCGACTGTACGTTCAGGCCCAGGTAGAGGCTATTCCCGACGCGAAACAGTCTTTCAATTCAGGAATCGCCAGTCTGAAAGAAACTCTGGCAACCTGGGCAGCCACGGATTACTCCGCACTTGGTGACGCGGCGTCGAAGCCCGCTTCGTCGAGTGCTTCCAATCCATCCAAGGGCCAAACGTCTGGCTCCCAATTACTGGCACACCACTTCCGCAATAACGCCGAGAACCTGACGATCAAGGGTGACACGCGTGCCCTGAAAGGCATCGAGGACGGTGCGCAGGAGATCATCGATGTGCTTCTCGCATCCCTGTCCAAGGAAGAGACCGTCCTATCAGAAACCTACACCCAACTAAAGGACCTCGCCAAGAAGTTCAGCGACATGAGCGTCGAAAACGTGCTCAAGCAGCTCCTTCTGATCCTAGGCGACGCCGTCCTCGACAGCACCCAGGTGGTAGTAGACGCCCTCATGGACGTCCTGCACAGCCTCGCAAAATCAGCCATCGCCCTCCTCGACACCAAGATCCACATCCCCGTCATCTCAGACATCCTCAACGCAATCGGCGTCCCCGACATCTCCTTCCTCGACCTCTTCATGTGGATCACCGCCGTAGGCTTCACCCTCGTATACAAGATCGCCAAAGGCGAGGCCCCATTCCCCGACAACAACGACACCAAGCGAATCACCTCAGCGACATCCTGGTCCGAGCTCGCCTCCCTCTTCTCCCAGCCCGCCGAGCTCGCCTACACAACCACCAAGGACAAGAGCGAGAGCGACACCCCAATCCACCCAACAAGCATCCTCCCGCAGAGCGCGCAAGACCCCGTCTTCATCGGCGGCCACGCCACAGCAGGCTTCATCGTCCTCATGGCCGACTTCCTCAACGTCTTCGAAGCCGAAGCCCCAACCGGCGACAACGTCTTCTCCATATCCGCCGCGATAGCAGGGATCCTCGCCGCCGCCTTCCAAGGCAGCACGGACTTCCTGGTCCCCAAATACCCCGTCACCAACCTAGCCGTGAGAGCCGTCAGCTACGCAACGCTGACCAGCACCATCGCAGCGAAGCTCATCTTCTGCGGCCCGGGCCAGAAGCTCTTCGCGGCCAAGTGCCAGTGGTTCGCGGTCGCCGACGGGCGCGCGACGGGCGCCATCGTGAACTCCGTGCTGGTCATCCCCGCGCTGTGCGTGTCCGGCTGGCACTTCCACGAGCTGAGCCAGATGCCGGAGTCGGATCAGCGGTCCGCGGCTATTGTGGGCGAGGTGTCGAATTTGACGTCGTATGTTTCGCGCATTGCGTATGCGACTGCTGTTAATGATTACGAGGAGACGACGAGGCAGGTGGCTATTGGGGTTATGGCTGTTAGTAATGTTGCGACGGCGGGGTTGCAGACTGCGGAGGCTTTTCTTTCTCAGTAGGGAGGATGTTGCTATTGTTATGTAGTCTTGTATCCTAAGCCTTGGTTGTTTGTTGGTTGGTGATCTTTCCTGGTTTCGCCTCCTATCATTCCCTAGGTCCATGTTTTTGTTTGTTTGTTGGTTTGTTGGTTTGATATTCCACTGGATTATTTACCTGAAATGAACTCTTTATTGCCGTTGCTGTATTAGACATTCTTTAGTAGAAAGAGCCTTAAATTACCTTAAGACAAGTACTAAGTCCTCCCTCGAGCTATTTGTATTCTGACCCCGAATTCCGCTGCTCTTACCTCTTTGGCCGTCGGCATTGGTGATGATGTATGCATGCATGGGTGACCGAAAGGTTCAGAAGAAAAAGAGAAAGAGAAAGAGAAAGGAAAAGAGAAAGATACAGAAACTGTAATCATTCATTCACTCGATCTAACAAACTGATATGTAGTCATCTAGTCATCAGAGCTCAAAAGACATGATGCAATCAAGTCATACAACATCACTATACACTGAATAAAACCATTCGTACTCTATTCTGTACCTCTACTTCATACCCCCAGTTCACTAATACCGGTATCCGCTCTGGCCGTAGCCTTGGTTGTTGTCGTAGCCGTGGCTTTGGCTTCCTCCATAGCTCTGGCCCTGGTTTCCATAGCCCTGGTTTCCGCCGTAGCTCTGGCCTTGACTTCCGTAGCTCTGGCCCTGGCCGTGACCTTGACCTCCATAGCCCTGGTTGCTGCTATACCCTTGACCGTGGCTGCCGCCATGACTGCCACCATGGCCCTGAGAATGGCCGCCATACGACGAATCCTGGTACCCCTGGCTCTGGTGCTGGCTGCTGCTGCCGTATCCATGGCTCGGCTGGTGGCCGTATCCGGGGTTGGAAGAAGACTGGCCGTATCCGGGGTTGGAAGAAGACTGGCCGTATCCGGGGGCGGAAGACTGGCCGTATCCAGGGGCGGAAGACTGGCCGTATCCAGGGGCGGAAGACTGACCGTGTCCCTGGCTTGAAGTCTGGCCGTAGTAGCCTGAGCTGTGCCCATCACCGCCGTATCCGCCGCTGGAGTGGTGGGAGGGCTGCGAGTACTGGTGCGACGACTCGTGGTGCTGGCTGTGGTGCGGTCGGGTGTTTTCATGGTGGGACTGGTGCGGAGGCGGGCTGTGGCGCCGGGGAGGGGTGTGGTGTTGGGGCTGGCTGTGGTGCTGAGGAGGGCTGTGGTGCTTAGGCGGCTTGCTATGGTGCTGCTCAGGCTTGCTATGGTGCTTCTCAGGCTTGTCCTCCTTCTTCGAACCTCCCAGGGATAGACCGGAAAAGACACCGTCTAGCTTCTTTAGCCCCGACAGACCCGGGATGTTGGAGAGCTGCTCGAGTGGGTTGGAGCTGTGCGAGGAGGACGGGCGCTGCTGCTGCTGCTGCTGCTGCTGATGCTGAGGGGGACGGGATTGACCGCCGTGGCTGTGTCCTCCCGCGGCAGCCGCACCGTGACTGTGGGCGCCGTGCGAGTGACCGACCTCGCCGCCGTTGTTCTTTCCGGCCTTGACGCCCTCGGAGCTGAGGATGTCGTTGAGGCTGCGGCCGCGGTCGGGGCGGGAGTGGGCCCAGGATTCGACGGCCTCGAACATGGTGCGGTGGGCTTCGTTGCGCATGTCCCGGGTGGCCGGGTGGTGGAACACCTTCAGGCAGTCTTCGAGCACCTCCTTCTCCGGCACGTCGGGGTGCTGCCAGGCGTAGAGCACGCGGGGAGCCACGTACTTGAGGATCGCGGAGGCGACGTTTCCGGCCGGGTCGTTGAGGATGTTGGAGAAGTGGTCCTTGGACAGCAGCGAGTGGGTGGGGTCGGTGCAGTGCGGGTCGGTCCAGGGCTCGAACTGGTGTTTGCCCGAGGCGTCGATCACGCCGGACGAGCCGGACTGCAGAGACTTGGACGCGGTGTTGATGATGGGGCGGATGAACGGGGCCAGCAGGGACATGACGAAGACGGTCACTGTCTCGGAGATCTTCTCCACCAGCGACTCGAGGCCCGGGATCTTCTCGATGACCGAGTTCAGCTTCCGGACGACGTTGTCTCTGAACTGCAGGATCGGGTAGATCTGCTCGATGGTCTTGGCCGGATCGATATCCGTCACCGGACTCGGTTTGCCGGCGGAAGGCTCGGGACGGTCAGACGCCCGGGAGCTCTTATCCTGGTCGCCCGCAAAGTTCTTGGCCAGCCCGCGAGCGGCGCTGTAACCCGCGTTGGGCTTGCCGCGCTTGTTCGAAGATTCCTGTTCCTCCGAGCGACGCTTGAGGTTCTCCGCCTCGGTGACCAGGTCCTTGGTCCCCGGGATCTTGCCCAGGAGGCCGGTCAGCGAATCGAGCGACGAGCCGGACGAGTTCGACTGAGCATCTCCGAGGGCGATGTCCATCTCGTTGACCTCGGACTGCGTGAAGTGGTCGTTGGCCTCTCCCAGCACGGAGTGGAAGAAGTCCACCATGCCGAAGGTGCCCGTCACGAGGGGAAAGACCTTGTGGCCGTGGAGGTTGATCTGGGTGCGCGCCCCGGTGTGGGCGAAGACATTGTGGAAGCCCATCTCGCGGAGGGCGAGCTCGCAGTAGTTGGTGTGGGCGGCGAAATCCTCGAGGGTATGGAGACCCTGGCCGAGGCATCGCAAGGCCTCACAGAGGTCCTCCTCGTTTCCTTTGCCACCGGAGCCGTGGGTGTAGGTCCTGCCGTAGTGGATACTGCGCGCCAGACTGTACTTGATGTAGGCCGTACTGGTGGCCCAGTCGCCGCGTTCGTTGGCGATATAGTTCTTCATGCCGGTGTGGGGGTCGATATCCAGTTCAGCCTGACGGATGGGGCCGCGCAGTCTTTTGTCGAATACGCGAGCGTCCTCGTTATCGGCGTAGTCTTTGGGGTTGCTAAAACAGCATTATCAGTAAAAGGGAGACATCGTAGGAGATGTAAGAAAAAGGGAAACCAACTCAATATGTTCCTCAGGACGATAAACCCCCAGTCTCTCCCCAGTAACCTCAAACTCAGCAGTCGCCAAGCCGAACGTCATAAACGAGAGGATCCAGACGAGAACGCGGATGGTATCAGCAGGAAGACTCTTAAGGGTGCCGACATCCATCGCCTGGGAACTAAACCGAGCCACGGTTAGCATCGCACATCAGCCCAAAATGATATATACGGTGATACATACTAATCCCGCAACCAGTTCCCAAAATAAACACGCTTAATCATAGTCGAAGTCCACTTGTGACCCGTGATGAAAGCGACAGTCTTGAGCATATCTTCGATGTCGCCATGGCGCCAGTTCTTGCCTTCGACGGCGGAGATGGAGGCGATGTCTGTTTACTTGTTAGCGATGGCTGGATAAGGGTGGGTAAAGATGGAGGAGACGTACTTCCAGCGCCAAAGGCGTCAACTTGCGAGGGGAGGAGGACGAGCAGGACGCTCAGGATGAGTAGGGCGTTGATGCCCAGATGGGAGGAAGCCATGGTTTACTGTCTGATGGCGATCGATCGACGATATGGGAGATGAAAGATGCAGCCAAGACTGTTGGGAGAGAGAGCTGTAGGAGAAAGAAAGCTGAGCTGCCACGTCGGACGGGTCTTTTTGTTCGTCAGGCGTGCTTTGATCGTATGCAGGCGTCCGCGGAGGGGCAGTTGGAGGGGTGATTGGGTGCGGTCGGGTTCGCGTTGTCCGACCGGAAGTAAGTAGAAGGATACCGAGCAGGGAGCTAATGTAGAGAAGGATGGAAGGATGAAGAGGAGAAAGGAGAGGCAGGATAGGTGCCTTGTCGTGAAAAACCGACCGATCTGCGACAGAGCCAAGAGAGAGCAAGCTGCGATGATTTCAGAGCCCCACTTGTTGGTGGGGACTGGCCCTGGGTAATATGTGGGCAAGCTCAGCTGAGAGGCTGAGGAGTGAGGAGTAGGGGTGAGGAGGAGAAGTGAGCGTGAGGAGTGAGGTCACTGGTGGATTCAGGAAGCAGGATGTCAGATTAGGCAGAGGGGATACTGTATAGACTGATGAAGTTATATGATAGTATATCGTATATAGTATAGTAGTATCTATAGTAGTATCACGTTGATATGATATAACCTCAGGCACGGTATCTATTTTTAACCATCCAACCGTACATACCAATACCATACCATATCATACAGCACGACAATACAATACGATTATCTAACAAAAACAACCCCGCCTCCACCGCGGGGTAAATCGTGCCGACAGTACGGAGTGCTCTGTTTTCACGAGAATAACCGTAGGGCCTAGTAACTGGGTGGTAACTACAGTACGACTCATGACTCGGAATAACGTCGCAGTCGATCATGTAAGGTAGCATTGATAGATCGATATACAACATTGTGGGAGACGATGCCACGTGGGTATCATACTTGACTGTTTACTAGGTAGTATTTGTTTATTTAGCTTTACCTTGTCGTATATAATCATGCCACTCCACCACCCCGACCTATCTATCAATCAACACCACAATCCCTCCCAACGAACCACCCCAAAGAAATACACCCTTCTCAAATAAAGAGAGAAGAACAGAAGAAAGAAAACAAGATGACCACCCACCTCGCCTCTCTCCAACGCGACGGCTACGTCCTCATCCCCTCCCTCCTCACCCCAGAAGAAACCGCCCACCTCCGCACCGTCGCCACAAAAATCACCGAGCAAGCCCGCACCGGAACCTGGCCCTACTTCCGCACCGTGCCCAAGCAATTCCCCCCCTGGCCATCCACCCCGCCCCCGGCCTCCGAAGGCGGCATCTGGGGCGTGCAGCACCTGCTGCACCCGGACATGCCAGGGCGGGCCGATTTCGCGCGGTTGTATTTCTCGGATAAAGTCCTCTCCGTCGTGGAGGAACTAGTGGGGCTGGATGGCGCGAAGAAAGCAGGTCAGCAGGAAGGGGAAGGGAGGGAAAAGCTAGTCATGGAGCTGTTTAATCTACTGGTCGCGCCGGAGACGCGCGATTTCGAGCTGCGGTGGCACCGCGATGACGTCCCTGAGACGGCGACCCCTCACGAAGAACTGCGGATGCTGGAGGCGAAGAGTCCCGGGGGGAAGCAGTCGCACGCGCAGTATAATCTGGCGCTGTGCGAGGACGCGTCGCTGGTGGTTGTGCCGGGGTCGCATCGGCGGGTGCGGACGGAGGTTGAGCGGGCGGCGGGGCCGTATGAGGCGCATTTGCCGGGGCAGGTGGTTGTGGGGCTGAAGCCTGGGGATGCGGTGTTTTATGATAGTAATATTTTGCATCGCGGGGTTTATAGGGGGAAGGGGGAGGGGGCGGAGGAGTCGCGGTTGACGTTGCATGGGAGTGTGGGGTTGGTGGAGGGGAATGGGGATGATGATAAGGGGGGGGATGGCAAGGTGAGGGCGACGGCTGTTTTGCAGCATGGGGTTGGGGCGTGGATTCAGCGGGATGATGCGGCGTTTGGGATTGGGGGGCGGGCGGAGGGGATGAGGGCGAATTTGATGGCTATGGGGTCGGGGGAGGGGGTGGGGTATTCTCTCCAGGGGTAGATATAGCCCGTTGGTTTTCTCCAGTGTAGTTGATTAGGATATGTATAAATGTTTTGAATGCTTTTGTTCTATTTTCTAGGGTATTGACTGACTCGATGGAATGAACCATCGATATATACCAGATATACCAATACCAATACCAATATACCAAATTGTCGTCATATCGTCACTCGTAACCAGAATAACTCAGCTATCACCCATCCAAAGGCCGTTGCCCATACACGTAGTGGTATAAGACATAAGTATGGTACGACGCATTGAGCAGCTCCCCCCGCACCTTGTCCACGTATTCCTGGGATTGTTCAAAGGTGTACCCCCTGACCCGCGTGAACAGCGCCAACGTGTAGGGCTCGACGGCTTCCCAGAGGGTGCACTTGCCCACCCGTCCGATCTCCTTTAACCGGGGACTCTTTGGCCAGGAGCCTACCGGGCACTGTATCGACATTAGCTGGTGCTCCGCCATACAATCGGGGGCAAGAAGAAGGCACCTTATAAACATCGTCCGTCACGTTGACAAACCCAGCATCCTGCATCCACTCCGCCACATGCGACGCCACGTTCATGTGTTTCCCAAACTGGCGGCTACTCTGGTCCAATTTCTGCTGCCAATCCAGCAGCATGGTCGCCTGCTCGTGGGTACCGTCGTCGGAACGAACCCACGTCTCATACTCCTGGAGCTCGAGCCAGCCGCCGGGCTTGAGATGCTGGTACGCCTGACGCAGCAGCAGCTGCCAGTCGGCGATGCCGCCGCCGAGACTGCGGGCGTGGATGTAGTCAAAGGCCTCGTCGGGGGTGAAGGTCCAGTCGCTCTCTGCGTCGTCGACGTGGAAGGTGCAGTTGGGCGGGGCCCAGTTGGGCTGGATGGGACTGAGGTCGGTGCCGATGACGTCGGCGCGGGGGAAGTCCTCTGCGATCTCGAGGGCCCAGGCGCCGGTGCCGGTGCCGATGTCGAGGATGCGGCGGGGTTCGCGCAGGGCGCGAATGGGGGCGCGGTAGAGGTCGCCGCCGGTGATGAGCTTGAAGAGATGGTGCATGAGGGCTAGACGGTCCTGCTCTTCCTCGTCGTTGGGGATGGGGTATTGGCCGTGGCGGTAGGCGTGGTACCGACGGCCATTTTCGTAGCAGTAGTCTCTCACGGAAGAGGAGAGGGAGAGGTTGGAGTTGGCGATGGACTGGGCATCGCAGAGGGAGTCTTCATCACTGGTCTGGTAGGATTAGCCTCTGCACTTCATAGAAGCCGATGGATAGATAAAAAGACGTACATCAATCTGAATGGGTTCGTAGAGGTTCGGTTGCGGCATAGTCTAAAAAGCGGGACGAGTGGGGAAGACGGGTGGATCGATGATGAAGAAGGGAGGAGAATACGGGATATAGGGGTAGGGAGATACAAAATATAGGAGGAAGAAGGAGGAAAGAGAGGAAAAGGAAGAAGAAGAATAAGATGAAGAAATTATACGGGAGGAGGGGAGAGAGTTAAATAGAGAAATCAATAGCCAGACCGGGAGTCTGGATACTGGTCCGCGGAAAGTTTAAGTAAAGTTAAATTAGTTAACAGAAGAAAGAAGTTAGAAAGCGAGAAGAAAGAGAAGAGGAGAGGAGAGAAAGAAAAGGAACAGGCTAAAGGAGAGACGGAGTAGCTAGCAAGTAGGAAAGCATCCAGACCCGCAGGGATAAGAGGGATCCGACCCGGGGGAGAGGACGTTGGGTCTTCTGTTGTGTTTTCCTGGGATTTTGAATCATGTTCGGTTTTCCTTCTGGCGGTGTGAGCCACAGCTTCGGGTCTTCACGAGTTGGTCCGTGCCTGTCTGTTTACCTGCCTGTATCATATCATTCATTGATTTCTTATTATTATAGAAGAGAGATATATATGTATATATGTATATATGTATACATATATATATATTATTTCCTCTCAATATTTATCTAACATATCGAAATACATACCATACACATCCCAATCCCCAGCAATCCCGAATCCAAATCCCAATCCCACCAAACTAACCCAACCCAGTAAGCAGTAAGCAGAACCTTCCTCCCAACACTACTACTAGTACTGTACTAGTACTCTGCAGGAAGAATGACAGCCTGATTTGTCAGGTGAGGGGGTGCCAAGTATTCCTTTATTCTTCTTTATTTCCTCAAATTCCTACTTTCTTCTAAGTTCTCCCTTCTTTCTCATAATCCTATCATTTTAACCTTATTACTGAATTAATATACCCCCAAGCAACAATCTGCCTTACCCTTCAAGTCAAAAAAAAAAAAAAAACCAAATATAGGTAGTATGTGCTGGCAACTGATTAATCCCCCCTCATGCAATGTACATGCACAATAGAATTACCCCACTATCCGTACCGGCTCTCGGGACGGGCCTTCCGGTTTGTGCGGAACGTTATTTATTCATCAACTTGGGTACATAACTTATTATCCGAAGGCATCTTTATACCCCTCTATCCATCCTTACCTACATACCTTGAGTTACTGCCTATTATTACTACTACGCTACTATTTACGTGGCTATTGCTTTGATGTTGACTTACTATTTACTTGTAGATATCATAGATCATATGTTAAATGATCCAGAGAATGATTGATGATACGTATTCAACAATAGAGTAAGATAAGTAAATAAAGAATGGTCATTACATTCGTCATGTCTATCTACTAATTCTCCCTATCTACCTACCTATCTACTCCCCACTAACCACTCCGTGGCCAGTAGCCTAGCCCAAACTCTGCAACTTCTCCCGCTCCGACCCCGACAACGCCGCAAACAACTCCCCAAACTCCGCCTGCGTACTCGCATGTCGGAAGAAGTCTCCCAAAAACGCCTGCGTCTCGTCGTCGCGCTTGCGCACCCCAAACACGCTCTCCGTACCGCCCTCCCCAAACGCCATCAGCTCCTGCTTCGTCACCCCCAATCCCAGATCCAGCACGTCGTTCGGGAGGTCCTCCCACTCGTCGTCGTCGTCGTCTTCGTCGCTGCCCGCTTCGTCGAGGGCGGCGGCCGCGGCGGCGTCGTCGATCTCCTTGTTGCCGGAGGCGGCGGCGAGCTCTTCGACGAGGACTTTGATAATCTTGAGAGGCGCGGATACCGTCGTGTAGCGGTCCGGGTTGTTGCGTGCTTGCGACCGGGTTTTGATGCGGCCGGTGTCTTGGATGATCAGGTCGCCTTTGACTTGCACTTGGGAGAGGCGCGGATCGCCGAGGTTGTAGAGCGTGGCGAGAGCGATGATGTTTTGCTTGATTTCGTCGTAGCCGGCGAAGTTGACCGAGTTCTCGAGCCATTTGCTGACCACTATGGGTAGGCCGCTCTGGCCGCCGATGTCGACCTGAGCCAGGAAGTCGACCACCTCGCGCGCGCTGATGAGTGTCAGTCGCGCGAATACCAGGATCAGACTCTGGATGAACGGCGCCTGTTCCGCCGTGGCGAGCCGCTGGGCGACTGCCTGGAGGAGCTGCGGGAGGTATGGGCCTAGCCGTTCCGATCCAGCGCGTTCCACCAGCTCGGCGGCCAGCTGGCCCACCTCTGTGGCGGCGTTGTCGTCGACGGACGGTCCCAGCAGACGGTCGATGATCATCAGTACGATCTCCGTCGCCTCCTTTCCGCTCTGGGGATCGTGCCACGTGACGAATTGGCTGAAGTCGTGCGAGAGCATGTGTCGGACAGCCTCCGTGGCCGGGCGGATCAGCTCCCCGTCCGTCGAATGCAGCAGCAGCCGGGTCAGCTTCGGCATCACCGTCCCGACGAACCCGGCCGGAAGAGGCTCCAGGGCCCGTTCCGTCAGCGCCCGCAACAGGTCCGCCGCGAAGTTCGTCAGCGCGTGTTCCTCGGTCAGGTTGCCCACGTCGATCGCTCCCGTCACGGAGGGGAGCACCTTTTCGCAGAGACCGACAAAGGCGTCGGGGCCCTGCTCCGAGATGTTTTCGACAATGTCCTCAAACGCCTCCGTGACGATCATCGTCAGCTGGAAGTTCGTCGGTCCATTGCTCGCGATGTTGAAAAGTACGTCGATCGCCGCCGAGGACAAGACCACGCTAGGGTTGACCATAATCGTGTCCCGGAGCGTCTCCGCGAGGGTGACCTTGAGATCGTCGCTGTCCCTCGGGTCGCTGAGATCGTGCGCGGAGATAAACTCCGACAAGGCGGAGATCACCGAGATCTGCAGGGGGATGGTGGTATGCGAGGGAAGCGAAGGCATGAGATCTTGCAAGGCTCGGATGCAGGACACCTTGACCACCTCCGACGGATCATCCACAATGGCTTTCAGAACGGCCTCCAGGTACGAGATGGCAGTCGCCTGGAATGCCTCTCCCGCGACTTGCGCCAAAACTCCGGCCACGAGGTAGCCACGGGCCCGTAGCAGCTCCTGCTCTTGCTGGATGGCATATTGGATCAGGTTGCTGAACCCGTTGGCCAACTCGATGGGGATATGCTGTTCCACCTCGTTGAAATCCCTCAGCAGCTGGTTGAGAGTGAACAGAGCCGACTCGCGGGACTTCCACCTGCAAGAGAATTACCGTCAGTGGTGTTAAAAAGGAAAGGAATGTAAGGGGGCTTACGATGAAGACGAGTCAGCGAAGACCCGGTTCAGATAAGCCAGTAGTCCTTCAACGGCAGTAGTCTTGAGCCACTCGCCAAGTTTGATAACCAGGTCCCCGCTACACGTGCGAGGGGTACAGTTGGCCGTCACCGAAGTCTCTTCCGCAAGGAAAAGGTTGACATCGAAATCCCAGAGCCCTTCTTCCTCGGTAGTGATATGACTGTAGGAGCCCGCCAACTGCAGGATTTCAGGCAACCAGCCGGAGGTGGCAGCAGCCTGTTCGGCATTTTGCAATTGCTGCAGCAGCTCTGCCTTTACCGGCGGCGCTTTCAACAGCGTCTGGATTAGATCCAGTTCCTCCAACACCAAAAAGTCCAACGTGTAGGGAAGCCCGTCCACATCTTCCAAACGGCCTTGTCTCTCGTCGTTGATGTAGAATTCGTGATAGGTGGGCTGCAGGTTGGATAGTTCGGTCCAGATGGTCGCAAAGTAGACGGGGCTCTGGTTCGTCAACAGACCGGGGAAGACCATACGGATTTTCATCAATGTCTGAGGGTGAAAAAAGTGGTTAGTCAAGGGAGTATGACTGGGGAATCTGTGGGGGAAATACCCTAGCCACTTGAAGCTTCAATCCAATGACCCCACGCCACTGGGAAGCAATCTCAGTCTCCTTGGGTTCCTCCTCCTCGGTAGGCGGCTGCGGCAACGGGGCCTTGAGGGTAGAGACGAAGAAAGGCGACCAGCCGGCCAACACCTCATCCATGAACTGTTTAACCTGCACCTTGTGCTGCTCGAGCACCATCTCCAGGGTATCAAAGCATGAACGGAAGACGGCGACCGCCAACGCGCGCAACATGGGCTTCCTCGACTCGTTGGTCGCAACATGGAACAAACTAGAGACCAGGTCGCGGGCGACATTGAAAAATTGCTCCTCATTGAAGCCAGTATCCACCAAATCCCAGAGAACCTTCAACGCGCCGTGCAGGGCCCCAGCCGAGCAGTTGACATCATTGATAATCTGCAGCAGAGCCGGAAGCAGCTCAGGCCAGTGTTCAGGGAAGTCCGCGCTCGCGACCTTGCTGACAGCATAGCTGGCAGAGGATTTGATCTTGCGATCGGCTGTCTCAGCCGTGGTGGCTAGCGCCAGCAGGGAGGCGCGAATCTGCGCTTTATTGACGTCGTTGACGAGGATGGAGCCCTTGAATTCATCGAGGTTCGGAGACCATGCGGCTGCGATGAAGGTGCGGAGGACGGAGAGGGCGGATTGCCTGAGGTTGACGGGGACGGTTCCGTGGGAGGCGATCGCGAGGAGGGAGAGGGGGAAGCTCTCGTTGGAGTACAGGCGGAGGAGGTTGAGTTCGGCGGCTTTTCTGGTATCCGCGGCGGGGGACTGGGTGTCCGCAAGTAGCGATAGTAGCTCTTGCTCCATGGTTGTAGACCTTGGGCTGGTATTAGGTGATATCAGACTGGTTTGAAGGTTCGACTCGTAATTCGGGTGGGTGAATGGAATTAATTAAAACTCAAGACGAGGGGGAGAGCTCGTTCGGGTCAGGGCAAGGAAAATAGTCAATGGCCTCAAATTGAGTTTTCACGCTCTTTCTATGCGTTTACCTCTGATGAAGACGCCAAAAAGAAAAAAAATAATATGACGGGCTCTAATCAAGAAGCATCACCGCGTCTCGTTCGCGTTCGTGGAGGAGAGAGAGGGGCAGTACGGCAGATATGGGTGTGCAGAGAGGAAAGAGAAGGCGGTGAGTATGGTCTGGTTGGGTATTCATGGCTGTATTCAATATTTTGATTACGGAGTACTCACTATAGAGGAATAATACGAGCAGTCCTATCGGAACCAGTTCTCCCCACTCAAAACCACGGATAATGGATTATGAGACATGGTTATGATGGTCTCCCTGACTTTTCTCACATTCATACAATATCCACCAACTAGTTACCTAGACGAGAGGGAACGTCTACCTGTACTGTAGTTATAGCACTACGTAGTACTCTGTAGGTACTCGGTACTGGTAGATACTAGGTACTGGTAGGTACCAGGTAGAGAGTAGGACTGCCTGATGCATTGGGTGTCTATAGGTCTCGGCATCGAAAGTGGTCACAACCCAAAACCGTCCGCCGACTCGCCGAAGGATCATGTAATGGGTATTACACACCAGAGTCAAGAAAGATCAACTAGCGTGATTGATGAGATGCAGAGGGTGGTCCGCCGAGATTATTGACCATGCAGTACTTTTGCCGCTGTGCGCTGATATCATCGCCGGACCATGGGTTTGTATACAGTATGAGTATACAGTATGACTATGTATTAAGGTACCACACAACTGTGTGTAACTCTACCCTAGTTGTAGGTATTTATTGGTAATTTATGAATCTGATAAAAGACAGTATACTTTGTCAATATATATCAAAAGAAACGAAGACAAGAAGAATGACCATAATGAGCAAGAAACAAGAAGAAGAAGAAATCAGAGAATCAGAATAAAAATGATCAGCAGTGGCGGACCAGGATGTCGAGTTGGAAGGACGAGGAGATACGTAACGGATCACTTTGCAAGGTGATCATGGTGGGGCGATGGGAAGAAATCTATTTGAGGAGGTCCTTCACTAGTCGGATTATTGAGGGGCGGAAGAGGGGGAGGAGGGGCTTGTATTTGGTACTGTATGGTCACGTACTGAGTGATCGTTAGTCTCAGGTACCATACAGCAATTAACTAACTTGAAGGATAATATTAATGACATCCAACTCTTAATTCGAGGGAGGTAAGAAAGAAGCTCTTTGGACTGTTTCTTTTAGGCTTTTTTTTTACATTTTATACCTTGACCATTATTGATATTATCCTATGATTGTATAATTATGTTCCTTATTATTTCCCCTCGGAAAAAAAAAAGGGATCCTTCTATCCGGGATCCCCCTTCATTCCGATGCTCCATCAGATGAGACAGATACCTATTAAGGCTGAAGACTAAAGCCATCGAGAAATCAACTAGAAGACATATGATGCAACTGATCCGGGTTGGTCGTTTGAAGATTTGTCCCTTGTAATCCCTATATAATTTCCACGGGATTACCCACCACCACACCGAGTTTAGTCCCTCCATCTCAAACCCCATTAGCGTCTGGGTGCCTGATCACTGCTAGGGCATGTATCTATCTGAGCCTTAGCAGATATTTAGTAGGTAGGTAGTAGCCAGTCGACTAGTGGAGGGGGACGATTCGGGTTTCACACTTCAATCCATAGTGGTGAGATGATCGGCCGTCACACCCGTCTACAATCATCATCATTTCTCAGTTCTCTGGCAGCAGTGTCTGGTGGAGACCGCTAGGATGGATATGAGAGGTGAGTTGAAGCAATTTGTTAGTTAATCGGTAAGAACCGCCTTGGTGGTATTACCGTATTGTATCTTTTACATCGGCCTTCCTTTCTTTTCCTTCTTCATCATTCTCACTATGATAACGGTTATTATCATGAATATTACTACTGTTGATTTCTGTCCAAGCGCTGAATTGTATAGATTGTATAATCTGTTATTGTTCATTGATTATACCTCATATCTTTGGAAATGTTAAATGAGGTTAAATAATACAGACTCCACCATGACCACACGTGACAGACGGGTATCGTGACCTTGACTTGACTCTTTCGCCCCGTCCACTTTCCCCTCATAGTCTTTCTTTTTCTTTCTCTCTCTCTCTCTCTCTCTCTCTCTCTCTCTCTCTCTCTCTCTGTCTCTGCATTTGTTGTTGTCGTACTGTTTGACTGTGACTGTTTGACTCCCTCTCTCGCTTTGGGACTTTGAAATTTCTTTATACCCTCCCTTCCCTCCTCCCCTCCCAATCATCTCCCCACTGGTTAATCCCTCCTCTCCCAAAACGGATTAGGAACCAAGTTATAAATATAAAAATAAAACAATAAAAAAGGGGGAGGAAACAAGAAAGGTAAATTCAATACTATATTCTGATATATATTGTTTGATTTTTACAATTCAGGAAAAAACCATCATATATATATTTCCCTGGTATATATCAAAAGAAAAGGGTCCCAAGAAACAAAACCTCCGAGGGAGAAGAGGGACCAAAAGAACAGAAGAAAAAGAAGAAGAAAAATACCTAAAAAAGGAAATCCAGACAGGAAGAAAAAAAAAAAAAAAAAAAAAAAAAAGGGCCAATTTGATCATCAACAAACCAAACCAAGTGACTTGACTGACCATTATCCAACTCAGGTCTTTTTTCTCTCTTTAATCTCTATCCCAGATCTTTTTCCCTCTCGGATTGTCACGATCTCTACGAAATAATCATTCCCATGCTTGGAGGTTCGCATGTTTGAGACTTGTCCACCCACCGTATGTTCCCTTTGAAGTTCCTTACTCCATCCCCTCCTCTCTCCCTCTCTCTCTTCGTCCCGACGGCTTCTCTCCACCGACTACTCCCTGACCCTCTTTCTCTTTCCCTTTCGCCTTACACTTCCTCCTCTCTTTCTCTCCATCTTCCACCAAGTCATTGATTTGATTCTGGTGTCTATTCCCCTTTCCCTGAACCCTCCTCATTCGAAAACCCCCCAGATTCCTTCTTCCTCCCGGTTCTCTTCTTATCTCTCGCTAAACCTTCTTCCCCCCACCCCCATTTTCCAACCTGAGGCTTCATTCGGCTCTCTTCCGGGAAAAGAAGTGATTTGACTGTTCTATTTCCATCCTCCCCTCTCCATATTTTTTTTTCTCCCACTTTCTTCTCCTTCAACCCACTCCCCACCCCCTCCTCTCTCTCTCTCTCTCTCTTTCTCTCTCTCTTCTCCCTACCCCTCCTCCAAACACTGTCGCTACCACAAGTCTATCCATTCCAACCAAACAAACAAAAAAAAAAATATTATCTTCTACCAACGGGTTAGAAAAAAAAAACACATCAACATATACAGAAGGAAGAGAGAGAAACAAGTCGGGAAAACAAAAAAGAAGACATTCAAAAACATCAGACATCATCTTCCATGCGTGCAAAGCAAAGCCGTTGTTGACCCCTCGTCTCGAAAAAGGCAGAGCGATGATTAGCCTCAGGGTGGAACAGCACTCAGATTCTCCGAAATCCCGTCCAGACCTTCTCCCCCGTGGAAACGACGACGCCCGATTCTACGACGGCAATGCCGATTGCCAGTGAGAGCACCACCGTCGATTCCTTCACTACCACCATGACCACATTTTCCTCCCCGGTCACCGCACCTCGATCGATGCCCACCAACCAGTCGGCATTGGCGGCATCCTTCACCAGTTTCCTCACCGTCTCCATCCACCAGATCCTCTTCCTCCGCTCGGTCTACCCGCGCGCCACCTTCTTACCCGTCCGGGCCTACAACTATCCCGTCCGACAGTCCCGTCACCCCAAGGTGTGTGACTACATCAACGACGCCTCCATCGCCGTCGATGCCGAGATCCTCAAGGGCTCCATCACCGCCGTCAGCATCATCATCTCCTCCCTGCGCACGAACCAACCCCTCGAACGATATGCCTTCGACCTGTCCGGCTTCCCTCGCGTCCCCGCGGGCGAGGTGAACACCACCTTTGACGACCGGCGGGAGGATCCCTCCAACAAGACCGGCGTCCCCGTCCCCGACCGAGGGGCCACCCCGACCCCCGACCTCGAAGCCCAGTTTCGCGCCTGCCTGGCCCGATTGGCCTCCGCCTGCGCCCGCCTGACCCCGTTGCCCCGAGATGACGAGTTCAGCTTCACCGTCTGCATCGAAGTCCAGGAAGACGCCCTCCCCCCGGCGGGTACCACCACGGAAGAGCAGACGTGGATTGTGGCCGAACCGGGCAAGGTGCACCTGCGGTCCTGTACCGCGCCATACTCCGTCTCGAAGTTGAAGAACGGCGAGCCCCAACCACCTCCCCCCACAGTGTCCAACGGTCGGGCCAAAACGGTGCCTGTACGACGCGTAGAAGCCGGGGAGCTTCGTTTGGAACTGTGGGTGGAAGAGGCACGACAGAAATTTAATGAGCCGGTGGATTCGGAACATCCGCCATGACCGCGATCATTCTGCATCCATCGATTTGAATCTTTGATTTTTTGTTGTTTGTCTAGTTTGGTTTACTCAAACATCGTTGCTGCCTCTCGTCTTTTTTTTCCCCCTTTTTCTCCTTTCCTCTTTTTTTATTTCTCTTTCCATTTCGATATCTTTTTTTTTTTTTTTTTTTATTCCGACCTTTGATCTCCTTGATTTAGCGTGACCAATGATCGAACATACATGATGGATGAGGGAATTAGGAATTGTCGTCCGAATCAGCGGCGCAAATATATAAAATGGGGAGCGGACGATTTTTGGGATTCGCATGGCATTACATAGATCTGGTTCATATCTTTCCTTTTCCTTGGATCTTTTTTTCATGTTTTTTACCTCCCCATCTTTCCCCCCCCTTCTTTTCTTGTCACGTTCCTTTTTCCGACTTGGCTCTTATTACCTTTTTTTTCTCCCTTTCACCGTCCTTTTTCTTTCCATCTTTCCTTTCCACCCGCTTTTCTCTCCAATCTCCCTCCATTTTTTTTTTATTACTATCGGACCATTCCATTTTCATACCATTTCATATTGTATTTCTCGTCTCTTTTGTTGAGCTCCATCCATGAACCTAGCAAATTCAACCATCTAGCACTAGCTACAAGATCGCCAGATCTGTCGTCAATGGCCCATCGAGTGGATACGAGCCTACTTTCCGTAATTGATACATGTCTATTTCATACTATAGTGGCATATGACGCTATCGACGTGTATGTTCCAACTGCTTTGGCAATCTAAGTGCATCCGGGATTGGTCGTGTGAGGGGTGAAAAACGGAGCACCATCCGTGTATCCAAAAGTATTTGATACACGTTCTCTGGAGTGGAAGAAGATACAGATGACGATGGAGCAGAAATCCTAGTCCACCCCGCAATCTGGTTTGGTTTTGCGGGGAGACCGCAGAAACCGAAAGTGGCCGAACGGCAACTCTAGCCGGGGTCGTGTCGTGTCGCAGCCGCCAGACTACATATAGTCATCACTGAAGCCCCATGGGGGGGTGGTTCAGAATGAGGGGAAATGAAAGATAGACTTGTTCACTGCACCGAGTTGATGCACGTCACGTGGATAAATAGATAAATAGATAAATAGATAGATAGATAGATAAACAAATAAATAGATCAATAGATCAATAGATACCCGAGCTGGATTGAACCATCCCCCTCATGGAATGAACTCAGGTACTTGGGGTTACGCATGTGAGTGTTGTTTTCTGGGTGTATGTTGCTGTGGTATAGTTTTGTCTTGCCTTGTCTGTCTGTAAGTCTGTAAGTCTATATAGGAAGGTAGTGATGTCATACGTTGTGCTATTGCGGTGTCGTTGCTGCGCGTGTGAGACATCCTCATAATCCCATGGTTACGAGGGTTGGATGAATCCAGAAACAGATTTTCGATGATACCTAGTATACAAAATAAGGTAATCTTTCGAGACCACCTTCACTTATCTAGGGTACTATGGCCAATGGCTTATTTACTATACTAGACCGTACAGTGACTTGTTTGATTATCCGACTCTCGAGACGTTACCTTCCCGTAAGCTCTTGATACCATATTATACTTACTATGTAAGGACCCCCTTGTGCAAAAGTATGTATATGGTAGGTACCTGATGCTTAGTGTTGTAGGCATGTCGCCTCGGTAAGCTGTCATTACCTGAGGGAGGGAGGTAAATATGTATGTACCTATACGAACTTGATTTTCTCGAGCCGCTGAAAAATTTCCCCTTCAGGATGCGGCCGCTTTCATGAGGGCGCTCAGGGGCCTGCTCACTGAGTACTTTCTGTCCCAGGCCAGTGCTCAGTGAGCACTCAGGGCACAGGCATATTCCTGCCATTTCTAGGCGGCTTGAGCAGCGAAATTTGAATAAGAGACTTTTACTCCTTTACCAATACTGCAGCCATTGTATATATAATGAACCTTACTAAATATATCTTCTCTTCACTACTTCCTGCTACTATAAAGTTTCCCAGTCTTACCATCTAAGTTGGGGCACTCACATCAGGTCTTTTTCATGATTAATCTTGTGAGACTGATTGTCCTATTCCATGACATTGATAGACAATTATAGGGCTTCTATTGCCAGAGGTGGGGGTGTAATGTGACAGACTAAATCATGGGCGTTCATTTCTGGTTTGCTCTATCACGCATTAACAGGCAGGGAAAAGATGAATGCAACTGTCCCGCCCATGAGTATCTCCATTAGCTATTAACTGGTGAAATAAGCAGTAATAATCATAGAAAAGTACTAATATACATTTGCGGTTTGAATCTAGTTTCAAAACAAGATCTGTACAAACTTAATACAATATATAGATTTACGAATTTCTCCAAAACGTACCTAATGGACCACGAGGTCCTACCACAACCCCTCCCCTTATCTTGAACAAAGTTGAGAGAACTTTACTTTGACACTCAACGGTGTTGGCATAACTCTGAGATTCATAATTCGGCGGTGTGCTGTTTTCACGGCAGTCATTACAACTTTCTGGATCCGAATGGTATTTACTCTATTAGTCCTAATCTGCAGTGTATACACTAAATAATTTACCCTGCTTGGTTACTGATGCCTTAACCATTGTATTGTTATGCATGTTTTACTAAGAAAATCAAACTGGACGTGACATAATATCATAGAGAGAATTCATCTAGCTAAACTTACAAGTACGCTGTTTACGCCGGAGTACTAATCTGATCGATACTGAAGTTTTGCACTTTTCCTCCCCACATTATAATAAGTTCCTGGCAATTTATGCACGGGTCTCGGACTGATGCCCTGACCTTAGCTCTTTCATACTCTTTGGCTCTCGTCTTATCCCTTCTCAAAGCGAGACCATGTACCGAGCCGGGGTCACGGTTATCACTAGTTCATTAGCTTTCGCAGTAAGTCAAGAAAGGATATTGCGAGATATACCGAAGTAATCTTATGAATGGAATCGTTTCTGCGCAATTCCCGTACCAAATACCTCTACCAGCTCGTGTTTGGGGACAATCGTACATCGAATATCCCCTTCCACGCATGGTGTCATCGTTAATGAGGTTCCACCTACTCTCCCTAACTACACTTCCCCAGGTGCCGGTGTCGGAGGGGTTGTGTCTGGTCTTGTAGCCGGCACATGAAGCCCCTAGGAAGAAGTTGCCTTTTCCTTCTCCACGATCAACCCACGTACAGTTGACCATTATTGGCCAGGGTTTACACAAAGCACTACACCACATATCAAACATTCCCACCAGCGGTAAATAGAAGTTGCTTGCGGTAGCAGAAATTGGCGCTGCTTTTATGGACAGGAAGGCCCCAAGAAGGTCAAACAGTCCCGAAAACGGGACATCCTTGTATATGACAGGGTCAATGATGAATTTCGAGGTCGGTTCAAGGCTGACAGCCCATTCTGGATTGAGAATGCGCTTCGTTGGTTGGTAAGGCTCCATGTGTGGCCCTGCGAAGGAGGTTCCATCGGGCGGACTATCATTCATAATTATCAGCCAAAGGATCCGATCAGTCAGTCCAGATGTGTTCTTTCCTACCAGAGCTTATAAACTTCGTGAACTAGTTTTTGAATTGCTGGTCTCTCATCGTAATCAATGTCATACAAGTGTGGATTCATGACCACATGGCGCATAAATGATAGTATCTACATATTGTTGGTGTAAGCATGTTCTTTGAGATAAGGCATATATTGTGCAGTACCGACCTTCGACTTCTCCCAGCTGTACGCGTCCTTAATTACCAGAACATCATTGAATCCATTGAGAACCTCTTCTGGCGGCATTTTGGAGGGGTCTTTCCCATCCGACGAGAGCAACAAGGATGAAGTAGACACGCTCTTCGACAGATAGGTTTCCAGCAAATTGCTTGACAGAAATTCCGGAGATGGTGGACAGAAATTGAGGGAGTGGAAGACGTTAGGGACTTGAAGATAGAAATTTGCTCGTTCATATCTTCAACCTAAGGCAGAAATTCCCTTAAACGGGCACCCCGTCAGAAGCGGGCTATGTAAAGTATTGATATAAGATACGATTCAGTTATGTCGTTATTTGAACCTAACGAGCAAGCTCGCCGACTTGATCTAAGGGCCTTTTGTTTAGTCCACCTTGTCCTCCATACCCCAGAACATCAGCGATCTCACGGATATCCTGAGTGACTATCTCGTAGATTTCATCATTCATCTCATCCCACAGATAGAACTTATTACCAGACAGAAAGATCTGTGTCAGGCCGTCGTCATCCTCCATAATCGGTTGTCCTGGACCAAGACCGTAAGCGTGCGCGACAGTCTGACCTCTTGCGTTGGTATCCTCCCAGTCTGCGTAGAAGTCATCGGCGCGATCTGTGGTCCAGCCAGGAGGAACAGTGAACTTTGGAGGAGGTATTCACATCAGTAACTTAACCTATCAACATGATTAGGGGATACCCTCACCACGGGAATACTGGACATCTTAGTGGGTGGCTTGGCGGAGCAGTCCTCAGTCAAACACAGGGTCTTCGGCAGGCTCTTGGGCTAAGGATATTTGAGCGACATAACCTTGGAGGATTCGATGCCGTGCAATACTCACTGATAGTGGAATAAGGCTCTTAGTTGTTGGAGGCATGATAGTAGTGATGATTGGTGTGGAGATACTTAGTGGAAGCTTGGTAGAGACCCACATGATCATCTACAAAGTACAGTGAGAGGTAAAAAGTATTTAGAACACCCGAGTAAGATTGGTTCAAATAGACCGCCTACTCAAAGTGCCAAATTCTGCCGGGCAGAAACCTCCAAAATCCACTAAAATCAATGCTTTGTATACCAATTCTCTGCTTCAATGACTGCCTTCACATGATGAGGCATGGTTTTCTATAGATTCTCATTGCTTCAGAAAACGCGACGCGTTGAATTACTTTAGTTTGGATATCTATAATAAATATAGTGGGCAGTCAAACCGCGGCATGCTAGCCCCTTTTCAGGTATTCTACATACTTTTTACCTCCCACTGTAGATTTCTAGATCATATAATACGTAGTAACGAGTCACGGCCCGATGTCAGACAAATAGGTACTATATATCTAGGCTAACCTGATTAGGCCTAGGATCTCTGCGAGGCAGGGGAATTTCTAATTTCTATGTACTCTGTAGTTAACTATCTGCAGATAGTCTTCATAGTTCCCCATGCCTCTTCCCGATTTGAAGTCATCATTTCATCCCTTTTAGTCGTTTCCTCAGAGGCTTTGACATTATATAACACAGAACAGGTAACTGACATATTAGGGGTTGCCTGGTATAATTCAGGTTCTTACTCTTATCCTACCTGCTCTCACCCCAAGACCATCATCATAAAACCATGATCACACTGCTGATGCGCGCTGACTGACCCGAATCCCTGGGCCCTTCGGCCGTCAGCGTCTCGGAAGGATCCTGGAAACAGTGATAAAATCGAGGATAATGCAACTCTCTCTCTCTCTCTATACAGTCGCCTTGATTGACTTTGAGAGTATTAGATACTATCGATTTTATCAACTGGGTTGATGCGGATTGATATACAACATACACCCATGACAGATACAACAATTCGTTGACGGTTCCAGGCTACAAGACTGATATCATTGAGCTTCCGAGGACAGAAGTGCTGAGTGCTCTATTCTTCAACTTGAGCAGTCTACAATGGAAACTATACGACCATGCTAACAGTGGGGAATGGTCTCTTAGCATGCCGACTTTCTCGGATATTGGAAGCTGGCTAGATGACTGACTATCAAGAAAGCCAGGTAGCTTACCCCTTATGTTAGGGTTGAAGGTAGGCAGCAGCCAATCGGTACTGACAGAACTGTCTCCCATCTGACAAACTACGTTCCTGCGGACCACATTCTATTGGGATCCTGTTACCAGAAATTGAAATGCACACGAGTGTGTATTGACCCAGGCTAGGCGTAGCTAGCTCATCAATCAAGAAGCCGCCCTAACAACTACAGTCTACAGGATCCCTGATATATATTTTATTTATTAATCTAGTAAGATAGAGTAGATTAAATTTTATTAAACTATCCTATAAGTCTAAATTTTTTGATCCTGATCTATCCCGAAGGCAGACCAGGACAGATTTGGATCTGGATCAGAACAGATCATTTTGAGGTCTAGTCTGCAGTAATCAGCCTGAGTGTGCTGTCAACAACAACCTCCTACAACTTGACAACCTCAGGAACAAGGACAACTCCAAATCGACGATAAACGTCATCAGCAATCCGATTGGAGAGGTGCAAAACTTCAATACCACTCGCTTGGCCATGATTCACAAGGACTAGGGCATGCTTAGAGTAAACACTGGCGTCACCCAACTTTCTTCCCTTCCACCCACATTGCTCAATTAACCATCCCACCGGGATCTGATGAGAGCCATCCTTTTCGTGAATGAATACAGGAGGCGCGATGGGCTGTCCTTGTGTGTTCAGCGGTCACTTTACTCAATCGAGCGCTATCTGACTCTTGAAGAAGCTCCCTGCGTTGCCCAATACGTCAGGATCCGGCAGCTTCGTCCGACGGATTGTGGTGACGGCCTCTGCGATGCGGAAGTGAACGATCGTGATCAAAACAAGCGGACACCCCTTTCCTGGGCTGCTGAATATGGTGCAATAGATGCCATAATGATTTTATTGGAGCATGGAGCAAAAATCAATTCCAAGGATGATGTGTTCGGCACATTTTTGGGATATGTGATACACGCGGAAACAGGCCGGAGGGTGGAAGCGTACCTTAGGATTGTCTGGGACCCTATTTTGAAATTTCCAAAGAAATTTTTCTCTGGCGGGGATGTATTCTACAGAAATAGATGTTCTGTTTGAGTGAATTCAGGCCATTGACCTAGGTATCCTGACCCCAATCTCAGCGAATATTGACCTTACTGACACTCATCCTTGTTAGATTCCACGGTCTATAATTTGGACGGAATACTGGGCTGTTTCCATACCAAGGACTCTCTACTGTACCTTGTCAAGTCTTCGGCAGTGTCATTGGCCTCGTTGGGCGAGATTCAAATGATGTTTCCTCTTTACCCACAGGAAGTGACGGAGATTGGCTAAAGGCTATTGTATCCGAGAATTCGAATAAGTCGATGAACCCAAGAAGTAGCTGTTCTTTGCCCCTTGCTCAATGATCGCCTCAGACCGCTCAGGGCCTGCTCAGATCTACTCTGTAAGCCAAAAGCGGCGAGGGGTGAGCACTGAAACGGAAAGGGAAAGCCTTTGAGCTGGCGAGAAAATCAAGTACGTATGTATGTATGTATGTATGTATGGCCTTGGTTGGTATGCGCTTGTTATGGTGGATATATGTACAAACTATTGGAAGACTGAAGATTGTTGAGTTAACGGGGAGGTAGAGGGATAGGCTTGAGTTGAATATGAGGATAGTAAGTGGATTATACGAGAAGAAGGACCATATACGATTTATGTAATATGGCGTATTTATCTAGTGCGTAGTGCTATTTCTTAACGGGGTGGGGATGGGGGGCTATATAGAATAGCAGGCAATGGAGGTGATACCAAGATAGATGCAAAGTAAAGGACTAATTATGTCTGAACTAAACGGATTCCCAATCCATGCATACATTCAAAATATTCCAACCAACATAACAACTCCAACTTAGATCACGGAATAAGCCCTGCTGTGGACCGACGGGGTATATTCCTGTATGGTCGACGGGTTGACGCCTCTGGGATATGGACAGCCGGTCTTTCGGTCGGTTCTCTGGCAGGAACCGGGTTTGCAGCGCCTTGGATGGGCGTATGAGCCGTGTAGGGTGGCAAGGCGAAGAGGCCATCATAGTTTCGCAAGGCTGGTGGGTTGAGTGATGGGCGTCCAAAGCCGGGTAATGGAAATTCCAAAGAGGGTGGAAGGTTTGCCATTGGTGGCCCAGTCGGGGGGTCTATCTTGTCTTTGTCATTTAACGCCCCGGGATCAGGTCCCCTGGGCCTTTGGTAGAAAGCCCGGCGCGGTCGAGGTTCTGCTTGTGGATATGGATTTGGAGGTTCGAATAGACTTGGCCGGTTGAACTGTGGCGCCTGCATCGTGCCATCGAACCGAGATTGAAAGAGACCACCGCCGTAAGGCTGAGGTGGCCCATAGGCGACAACGCGATGGAGGCCATGGCGAGCCTGTGGCAGATCCACCTTGGTTTGCTTGTGACGGTGCACGAGAAGCTCTTCCCGGGTCAGATTCGGGTTGTCGGCTATGAGTTCGTCGATGGTTCTCTTCTCTGCTTGATTGACTGCTTGCTCATCAGCGTTGTGGACCTGGTCATGGGTAGGGCAGGAGCCAGGCCCTTGTCCGAAGTGGTTGTACTGCGCGCGCGTTATGTCCTGTCGGCATATGTAACACATCACATGGGAACATTTCGAGCAAATCATCTTGTTGCATCCCGACTCCTTGACGATGTTCACTTTGCATTGAGGGCATTGACGGATCAATGCCTTGCTCATGGCCTCTTCCACCAGGTGGCGCTCGGGAATGCCTTTCTCTTTCGCGGCCTCCGCGCAGGTCTGGGGGATGTGGCTAGTCGCTTTGCACAGGCGACAGCTGACTTCTTCGCATGCGGGATTCTGACACCGGAATTCTCGATCTTCCTCGATAGGAGCGCAGACTGCTTTGAACTCGCAAAACGGACAGCTGTCGAGGCCCTCCAGTCCGGCCCGTCGGACTTCGTCTTCTTGCTGAAGGGAGTCGAGCTTCTTCGTCAGAGACGGGCCTAATACATCTTCCAATGTACTGCGGGCGAAACCCGCCTGGCAACCACTGGTATCAATACACTGTAGCTGGTATTTCATCAGTCCAATCTGGGTCTCCGCGTTCTTACGGATGCAGCCGAAGCAAAAGAAATGGATGGTGGCTCCCTCGCAATGGATTGCCCTGTTCAACGGCACGTCAAGATAGCAGCACTGGCATTCCACAAGGTTCCTTGCCCGGGTATGTTCCTCTTCGTTGCGCCTCTCCGCATTCTCTTCTTCCTCGCGCTTACGGAAAGCGTCTTCGTTGAGGAATCGTCACTGGTCAGTTGTTCGCTCGAGGCCTTCAATATTCATTTGACTGTTCACTTACCGGCGTCTCTCTCCGATCTGTTCTGTGCGGCTTGGAGCTCTTTCAAGAAGGTGTCTGCTATTGCGGGGGGGATTTCAACCCCCTTATGGAGATCGTTCGCGTGGTCTTCCACTCTCCTTCCCCTCACCAGCCTCATGTATGGACGATTGCGGCTTGTGGTCGAACGTTCGAAAGAAGACAGCTCAACGTAGACCGAAAACAATGATCTTCCCTGCATATTGTGTCGTAAATAGGGCAGAGGAACGAATGGGAATGTCCGCATCAAAATCTCCCTTCTTTGGAAAAGAGTTAGCTGGCGACCGCGATAATCGGAACCGTGATGTGACATGAAAATGGTGAACATACGCAGTTGTTATGTAAGTGCTGTCATGATGCTGCACATGTTCCCATCTTGTGTCATCCTGACCACTGCTAGCTTCTGGGGCCTTTTTCTTGTGCTTTTGCTGCTTCGGGTAGCTTGAGCTCTTAAGGATCTTCTCGATGATTCGCGTCTTTAACGTATTGTTTTCTTCATGACTGGAACCAGTCATTGCTTCCTGGAGCAGGGCTGCCACATGGGCGAGGCTGATATCTGGGAAGATTTCTAGAACCTGAGACAGGAGCCTGTTCTCGTCGTAGGATGGAGAACCAACACGATTCTCCGAGTTGGAGATACCATCCTGTATCGAATCTTGTGTAAGATCGATGGTCTGCGCGACGGAACTGTCAAACGGTTCGAAAATGGACCACATCGCATTAGGCCCAGGGATCTCCTGCTTCATGGGTATAGGGGTGTTATTCGAAGAACGGGTGTGGTAGTCAGCGTATCCAGGGATCTTCTGCTTCGTGGGTATAGGAGAGTTGTTCGGCGGATGGATCTGGTGATCAACGTGTCCATCGAGACCGAGACCGTAACCGTATCGTGGATGATCGAGCCCAGCCGACCAGATGTCAGCGTTGTCTCCCATGACCAGATCAAGATACTCTTGACCAAGGAGATCAAACTGTCTGGAAAAGACATCGTCAACGTCCATGCTGGTCACTCTGGGTTGCGCAAAGACTTTAAATGCTAGAGGTCTCTGCGTTGATGCTAGAATGATCCCGTGCGATGAGGTTGGTACAGCAGGTCTAAGAGGTCTGAGTGAGAGGTCACAATTATTACACTGGGGAAATGAAGGGGGGTAGCATGGGAAGTCTAATTCCACGCCGGGGAGCCAAAGGAGGGTCAAACAAAGAGTAAGCGTAGAGTGAAGGCCCGCTGGAGAGGTGAACAGAACTACACGATGGCAAAGAGGAGTGGAAATGTGAGTGATATGTTCCCCGCCCAGAACAGCAACAGGAAGTATCACCCGTCATTATGATCGTGTGGCATGATAGAAAAGTGGCAGAATGTACTGATAGGGTAATAAAATCAACTTGAAGGTTAAAGTCATCCCATATCAATGACATGATCTTTTTCAGAGGACTAAAGGATATCAGAAACCCAACCTACTTTACTTCATGGATGATATCCAGTGGTATCGCAGTCTGTCTGTCTGTCTGTCTGTCTGTCTGTCTGTCTGTCTTTTTTCTATCGAAATATCTCACTGGTTGATGGTCTATTAGGTAGACAGCAGTTGATCACCAGGGGAACTATAGGTCCAAGCGGAGGCCTTGGTCGACCGAGAGGGACCAAGGGAACCAAGGGAACCCAAGAATCGATTCCAGAGGGTGGAGAGCAGTGGAGCAATATGTTTGGCTGGGAGTTTCTCCCAACACTAGATTGATTCTTGACACAGATCCAACATCCAAGATTCTTATACTGTAGCGAAAGTGGGGTATGTGAAGTCTTGGTGGGATGACCGAACAAGCATCAACTGGTGGCTTTTCCTTGCGGGGATAATGCCACTCCCCACCGCTCTCCCATTCTCCATCTGTCGCTGAAATACAAAATACAGTGAGAAACCTTTGTCGTCATGAACCTCATCCGGTCATTTACCCCAGGATATCCAACCCAACTGGCTGGACCATCCTTATTCACAGCTCTGGATCACTTGCATTCTGGTCCCGCGTGAATAAAGTCAAGTGACAAAGATCATGTCCAAGACAGCATCACCGATGACATAACCTGACAGATGTGGCTCCCCAGACGCCCACCTCACTGGTCCAGCCCAGTCAGATCGGGCTCTGGAAATAGTTCTGTACCCATGGTGGATCCTCATTCCAGTACCGGGATGACCTGCCCTTATCTACATACGGTAGGGTAGTATGGTCTGTATTATTACCCCATAGTTACCCACTTCCCTGCCAATAATACCAGCCTTTGTGACCTCTAACGGCAGGTACAACCTCATGGATCTCAACAGATTCATCGCTTGCCATCGCTTGGAATCGGAGTGCAATGACACATAAAAATATCCCTTGACCGCTCCCCTCTTGTGCAACGTCGGACGGGGGTTCTTGAATGATTATTTATTTATTTTTCTCCGGATTTTGATCCATTCAATTGATTCGGTTTGTCGTCGGGGATCAACTGTGACATTTATTCAACTTGTCATATACCGCCACTGTGACAGTCTCGAGCTTGGAACCGTTTGTACACTTCAGCTCGGCATCTTTGAGCTCTACAGGATCAACAACATCATCAACATCAACAGGAAGAAAATCTATCTTAGTCTCATCCACTACCTCAACATCTGAACGAACATTATGATTGCCCCCAACACCGTGTATGATGATACGCCCGTCCTGCCCCCAGGAGACTCCCCAGAGCTGGCCCTGGTCGCAGCCTCGCCGCAGGAACGGATCGAGACCATCAAGCTGAACAGCACCGCCTGGAAAGGGTTCCTGGATCTGGAGTCCTACATCGCAAGAGAGGACCACCTGCGGCAGCAGCGTCTGAACAAAGACGGCCTCACCTGCTGGATCCTGGTGGACCGTCGGCAGCCAGAGGGCCAGAGAACCATCCTGAGCTCCTGCGAGACTTACAAGAAGCACGCCCTGTTCGCCCACGACGGCAAAGTGGACGACGTCGTGGCGTATGGCGTTGGGAGTGTCTACTGCCGGTCGGAGTTTCGAGGGCAGGGCTACGCGAAGAGAATGATGCAGCTTTTGAGCGCGAAGCTCGATACGCGGCAGATGGGTACCGAGGGGCCCGGAAACTCTGCCTTCAGTGTCTTGTTTTCGGATATCGGGAAGAAGTTCTATGCGCAGTTTGGCTGGAAGCCGTTCCCGTCCTCTCACCTCTCTCTACCGCCCATCTCCAAGGAACAGTATGACGAGGGTCTCTCCACAGCCACTCTGCCTAAGGCGACAGCGCTCCACGCCCAAGACATCCGGGACTGCATGTGCAATGACGAGCTGATCCAGAAAGAGCGCGACTTTCTGCGCGTAGCCTCCCAGGAAAGCCAGACCCCCAAAGTAGCCATCGCCCCCAGTTTTGAGCACTTTGAGTGGCACTGGGCGAGAGAGGAGTTCCTCTCCAAGAAGATTTACCCCAAAAGGAGCTCGCCCGCGGTCAAGGGCGCCGGGGAAGAACGTTCTGGTGTGTATTGCGCCTGGAACAGGAACTTCGGCGAGTCTCCCCAGGAGAACACGCTGTATATCCTGCGGTGGGTGTATGATGAGCCCACCACGCCGGAGGAGACCGACGCGACGGTCAAGAGCATGGCTTCCATCCTGCGGCGTGCTCAGCTCGAGGCGTATGAGTGGAACATGGCCCAAGTCGAGTTCTGGAACCCCACCCCCCTGCTGGAGAAGGCGGTTGCGCTCTTGGACCCGACCGCCAAGGTGGTCCATCGTGAAGACAGCAGCATCGCGTGCTTCAGGTGGACGGATGCCGAGAAAGGTCCCACCAAGGATGTGGAGTGGTTCTGGAACGAGAAGTATGCCTGGTGTTAGTGACGTTCTAGCTGTCGCATTTCGGGGCCTTTTTTTTTGGTTCAATCATTTCTTTCTGAGGACAGGGAGGACAACATCCACTGCCCCTGTCCTGGCGCGGTTGGTACATATGACACGTCTCTTAGACATATAGACACAGAGCAACAGAGCTCTACCTGTCAGTGCAAAGTGTGCTCAGCGTTTCTGCCTTTTATTTTTGAATAGCTCATGCCAATTCCGTGACTTCTTCGCTGCCGTGTCGGCGCTGATATCTGTGGACAGATTGTTTTTGAGCTTTTGGCGGTCTGCTTCGTTGACGTAGCAGATAGTCGTAGGGTCAGGAAGTTTGTACGAGTTGTTCTGGAGTATATCATCAGAAACCGTCCAGCAGATATGCCTCGTCCATGTAGTTCCGGGGGTAGACTCACGGTTAATTTAGACAATGCGACTTCGTCCCTCCACGACTCAGGAAGATGATTCTTCCAAGCAGCGAGGAATTCAACACGACCAACAGCTGTCTTTGTAGAGGGCGCGACAGCTTCCAGATAAGTCTCACCAACCCACTGTAAACACTTCGTCTTGTCGATACTCGCCCCTGTCACACCGTCAGTAATTACCCCAACATTGCCATTTCTCACAACCGACACAAAAGGGAAAACGAAAGAAGAAGACTCACACTTCATCTGCGCATCATCAAACAGCCCCCCCAACTCTTCCCCAGACTCACAAACCCGCCTAACAACAGCCTCAAACAGATCCCGAGGGAACGGCTCCACGACACTACCATCGTCGTCCTCTTCAAGAACAGATTTCCATAAATCCCTCACCAGGAACTGCTTCTCCAGGTCGATACCCTGCAGCACGGCTCCCTCCATAGCCCTCTTCCACACGTCGATCTTCACCTGCGCCGAAGGCCGTCGACACTGTTCAGACACAGCTTTACTCCTGCTCTCACCGCGACAAGGCAGCACAAACGCACAAAGCTCAACCCAGCCCCTCTCACACTCAGCCAGTGACAACGGGACATCGTCAAAAACACGACGAATGATGTCCCCTCTCTCCTTCTCCCACTCTCCACCACCAATACCCGCCCCCCTCATCCCTACCTCCCCCCGCGCACTATCATCATCATCCCCATCATCCCCATCAAACCCCCCACCAACCCCTCCAAAAACGGCCTCGCAGAGAACCCCCCAGACGGAACATCCAACTCAAGCGTCGACCCGCACTTCGCAACAGCAGTCATCGTGTCGACCAGGTCGAGATTCAGCCCTTCCTCACCGACTTGAGCGCCGGCTCCTCCGACGATATTGATATCTCCGCGTTTGGCGCCCCCATCGCTGGGCCGGATGATGTGTAGGGAGTTCGAGGACTGGACTTCTCGGATGCGGTAGGTTTGGGTTGGGGTGCAGAGGTTGACGTATTGCTGCTGGTCGGTGGGTTTTTGGGAATGCGGTTGGGATTGGGCAGGGGATTTTAGTTGCAGTCTGAGTTCGGTCTTCTGGTTAGTATAGTATACTTTCTTTCATATCTGAGTGTCTTTTTTACTTCAAGGGGAAAAGATAGATAGAATTGCAGATGGGAAAAACATACGTAGCTCCCCCCTCCTTCGTTAACAATCCCACCAATTCAGGCGTGAGCTCCAGTAACCGGAATGCCTGCTGCGGAGCGGAGTGTGTGAAGAGGATGGGGTGGGTGGATTGGGTTGACATTTTGATTCTTCTCTACACCCTACTTTCATATATAATATTCTCGGAAGAGAAAGAGAGAGAGAGAGAGAGAGAGAGAGAGAGCGAGAGAGAGTGTGTGTGTGTCAATGTCGTGGATGAGGTCGAAATAATAAACGGAGGAGCACTCAACGCGCTGCGCTACGGCACGCGTTTCCCGCGCACGGGCCACGGCTTAATATTCTACTTGAGGTATCCGTACCTGGTAGTTTCCTACCTACAATTTAGTGTGTATTCTCAACTATAGGTAGGGAAGTCTCTCCGCACGTAGACCTTAGGTAAATCAGGTGGAATAATATCGGAGATCCAAAACATGGTACTATACACTAGAAAATCAGAGTTTGAATTCTACCCCTGAGTTATTTGGACCAAAATGACACCCTTCAAATAGATAAAAAGACCAACCGACATTTGAAGAAACCAACCCCAGACACTCCAATACACTCCCTCATGAAAATAAAATGAAATGAGACAATCCAACCAAACGGGACCAGCTCGATGCGAATTGCACTACAGCCCTGTGGCCAGCACGAGAGCTACCTGTTCCATGCGAATCACAAGAGGCCGAAACTGAGCCTGCCGCGGCATTCATGGAGGTTTCGCACGAGCGTTGCAATCCTAGGAAATGGCATGAACATATAGTAGGCGTTCATTGAGCGACAACCGGTGCATCTGCCGGTTTAACGGCCGGTTTGACGACCGGAACTGCAGGTCCTTCCTCAGCACCCTGGACGGTATCGTGTTTCGCAAAATCAGACACCTTGCGCGCCTGCTGGTCGGTTTCCATATCGTCCTTGACAAAAGCGTTGTCAATCTCCTTTTCCGTTTTGACGTCGCGGAAGAGTTGCGCGGCCCGGCGAGCGCGCTCGGCCTGTTCCTTCTCTTCTTCCTCGCGGTACTGTCGCTCGAGTTCCATCTCCTCCATGTGTCGAAGGTCGTCCACGCTCGGTTCGTAAAGATGCCAGATGGTGTAATGCGGCAAGCCGACGACTGAAAACCCCATTCGTTTGGCCAGCTGATCCAGTGTTAGTATACAGGATGATGATAAAGGCCAAGAGGAGTCTCACCTTTCCGAAACCTTCCGTCTCCGCATGCTTCTCAAAACTGAAAGCCGGGAAATGCACACCGGCGCGAAACACCCGTGCCTTGGCCAGGATACTGACACCCCCCACGCCGTCGAGGTCCATCTCCATATCAGGATCTCCGTATGGGTCGCGAAGATAAGCGAGATGCGGCCGCCAGGTCGCATATTCGGCGTACCCTTCCACAATGACCGCATCCTCGTCCAGGGTCTCGGCCAGCGCGAGAGCGGTTTCGGATTCCTGCCACGAGTTCAAGTCGTACGGTTGTTCGCCCCCCAACCAGTCGGGAAGCGGGCGCCAGACATCTGGAAAAGATTAGCTACAGTCCATCCTATCTTTAATTGTTGATTCCCACTCACTCGGCACGATGACATCCTTGTCGTGTCGCATGAGGTCTTCGAGGATCGTCGTCGGCGCAGTTTCGACATCCGCATCCCTCCAGTAGACCCAGCTGTGAGTCGGGCGCAGGGTGGCACTCAGTAGCCAATTCCTCGCCTGGGCCATCAACTTTCGACGCCCCGCTTGAGCGGCAAAGCCGTGTCTGCTCTCCACATCCTGCGTCACCTTCTGCCCAAAGTCCTTGCGAATCACGGAAATCTCGCCAAAGGACATGGAGCGATCGGGGTCGGTTTGCAGTTCATCCAGCATACGAGTCAGCATCCCCGATGTGTCATCCTTCGAATCCGACACGAGAAACGCCAAGTCGATCAGGTGGTGGGGGTATGTGAGATTTCGCAGATGCGAAAAGAACATGGGGAGATGGGACGCGGCATCCCGGAGCGGCGTACACATGAGCACCCGCTCCTCCCGTTCCCAGCCACTTTCCGATCCCTGAACCTGGGCAAGATCATAGTATCGTACGGTCTGGATCTGCAGATCGTTGGCGGCAAAGAGACCCAAGGACACACTGGGGAGGAGCGCGGACCGCCATGAAGGGAAGATGAAGACGAAAAGGAATAGCGAGATGGCGGCGATGAGGCCTAATCGGAAGATGAGTTGTCGGCGACGTCGGAGAGCGGGTTGTGAACGGGGTTGAAAGCTGTCGCGAAGAGGACCAGTGAGCATTTCGTTCACGCTCGCTGGCCGGCGCAGAGACTCAACCTGAGCGACATGCAACATGGAATGGGACTTACTGGTGAGGAGTGATGGAAAAGGTACTTTGGTGACCGCGAGGATAGGCGGCGTGGCCATTCGCGAAGGCGTGATGCCTATTCATGTCTTCGAGGACAGCCGCATAAAGAAGCTAACAAGTCGACCCCCGAAGACCCAGGAACCTCACAAACCACCTGTGGTTCTGGTCCGGGCGATTGGAAATAAAGGTGGACTTCTTGGATCCCTCTAGTGCGAGATGCAGCCACTTGGTGGCGTGCGCGGCCAACCGGTCTGCAGGGTAGAACAAGGGTGTTGAAAGAATGACAATGGGATCACGGATCACAGATCTCACAGGGAGAAAGATATTAATAAGGGAATCAAAGAAGAAGGTGAAACTCAAATGAGAAAAGAAAATAAGGAAAGAAAGAAGAAACGAAAGGGTTGGTAAGGGAAAAGATAGAAGAAGTGAGAGGAGAAGAGAAGATGAAACTTGAAACAGTCAGGCCTGAGGTGTTCCCCAAGTGAGTGTGAGTTACTAGTAACGGCCACCTTACTTTACCTGCTACGGGGTCTTTCTTTGGTGGAAACAATTGGTCCGGCGGTCTTCCTGTCTGTCTGGCCCCTCCAAACTCCACCTCGAACCTAGTAAGGTCCTCCAAATCCGGTAGTCCAGAGGGGAAAGATCGGCCTGTCTTTTCTGTTTGCGGATATGCGACGTTGCTTGTTGCTCGGTTAGATTGATGAAATTAATCTTGAATGTTCCATGTATTCATCCTTATCGGTGGTGGTTCATTTCAATCCACCCGAGTGCCTGCCGATCTTTTATCTAGGGCACACCTATTGAGAATCCTGTAAAGTAACAAAGAGATATAAGATAAATAAAACCCACGCTCCCAAAATGCCAACCATCGCAATGCCAGTGTACCAAAAGAAAAGAAGTATTTATTCCAAAAGAAAAGAAATATTAATAAATAAAGAAGAAAAAATCAGCGACCACTCAACCGTGAAATGCGCGATTCAGGCGACCCCATCCCCTTCACCCCAATCTCGACCTGTCGCATCACCTTTTTAAGCAACATATCCATCCGAGGCGGGTCGCGCAACATAGGAATGACGGATCCGGCCTCGTATTCGCTGTCCAGGATATAATACCGCTCTCTGCCCCATTTCTCCACCGTGTCTCTCTGGAATGCGACTTTCACGATCGCCTTGGCGGGAACACGGGCCTTGTTGATGGCACTCTTCGAGAAGATCCGAAGGAGGGGCCCGAGTCCAGACCGAGCTTGATGTGCCATTCGGACCGAGAGGGGCGTTGTGGTGGCTAGATGGCTCTCCCCTGCCATTGCGCCCGGATCGAGCGTGCAGATGTTTAGTGAGATGTTGCCGTTCTGTGGAGTACCTCGTCAGTGGGAGTGGCCTTTTGGCAGATTCGGAAGCGGGGTAAGGGTTCAACTGACCAACACTAGACTCCGGCGCAAGGTATACATGGCAGCGCTCATCAAGAGCTTGCTACTCCCGAACCGTATACTACTCTCCTTCGCACTGAGGGGCGTCCCGGGGCGCCCGTTAATACCGGTAGCATCGGTCTTGTCGAAGTAGTCCAAAGAGCCCCTAGACATAGCGGAGCAGCCAACATTGATCACCCTAGCCCCGCCATTGGGCGTCCCATCGCCAGCACGGAACGCCTCAAGTAGACTGACCGTCAACAAGAACGGGGCGATGCAGTTCGTCTGGTACACAGGGTCGTGGCCGTCCCGTGTCACCCCATCGTCCACATACGACGACGTGGCAGCGGAATTGATCAGCAGAATTACCGGAGGGATCTCTTTATTCTGCACCCGCTCCACCGTGTTCTGCGAAAAGCTGACGACCGAGTTGAAACTGGCCAGGTCGGCCCGGGCCACTTCTATCGACCGGGGCCCGATAAGGCGGATCCTCTCCGTCACGTTGCGGACGCTGTCGGATCTGATATCGCGCGCCACCAGAAGAATATGGACGAAGGGCTGCGCTTTGGCGATAGCCACTGCTATTTCGGATCCCAGGAGCCCGTTTCCGCCGGTGATGATTGCCGTCCCGATGAGGTGAGTGGCCATGGGGAGCTTCTGGTAGGTTGTGAGGTATGTGGAAATTTGTCGGGGTTAACGGTAGGGCTCGCGGAGAATTTGGACACGCATTCAAGGACACTCGGTTGTCTGGCACGTTGTTATGTGGAGAACAATAAACAATGACGCTGCCAAACAAAAAGATCGAAGGGAGTCGGGCATATCTCAACAATAGCCCAACAAGCGCAAAAAAAACAAAGAAAGATCCAGGACAAAAACTCACTCCCAGCAGATCATTCCACGCCCCCCTCCTCCCTTTTATCAAGCGCAGCTCAGCTCTGGCGCTCGGGGCTGAGTCGTAAACGTCGTAGAACAGAACACAAGTCCAAAACAACAAGATGAAAGGAGAAAAATGAGAAATTCGGAAGTTTAAAAAGGAAGAAAGAAAAAAGGCTGGCCATCAGACTAGAGGCGTCATAAGCGGCTGGGGTCCGAGGCGATCTGTATTTTGATGCGCCAGACCGGTCTAGAGAGAGGGAGGCCAACCGAAGTGAAACCAAGTGGCGGGGATCTCATCGGACGTGGTCCACTTGGCATAAGAAAATAATAGGCCAGGGCGAGTACATTATTGACGCCGAAGGAGAGAGGGAGTGAGCAAGAGGATTGCCTAAGAGTGACAAGTGTTTAAGGAGCCTGATTTAAACGAGGATTCCTAGCATTCCTATTTGATCATTGGATGGTATTGTATATTCGAGGGAGATTTGAACGAGACTATAAATGAACACTATTCTAAGGCGTACCAAGCCAAATTAATTCAAATTACGGTGATGATGATAACGACGATAATTATAGACTGAAAAGTTATAAGCTGTCAGCTATTCAAAACACGACAGAATCGTATATGCTCCAACCCAGAGGTAAGACATGTCCCAGCATGGACCGTAGACGTGGGAGGACAGATCCATGCACGACGGAGGGAAATGGAATCAGAGGTTGCAATGTCAGATCGCTTAAGACCGCGATGTAGCCTCAGTGTTAGAGACAGCTAGCCAAAGGTTAAGGATTACCCTCAACTACCAACCCTGTTCAAGTGGGAACCCATTGTCGCCAGAATTTGAGAGGCAATAAGTACCTAACTTAGGTACTTAGTGTGGATGAACTATAGAACTGATTCAGACACGTTGGCATACAAAAGCCATAATCTTAACTATCAGCTTCTAGACAAGCGACAGTATGACACCCAATATTATTTATTATTAATCACCTAAAATTTAGTGTTAAAATCTGATGACCTGTCCGGTCTATACTTAGACACGGGGAAAATGATCAGTGGCGTCCTGGCGGCGATACTTTCAAATCGCGCCAGCCGAATGCATTTTGACCTGCAGCCACTGTCTCTCGGCATAGTTTCTTCGTAATTTCACCCTCTCTTTATCACACTGTGTGTGTCTGTGTGTGTGGCTATTTAAGTTGGAATTTTACGTTTAAAAGCTAACACTCTTGGTAGCCTATGGCAGCTCATTGATCGAGTAGGCAGTTTAGGGCTACCACTACCTTAACTGTTATCATCCCAATGCCATCTGTCGGATATCAGCCATATCAAGCCCGACCAGATGCCGACTCGGGGTTTTGGTGGGGTGTCTGAGAATATCTATGTACACATCTTCATGAAGGCTCTGATGTCAATGTAAACATTCCATCTGTATTTAGAATTCTTCTCTAATCTACTTGAAAGGTATTCTCAATCGTCTAATCACTAGCATCTCTACTAAGTGACCAGCTACTGTTCCCACTTAGGAAGTATTTCTCTAAAACCCAATCCATATCATCCACCTGCAAGTTTGAGATATACTACGTCTGCTATGAGTGATATGACAAACTAGATGGGTACCGGCTACAAGGATAGTAGGATTGGCATGCAACTGGTAGATTTTATAGTTATGTTGCTCTAATCGACATCTAGTCACGTAGTCACTATCGAGGCAATACTATATGATCAAAGCCTCAATATCAAACCCCTGCAAGTCAAACACCGAAAACTCCTTGTTATCCCAAGTCGCTGTCCAATGCATCGCGCTCGAAACTATGCTAAATAAAAAACGAATGCAAGTAACCAACCACTAAGCCGTATCCTCCGGCAGCACATCGTCCGGATTCTCCCCAACCAACTGTCCAACCGAGCGCACAACCTTCCTAATAGCCTGCGAAGCCGGGCTGTCCGGGAAATTGTCCACGAAACTCTCCCCATAGTCACAGGCCATCCCGACTCGCGGGTCAAGCGGCACCGCCCCCAGGAAAGGAATCCCCATTTTCTTCGCCAACCGCTTTCCTCCTCCCGTCGTGGCCCGGAAGATCTTCGACTCGGTCGAACAATTCTGACAGACGAAGCCCGACATGTTCTCCACCAATCCCAAGACGCGAATCCCAGCCTTGCGGCAGAAATCAATCTCCTTCCTCACATCCAGCAGGGAAACTTCCTGGGGCGTCGTGACGAGCACGGCGCCGTCAACACCAGATTCCTTCAACAGCGAATTAACCGACAGATGTTCATCCGAGGTGCCCGGCGGCGTATCAACAATCAGGTAATCGAGCTCTCCCCAATCCACATCCTTCAAAAACTGCTTAATGAGCCCGTTCTTCTTCGGCCCGCGCCAGATAATCGCATCGTCCCGGTTCGGCAGCATGAACTGGATGCTCATCGCGCCCAGGTTATCCGTCACCCACACGGGACTCCAGCCCGCATTGCTCACGTGGATCGTCTCCGCCTCGACGCCCATCAGCTTCGGTATCGACGGCCCGCAGATATCGGTGTCCATCACTCCGACGGTCGAATCGGGGTTGGAGGCGAACGCGTGCGCGAGAAGGGACGAGAACGTCGATTTACCGACTCCGCCTTTCCCGGAGAGCACGAGGATCTTGTGCCGGATTTGCGAAAGGCGCTCGGTGATGATCGGGATGTCGGGGTCGGGGCCTTTGGGCGCGGTCGCACAGATGTTCTGGTTGGGACAGCCGGCGCAGGCGTCGCCTTTGCCGGCTTGCTCGGATTCGGGTCCGGGGCAGTGTTCTGCTTGTTATCAGCGAATGCATAGAAACAACTCCCGTTCACGGTAGTGTACATACCTGGCTCCGGTGCGACCAGGTTCGACGCCGCGTCCAGGCCTGGCGTTGGCTCCTCCAACGAAGGTGCCATTGTGAAGTTTCAGCTCACCAACTGGCTGGGATACTAGACGGGGTATAAATCGTTTATTGAAATCTTTGTTAGGCAACGGATATAGCCTCTGAGCCAAAGGGAATAAAATCCGATAATATAAGAGATATCACCCTCTGAACGTAGTCGACAAAGTGGCGGAAGGCAGAAAAGTCCCAGGGTGCTTGATAATCAGCACCGGAGTCTTATCGGGATGACAAACCCCCCAGTGGCGATTGGTGCCTGAGCGATAAGATCGATAATACACATAGTGCATACTGTGTGCTTCTTGCTCCTTCGTAGAAGTTTACTATTCCATTTCCGCCCATTGTCTAACTGATTTACTAAGGTACTACCTGAAATGATCTCCATGTCTTAGATCTAAGTCTGATGGCGTGGTCTATATGATCCTTTCTCGTCCGCGACAAGCACTACCAAGCCGCTCTCTTGTCCTCTTTTGTATCAGGTTAATGGACGCGAGCGGGGTAAATACTAAATCAACATGTTGCTACTTGCTAGCCGCGCCAAAATGATGTGCATCGAGGAGGATCGTCTTGTGTTACTTAACTTGGGGGATATAGGCGGCTTGTGCACGAGTAAGGTCCATTGCTCAGGTATTTCCCTCATGCATCGTTGATGATCTACTGTGGTCTCTTCGAAGGTGAGGGGTAATGCAGCCTGGGCAAGGCAGCCCCCTTGGACCCTTTCCCAGGGCCAGTACATATTAGTGAGGGGCTACGCGATATGGTTGTCACGATGCGTTACCATTACTAACATCGACCAGCCCATTATGGTTGTCAGAACTTTAATATGGTTGATTTGACGGCCGGGGAATATGATTGCACAATACAGGGACAGGTACGGAGGTAATATTATACCTCCGGTTACTGTTTCTCAACGCAGCAATGATATCATCTTCTACCCACTTCAACCAACTTCTACAGCCCCATAGCTGGTTATATTGAGGCCACTTAAGTGGGTGACATCTACGCCGTAAGGGACCATGCAACTCCGTACGATACTACTGCGAAGAGCTTCGCCAATACAAGGCCCGTGGGTATAGATTACCTCTATAGACAGTACACTGCCATTTAGCATCCATCCGCTTGCCTCCGAGGCTGCAGGACACAGACTCACGCGGAACAGTATCATGATGATCAATTTCCCTTTCAGAGAACCGCAAGGGCCAGTGCTGCACCCGTAATCCGACGCAGGACGGGCTCTGATTGTACGGGATCGCTCAATGACATTCTAGTCATGGATATCTTGTTGCATCCAGATGAGTCTGTGGTCAGCAGTGAGGCACCGGCTGTATGCAGGCTGGATCTTAGCGTGGTAAATAATCTGATTCAATGCGTCTGGGTTGTCCAGTGACCTTCGGGCTCTCGTCCTAAAAGGGATCCGCATTTACCGCTAGGATATCGTGGGTTCGATGCGACTGATGGCTACTCCAACGTTCCCCGCGCGAAACTGCAGTCTGGTCTTGTTGAATGGGCTTGACCGGGGTTTTGATTTTCGGATAGGACGGGTAGAGGGGAAGTCTGTCGTCCGTCCACTATACGGATACTCAGGACACAGATGGTTGCTCCATAGTTGTAAAGTGGCTGGTTGCAAGCACGTGTGACTGCAGATTCTATCCGAGTTGCATTATGATCTCCCACGGGTTTAGTGGCAGCAATAGTGACATGTTTGTTGTTATATGGCCAGGGACCACAGGAACGTGAGTGGAGATGTATTGATACGGATTTGGCATACTGCATACTATACCTAAGGAAAGAAGAAGGAAAAGTGTCCACATATTATTCATACCAACCCTATCTTTGCAACCTAGAATCCACAAAATGGAGAGAATGAATCCTCGAGGATAAACAGATACACGTAGTGGTGTTGATTCTCTCGGCTTCGGACTCATTCTGCTTGGCTGGATCCAGTTCCATCGTCATGATTGGCGTCTTCCCCAACTCTCAACCGACTTCAACAGGTTTAGCTGGTTCCTCCGTTCCTTTCCCAGACTAAGTCTCTAGAAGGATGGACGGGTTCCACTCCTCCGAGCTCTCTCTGTCTCTCTCTCTGTCTCTTTCCCTCTGTCTTTCTTCCTCTGTGGACCAGAATCGGACACCAAAGCTTGTCTGGACAAATAAATACCGTCGACTTCCCTGACTTCTTCCGGTTATTGATCTTTTCTTGTTCCTTTGGTACCTCCTTATCTCCCTACCCTCCTACACCTCCCTCATTCCAACGGTCTTCCACCGACTTTACCCCATTCTTTCCACTCAATACCGAGCTTAACTCAATGCGGATTGGTGTCTCAATCTCGTACTAATAGCACGGTGTCATACCTGGGTTCTATCTTACGCCATTACTACCGTATCCTCTCCTCTCCCCCGCTACTCCCAAAATTCCCCCAAAGAAACCCAGCTCCAGTTCTAGTCTCGTCACATGCTTTCCCAACCCTGGTCTGGCTTGGTTTTCCTTAATTAATTGTTCTTCCTCGTTTTCTCTTTTCTTTTCTTCCTTGTTCCTTTCGTCTTCTTCTCTTTTAATTTTTTGTTTCTTTTCTTTTCTTTTTTACTGGTGACTTTTTTTTGTTGTCGTTGTATGATGGATCGTGGCCTCTCAACAGGCACTGCAAATGAGAGCGATGGGCTCCGCGCGAGGGCTGCTCCCCCTCAATCCAATGCCGCCAATTCTGGAGCTCTAGCCACCGCTGGTGAGCTGGACTCCAAGGATAAGGTTGGTGCGGATTTGAAGACTTTTGGCCGGACCCCCGATGGAACAAGTAGGTGGTTGATCTCTCTCTGCGTACATTCGTGGACTCGTCCATTGCGCCAGCGGCGTTCCCGGGGGTCTTCATCCTCCCATGGGAACCCCCTTCTGCTCGCATTCGTGGTCGGCTAGGTTGCTAACTGGTGGGCTCAAACAGTCTTTACGGTCCCCCAGACGCATGACATGGTCTCTCAACTCCTGTCGCCCTCGGAGCCCAAGAATTTGTCCGATGTGGCGGTGTTGGTGATCCTAGGATTCCACATCCTTCTCCTGTGGCAGCTCCCCGCGGGCGCCAAAGTCCCCGTCTTTGCCGTGGTCTACCTCTTTTGGCGGGCTTGCTACAATGCGGGGATTGGATGGCTCCTTCATAACCAGTCCCATCACAATACCCTGATCCGCTGGGCGGAGAAGACCAAGATCTTTGTGAACCCGGCCACCGGCCAAAACCCGCACCCCACCCTGTACAACTTGGTCAAGCGGGAGCTGGAGACCAAGATCCGCGCCGACTACTCGTTCGATAGTGCCCCAATTGAGTACAACACGTGGCTGGTCTTTAGACGTCTCGTGGATCTGATCCTGATGTGCGATTTTACATCATACTGTCTCTTTGCGATAGCATGTAGCCACCACCCCGTCAACGAGAGCGCCATCATGACCGTCCTCCGCTGGGCCTCGGGTATCGTCCTGGTGCTCTTCAACCTCTGGGTCAAGCTGGACGCTCACCGCGTCGTCAAGGATTTCGCGTGGTACTGGGGCGACTTCTTCTATCTCATCGATCAGGAGTTGACCTTCGACGGCGTCTTTGAGATGGCGCCCCACCCCATGTATTCGGTCGGCTACGCCGGGTACTACGGTATCTCGCTCATGGCCGCCAGCTACAAGGTGCTCTTCATCTCCATCCTCGCCCATGCAGCACAATTCGCCTTCCTGGTCCTCGTGGAGAACCCCCACATCGACAAGGTCTACAACCCCCCGCCGCCCCGGAAGCGCGCGGCCGACCAGGACGCCGCCACGGCCGCATCCCAGACGGCAGACTCTCCCATTGCGCCAACCCCGACTGCACCGACCGACGAGCAAGTGCCCCATGCGCCACCATCCCATAGCACCCCACCGCAGTCGGTCCACAGTCTGCTCGGCCTTCATAATCTGGATCTGTATCGGACGACCGACCTATCCTCCATGCTCGTACAGTTCCTCGTATTCGCTGTGACCATTCTCACGCCCTCCACCCCGTGGTACCAGTTCCTCTTCGTGGTGAACGCGACCATCTGGCGACTGGTGTTCTCCGTGGGTATTGGATACCTGCTGGACCGCCAGTCGAACGCCAAGGCCTGGACCCGGCACTTTGTCAAGTACGGCGAAAGCCCCCAGGAGGCGTGGAACCAGTGGAAGGGCACCTACCACCTGAGTATGATCATGTGCTATGCCAGCTTTATCGCGGCCGTATGGAAACTGTACACCGTCCCCGCCGACTGGGCCTATGGGCTCGTCATGCTCAGACACGTTCTGGGCGTGGGGCTCATCTGCCTGCAGATCTGGACCTCCGTTAGCATCTACGAGTCCCTCGGCGAGTTCGGCTGGTTCTACGGCGACTTCTTCTATGATGAGTCGCCCAAGCTGACCTACAACGGCATCTACCGGTTTCTGAACAACCCCGAGCGGGTCCTGGGTCTGGCCGGCGTCTGGGGAGCGGTTCTGATCACGAACAGTGGCGCTATCACGTTCCTGGCCCTCCTGAGTCACATCTTAAGCCTGGCTTTCATCCAATTCATTGAGCGCCCGCACATGCACAAGCTGTATGGGCAGAGCCTGCGGCGGGATGCGGGTCTGGTGAAGAGCCTGAAGCGGTCGTTGCCCCCCTCGCTCCGTCAACTGCACGGCAGCGTCGACAAGATCTTTGACGAGTCGTTTGACTTTATCGAGGATATCATCGACACGGCCCGTCCCAAGCTCGCCGCCGGTGTCAATACCTTTGTCAAGGATACCACCGCGCTGTTCCAGAAGTACCCCGCTCGTGTGACCATCTCCCGGATCGACGCCGACATGGCCGGCTACGATTCGCGCAAGTATTCCCTGGAGGTTGAAGGAACCGACTCGTCGTCTTCCGATGTCCATGACCCAAGCAGCGGCCGAGAGGGCGCCAACGCCCAAATGCCGCTCGACCGCCGAGGCGACCTGAAGACCCTGGTTTTCGAGTACGGATCCCCGCTCAAGGTCAAGTGGGAAGCGCCCCTCAACCACAGCAAACGCGACTGGATCGGCCTCTACAAGGTCATCGACAACACCTCGCGAGAAGTCACCCGCGTCTCCTCCCAGGGCCGCTGGGTCGCCGTGAACGCCGGATCCTACGACAACCTGACCTGCGAGAAGGGCATCATCTCCAGCGACGTCGTCCGCAAGACGGATAACAACGGCGAAGAAGCCACCGGCGAAGTCCTCTTCTCCGGCGACAAGCTCTTCTGGACCCAGGGCGTCTTCGAACTCCGGTACCACCACAACGGAAAGCACAACGTCATGGCCATCTCGAGACCCTTCGAGATCCGCATCCGCCGCTTCGACGAGGAAGAGCTGCAGAGCCAGGACGACGTCACTCAGGCCGCTGTCGAGAAGAGCTTGCTCCCTGTTATGCGCAACTGCTTTGACCGCGATCCGGAGATTGCGCCCGAGACTGTCGATGAGCAGTTTGGTTCGTTGGTCGAGCGGGATGGGAAGTTCGCGAAGCGTGTTGTGTTTGCCGTGCATCAGATGTATGACCCCTCTCCTCACATAATCTGTGCGACCTTGTCCCCTCCATATTGTACTAACGAATGGTGTGTAGGTTCGGTATCGAGTTCGCGCCCGAGGTTGTACGATCTGACGGGACGGTTCGGAATCTTGCCTGGCGGATCTGCAATGCGAAGAGAGTTTTGGTGAGTCTTTATTCCTGTGGAATGGATGGGGAGTCAAGAGAAAGGAAACTAACGAGTAATTCCAATAATAAAGGCCCCCTACAGCATGACAAGAGATGGCGCATCAACTCCCACAGAAGAGAAATAAACAAATGACTCTTCCAACCTCAGGGACACCTTCTCACACCCTCTTCCCCCTTTCTGCCTATCTCACCACCACCACTACCACTACTACACCCCCGACGTGCCCAATCAAACGAAATGATGTGTGATGTGACGATTAGCTTTTGTGTGCTTCTTCTTCTTACCTCATGTTGAAATGAAATGAACTGGCATGTCTGTTGCTTGTCTGCTTGTCCTGGAGGAAATGACCTCTTCCAAGGTGCAGACGGCACTTCTTATATAGCCTGCGGGCCACTCGAGGCTGGCTCTTTACCTTTTTTCTCTGTCTCCCTTCTTTTTTTTTATGGTTCGCTGGTTTGACTTGGTTGTTTGACGGGACTGAAGTTGGGAAGAAGTGACAGCCCGAGATGACACGAAACAAACCAGAATAAGAAAAGAAAAGGGGGACCTTGGAAGAGGAAGACGGAAAGAAGCCCGAGAAAGAAAAAAAATATGAAAAATTACAAAAAAAAAATCACTTTTGATTAGATGGACTCGTTAGAAAGACTTGTTGGTCTTTGTTGATGTGGAATTCTACTGTGACTTGTTTTCTTTCTGGCTTCGTGGTATATAGTTGATTGAATACAATTATTTTTCTTCATAACTTTACCTTCATCACTGTACCTATATCGTTACTTATATTGAGAAGGAGACGGATCGTTTATTGACCAGTAATTGAGCATTGATTGCTAACAGACTATATAATTTCTAATTTACGAAACAGTGACCTAGGAAACTTCAGACAGTTAGCAAAGACCAACACGAATCTGAGTGGTAGTGCAGAAAACAGCAAGCCAACGAAGCAACACCGTCCAAAACGAAACGGGTTCCAACGAGGGAATCAGTCAAGCCGGTTAATTCATCCCTTCCCCTGCCAGTCTCCACACCCCAACAAGCCATCCAAAACGAACGACTTGCCAGAGCATGGAATCTGACACAAGTCAGGCACAGCGCAGGACCAACAATGCGGAAGCGAAGACACAACGACTTGGTCCGCTCTCCAGCGACTCCACAACCATCCTCCCATCCACTTCCGTCTTGAGTAAACAAGATTAAGCGGCGGTCCGGTGAGGGAGGAGGGATCACGGGTCATTATGCTTCATTTGCTTCGCCTTGTTGGCCTGTGAGGGCCCGAGGGGCGGTTCTCCGAGGAGATCATTGAATGGATTGACTAGTTGTCATCATAATAAATGTGCCGCGGAGGGAAGATGCCATAGGAGTCTGGTTTTGCATACCTGTGCTACGGGGGTTTGGTATGTATAGATTCGACTTGTTGAGGGACCTGTGTCTTTTGAAACTGTTAGAAACGGCTTCAAACATAGCATGGCAGTTGTATAATGCAGGATAATTGAAAATGATCAGGAGTTTTTGGTAAGGTATTTTGTTATCTTCAATATTTTTGCAGAAGCAGAACTGAAAATTGTTTCTCATCATAAAAGTATGTGATTATTCCCACGGGGTACATGGGAAGATAAAAGAGAGCAAGGTGAAGCTTACCAGTTCAGTTCAACGACAGTCAATGCCAGAGCAATTGTGATTTTCCTATACTTCATATCATGTTAGCACAATGATACGATCCCAAATTGGTATAAACAATATTTTTGAGAGGGATTATTGTCAGATGGTGATGCATGTGTGTTCATGGCCCATTTATTTGTCGCCAGAAACAAAACTTTTGGAAAGTATTCATCATAATAATGAATGGGGGAAGTGATAATTGAGGGGAATAAAAACTCACAGTTAGTTAACAGCATGAATGTTACTGAAAAAGTGTAGCAAAATCATCCACGCTGGAGCTCTCATCATTTCAAGAGCCCATCGTGAGGATTGTGGGAGTGAAGAGGAGAAGAGAAGAAGAAGAAGCGAGGAAAAACTCGGCTTAAAAAGGCCTGAGAAAAATGGACTCCACTCCCGCTGCCAGACAAACAGGACAAACATCCCTCAAAATTGTAGATTTCCGTTTCGAGCCTCCACCGCAGCTCGAGGGGATTCTCAAGCAGCTCCTGCGACAGACACAACAGCTTATTCCTTACTTCTAAGACTTTTCGTGGCGTGTCGCGAAATCTAGATTTGTTCGGGGCTTGTTGATCCAAGCGCGATGGCTGACCGAAAAAGAATCAATGGCCCGCCCAGCGGCACGAAGCCTCCGGTCTTTGCGTCGTCGACCAAGGCCAGTGGAAGACCGCAGCGCCAAAGACAGCCGAACGATCTGCGCAAACTGTGTAAGAGTGTCCTTACCTGGTAAATAACACTAGAGCAATGCTGACCCATCTCTTCCACAGTCCTGAAAACCGGTCTCATTCCTTCTGCTTCCGGGTCCGCCTATCTTGAATTCGAACCATCCGCCTCCCTCTCCGCCGCACGCTCATCACCTCAGTCTCTGATTCCCCCCTCCTCAGCTTTGAAGCTTGCATGCACAGTTCACGGGCCAAAGCCGCTGCCGCGATCTGCCACCTTCTCACCAAACTTGGTCCTAACGACGCACGTCAAATACGCCCCGTTTGCGGCCCGGACGAGGAAAGGACATATTCGCGATTCCAGCGAGCGTGATCTCGGCGTACATTTAGAAACTGCTCTCAGGGGCGTGATTGTCGCCGAACGATGGCCGAAGAGTGGGCTGGATATCACCATCACAATTTTGGAGGCTGAGGACGATCGCTGGTGGGGGGATACGCCTGACTCGCATGACGCTCCTTGGGGGATGATGAATGTACTGGCTGGGTGTATCACGGCTGCATCTGCTGCGATTGCCGATGCCCGGATCGATTGCATTGACCTCGTGACGGGGGGAGTCGCGGCCCTGGTCTCGGATCAGACCGCAGAGGGTGAAGCTTCCAGCCCGAAGTTAATGCTGGATACGGACCCAGCGGAGCACAAGGCTATCCTGTCGGCGTGTGTAGTCGCCTATATGCCCTCGCGGGATGAGATCACAGAGCTATGGCTGAAGGGGGACAGCTCAAGTGTGTCATTGGAGAAAGGCGATAGCCGCTCGGGGCATGACGCCTTGATAGATGGAGCGGTGGATGCAGCTCGGGGTGCACATACGGTCCTGGCAGAAGCTGTGAGAGAGTCCGCAGCGCGGCATTCCGGCTTGCCAGTGGATGCGGCTACTACTTAATGAATTTCAGACAAAGAGACCAATTTTATCAGTCATTCAAGAACATTGTTTCCCTTCTCTCTCCTGTTTTTTTCTGCGAGCACTGCATTGTCGATGGGCTATTGTTGTTCTGTTCCCCCACCCTCACATGTTTCCGTCCGCTGCCACTGCATCTCGGCGACATCGTCATGACGACCCCTCCCGTCGTTGACAACCTGGGTGAATGATTCACAGCTGGTGCAATGGTCACCAGGTAATGAGACATTGTTTGTTATGCGTGGTGAAAACGTTTAGCACTCTCACGCAATCCTTCTTTCTTCTCCCATCCAACCTCTTCCCCTCCTACCACTTCGCAAACCTGTTCCTAGCTCTCCATCTTCACGCTGACTCCACATCCTACATCACATCTATTAAACACCCACTGTCATCACTGAAACCGCCGAAATGTCTGCTAAAACCGACTCGAACCACAAGTTTCTCTACGCGGTAATCAAGCACAGCGTGGGAAGTGTAAGTCTTCATCTACCCATCTATAGCTGCCGTACAGCGGTCAGAGACAAAGGAGCCCTGGGGGTTTACGGAGTGGACGACGTGCAAGCGGAACTAATGAGCCGGTATAAGAATTAAGCTAAATATCAACAGGTTGACTACAAGGCCGTGGCCAAGGCCACCAACATGACTGAAGGTGCCGCTCGTATGCGCATGAGTCGTCTCAAAAAATCCATGGACACCACCGTCGACAAAGATGCCAAGGTCGACCCGAAGGCCGCCAAATCCGAGGATAAGGCGCCGTCCGACTCTGACGCCCCTATTCCCAAGAAGCGTCGCCAGCTGAAGAGAGGGAAGGATGTCTCCAAGACCGAGTCTCCCGCCGACGACTAGGCGAGCGAGAATGTTGAGGCCAACTGGGGGAGACTGTTGAGACTGCTTGAAGAGAAGGATTGAAGTGATGTTACGGAATAGTTGCAAGTCAAACTGGCCGGCTTTGTTGGGGATTTAGGGAAGGATTGATCATGGCTGTTAATGACGATGCGGGGGAATCAGTAGCTAGCTAGCAATTTGCAGCTCAATGTTACTCCGCTACTACTAGGTACGCCTCTCACTGCTGTAACTCCATCGTGAAGGAAAGCATGAAGAATGATCCACGTGACCGCATGTACATGCATGGGCGGCATTAGTCTGTGCCCACCCCATCTCGCATCGCAAGGGATAACCCTGTAGATCGAGGCTCCCAAGAAACCCCTCATCCCCTCGTGGTGAATTATGTACTAGGCATGCAGGTGCTTTCTGAGTTGTACTTGTGAGTCACAATGGAAACTATTCCCGATGTGAGAGGTATGATAGTAGAATGTACTCCATACGCAAAGCTTCCCCATAAATCGTGTGATGAAATGCAAGATGCAAGCAACTACCTTGTCTTTTTTGCCCTCGAGGAAGATTATTCGTTGTTCCCAGTCCGGAAGAGGATGCCGCTGTCTGTTTCTTCTATCGTCAACTGTGTGTGATAGCTGTTCGGCAATGTCTCGAGTCACACTGTGCTAGCCGCTTTGAGAAACCCCGATGCAGTCAGATTATGAATCTACGGTGTACAGATGCCGTCCTGGGGTGGTGGACGCGTACATGGAAAATCTGACTTTGCGTTAAGGGGGGGAGGGGGTATCTGATCTCCTCATGAACTGGTGGACTGTGATAGAGCAGAACCTGGCTTTGACGATCCAGGATGCGGCCCTGAGCATTAGAATCCATTGATAATGGGAACACAACGATCCCCTTTTTCCTTGACACTACTCTGGGGGGGTTGTCAGGACGGTGTAGCTCGCGTCAAGCAAAGTAGATAGATCGCAGGCGGCCTAGCCCGCAATGTCACAGAGCCTGGACCACCAGGGTAATATGTGTAATTCATTTTATTTTTCTTTGTTTTATGCCCCGGGGTCTCAACGACCGCCAACCCGGGCTTGTTAGATCAATAGTGGAAATGTCCAACCCTATTAGCTTGTGCGCCGGCGCAGTTCATAAATAGAATTAAATGAAATTGGCCCAGCCGTCAGTCGGGGTGATCTGAGCCAACCCCGTCCGCCTGTTCATCGACCGGTCCTGTCGATCGGGTCGATAGGGAGGAAACAAGGGGAGACTCTCATGGAGAGATTGCCCATCCCGCCCACTAGAGATCCTCTAGTACTGGTAGTCTTGTAACAAGGACGGGTCACGGGAGGTCAGGGTCGATCCAAATAGAGCGTCTTGGTCGTTGCCTTGTATAAAGAAGTCCGGTAATCATTTGCGGTCCTCCTCCTCGGTGTTCTATTTATGACTATCCAATATCAACCGTTCTCAGGGAAGTCCTGAACTGCTGTCGATTGAGATCTTTCACGACTAGCCATTGACGCGCGATCCCATCTCCCAGATCGTCTAACGCGCAGATCGAGTATGCATGTGCACAGCTGTTAGTGTCAGGGGGAGGCAAAAATGGCTGAAGCCTAAAACGGGGTTGTCGATACTAGCAGGAGACAAGCACGGTAAACTATTGGCCATGGCGGTGTAATTTCCCGGGCAGTACTTTTGACCCTTTAGTTCCCATGCTGACCGCCAAGTCTCTTTGTCTCCTTCCTGCGTCTTTTCGTTGGTTTCCAACTTTCCCTCGAGATCCGTCAATCGAGATTTGACCTATCTGCTATCGGCGCTTCATCTGGATCTTCTTGGAACTCTGGGTGATGATGTTGGATCCTTTCTCCCTTTGGAGTAGGGAACGGCTTACGCATTGCCGAATGGTGATGGTGATGGCATCAGGAGCTACGTAAGTCTCCTCTCGACCACACATGACAGATGACGCAACTTGTGAATGCTATATCCGCATTACTCAAAGGGACATTCAAAGGGACATGAAGACAACCAGGACGGGATTTTAGGGAAAGCCCTACCTGTGCCATCGTTGACGCCTCAAACTTGACACCCAACCAACGGCCACCGAGCTATTTTAGATACAATATCCACAGTCGGATTTGGCCCCCAGGTCCAAGGCTGAATGGATCATCATTAATACCTTTCTTTCATTATTACTCCGTATTATTATCTTGTGCTTAGTGCGCTCAAATTATGGTGGAAGCTCGGCTCGCGAGTGCATCACGCTAAGCAATACGGTTCATTGTCCTCGGACGATCTCTCCCGATATGCCAATAAAAAGGCTCATCTCGCATCCGCTAATTTCATAAGAGTGTGCGGGCTCCATAATGCGCAATCCCCCGGCTCGCGACTGGTAGACCTTTGAATCCCCGAGGGTCCCTAAGCTGTCGACTCGTCCGTGGATTTGGCCCCAAGAGCTCTTCTGACCAGGAGTGGTCCAGCCGGGCCAACACAAGTTCCCTCGGGAGTAACGATCCACCACATCGTGGGGCCACACGTTCAATATAACCGGTATCCATCATCCGTCTCGATATCCACCCGCGACGCCATTGGCGTGGACGTGACCGGATTGAATGGCAGCATCTGCAGATCAAATTTCAATAGTATCGCTGTCAAGTGGAATAACCTGGACATCCTAGAGCACACTATGCATGATAGACGTTAGGGCCGTGCCACTGCACGTTGGACACAACAATGGCCTGTTGTAGCGCGCAACGGGCTTATTCGTCGGCTCATAACGGCCAGAGCAAGGCAGAGAAAGAGGAAGAAAAAACGCATCGGACGAGTTGATGCGGGTCAGGGTTAGGTCACCACAGTCTCATTGGCTTTTGCCTTTGTGATCGGACGTGCTTCTCCGTAAATTCTTCCCTCGGCCGTCCATCGGCTCAGCCCCGTCTTTCTGTCTTTCACACCGTCACGATGGATCTTGGAGACTAGACTATCTTTGCCCCCCTGATCCAGGAACAGGTATCGGATCTGCGAACTGGACACCTGAGATTGCAACTTATTTCCTTACTTCTTTGCCCCTCCGGACCAATCTTGTTTCTCTCCCATTCTTTTTTTCCCTCTTCTCCCCCTCCTTTGTCTCCAATGGGCATATATCGTGAAGGCAAATTTGGGCTCACATGAGCACGTGAGCATCTCAATGCTATCGTCAGTTCATAGGTCACTACTCTCTTTCGACTCTATCCATTCAACCCCCATAAGGTTTTGATCCGCCACCTGTTGGACTCTGACCACCCCCCGCTCCCTATTTACTCCTTACCTTTTCTCGATTCTCAAAGCCTCCCTACCTAGCTTTCTTGTCGGAAGGATACCTCCTGTCAGCAGCCAGAAAGCGCATTACACACAATTCACGGGATTACCTTCTCGCAATTTAGGGACTCAGCATTGCCATGCAGATAGCCTCGCGCCCCTACGGCTAATTGAATATGGTGGCTCTGAAACGGTTCTTCCATGCGGATAAAGGCATATCAATATGTTCTACAGGGGAGCGGGATGTTGGGCCCGAGAGCCCGCTAGCATGCAACCAGTTTCAACCGTTGGCCTACAAGACTCCGCAACCCATGGAAGCAAGAAGTGATTTTCAACAGATTGAAAAACAGTTCGAAGTTCTACATGAACAGTTCCAGACGCGGCCAATGTCCCCAACGAGACTGCCAACAGCCTCTTCTCGCTCATCAACTCGTCCTACGGAACGGACACCCCGTCATGTCGATCTTCTCGATGCCTTGTTCTCTTCCCATCGGTATCAGATGCAGCCTGCCAAGAATATGTCTCCGATCACCCCCTACAACGAAGACATTGCCGAACGAAACATGACCCGTTTCCTTCAAAAGCCGCCCCGCAAAAAGAATCTATACTCGCGGTTATTATCCGTCCTACATCAAGAAGATGCGTCCGACAGGAACCTTACCAAGGGACGGCACCATACCAGTCCATTGTCTCGCAGTAAAAGCTCTCAAACACAGAGCCGTAACCTACAGACTAGCCACTCGAGCCATCTCGTAACAGAGACGAACAGTCGGCGGCGTTCTCGAACAAGGGAAGGCCAAACAACCAACCAAGATACCCAATCCAATCACCCCAACGTCCTTGTCTCGGAAAAAAGAGCAAATGCAAGGGACACAGGCGTCGGGAGACCCCCACTTCGGCCTCAAAAGTCAGCGCCAAATCTATCAGCTCCAGATACTGCTTCTATACAAAATCCTCATCCGAGCTCTGGGGCGGGCTTGCTTGGTGTTCCTGCGCCCTATAAACGGGGCAGCACGTGGAGCATCATGCCTTTCCCGGACAGTCCAACATTGCCTATCGAGGCGAGGCGTGGTGCGAGCATGAAACAAAGCAAACCTACGCGGGAAGCATCATCCAAATCGGATCCCAACCCGGAAGCTCAGGCGAGGTCGCGCAATCGCGCGCCATCATTTTCCACAAGGCCCGGTGTAAAGAAGAACGTTCGGGATCTTTCTATCGATACGGAATTGGCCTCGCAAAAACGGTCCGTTACAAAGATAATGCACCGCTCCATACAGCCGCCGACGCCGAGCTCCTTGGAAGCGAAGCAAAACCCTAGCATTGCAGAGATTATGAACAGCCCTCTGCTAGCAGCAACTCCAACACCAATCTCCGCTTTACCATCTGCTAACCAAAAGGTTGCGGAGATCATGGACATGTTCAAACAAGCGTACACCTCTACCCACGCCATCACGCCACACCCTACCTTCGAAACCCTGCAGGATGCTATCGTCCGGGAGATCAACTCCCACGAAGCCTTTCGTCGTGTGCCTGTTCCAGAACCTGGTCCTCCTTTTACTCCCTCTCCATCTCAGGACTCGTTCAACAGAAGCTTCAGCAGCGGAGGGTCCTCCCAATCGAGTATGGACAGGGCTTATTCGCTAAAAGACAGCCAACTCTCAAAGTTGATCCAAAAGAGTTCCTTCAAGAAACACCGAAGAGGGTCGGAGCTACACCAGAGTATCTCCACAAGCGTCCCCTCGCTTATGTCCGGACGAACCTCTGAGTCTAGCAGTCGACGCAGACACACCGATGCTCCTCCTCCGTCTCCGGGATTCTTCGACACATTAGACCCTAAACGTCAGGGTATTAGCGCCAAGCAGTCCGAAGAGCAAATAACCTACATGGACTTGCTGCACCGAACACAGAAGCCACCTACTGGGACCCGGTCTCGGAAAGCCTCAGGAGCGAGTCGCAACCTTGGACAGGCCCAACAACCCATAGGCTCTATGTCCAACGGCATGTCCGAAACCTTGCATAAAACCCCTTCCGTCTTTTACATGCGCGCGCAAACCTCACCCTCTCTATACGGCAACCGCCCCAGACTCCCAGTCGACGATAGCGATGACGAAGAAGTCATCCAGTTACCCAGTATCGAAAGCCCACAGCTTCAGATCCACGGTGTCGACGAGAACAATGTCATCTTCGTTGCCGAGAACACAACTCCGCGAACTGCATATAAGCTGATGAACTGGCCGCGCAACTCCGGTCGAAGCGTCAGCCTCAAAGGTTCTGCCACTGCAGGTTCGGAGACCAGCTCATCTACGAGATGCATACCTCTCGTTCGGAATGCGCGCTCGGTTGAGACTTACTGATCTACGGATCTACTTTATTTTGCATTCAAGAAGCCCCATTTGGACCTCTCAAAAGACCTCATTTTCATCCTCTTTCTCTCTCTTTGCATACGTGATCAATATGGTTATATTGACCATTACATCGTTGCTTCTATAGTAACCAGTCATCCTCCACAGACCTCCTTTTCCTTGTGTCTATCATCATCATCGACGCTTCCAGCGCAGCCATTCCTTCTTGAAACCTTTCACTCTTCAGAGACATCCACTCACTCACTACCAATCATTTCCATTTCCTTCTTCCATCCTTCCTACCTTCCACTCCTCCTTCGTTCACCGGGGCTTCTTGACCTTTTCCTTTTTCCTTTTTCTATTTTTTTTTTCTCTTTGTTTTTGTTATCATCTACATTGCATGCATGCATACTCTTTCGGTTTTCCTGTTATTAGCCAGCTAGCTTAGCGATTTTCGGTGACTTTTTTTTTCCATGGAATTTAGCTCTCGGGTGGTTTTATTCGTTTAACAAAGTTTTTTTTTTTAAACTTGACGTCTGTCATTCACTCATTCATTCAACTAGGTTAACTCGTATTGTAGGCCTCTTTAGATATAACCTATGTAGGAACTTATACTTGATACACACTATCGTTCAGGTGTTGCATTTCCATGTGACTCTTCTCTCCTCCCTAGGCGAATTCTCGCATCTTGTAGATATAAACAGCACAGCGGGCATATACAATGATGGTAAGAGGGGGGATCATAAGAAGGATTTAATAAGAAGAAAAGAACAGAATAAAATTCATAAGTCTCATAGCAACCATGCTAATGTAGGTAAAGTAAAATAGCTTCTCTCTCTAAATGTGGAATAGGAATAGCTAAGTCGCGTTTAGTAGGAACCTGCAGTTTATCATAATCGTTAGTAGGTGTTTTCTTTACATTCTGCGTACGCCAGTGGTAGTTGATGGAGGGATACTTACGGCCAAACATGCACCATTTCTCTGCCAGACGGTCACACTTGGGGTTGACACACTTGGTCTCGCCCTTCTTGATGCCCTCGGGCTGGTCGAAGGGGATACACAGGGACTTGGCGCCCATGCTGGGGGCCTTGGCGTCCTGGGCCAAACCGGTCTCCTCCTCGGCCTTGCGGGCGCTCATATCCTTGATCTGGTCCTCGCATTCCTCCGTGAGACAGTGGGGGATCATGCAGACGTTCTTGCTGTTCAGGGCGGGGGTGAAGTCCTCCCAGTTGGTGATGATCTTGCGGTGCGCGCTGTACTCGTTGTCGGCGCGCTTGAAGAGGTCACCCTGGATGGTCTCCAGGAGAGCCGGGACCGCGGTCGACAGCTCGGGGATCGGGACGGTCGACTTGCCGTCCTTGCCGGGGATGTCACGACGGGCGGCCGTGACGAAGTGGCCGGCGGATTCGCCGGGGCCGAACTCGATGCGCAGGGGCACACCGCGGAGCTCCCACTCGTTGAACTTCCAGCCCGGGGAGTAGCCCTCGCGCAAGTCGCTGACGGCGCGGACGCCCGCGGCGTCGAGGACCGCGACCAGGCCGTCGATCTCGGCGTACAGCTTCTGGCGCTCCTCGTCGGTCGTCTTGGCGGTGATGCCGACAGGGACGATGACGGTCTGGGTCTCGGCGACGCGGGGAGGGAGCACCAGACCACGGTTGTCACTGTGGATCATGACCATGACACCCAGGGTACGGGTCGAGAGACCCCAGGAGTTCTGCCAGACGTGGATAGGGGGCTTCTTCTCGTCACCCTTGGCGGAGGGATCCTCGACGGTGATGTTAAACATCTTGCTGAAGTTCTGACCGAGACCGTGAGAGGTACCACCCTGGATACCGCGGCCAGTGGAGGGGATGTAGCCCTCCACGGTGGTGGTGTAGGCACCACCGGCAAACTTCTCCTTCTCCGTCTTCTGGCCCTTGACCACGGGGACGGCCAGGAGCTCCTCGTAGATGCGGGCGTACAGGTCCAGGATCTGAATGACCTCCTCATGGGCAGCGTCCTGGGTCAAATGAGCAGTGTGGCCCTCCTGCCACAGGAACTCACGGGTTCTCAGGAACGGCTGGGGGTTCTTGAACTCCCACCGCACGACGGAGTTCCACTGGTTGAGCTTGAGGGGAAGGTCACGGTGACTTCTGATCCACTTGGAGTAGTATGGGTACATGACGGTTTCCGAAGTCGGACGGATGGCAATCTTCTTCTCCAGGGGGGTAGAGCCACTGTTCACAATAACCACGTTAGTACGCCATACGAATACACCATGAAGGTATATCCAGAATATGGTATCGGAGCCTTACGCGTGAGTCACCCAGGCAACTTCGGCGGCGAAGCCCTCAATGTGGTCCTTCTCTCTCTGCAGCACATCTTCCGACACAAACAGAGGGAACGAGCAGTTCTTGACACCCATCTTCTTGATGTGCGTGTTGAACCATTGCTGAATCTCCTCCCAGATCGAGAACGAGGCAGGCTAAAACTCGTAGCGTCAGTAAATGTCGATAAAAACAGAGACCCGCATCAAAGGCCACAAATCCACTGGTGCCATTTACCTTGAGAATGAAGCACCCGGAGACATCATAGTAATCCAGCATGTCACCCTTGGTCAGAACTTGCTGGTACCAGCCGGGGAAGTCCTCCTCCTTGGTCACATCAATGCCGATCAGAGCGGCACCGTCAGCCTTCTTCTTGGAGGCCTTTGCGGCAGGCTTGTTGTTCTCCTGCTTTCCCGACCCCTTGTTCGCGGCCTTACCGGCCTTGTCGGAAGCCATCTTCGCGGCTTTGGCGGCTTTCTTCGCAGCGTTCTTGGAGACCTCTCCCGCGGGGGCGTTATCAGCGGGGTTCTGAGTGCGATCAGGCAGGGTTTGGGCGTCAGAGGCCATAGAGGCGTCGGCGGTCTGGCTTGCCATTTTGACGGAGGGTCGAGTAGCAGAGAAGAAAACGAAAGCGCGAGGTCAAGGGAGAGGAAGGTGACAAGCAAACGGAGTGGAAAAGAAGAGAAGCCCCTCGTGCGGCAAAAGTGGGATGGAATCGAATTTCCCGATGGGGAAGCGCGAGAGAGGCTCACCGCCCGGCGGCGGCAGAACGGTTAGCGCCAAAACATAATTATGCTCAACTCTCTAATCGGCCAAGAACCGCCAGACTGACTGACGGACAAGAGACGAACGACCTCACGATCTTCCCTCCTCCTCTTCTTCACCTCACCAATTCATTCCTCCTCATCCCCCCCTCTCCGTCTGTTTTTTTTTAGATTATGTCAGGCATCTTCGAGGCTCCGCGCAATGCGGACACTCTCTGTGTGTTCTCCCCCCACTTACCCCCTCCTGAATGTCTCCCCCGCTGACTGAAATAATCCACGCACAGTCTTGGGTGGGCAGAAAATCACCGGCACCGATGTCCGCGAACAGAATGGTAGGTTCATGTTATGCATTCTTCGCATGCTCATACGAATGCAGTTCGCTAATATCTCTCCTTTGTCACAGTCCTGGCAACTCAGGCGATCTCAAATGTCGTGAAGAGCTCTTTCGGTCCTTCCGGCCTGGATAAGATGATGGTGGATGATATCGGTGTACGCTCTCCGTTTCGACCCCCCGCTCTTTAATCGAGCTCCCTCCTGACGAAGCTATCTGTAGGATGTCACGGTGACCAATGACGGCGCTACTATCCTCAGTCTTCTGGACATTGAGCACCCCGCTGGCAAGATCCTGGTGGATTTGGCCCAACAACAGGATAAGGAGGTGGGTCTATATCCTCAAACCACCCGGTTTCCGGCTCCGTGCTGATTCCCCTGATTAGGTCGGTGATGGCACTACGTCCGTGGTCCTGATTGCCGCCGAACTCCTCCGACGAGCGAACGAACTGATGAAGAACCGTATCCACCCGACGACCATCATCAATGGCTACAGACTGGCCCTGAGAGAGGCCGTGAAGTATATGAACGAGAACATCACCACCAAGGTCGAGACGCTGGGGAAGGATAGTCTGGTCAACATCGCCAAGACCTCCATGTCCAGTAAGATCATCGGTTCGGATGCGGACTTCTTCGCAAACATGGTTGTCGATGCGATGCTGTTGGTGAAATCGGCAAACCAGAGGGGCGAGATCAAGTATCCCGTGAAGGCCGTCAACCTGCTCAAGGCCCACGGAAAGAGCAGTACCGAATCCCTCCTCGTCAACGGTTACGCCCTCAACTGCACCGTTGCCTCCCAGGCGATGAAGACCCGGGTAACCGATGCTAAGATTGCCTGCTTGGACATGAACCTGCAAAAGGAGCGCATGAAGCTCGGCGTTCAGATCACCGTCGAGGACCCTGACCAGCTGGAGAAGATCCGTGAGCGGGAGTCCGGTATCGTCCTGGAGCGGGTTGAGATGATCCTCAAGTCGGGAGCGAATGTCGTATTCACCACCAAGGGTATCGACGACATGGTGCTGAAGACTTTCATTGAGAAGGGGGCCATGGCTGTTCGCCGCTGCAAGAAGGAGGACTTGAGACGCATTGCCAAGGCTACCGGAGCCACCCTGGTCAGCTCGCTCTCCGATCTCAACGGAGACGAGAAGTTCGAGGCCTCGTACTTGGGACATGCGGAGGAAGTTGTTCAAGAGCGGGTATCGGACGATGAGTGTATCCTCGTGAAGGGCACCAAGGTCCACACCGCGGCGTCCATTGTCCTCCGAGGACCCAACGATTTCAGCTTAGACGAGATGGAGCGTTCAGTCCACGATTCGCTGTGTGCCGTCAAGCGAACCTTGGAGAGTGGCAGCATCGTCCCCGGTGGCGGTGCCGTCGAGACGGCCCTTCACATCTATCTCGAAGAATTCGCCGTCACAGTGGTATGTCTTGCCCATATTCCCCTAATCTGGTTGACGGATGTTCTTTACTAACTTCAACAACAGGGCTCCCGCGAGCAACTTGCCATCGGCGAATTCGCCCAGTCTCTCCTCGTGGTCCCCAAGACCTTGGCCGTGAACGCCGCCAAGGACTCCTCCGAGCTGGTCGCCCAGCTCCGTGTCCGCCACGCCCTCTCCCAGCGGGTGCAGGACGGCGACGCCAACGAAGAAGAGAAGGCCATCGCCAAGAAGAAGACCTACCGCAACTACGGCCTTGATCTATCGAAGGGCCGCGTCCACGACACCCTCAAGGCAGGCGTGCTGGAACCCAGCATGGGCAAGATCAAGCAGCTCAAGAGTGCCGTCGAGGCCTGCATCTCCATCATGCGTATCGACACGATCATCAAGCTGGACCCGGAGCAGAGGCAGGATGACGGACACGGTCACTAAAGGTAGAGCAGCAGCGGGGTGAGGCTCTTCTTTTTTGTGTTGTGTTTCTTTTCAGCTATAACGACTGGTTTGGGCCTTCATGGAATTATTAGATTCGATTTGAAAGATAAAGAGAAAAGTTTAATAAGGTGTTAATGAGTCTCCAAATCTTTTACTGCCAAAGCAAAAAAAAATACTAATGTGCACCGCACCGTACATTTGTTAGAAAGTACTCAGTTAATAGCTTTGAACATGGTTTTCCCAACGATGTTTGCTCAATTACTCAGGTCTTTATATAGTCCTACTGGTGATCTGAATTGAACCTGTCCTCGATGATCTTAGGAAAAACCAACATTCGCCGAAGACACTGTGGGCAGGTCCCCTATTACCCCCCAACCTCACCCGTAGTCTCTTCTCAATCCACTCTCACAGCTGCTACAAAGCATCTAACAAGCTCACCAGCTCTGGTAACACCCCCCTACTCAGCATCCTAGATATTACACTTCCATCTCAACCAGCAGTGCGAGTAGAGCCGACTACAACAAAGACTATAGGATGAAAATATCAAAATGAAACATGCCACCCCGGCACCGATTATTTCTCGCGCTATGCAACCTATGTATATGATATGGTATGCCTGGTAGGTATCAAAGTCAAGCAGTTAAAAAGTAGAAAAAAACCGCAGCCCTAACGGGCCCATAATGAAAAACGCCCGCTAATTCAAAAAGTAATATCCGTGCCGTGGCGCCCACAATGCCTTCCATGCAAGAAAAAAAATAAACAGTAATAAGAATCGATCAGACAAGCATCGATGTGAGGAAGAAGTCTCCTAGCGACTTATTCCTCGTCATCATCGTATGAGTCTTTGGTATCGGCCCACCCGCACTTCCATCTCCGTCCGTCTGCTTCTCCGCCTGTGCGTAGGTCTCGCGCCTCGGGCCCCTCGCGCCAGCATCGGGCGCTGTAGTCGTCGCTGACGGTGACTAGTTCGCCGTCGGCGGTCCACGATACGGCTGAGACTTCTTTTTTGTGGCCTTCGACTAAGGGAGTCCCGGATTGGTAGATTGGGACGGTGTCTTCCAGCCGTCCGGACAAGCCAACGCCTGAGTTTGTACGGCGGAGGCCAGAGCGGGTGGAGGGAAACGGCATTTGGGGAAGCGGGTCCTCTCCGTCCGTGGTGGGCGGCTTCTGGGGTGACGAATGGTGGAACCTCTCATCGGTGGGGAATAGTACGGGGCAGTGGTCACTGCTTCCGACAGCAAGCATCTCGGGCTTGTCTCCAGAGGCTTTGCGGACCGCGGTCTTTACATAGAATGATGCGACCTGCAGTCGTGGGTGGCGGAACCCGTATAAGGGGCCAAGGCCTTCTTTGTCAGAGCCTCCTGAGCGCCGGGGTCGGCTGTTGTTCAATGAAAGCTCTGGGGCATGTCCGAGGATGAGGTGTGACGTGGAGTAAGCGTAGACGGTTCCGTCTCGACATAACGTGTAGAGCCGTGAGCCATCCCCACCGAGTGTCATTGAGGTAAGTCCAAATCGTCGATACTTGATGTGGCTGTCCGGCTCCCGCGTAGTAGAAAGCGGGAGGACGGGACGGCCACGACGGTTGTGATGTGCCGATCTGAGATCCCATAATCTGACACAGGCATTGGCTTCCGACGCCGTGACAAAAAGGTTCTCGCGGCCGGGGTGCAGGAAAGCCAAGGAGGTCACGGTAATGTCTGAGCGGCCAATCTGAGGCTCTGCTTTATCCGACACGGATGCCTGCGGCATCCACGCATGCGCCCCATGAATGGTGTTCAAGACCTGGGGGTAGGTCATTTTTGATGTAGATGGGGCAGCCGGGTAATCAGCCTCCGATTCGAGGGAACATCGAACCTGCAAAGACGGTCTTTCAAACCCTTTGCAACGGAGATCCCAAATGTTAACATTGCCATCACGGCTACAGGTCGCGAGAACCTTGTTGTTGGCGGCTGGCTGGAACTGCACTCGCTTTACCGAAGACGTATGATTCGATAAGCAATAAATCGGGGTTTGAGTGGCCATGTCAATGACCAGAGCTGTCTGGTCTCCCGAAGCCGTTGCCAAAAGCATATCATCAGATGAGAACTCCAGATCCATTATCGCATTCATATGGGGCCGGAAAGAGAGATAGGCTTTGGAGAATCCGGTTTTGTCGTCCTTGGCGGAGTCCACAAGTCGAATCCCTCCTTCTTCATCGCCTATCGCGACAAGACTATTGGCTGGCTTTAAGTCAGCACAATACGTTTCCACTATCAATTAGACCAGTTTGACTCACTATTGCAGGACGCAGTGCAAAACGGCAGGGCAAGGCGGTCCCCCGTGGAACTGGCACAGGCATAGCTATCGGACGGTTGGGAGTAGAAATTTGAAGTTAAATCCTGCCAGCCTAAACAACGTTTCGAATGGTTAGACAAGAAAGAGAGCAAGCACAACACGTGGTAACAAACCGGCTCCGGAATTGGATCGTAGAGTCACTCGGTTCGCCTGGGATCCGTGCACACTTCTCATGTACAGTCCGCCCGAGGTCTGCAATGCCTTGGAACGACGGACCAGTTGGACGGGCCGTTGCGGTTTTGCGACAGCGAGCGACTTCGGTTCAACGGCGTGGGTGTCAGCGGGGACATCGAAGTCCTTAATGGCGACTTCCACCTCTTCATCATCCTGCACCGGAGTCCTCGCACGGACTTTCCTCAGCGGTGAGGATTGAAGAGAACCAATGGACGAGAATGAGAATTTCCTCTTCCTCGTCGGTGTCCGCAGAAGTTCTGCCGGGTCAGGCCGAGATCCAACGGCCTTCAGTGTCTTCGTGAAAGCCGGACCCAAGCGGTTGACGGCCGGTGAACTCAGTGCCTTCAAGGCCTGACGGCTCGTCCTCACATTCCCAGAATTGTTTCCGCCATTGAGCATCGAACGAGGCGTAAAAAATCTTCTAAACGAGCGAGGCGTCACCGGGGGAGGTTTCTTCGGTTTGCGGCGGATTCCAGCATCGGATGCTATAGACGGAGGGGAGGAAGGGATCTCTTGGAAGGACGTTGGGGGGAAGACCGGCTCCGATCGAGGTACTTGGGGAAGGTCAAGACTGCCATCCATTGTGCCGCAAAGACCAATGGAAACACAAAGTCATTCTACCAAAACACGGGGAAGAGAGAGAAGGAAAGGGAAGGGAAGAGGAGAGAGAGAGAGAGAGATGGGGCTAGAGAGAAGGCCGGTGGAGCCAGTAGGGCCGCAGGGCGAAGAAATGCAGGTTCGAAATCTCCTGGTCGCGCGACGTGCACTTTTCGTGACGCGGATGGGCTTGAATAGGCAGGCGGTGAGCCATATTAATTAAGCTCCATGAGTTGGCTCAATCAGGAAGGCGGTCAGAGTGGAGAGCGGAGTTTTCCCATTCTGCTCATCAAATTTTATTTTTTTAGTCTAAGGGCCCGCCGAAATTTTTGTCCGGACGGAATCTCAAGCTCTGAAAAAAGCAGCTCCACGAGTCTGCGCTTGAGCCTCATTCACTTTGCCATTTCCACAATGGCTCCTATCAAGCGCAAGGGCAATGTGGCTGAGGAGGCGACTGCTCGTCAGCCCCAGAAACGTGTGCGTGTCGGAGAGGAAGACCGCCAAAACGAAAAGAAATCAAAATCAGATGCCTCTGCGGAGAAGTCGACTGCCGCTCCCAAAGCCTCTGAGCTCACAGTGCTGCGCGATGATGAGCCCTCTTTCCCTCGTGGTGGAGGGAGCGTGTTGACGCCGCTGGAGCGGAAACAGATCCAGATTCAAGCAACAAAGGATGTACTATTCGAACAAAAAGGCCCGAAGGGCTCTTCCGCCAATGTGGAAGCAGATGACGACGAGGATGAAGAGATGGACGACGCCGATGATACCACTGCGAAGAAATCTCGGAAGCGGAAAACGAAGGGCCAGAAGCGCGCGGAGAAGGATCACCAGGAGGAGCAAACGGTGCGGATCGAAGGTCTCAACTTCAAGGTATGTCTGCGCCGCGGCATTTATACCCCCCACATCCAAGTCCACTTACTTATGAAATCAGCGGCTTGTTCCGGGATCCATGGTACTAGGTCAGGTTGCAAGCATCAATGCTCACGATATCGGTCTTTCCTTGCCCAATAACCTCACGGGCTACGTCCCTTTGACCGCCGTCTCGCGAAAGCTCGAGGAGAAGGTTGAGGCACTCTTGAAAGAGGAGGACAGCGACGAGGAGGATGAGGACGATGACGAAGATTCCTTGGACCTACACAAGTACTTCTATCTCGGCCAGTACTTGCGTGCATACGTCGTCTCGGTTGGGAATAAGGACGCCTCTAGCTCCAAGGGCAAGAAGCGCATCGAGCTTACGGTGGACCCAAGGAAAGCTAACCACGGCCTTCTCAAGTCGGATCTGGTCACAAATTCAGCTGTCCAGGCGTCCGTTGTGAGTGTCGAAGATCACGGCCTGGTCATGGACCTGGGCATTGAAGGCGCCGACATCAAGGGCTTCGTTTCCTCCAAGGAAATCGATCCTAAGACCGACTATTCCAGCATCAAAGAAGGCGCCGTATTCCTGTGCATGATCACTGGACAGAACACCAGTGGCAGTGTGGTCAAGCTGTCCGCCAACCTTCAGTCCTCCGGTTCTATCAAGAAGTCGCACTATCTCGAGTCAGCCCCGACTATCAACTCTTTCATCCCGGGTACCGCCGCTGAAATTCTCCTGACGGAGGTCACCCCGAACGGATTGATCGGAAAGATCATGGGCATGCTGGATACCACAGTCGACCTTGTGCAATCTGGCGGTAATTCCAAAAAGGACGATCTCACCACGAAGTTCAAGATTGGCGCCAAGATCAAGGGTCGTCTCGTCTGCACCTTTCCCTCTTCCGAGCCCTACAAGGTGGGCTTTTCCATCCTCGACCACGTCCTCAAATTTTCCTCGGAACGTTCGGGCCCTGGCTCTTCCGACGATGCACCAGCCATCTCCGCAGTGGTGCCAGAGGCCAATATCATCAAGGTCGACCCGGGCCTGGGCGTCTACGTCCAGATTGGATCGACAAAGCATATTGGATTTGTCCATGTGTCCAGATTAGCCGATGGGAACGTTGAAAACATCTCGCCTGACCATGGACCTTTCCAACTTGATACTACCCATGAGGCGAGGGTCGTCGGCTACAGCACGCTTGATAACCTGTATCTGCTTTCGTTTGAGAGGAAGATCATCGATCAGCCTTTCCTCCGTATCGAGGATGTGACCGTCGGCGCTGTGGTCAAAGGAACGGTTGAGAAGCTCCTGATCGGTTCTACTGGTGTTGATGGTCTCATTGTCTCATTGGCGGACGGTATCACCGGTCTCGTTCCGTCGATGCACTTTGCGGATGCACCTCTCCAATTCCCTGAGAAGAAATTCCGCGAGGGCATGACTGTTTCCGTCAGAATCTTGTCGGTCAATCTCGAGAAGCGTCAAATCCGGCTGACCCTGAAGAAGAGTCTGCTGAACAGTGAATCTGCTATCTGGAAGAACTACGACGACATTGTGCCTGGGTCGTTGTCCCCTGGTACCATCGTCAACCTCCAGCCTCACGGTGCCGTGGTGCAGTTCTACGGTTCCGTTCGGGGCTTCCTTCCTGTGTCGGAGATGAGTGAGGCCTTCATCAAGGATCCTTCGCAACACTTCAGACTCGGCCAGGTGGTTAGTGTCCATGCTCTGAGTGTGGACCCAGTCGTTGGAAAGTTGGCAGTGTCTTGCAAGGATCCTTCCACCTTCACCGAAAGCTACAAGAAAGCTTTCGAACAGATCCATCCTAAACTGCTCGTCACGGGCACGGTCTTTGAGAAGTCAAGCGATGACTTGCTTCTCAAGCTGGACGACTTTGGACTTGTCGGTCGGTTGAATCTCGAGCATGTCGCCGACGGTTCTCTCAACAAACAGGTCTCGACTCTCTCCAAGATTCGGGTTGGCCAAAAGCTCAATGATCTCCTTGTCCTCGATATCCAGCGCTCTCGTCGGCTCATCAAGGTCTCGGCGAGGGCTAGTCTGAAGAAGGCTGCCAAGCAGGGCCACCTACCAGAGGCGTTCGAGGATTTCCAGGAGGGCGCTCAGGTCACCGGTTTCGTCCGTAACATCACTCCTGATGGCGTGTTTGTTGAGTTCCTGGGCGGCGTCATCGGCTTGGTTCCCAAGCGATTGGTCGGTGCTGAGAATACCAACAAGCCAGGATTCGGCCTTGAAAAATCTCAGACTGTCATGGCTACGGTCCATTCGATCGATCTCGACTTCCGGAGATTCATCCTAAGCATGGACCCTGCCGAGCCGACCCGCGCTGGCATCCAGAAGAAAGCCCCCAAATCTTCTACTAAAGCCAAGGATACCCCGACCGATGAGACTGTTGCCAATGCTGTTGATGAGAGCATCAGCACCATGTCCGAACTCGCCTTCGGGAGGGTTGTCAAATGCAAGGTTGTTTCCGTCAAGGCCACCCAGGTCAACGTCCAACTCGCAGATAATGTCCAGGGCCGCATCGACATGTCCGAGGTTTTCGACAAGCTGGAGGACATCAAGGACCGGAAGCAGCCCTTGCGATTCTTCCGACCCAAGGATGTCATTTCGGCGCGTATTCTGGGAATTCACGACGCTCGCAACCACAAGTTCCTGCCCATCAGTCACCGTACGGGGAAGTTCCCCGTTTTCGAGCTTTCCATCAAGCCAAGCTTCCTGAAGGCCGCCAATCCTAAAATGCTCAACCTGGAGGAGGTACCTGTGGGCTCGTCCCAGCTGGGTTTCATCAATAACATCGCCGATGACTGCTTCTGGGTCAATCTGTCGCCGAACGTTCGGGGCAGGCTGCGCTTCATGGATGCATCCGACGACTTGTCGCTGTTGACTAACATCGAAAAGCATTTCCCTATTGGATCTGCTTTGAAGGTCAACGTCATCTCCGTTGACACTGCTCATGGTCGACTTGATTTCTCGGCCAAGCATCGCTCGGATAAACTTACGTTTGCCGATATCGCTCCGGGCATGGTGCTGGCTGGCAGAGTTACGAAAGTCACTGAGCGTCAACTCATCATGCAACTTTCCGAGTCGATTGTCGGTGCAGTCGATCTCATCGACCTGGCGGACGACTACAGCAAGGCCAACCCGACGATCTATCAGAAGAATGAGGTTCTGCGTGCGTGCGTCATCAGCGTTGATAAGTCCAACAAGAAGATCTCTCTTTCCCTTCGGCCATCTAAGGTTCTGAGCTCGTCGCTTTCCGTGCAAGATAAAGAAATCACATCGATCAAGCAGCTCAAGGTAAACGACGTCGTTCGCGGATTCGTGCGGAGAGTTGCCGATAACGGTCTCTTCGTTACCGTGGGCCACGGCGTTACCGCTTACGTTCGTGTCTCTGACCTTTCGGACTCCTACCTCAAGGAATGGAAGGACTCTTTCCAGGCTGATCAGCTGGTGAAGGGCCGCGTCACTGTTGCCAACGCCGAGCAAGGAAAACTGCAGATGAGCCTTAAGGAGTCCGTCTTGGATCCCAACTACAAGGCTCCTGTTACTCTCCATGACCTCAAGCCTGGTCAGATCGTCACCGGCAAGGTCCGCAAGGTGGAAGAGTTCGGTGCGTTCATTGTCGTCGACCGCTCTGCGAACATCAGCGGTCTTTGCCATCGTACCGAGATGGCTGAAAACCGTGTTGATGATGCCCGGACCGTGTACGAGGAGGGCGATGCCGTTAAGGCCAAGATTCTCAAGATCGATCGTGCTCAAGGAAAGATCTCTTTCGGACTCAAGGCTGCTTACTTCGAGGATGAGGACAGCGATGCCAGTGAGTCTGAGGGCTCGGGTGGTGTCGACATCGATGACAGTGAGGTTGATGACGATGATGAAGATGACGATGATGAGGAGGAGGATAGCGACATCGCTATGGGAGGAATCGAGCTCGAAAGCGAGAGCGAGAGCGGCGACGAAGCGAGCGACGATGAAGAGATGGCCACTGCTCCCCGAACCCGCGAAGGCGGGCTCGGTGACAGCGGATTCGACTGGAACGGGGACATCAACGGCAACGACGATGAAGCCGCCCGGTCCGATTCCGATGACGAGGAGTCGCGCAAGAAGCGCAAGAAGCACCGCAAGCCCGAAATCCAAGTCGACCGTACCGGTGAGTTGGACGCCAATGGGCCGCAGTCCGTCGCGGACTACGAGCGACTCTTGCTTGGAGAGCCTGACTCTTCCCTCCTCTGGCTTCAGTACATGGCCTTCCAGCTGGAGCTGGGTGAGGTCGAAAAGGCCAGGGAGATTGCAGAGCGTGCGCTCCGCACCATTGCCATCGGGCAGGATGTCGAGAAGCTGAATATCTGGGTGGCGTTGCTCAACCTGGAGAACACGTACGGCAATGACGACTCCTTGGAGGAGATCTTCAAGCGCGCCTGTCAATACAACGACACCCAGGAGGTCTACGAGCGGATGCTCAGTATCTACATTCAATCTGGGAAGAACAAGGTATGTTGCTACCATGGGGGTTACATTGTGTCACGTCTTGCTAACAACTTCTGTCAACAGAACGCGAACGATCTCTTCTACGCCGCCATGAAGAAGAAGATCTTCAACTCGACCAAGTTCTTCATCAACTACGCCACCTTCCTGTTCGACAACATGGCGGCGCCCGACCGTGCCCGTGCTCTCCTGCCCCGCGCTCTCCAGTCCATGCCCAAGCACACCCACGTGGAACTGACCTCCAAGTTCGGCCAGCTGGAGTTCCGCTCGGAGCACGGAGACGTCGAACGCGGCCGCACCGTGTTCGAAGGACTCCTCTCGTCCTTCCCCAAGCGCCTCGATCTCTGGAACGTCCTTCTCGACCTGGAAATCAAGGCCGGCGACGCGGAGCAAGTGCGCCGCCTGTTCGAGCGCGTCCTTGGTATCCGGGACGTCAAGAAGGGCGGTGCCTCCGTGGGAGAGGCCAAGAAAGTCCGGCCCAAGCAGGCGAAGGCCCTCTTCAAGAAGTGGCTCGCTTTCGAGGAGAAGAGTGGCACTGAGAAGACGGTTGAGGCTACCAAGGCCAAGGCTGCGGACTACGTCAAGTCCCTGCAGCAGGAGGAGTAGACTTGGGTCGCTAGAATTGTTGGGTTTTTATAGCAAGTTATTTTTGGGATATCGGTAGAGTTACTGTACATAAAAAGCCATGGCAGGTTGCATATAATTTCTTTGTACCGTACACTTGTATACTACTTGGCTAGATGTATGCACAATATGGCTTGTTGTTGTTTGTTTGAAGCAAAAATTAACGTAGAATCTGTCGTATATAACAGGGTATCTGAAAAATCACTGCCTTTTCGCGGCCATCAGACGCCTATACTCCTCGACGATATTCTTTCTCTCGCCCGCGAGTTCCTCTCGTCGTCTCAAACTACCAGCGGCAACCGGAACATTAGCCACGTCCACCCTCGCACCATCCCGGACCTTGAATTTCGCAGTAGGCTTCGTAAGATGCGGCGGCGCCTCCGCAACATCAAACAAGTTCGCCGGCTTGTTGCTGCGCTCCTTCTTATTCAACTTCGCCCACGGATCAGCATCACCCTTAGTCGCAGCACCCTCACCACCCGCCTTCTTCCTCGCCGGACCGCCCTTCTTCTTCGCCTTGCGCGCCCCACCCTCCGCCTCCCACTGCTTCCACAGCTCCAACTGCTCCTCCATCTCCTCCTCGCGCTCCTCCCTCTGCGCCTCCTCCTTCTCCTTGATGGTAACATCATCCTTCCGCCACTGTTCCTGCAAGCGCCGCAAGTGCTTCTCATGCTTCGTCAACCGGTGATCGCGAACCTTCGGCAAATCCGACGACGCCGGTTTATTCGACTTGCTCATCATAGACAGCGGCAACTCGCGATCCACCCGCGCCGCAAAATCAGACAGCCTCTCCCCGGGCAAAATCTTAGGAGTCGCCCGAGGCTTGACGTCGGCCGCCGCAGGCTCAGGCTCAGGCTGCGCTTTCGTCTCCGCCGCTGCCGCTGCCGCCGGCTTTCCCGTCTTCTTCTTCCGTGAGGCCGCATTGTCGGATTTATCGGCACCGTCCCGCTTGCGCTTCTTGCTCTTCTCCCCTGCTTCGGCTGCGGCTGCAGCGGCGGCGGCAGCAGCAGCCAGCTTCCCGCGCGGCTGGCGCTGCATCAGGCGGAGAAAAGCCTTGGGGGTATCATCTTCGGTGGCGCCTCTGCGACGGGCTTGGAGTTTATCCTGGAGATCCTTCTTCTTTGCGTTTGCGTCTTTGGGGTTCTGGTTCTGGTTCTGGTTCTGGTTCTGGTTCTGGTTCTGGCCCTTCTTTCCGCCTTTGCCGTACTGCTTGGGTTTGGAGTTGGGGTCGCGGACGGGGAGGGCCTTTGCGATCATCGACGGGGGGAGGTCGTAGATGCTGGTTTCATCCGGGTATGTTAGCATTGCGGTTTCAGTCTCGTTTCTAGGTTCGCTAACTTACTTCGCGTCATTTCCGCGCCTTTTGTGTTTGTGAGGCATGGTGGGTGTGGTTTGGGGTGGATGGTGGTTTGGGATGTTGATGGGTGGTGAGGCGGACGGAGAACTTTTTTTTTCTTGGGGTGGCTTGTCGGTCGATATCTAATCGGGACTGATAAGGTCGGTCCGCTTGCCGCTTGCCATGTCGATGTTTAGGAGCATGCAATGTATGATAATATTGTAATAGTAATGGAATTCATTGTATATATACATATAACTAAATTTAGGCCCTGACATAGGTCAAAAGAGAAAAAAATTGATGATTATCAAACCGATTGCGAGATTTTGGGCGGAGAACATGGATATATGCACGTGTAGATATATATTCACCTTGCCTATCATACATTTTCCCCATACTTAAGACTCTGCTCTACATAGGAATCTACAAGCCATTCGTAATATTCGCAGCAAAAACCCCGCTCGCCATTGGCCTGCCTTTGAATCCAACTAGCAGTCCACTCACAACCGGCAATTGGAATCTAGAATCATATAAGGCAGATCAAGAACATAGAGCAAAGATATCAAGCTTCAATCAATCAACTGCTCTGGTGGTGTAGCGGTAACATCGTTCTCTTCCATTCAAGGCTAAGAACAGCTCCGGGTTCGACTCCCGGCCAGTGCAATACGAATTTCTTTTTTGCTTTTCGATTTTTTGTTTAGCCGTTGTTCTCTACTCCATATCAAGGACACAGAATATATTTTACTGAGTGGACTGAGTCGTGTTCTTCTTCTTTTCCTCTTTTCTTTGTTATCGGTGGTGGACATAGCAAAGAAACAGAACAACAGCCCATTATTAACCACACGATGTGCATAAATCCAGTATACAGTACTGCAAACGGTCGGCGGTAACCAGAATTACATACAATACTCCGATACCATACAATCTCGCCCTGAACCGGGGTTTTGCCAGTCCTTCGTGCATCCTCTGAAATACCCCGCTCCGGCGCCAAGACAGGTGGAGAGCGCGGTTGTTTCTTGACTCGCTCGCAGCAAGCCTTTATTTATGGTATACCGGGCTGTGGCCGGCCTATGTGGGGGTTCCTTTCATTTGTTTCTTCTGGAACGGAATAGGGGTTGCGTGTCGGTGTGTTCAGAAATTGTGCGGTGTGGAAGTGGTACGTAGTTGGGGATCGAATGGTGGCGATGCTAGGCAATAGCATTAAGTAAGGTCTCTAGTTATGGATGGGTAGGCAACTACAGGGAGTTGATGGAAGATGTGTATATCGTGAATGATACGTCATGATCGCCAGAGGATATGTCCATTGTGAGAGATCTGGTGCAAGGGCTGGACTTGGAGCATACAAGGAGTTATTAGTTATACTGTAAATTGAATAGACTTTCATACCTGAATGCTTGATGACCGAGAAAATGCTAGATCAGGAATGAATACTCCAAAAGACACCACATAAAGAGTAAAAAGGCAACATCATAATTGAATGAGGCCCATGGAGCGGTAATGACAAGACATCTACTTCGTATATTCCCAACATATAGCCAACTATACATCCTAACCATGGTGCTCATCTTGTTCCGCATGCTGAGCCAAGGATTCATGTACTACACTGGGAAGACTGGGACATCTTCATTCATCAACCCATCCATTCGTGTCACCTCGATATCCAGGCCAAATGAAGGCAAACGAAACATCCCCAGCACCTCAAAGGTAACCGATTCCGCATCAACCCATTGCCAAGACCCCCGGTAATCGAATCATGACCAAGACGTGATACGATGGCGCCCCACACCCCGCAATCCAGCCCAGCTCCCATCCCATGCGCACTCTTGGCACGCGATGATCTCCATTCCTTGTTGCGCAAGAGTCAGGATAAACTTCCCTCTGACGGATGCGAGTCTGGCCTCGCCATAGACAACTCCATCCCCGTCGGAGAAATTGCCCCATCCCGATGGAGCTCCCTGTGGCGTCGATTCGGGACCGCTTCCCGCTTCCCGTCCTCCGCCAATACAGAGGCCGATGATGCGCTGCCGCTGCTTACCTCGCCTGGTCAGCCACCGATCTCGCCCCACAAGCTCAGGAAGGACTGGGCAAATACCAGGCTCTTCTCTCGTTGTTGTTTGTACCCTCTGTTGGGTTTCTTGGTCATGCTGTGAGTCCCGTCGGATTTACGACTACCGGAGCGGGGGCGGTCGTGAGAAAACCGCTAATCCAATGACAGCGGCGTCGTCCAGTTTGTTGCCATAGCCTGCGGAATAGCTATCTCCTTCTTCCCCGATGATGTCGACCGCGCAGCGGACCGCTGGCGTCACTCATACAAAGGCTCGAGCGAGGACGCGTCGCATTGGCCGACGGACATATCTAAAGATATCCATCCGGTCGGGTGCCACTCGCACAATGACTACTGGCGTCCTGTTCCGCTCTTCTCTGCGCTCCAAGCGGGCTGTGTTGGTGTTGAGGCCGACGTCTGGCTCTTCGGTGACGATCTCTATGTCGGCCATTCCACCTCCGCCCTCACCCCGCAGCGCACCCTGAAGAGCCTGTACCTCGACCCGCTGGTCAGGATCCTGGACCGGCAAAACCCTATCACAACGTTTCATTCCGCTTTGGATCAGCCTTCACACGGCGTCTTCGACACGGACCCGTCACAAAGCCTGATCCTCCTCGTCGACTTCAAGACCGATGGCCCACAAACCTGGCATCAGGTCGCCGCGCAGCTCTCCCCACTGCGCGAGCGAGGCTACCTAACCCACTACAACGGCACAGACCTAGTCAACAGACCAGTCACCGTCGTCGGAACAGGCAACACGCCCTTCAACATGGTAGTAGCGAACACCACCTACCGCGATATATTCTTCGACGCCCCGCTGGAAGTCCTAACCACAGACAGCGACAACGAGCACCAAGAAGCTGCCATCACAAACCCACCCGCCAAGAACGCCGGCCAAGGGCTCTCCGGCATGTCCGGCGCAGCCATCACCCCCAACAGCTTCAACTGGACCAACAGCTACTACGCATCAGTCTCGTTCAAGAAGTCGATCGGGCAGCCGTGGCTGTTCCGTCTCAGAGAGCGACAGCTCGTTAAGATGCGGGCCCAAATCCAGGCTGCGCACGACCGGGGTCTCAAGGTGCGGTATTGGGCGCTGGCGAGCTGGCCACGCAGTTTGCGCAACTATCTCTGGAGCGTGCTGACTCGTGAGGGCGTCGATGTTTTAAATGTGGATGATCTTCGGAGTGCCGCTGGGGGCGATTGGAGCCTTAAGGTGTCTGGCTGGTGGGGCTGATCGGTGACTACCGGTTGAATATGATTCTTCATTTGAGTAGTTAGTTAGCTAGCAAGCTTTGCATACTACAGTAGGCGGCTTACGATCGTCCAAACGCACAGCCCAAGTGACGATCATCGTAACTGAGGTCTGACGCCTGAGTCATGTTTATACTTTTTTTTATATATACTATACTATATTCTTCAACTCTTTCCTCTTTTCTTCCCCATAAACCTAAGTGTAGTACACATGTCTCACGACGACAGATCTGACAGATCGGCCGGGTCTTTCTGAACTGCGTCATCTCGCATAGCGTGACGATGGGGCGCCCGGCTACAGAATGTTGCATAGACCGCTTGCATATCCGTTCATGCCCAAAGGTACTTACTACCTATCCACTCGCGCTGATAGTGGTATGTTTCTTAGGGGTTCATTTGTCGAGTAAGTTGGGAGTGGATAAGGCAATCATGGATTAATCTTGCGCTATCTTACGTCAATGACTGGACAATCTTTTGAAAGTGATACGTTTAATATGAAGACTTAGATTTGATCAAGAAAATATCGAACCGATTCTGATTTATCCGTGGGTATCATATCTGTCTGATGGGCGGGCTCTATACCGCCATTGGATGGATGATAGCAAAGTTCGTGTACAAAACGCTCAATAGCATAATTCTCTCAAGGCAGAAAGAAAGAGAGAGGGGAAAAAAAAAGCAAAAGTTACGCGTCCCGAATCATAAGCAGAACAGCGCCTCCTCTCCAAACTCATTCGTCACCGTGCCCTCCTCGCGGAACATGTCACTCAGCCAATTCTTAGCGGTTTCAAAGTCCGGCGCGCCGAACTTGAGGAGGACGAACCCGGCGCGCACACGCGACGCAGTGAACGTGACCTTGGCGTCGTAGTGCGAGGTAGTCTCTTCCACGGCAGGAGCAGAGGAGGACCAATTCCGCGCGCCGATGCGCGGCAGGGATGTGTAGCGGTCCATGATGAAGGAAGCGAGGTGTTCGAAGATGGGACCGTAGAGGATGAGGGTGCCGACGACGCCGTGGGGGCGGGTGCGTTCGCGGATGAGGTTCGTGCGGTGGAGGGTCTCGTCCGCGTTCTCGAGACAGCCTTCGTCGAGCTCGCTGTCGAGGATGAGCGAGTCGCGGAGGAGGAGCAGCTTCTTGGCGCCGGTCTCGTCCGCGGACCAGATCTCGTTCTTGCCGCGCCAGAGGTGGAAGTCCCAGTTTTCGCCGCGCGAGGCGCGCCCCTGGGTTACCCAGTCGAGGACGCAGAGGCTGCTGCGGTGGGTGTCTTTTTGGATGGTGCCGTCTATGGTGAAGATCTGGGTTTGCTCGTATCGGCTGTCTTTGTAGGGGACGGATGGGTCTGGGAGGTAGCAGAGGGCGGCTTCGCGGCCGATGCGCACGTCGACGTTTTGGCGGCTTTTGTCGGAGAGGGCGTGCGCGGGGGACGGGCCGCGGTGGCCTTTTATGCTGGCGTTTGGTTCGGTTTTGTAGATCTTGGTGCTGCCTTGGGGGGTTGTGACGACGAGTCGAGTTTGGGGCTCGAGTGTGATTGTGACGGCGATGTGGTCGCCTGGGAGGAGGCCGCCGCCATAGGTGAGGAGGTAGAGGTGTACTGGGCGGGAGGTCGGACAGGAGAGGGCGGAGGACTGGGGTACGTAGCCCGGAGTGCGGGCGAGGAGTTTGAGAGGATATTTGTAGGTCAGGGTGGTTAGAGTCGGGTTAGAGGGAGGTAGGAGGGTGAGGACGACGTTGCCCTGGCCGGGTTTAGCGACGCAGCCTTCGAAAGGGGATTTTATCGGCATGGTGGTGGTGGTAGTAGTTTGGCGGGGAGATAGCTTCAGTCGGGATGAGCATATCAGAAAGAAAGGAAAGGGGCCCCAGGCAGGACGGTTTATTTATAAAACAAGTGTACCATAGATCAACGAGCCAGAGCAGGGTATGTCAGGATGGACCATGGCAGAAGGTGTGTTGGGTATGCATAGTTCATGCTGGGGAGTGGCTTGTGGAGCGCATGATTGATAGATGGATACTTCGTCATCCGCATGGCTCTTTTTTTGGCCGTTACACGTATTGCTGATCCAGGCACTGAAAGCGGGGGTCTTCCGGTCTTAGCTAGGCATCAGAAGCAACCCGTCTTGGCTGGGTCTTGTAGTCTTGGGTTTCTGGTATAATTGGTGGACATGAAGCTTTGCGATGGAGCACATCGTGATATCCATTACGGCATCGTTTTCTTTTCTCTCCGGGGGACCCAGGGTTAGGGTTCGTGCATGTCAGATGCTGCCCTTTGTAGATGCGCCGGGGTTCTGCTGTGACGGTATCTTACGATATCTTACGATATCTTACGATATCTTACGATATCTTACGGTACGGCTGTTGTTTCCGTCCCCACCGGTATAGATAGCAATGCATTAATCTTATGTAATGTTGAGCATTGACTCTAGCCTGAGGCAGCAGGGTGGAGGCCAGGCCTTCAGGCACCCAGGCATCCAGGCGCGTGTGGGAGCCAACTTAGGTAACGGAAAGCATCTCCCCGTGTTCCCAATAATCAATCATCATCATCTCCCCTCACCTACCGCCATCCCTCTCGCTCGACTCTGCGCCTTTCCGTCCCCTACGTCCACCGAGGCGACTGTTTCCTCCAAAAATTAATGTGTCCCATTGACTCTTGACCACTTCCCCAGGATTTATTTCCTCCAGCCCCGCGCGGTGTGCTAGGAAACGCGCGCGCGCAAAAGAAACATCTCGGGTGCGTTGGCAAAGCATCGCGTTTCACGTCACCAAACCATCCAAATCTACACTCCCCTCCTCTATTCTGTCTTCCCCGCGCTCGAACAAGTCTATTCCCTAGAGAGCGGAAATTAAACATACCCACATGAGAGTTCTTGGAATAGGGATCGCTGACTGACGGATATCTTTTGCTTCCAGTGCCTGCGACTACCGACACAATGGATCCCGAGTCGCAACTGACCAGCCCCGAGCCAGATTTGGCCGAGGCTGACAGCTCCGCCAGCAGAAGGAAATCGGGCCGCGCGACACGGAAACCGGAATTGTTCTCCCAAAAATTCAGCTCACAGAATGGCGCGACGCCTGGAAAACGCAAGCGCAACACAACTGGTGATGAGAACGATGAGGATGATGATAGCGAAAGCCATGCCGAGGACATTGATGACGCGTCGGAGTCTGAAGGCGACGTGTCCAATGATGAGCCCGATGAAGAAGAGTTGCGAGAGAAGAAACGAGCGGCGCGCCGGGCGTCCGCAAAGAAGGCCGCTTCCGGGTCGAAGCCAAAAACGAAGTCTCGTGCGGCGAAAAAGCCCAGATTTGTCGAAAATGGAACCGGTAATCAATTGGCATTCCGTCCCGCCCCTAGTGGGAGGAAAGTGGTGTCGCGTCCCCGGAAGCCTAAGGTGCGGCCTAGCCTGGCTGCTGGCGAACGGGGTCTTTATGGTATGTTGATCGCTCTACCCTCTCCACGGGCGATTGCACGCGGTAGCTAACAACTATATGTAGCGGAGGTCTTCGGGAAAGGCCGCAATGCCGACACGACCGCCGCGGATTGGCTCACCCGCTACCAGAAGGACCAATCCATCGCCATGCGGGACATGGTCAATTTCATTCTCCGGTGTACCGGTACTGATCTCGAAGTGAGCGCCGCCGATATTGAAGATCCCGATCATAGCCCGGACCGCATCGTGGATTTGCAAAATCTGTACCATGCCGAAGGCATCTCCGAATATCCTCTCATCTCAAAAGCGAAGAAGTACCGAGCGTTGCAACCCGTTCTCGCCGAATTCTTCAATTCTTTGATCCAGACCTTGCACCATTCGTCCGTCTTGTATGATGACGAAAAGCTCTATGAAAACCTGCAAATTTGGATCTCGGCCATGTCGACCTCCCACTGTCGCCCCTTTAGGCACACCGCCACCGTTGTCGCCGTGAATATCATGAATGCCATGTGTGATGTTGCCCGCGAGTTGATGACTTCCATTTCCACGTCCCGAAAACAGCTCGAAAGCGAGAGGAGAAAGAAGACGGTGAATAAGGGCAGGGCTGACGCGATCGAGACCGCTGTTCAAGAGGGTGAGAAGAAGCTGGAGACAATCGATGACTACCTGAAGGACGGGGTCAACATTGTATTCGTCCATCGCTATCGGGACGTCGACCCCAAGATTCGTTCTGAGTGCATGGCGGCTCTGGGCCAGTGGATGCGCAGCTACCGGGAATACTTCTTTGAAGGCCAATTCCTTCGGTACTTTGGATGGATCTTATCGGACCCAGTTCCCCACACTCGTTCCGTAGTTGTCGCTCAGATTCGGAGTCTATTCGACAACAAGGACAACGTGGCTGGTATTCGGTCGTTCATCGAGCGTTTCCGCCAACGCATCGTCGAGATGGCTGCAAACGACGCTGACGTCGGGGTGCGCGCATCCGCAATTGAACTGTTGGACCTCATCCGAGACGCAGGGCTGGTTGAGCCTGCCGATGTGGACGTTGTCGGGAGACTCATCTTCGACTCGGAGCCCCGAGTTCGAAAGACAGCGGGTCGTTTCTTCGTCGCTAGCGTGCAGGATGTATTTGAGTCTACGCTTGAGGAACTTGGAGAGGAGGCGAGCGAAATGTTTGCCGACGAAGATGAGGAGGACTTCGAATCCCCAAAGCAATCCTGGATCAAGTTCAAGTGCTTGGTTGATACTCTCCAAGCCTACGACGAGCAAGAAAACGAGTCAAAGCCTGATCGACCTATCTTCGCCTCGAGGGATGTTCTGTCAGGCGCTTCACTTGACTCGCGATTTGTCCTTGCCACTGAGGCCATCTATCCCTATTTTACAGAGCTTGGCCAGTGGCAGTCATTGGCAGGTTATCTTCTTTATGATCACTCTCAGATTGCCGACGACTCTGCGGATAATGATACTGCGAGTGCCGTCAAGCGGTTGTACAAAATCCAGGAGGGGCAAGAAATGATCCTTTTGGAGGTGCTCTGCAGTGCGGTGAAATTGCGGGTGCTCGAAGTCGCCAAATCTGATATTGACAAGCGAGGCCGAAAAGTGAAGACCTTGACCGATAGGATGCCAGAACTACAGGAAGAAATCGCCCACAGCCTTGCGCAGATCATCCCTCAACTCCTGAATAAATTCGGCTCCGTGCCAGAAGCTGCCTCGGCCGTCTTGCGACTCGAACACCTCGTGGACCTGGACAAGATCCAGGATCTGCAAAGAGATGCCACCGCCTATACCTCTTTACTGAATGATATCAACAAGCAGTTCCTGACACATTCCGACCAGGATGTACTGGCTGAGGCTAGCGTTGCCTTCCTTCATGCAAAGAGCTCCGACGATATGCGGGATGCGCTGGAAAGCAAGGTGCAAGAATTGTGGGATGATATGATCGACACGCTAGGAACGTTGTCTCGTAAGAAGGATGTTGTGGAGGGCAGTTCACTGTCTGCCTCAACCCTTAATGAGCTTACCAACACGGTGACCAGAATTTCGAACCTTGCGAGTGTGACTGACTGCACCGCGGCTCTAGAAGCCACGCCGGCCACCAAGTCTAAAGGGAAAAAGAAGGATGCTGCAGAGGCGCCATTCAACATTCTCACGCACCTCGTAGAACGAGGACTGCGCGATGACGAGGAAGACGAGGATTCGGCCAAGGCAGAGACTGAGTTGACCATCAACAGTATGCGGACCCTGCTTTTCTATTTCATGTGGAAGGTCCAAGGTCTAGTCACGGTCCTTGCTACCGGGAAGGCGTCGTTGAATACTGCCTACTTCGAAACATTGACGAAAAGCCGGGAGACATTCGTTTCAATCCTCGTTGCTATCATGCGGCAACGCTCAGGCTTGGACGACGTCCGTTTCGCAGCAACCACCACCCTCCTGGACTTACAAACGCTGTTCGGTACGCTCCGACACGCCGGGCAGGGCGTGGGTAACGACGAGGAGGTCATCTTCCAAACCCAAGGTTTGGTGCATGAAGTCGACGCGAATACCCAGTCACTCATCGCCAAAGTCCACGGGATCGCCGAACGGAATTATGCCAAACTAATCCGTCTTCCCCTCGAACCTGCCGAGGACGACGCCCCCGAGTCTGACTCCGACCTCGAAAAGGAGCCATCGGACGACGAAGAGACAGGCTCTGAAGGGGAATCACCGTCCACCCAACGCCTGCGGTCGTCAATCATCGCAGAGCAGCGTCTTTGCGAACTGACAGGCAAGATAGTTCTGGCTATCATCGGGCGCATTCTGGACGGTTCCGGATCCCAGCGGGGCCAGCTGAAACAGCGTCTGATCAGACACAAGTCCCACTTGGGCCACAACTACCGCGAGGTCCTCTCCTTCCTCGAGGAACGCAAGCCAAACGCCGCTGCCGCATCGCGGTCCAAGAGCAAGCAGCCCGCACGGGGCGGGTCCAAGGGCGCTGGCAAGAACGACCACAAATCCACCGAACGGGTTGAAGACGACGATGATGAGGATGAGGAGGAGACTCGTCACCGCGCGGACGAAGATGACGAGGAAGAACTCCGAGCGCGGGGCCTCATCGAAGACAACGAGATTGACCAGGAGAATGACCAGGAGGACGAAAATCCCCGGACGCCTGAACCGGACGAGGACGACGTGATGGGTGATTGATTGACTGATTGACACGATATGACTAATTGATTGATTGATTGATTGATTTGTTTGTGTGGCTGGCTGGCTTCGTCTCTTGTCCATGGAAGGCTGTTTACGGATGGTGGATGGATATCTTTCATCTCACGATTCAACTTCTTCTTTCTATTTTCGTCACCTTTTCTTTGCTTTTCTTTTCTGTCTCTTTGATCCTTACTATGGAAACTTTTATTATTTTCTATCATCTTTTTCTTTTCATCTTTATTTCTCTTGTCTACAAATTATTATTTCCCCTCTTCGTGTTTCCTACTTCTTCTTCTTCTTTTTTTCCCCCGCGGCTCGTTACTTCATTCATATCCCAAATTCTTCTTCTTCTTCCTTCCACCTTTCGCTCCTATCTTGCAGTTCCAAATCCCGCCCAAATCACCTCGATTACCCCGTTCATATTCGATTTTCGTATCGCGGGCAGCGTATGAAGGGAAAGGAAAGAGATGGGAAGGGGAGGAAAGTGAAGAAGCAGGCAGTGAATTTGTTGCGCGCGCTGTATGTATCGAACCGACCCGGTATGTAACTTTACGCTCTTGTATATACCTATGAGTTACCCATGGCGTTGCTGTCGTTTGTGAAATATTATCTTTTTCTTTATTCCATTTACTAGATGTCTGTATGCGGGGAGGGTAGGCTGTAGAGTTACCTAATGAGCTTTAATGGTGGTAGGGTATGGGAAGCAGATCTGAAAGGTTCGAAACAGAAGACATTGTTGTATAAGAGGGAAAAGGCTCACCCAGTAGAGTGATACCCCGCCACTGCATACATACATACTTCAGCGGGGCTGTAGATCAAGAGCTTCTGACAAAAAAAGTTATTGTCTTACTTAGGACCTAAGAGTGCAAAACCTAGAATTGGATGCTGTGTGGCTATTTCTACCTCATTTTCTCCCCTTTTTTCCCTTCGGAGAACTTCCAGCACAAAAGGACGGACAGCATTTTCTCAGGTTACAGACGTAGAGGGGGACACCGAAGGTTATAGAGTCAAGGGAAGTAAACAAAAAGGAGTGGAAGGATGGGCTGATGGATGGGGATGGGTGAAAGAGTCAACCGATTGATTCGACATGTGCAAGTTACGCCTGTATGAGAGATGCTACGTGGTGAAGAAAGAGAAGGGGATACATGACGGTGAATCTTGTTTATCGTGAAATGATAACATCAAAAAGGGGAAATAAATCATAGAAAAGGGGGAAAGGGCTGGATTCGTGATAGGAAAGAAAGCAAATTAGGGGGACCGTGATCAATCAAATGTTCAAAAACAAGAAGAATAACAGGGAAAGGAAATGAACAGCTGCGTGACGCTACTCAAGAGGAATGTCTAAGACACCCAACTCAATTCTCACCTGAGGTAGGTCAGGCCTAAGAAGTTGAGAACCAACATGAAAGCTCCATGAACAGGAAGAGATACTTCATTTTTTCTTTTTCTTTTTGGGTGGAAGGTGGGGATAGCGGGGTGGAGGGGCCGGGGGACAGGAATGCCACCACGGAAGGGGTCTAACAGGAAAAAGAGTTGAAGGGAAAAAAAAGTTCAGGTATCAATTCAAGTAAAAAGAAAACTGCCGACTGGGAAGGGTCCCATTTTACATATCCATGGAATCGCCACCGTTGGCGAAGCTGAAACCGCCCGGCTGCTGTTGCTGCGTGCCGAGGGTGAAGCCGGTTTGCGTTTGCTGGGGAGCCAGCTCGTCGATGTCACCGGCAGCTTCGTCCTCATCAGAGAAGTACTTCTCAATGATGTTGTAGGCCTTCATGTAGATCTCCTCGTTGGCGTTGTTCTGGCAGTCGTGGATCTTCTCCATACCGCCAGCCTCCTCGATGAACAAGGCGTAACGGTTGACGCGGGCCTCACCGGCCTGTGCCGTCTCCTTATCCATATCACCAACCTTGAGGATGTTCTCCAGACCATCCAGAGCAACCTGGATGATCTTGTTGTCAGGGCAGGCCAGGAGGTCGCACAGGGGCTTGATGCACCCTTGGGAGACAAGATAGCGGATCTGCTCGGGCTTCTGCAGACCACCAGAGGTGGCGTTCGAAATGGCCCAGCAGGCTTCCTTACGGGTCTTGAAGTCACCGTTGGCAAGCAGGTGAATCAAGGGGGGGATGATGCCAGCATCAACAACGGACTGGATCTGGTTCGAGTTGCCAGCGGTGACGTTGGAGATCGTCCAGCAGGCCTCCTTGCGGATGCCATCCTTGGTGGAGCTCAGGAGGGAAAGAAGGGCGGGGAGAGCGCCGCAGTTGACGATCACCTGGGTCTGGACGTCATCACCAGTGACAATGTTTCCAACCGACCGGAGAGCGGGAGTTTGGACAGAGGTAGAGGCGTGCATGAGGAGCTCCACCAGACGACGGGGAATGCCCGCCTCGATCACAGCCTGGATCTTATCGTTGGAACCATCGGACAAGTAAGAGATAGCCCAGCAAGCGTCAATCAGGACTTCATCATCAAGCATGTAAATAAGTTTAGCGAGGACAGGAAGAGCGGGGGCGATCTATAGGACAGGTTAGACAAAGCCAGAGTCAATGGGAATAGGATTGGGGGACTGTACGGTGGTCCAATCAGGTTGAGGCGTCTTGCCACGGCAGAAGTTACTCAGGGTCCATGTGGCGTTACGGAGCATGCTCAGCTTTCGACCATCGTTGATGAGGGTCAACAGGGGACGGAGAGCGCCGGCGTTGAGCACAAAGTCCCGGCATTGAGGGCTGTCACCCGCAATGTTACCCAGGGCCCAAACGGCCTGTTCCCGGACATCAGGCTCGGGGCTGCTCAGGAGCTCAACGAAGATGGGGACGGCACCGGCCTCGATGACGACCTGAGTCTGCTGGGCGGATCCAGAGGCGATGTTGGTCAGGGCCCAAGCAGCCTCGAACTGAACCAAAGTGTGGGGGGATCGGAGGAATTCCACGAAACGGGAGACGACGCCGGTCTCGATAACACGCTCGATAGGAGGATTACGCTCCTTGGACAGCAGCTTCCTGAATTTGGTGGTGGCCTGGATCTGCGAGTCGATGTGTTCGGAGAAGACACCCTTGACCATCTGCGGGAGTTCCACGTTCAACTAAACAAAACCAGTGTTAGCCATGTCGAGGTATTTTCCATAGTCGAATAGAGAGGGCAAGGATAAGCGGGTGGGTCGTGTGGTCCCAGAGGGAATTGGTTGACCCATCCACTCCGACTTAGCAACCGGGCGGTGAAAAAGATATGAAAAAGAGGCAAAGAGAAAAACAAACAGTCCAGACGGGGGGGCGAGGGAAAATCACAAGACCACCCAATCCGCCCGTCAGACTCAAAGACCAGGGAGATAAAAAAAAAAGACATACCTCACTCTCGATAGCAGTAGCCTCATCGTCACTCTCGGCGCCAGCGGCCATACCGTCTCCCACACCAATGCCGCCATCCCGGGTCTGGATACCTCTCCTCTTGGCCAGGTTCTCATCGCGTTTCTGCTTTCGGATCTCGACCTGCTGCTCCTCACGACGACGACGCAGTTCGTCAGGCCGGAACTGATTCCTGGCCTTGTATTGGGTGCGACGATGCTCGGGGATGTAGCGTTCCGCCATGGTTGCTTAGGAGGGGTGAAAACAAAGCGGGCACCACAACGGGTTGGGTTTTGTTACTTAATCAAGAGGAGGGGGGGGGGAAAAGAAAGTGAAGACAATGAAGAGGGAGAAGAGATCTCCGAGAAAAGAAAGAGGAAAATAAAAACCCAAAAAGGTTAGACGGGGAAGAGGGAGAGAAGTAAGAGATCGATCTCGATCAAGAGCAGACGTAGAGATGGAGGAAGAGAGAGAAGGAGGGGAAAAAAGAGGTGGGTTTGTCCTCAGTCACGGGACGCCACCGCTTGTGATTCGCTGTTTGCGGCTGCGCGCCTCTAAGCGCCACTTCCGCCTAAGCGACCATTCCCAGCAGTCTACAACAACCGATTGACACCGTAGGTAGTATCAGAACTGTCATTCCGTACTGAGTCCCACTTGGTGTGTCAATTTGCATTGTACATACGGTTGCCCTGGGCCTACACGGTCACGTGTCGCGTGATTGAGGACCCATGTGTCGTCCACACTGGGACTCCTAACAATGCTGCCCGGACTCGGTGATAAATACGCGGATGTCGCCACGGCCATCTCAGAGCAGGGCAATAAACATGTCATCGGGGTGGTGGTTGATGTGTTTGGAGGCATCTGGAAAACCAAGAACAAGTCGAGCAGCATCACATTTACCATCAAAGACCGGGATCTGAATAACGGACATACATGGGATGGCCTGAGAATCAAGTACTTCAGTGGCAACGAGAGCCAGCTGCCCCCAGTCGAACTAGGCGATGTAGTGCTACTGAAAAATCTCTATGTAGGTGGCTAACCTATCTGTAGCGATCTTTCTGGAAGTGTGACGCTGACGCGATTATCGCAGATACGGTCCCTGAACGGGAAGCCGATGGGCGTCGCTGCTGAGCAGAAGACAATCCCTTGGGCCATTTGGCGCGATGACCCGGATCCCAATTCGCGAGGGGCCCCCATAACCGGGCCATCTCCCTGGGAGCCATATCCTTCAGAAAGTAAATACGCAAGAGGTCTACTAGCGAAATCTACCGGTGCCGAGGGCGCCCACGGTGCCAAGGGCTTTCGCGATGAGGGCGCTGAGCGTATTGCTGCCCCTCGATCTCACACTGTGGTTCATGCTTCAATGGAGAAACCCAGAATCGCCAAAAGCTTTTCTCTCATCAGGGATGTGGAAGAGCGCATGTACACAAGCCTTGTCGTGGAGATCCTGGGAATCATCCCCAATGGCCACGAGAGGGCTCTTGTCTACGTTACAGACTATACGGCTAACGAGGGCCTGCCCAGCTATGAGTACGATGAAGAGGCCGGGCGGGAAGGGGACGAGTTCAACTATCAGGGACGACCGAAGCCTGCCAAAGGCCCATCGAAAATGACCATCCAAGTGACCTTGTGGGAGCCGCACTCTAGCTTTGCACAGAACAATCTCAAAAAGAATGACATCGTTTTGTTGAGCAATGTTCAAATCAAGCGAAGCCGGGTCGTCGGTGGATGCCTGGAAGCCAGCATCTCCGGCAACCGGAATGATCCACGTGCAGTCAATGTCGAGAAGGTAGACGCTACGAGTGACGAACACGCCCAGGAACTCGTCAAACGAAGAGAAGAGTACCTCGAAAAGCACCCGGAAAAAAGGAAACTCGAAGACACGGACGATCCAGCGAAAAACGCCAAAAAACGGAACCGACCCGTGCCGAAAGCAAAAGAAACCAAACGCGAAGAAGGCCAAGGGGTCCTCCCCACCAGCTTTCGCAGTCAACTGAATGACAAAAGTCGGTATCCATCCCCAGACATTGCCGGCGACACACTGACGCGCTAACCTACCTATTCCAGTCCAAGCATCCCACCGACACAGACCCAACCGGACAATCGAAGCAATCCTCGACAAAGACTCCCACAACAACGCTTCCCCCGACGCAATCGAGTACCGCCTACCCTTCCAGAACCTCAGCTACCGGACGAACGTCAAAGTAGTCGATTTCTTCCCCCCAAACCTCGCAGACTTCGCCGTGCCAGAAAAAGCAGAAAACACCCTGGACACGTCCCCAAGCCAAACCCACGGCGACCGCATCACAAACTGGGAGTGGCGCTTCTGCCTCCTCGTCGAAGGCGCAGAGCCTGTTCCTCGAGGGACGCAGCGGGAGCAGATGAAGCTTTACGTCGCGGGTCCGGACGCGGTTCATTTTTTGCAGCTTGATGCGGCGGAGTAAGTCATCTGTCACCCATATACATGATTTTACCCTTATCATATTAACTTTGTATCTTTCTCCAGCCTACGAAAATCCCCCCAAAGACTATCAGAGCTAAAAGAAAGACTCTTCTACGTCTGGGGAAACCTAGAAGAGCGCAAATCCGGGATCTCCCCAGATCGGCTCTCGCAGCGGCCCTTCGAGTGTTGCATTCAAGAGTACGGTGTGCCGTGCTCCCACGCTCTTCCCGACGACCGCGAGCTCGGCTGTAGCCAGGGAGACTGCTTCGGGTGGGAGAGGCGTTTTGGCATATTCGGAACGACTATCCAGTGGGAGAAATGATTTCTGTGTTTGTTATACCCATCGGCGTTAGTTGTTTTATTTCTGAGCTGTACATTTGAGAGTTATTGTTTACTATGATTCACTTGGAAGTGGTCGTAAGTTTGATGGAGAAGCTGGATCCTATCCCATGGCTATTACTTATTTGAAAGCCTTTCGGTGCATGAACTATCCTAAGTAGATGCAATGCCCTCAAGGCATCAGTATATCAACATAGAAGATATGGTTCAATATTAACGCCTGGATGTATGCTCCCCGATTTTACATACGAGTGTTGTCGCAAAACCACGTCCAGAATACAACACTGCCCCGTTATTAAACAATTTGGGGGTGGAGCGAAAAGAGGGAGAAGAAGAAACCATGCACGTGTTAAGAGACGCAACCTTGATACCTCGCAAAAGAACCCAGAATTTGAACAAGGGAAAGGAAAACAATGGACAAATCGCCTTCATGACCGCTCCGAAAGGTGGCTAATTTGCAATAATATCATGTGTCGTTAGGAAGGAAGAAAGAGAGAAAACAAATAGATAGTACCCTTGTCGTCATAGCCAAGATAGAAAGGACCAAACCAGCTAGACCTTCGTCAATTTGACGATATTAGTATCGATGCCATGCGCGGCTCTGTCGAACCGGCAATTATCGCCCCAGAAGCATTCTTTTCGACCGGGCTCGCTCTGCGGGCAGCGATGTCCGTACATGCACTCTGGGTCGTCGCACTCGAGCCCGTACCGACAGGGAGTCATGCGGGCGATGGCGACGAGGATGAAGTGTTCACTCTTAGTCAGTTTGCGGACGTGGTCGTGCGGACAATTATCATTCGGGCAGGTGCCTTGTATATGGTAGAAATTGCAGAGTTTCAGCTTCTTCATACGGTTCAGTTCGTCGCGGGGGAGGGTTTTGAAGTCGAGACGGTCCACTCGCTGGCCGTGTTTATTTCGCTCTACGATCTTGGGATGCGTGGAGATCGACGCTTTGGAACGCACTACCTGGAAGTCTCCTGAGGTCTGTGAGACGGTCGAGGAGGACCGGGAGGGTTGCATCCCGTTACTAGGTGTTGTGGATGTATTGGTGGAGGGCCCTGCCGGGGCTGGGACGTTGTGGTGATGTGAGGGTGCGAGCGGAGCGCGCGGCTTGCTGGCTACTGCTGCCTTCCACGGAGCCCACACATTCATCTTTGAGTCTCTAAAGAGATCGGGGAATTTCGCGGCCCGGTAGGCTGCCTTGATGGAGTCCATCTCGTCTTCGAACGGGAGGCCTTCGACCAACGACACTCGTCCGACGAGACTTCTGTCTTCTAACGTCTTTCCCAGAATGTCTGCGTATGCGGGGTCGGAGTTGCATCCTAGGAAAATCTGGTGGCAGTGGCAGTTGTATAGATACAGCTTGAAAGCCTCTGAAGAACACGCGGACCGCAAAATCAGCACCTGTGATGGGGGAAGCAAAGCACGCAGCCTCCCAACCGTAGACAAGAGATATACTCACCGCCAATCTTATCATGAGCGCTCTCCTTGCCCGGACCGATATCCACGAATTCGAACAAAGGATAGCTACTATTGAAGCCGCGGCCAAAATCCTCGATCAGCGCAGGCTCAGTAGTGACACCTCCTCGGACACAACGTTCGCTCAGTCCCTTCAGATTATCGTATAGTTTGACTATTATTTTCGGCGCGTCGATGTGGGGAAAATTGCTGACGACGTAGCTTTGGAGCGCCGTGTGGAGATGTTGTGCTGCGTTGCGACCACCCTGCTCCCCGTTCTGTAGAAACTCGTCTTTGAATATCATGCCGGCGCCGTCGAGGAGGACAACAATAAAAGGTTCGCGGTCCTAAAGACGACGAAACATGACAGTATTAGCAAGGGAACTCTGCTAAATCTCATACAACCGCCAGAGAAGGGTCTCACCATCACCGCTTTAACTCTGGAGATTTGGTTCATTAGCTCCATCTCATGGATCTGGATATCACGATTAAAGCGGGTCTCGCGTTCATGGTCAAGCTTCTCTTGCTTCCACGCATCTTCTAATTCGGTTACACGCTGCAGAAGGTCCTATGAGAGGGCGTTCTTAGGTTAACATGGCAAACGGGATGAGGGTCACAACAGCTGTCATTGAATCCGGCGGAGCTACCTCAATTAGGCTGTTCTTGGAGTTCTCTATGGAGATTAATTGCTTATAGCGTTCCAGATAAGTTGTAGCGGTCATGATGGCTACTCTATCTTCTTTTTCTGGTCCGTTTTGAATTGTTATAGGGATGGATCAGAGGAATGGTGTATTCTAGGTAGCTAGGTAGCTGGTTGTTGATATCTTTTTTTTCTTGTGGAGAGGGAAGTTTATGTGGAGAAAGAAGAGAAGCAGAGAACAAACAATCCGGCGGTTCACTCTTTGTCGGTGGAGCGCAGTCTAGTCATGTATCCAATAGGGGTCTGTTCTCAATAGCATGAGAATTACCTCTGAAATTAGTTTATTTAGATACATGCATACATCGAAATCAAGATAAATTACTCTGTACTGGGAAGAGTTAGCCACCTTGATCAATTAAATTATTCACCATACTATGGATACTATGGCATGCTGTCTATCTATTCAGGGATACATACCTGACCACCCTATAAGGTAGGTATCTAGGTAGCGTAGAGTAGTGGAATTCGAGGAATCCCCGGAGTTGAAGAAATGGCCGCTGGTATAACAATCACCTGATCTGATTGTGACAGCAGCTTCTCTACTTACTCGACTGACTCATATCCCATTGAGGACTCAAAGGAGTGATTGTGACTCTAGAACTGTTGACCATCTGGACAAGCTGCTTCAGGATAGATTTGTGACATGCACGTACATAACTTCGTGTAGAACCAATACACAAACACCTGACTCAGCAGTATAAATCAGACCAGAGCGGTAAGCGAAAGCGGCAAGCGGTCAGTAATATAACCGCCGTTTGTTACTACTGACTAGTACCAAGCAGGCACTCCATAGTTGGGACTAGAGTAAACGCCTACGTGGAGAAAACCATTCCTCCCTTACCCGGCGCCATCACTCTCAACAATACTTGTCTTCTCTTCTCTTCTCTTCTGTCTTTCCTTTTCTCCCCTTCTATTTTCCTCCCTTCCTCCTTGTAGTGTATCCATCAATCGCAATGGCTCGTCTCGGTTTCCTGTCTTTGGCGCTGCTCTCTGTCCAAGCCTTCATTGGCGGCAGTCTTGCTGCTGTATGTGGCTTCTGATCTGATCGAACTTGGTCAACAATCAATTGGTGGACTCGTGACTAATTGCGCGCTCTATAGGATGCTGCTGCTGACGCCGGTGAGAAAGCCGATGCGAAGTTGGCCGTTACCGCCGAGGCCTCGTTCCCTGCTTCCGAGATCTTCGGCGTCAAGCTGGTCAACGGCCACCCGACCCAGGCACTGATCTCGTTCACCAATGACGAGCCCAACCCGGTGACCGTGAACTTCGTCGGCGGAACTCTGTCGACTCTGGACGAGGAGAGCCGTATCCTTCGCAACCTGACCGCGACCCGCTATGGCATCGAGATCCCCGCCGGTGAAAAGGAGAGCCTGAGCTACAGCTTCGCCGACGAACTGCACCCTCAGGACCTGAGACTCGGCATCGCTACGATCATCTCCAACACCGAGGGCCAGTTCTTCACCGTCTACGCATACAATGGAACCGTGAGCGTCGTGGAGCCGGAGACGAGCATCTTTGACCCTCAGATGTAAGCTAACCCCCCTCCCCCCCCCCGCATGTTTCTTCTTTTTTGTCGCTGGTGATTGACTTTGCATGCGCAGCATCTTCCTCTACTTCTTCCTTCTCGCTTGCTTCTCCGGCGTGGTTTACTTCTTCTACACCGTCTGGATCGCGCCTTATTTCCCTCAGAAGCGCCGCTCTGGAAAGGCCCCCGGCAAGTCTGCTGGCGCCACCAAGAAGGATGAGCCTGTCGAGCCGGCGACCTCCCCCGCTGTGTCGTCTGCCACCACCTACAACGCTGACTGGATCCCGTCTCACCACATCAACCGCCCCGAGGCTCGTAAGGTGAAGAGTAGCTCCCGCTCCAAGACCCGCGCCTAGATGTGCCTCAGGGTGATCTTTCGGAGGAAGGAGGATTGGTAGGGGTATTTTGGTATCACCCATCGCATGGTGGATAACCAGGATTGCACGAGGATAACGGACTCGAGGGCAGAAAGATCGCTGAGAATGTGATCGGGTCACCAGAGTCACGGCTATCCTTGGTGGGGTTGTATATCTACAATCATTGTGTGCGACTTCTGTAATAGTAGCGCTCCGAAGCGCAATTTTCGGAATTGCAATTCCTTTTGCATTCTTGAATATGATGGTCTCATGAAAGCTGAATCCTAATCTATTAATGGAGCCACGATGCACATATATCATTGTAAAACATTCGTAAATCATCCCAACTCCACCCCACCCCATTATAACTACAACCGCTTCCACTCCTCAAACTCCTCCTCCAAATGCGCCTTAAGCGCCGCAAAGCGATTCCCAAACCCCCGCCCACAGCGCCAACAAACAAAATCCCACTTCAGAAACCCTTCCCGCGCAGGATGTCTGCGGACATCATCCTCCGCCAGAGGAAAGTCCTCCAGACCCACAAAAAACGGCGTCGAAAAGCTATTATAGTGCTTACGGTGTTTCAACCGCTCACTGTACCTATCCACCGACATCACATGAACATGCAAGTGGTTCATAGACGGACACGCATGCACCCCACACATGATCTCCCGCTCCCAGTCTCTGCCAGGAGGCAGTGTATCCGGCGGCGGGTCCACGCTCAGCGCATCCTGGCGCGCCTTGTCCTGGGCGGAGAACCGGCCGTATTTGCGCCTGAGCTCGGCGGCGGCGAGGGTGCGGAGTCTGGATGTCTCTGCTTTTACCTTTGCGAGGAAGGCCGGGTCGGCGAGGGCGTCGAAGGGGTGGAGGTGGGTTTTTGTGGCGTCGCGTGGGAGGAGGAGCAGGTGGAGGGTGGATTTGGGGAATAGGTCGCGGATGGTGACGAAGTCGGCGTTGTGGGTGATGACGACGTTGGCTGGGTAGGCGTCTGGGTTGGCGATGTAGGCGCCTAGGCCGTCGCGGGGACCGCAGGCTGCTGCTCTCTTCTTGCCCTTTGCGGCGGTGGGGTCGGTTGAGGAGGCATCGCGTTCTTGTTTGGGGTGTTTGGGTTTTGGGGCTAGGAGTTCTGCGACTGGATGGCTCGACATGTCAGTGGTTTGATTTCTTCGTTATCCGCGCGAGGGAGGGTTTGAATGATGTATGGGAACAGACAGGCATCTCGCTTCGCCGGCGTCCCCTGCGGCGGTACTGAAGGGCCCTTCGTATTTGAGGACTCGGCGACTTCAGCTTCCAGACCGGGTGATTCGCTGGCCATGACAGGTAGCGGTAAGGTATGCAAGATTGGGTGGCATGGCGGTGCGCACCAGTTGGCTGGTGATGGGATGCGGGCGGCGGAGGCGAGTCGAGTCTCTCCAACTTAGTGCAGTGCGGGACCGCGACCACCGCTTTGGCTGCAGCAAACTGTTTCCTGAGATCTTTCACCGTCTGGATGTTGCGCTTTTTCTGACACTCCACGGGCGTTTCTTTGTTTTATACCCATTAACGACTACATTTATATATATATATACATATCCTCTTTGCAAGGATGCCCCCCAAGAAAAAGCCCGAGGGCCGTGGAATCCCCAAGCCGGGGACCAAGCAGGCCAAAGCCGCCGCGGAGGAGAATGCGAAGAAAGCGCAGTCCGCCACCACCACCAGCACCGAGGAGCCCAAAAAGCCCTCCGTGAAGCAGGTTATTGGAGGCGCATCATGGACGGGGAAGCTCCCTGTCAACATGCTGGCCGAGCACTGTCAAAAACAGAAATGGGAGAAGCCGGAATACACAATGGTAAGTGGGGGTTAACAGATTGATTTCTATTCGCATTATATCGGTTCGCGCTGACATTTGTACCCCCGGGATAATTCTAGGCCAAAACACCGGACGGATATATGTCGTCGGTGATATTGAAGCGCGTCGACCTGAAGACTAAAGAGACCGTCGTCCTGCCTCCGATGAAACTGCCGCCCTCCCACAAACAGCTGGCGGCTCAGCCGACGGCGCTGGAAGCTCGCCACTTCGCGGCGACGTATGCGTTATATCGGGTTTGCAATATGAGGAATTTGCATATGATGCTGCCGCCGACGTATCGGAAATTCTGGAAGGAGGATTTCACGGAGATCAAGACTGCAGATACCAAGGAGGGCAAAGGCTGGATGTACGAAGCGGATCCGTTCCTGGCCAAGCAGGAGCGAGAAGCCCTGGCAGCGGAGATTGAAAAGAAGAGAAAGGATCGCGAAAGGACACAGGCCAAAGCGAAGGACACTGGGGTGAACCTGGGGCTGGGTCCAAGCAGCGATAACAAGGGCAAGAGGATTTGGTCGCAAGCCCCGAAAGTCGACTTGGGCGGCAAAGTACGGCGTGATATTGAGAACCTATTGCGGCAGCACACAATCTGGAACGCCTACAACGTGCAGATCCCAGAGCGCGATCGCAAGGCCATTATCGAGGAATTCTCCCGGTTGGGTTTCCGGCGCAGCCATATAGAGGAAGCGGCCGCCGCTTGTAAGGACCGTGAGGAGGTTTTGGAGTGGCTTTTGGTCTACATCCCGGAAGACGACCTTCCAAGTTGGTGTCTTCCAGAGGGATACTCTGCGGGCGTGAGTCTAGCAACCGACGATCTTGCGAAGGAGGGGAAGATCAAGCGACTTACGTCGATTGGCTATCCTTCTGATCTGTGTTCGCAAACACTGGATAGCAAAAAGGGCGATGAGCTCGCTACCGCAGAGTTCTTACAGAGTACGTTGGTGTATGGGAGACCGCCCCAGAGCCAACCCTCTGAAGACGAAGACCTGTGGGCAGAGGAACAAGAGACGCTAGAGGCAATCTTTGGGGAACGCTTTTCTCGGTTATCACCAAAGGTCTGCGAGGTCCAAGGGGATCCCGAGAGTTTCCGCCAACCGCTGTCTTTCAAATTCCAAAGGCCTTCTGGCCATTACCCTTCCATGCCCCCGGTCATCTCGATCCAAGCCAAGGGCATCCCTTCTTATATCCGCCTAAGTGCGATTCGCCAGGTGGTGCAGCACGCCGACAGTAGCTTCCTTGGGGAGCCGATGATTTATAACATCTTGGATTGGCTGGAGATGAACCTACCCAAGGTGATGGAGAATCCAGGCAAACTGCGCGACATTTCGACGGTCACTGCGCCGCCACCGGCCTCTGGTTCTGTCTTAAGCCTACCCGTCCGCCAGTCTCGCAAGAAGGCGCGCGATATCAACTGGCAGCCCGGGTCTCCTCAGAGTATCTCAGTTCACGAGGCCTGGAAGGCTAAGCAGTTATCCAAGGCACAGCAACAGATGAATCGACAGCGTCAATCGCTCCCTGCTTGGAATACTCAGGATGCCATCGTACGGGCTGTGAATGATCATCAAGTCACTATCATCTCTGGTGAAACAGGCAGTGGTAAAAGTACCCAGTCTGTCCAGTTCGTGCTTGATGATATGATTGAAAAGGGCCTGGGCGGTGTCGCGAATATCGTCTGCACGCAACCACGCCGTATCTCGGCCTTGGGACTTGCTGACAGAGTGAGCGATGAACGAACTGGTTCAGTGGGCGACGAGGTCGGATATATCATCCGTGGTGATTCCAAGGTCAAGTCGGGTTCCACGAAGATTACCTTCGTGACAACCGGTGTCTTACTCCGTCGTATCCAGTCGGGTAGTGGATCCGATGGTAACGTTGCTGGGTCCCTGTCGGATGTCACGCATGTTGTTGTGGACGAAGTCCACGAGCGAAGTCTTGATACCGATTTTCTCTTGGCCCTCTTGAGGGATGTCCTGCGCTACCGTAAGGATCTCAAGGTCATCCTGATGAGTGCCACCCTCGATGCGGGAATCTTCATTAACTACTTCGGTGGTCACCAGAATGTTGGGACGGTGAACATCCCTGGGCGAACATTCCCTGTTCACGACTTCTACCTGGACGATGTCCTCCGGGACACCGGGTTTGCGCCGGAACTGACAGACCGCGACTATGAAGACGATGCAGCCCCGAGCCAAGGCGAGGAGTCGATGGGCCGCGCTCTTCGTAGCGTCGGCATGGGAATCAACTACGACTTGATCGCCGCCACTGTCCAATACATCGACGCTGTATTGGGAGACCAGCCGGGTGGTATCCTGATCTTCTTACCCGGTACTATGGAAATCGATCGGTGTTTGAATGCTGTCAGAAGGATACCCGATATGCACCCGCTACCATTGCATGCATCTCTCCTGCCGTCTGACCAACGGCGCGTTTTCCAAAGACCACCAGCGGGGAAGAGAAAGGTTATAGCAGCCACAAACGTCGCCGAGACGTCCATCACGATCGAGGATGTTGTCGCAGTCATCGACACGGGCCGCGTGAAAGAGACGAGCTACGACCCGAAGGACAACATGGTGCGGCTTCAGGAGGTATGGGCGTCTCAAGCAGCGTGCAAGCAGCGTCGTGGTCGTGCTGGCCGTGTGAGGGCCGGAACATGCTACAAGCTCTACACGCGCAAGGCAGAGTCGAACATGGCACCTCGACCCGACCCAGAAATCCGCCGAGTGCCACTGGAACAGCTATGCCTATCAGTCAAGTCCATGCAAGGTATCAACGACGTCGCCAACTTCCTCGCGAACACCATCACGCCGCCCGAAAGCATCGCCGTCGAAGGCGCCCTCGGCTTCCTCCACCGCGTCGGCGCCCTCGACCACGACAAGCTCACCGGCCTCGGCCGCTACCTATCCATGATCCCCGCCGATCTGCGATGCGCCAAGCTCATGGTCTACGGGTCACTATTCGGCTGCATCGACCCCTGCGTGACCATCTCCGCCATCCTCACCACGAAAAGCCCCTTCGTATCCCCCCGCGAACGCCGCGACGAAGCCGACTCCGCAAAAGCCTCCTTCTCCAAAGGCGACGGCGACCTCCTCACCGACCTCGCCGCCTTCCAGCAATGGACAGACCGCGTCCAAGCCAACGGCTACTGGCAAACGCAGTCCTGGTGCGGCGCCAACTTCCTCTCCCACCAAACCCTCCGCGACATCTCCTCCAACCGCTCCCAGCTCCTCACGTCCCTCAAAGACGCCGGCCTCCTCCCCGTCGACTACGCCGACAACACCACCAACTCCACCCGCGGATCCTGGAACCGCAACGCAGGCAACAGAGGCCTCCTGCGCGCCCTCATCGCCGGCGCCTTCCAGCCGCAGATCGCGCAGATTTCCTTCCCGGACAAGAAATTCGCCAGCTCCGTCTCCGGCACCGTCGAAGTCGACCCGGACGCCCGCACCATCAAGTACTTCAACCAGGAGAACGGCCGCGTCTTCATCCACCCCAGCTCGCTGCTCTTCTCCGCGCAGGGTTACCCCAGCGGATCTGCCTACCTCAGTTACTTCACTAAGATGGCTACCAGCAAGGTGTTCATTCGTGATTTGACGCGTACGTATCCTATTTACACACTATAACCCTATACCCTCCCCCCCTCCCTCACACACACACACACACACACACTATAATTTGAAGTATCCCAACACACACACCCATGTCCAAAAGCATTCAACGTCTACTCCCTCCTCCTCTTCTGCGGCTCCATCGACCTCGACACAATGGGCCGAGGCCTCATCGTCGACGGCTGGCTCCGCCTGCGCGGCTGGGCCCGCATCGGGGTGCTCGTATCGCGGCTGCGTCTGATGGTCGATGAGATTATCGCGTCGCGGATCGATAATCCTGTTTCTTCTTCTGATAGGGCGTCGGCGGATAATATTGCCGATAGGGTTATCGATGTGGTGAAGAAGTTGGTGGAGTTTAATGGGTTGGATCAGTGATTTCTTACTTCCTTTTCTTATCTGTAAGGGGGGTTGGAAGGGGTGATACTATATATATACTAGGTGTATACAGATAGATGGGTAAATACCAACCGATATACGGAGTGGTTAGAATAGAGGGATAAAAGATATGATGTGATCAGTGCTCACCACCTACTTCATAACACACCTTACTTACCATATGCAACATACAAATGAACTGAGAAGTAAAGAAATAAATGAATAACGGAATAAGTTCAAAATTCACTAAAGTCTGCGCCTAAGCCTGGATGATAATCCATAGGGGGGAGGGGAGAAAAAAGAGAATAAAATAGTAAGAAGAGAGGCTTTGTTCGCCATCCCATACAGCGAGAAAAAGAAATGAGAAACAAAGGAAACGAAAGGGGAATGGGATCGATTAATGGCCAGGCGAGCTCGTTATTCATGAAGAAGGTACTTGTGTGCGTGTAGTGCCATTGAGCAAAAACCAAATATTATCGGGGACGTAAAGCCATGATTTTTAGTCGATGAAGAAAAAAGAAGTAAGTGGGATGTAGAACTAACTGGTGTGGTGGGAATAGGGGGTGCGTAAGAAGAACAAAGAAGAAAGAAAGAAAAAGAGGCATATTCATCGACTCTTGACCCATAACTCCATCCCCGCCTGGATTGATGGCATGGATCTCATGTCGTCCAATTTCGTTAATCAAATGCAGAAAAAGAAGAAGAAAAGAAAACACGAAAGATGAAAAAGAAGAAAGGAAAAACTCCTTTCCTGTAACCGAATTGCCCATTTCGTCGCGGATTCCCAGATTGCGCAGCATCATGGGAGGATAGAAGGTGATGATTTCGTAAAACACGAAGGGAGTGTGATGTTGTTGTTGGATCAGCGAAGTCGTGGGCTGTTTCCTTTTTTCTGCTTGCTTGGTTTCCTCCTTTTTCATTCCATTTTTCTCATTTTTTTGGTCTTTAAGATATTCAAGTTAATACTCAAGATAATTCCAGATATCTTCACGTCATGGGTAATAGTAATCGAACAAAGGAGAGGTCGGATGTCGCATAGATTGTTCCGCCGGAACAATGGGTTCAGCGCGGAGAGACAAGACGAACGACATGATTAGCAAAACTAATCACGCACGTCGCCAGAAATGCCCTTGCTCAAGACGCGTGTTGCGGTCAGAAATGCTGCTGCTCCGGGCTACCTCAGGAAGACGGAATCCCTTTCTCATTTCGGCCTCGACGAAAAGCGAAGCACGCTTGTATCTCTTGTCGGTGTATTTCTCATAGATAGCCGCATGGTGTTTCCGCGGGATTTCGCAGCATTCCATCATGAGATGGACGAGGGGGAACAGCTGGGAGTAGGTGTAGCCGGCATAATGAACATGGGCAGGGGTCTGAACGATTGTTAGCAGTAGAACAAGGAAAAGAGAGGTGTAAAGTTGAACATACCCAAGAACCCTTTCTCAACATCAGCCGCGCAAGGCAGTGAGCACCGGCGGCGATGAAGCTAGGGGGGCAACCGACAAAACGCTCATCCATGATAGTGATTTCCAGGAAATACTTGGCGAGGGTACGAGTCTCCAGGTCATAGTCATCAGCTTTGCTGATCTTGCGCAAGAAACTCATAGGGCCCGGCCATCCCAGCTCAAATTGGAGCATGCTCAACATGAAGCGCTCAGCCTTGAGAATCTCGTCCACGCTATACCCGCCATCCACCATGTAGACGATCTCCTGGACCGACGGGCAGTTGATCTCTTCGTACTTGGCAGCGATGAAGATTGCAGTGGCTCCCACAAGCTGGAGCTTGCCCAGTGAGACGATCTTGCAAGAAAGGAAGCGATCGATGTAGTTGACACACAAGAAGAGCGTCTCGGGGAGGAGCGAAAAGCGATGGTGCACCTGCACCAGCCAGTCCATGAGAACTGAGCGCATGGACCATTGGATCTCCGCTTGGTTGTCCATGTAATGAGCATTCGGCAACATTTTAATCTAAAGGCAATGTGAGTTACGAAAGGCGAGTTGATTTGGAGTTGGACATACCTCTTGCTCCTTCATGTAGCCAAAAATCTCGTCGTTGTATTCCGCAACCATGCTCGTATCCCAGAATTCGTCTTCAATGTCTTCCACGGTTCGGGTCGCTTCAACGATTTGCTTGGCGAGAGCCAGTTCGCGTCTGACCTGTTGGTTGATCTTGGGGAATAGGACCGTCGTCGCTCCACCCGTGGTGTTATCGCCCCGGGAACGGTAGGAGCGTGTGGTGGCATAGCCATCGTCGTCCTCGTTCTCATCCTCTTCATCATCCCAGTATTCCTCCGGCTCAGACTGCGCAGGAAGGTGATCGTCCGCCTGAGACGGATTGGACTCCCGGTGAGGCTTCGTCGCATGGTCCGAAGGACGAGGGTCGACCTCTCTAATTTGCTGAACCTTGCAGTCATCCTTCTCTGACTTGGAGGTATCCCTTTCGTCCTCAATCTCAGAACTGATACTGGAATCTTCTTCGGTATCATCGAAATGTGCGTTCACAGGGTCGGTGATCGCTTGGTCCCTGACCTGCTGCTGTTCAAGGGGTGCTGTCGCAGTCGCATGGCCCTCAATTGGTTGCTCGTCGGCTTCGCTGGTGGTTTCCTTGGATGTAGATTCGCTCTTCTCTGTCAATGGCTGCAATGTGTCCTTGAAGACCGTGGCGCGCTTGCCCACGGGCTTTCGGATATTGGCTGACTGCTGGATGGTGCCCGTCGGTTTCGCAGAAGGTTCGAGGGGCTTCGGATGAGAGATGTTGAGACCCTTGAAGCCCGACATCGACGTCGGACGCTGGGCTGGCTGTGCCAGGACAGCAGGTCTCTTCTCTACCGCGAGTCCGGACGGCTTCTCGGACGCTTTGCCTTGCTTCTTCCCCGGGAGAGCAGCATCATCTCGACTCCCATGGACGAGGTTCGCCGTATTGCTGACGTCTCCAAACGCGGCTCTCCTGGGAGCATTTTTGTTGGGGTTATGCTGGAAAACGGCGGGCAGCGCGGGGGTGGACTTGTTTTTCTGGTGAAGGGTTTTATTGGCGGGCGCCAGAGGGAAGGGTGCATTTTCGTCCGCGCGGACGCGAATTCTCTGGGGCTGTCGTTGGGGAAAGGAGTCAGTCTCGTACATGATGAATCTCTGCGACTAGGAAAAATAGGGATTGAAGGAGCGAAAACCGTGGCGCGTCAAATCCCCAAGGGTATCACGGTCACCTCTCGAGTAGATGACCTTGACCCAAGGGGGCAACGACGAGAAGAATGAGGGAAAGTGGAAAAAGAACCGACCAGCGACATACCTTTGCATCCATTTTGTCAAGTCACAGGGATGAAGAAACTTCAAACCTTTGCCAGACCGCGGGAGCTGGTGTTTGGGCGATTGTTTACCTCTTTGGTGCCTGCGTCGGGGCCGCCGTCGCAGTCGCTAACTATACTAAGTCGCCCCAAACAAACAACCCAACCACGCCAAGGACTCTGGATCGTGCGAAAGCAGACGATTTGGCAGAGAGAGAGAGATGAATATTTGTCTATTCGACCACCACCAGACAGAACCGAAGAGACTGTCGACCGAAGATAAACACACGACGAGAGGGAAGAGAAGGCCAAGGGAGGAGAGAGGGAGTAAGACAAGATCTCTACGAGTTACTAGGGAAGAATCAAAACAGTGACTTCCTTACTTGGTTACCGTCAACAACAGAGAGTCGGCGCTATTCCCATTCCGGCGTTGCTGTGGCATGCTTACCTCATCCCTTGGTCGGGTTTGTTTAGTTTGTCTGGATAGCCCCTCGATGACATCATTCGGCGCGTCTTCCCCACCACTGCTCTGACCAGGGTGATTCAGGTTACTGGATGGGGATTGGGGGAGGCACATATTTACTTATACCAGTAGATAGCTATAGCTGATGCGACCAGGTTCATACCAAAAACCCATATCATCCGCCTTCCAATGATGGATAATATGGGGAAGTCGGTCGTCCGGGCTGGGCGCGCGGGGCAACACGAGATCGGCAGCCATGAAACGCGCGATCACGTGGAGCCCTGATTGGGGGATCTCACTATGAAAGAGGAGATCCCGCCAACTGGGTGACACTTCCCCAGTCATCACTCCTCCTTCTTCCATGGCTCGATCGGGTCAATCTGAAAGACATAAAATGTTCTGATCCTGCGAATTCGCAGAATTGGACCAGAGAATCAACGGAGGCGGTTGAAAAGGAAGAGGCAACCCGCACTCTGAAACGTCTTCGAGATGCTTCGGGAAAAGCGCCGGGTCTTTCTCGTCGCAAACCGACCAGAATAATTCCGGTCACCCACCAAGCCGGGGAGGGATGAATAAAAGCTGGCGATTTTGAGGATCGCGGTGTCGCAAGATGTTGCGATCGTGGATGAATATCATCTGTATGGATTCAGATCAGATTTGCTTTTCCTTCTCTGGTCTCTGTCCCCCGTCCCCGCCCCCCGTTTACACCCGTGTCGCCGAACAGAAAGCCACCAGTGCCCTCGGTGTGGGACGCGGATGCGGCGGTACCTATCATGATGAAGCAACGGAGGTCGTAGCTTTGTCTTTCTTCAGCCAGACCCATCCACAAGACCACCTGGGTATGGCCGCCTCCACAGGGTGACAGGACTAAGGCAGTCCATGAGGATAGTGGTCCATGAAGACAGTTCTCTGGTCCAGCAGCCTTGACATGGACTGACTCGAATCTAAAATCTTCCTTTGTTCAAACCTTGGTCGTTCGATGTGATTTATCTGCTTTGCTTTTTTTTCTACCTTTTTCTTTTCTTTTTCCCTGTTCGTCGCGGAGCCGAAATGGAACGGTGAGAAAGTGGGCTATTGAAAAATAACAACACAGAGTTTCGGTGTGTCCTGGCGGGCTGGGCAGAGTCGACCATCTGATTGATTCCACCTCGCAAAGCTACGATGTCTCCCATCGGCCAATATGACCCTGGTGGACTGGGCGCAAAGTGTCACGTCAACTCTCAGGGCCCCAGAAAAATAAACCCCCTTCCGATGGTCTCCCCAGAAATATTTATCCTGAGGGATCGGAATGCGTCCAATCTCAGATCAGTTCACCATCGGCGGGTTTTAAGCTGCGAACGCATTCTTTCTTCCAAAATAATCCAGGATGGATCACGCTACGTTACTTGTTCACCAAACCCCACCCGGCTAACGGCATGCATCTGCTTTGCGCCAACTGTATCTTGGGCCTCCCTTTCTGCACCCTCGTTCTCCCCTCACTTATCTGGGTTATTCTACAAGTAGACGAACTACGATCGCATCGCGCGCCCGGAAGGCAAGAGAAGAGAAACTGAATACCCCATAGTCAATTCCCCCGTAGCTCGAGTCCTTCCTACTTCTTTCTACTGTCCTTCCCGCTCCGGCGCCCCTCCGGGGGAATGGACAATTTCCGTCGCATACCCGACCAAAAAAGAAGGGATAATGCTGGCGCGGCCAGACAAAACATCATGATACACGGAGGGGGGGATAAAGGTTGCAAAGGGCCAAATAGAACAGAATAAAAGCAGATGTGGATGATCGCCACTTGTGCCCGAAGGTTGCGAAGAAACGAGGATCCTTACGTAGCCCACACGTCCCGAGGAGGGGTAACGAGGACAAGTCTGGACAGGCGCAGATCATGAAACGAGGCAGCAATTGGGTTGTTCATTTGCTTGGCTTGTTGGGGAACTAATATTGGAGTCGCATGCCATTTTTACTGAGTAAATCATAGTATTAAAGATATCACATTTAAAAAAGGACATCTCCTCTCTACGTTCTACATCCAAGGACCTTGTTAGTATTGTCCTGGTTGGTTGGGCCACGGGGGAATGATTGGCGGTTGAGCGACCAGCGGGTTCCCTTTTGGCCGTCCCCGGACGCATCGGTCAATATGCACGCTGTTGGAGACATTCCATTAGGGAGAGAGAGAGAGAGAAAAGTGCCCCATTTAGCCACCAATATAAGAGAGGAGTGGATTCCCCTCGGGGTTTCGACCCATCTGGAGGGTCGCGATGCCTTTTGCGATCAGTAGAAAAGGAGGGAAGAGTCATGCGAAAGATCGAAAGAGAAAGGCTGACTCCGCTCTTGTCGCATTGGGAAAAGGAGCTGATTCTTCGGTGATTTCCCCCCAGCCAGTAGAGAAGCATTGTAGGGCAGTGCATCCTCCGTCGGTTCTTCGTAGTTGGTTGGATCTGATAGGGGGAGTATTACTTTGACGTGGCTCTCGCTGGAGGGGATGATGGTGATGGTGATGGAACGCCCGCCAACTCTCCGCCACTTCTGTCCCGACCGGGATGGTAACCAGCCATGAGAGAGACATTCGATTCCATCTAAGGATTGTAATAGTTGAAAGTAGAGTAGAGAATTGGAACAAGACCTGGAAGACGGGTCGGTCGCATACAATTTGCAAGAGAGAAGAGGAAGCACCGTACGGAGTAGTTGTCTAGATATGCGCCAGCGCCGGAGCGCACCTACGTCCACGATCGTCGCAATCGCTCACACCAGTAGAATCGGCCGGGTTAATTCATATTCTGTGCCAAAGTGGTCGCCATCCCTATTCTCATCGATAGATGTATTGCGACCACGGAGATGAGGACTGTGGGTGGAGTTCTACGGCCGAGTGTCCAGCGATCGTCATGCGATTCTGGACGTTGCGACCCAGACAGCAACCGGCGCAATGCGACAAGATCACCGGAGGTACAGAATAGCATCTCTGTTGTCGCGCAGGTGGAACAGTTCAGAGAAAGAGATAGAAACTACAGACTAGTAGAATCCAAACCAGAATCAAAGCGGAGAAGGTCAGTTGTGGGCATTCTCGTGAGTGAAACCCATGATCGATCAACCATCTGGTCATCAAATCATCGGCACCCACTTTGCTTTCTGGCTGCCTCAGTCACCCGCTCGCTTCCCTCTCTTCTTTTCCTCTTTCTCTCTCTTCCCTTTCGCTCTCTCTCTCTCTCTCTCTCTCTCTCTCTCTTCGCTGTTCTCCTCCCTCTCCATCTGCCAACTTCATCCATCTTTCTCCTCCCTTCCACTGCTCGGTTCTTATTTCTTTTTGATTCCTGTTCCTTCGGTTGGTCTCTCGCTTTCCTTTGGATTGGTATGTATTACTTTCTTACTGTCGCAAATACTGTTTGGGGTTCTTTTACTCCCCTGAACTGGTTGTCGGCTATGATCGACTTGCTCTGATGCCACCGCTGACATAGCCCAGCGCTTCGTAGTTAGACGACGACTCACCACCCACTCCCACCGTCTTCCCACTTCCACCTCCCCCAACTCCCTCCGTCACCACCACCTTCATCTTCCTTATCTCTTCAATCTCATCGAGTTTCTGAACTACTTGCGACTCGTCATCAACCCTTCTGGTTTACCTTAGGTACGTCTGTCTCGCCATTTTCTCCCTCCTCTTCCGGGACTTTCGGCCCACCGCTATGGCCGTCTACCCACCCTACCCCCTCAGTTTGCCCACCCCCAATCAGGATTCGACCAACGTCGAGTCGACCTCTCCTGTCCTGTGGCAACGGGGTCGGGAGATCATTATCCTCTTGTTGTAAATGTGATAGAAAATATGGTGCTGACTGGATGGGTGGTGTCTCCTTAGTATCCCGACGGCTTTTTTGGCTCTCATAAACCAAGCGCTCTTCGGCTTCTTGCGACTTGGGGTGCCCTCATCCCATCCACAACCCTTCGCCCATCAGTCATTGCCTGATCGTAATCGCGGGTGATCCATCTATCCATCCATCCCCTTCTGGTCTCTTCGTTCTGGTAGGTTCAGATGGAATTTGCCCATACCCTCTACCTCTCCTCCTCGTCCTCCTACCCTTCCCCCTCCCCACCCGCCTCCTCCTCGATCGCTCCGCCTCCTTCCCAGTCCCTTCCGTCGTCCGCTCCAGTTCGAATAGTCCATTGATCCAGTTGTCAATGTAGCAGTGGTGTGGTAGTCTCTCCCTCCTGGACTGTCCACAATGCAGGCTGTCCAGTACGAACAGCTTCCTGCTCCGGGGGGATCGCCCACCTATGCAGATCATCCTGCGCCGCATGACTTCTCCCCTCTTAAGGCCCCAGCGCCGAAGAATGTGGCCTTTGAGCTGCTTCTAGATGAGAACAAGGCGCGGGCTCGCATCCCCATGCGGGTCCAGATCTATCCTCATGATACCACGGACTCCATCGTGACAACAGTCAAGAACTTCTACGGGATCTATGAGGGCGGGAACGGGGTCAGCTTTGAAGATGACCACGGAACCACCCTCATTGCCCGGTATGAGAACTTGCGGAATAACATGACCGTCTACGTGCGGGTCATCCCCCTCCCCACGTATGCGGAAGGCTACGGCGACCGCTACTACGGGCCGCTTCCTGTTGATCCTTGTAAGCGCCCCAGTCTGGGTGAGCCGTTCCAATTGGCACAGGCCATGCCGTCGTCGCAGGCGCCGGGGATTCCCCGATCGCCCTCGCGTCCGGCGTCCCGGCTGGCTCGGAAGCGCAGTATATCGCCGTCCGGGAGAAGCCGTCGCAGCGTCTCCCAGCACAAGCCGCTGTCGCGGGCAGGGAACAAGAGCCGGGGCTCGAGTACCCACGGCAGCTTCCATGATGATGCTGCAGGGTATAGCGACAGCGATGGCGGCTACGGGTCCGTCTCGGGCACCAAGAAGACCCGCAGCGAGCAGCTGGGGAGCTCCGACATCAGCATGGAGAACATCCTCCAAGATGGCCGCCGAAAGCGGCCCAAGTTTGATAGCTCGGTGAGTTTTGACCCGTAGATCTTTCTCGCATTGCTATTGCGGTCGCTAACCGGGTCCTATTCCACAGGAATTGCCCTTGTTTGCCCCCCCTCAGGTCCCCCTCACCACCTCCACGTCGTCGATCTCCCCTCAGCGCCGATCCATTGGGCAGGAAGGGGCCATCTCCCCGTTCGCTCGTCCCACGCAACGTCCCTACACATACCAGCACGCACTGCCGTCCCCGCAGAGCTACGGCCAGAGCGAGCAGGCATATCGCATGAACCCCGCCCCGAGTTCGGTGTATGCCACGCCAATGGTCCCCGACCAGGGTCATGGCCTGCGGGACCGGACGGTCACCCAGTCGTCTGGGCAGTTCAGCAACCCCGCCGGGCCTACGGGCGCCCCGGGGATCCTGCCGACCCCGGACCCGACTATTGCCAGCTGCATCTCCGATGAAGATGTGGCGATGCAGCTGATCCGCCTGGGCGACGCCTCCAACTTCTCCCATGGGCGCACGTCCGCGTCGACGCTGGACGATGCGTTCAGTGGCGCCGCCGACGCCGCCTCGTCCACTGGTGCGACGAGCGAGGGGGAGGACTTTAGTGACGACGATGACGACCTGCCCGCCCGCGGTCGGCAGAAATTGGAGTCCAGCCCCATGCTCCCCCCGGGTGCGACCAAGCATACCCACAAGCGGCTGGATGATATCCTTCCGAGCTATGACAGCTCCGATGGCAGCTGTGATGGGATGGATGACGAGTACCACTACCATCACGACGAGGATCTGATCCGCGACGGTTCGATCAAGAACGAGATCGATAACGACTCCGTCTATCGGGAGACCGCACCCAAGTCCAAGAAGACCAAGATTCGGACCACCAACGGCATCCCCTCCTCCAAAGCGCGCCCCAAGCCCGGCGCTCCCCGACAGATCAAGAGCGGTAGCAAAGGCACCGGCTCGGCAGGTCCCCGCAAGGTGAAGCCGATGTCCACGACGGCGACCCACAAGCCGGCCATGTCGCCGCCGCTGGTCAGTCCCGCGCCGACCCGCAAGGCGTCCACCTCGTCGGTCAACTTCCAGCCCCCGCTGGCGGCGGACGAGGAGGACCTGTCGACGAAGCCTCGCTGCCAGCGTTGCCGGAAGAGTAAGAAGGGGTGCGATCGCCAACGTCCGTGTGGGCGGTGCAAGGACGCCGGCATCGGCGTGGAGGGCTGCATCAGCGAGGACGAGGGGAATGGTCGCAAGGGCCGCTACGGTCGCCACATGGGCGTGCCCGTCAAGAAATCAATTGACGATTACCCATTCGCCGGGAGCGACCTCTCCCCCACGCTGATGGCCGCGGTGCCCCTCACATCGGCGGTGATCGATAAGAATAAGAAGCGCAAGCGTTAGGCTCGGAGAGTGGTTCAGGCGTTTGAATCGTGGCCTCGTGCTGGGATCACGAGCTGAGCTGAAGGCGACGCATTGACTTAGACCGAACCAACTGTCATTTCCTCTACCTTTTCATTTTCTGGAATGACCCTCCCTCGTTCTCCTCCCTCTGTTTGCCATCGATATTTCTCTGATGGTTCCGTTCCTTTGGTTTCCCTGCGATAACATGCTACTCTCCTATCCAATCCATCCAACGCAGGTTCCCTCTTAGTCATCTCGCATGATGTGCCTTTCCCAGTCGAATGCCTGAACCATGTGACAGCCCCGACGAAGGGCCTTAAACATGTTTCTTCGTCTTTTTTTCTCTTTTCTTTTCTTTTTTCATATTATTTGCACGTGCGTGTCGGCTGTGGCTCTGCCTGGACCATTGCTTGCTGTTTATCATGGATAGTCTAGCGAAAGAAGTGAGCGGTTGATTGATTGATTGATTATCGTTGTGTCTTTGACTTCATCCTTGTCTCTATCGTTGTCGTCTTTTGGCGTTCACGCTGTTCATTGCAGACCATTACTGGATCCCAATCCGACAGCCTCCGCTCCTTATCTTACACTGCAGTGAAGAAATATCTTTTTGTCATACGTGGTTTATGCTTGACTTTTTATTTACCATCTTTACTGTTATTAGGTGGATGGATGGATGGATGGCGGTGGATAGGAAATATATATTGATTTGAAGCCTCTTTTGTCCTTACGCAGACTAAGTGGAATGATGTAGTAGTATCTACATTCCAACGCGAGTCCTACATCGAACCTCTGGCTCCGTTTTCGTGAGTTTGATACTGCCCGTGGATGGTAAATAAGGTAAATAAGGTAGGTAGGTCAGGTATGGTATAGGTAGTACCCAGTCGATACTACCCTGGCAGCCAATATGAGTACCGTAAACGGTTAGCGCGACCGGCACAGATGCGACTAAGCGCGCGCTTGGAATCTTATTTTTCGATCAGCTTTTGATATTGTCTTTACTACGGCGTACAGTATGTGTGTTTAGAGATGGTAAGTCAGGTCTGGATGATAGAGTTGTTCATACGTGGATAGAATGATGTACTAGGTACCCATGACCACGTCGTCCGATAGAATCGATACCCCATGATCGACAGAGAGAGAAGGCTGGGGACTGTCTCATGCATCGTGGGGTAAAGAAGAAAAGACAACAAGAAAGATAGAAAACTGGACCGACAACACATCATGATGAAGTTGCGACAAGTAGGTAGATACAAGGTAGAGGGGGTGCCAACCACCCAATATCAACTAATCTTATTGATTGGATAGACAGACACGTCGGTCGCTGAGCGGGGTTCGATTCCCAGCCCTATTGTTTATTGGTGATTGAGATGATGTGATTCCATCCAGCCATTGTTTATCATACACATCTTACTATGAAAGCTTCCATCATTTTTAGTCAGAAAGGAAAGACATGGCTAGGATAAAATGAAGATAGTCCAATTAAACCAGTCTCGACCCTCGGTTTAGCCGGAGATGAAGGGCGGAGTGGGTCAGGGTCTTTGATTTGAGTGAGTGGTTTCGGCTGAGGTGGCTAGGCCTGAGGCTGTCGGTACTAGGTAGCTCGGTGGTTAGTTAAGGAATGAATCATGGTCGGAGACAAGCCGGTTGTTCGAGGTTGTCGGTTGATGATCTATATTTAGTTGGATTGTACTGAGTGGTAGGATGTATGTAACATGGGACGAGTCATGTGAGACATTCTATCCCGTGACATCTAGATATAATTTAGACTTGATTCTGCTCATAATTGTACACCGTCTCCTACCCTCCTATACTCTGTAGTACTACCTCGTACCCCAAGTAAGGAGATCAAGTAGGCAACCAACTCCAAGGTACCGACCAGGGACGAATAATCCGACAAGCTTTGATGACTGGCACGAGACAGGGATCTACACGAGCTAGTCCCAATCCGGCCTGACACGGTAGCGAATCGACCAGTCAGATGCTCTGGCACGATGTAATCCCTGTCTGCCAAGATGCCACCTTTCCGTTTTAAGGTGGTTGTACCACTTCACCCCACTCTAGCGTAACGCCTTTTCTTTTCTTTCTTCCCAAAGGTCTTCAAGGACCTTTCCCTACCCAGTCCTTAGTAGTCTTAAGGAAATACTTCTAGTGAGGCTAGTCCTGCTAGTCGCCCCAGGCTATTCCTATCCGTGACAGCTTCGTCCGGCTTCTTTCTAGCCTTCTCTCTAGCCTCTTCTTTTTCATCTCTTCTCTTCTACGTCGTCGTTTTGATCTCCCCCCCTCGTTGGCCCCTCTTCGTTCGCTTTCGCTCTTTTTTGCGGTCTTATATTACTGTCCATTCCTCTCGTTCTCTCTCTCTATCTCTCGGACACACACCACTATCGAAGACCATCTCCTCACTACTCTCTCCACAGAGATTGATCTAGTCAGAGATCGAGATCCCTCTAGTCACTCGTTTGATATTCCTTCGGCTCCACATTCGCTTCTCGAGCCTTCACATCTACTGCGACAAACGTCCACTACGCGCAAAACACTCCTATCTGTCGCATCGCCAACCTACAAAACCTACAAAACCTACAAAACCCTCCAATCGCCCATCTGAAGATCAGATACCCACACCATGAAACCCTCCAATATACTCCTCTATCTGGCCCCCACGATCGCCCTCGCAGCCGAACAAAATCCCCAGCACCCACCCCCGCCATCCCGCATTCCACACCCTCCACCTCCCTCAACACCCTAGACCCATCCAACAGCGACGCGGAAGAACCGCTCAACCCACACCAAGTATTACACCTCGCCAACGACAATGCGCCCCTAGCGCTGGTGGAAGAAGATCCCGCGACAACCACCGTCCCCGATCCATGGCCCGCCCCAGCCCAGGGACACATCGGGTTAGGAACGTTGACCCCGTCGCCGGGAGCCACCAAGTCTTTGCGCGCGCGGAGTGAAGGCACGCTGGGCCAGACCCCGTGGATCGGGATGGCTATTGGCTTGACGTGTACTGCTCTGGCGGCGGTGATGTTGGGGTGATCCGTATCTCGGATTTATCCTTACCTTCTTCTTTTATATCCTCTTTCGCCTTCGTCTTTCTTCTTTATATTCTTTTATTTCGACCTTTTTTCTTTTTTCCTTACTTATCTTTCTCCAGTATTTGCAACCGGGATTGTGATCTTGCTGCGAGCAGCTTCGATACTGGATTTGAACGGCGCGGACTCATCGCGACTAATACGTGTGGATGCGACGAGACCATACTCTTATACTTTCTTCTTCTTTTTTTTTTTTTTTTTTTTTTTTTTTTTTACTGCACCATACCCACATGTATAGACGGGTTAAGACGCATTGGACGTGTACATGATACCTTTTGCTTTTTGCTTCTTTACTGTTATGGATGATTGCTTGGTTGGCTGGTGAGATACAGCTGTTGTGATGATGTGCTCTGTTACTAGAGTTTTATAGATGAATATATACAATATTTGCTATAGCTTTACAAGTCTATCTTTATTCCCGTATCTATCCATCGATATTATGGATAATAATCGCTAGATGGCGTATTTTGCTTGAATAAGCTGATTTCGGTGTATGCGACATACTAATGGAAGTCAATAATAGCCTCACAATCCAACCCTATCTATACAAAAAGGTACCCACCCATCCTCCTCAAATTATACTCATTTCCACCAAAATATACATACAGAACTACTCCAAAATATCAAAGTGCAACAAAGATAATAGTACCGAGGCAATACGAACCAGACCAATCAACCATCAATCAATCAAGTCTCAACTGACTCCGCGTCAGCAACAAAGAAACCAAGCCTGACCAAGCCCGGGCGTCAAAGAGGCTGTGTCAACCCCGACTTCGTAAGCCTTGCTTTTATCTTCATCATTTCATTTCATTCCATCTCATCTCATCTCTCATCATCCATCTCCTTAACATACAGTTTTGCAACTCAACAGTCGTATATCTACATCTATATATACACAAAAAGTGAATAAAGAAGACAGAAGAAAGAAAATGTCCGACAACCTCTCCCTCATCCCCGAAAAGAACCGCCCCCCAGAGACCCCCATCACCTCCCTCGGCCACGAACTCGGCATCATGTTCGGCTTTATGGCGGCTTGTGTGGTGATTATGGTGATTTATGTGATATTCTGGCGGGGTATATTCCTTCTCTCTCTCTTTCTTTCTTTCTTTCTTTCTTTCTTTCTTTCTCCCCGCTTCTCTCCACACCCCATGTCTCTCTCTCACCTCTCTCCACTCATATAATATAAGAATATGAGTATAAAAGACATATCTAACCCCACTGTCTGGAATATATAGCAGCCGAAAAACGCGAAGAAGCCCACCAAGCCCACCGGCGCGAACGGCTCGCCGCGCAACACGCGCACGACTTCCAAGCGCGCGGCGGTATCGGCGGGGGCATCGGGGGCGTGCATGAGAAGATGGCTGATGCGGAGGGGTCTGGGGAGAGGAGGGTGGAGTTGCCGGGGTGTACGTCTTTGGGGGATCATCATGATGGTGGTATTAGTGGGAGTAATAATAAGACTACTGCTGCTGGGAATCCTGGGGCTATGGTGGTTGGAGGGACGAGGTTTGAGTTTGAGTTTGGGTTTAGGGGGGGTAATAGTCCTGGTCCTGGGGCTGGTCCTGGTTCTGGTCCTGGGGCTGGTGGTGGTGGTCAGGGTTATGGTCAGAGGGTATGATGGGTGGTGGGTGGGTTTGAGGATTTTAGTAGGGGGTTGGAGTTATAGGGTTGTTTTGGTCTGATTATATGGTCTATGTCTACGTATATCCAGAGTGGAGAGGGATCTGGTCTATTCTGTTAAGCTCATTCATTTATTGATTGTCATTATATTAACATCCCACAATAAGTATCATCAAGATACATCTACCAAGCCAGCCTGATACTCATATCAAAGATATTATGCACACAAATAGCCAAATCAAATCAATCCCCCCGTCCCCTGCCCCCCATCGCCCCCCCCCTCATGCCAGCTTTTCTTCAACTTATCAAGCATACTCTCCCTGCGCGAACGACCCTGCTCGTGACCTTTCTCGTGGTCGCGGTCGTGGCCAGAACTCCGACTCTGACCCTCGCTATCACTGCGGCTGCGACTGCGGGTGCTACCATGGTGTGCGTCCTCCTCACCAGCCGAATCCTGATCACGACGACGTTCAAACATCCGCTCGAGGACGCTCGCTTTGTGATGTGGTTGTGTTTGCTGAGAGTCTGGAACGAGTGAGTTGAGTTGAGCCTGAGGCAGCTATAGTGGTGGTGAGCTAACCGGGAGACATGGTTGTCGTGTAAATCTGATGGACGGGGTATATCGATAAATTTGGCGTGGTAGAGACGGTTTTATACCATGAGCGCAGCTCATATGGTTGTTGGGGGTGTGGTGTATGGTGGTGGGTGATGACGTCGTTGGAACCTTCGGTAGGGGTTCCGTTGTCATCCGCGGGGACGAACCCAGGCAGATGATAGGTACGTGCCGGGTGCGAGGTGATTGGTTCTGTGCTCCTGGGCTGTCTGGATTGGACTGTTCTGTGTCCTGTGGACAGACCTAGCCCGGTCCATGTCTCTCATGTCATTTTCCAAATGGGAGAAAGAGAACCATCTCAATCACCCTCTCGAAAAGAGGACGCCGACGACGACAACGAGGAGGATGAGGAATCAGAAGAAGAAGAATCATCAGGAGAACCCCTCACAACCCCAAACACCCCCAAAAACTTCCTCTTCCACCACTTGACAAAGATGGCCCTCGCCTCGCGCAAATCCTCCTGCCTCTCCATCTGAACCCTCCTCTCCCTCTCATAAAAGTCCTCAACACCATAATCGTAGTCGCTATCGCGAGGACGCACCCTATCAAAAACCGCAATCTGCGGCCTCCGAAATTGGTAGAACTCCCTCCGACAGAGCGGACAGCTGGCGTCGCGGGTGCAGAGCCAGCGGTCGATGCAGGGCTGGTGGAAGACGTGCGCGCAGGGGAGTTTGCGGAGGGTGGATTTTCCGTCCATGTCTTCTAGGCAGAGGTCGCAGGTGGTGGGACATTCGTGGTTGTTTTCTATACTTTGATAAGATGATATATGAGCATAGGACTTGATGATAGTAGTAGTAGATGCTGGGTTGTATGGTTGATAACTTACCGTTGTCGAGGGGTGTGTAGCAGGGGAAGGTCGCGTGTGTTAGATCGCGCGCGCTCAATGGCCCTGGGATGGTTGGGAGGTGGAAGGAGACGCGCCGGAGAGACCGGTGGTATGTTGATGGAGAGGTGTTTATGAATTGGGGCGCCATTTTCACGAGTGTTTCTCGTCCGTTGATATCCATGAGGTAGTTTGTTTTATAGATTGTATGGTTTGGGTAGTTTGAGATAGGGTTACAGTTATCAGTAGTCCAATATCTCTAGATGTACAATATTCCGTAGTTAAAAAGATGTTATTCAAACCAGAAAAGGATATCAGCACCTATTTATGCCAATCTAGAAAAAATCTAGAAAGACGGACATATCTCGGGCCCCGAGTGCATGCCTCGACCCAGGCCATGTTGCACTTATCTGTCTGTCTATTGGACCGCCTGCCAAGTGATTCTTCTCGGCATTCTCTCGGCACACGGTCCGGCTGCGTTATGACGCAGCCTGCGGTATGAATGATCATTTCATGTTTTTCGAGATAACTGTACCAAGAGGTACATTCCTTGAGTTACCTATTTCGCTAATGTGTACCTGGATGTCTTGATTGTTGCGGCGTATTCCCTGACTGGGATAGTAGTCACGTGTCAGCCCTAACATCTAACATCAACCTGAGGTTAACAACTACCAGTTGATCATGGATATCCATATCCATATACCCATATCCAAGGTGATATACAATACCTCCCTCTCTCAACAATCCATCAGATGTAACCTCTTTACTGACATCAACCTGGTCAAAGCCAAGCCATATCAACCCAACCCGCCAAGCCCAACAACCCATCCCATTAGAAATAGATACTCCCAGCCGATCACTAATCGCCACATTCGCCACCAAAACAGGAAATTTGTTGCGTCTGCATTATTTACTTCAAATGCCGCATGTCATAGACTTATGATCCCTCTCACTCAAGGCCTTACTTGCTGAAAGCCAGCGACGGATGTGCCAAACAGAGATGGACCCTAACCATCGCCCTCCTCCTCACAGCAGGAATGGGATGGGATGGGATGAGAACATCCCTCCCCTATAACTAACTACTCACCAATCCAACCCTCCATCCTACAATAAAAAACACACCTCCAACCGAGATAAGCGAGCCCGCCACGTAACTACCCATCCATCCGCCAAGCAACCAGGCCCAGATCTACTCGAATCCACCTGGACCGTTTCCGGTGAATCCGGCCGGTGGAAAAAGGGCCCCGCTCTCTTCCAGAACAGAGGTAGAAAAAAAAACAGAATGACGTATTCGGCCGGTCTCCTGCTACCGCTATAGGGAAAGAAAGAAGCATCCATCTACCAGGGTGGATATGGCAGGGTCTGGGCTTATAGCTTCGAAAGCTTCGACTTGGGTCCTATTGGTGGGTTGGGTTGTTGTTGTTATTGGTAGGTACTAGGTATTTGTTAGCATGTCTTATTTTGACCATTCGACCGGAAACACCAATTTGGGGAGTGGTAGGGTCTTAATATCAGACGGTATTCATTCACTTGTATGGATCTGGGTAAGGTTTTGGTTTAACTACCTTAGGGTAACTGGTTGGTCAGGTAGATCAGGCATTTATAGATAACATCCACCTGTAGATAGACGGGAAATTGGGCTGTTGGAGAACTCATTGACTGGGCACGTCCATGCGTGCTGTCTACTGCTGTTTACTACTGTGCCACTTTGATAATCTATACTACTACGTATACACTACGATAATAATATCCCGCCAACCAGTTATATTTGTGCAATACTTATAGTACAAGGGGTACTACAAACGCAGCAGACGCAGGCAACATGCAGGCAACATGCAGGCAACAGCAGAGCAGAGAAGTCAAATCAACGCGCAATAAACATTAACGTCAAACAGGATAACACGGAGATAACAAGCGAAACACAATAGATAGATAGGTACGATCAAGATAACATAACGCATCGACAGACTGGCGGGACGGCATAAACACATGAACATCAAAACAATTCTAACGCATATTAAAGTCTTCAGGAGACGGTCAACAACAATAATGATAATTCAAAATGGTCCAAAATGAGTGATTTGAAAGAAACTAAATCAGAAATCAAATGAAATGAAAATAAAAACGAAGAAAGAAGTAAAAAACAAGGGCGAATTATATAAAGCACAAGGTATCAAACTGGGACAAATCGACGGAAGAGTGACCAACACGCTGATGCGCAAAGAAGGGGGAGAAGAAAGCACTAAAGATTAGGTGTAGTCCAGTGTAAGGCGATGAGAATGAAAAAGCAAGACAACTCCACCAAGTGCTAAAGTGAAGAACACACAGGACCAGCCGGGTGTCGAGATGTTGCCCAGGGAAACTGCCCATAAAAACACGAAAATGACCACACCGGACTCCTGTGAGCTCTTGCAAGGGAAACCGACAGGAAGAACCAATAAACGACGTAAAAAAGAGTAGAGCAAAAGAAAAAAAGTGGCGGCCGGACACCGGCAAGATTCCATGGCGGATCGTCATTCCATCTGGATGACAGTTGCCTACCTTGCACCGTGCCCAACCGTGAATCCGAAATCCGTCAATGCCCAATATATATGCCCAGGGAACGAGAGGAAGAAAAGAACAGAACGCAGGTCGAGATAGACTAGGCCATCGGAAGCATGAACATGCTAATAAGCCGTGCCGACGCTGGCGAGCGTCTTCGTCGGCATTGGGTGGATGGGTTGGTCCTTGGACATACGCAAGGAGTCCTCATAGCCAACCAAGGCTTGGGAGTGCAGCTTGAAGGACTCGCCCATAAGTTTGGTGATTCTAAGATACTGTTAGCCAATCTCGGAATGGAAGATGCTTGAAAAGGGCGATTAACTTACCCCCAAACCACCACACCGTCCAAGATGTTACCCCAGACACGGGCCACGGTGGAGCTGAGCTTGCCGAACGCATCGACGGCGTCGTCATCAAACAGATTCCGCACCTTGTTGTAGATGGCCATCTCGGCCTCCGTCGCGGGCTCATCGTCGTGTTCCAGGCGATAGAGCCAGAGGCTGAGGATGACCATCAGATCCAAGCCGCAGAGGGGATGCTCCACACTCCAGTTGGTGGCGGAGGTTTTGGCAACCCAGTTGATGCCTTGGACGGCCGCGATCTCGATGCATTCGAAGCAGGACTGGATGACCTTGTTCATCTCCTGGGACCGCTTGACCTTCTCGCGCGCGACGGTCATGGCCGCGGCGACCTCGTACGAGGAGTGATAGCGCAGCGCCTCCTGGATGGACTTGAGATCCACTTCCAGACGGGCGCGCGTGTTGCGATAGACCGCCATCGAGTTGAAGATCAGCGGGTGACCCTTCTGAGGGGTGCTGAGCGGCACGACAATGGTCTCGGGCTCGCACACCTCGAGCGAGCTCTCCCACGTCTCGAGCGCGAGGCGCAGCTTGTACTCGGTGACCACATCCTGCAACGCCTCGAAACTGCGCTTGTGGTTCCAGACCTGCAGAAACAGGGCGTTGATCAGGACGCGGGTGGCGAACGCGCTGTACCGCACCTGCTCGCCCTGGAACAGGCAGTCGTGGGCCTCGCGGACGGTGAGGGAGCTGGCGGTGGCCAGGCTGCGGCGCCAGGCCTCGTCGTCGTTCACGTCCAGGTTCCACAGCGACTCGGAGGAGGGCAGCTCCAGGTTGTCGATCTCGTCGAAGCTCATCGCCGGCGTGTGGTTGAAGGTCAGCGTGAGCATGCCAAAGAAGATGTAGACGGCGTAGTAGGTCCGGCGGCACGATTCGTCCTCGATCCACTCTTCCCGGGTGGGGTGCCCACCCTCGCGCGCCTCGGTCCGCAGCTTCATCTGGTACCGGTTCCCGGCCACCATGTTGGCGAGGAGACTCTTGATGGAGCACGTCCATTCGAGCCCCTTCGGGTCGCCGCTCCAGCTTTCGAAGATCATGTTCAGCAGGGTGCTCTGCATGGCCCACAGCGGGCACTTGCGGGAATCGAAGTTGTCCTTGTGCTGCAGGAATTGGTTGACGAGCATCTTCGACCCCACGTGGAGCATGAAGGCGGGCGCGCGCTCGAACGTGTACAGGGCGCCGATCGACAGGACGGCCAGGAGCAGGGGCGGCGAGGTGCTGGTGGGCTTGAAGGACTCCTGGTGCAGGAAGGGCAGGTGGTGGTGATACAGGTTGAAGTACGTGGACAGGTACTTGTTCAGGGCCGCGGTGGACGGCAGCTGGAAGGTCTCGGGCAGCGAACCGAGGGCATCGGCGTTCCGGATGCGCTCGACGACCATGCTTCGTTCGATCTCGTTGGCGATCTGGGGAGCCTTGGGTAACGTCAGTGCCTGGCTCGGGCCCGGCGACTTACGGTAGTTCACGGGGCTGACGGGGCCCGTCATGGAGGGATAGGGCGACAGGGCGTTCGGGGTGGAGTTGCCCGACACGGGCAGCGAGTTCACCAGCGAGTTGAGCGAGGGAGCGAGGGCGTCGCCGACGGCGCCGTGGCGGTCCATGACGGAGGAGAGGGTGTGCGAGTCGGAGCCGCTCTCGTGCGTGGTGAAGGGCGAGTCCATGGAGCGTTTCGTGTCCGCGGGGGAGACGAGGGTGTCCCAGGGCATCTGGGGTAACGTCGCATTGCCGGACAGGTACGAGACGGACGAGGGTTCCAGGAGGGGACCGCGTCCGGGGGAAAAGGAGCGATCGGACTCGGCACGGTCATTGCCCTGACCAGTGGCAGCAGCTGCGGCCTTATGTTGGAAGTCTGTCATCAACATGGCTGCAGTTTCAAGGTCGACCATACCGTCACTGCTTGCCTCAATTTGCTCTAACGTCGCGGGATCAATGGTGACCGAGGGCTTGGAAGGAGCGGATGCAGGGGAAGGCTTCTGAACACCCGAGTTTCCTCCACGGCGACGACCCTCGGACACGAGTGGCACCCCACCATCTTTGGCGTGAACAGTACGGTCATGGCGGAGGAGTAGATCTCTGCGCACGAAGGTGCTGCGACACTTTAGGCACTTGAAGGGTCTCTCTTTGGTGTCTGTTGAGAGAGGTCAGTATCAGGTTAGAACCGTGGCAATCGGAAAGGGTATTGGGTGTTGATGTGGGAAGGAGACGAGGGTCGATGAAAAACCACGCGACGAGAGCAGGGGACGAGTATAGCACTTACGCGAACGTTCATGACGGCTGCGATGTTCACTTCGGCTGAAAGCGCGATTGCAGAATTGACATTTGTATTTCTTCTCCGGGACGGAGGTCTTTTTGGCCGGCGAGTTAACCGCGTGGTTGGGAGCGGTAGGAGCCATTTCTTCGAGAAGATGGTGCGACGGAGGCGCCAGACCGAAATCTTTCTCAGCAAAACGACGGCGAGGGAAAGGGCAGTGGTATCGTCCCTTTCGTGATTTCACACCGGTTCTGAAGGCGGGTTGACGACAGGATTTCGGATTGATGTCTGATCATTCCTCGGGAGCAGGGTGAAGACCGGACAAGTTGGATGATACCAAACTGGGGGGGGGGATGTTGAATAGAAGAGGGGGGTGGGATAAGAGGGTCCAGCCACAGGCGGACGGAGAGAGGGGAAAATAAGAAGTGGTATGTTGAGAACCACGGAGAAACCAAAAAGAACAAGACCAGAAACAAATAAGAATGATGAAAAGAGAGAGTGGATGAGAGAAGAGAGATGTTGAATATCTAGATAGGAGGGGGAGGAGGGGGGGAGGAGAGAGAGGGAGGGGAGGTGGAAGAGAGAAAGAGTGAAGAAGAGAAAGAGAAGAAGAAGGGAGGGAGGGAGGAGGGGGGAGAGAAATGGATGAGGAGAAAGTCCAGAGAGAGAGAGAGAGACAGAGAGAGAGAGAGAGAGAGAGAGAGAGCTAGAGAGAGTCTGGTCTAGTCCAGAGGAGGCGAGTGTGGGAAAAGTCGCGAGCAGGTCGTGGGCCGAAGCGGATGGAGAGAAATGTGAGGCGGTCGTGTCCAGCGTCGGTGTTGGCGGACTGGGGAGCAGAATATTCGCATCATATTTTATTAAATAAATGATAATAAAATAACAAGAATAATAACAAGAATAATAATCATAATAATAATTCAAATAAAAATGAAAAGAGGGGCTTCCCGGGCGGGACTGACGGAGGGCGAGAGACAGACCGTCCCTAGTAAGAGAGGACAGTATGAACACGTCCCACTTCTCTATTTCCACCCGTCGATCCCCCAACTCCCAACTGACCGCCTGACTAACCCCATGACTAACTAAACACGTCCCTTGTGTCGGTATTTTACAACCATCGTACGAAGATACCATCGCCTCAGGCCTAGGTACACTACAATCCACAGCCCACATGGACCGACTGCTGTAGCTTCAATCCATCCCGTCAGCCCGGTTCATCTATCTATTTCTTTGATTTCTTTATCTGTTTTGGATGGTTTGGATCTATTTTACATTTAATGGATAGATATAGGATACACCGTCAAACATCGACTCTTGTGGCTGTCGAGAACTCCATGATAATCTCATTAGTCTTCACGATGTGAGGGAGAATAAATGATCGTGTCCATGTCTTCGATCCACTACGGCTTTATCCACTGCGCACAACGCATTGGGAGAAAGACACACAATCAAATTAAACGACTTGGCTTCTTCTTTGATTTTCATTTTTCTTGATTTTTTTTTATTTATTTATCTATCATTATTATTTCAATCTTATTATAATCAGTTGATGTGCCCCTCAACCCCTCCATGAAGGATACCTGGATAATTGATCCGTAAAAACAATAAAAATAATCCTACTAGGTCCGACTTATATACTGTATGCATGACATTGACATTGGGCAGCATTGTCTCTGGATAGATCTCATCGTGATGGATCATCCATCGACCGGCTCTCTGGAGTATGGACGATATGGCACCTATGAAGAGAATCGATACTGCAAAGGTTCCATAACGATGGGCAAATCAGGAATCCTGACCATGACGAACCCACATGATGTTAGTTATGTCCGGGATTCGTCTGACGATGCTATCCTTTTCCCGACCTCATCCTCCATTTCCCATCCCTGCCTAGTGCCTGACCCTCCCCCCTCGCCGAACGAATCGAGATGGTTACCGCAATATATCGCTGCACCGACTGATGGTAGACCTTCCGCGATGCAGGAGTCCCACTAATCAGTCTACTAGTACTTACGTTTAATATTAATATTCACATCAATATGATTGTTGATTTATTTGATCTTAATTTATGATTTATTTTTGATCATTACTCACTGTGGGGTGTTGGTATGAACCTCGATCTGGAATGGCATTAACTCTGTCTGGAACTAGGGAAGTTGAAGAGGCGGTAACACGGTCTATCATCTACAATTTACCAGTCTCTCCTCTCGAGTATCTATCTACTCTACCAAGTGTCTATCAAGACCTTGAGGTCAATCTGACAGCGCAGAAGAGTGGTAGGGACGAATCTCAACCCATGGACGGCTGCGGGGCCACCTACCCAAGCCATTCTACATCAGATATTCAACATGAACAGTCCAGGTCAATAACAATCAAACCAGAGAATGGAAAAGAAACAATAAAAATAAAATAAAAATAAGAAAATAAGAAAAATAAACCATCGGGCACTCTAAGACATCAAATCTATCACACGCAAGTAAGCCCCTCTCAGGAGAATTGAGATTTTACCTATATATTTCTTTTTTTCTATTTTCCAAAGTAAAATACCTATAAGGAATAGTATGATTGTGATACTACCATGTAACGTGATTTTCGGCCCCTCAATCCTCAATCAGCCCCTCCGCGCCCCCCTCCTCCCTCCTCCTCCTCCCTTTGCCCCTCCAACCAAACAGCACCAGATCCTCAAATGCCACAGGAGCCACTCACTTCCCCCCCCCAAAGCATGATTCGTGTGTTTGGTTTTTCTCTTCATATCCTTCATTTCCACCAGGGATTCTTTGATCCTTTGCTTTTCCATCGTCTCGACCTCAGGAGTTCTGTTGGATGGCTCTTCATTCCAGTCCCATTCCTCATGGCAGTTTCATCTTTCAGCCTATGTAGGGATTTATTATTATTGATTCATTCATTCTCGGGATCATGGTCATGTTCGCGTTCGCGTTCGCGGATCCTTTGGTATCCACTTTCCATTAACTAATCTCTCCCCTCCGGAGTAATCTCAAACAGATGGAGGGGGATGAGAAGGGGTTGATTACTCCCCCGCCACTCCCTTTATTCATTCGATCCACCCTGTCCTTGGGAAAAGTGATGTAGTAGCCTGGAGGGAGGTAGGTATCTTTGGTTCCCTCCGCGTCCAAGTCCAAAAGACCCAGACGAAGCGACCCCTCGGTTCCCCCTCCCCCCCTCTCTAGTCTCTACCTACTGTGTGTCGGTTTCCTTGACACGGAACCGGACCGTTTTCAATGATCATGAGCATCATCGTCGCCCTCACTCAGCGTCATCATCAACCGTAACCCACTTCCTACCCCTCCTTTCTTCCCTCTTCGGGAAATGGATCCCTTCTTTACCCCGGATGGTTTGTAATATATCAATGAATTATCTCTATACTATCCGTATAACTACGGAGTACACTACACTAACTACATCACTCGTGGCCAGAGTACCGAGGTAGTCACAATATATATTCCACGGCCAAGTCAATAATCCAGATAGACACAGTGGATCTTCAAACCGAACTCTACCATTGTTCCAGACCACTGCTCGGATCCTCTCCCCATCCACACTAACTAACCATCATAAATATTTCCAACGCGTCTTCCTCTTTACCTACGTACCTACCTAGCCCTCTCAGGCTACCTCGAGAGCAACAGACAATAAAAAAACCAACCAACCACAGGAAACACCGTGGAGAGACAGCATTGGTTAACCACCTAGCTTGGCTGGCCACGCCACCCGTCATCGCGCAGCAGAACCCGTAGGAAATTAGATTCAATCAATCAATCTGACCTCTCCCTCCTGACGATGCGATGTGATCTCTCTGGCGTTGACAGATCATCGTCCGTTCTGTTGGGATGTCTGTATAGATAGCTGTATTGATAGATCCATCTATCTTACTTTGTCCACCACCACCACCACCACAATATGAATCCGTCTTATTTAGTAGATACATTACCATCCGAACAACCTGTCTCAAACGTAACCCAAACAACCATTGGCCAGCCACACAAAGCAATCAACCCCTCGATAGAAAAAACGACGAGTCCCCAAGGAAGTCGTTTGTTTGCCTGTCCGTCCGTCCGTCCTCATCAATCCGGCGCGGTCTTGGCCCCACGATCAAATAATACCTACCCACGGAGTACGGAGTACTACCTAGGTCAGCTGCTCAAATGGCCAACCCAACGGACTACAGACTGCAAGAAGGTTGCATCAACCGCCTGATCGACGATGTGGCCTCTTCTTATTCCCCTTCGGACCCTTTCGGGGTAATAGTATGGAATTATGCGTCTTTGATTGGGATAATTACCTCCAATTGCTTTACTTTGCTTTGCTTACTTTACTTCTGGGCTATCAGATGTGGCGATGCAGACGCCTTCCACATATATATCCCCATGGACACCAACGCATACATAGGTCGGAGTATACATACTCAGCTCATCCATGCAAGAGACCCTGAAACACCACCAACACTATCTGGGTAGTCAGTCGTCTGTATAATGTACGGAGTGGATGTATTATGTAGTGAGATGTGGTGCTAAATATAGGAAACTACCTTTCTAGAACGATCAACAAGTTGAATCCTACTTACTTACCACTATAGAATAGTTAGTTAGAGTCAGTTACTAACATGGTATTTACAACGAAGTAGGTAAGTACTCCGTAAGATAAACAAGATTAGGTAACCGGCCTGTGGCTGCCTGCAGCATCACCAGCAATAATAGCGCCGGGATGGCCAATCTCACCCAGCCTCACCTCGGAGACGCACCCTCGTTCCGCTTGAGGGAGAGGCCACCGCCCGCCCCACACGCGACGAGGGGACTGGAAACCCGATTACTCCGGACATTGATGGTCAGATGGTCATTTCTTGCTGTTAGTGTCGGCGGGATGATAGTATCATAGGTAGGTAGGTATTGTATTCTTGCGTCTCCCCTCCTTGTTGTCTAGGCGTAAGCGTGAGCATGAGTAATCTTATCCATATCCCTTCAAGACAAAACCCAAGACACATGCAAAGTTAATAATAATACCTTCTATCCCTAGCTACAGGAATAGAAGGCAGGCAATTACGGATACAACGCGCAGACTACAGAGGGATTCCATTTCCGTGTAATCCCGGAAATCCCATCTAGTGGGGCGTAATCAATCGATGAATAATGAATGAAATAATGATGAATGCTGGTGGGATGCCGAGAAGCCGTTCCCCCCCCTTGACCAGATTCAGACACGGTAAGTTACTGGGGAAACACGGTATCTGACTACCTGGATAAAGACGGTCGAACCGAGTCTCTCTTTAGGTATAGTGTTATACTGTGGACACTGGATAGTGGACACTCGATAAAGGAACGGTGAACCCCGTAGCGGGGCCCGTGATGAATTCAATTCAATCGTGACTTGACTTCAAGGCTCAGGCTGAAGTCAAGCGAGGAAAGTCGACGTCAGCAGAGCACAGCACCCACACCCACCGAGGTTGAGGTCGTCAGATGCAGGACCCAGTCGTTAGACTAATCGCCTACAGTAGTTTTGAATCTGGACTCGAGGTCCAGTCTACACTACCGAGGAATATCCCCGGTAAGGAGGAGCGTCTATGCGACCAGCTAGCGAACTAGTCGCACTTACGTACCGTACTTCCTTGACCGCTCTGATCTGCCAGGATAAGTAAGACAAGGGAGGGGGACGAGAGAGCGGTGAGTGGACTCTGTATACAGGAGTCGGTTAGTACCTCGGTCAACTTCTTCGATTCCTGCTTTCTCTAAACCTGTAATCTACTAGAGAATCCTCCAGCTTCACTCTTCATCCTTACCTAGTACCTTACTACCTACCTACCTACCAAGATGAAGTCCTCGGTCCACTTCCGGATCATGCAGCGGTCCGACCCAGCCAACGACGTCCAGTAAAACTACCCAAGGTAGCTAGCTACGAGGTAGATAGCGAACAAGAAGCCTGTGAAAATTGAATGGATGAGCAATAAATACTAGATAGCCACTGCCAAGCGCCAGCCAGCATTTTCAATTTCTTGACCGTCTCGGCGCTTACCCACCGCATCGGTGTAAACATCCCCAGTTTGGCCTATTCTCCAGGACCACATCCACATTCGCATAACAATCCTGAATCCACTGAATCCAGCGCACGGAACACGAAATCCTCCACCCTCCACTGAAGAGTGGGCAAAGAAAAAAAAAAAAAAAAAAAAAAAGAGGGGGGAATGGTAAAAACCTCCGTGCATACCGTACCGATCCTGGATTGAACCCGACCCCATCAGTGATCATTTCCCGTATGGGCGTGTTTTCTCCGAGCCACCGGCCCCTCTCTCCATTTGGTGATGGATTGGATGATACCTATGTTCATCATTGCTCCGTTATGTTTCTTTGACTAAAAAGTTCGCTGTGTGTGGCGCATATAAATGGATAGGATGGAAAGTGATGGGGAATGGATCGTTGGGGAGATAAAAGAATGTACATCAGGAGTTAGGGTTGGCTGTTTGTCCTTTGGCTAACTAGTACCTGGTAAGTTCTGCACCTACCCGTTTGTTTATCTCAAGTCCTCAGTGACAGGATTACAGAAGGGATCGACTCTAAGGTCAGTCGATCCAGGCAGAAATATTATCATCAATCGTGTTATTCACAAAATACTAATCACGATGATGATGATAATAATAAGGAAGAAAAGAAAGACAAAAATGAAAACCCCACCAGTATAATAGACATACCGTTGCAGGATTCCAGGAACCTCTTCCCCGAAGCCCCCGGCCCCGACACTAGTGGCGCATCGGCAGCTAGACATTGGAAGTCAACCCGCCTTGTATCCCGACAACCTCGACTCTCTTCTCGCCGTACTATCCTCTGCGAGTATCTGCCCAGCATGCCCAAAGTACGGTATGTACAGAGATCCCTTCAATAATTGGCAGTCTTGGTATCTACGTGTCTTTAAAATGTACGTGGACGTACCTACGCACTGCAGATAGCGACGAGCGTGGTGGGAATCGCGACCCGACGGACCACGCCGCCCTAGAAAGTACCTACCTAACCTACTTGACCCAATTAACCAATCTAACCAACCAGTCTAATCCTTGTCTACTAGGGATCATGTATCGTGGCTTTCGGTTTCCACGGCTTGGGCCTGGAATCGCGGCATCCACAGGGCTAGCTGGCTGGCTGGCTGGCTCGCGTCTTGGATGTCGCGGCGGTGAAGGACTGGACTGGACTGGTTTGCTACTTTGGGTATCACCTCATATCATGGATACTATGTTCGAGGTGTCGAGAGGATCCTTGATTTGGGCTGACTCTTGACCGCTTCGTGACAACTCTTTACTCTGCTTTTGGCAGTTTTTAGCCCACTGTGGATTTTACCAAGAAGGGAAATTTTATATCATACAGAGTCTCTTATTTGGAGGGGCAGAGGGGGGGGGGGAGAAAGAGAAAAAGAGAAAAAGCAAGTAGGAGGGGCGATTTCTGAATTGAACTTTTTTCCTTTTTTCTCTTTGCTTTTGATATTTTTCGTCAATCTTGGAACTTCACTGTGGGGATCGCTTAGCGGGACTGGATCCATCGATCTATCGGTCTATCCACTATCAGCCTGAGGCTATCAACACGACCTCGACTCGTCAATATTGTAGACCCCTCGAGTCCTCGATGGACAAAGGGACGGATAGGGTGTCAAACGCGTGGGAGCTTACCCAGGGATAAGTATAATAACAAAATGCAGGCCAATTAAACAGTCTCAGCCCACCATTCAACCATGGAATCTACCCGTCTCACATCCAAGATTTGGAAAATCGGGAGCTGACTCGTTCCATGGTTCAATCCCGCCTATCGCGGGGTTTAACCAACTATCGATGGTTATCTACGGAGTACGGATACTTGCCCAGCGCAGATCGAGATAATCCCCTTACCCGGGAGAGAGAATGCCATCTATTGGGGATGTTTCGCGGTGTTGTGTTGTACAGATCTAGGTGTAGTAGGTAGTACTAACATGCGAAAAGGGGCGTGCCTTGTTTGACTATCTGGATTATGAAATTAGATTGATGCACCACATGTGTTCGGTTACTGTTGTACAGACGTCTGTTGGTTTCTAGAACTGATAAGCCGGTGTATGCACTTTCTACAGAAGGACAATAGAAGTACCTAATTCAGCTGAGGTGAGCAAGGCGAGTCTTCATAGAGAGCCCACTCTCGATGTAGTGGATAGATCGCGATAAGCAAGCGGAGAACACCCACCTACTCCATCCGTACTCCGTAGATATAGTCACCATTCCATTATAACATGTATCACTGTACTCAATATAACCCCAAATGGGCATCTGATCTACTTCGTGGCCCCATCCCTCCCCCCGTCTCAATAGAAATGAACGAAAAGGGGGAGGGGGATCAGTCCGTCCAGTGACTAACTAGATCGGAGTCGATGGTCTTACCGGACACGACGCAATCAAACCCAGACCACTACTACCAACACCACCCACAATATCGAACATCCCACCCCCACTTCTCTAGAACATCGGTCCTAGGCAATAAAACCAAATTGCACTAGGTGGGCAGAATCCTTCTCGAAGACGTGGGGAGGGGGGGGGGGGGCACTCGCTCAATCACATCCACTAACCAACGGTGTGGAAAGAACCCAAAAAGGGGTAACATCAATCAGTCTAGAATGCCCCGGTAGATTGAATCTCTGTCCATCCCGTAGACTAACCGCTTCGTGCATCCCGTACGGAGGAGTAGAAAGAAAGGAAAACAAAAGAAAATCAACCAAAAGTTAATATGAAGGGAGAGAAAAGGGGGAGGGGCAGGGCAATCTTAATCCCTGTATCACTATTGAATTGGAATGGTTGTCTGGCCAGTGGAACTTCCTATTAGTCCTGCGGCATTGCCGCCTGTGGGCTGGGAAGATCGCAACTACACAGTTACCCGAGGGGCTGGGACGATCTGTCCATCTCGAATTTTCTTTCTTTCTTTCTTTCTTTCTTTCTTTTTTCGGTTTATCTGAATTTGTAGATTTTTCGATTTCTGATCCATTGACTTTCATGCCGTGTCAATCATAGCTCTGGATGGCTTCCGGTTGGAAGGGGCCCTTAGGGTTTACACTGTCTCTGGTTGGAACGGAGGAAAGGGTTCCAGATTCGTGATGGACAAAAGTACCTTTTCCTATCCTTCTTTCCCTGTTTTAGTCCCTTTCTAACGTCAGAGCTTGGCTGCTTCGTGTTGCTCTCAAGGATCTTCGCGAAACCTGCCATAACCCATTCATCCCTTGGTCGAAGATCAGAGCCATTTCCATTCTGCACTCATGGCGTAACCTACCCATTCACAAATCCATAACTACCATCCCCTTGAATAACATCTGTAGAAAACATCCAGTTATCCAGAGTTAGATTAACATGATGATCACAACCGAAATTAATATCAATAGATTATGCCCGCCTGTGAGGGAGACAGACCCCTCCCCTCCCCCCCTCCCTCTACGCTCGTCCCCCCTCGTCTCACACCCCCTCTCTTTTCTCGTCCCTTGCAGGAGAGCCCCTCCATTCTTAATACCTACTCGCTGGGCGTGACGGAGTGCGTGATATGTTTCTGGATCTGAGCGCTGCGGGGGAACTAATCTGCTGATGGCCTGGCTGGCCCTTTTGGGGTCTGTTCTAGAATATAGTTCCGTGGTGTCTTACCTCGCTTTTACTTGAGGGTTGAGAAGATGAGTGGGGTAGCTTTTTCCTTGGACTGTTGTTTCTGGGGTATACTCTGCAGATATCATAGATATTCTGTTTGTTTGTTCTTTGGTGGTTGTTCGGTCGGAGTATCTGGAGGAGGGGAATGTAGTAGCGCTTCGGCTTTTTCAGTCTTTGTATCTCTAGGCTTTGTATCACTTATATCCGACAGAATAATGCAGTGTATGAAGATATGGACGTTAGTGTTACCTTCAAAGCTGAATGGTAGTTGAATGAGAAGTTGGTGTCTATATAAATCTGTGTCTCCGTAGATACTGGACATTGATGCCATGTCGAAGTGTTATCAACATCGATAGTATCAGTAGGGAGTGTCGAGTATGACAATTCACTTACCAAATAGAATAGAAGACATAAAGCTCATGAGTAAGTTATCCTTGACTCGGTCACTGTAGGTGTTTTCTTGGTAATTGTTGATAGTTGTTGGTAACTATTTCTTACATCTCTTCACCTGACTAGCCGATATATAATCTACCCGCTAACACAGTAACTGTTTATCCGTACAAACACCTCGTACACACGTACATCACTTCGAAAGATTTGCTATAATATACATTGGGTACTTAATATCCCGGCTAGTTATGACAAAATGCATCCACTATCTTCAGCGAAAAGCAAAAGCTAAATATGTTATTCAAGCTCAATTGAAAACAGACGTACCCCAGGCGCCTACGCAGGAAACAGAGAAACCAAGACAAGAGATGATCCTCCAAAGTCCGCTAATCACTGTGCCTGATAGCTCTACCAAAAGATATTATAACCTATCTATAAGATTCCACAGGCTGTGAGTCCTCATTGACAAAGCGGGAAGAATCACTGTTGTCAAGTCTGAATCACTGGTTATATACTGTACTCGGGGTTCTTTATACCCGTGTGAATATATTAGAAGGTACTTGTTGTATATTGATATTAATCTCTGTAACCCAATGATGCGCATGACTGGATTTGTATTACTAGGGCTCTTTTATATATTTTTGCAGAACTCTGCCATTGTCAGAATCAAAGCAGTGGATAGGAACCCATCTATGAACATAACAGGGTACATAACAGGACATACAGTCACGATTCAAGCAAACACTCTGCCAACAGTGAACACTGCACGCTTTATAATGAATGAAAACCTTTGGATAGAGATCTGATGGGATAATGAGTAGGGTTGAGCATGATCATTCAACACAAGCCGTGAGAAGCTCACTGACCAAGCAATAGCCCAGGATTGTTCCTGTATATAATTATGTAGCTTTGCTAATCCGAAGAGGCTCCAGATGCAGGTTTTCTTGCTTACACACATAGCTTCCAGATATTTCTCATTATATGCCGTGCCTGCCAAGCATTTCTCCCTTCAGAAAGCACGGAAACAATCAACTACTGGCGTTGCTACCCATGGTGTCGCGTCTTGGCCGTTCGGAAGAAACAGCCTGCCCGGCAAGAGGGCAGAGCCCAAGATGAAAATATCACGGACAAAAGACACCCTGATATAGACGGGGTGGAACAGCAAAATACTCAGCACTTTATTATAGTATCCGGTGAAGATTTCCCTATAGCAGACCGGACATGACTTCAACATATCTCGCCTGGCACATCATGGCTGAAAGCTAAGTGGGAGCCTGTGTCTTCACACTCTACAATAAAGACCTACAGACATGATGTACGGTTCAATGGTAAACCCTTGAATTCTTCGGTCAACTATAGAAACATCGTCTTACACTACACTCCTATTGGTACAAACCATACCACCGCTCCCTCCATCTAATCCTGCTGCACCAGCACCGGCTTGTGCGAGCTCCAGAGCTTGCGAGTGGCCGAATACAGCGCCATCATCACGCCCTGGACCTCCTCGTCGTCCATCTCCATGTCACAGTCGGCCTCCGGCTCGTCCACATCTTCCACATCCTCCTCCGCGACGTCACTCACGTACTCCTGCGCCGTCGAGGCCTGCGAGGTTGAAGGTAGCTCAATCTTGACGTTGGCCGCGAGGCTGGGAACGCCCTTGTCGTTCATCACGAAGAGCATGTAGTACCCCGGGAGCGCGATGCCCGCATCGTTCGGGATGTCGGCGTGGAACACCGCACGGCGGGGCGCGGCATCGGCATCGACATCGGCATCGACATCGTGGGAGGCGACGAACTCCAGCGGAATGCGGCGCTGGTCAGTGTTGACCGTGTGGGAGACCGTGCCCAGACGGACCAACGAGGCGTTGCGGATGTCGGCATCCGTCTGGAAGGCCAGCTTGCCGCCCACCGGCACGCGGAATTTGCGGTCGACGATCTCCGGCTGGGTGGGGCGCAAGGCCTCGGTGCCGTTCTCGCGGAACAGGTACGGCGGCTTGAAGATCTGCGCGTCGTAGTGGTTGGCCGTGCAGTTGCCGCACAGCCCGCTGCCGCCGTTCAGCACGGTGGCGTCCGGCAGCAGGATCGACAGGCTGTGGTAGACGCGCACGATGTTGTTCTGCTTCAGCGGCAGGAAGATGTCCCACTCCGGGTGGTAGATCTCGGGCGTCAGCTGGACGTCGCGCTCCGCCTCGTTGAAGGGCACGCCGTAGATCTCCCCGCCGGTGATGAACACCGTGCCGTCCGGCAGCACGACCGAGGTGTGGTACACGCGCTGGTTGTACATGCCGCCGGCGCCCTTGACGCCCTCGGTGCCGTTCTTGCCGGCCACGGCGACCCGCGGCTTGCTGTAGGGCTCCTTGATGGTGATGAGGTGCGCATTGCGGTGGCCGTACGATCCGTCGTAGAACTCCTGGCCGCCAAATGTTAGGATCTTGCCGTTCAAGGCGTCGAACATGACGGCGTTGCCCGAGGTCGAGTCCTGGTCGTTGAGGCGGCGCGTGGCATTCGTCACCGCGCCGTCGCCGTGCGTGTCAAACCACAGCATCCGACGGCTGGGGCCGGCGTGGAACACGCTGCCGTTCTTCCAGCCAAACAGCCAGGCGTGGTTGTCGTTGCGCAGCGGGATGTCGACCGTGTGGATGTGGTCCGCCTTGATGTTCGGCAGGATGCGCCAGCGCTTGGCCTCGGGGTCGTAGATTTCGCCGTCCTTGGGCATGTTGGAGCCGCCGCTCCACGAGCCGCCGATGGCGAAGACCTTGCCGTTGGACAGCGTCGTCGACGAGTGGTAGCCGCGGTGGAGGTTCATGTCGGGGCCGGGGATCCACTCCTCGCCGTCGTAGATGCTGGTCTTCTGCGAGTCCGCACCGCCCGACACGATGATGTTGCCGTCGACATCCATCGAGATGCCCGGGCAGAACATGTCGTGGTACGTGTTGGTGACGTTGGTCTGCACGATATCTCCATCTAACGGGTTCCAGGTAGCCGTGAACGTTTTGCCGCCCGGCGACGCAAAGAACCGGTCGTCGGTCCACGCGGACCAGAGCATGATGTTGTGGTCCCCGTTCTTGCCAAAGGTATGCGCGCCCGCCGCGGCTGTGATGGGCAGGTCCAGGGTCGGGCCCCAGACGCCCTTGGCCGGCTCGTGCGGGAGCACCGCGGCGGTGGTGTAGACGTTGACGTCGACGACCTTGATCACGGCGTCGTCATACTTCTTGCTGGGCTCCTTGGGCGGCAGCGCCTCGCTCATGGCCTTGATTTGGACATAGCGGGCTGGGATGGCCTCGAAGGCAGACATCTTGGGGCTCTTGTTCCAGCCCCAGGTGCCGTAAGCGACGTTCGTCCAAGCCAAGTTATCCTTGCTGACCCAGATCTCGTGCTTGGCGATCTGGCCGCGGTCCTTCTCGCCCAGGAGCGGCCGCATGCTGATGCCGTTCACGTTGTGCACTGTGTGCAGGTCCAGGGTGAGTACGTCCCGGCCATGCGGCGAGTACGGCGAGTGCGGCGAGTGCGGCTCACTGGACCAGTGGGTTTCGGCGAGCCCGTCGTTGGCAAACTCGCACCGGCTGCCGTCGGCGATGCTGGAGCAGTGCGCCGTGAACTGGTCGCGCGGGAGGAGCTTGCCGCCGTGCGGCCGGGCTTGCCAGAGGTAGGCCTCGGGGTCGATGGGCCCTTGGGTCTCGGGCTGGATGTGGCTCGAATCGGTAGCAAAAGGGATGTGAGACTTGTGAGACTCCGCGGAGGCGTCCGCAGAGCGAGCGAGCAGCCCGAGGAGCAAGCTCGAGGCCCAATGGAACTTCATTCTCAACAGAAAGTGCGACAAAGTTGGCTGTCGGGAGGGAGAACAGTGTGCATGGACCGGCCGGGGTAGAAATAGCAGAAGGGCATCTTGCCGGGGCAACCTCCCAACCCACCACAGACGACGCTCACACAGGTCCGGTCTTGAAAGTGATTTGGAATCCCTTCTGCACCCGGTCGTGACGTAGGTGGTTGAGCTGAGATGTTCCATTTGGGCCCCATTTTTGGGGCCCTTGGTGATGCACCCGACATTGCGATCTGCAGCGCAACTCCATGCCGGGCCCACTATACCTCCCCAAGCACCGAAAACAGTCATTATTAGGCAATCGATCTTGGTTCACACCGCACCCTAGTTCTAGCGCTGCTCCACGCCGGACCCACTGGGCCCCTAGCACCGGAAAAGCCCTTCATTAGACAACCGATCATGGTTCACACCGCATCGTAGTCCTAGCGGAAGATCGACGCGGCCCCGAGAGGCGCTTTGCTTGACGTTGGCGTTTCCCGAGACGACATCTCTCGACGCCCGCTGGCCATCAGCTGTTATGCAGGCGGGCCGTTCGTACAGACTGGCATGAAGACAGATCGACTGGCACATTCCAGACCTTACGCAACACTGGCATGCTCGTCAGTCGGAAGCCGATGGCCGCAATGTGAGGGCATCCGCGAGAGCTGCCGGCCGTGCACGCCTCTCCACTGCAATCCCAGAGCTGCAAGATGCAGAATTTTTTCACTGCACCCACCCTGTCCTCCATCTTACTCCTAGTCCTAGCTCGTAACTCCTGTTGACCCGCCGATGGTCCCCCAGTGGACCCCGTCACCCACTGCGCGCAGGTGTTCGGGAGGAGTTCGGGTGCTCGATCTAGATGGCTACATGGCGCCAACTCCACTGTGCTGCAACTAGCAGGCAGCTAGGGCATTCTGCGGAGCCGCTATTCTTCAGCTCACCACCGCACAGCCAATAGTGCGTGGGCCGGGGCCCTTGCACCTCAGCCTGCGAAAGCCGGCTGCGGAGATCATATCGCTTTCCTGCGTCGAGTCCACGCGGCGTGCATGGTGATGTGCCGTCCTAGATGACGCAGACAGCGACAACGCAACACTCCTGCAAGTTTCAGCTGTTACCAACACATGGCTCTGATTGGCCTGGGCCGTGAGCAGCTCCATGATACATGGAGCTGCTGGTGATGTCGTGTCTCCTCCGAGCTGAATTCGCACGGATGGAAGTGCTGCCACTGGCAGAGATTAGAAACACGCGCCTCTCATTGGTCATGGCACTCGTCGGCCACCACGGCAGCGGGGAGGGGCATGGCCATAAGAATCCGTCTGTCCGGCTGGGGCCATGAGGGCAACCGGCAGGATCACATCTCTGAATCCATCTGTAGCGACTGTCATTTCAATATGCCGTCTGAAGTCGACCCCGCCAACATCCAGGGCAGTATCTGGTGCGCATGTTCTCGCCATCTCGTCAGCGGATCACGATGCTAACGGGTCATCAACAGGCCTCGTCTTCCCCGATACTACGAATCCTTCCTGTTCTTCAAGATCAAAGACCTCGAAGACGATGAATCTTTCACCACGTTCAAAGACCACCTGCGCAAGCTGGTGACTGACCAAAATGACCCTAAGAAACCTGGCAAGATCGCCACCGGCGCCCAGTGCAAGGAGTATTTCAACACACATGGCGGCTTCGATGAGGCCCACGATCGAGTAGACACGCTTCCCGAGGAGCGCCACACGTTCAATGCCATCAATGTCGCCTTCTCTGGCAAGGGCACAACCAAGCTGGTTGGGCCGTACGACGAGGTGAAGCTGCGGGACCTGCTGCATGAGCGCGGCATGTACCAGGACATGGTCTTTGAAGGGCCCGACGAGCCCGAGTCGCTGGCCGACGAGTACAAGCCGCCCAAGGACTGGCCCCAAAACAACGACAATTGGCGGTGCGACGGCATGTTCATCGTCGCTGCCCAGCGCGAGGAGGAGCTGGAGGCCACGATCAAGGACCTCAAGAGCAACTTCGGCATTACCGGCAATGCGCAAGTGGACAAGGACCAGGCCAGCGTGGAGATCACGCTGACCAAGGAGGGTCACGTCCGCAATGCCGATGGCAAGGCGCAGCGGAAGGGCCAGGAGAGCCTCCGGGGCAAGGAGCAGTGAGTGTTGCCGTAGGGCGCCTGTAGATGACGTTCCTCGCTCACCTGTTTCTCTTAGTTTTGGCTTCGAAGATCAGATTTCCCAGCCTAACATCCATGGCCTGGACCTGCCGCCCAAGGAGGGCGAGCCCCCAGCGACTGCTCCGGGGTAAGTCGCAGCCCTAATCCACCCATCGAGGTCGGGATACTGACCCCCTTGTTAGCGTGATTTTCCTCAACCGCACCGGGGACAACACTAAGTCGCCGGAGTGGGCCACGGACGGCAGTTATCTGGCATTCCGCGAGATCGAGGAGAATGTGCACGAGTTCAACAAGTACGGTTTGCTCTGGTCCCCCCTGTATGAGAGAGTCGGACTGATGCGGTCCTACAGGTTCGTGAAGGACGAGTCCAAGCACTTGGAATCCTTCAACGACGGCACCGGTGAGAAGCTGGCGGCTTATATGATCGGACGATGGAAGAACGGTAGGCATGGTCCTGGCCCCCGTCACGGCGGACGATGACGCTCATGGTGCCCACAGGGACCCCCGTCGCGATCAACGGCGAGAACTCGGATTCCCAGAATCCCTTGGCCAACAATTTCGAGTACAAGTACCACTATAACACCCCGAAGGAGCTCAAGTGTCCGATTGCCGCGCACATCCGCAAGATGCGCCCTCGTGCCGACCTCTTCATCTCGAAGGATGGCGACATGCATGTCTCGGCTGGGGACAACTACTGGAACAACACCAACGTAATTCTGCGTCGCAGCGTCACCTTTGGCCCGGAAATCGAGGAGGGCGAAGAGGATAAGCCGCGTGAACAGCGACCCAAGCGAGGCATTTACTTCATGTGCTACCAGGGCGACTTCCGCAATGGTTTCAATTTCCTGACGAGTCGTAAGTTCCCCGTCAGCCCCCTGACCGGCCCTGTCCGACGCTCACATCACCAGGCTGGGCCAGCAACGAGGTGTTCTCGGGCAAGCAGGGGCTGGACATGGTCCCTGGCCAGGACCCCATCGTCAGCCAGCGCAACCGCGCCGACCACCCGGTGCCCAAGTTCGGCATCTACGACGGGGACAAAGCCAAGCAGCTGGAGATGGGCTATCTGCCGTGGATCGACCAGCGCGGAGGGGAGTATTTCTTCACGCCGTCGATCAAGGCCTTGCAGTCGGTGTTTGTGGACCCGGTGGAGTAGGATATACCATGTCTTTAGGAGCAGGCATGCAATCAACCCGGTCTTGAAACTTATATCTTTTATTCAACTTCGTAGCCTGACATGCGCCGGGTCGCTCGCCCCCAGATCGCTTTGTTCGTGGTGGATCAGTCAAGGCCAATCGGACTGGATGCCGTGGCACTGCACAGCCCAGTGGCAGCGCCAAAGAGACAAGTATTCACGAGACTCATGTTTCCTGGATGTATCACTGCAAAGCAGGCAACTTGGGATGAGCTAGATTGGATATCAGAAGGATGGACTTCCATGACGGTCGCCAAATTCAGTGCCCAGTACGCCAAGCAAGGGGTGGCTGGCTGATCATGAGCATCTGCCCGGGGATGGAGACTGGCCACTATGCCGATGGTATGTCGATCTTTACCCTTGAGACGATCATGGATGACCGATTCCAGCCATCGAAGAGGAGGTGAAGGGCTTGATGGGCATGCTGGACACCTTTGTGGAGTACGCGCCCGACTTCAGGGCCCCAGCATAAACACCCTGAATCTTAACGGCTATAATTTGGCTTGAAGGGATTTAATATAGACGACTAGTAAAGTCAACAGTATGGTGTTCAAGCAACTGCATATGACGAATTCTAGATGGTGTATCTCAAGTTGATGATTATCGCCACCATCTCACCGGATATTCAAGTCCTCACTCAATCTGACGCTTCTTTCAGTCTCTGCAGCAGCCTCTCTATCCTCTCGTCCTTCCAGTCAGCCCAGAAAATCCTACCAGCCCAGAGTGATTTACCCTTTGCCAAATAAGCCATGTCCACCGGAGTATTGGCTCCGTCGTCTTGAGATTTCACATCTACCCGGGCTCCCCGTTCCAGGAGAGCTTCGATCGTCTCCCAGTTGCCATTGTCTGCTGCCCAATGCAGGGGCGTGCGACCATTGTCGTTTCTAGCGTTGATGTCTGCGCCGGCATCGAGTAATATCCCAAGATTTTCCCGGGCGCCCCTTGATGCAGCCGAATGGATTGGTAGACTGCCGTTCAAAAGCCTTGCATTCATGTCCGCACCGTGTTTGTGGAGGAGTGACTTGAGCCCGTCCGATGTGCGACAGGCAGCCGCAACATGCAAAGCACTGAAGCCTTCAGAGTCCTGATCATTTAATTTTGAACCCGCTTCCAAGAGCGAGTCGATAATTGCGGGGTTGCCAGACTCTGCTGCAACGAGGAGGGGAAACGATGGCTTTCCCTTCTTCACGATGGTGCCTCTCTGATTTGGATCGGCACCCCTGCCCAGCAGAGCATTGATAAGGTCGGAGTTTTGATCTCTTACCGCGTACAAAAGGGGTGTACCGACTGTGTCGGGCGAACTCGGTGAGACCATTGCGCCATGTCGCATCAAAAGCTCGGCTATATCTCGATTGTTTGCCTTGACTGCCAGTGTCAGTGCTGTTTCGCATAGTGGATCAGGCGGCCACCAGCGACAACCGTCTGACGAAGTGTGGGGTCCCGTGAAACGACGCTCGTCGGCTGCCTGGGGGCAGGCATTAACATCAGCCCCACGCTGGATCAGCAGCTCCACAATGAGTGGCCGAGTGGCGGCAACAGCATCAAGCAGAGACGGCGTGTCTTCAGGTCCAGGGTTGAGCTGATTCTGCAATCCGTTGTCGAGCAAATATGTTACGATAGAGACTGAACCACCCCATGCGGCCGCTCCCAATATGGAGGTCTTATCATCGGGCTCTTGGCGTTGAATATCTGCTCCTCTATCCATTAGCAACTGGAAGGCCCAAAGATCGGGACCATAAACAGCATCTCGTAAGCTCCGGTGTGTATCTGCTCCGTTTTGCAGGAGGAGATCAACAAGATCTTTCCTCTTCTGTGATAGAGCGCTTTGTAGAGCCGAATGGGCATCCACTCTTGCGCCTGCATTTATCAAGACTTGGGCGAGTTCAAAACTCCCTGCGTCTACTGCAGCTCCCAAAGGCGTCGAATGGCTTGACTCCAGGTTGGGGTCTGCTCCGCGAGATAGCAGCTCATGCACAATCGCAGTATGGCCGCCTTCTATCGCCGATTGGAGAGCTATTGGGTGATCCGAGGAGGATTTCGCGTGGCTGTTGACGTCGAGACCCTCGTCTAGATACTGTCGTACAAGCTTCTCGTCACCTGCTCGAGCTGCGTATCTTAATGCTTCGTCTCTTGTAATTCCATGGGCTAGCAACTCGCGCAATATGTCGACGTGGCCGCCAGCCGCGGCCTGATACTGGGCGGCAGTGATGCCACTTTGGACAGATCTAATAAGTGCTGAGTTCCCGTGCTTCATTCCCCTTGCGGTTGTAATGCGCTCACACCCCAGCAATGTCTTCACGATATCAAGACGGCCACTGCAAACTGCAACCACTAGGGCCGATGGAGGGTATCCTTTGGAGTGGTGGTAGTCACCGGCTCCTTTATTGAGTAGGGCTTCACAGACAGGCAAATGGCCACCCGCGACGGCGAGATATAAAGGATCAGACCTCTGGCCGCTAGAATCCCATGGGTCTGGGAAGTTGACCTTGGCACCAGCCTCTAGCAGCGTGAGAGCGACATCTAGATGACCTTGGGCAGCTGCTGCACCAAGCGCCGTACTCAGAGCACCGCCTTTTGCGTTGACTTCGGCCCTTGCCTCTATCAGTAAGTGGACTATTTCCAGGTGACCCATGTATGCGGCTGCTTGTAGTGGACGGTGGTACAAGCCGCCGGAGACATTTGGCGACGCGCCTTTGTCGAGAACTGCTTTCACCACTCGTGTCAAACCACAGTAGGAAGAGTAATATAGTGCTGTATGGTCATTGGTGTCGCTCGATTCATCCCGCAGCCATGGTCGGTCAACATTTGCCACTTTTCTCCATAGCCTAAGATAAGGCCCATCTTCGTCAAACAGATCGAGTAAAATAGACTCTAGCTCATTGTATTGCCAAGCGCCCTGAGAAAGGTCTTTATGCACATACCAAAAGCGCCCTACATAGCGTGCCAGCGGATGATAAGTCCAGAGGTCGCCAGCGGCAGACTGAACCGCATGGTGAAAGTACGCAAGGCTACAGTTAGCCAGGACCGCATGAGACAAGCTGCTGTCTATGAAGAAGTCGGAGCACGAGCCTCGCAAGATTACATCAGAAGCGAGGAACTCTCGAACGGTGAAATGTGCCAGCTTGACATACACATCCTGGGTGCCACTCGTTTCGTCGCCACCGCAGTAAGTCGAGACAAGACTGGAGCAGGAATCAATGAAGCCTTCTGGATCGAGAAGCTCTAAGGCCTCGTCAAAAAAAGGAATGCCTTCACTATCGGCATTGATAGCTATGGCGCTTGTGATCTCATCAAGAGATAGCTGCAGATGCGTCAGAGTGGAATGATTCTTGACTTCCTATTGTGATGACCACTCACCGGCCGAAGAGCAAAGGCTACCCAGCGTAGGAGGCTCTTCACGGACATGCGGTTGCTTTCATCTATTTTGTCGAGTATCATGGTGTAGTGTTCCTCCAATGACTTTGGTAGATCGTTGAGAGCTTTTTGCACCGCCTGTGGTGTCGCACACCGTCGCAGTGTCTGTAACTGGCAGTCCATCCAACGAAATCTGCAAAAGGTGTCAGCCATTCAACAGTTCTATTGATCAAACTGAGTACGCACGATCCATTGGCTTGGGCCAAGAGAGACTGTTCAATCTTCCTCTTTAACGATATTGGCCACCGGGCAAATTTGGCCTGATGCGAGAGCTGGTATCGCAGTGCTGTCTGTATATCAAGATTCACCGTGGAGTCGTCGATTGTAATGGTGGAGGTCTTGAGGCCTTCGAAAGCAGTTCGAAGCTGCTCCAAGTTTCGGCCGGTTACAATCAAATGCCGTTGTTCTTGTGTCTGCTTCATCGTCTCCTTAATGAATTCCGTAATCCCGGGAATTCCGTCCTGGAGGTAATCTTCACATTCGTCGAGACCATCGAGAACAATGTAACTATGCTCGAATTGCATTAAGAGGTTTTGCACTAGCTGCTTCCATGGAACTGACTGCTGTTTGTCGGAAAGTCTGCTATACATCCTCCTCCTTCTCATGAAATAGCGAGGAATGGTTGCCCCTTGATGAACCAGCTGCCTAGCGAAGGATCCATACACGCGATTGATGTCGACTTTTCTTTCTTCCGATGCATCTATGAAGAAATAGCATAGGCTGCTACTTTGGTCTCCGCCACAATAGTCTTGAAGATCTTTAATGATCTTTGAACTGCTAGTAGTCAGCGCATCAATTAAACACAAAGACACTAGCCCATTTATTTGAACAGAGAGCTTACGTACCATAGAACGGTTTTACCACACCCAGCTAAAGCAGGGTGGTCAGTGGTCGATGAAGCTCAGAGCTGAGGGCGTCACTTACCAGCTCCCTTGATCCACAATAAATTGTTGGGGCTGGTCTTCCATTCCATGTACTGCGCTGTGTTCAAGAGCCAGTCACCAGTAGCTGGAACACATTTTTGGTACTCTTGCTCTTGCTTGGCTGATTGACTGCGTCCACCCAGCTGGTTGAAAAGCTCAGCGAGTTGATGATCTAAGACAATCAATAGGGGTGTTATCAACTCTGAGTCTCATCTTACCCTCGTCAGATTGAGTCACACTCTCCGAGAGTCTAGTAATCTTCTTTTCCACACTCGGCAACGACCGGGTGAGGCTTAATACCTCCATCATGTTTTGACTACACGAGCCGTCAGCAAAGTCACGGGTATTCTATAACAAACCACTCACATATTGTCAGCCGCCAGTGCCAATTGCAGCGTGCTCTTGATGGTCGCAAGAACTTGCAATCTTGTTTCCGCGTCTGCACGTTGCAACGGCCACGCAAGAGCACGCCTCAAACTCGAGACTTTCCCCAATCTCAAGCTTGCTTTCAGGTCCTGCAATTCGACCAAACACCTGCGGAGAGTGCCATTATCCCCTTCCATCGCCTGTAAAGACGGCAAAGACGAGGCATCGTCCAATTCAACGGCCTTCACTAATTGCTGTGCAATGCTCCCGACACTGGTGACCTCGTCCAGGATTCGAGAGATATCTTTGGGGGCATTTCGGACGCCCATGCGGTAATCATAGCACACCGACACCAGCTTACCACATACCTGGACGATGGCGATGAGAGTGCCTACGAGGCCGATCGGTTCAATCATATTGAGTGCGCATGAACACGCAAATTAGAACCAAGGCTGCTTGAAGCACCATTCCACGGTAGGAGGCAGTTTACTCTTGAGCATTAGAGATACCGTTTGATGTATGAGCTCGCGGAGGGGCACGAGGCTGTGGATCGGGCCTCAGCCACCCATGCTAGGATAAACTAGTCCATATATGGATAGATGGTCTCTTTACAAACATGTCTTACGGGAAAATAATAGGAAAGTGTATATTATGGAAAATATCTGTACCTATTTTACTGTAGCAAAAAGGGGAAAGAAGACTACTTTTAGTATACCCATCAGACCACAATCACAAGCTGTCTTCACAGGCGCTTTGGACAAGGAACAGCGATATTGATCTATATAGTTACTGTCAAGTCCAGTCATGTCGGCACCCAACAAACATATTCCTGGTAGTTTGGGCCACGACATACCGTTATTATCTTACTCCGAGATATACGGCTACTGTTTACCGCGAAGCTGACCACAAACAAAGACAACAATCTACCTCGACTGGCAAACATCGCAAGATTCATCTATCAATTGTCGCAGACATGTTTGCCTACCTACTACAGAGTACTAACACGTGCCCAATCCAGGACATATTAGAACACACCCACCGTGGTATGGGTATGTATATCAAGGGGTATTCCAACTCTGAGAAGCCGGTAATGAACTTGCTTGTGCTCGTGAGACGTGTGAAGTCTCCTGTACTTAAGAAAGTAGGATCAAAGCACAAGTAAGGAAACTGGTGCTCTTACGCATAGGTGGACGATGGGGTAGCAACCTAAGTAAGTAGCAGTACCTGGTACTTACCTTCCTACTAACCTATACTAATCCACCGGACAGTCCAAGGCCAAAGCGCTTCCCCGATACGTCCGAGAGTTGCAAACCACGGAGATGATCATAGGGCGGACGTTTCTTGATACCTATCTAGCCCACCTGCAAACTTCGAGAGTATGACTGACTCGGGAAGGCCCGTAACGGACCTACTGATCAACTGACAATTGAAACTCCGCCCCCTGTCTCAACTATTAAGACGCTCAGAGTACACGAATAAAGGCTGATCCTTTTAAGACCGGGGTATCAAAACAGATACCGTCAGAGTATTGTTTCGCGACAAGTGGTATTTTCCTCGCAGGGGGGAAAGAAGGACTGGCATGGTTCATTCTAGTTTTTACTAGGTAGATACCAAGATGTGCCGCATCATGGTGAAACTGGGGAGGTCCCTTTCCAGACATCGATTGTCGTTGAACGGGCCGATCAGCCGAAACGGCACCCAGAAGGAAAAGCCAAAATGCGTGTCGATCTTCGTCTAATGGGGTTATGAAGCTGTTTGGTGAGTGGTGGATGGAATGGAGGAAGTTCTCCAGATCCCGTATTCTGTTTGGGACAGATGCGGTATAGTGTGCCTAATCAGGGAGAGTGCATCAGCTGTTGCTTAGCACCATGACGCGTGGACTATAAAGACGGAGATGGGCATCATTTGACGCCGTTTTCGCTCCATGAAAATGCTTTACAACAGAAAGAGAACAATAAAAGTCTGCGGAGGAATGAATATCAACAGAAAAGGCAGACGAAGATGACCTCTTTGGGCTTGGTGCTTCGTGGAAACTGTTTTCCACAACCTCTTCCTGCGTTGATAGATTTCACTATACCATGTACATTACGTGCGTGAGAGAAGAACTGTGGAAATCCGGCTTGTCTGTATTCGTTATGGACTTGTTACCTAGAATACTCTTTTGAACGAGCAACCAAAGTTCTAACAAGCTCTCTAATGAACGCCGAGGTCGCGGGAATCAAGGGCGGGAGAAGTCTTCTTCGCTCGCCCAAGCTTCTCCCTCTGGAACCCTGAGAGACTTTCGCTCTTTGATTTTTCCTCGATATCCCACTAGGTGCTCTCACCCTATACCCCAACCGCGGCAGTTTGCCCAAGAAGCAGATCTCGGTCGTAATCAAGTTTTTCGTCGGTCGCGTTGGCGGCACCGCTGAGAGCAAGGACTCGATGTAGGACCCACTGCATACTTAGTAGCTCCATGGATGGAAGAGGGTGACCAACTGGGTCATTGGTTTGAAAAGTGAGAATATCCCCAGAAGCTTTCAAGGTCGACTTCCTCCTTTTTACCAAGGGTTGTTGGGTATATATGTGCAGCTTCAAGCGGTTCGCGAAGCCCAGTGAGAATACAAGTGCTGTTATCCCGTTCCTTGCACTTGGACAGGTTAGTGAAAAACATATTCATTTCTATCATATGTGAATTGGACTTGCCAGTTTTTTTGCGTCATTGGGAATTGACTTCTCCGAGTATTCGTAGGACTGTGCAGCACTCCTAAACCGGATCTCCCCTGATGTTGTTTGTATTAGCTAGTACCCCTTTGTATGGTCAATAACGACACTTACAGGCTTTGATCGTGTTCGTAAGCTTATCATTCTTTCCAAGAACAGCTGCCAGAGGAATGGAATCTGTCGGGTCATTTCCACATTTCTTAATGAGCTCTCTTATATTTGAGAGGCCTGCAAACCACAGGAAAGTCCATCCAATTAAACCAACTCGAGGCTCTCCTATGATGCGTAATAGCTGCGTGATTAGCGCGTGTCGCGCTGAATCGAGGAGCTCGTCTGCAGGGCCCATGGCAGCTGGTTGGGCTTGGTCGGAGGTAAGAAAGGTGGGTTGGTGGGTAGGCATATGTGTGGACATCACGAGGAACTCGCTCTAGAGTCTGCTGGATATCACAAGAGAGTCGGATCGAAAGTTCCGCAATAGAGATCAAGGCGGAGGTCCACGGCGTTGGTATAAAATTTATCATTTACTTATACTAAATTAAACAAGATCACATAAAGCATGGCAAGAAGGCTGTGATCTGCATTATCATATCCCTTACCATGCTCTGGGAACACAAAGACGATTGAGTGGTATATCAGGTTATTGCGGCAAGGTCTTCTTTTACGGGGGTAGGGTATCTTGTGAGGTCGAAAATGATGCTGCTGAAGAAGGTATTTTGGGTAAATGTCTCAGATCAAAATATAATGTATTCAGGATCAAGCTCACCCTGACGTCAATTGATATAGGTGAATACCTCAGCATTCCATAACTATCAACCAAGGCTTCATTAGGGTTACACTTCCGTAATAAAGTTACTACTTCTACTCTGGCACTCTATTTCAGACCCGAAAGATTTTATAGTGAATTGTTTGCCAGTGAAAGAAAGTATCTAGTAGAAGACAGGCTTATTAAAGAAATGATATCAGTTACCAGGCTGAAGTATTCAGGGGTCTTATCCCCTTCCCTTCTCCCTCTTCATCTGTTACGACTCATAATTTAATTCTCACGTCTGTTGTCTGTCATTGTTGGACCTTCGACTATTCTCTACCTCTCACAGTTTGGCCTGTTTCCTCAACATTCCCACAATTCTGACGAGGTTCAGTCTGACCTGACCATTCGCTAAGACAACTGAACCATATTTGGATCAAGCCCTGTTCGCAACGTGGTGGCTCCGCCGCCTTCACCTTCGCCAAACTGTTCTAGATGTCGAGCCAGTCTTCTCTCTGAGATAGAAACCCCGTCAATCTTGCCAAAAATGGAGGGATTAAGCTATGTGCTGGAATCTGACGAATTTACTGCCACTGTCAAAAAGAGGATCAAAGAAATGTCAGGAGACTCTTGCTGGGCATGTGAAATTGCGAATTCCCAGGCTGTATATGTAGTCGCGAGGGAGGATATGCAAGTAGGCAACCGTGTTCCTTCGACCTCTCCAGCATGAATAGACTGACAACTGAACAGGAGCCTCTTTGGCGTGACCAAGGTCTTCTCAACTTCTCCTTGACTTCCGCGGACAACGGGATCCCTCTGTGCTCAACTTGTCAATACCTGTTCGAGAGACCTGACGATCCAGGATTCGTTTTCATACCTGCCGATTTACAATACTTCATTGACTTCGAGCTTAAGGACCGCGAGAACAGAGAATTGGCAGCAAGAAATGGCGAAGCTCTTTCTCGGCAAGTTCCATCCAGTGATATGTACCGCGAGCATCAATTGAAGCAAGGCGCTATCGAAGCCGAGGCAGCCGGCGGCCTCTATAAGCGAGTTTTCTTGACGAATTACTCGGCCGGAGAACTAATCGACCCCGAAGAACATGGCTTGACGGGGCTAAAAGTCTGGCATGGAGCGCCCTTGGCGACTCTGCGGCGGGGAATTCATGCCCTGGGTAGCGCCAGAGTCTACCAGATGGACCCAAAGACGATTGCCCAACTGGAAACCCTACGAAGTCTTTACTTCAAGTGCACTCGAGAGTCCTCTCTGGAGGTTAGGAGCACACAGGCCCAGCCAGACCTCCAGCGCAAGGAAAGGGAGGCCCGTGAGGAGGATGAATTTGGCGTACCAAGCAACTTGAAGATGCTCAAGATAGAACACCACCACTTGTACACCGATTTTGAAGACCGACCTATTCCTCAGGAGGAATGGACTTTTACGCCTAAGTTAACTACAGGAGAAATCATCGACCGCTACTTGGACGCTGTTCGTTCTCCCTGAAATTCCGATCTCTAAGTAACAACTTGGATTCATAGAAGGAGTGCAAGATAGATTGATTAATAGGTATCAAGTGTAATATCATTTTTGAAAATTTCTTAGACGTTTATCTGAATAGATAGATTAGTTGTAAGATATTCTCCCCTGTATATTTTTTTGTAAAACGACTCTTTGACCTCTTCTGAGAATGATATCTATCAGTATATCATACTGAAGTGAGGAGTCATTCTTAAAAATTAGTTAGACCTTCATATCTCACAATGAAAACAATCACTACTGATAGTGCTTGGTAAACTTTGGGACTATATTGAACAGAATAATACTGCGAGACAATTACTACAGTGAACACTGTGATGAAATAAAAAGTGCTGACTCCAGTCTTAATATAGATTGATATCTGTCACTACGAAGATTCAAAGTCTCCCTCAAAAGCACTTGTCTAGTGAAGAGTCAAAGTCTTGATCTGATATCACTGACCTTGAAGCTATTACAAAGAATATGAAGAAACTCCTGATAGTGTCTATATACTCTGATAATTAGAGATATGGAAGTCCTGTGATTGAAACCTACCATCAGTCGTCTGAACAAGAGTGAATAATATTATAGGTTTGCCCTCTGTTTGTTGTCGAACATTCACTGCCGTAGAGACAGTTGTGACGCTGTGTCTATACAGAGAAAATTTCCTTTCTCTCACCTACCTCTCTGTTTTCTTCAACTATGTCTTCCTCCATCTTCTGACCCTTTCACACCCACCACCATTTTCGGCCTTCCTGCTTTGAAGCACAATATCTGACGTCTTTGGTACGTCGGCCCCATATTCATAAGCAGTTTGCTTTTAGCTAACGAGATATAGAAGAAGAGGTCCTACCGCGCAGTTCCTCCCATCGCTATCGTGTCTCTTCCCTCCCTTCCTTCAACCTTCGCCAAGGGACTGAGCAGAAGCCCATCCCACTGTGGCGTTTACCTCTCTTTTCTTCCCTCCTTCAACCTTTGCCGGGGACTCAGCAGTAGCTGATCCCACTGCGGCTTCACGAAGAAAAGATGGCCAATCTTTTCAGCAAGCCAGACACGACCGTCAAATTTCCGGTCAAGTCCATCAGATACCATGGCCTGGGAGAAAGTATTGCGATGGCTCAACCAATTGCAATCAATCCCGCAATCAGTTTGCTGCTGTCTTCGTCAACAGTGAGGCTTCGCCAGGGTCTTTCGATCAACCAAGGACGCAGTCGCTCTTTCTGGAACGTCACGTTCCACATCTCCAATATTCACATTGTATCGCTGGAGACAGCAAAGGACGAGCTCATCTACACGTTTGAGTCCCGCTCTGACTTCGCAAGCGCCACTGATATTGAACATCGAGAAGCCCTTCCAGAGCCATCCACGTACCCACTTGCGGCAGTGAACTTGCTCAACCGGGTTATTCAGATTACCATGGGTTTGCCCAGTCCCAAGCTGTGGGAAAGGCAGTCCGGCCTAGTTTGTCAGGCCCTCCGTGGGGGTAGTCTCGTTCTTTCTCAAGCGGAGAGTGAGTATGTCAATATCAACAGCCGGGCTATCATCAAAGAGGCCGAGGAAGAAGAAAAGTGTCTCGCTGGTCGTGGATGCCACGTAAAGTGCGTCTCAGTAGCGGGCCGAACCATATTAGGAATCTGGCCTGGCGAGGACCGTCCGTTCCGCCTCTACAGAGGTTGCACCGTGGTGCTCCGTGGCAAGCACTTTTTCGTCAAGGAAGTGGCCAAATGTTATCGAATTTCTGGCGAGAAGGAGTCCCCGGAAGAATGGATGGCCTCGGTATCAGGGGACTCTCCCAAGTGGAGATCGTTACTTGACGCCCCTGTGCATGCGGTCCTCAAAAACGAGGTAGACATCAGAATTTTCGGCCATATAGAGGTGGACAATGTCGAAGTCCACCCTTTGTCCAACCCTGTGGTGCAGAATCGACTGCTGGGACCTACCCGAAAGCTTTCCGAAAACTGGGGCGACGAGGACTTCGATACAATGTGTCAAGAATTCGAGAATCACGGTGCGACAATCCCCAGTGGCCACACAACAAAGCTTCCACTTACTTCGATGTTCCTGCTCTCGGCCCCTCGGGTTGATACCCATGACCCCTTGATCACCTCTCCCGGGGATCTGAGCACCCTTGTGCCGAAAGAGTGGAGGCTCAATGAGGCACAAGCGCAAGCAACTACCCAACTGCTTACGCATTCCTTCTCTTTGGTGGCTGGGCCTCCGGGTACCGGCAAAACGCGAATAATTGCTGCAGCCGCCATGTTTGTAACACAGTTCCTCCGCCATAGTTCGGTAGGATCGGCTAGATTGGCCGTCCTAGTACCGACCGATGCAGCAGGTGCTGCTGTTATGTCTCAATTGTCCAGTGCCTTTCAAGAGTTTAGATACGGAGATCACAAACTCATGCGTCTTCGGAGCAGAGCCGACTCTGAAGACCGACTTTTTGGGGGTGATACACAACAATTTGATGACATTGAGCAAATCATCGCTCACGCCAAGGAAAAGCCTGGTAAATATGGTCAATTCCTTCGAGAGATTGAAAGGCTTAGGACCTGTGGCCGGGTGAAGGAGAACTTTCAAGAGTTCAATCAGCAACGACGCGAGCTCATTATGAGCGTTATGAAGGATGTTCAAGTGGTGGTGACCCTGCCGCTTAACACCAAGGAGATGATTCGGCGAGAATTCAGCCCTGAATTCGTTATCTTCGACGAAGCTAATTATTTCCGCGATCCGGAAATCTTCAGCGTTTTGGGTCAACTGAAGGCGGATTCCCGCGTGCTCTTTGTCGGTGATCCCAAGCAATTGTCGCCTCCTGTTTTTACCAGCCAGGGAGCGACAGCGTGGACGAAATCAGCCTTTACGCGACTATTAGACAAGAAATACCACCAGACGCTCTTGAATCTCTCGTATAGGTCCCACAAGATTCTATACAACCCGACCTCTATAGCCTACTATGAGGGACAGGCCCAGTCATTCCGCGGCGGGCCGAACAAGACCGTCGGGGTCAACCCGGGGAACCCTGTGATCGTTCGACTTGGCAGCAAAACCTGGAGTCTACCAGGGCTTTCCCATTTCCTGCATCTTGCGCGTATCAATTTGGATGACACTAACAAGGATCCCTCTGGGTCCTTGTTTCACCCCCGGGAGGCCGAGCTTGGGGTCGAATTGGCCCGAAGCCTCCTCGACAGGGGCGCTAGGGACATCCTCATCATATCACCCTACAAGGCCCAAGTGGCCCTGGTCAAAAAGGTGTGGGAGCAGAACCATCCCCATACAATCGCACCGAGGATTCAAACCGTCGACGCTTCCCAAGGGTCGGAAGCAGAGGTCGTGATCGTTCTGATCACGCGTAATTTTGGCTCTGCCGGCTGCCTCCAGTCAACGAGGCGGACCAATGTGATGCTGTCCAGGGCCCGTGTCGCCCAGTACGTTGTGGGTAATTGGGACTGGGTCGCGGGCAGGGGCTTCGCCCCAGACTCCGGAAAATTGAACGCCTATTTTGATGGGGCTGATCATGTCCTGGACAAGCGGACCGATTATGCCATCGCCCCAACGGTAGGGTAGATGATGGTTTTCTGTCATGGGTTCGGTGGGAGGCCAAATCAAAGGCCACGGACAACTCACCCATAGTTAGCCTAAATGGCGATGGTGGGGGGTTTAGTTTGCCGCCACACTGGACAAGGGTTGTCGGGCTGGCACTGCAGGACTGCTCCATGATCTGAGCGCCAAAGTTGCAGATCTGTCTGACCTCTGAAAAGTGGTTTGATTTTAGCCCGAACAACCTTGGCTAGGATCAACCTAAGTATAATAATTTATCAGAGGGTGACCTTGTAGGTAGGTATCCCGCCATCGTTATATTCTCGTTTCAAATGGTACAGAGATCTAACCATTCATAGCCATTGAAAATCTTCGACTAAGAGCAACCAGATATTGAGAGACCATGGGGTTTCCAGAACCCCACATCCACTCCCCTCAAAGCACTCACACCCACACGGTGATCTTACTCCACGGTCGAGGGAGCAATGGCCCCGAATTCGCCGAAGAGCTCTTCTCTTCCAAGTCCTCCAAGAATCAAAATCTAGCCTCTTCTCTCCCTAACTGGCGCTGGGTATTCCCGACATCCCGTGACCGATGGAATACCCGATTCGAAGAGGAGATATGCGCGTGGTTTGACGCATACTCCTTGACCGACGTGCAGGAGAGACAAGAGTTGCAAATCGAGGGCCTGAGAGAGTCAGTCTTACACATTGTGGATATCCTGGAGAACGAGATCCGACTGCTCGGTGGGAAAGCTAGCCACGTCTATCTGGGAGGTATGAGCCAGGGAATGGCGACCGCGCTGTGCACGTTATTCTGTGTGACAGGCGCAGGACGCATTCAGGGACAGCTCGGTGGTTTTTTGGGGTTCTGTGGCTGGTTGCCGTTTGTTCGGCGGGTGGAGGATTTGGTTCGACAAGCACAGGAAACCAACACCCTCAGACTTTCCGGCGGGGCTCAAACTAAGCGCCTAGTATCTGAGTACTTTCTTCATACGATCTTCGGCAGTCACGACATGTCGTCGGTAAAGGAGGTCAGTGATACGTCTATCCTGTCGACCCCCGTGTTTTTGAGCCACGGAACAGACGACGCGTGGGTGCCTGTGGAGCAGGGTCGACAGGCGGCTCAGATCTTACAGCAGAGCACGATCCAGGTTGAATGGAACGAGTTCAGCGGGGCGGAGGGAGATGGGCACTGGATCAAGGAACCTGAGGGCTTCGACCAGATCCTCCAATTTGTGGAGAAACAACGCGACCGGAATCAGACGGAGAGTCAATAGTTCAGTGCTCCGTACGGAGTAATGGGTATAACCATCTGGTGGACGTTGGACTATGGGGACTAGTCACAGGGGAAAAGACCGGGCGCAGACCGAAACCCCCTGATCTGCCTCGGAAGCAGGATACAATACTTCCTAGTTCCTAGGGAGAACGCCATGGGCTGATAGACCGGTATAGCACGTCCATCAAGAGTCCCGAGGTTCCGGAAAGTTGGAACCGTTCGATACGTGGACAGTTTCATTAGGGCTATGGCTATTTTCTTTTTCAAGATTTGCGGTGGGTTTTTGTTTTACTATTTTAGTCAAGGTACTTTGTTCATGGCCGTTGAGTTTTGACAGGCCTCAAATGCAGGCTGGATGGCGCGGGCGCGACCCTACCCTGCAGCCTTGCACACATCATTCGATGGATCTATCTCGTTGACTTGTGATCAATCTTCCGAGGATGTTGTTTGATGTTTGATGTTTTATTTGTTTTACTGTCGCATCCTCTTCCCCGTGGTGTTCCGTTCATATGCCGGAGGCCGACTGTCAGCCGGGTGAAATCTACGGGAATTGATTATGTATGGGGATGATTCTGGCAGTACCTATTCTGCAGTGTCGAATACAGACTGAATCCATTTCCCACTTATGAAGACGGACCGAGAAAGTATCTCCCTGAAGGATGATAGCGGGGCGGGAAAAGAGAGCTGCAGCTGTCAAACTTGTCTCCATGCGAGGTCAATCAATACCGGTATGGGGTGTATTCTACTCCGTATTATGTGGATATTCCTAATTATGATATTAATAATAACCATATTATTATTTTATTATAATAGAAACTGATAGTAATGATAATATAATAATAATATGGTTCCAGTTTAATGTGGGGTTGTTGGACCGGACGGACGGGAAGTCGAGGTCGAGACTCGGGGTTGATTCTGTTCTTCTGTACCTGTTTATCTGAAGAGTTGATCTTATTCAAAAAAACCAAGGAGAAGAAGAAAAGGAAGAAATAGTAGGCAATGCATTTGATCCAACTTGAACCACGCGCCACGGTGACGGCGACGGCGACGGCGACGGTGACGGTGCCCGTTGTGCCAATGCCATGCCATGCCAAAGAGTCAGAGACGCCTCCCGTTCTCCCCCTAGTATAGCGTCTACTCCACACCAGTTCTTTAGTTCCCGGTCTATATCGTAGCGTGTCCCGATAACTCCAAGTAGTAAGATGGTCAACGCGCATGTTGTTTTTAGTTTCTAGTTTCTAGTTTTGGTTTTTTAGTTTTAGTTTTAGTTTACCCTACTGGTGGCCACATTGGCACATCCACATTTTACTTCAGCTAGATGACTTGAACGGAAACGGGCCGGGGGCCCTAGTGGCAGTTATGTCGTCTGTATTCTCTCTCATTGGAGTCTTCTCCGTCCGGGAGTTTCAGCAGGACTGACAGGCTATGTGAACGCTGAACCCCTGGAGATCACTGATGGGGTGTGTCATGGACAGAATCCGGATCCCTGTATCGTTGTCATTTGATACATATACGATATATACGGAGTATATGTAAACAAATATCTGATAGCCAAGAGTCAGATTCATGTCGGAGGGAATCACAATATGGTATTGACTTGATACGGTAAGAAATCAGAAACCCGACAGATACACCATCAACAATCAATTCAATACCAGTTCTGATGGAGCCCGGGCCCGTGAGTGTAATCTAACCGGGTCTGGTTAGTGTAATACCACATGTATTGTATGATACGTACGGGATAACTGACCTTCTTTCATAAAACTCCTTCTTCCCTTCTTTTTCCCTCTCCTTTCCCCATGACTCTTGTTCATTCTTGACTTGATATTAAATCTTGTTTGGATGAGATTTGATCTTATATTTCTATCTACTAAATCACAAGACATCTGTGTCCGACAGGATCCCGTGTTTTGTTGCCACCGCTTTGAATCCACTCCAGTACTGATCGCGTACTCGCCCCTGCCACCCACTTAAGGGAGCCTGAACCCCCTAATACTGCAACTGGACTTTATCTCTCTCTCCTCCTTCTCCGCCGCCCGCCCGCTTCTTAACCCGCACAATCTGTCTCCCCCTCCTCCTCAACCACCCCAGTCCTCCGACTCTCTACCCCCGATCGTCAACCACACGTCTTTCCTTCCTATTAGTTCGGTTTCGCATGGTTTCACTCGACATCCTTACCGTCTGTGGTAAAGTACTGGTCTCTCTAGTCATGAACAACGCTCGCTCTTGAGTTGCTTTCAGCCCATCACTCGCAGGGGACGCCGTCATTCGTGTATATTTTCTTCCCATTGAATACGATCCTTCTGTCCCTGGAGAGAACTCTCAAAATATTTATTTACCAACAGCAAGGGAGCGAAATTCCTTATCGCTCAATACCCCCATGTACGAGATCGGTGTGGCCGAGTCTTCGCCCGCTGACGGGTCCGCGATGGCGGCTAAATCCACACCCTTTGCGACCGCGGTCGAGTACAACGAGGACCACTCGACCGCCAATTCTACGGGCGCTCTGCGGAGTCGCAGTCGGGGCGAGAGCCTCTCCATGCACCAGAACGGGTTTGCGGTCGATCAATCCCCCCAACGACACCAATCGCCCATGGTCTTGACGACCGGTGGGCGCTATACGCCCAGCCCCGAACCCGCCTCGGCGCTGTTCGTGCGGGCCATGTACGACTACGATGCCGACGACCCGACTAGTCTTAGCTTTCGTCGAGGCGACGTGATCCAGGTGCTCAATCAGCTCGAGACCGGATGGTGGGACGGTGTCATTAACAACAACATTCGGGGCTGGTTCCCGAGTAATTACTGTGCCGTTATCGATGACCCCAGCGAACTGCAGGATCACATTCCGCTCGACCTTCACGAGATGGGCGATGGACACGCTAGTGCCGACTCCGGGGCCGGCGAGGCCTATGACGACGGACACGATGATGACGAGGTGGACTCGGTGGGCAACCCGCGCGATTCGGCGCCCATCCTCCCCATCGAGGGGACCGTTGCCCCGAAGGAGCAGGAGGAGGCCGCCTTCTGGATCCCGCAGGCCACCCCCGACGGACGGTTGTTCTACTTCAACACTCTCACCGGCTACAGCACCATGGAATTGCCCTTCGAAAACCCGGCCGCGAATGAGACCGGCCCGTACGATCGCAATAACTTCTTCGTGCCCGACCAGACCCGGCCCCCGCCCGAGCTGATGGCTCGCGGCTTCGAGCGTGACGAGGACGAGTACGACGGGTCGGCGTCCGAGGCTGAGGGGGAGTCGTTGATGGTGGCCTCTCACGATTCCATGTCCCGCCGGCGGCAGTCGTTCATGGATGGCGTATCGCCCGCAACGTCCATGGACTCTCTGCACCCCCCGTCGACGATGGCCAAGGCTACGGGCCACCACTCGAATCGCAGCCAGCCCAAGATTTACGCCTCCCATGGCCCCAGCAACAGCACCACCTCGCTCTCCGAAACCTACCACCGGCCCTCCGTCTCCTCCGAGGTTCCCTCCCACTTTGTGGACGATGCGGCCTCGACCCCCCTGACCTGGCCGTTGCTCGTGGACAACATGCACCATGCGATCGAAGCGTATCGCCAGACGCTGTTGAGCGGCGACCGCTCCGAGTATGTCCGGAAGGCGGAAGATATTTCCGACCACTTGCGCATGTTGCTGGCCGCGGGATCCGACACCACCGACAACCACTCGGGGAACCCGTCCATCATCTCCACGAACAAGGCTCTGTACCCCCACTTCCGGGATATGATGTCCAAGTTCTCCAAGCTGGTGTTGTCGTCTCACATCGCCGCGGCCGACTGGCCCGGCCCGGACTCCGCCCACAAGTGCCTGCAGGAAGCGGATGGCGTCATGCATGGCGTCTACGGGTATGTGGATGTCGCACGGAAGCAGCGCGGCGAGGCCATCCATCGCGTGGTCCCCGGCTTCGTGATGGGTAGTTTCGCGGGCGGTTGCTGGCAGAGCAACGGCGTGTCGCTGAACGGCTCGGGCCCGACCTCATTTTTGGACCAGGACCCCGAGGACTCCCGCGCCGAGCCGTCCACGCCCCTCGACCTCGCCGTCCTGGACCATATCGACGTGCTCCGGAAGGCCCTCGTGGGCAGCATCCGTCGCCTAGAGGAGCGCTTGACCCTCAACCAGAAGAAGATCGTCACCGCCATGACCCACCGGGAGATTGGCGACTCCGTCTCGGCGGCCGCCATCAAAGTCGTCGAACAGTACCGTCCATGGGTCTCGGCCGTGGAGTCGGTCAACCTGGCTCCGCTGGGGACCAGCTTCCAGAACCCGCAGCTGGTCGATTACGGCCTGCAGAAGCAGCGGGTGTACGATGCGATCGGTGACTTCGTGCTGAGCTGTCAAGCGATCGCGGCGCCTCTGGGTGATGAGTGGGCCGAACTGCGGGGCGACTCGCTGGACGACCGCCTGAACGCCGTTCGCGGCGTAGCCCGTCAGCTGGAGAATTACGTCTCCCAGATTGGGTTCTCGCTCTCGCTCCTTCTGGAGCAGATCCCCGAACCGGCGACCGTCTTGCGCAGCGACAGCCGCCTGGGCGACACCCCCGAGGGATCCAAGGCCCAGCACGGCCGCGGGGAATCGAAATCCGGCAACGGCCCGATGGGATTGCCCTCGTCCTTCTCCCCCGAGCCGCCATCGGATAAGGTGCGACGCAACATGAACAAGGCGCAGCGGTTCTTTGGGCAGGCCCCGCCGACAGCTATCACCCGGGAACCGATCCGGGAGCCCGTGCGCGAGCCCGAGGAGACGCCCTGGTACCTGAAGATGGACCACGAAGGCGAGGTGTTCTACGACACCAAGAACGACGTGCCGACCCTGAAATGTGGCACCCTGGGTGGTCTGGTGGAGCACCTGACCCGACATGACAAACTGGACGCCTCGTTCAACAACACCTTCCTCCTGACCTACCGTTCCTTCACTACGGCTTCGGAGCTCTTCGAGATGCTCACCCAGCGATTCAACATCCAGCCGCCGTTTGGCTTGAACCCGGACGAGATGCAGATGTGGGTGGATCGGAAGCAGAAGCCCATTCGATTCCGTGTTGTCAACATCCTGAAGAGCTGGTTCGAGCACTTTTGGATGGAGCCAAGCGATGAGACCAACATGCAACTCCTCGACCGGGTTCATTCCTTTACCCGAGATTCCATCGCCACCACCAAGACGCCGGGTTCGCCCCAGCTCCTGACCGTCGTCGAGCAGCGCATCCGGGGCCAAGACACCACCGCTAAGCGGCTGGTTCCCACGCAGGCGACCGCGGCTCCGACTCCCATCATCCCGAAGAACATGAAGAAGCTGAAGTTCCTCGACATCGACCCGACCGAGTTCGCTCGCCAGCTGACGATCATCGAGTCGCGCCTCTACTCCAAGATCCGACCGACCGAATGCCTGAATAAGACGTGGCAAAAGAAGGTTGCGCCAGGGGAGCCCGAGCCGGCGTCGAACGTCAAGGCCCTGATTCTGCATTCGAACCAATTGACTAATTGGGTGGCCGAGATGATCCTCGTCCAGTCCGATGTCAAGAAGCGTGTGGTGGTTATCAAACACTTTGTGAACGTGGCAGATGTATGCTCCCTTTACCTATCCCGCCTCCGCTCTATGTGGTCGATGACCCGCTGCTAACCTATGGACCCCTAGAAATGTCGGAGTTTTAACAATTACTCCACCCTTACCTCTATCATCTCAGCTCTGGGAACGGCACCGATTCATCGCCTGGGTCGGACATGGGCTCAAGTCAGTGGACGCACGTCTGCCATCCTCGAGCAGATGCGCCGGCTCATGGCCAGCACCAAGAACTTTGGCGAGTATCGCGAGACGTTGCATCTGGCGAACCCGCCCTGTATCCCATTCTTTGGTATGGTGTTATGGCCGAAATAACATATCCCCTAGTCGAACTCTAGTTCGATCGAGAAACTAATGACTCTTTCCGTCTTAGGTGTTTATTTGACCGACTTGACGTTCATTGAAGATGGTATCCCATCGCTCACGCCGTCGGAGCTGATCAACTTCAACAAGCGCGCCAAGACCGCCGAGGTCATCCGTGACATCCAACAATATCAGAACGTGCCGTATCTTCTTCAGCCAGTTCCGGAATTACAGGACTACATCCTCAGCAACTTGCAGGCGGCCGGAGATGTCCACAACATGTACGATCGGAGCTTGGAAGTAGAGCCCAGAGAGAGGGAAGACGAAAAGATTGCGAGGTATGCTATTTCCGGTAGAGAGATGAGTACCTTGACTTTCGCGAGCCTGGTCTTGTCGTCGCGATGATCCAGATTGCTTATTTTTTTCTTTCTCACCTTTTTCCCTTTTCTTCCATTCAGTTCCTTTCAACTGTTTTCTCGGTCGGCCGGCGATTCCGCCGCGTTCCACCGATAGCCCGCCCTCTTCTTTATTTCCTTGGTTTCTCTGTTGTCGAGACATATTGAATCTCGGAGGAATTTTGATTGATTGAGGACTAACCGCTTCTGTCTCCTGCACGTAGACTGCTTTCTGAATCGGGTTTCCTGTAAAGCGACCCACGCGCCCCCACTGCCCGACTTTCTCCGTCGGGGCTATCATGTGACACGGCAGACAATCCCTGTCGAGGTTGCATTTCATGCACATTTATGACGCGCGAGCCGACTTTGACCGCCAGACCCCCTCGCGGCAAACCGAGATGCACGGATACGATCGGGCTCGAAGGCGCCCGCGGGGCACCCAATGGCCGGTGCAGGGTGAAACGGGCAACACGGTGCCCTTATCGGGCCCCTCAAACGACGGCGCTTAGGTGGAAACCTGGGTCAACCGTTAAAATCAGCCCGTCGATCGTCGTATGACAGACAACGATCGATCCTGTTCCTTGGACCTGTGCCATGCAGATCGTTGAGATCGGCATTCCAGACGTCCGAATTGGGTCCAATTACGTTAGGGGCTCCTCGGACGACTCACGGATTTGGTAACGGTCGCCCATGCTGTGAAACCTGTTACGTCTCACTTTCTGGGCCTGCAGAGGACCCATTTGTGCCTTGCAGGTGGTTGGAGGCAAATCTCATTCGAAATTGTTCCCTTTATGGGACCTCCTACAGGCCAGCAAGTGCTGCGCAGGGCAGAGAAAGAAGGGGCTTACACCGACCGACCGAGAGCTTTATTCGTATTGGAGCTCGAGCGACAACGCTTATTGCATGTGATGGATACATTGCAGCGGACGGCCCGATTGGCATCAGTCTCTTCCTCTCTTTCCCCCCATCTCTACGACTATGATCTCCTTTGTCTACGACCCCGACAAGTCTCTCCCTTTCTCCACGTCACTCCTTTCGACTCAACCTCCTAAATAAATATCTGCACAAACCACTTCACCCCTGTACAGTGGCAACGCCAGTCTACTTTGTACAAAAAAGAGAGAGATTGCATTTCATCTCATGTCATCTCCTATTACTTCCACGCAGTGCTTATCATATCTTCTACCTGTTGTGAGCGTTACTTTTACTATATTTACGGTTGCATAATGATCTATGACGACACTGGATAGTGTTATAGTGTTTGGTTTTGATGATGGGATCTAGTTCTGTATGTATCTGGTTTGGACCAGCTTGGGTTATAGAGAATGTTAGTAGTGTTGATGTTGATTTTATGTTACTCTCGTGAGGGAGGGATTAGTTTATTCCCGGTGTGGACTTGTCTTGACTCCGTAGTTGGTCCGATTTGTAGATTGAAAGATGGTCGTTGTCTATGTATAGTAGTCCTACCTGGGTGTTGGGACCTGCCTGGAAAGCTTACCAGGGTGTGTTAGCTCTTTAGCCAAGTGGGTGGAATCTACTCTACGACAGGCCGACCCCACCACAGGGGGAAACACCCAAGGGGAAAAAAAATAGAAAGAAGTCATCTCGTCGTTTCACAGCTAAGCGCAAATCCACCCGCTACGTCTCTGCGCGGTTCTCCTCCCCAATCCCCTGAAACAACTTCATCTTCACATCCGCCGCCAACAACCCCTTAACCTCCTCCGAGACGATCCGCTGTCCATCCCGCACGACCTTCTCCAGCTGCGGATCCTTAACGGTCGAGGGTCCCCCGCCGCGCGAAGCGCTATTCTCGATGCCCCGCGTCGCGCGCCGCACCTTCTGGCTCAGATCCATCATCTGCTTGCTGCCGTAGTCGCGCGTCGTAAACAGCGGGCTCTGGCTTAGAGTCGCTACCCAGTATTTGTTCCACAGTAGCGATAGTAGCTCTGCGTCTAGCGAGCTCTTGAAGTATGATACCTCCAGACTGTAGTAATGTGACGCGTGCGCGCCGAAATCCTCCGCCTTGCTCAGCGGTACGGCCTGGTAGTCGTCTCCGCCGTCGGCGTCGGCGCCGCCCTCGCCGTCCTGACCCTGTCCCTCCTTGGAGGAGGAAGGAGGCATATAGTCCTTGGGAAACGTGCGGAACGCACCGATGTCGACCTTCCCCGCGGAGATAGTCCGCTCGGGATCGATCACGACCGCCACGAACGGACCCCCCATCTGCTGCATATCCTGCGTCGACACGTCAATGCCCGACAGCCAGCACCCGTACCCGGGATGACTGTGGTACCATCCGACGGCGTTCTCCATGCGGCCCGAGTCTCGGCACGCCTGCAGATACGACACCATGTACTCGTTGGCTTCGTCCTGGGCGTTGACCCGCGTCTCGGTGCCCTCGACGGGGAGCCGGAAGGCGTCTGTTACGATGAACGTCTCGTGCTGCACGTACCCCTGCATCAGGCCCATTACTTCGAGCGACCCGCCTGACCGCGCGTGCATCACCATCTTGAGCAGTGCGACGGCGGAGATCCGCACGGATTTGAAGTATTGCGGGTCTTTGGACCATGGTCGAGTGCTGCTTAGTTGCGTGTGGGTTGATTCGTTGTAGCGGTAGAGGGCGTCGCGGTGGGGGTCGATTAGGTTGATGGCATTTTCGAACTCTGCTGTTTGTTAGTATTTCGTTTGGGAGATATATTCATGTCAAAAGATTCATGTCAAGGGATTCATATTGAGGGATCGTGGTGAGTGGGGAGGGGGGAGGGCGGGGAACATACCCCAGGACTGCTGGGCAGCCTGCTGCATGGTGGCGGTTGGGGATGGTGGGTCTATGATGTATTGCAGTTTCTTTCTTCAATGAGTAATAGATATACAGTAGTCTATTGGGGAGATTGATGGAGAAAGTGACCACAAGATGGAGGTGAGATGCGATGCTGTCATTATCAGCATATCAGTTATCGAGGACAAGGCGGTGAGGCAGAATCTGGCAGTACTTGGCGGTGAGCTACTGAGTCAGCCGTTGCCTGAGAAACCAGCAGCTGCAGGCCGAATCTCGATTTGCGGCTGCCGCTTCCTGCCTGAGGAGTTCGTCCCATCAACAACTCAATCCCTCAATCCCTCTCGCGCGCTCTCTCTCTTATCCACTCTTCCCTCCTCCTCCTCCACTCTTTGTTGATCTATCTCCTTCCTCCTCCCTCTCCCTTACTGTCACCTGCACCTCAAAAGTTGATACATAAATTCCGCGCCTGGTCCGTCGCTACTCCCGCAGATGTCAACCTGTCGTCGGCTGTAAATCATCCAACTCAATTCATTGTTGTTTGCTGACAGGCTTGCGACTTGCATTGCGCTTTGTTTGCCTGTCTCGACACCGACCTCACACAGGCGGCTTGGTCGCCAGCGTGTCTTACATGACCTCCGGTCGCTTCTTGTTTATCTCCCCCTTCCTGTGCTGATCCCCAGTTCACCGTGGGTAAACACTTCTCTTTTCCATACGTCGCGCGCGCCGATCTGTAGGGGTCTCGATTATTAGTGCGATGGCGGTCGATACGAGCTACTTGACCACTCAGGTCAATAACATTGTCTCGGAGTTACATGGAATCTTTGATGATATCGGCGTTCCGAATCATGAGCGCGAATCGCGAGAGGCTGAGGTTTGTTTGTCTTTGTCTATGGCGCTTCTGATTGATACTGACGGATATGACAGCTCTTTAGTGCTTTGTCGGAAACGCTTAGCAACCACCTCAAGCTCGTGGATGAGTAGGTTGCCTCTGTCTGGTACATTCCCTTTTCCCCTCCCCCCTGCTAACATGTCGCAGTGAGAAACAGGCCATGACTGAAGAAGCGCAAAAGCTCATCACTGCTATACGACAACTAGAAGCTTCACTGATAGATGAGAAGGCCAATGGTCAATATAATCTCAACGATGCGGACCTGCGCATCAAATATCCCCTCAATCAGTGCCTCAACTTCCTCCGGGAGAAATATGGTGCACTCAGCAAAATGCACAAGGAACGCTTCGAGCAAGTGAGAAGTAAGCTTTGAGAGCCATGACAGTGAAATTAGCCGGGAATCCCCCACTAACCCCTTCTTTAGAGCTTGTCGAGGCCCTCGAATCATACTCTTCTCATCTCGAATCCGCTTTTGTCACCATCGATCTGCCTCCCACGGCACCCGGATCATCTATCGCGCCCAGCTTTGACCTTTCCCCCTCCTACGTCACGTCTCTGGACAGCGAATTCAGCAGAGTCTACGAAGAATACCACCGGCGACTGGAGTTTGTCCAAACCACGTGCGAGGACATCATTAAGCTGTGGGCTGAACTCGGCACCCCCCAGGTCCAGACCGACTCCAACATTGTCAAATTCTACCGCGAGTCTCCAGAGCAGCTGGGATTGCACGAAACCGACCTTGCAAACCTGATGGCCAAACGCGAAAAGCTTCTGGACGAGAAGAAGGGCCGCGAACGCAAACTGAAGGAACTCCGTATGGCCGTGGAAAGTCTCTGGGAACGATTCGGTGTCGAGGACTGTGATAGAAAGACTTTCCTCTCTGCCAACCGCGGGTGCGGTCTCCGGACCATCAACGAATTCGAGGAGGAACTGGCACGCCTGAATGAGCTGAAGCGACAGAACCTGCACCTGTTTGTGGAGGATGCGCGCTGCCGACTTCAGGAGCTCTGGGATAGCTTGTACTTCTCGGAAGAGGAGATGCTCGATTTCACTCCCGCCTTCTCCGATGTTTACAGCGACGCCCTGCTCGAGGCACATGAAGGAGAAATCTCTCGTCTTGAGGCACTGAAGGAACAGCGGGCCCCCACACTCCAATTGATTGAGAGACACCGGAGCCTCATCACGGAGCGCGACGCCTTGGCGACCTCCAGCCAAGACGCGTCCCGGCTCATGGCACGCGGAGTCAAGGGAGAGAGACGTGACCCTGGAAAGCTTCTGAGAGAAGAGAAGATGAGAAAGCGAATCGCGAAGGAGCTGCCCAAGGTGGAGGCCGACCTGAGGAAAGAATTGGAGCTGTGGGAGGACGAGTTTGGACGCCCGTTCTTGGTTCACGGAGAGAGGTACCTGGACGATCTCACTCCAGTCATCGCCAAGCCCCCACCGCGATCCAAGTCGGCTGCGTCTGGAAGTGTGAGAGGGAGCGCTCAAAAAGCCCAACCACCGGCTCGACCGGCTAGTGTCATGAGAGCCCCGCCGCCTCCTCGCTCCGCCACCAAGACCCCTACCGGACATAGCTCGACGACCAAATACAATACAATTGGACCTTCTCGAGGAGGCGCAAAGTCTCCGTCGAAGATCCCCAGTCGGGTCCCACTGGGAAATATCCCCCATGCGAACAACTCTCCGGACCGACGGGGCGGTCCAGGCACCTACTCTTCCAGTACGATGAACGCGAAGACTCGTGCGCCACCACCACGGATGCGCGCCTTGACCGGTGCAGATTCCAAGGACAACAGCTATCTCTTTGAACCCCCGCGATGCGCCAGTGCCCTATCGAGTAGCACTTTTGTTCGTCCGGTCAGTCCCGAAGATGTTTATGACGATCGTAACCAGCGGTCGTTTATGAGCTCTTCGATCTTCTCTCAGCGATCTGCCGGTCAGTCATCGCACTCGTCGGCCTCGTCCCTCTCCTTGAACTCGACGCAAGCGTTCCCGCGACCAAACCCATACCTGCAGAATAAACCCCCGCCCCCAGCCCCCAGACAGGTCTCCAACTCCTCGACGATCGACACCGCCAATGGGGGGTCGGAGAATTGGGAGACGTTCGACGACGGGTCCGAGTCTGAAGCCGATGCTAGTGATGTCTACTACGCCAAGGTGCGTGCCGCACATGGAAAGCGACTGGCCCCTGAAGACCAGCAGGGTCTCTCCCTAGCAGGGAAAAAGGCCAGGGGCATTCGCAGTGTCAGTCCCGATGGGCCGCAGGCCAGTCGCAGCGGTAATATTATGCGAGTGGCCAGCGGGGAATGGACAGATGAGATGGAGTCTTACTAAAAAAGGGTTTACTGCTTTGCAACGAACCGCCTCTCGTTTATTTCATTCTGTTTTCCTTGGGACCTGCGGCGCTTCCGGAAGGACGTGATTACGAGACCAATCTGCTGTGACGATTCTACGATTGACCTTGGGACTGCCTAATCTAGCGACTCAACCTGCTCTCGAGTCATGGTTGAGTCCCATTATTTCCCAGGTATGAGCGACTCGCATCGTCGGGCTCAGACAACGACTTTAATTTTTTTTCTTTTTTTCTCCCCATTCCCCCTTGTTGTAATCTGCGATTATACCATGTTAGCTCCGGCTTTGATACTTTCTTTGCGGGACCCGAACTTTCTTGTGTTGATTCTTGGATCTTTCCGGTGATGAAATGAAAGGGAGAACCGAATGGACGATATGACGTCCCCCGGATATCCCCAAGTGGCTTGGAAGAGACATGTTGCCTTCTTGTATTATGCTTTGTTTGTATGTTTGAATAATTCCCCTAGCCTTTTTCAACAGAGACATGAATGGGAGGGGAGGGAGTCTGTTTCCCACCCCAATAGTCTCATTCTTTCCCACGACCGATATCCTTTCCCTTGTTTCACCGGGTTATTTATGTTCCATTTTTCGTTTTGATGAGGTCCCTTGTTGTATGATTTGTTTACTTGTCGCATAGCATGCTTTTTCCATTTGTGTTTGTATCAGCGTTGTGTTTGTTGTCTGGTTGTCTGGTTTGTTGATTAGACATCAATATTTGACTTGTTCTATCTTGGAATAATTACTGGTCGACCTATTTGATTAGACGTATTATCATGGATTGTAGAACATGAGGTTTATGTAGATGCTGTTGATATCTTCAGTAATGTACAATCAATAGACATCCAGCCAGCTTCGAGTTATCCCAAATACCATGCATATAACAAGCACAGTATCTCCAACCACACCTAATCAAAAGGGGAGACAACCTCCAACACCACTACCACTGCCATCACCACTAAATTCCATATCCTACACAGACAGACAAACACGTAGATAAACAAAAAAAAAAAAAAAAGAAACTCAAACTCCCCCAGCAAGCGACCCCATCCACCCCCGATCCCCACCCAAAGCCCTCTCCGCAGACCCAGCATCCACCTCCTTCTTCGCCCGTCTCATAGACTCACCATCCTCGCGCGTCAAATCGCGCGCCTCCTGCAACCTCCGCAGGGACTCCTTCCTGCCCAGGATGACCATCGTCTCTGGGATGCCTGGCCCCGCGGCGCCCGCTGAGAGCGCCCAGCGGAGGTAGTGGTAGAGTTCTTTTTTGAAGGTTTTGTCGATGGATTTCTTTGTTTTGGAGGCGTCTTCTGGGGTGGTGGGAGGAGAGGGGTCTTGGTCCTCGAGGGCAGAGGAGCCGTCGTAGGAGGTTATGTTTGCTTTGTGGGTTTCGATTGTCCAGTGGGGTTCTGGGACGAGCATTAGGGCTGCGGCTGCTGTGTGGAGGGTGGAGATGGGGATCTTGTTGTTGGTGTTGGTGTTGGGGGGAGGGTTGAGGTGTAGGGGGTCGGGTTAGGGTTGGGGTGAAGAAGGTGGCGTTGCGGGCGACGAAGTCGGTGGCTGTTGTGTATGATTTTGCGTCGGCGCGGAGGAGGGGGGCGATGTATTGGTTTAGGGAGCGGGATTGGAGGAGGGGGGTGCTGTGATGTTTATCAGTTGTGATTCCTTGGTGTCTGTTCTTTTGAACGCAGGTGGGAGGGGATGTCGTGGCGAGGGAAAAGGTCTGAACATACAGTTCTTTCGCGGAGTACGTGTCGGACACCACCTGGGAGACTTTAGAGACCATCGCGTCAAACTCCGGACCCCCTGTTGCGGCGAATCGCTGGGCGTGCGCCTTTTGGAGGAACCAGAGCTTCTCGAAGGCGACTACCGTGTTGCCTCGGGTGATTTTGAGGTTGAACTGCTGTGGATTAGTGTTTGAATCGAAATGGTTAAGGTCGATAATGAACATACGATCTGCTCCAGCTCTTCCAGGCTGAAAACGTCCGACTTCTGGGTGTGAGACCAGCCCAGGAGTGCGGCGAAGTTCACCAAAGTAGCTGCGAACACGCCCTGTCGATCTTTGAAGTAGCTCAGGTCGATATCGGCATTCCGCTTGCTGAGCTTTTGCCCGGATTGGTCGACCAGCAGGGGAACATGGCCGAAGCGGGGAGGCGTCCATTGGAAGGCGTTGTACAGTGCGACGTGCAGCGGAGTGGACGGCATCCATTCCTATGTTTCAACACTGTTAGAATCCTGCCCCGATCTATGGAAATCCTTCGATGACGTACCGTTCCCCGGATCACATGAGTGATCTTCATGTGGTGGTCGTCCACCACGTTGGCGAGGTGGTAGGTCGGGTGCCCGTCGGATTTCAGCAAGATGGGGTCGTCGTACACGCGATCGATTAGATCCAACTTGTTAGGCGATCGGTTTTGCCCCGTTTTGCCGTACACTAGGTCGTCAAACATTGGGTATCCCTCCACCTTCAGCCGAACCACATGCGTGTCGCCCTTGCTTGCGCGCTCTTCAGACTCCGCCGCGGAAATATCTGCGCAGGTTCTGTCGTACCCCGGGGCTAAACCGGCCTGGCTGCGGTGTCGCGCGAGAGTATCGAGACGATCGGCCGAGCAGAAGCATCGGTATGCATGGCCGTTGTTGATCAGGTCATGCGCGTGGGTGCGATAGAGGGCTGTCCGTTCCGACTAGATGTAACCGTCCACTCTGGTCAGCGCAAATCCACAAACCAGTCAATGGGCTCATTTTCAGCCATACCTGTCTATAAGGGCCGTAGGGACCTCCGATACTTGGACCTATCGTGCACAGCGGCCTCAGTCAGCGAGGCCGATCCCGACACGCTCCACATGCGCTCCATTCTCACCTTCATCCCACTGCAGCCCAGCCCATTGGAGATCATCGTAGAGCCTCTGCTCAGCATCGGGGATCGTCCGTTTCTGTGGTCCCAATCAGCCCCCGTTCATGGTCTCCCGTCGATCGTGTCCTTGCGCACCTGGTCCGTGTCCTCGATGCGCAGCAAAAACTGGCCGCCCGTTCGTCGGGCCAACAGATAGTTGAACAGGGCAGTGCGAAGTGACCCAAGATGAAGATATCCGGTTGGCGACGGCGCAAATCGAGTTCGGGCGGGAAAATTAGGGAGATTGGTCTTTTTGCTGCCGGTGTGTACGCTCGGAGATGTCGAGTGAGCTCTGCATTGGAGGCAGACCCAGGAACGACGGGCTAAGAGACCCGAGAGGGGGCGTCTCATGGTAACGCGACAGCAAGGAGAGCTATAATAACGAAAAGAAGTGGGTGGAAATAGACAGAAGGATGGTGAAGTTGACGCGGGAGGAAAAAGGCAGAGAGAAGGATGAGCGGAGGTGCGGCGAACGAAAGCCGAACGGGGCGAATGATTTTCTTTCCCCGTCCGAACTTTGCTCCGTCTTTCTTCTGTCAATCTACGATCAAATCCTCTTCACCCAGTCCTTTCTATAACGTTGGTTTGGATACCTTCTTCTGACTTGATACTCTTTAATATATTTAATATCTGTTTCTTGGATTATTATCCACTCCCACGCAGTCAGGCCGAGTTTCCTGCCTCACCACCATTAGTATGGCAGCCTGTTTTTCTTCTGTTTCTTTTGCGCACTCTGATATTTTTTCTACGGGGCTAACACATTTTGAATAGTGGCTGAATTCGAGATCGACCTCTACGGTATAGTCCAACTTGGATGATGAAGTCCCCGAAAAAATCGCATTACTAACCCTCCGAACAGAGGTCCTGGAGATTGAGCGAAGCGCAAGCAAAGACGAGGTCCGAAAAGCTTATCGCAAGGTATGTCGCCTGCAAAATCCGACCCTCGATTCAGCGAGGTGTGTTCTAATCGACCTGGCACGTAATAGGCAGCCCTCGCAAGCCATCCCGATAAAGTCCCCGAAGACGAACGCGAAGAAGCAGAGGTGAAATTCAAGTCGGTCCAAGAAGCCTACGACATCCTTTACGATGACGACAAGCGCCACCTCTACGATACCCACGGTATGGGTGCGTTCAATGGCTCCGGTGAGCCTGGCATGGGCCCCGGTGGCCCCGACCTCGACGACATCCTCGCGCAGATGTTCGGTGGCATGGGTGGCATGCCTGGTATGGGCGGTATGCCCGGCGGTATGCCCGGCGGACCCCGCGCGAACAAACCCCGGAGAAGTCCCAACGAAGAGCAGAAGTACGAAGTGAGCCTGGAGGATCTGTACAAGGGCAAGACGGTCAAGTTCGCCAGCACCAAGAACATCATCTGCAGCCTGTGCAACGGGAAGGGCGGTAAAGAAAAGGCGCAGGCCAAGAAGTGCTCGACGTGCGACGGGCATGGTGTCAAGCAGGTGCTGCGACAGATGGGGCAGTTCTTGTCCCCGTCGACTGTCGTCTGCTCGACCTGCAGTGGCGATGGCCAGTTCTTCAGCCCCAAGGACAAGTGCAAGAAGTGTAAGGGGAAGAAGACGGTGGAAGCCAAGAAGATGTTGGAGATCTACGTGCCTCCGGGGGCGAAGTATGTTATTCCTTCTTTACTTCTCGTCCCATGATCGGCAGCTAACTTTGATTTAGGGAAGGGGATAAGATTATTTTGGACGGTGAGGCGGACCAAGCACCGGACCAAGAGCCCGGAGACATTGTCTTCCATCTGGTTGAAGAAGAACACCCGATCTTCCGGAGATCTGGAGCCGACCTCACGGCCACCATCGAAGTCACTCTGGCCGAAGCGTTGGCCGGATTCTCCCGCGTCGTGGTCAAGCATCTCGACGGGCGCGGTGTGGAGCTCAAACACCCCCAGAAACCGGGCCAGGTCTTATCGCCCGGACAGGTCCTGAAGGTTCCCGGGGAGGGCATGCCCATCAAACGGAGCGACTCTCGGGGTGATCTGTACTTGATCGTCGACGTCAAGTTCCCCGATGAGAAATGGAAGCCGAGCCCCGCCGTGCTGGCGAGCCTCAAGGAGATGCTGCCTCAGCCAGGCCCTGCCATCCCGGCAGACACCGTGGACGAGGTAGCATACGACCCGAAGGGCAACATGGATGAGTTTGGGTCCAATGACCAAGGGGGGTCTGCATGGGAGGACGACGACGATGAGGGTGAGACGGCGCAGTGCACGGCGCAGTAATCTTGCATGCTTGCGTTTGTCTTTTCTCCTGTTTGCATTTCGTTTCGTTTTTCTCCCCTTTTCTTTCTCTTCTCTCTGTTTTGTTTGTCACGGCCGTTGTCTATACCTCTTGCAGCAGGGCTTATTTAGATCCGTCGGAAAGACGCATTGGGACCAACTTTTCTCTGGCATCGCTGGCGTTTGCGGTTCAAACCACCAGCTTGGCTTGGTCTGATATAATGGTGATGATAGAAATATACTACATACATGTTGCAATCAGTGTCTTACTTGGCATGCGCTTCGCGTGGGGGCATGAAACAAGCATTCCGATATCTTGAGAACAATTTGTTCCCTGTCCGGTTGTCTCCGTTTGTGGTGTGGGATATTAGGCCGTAAATTCTCTACGAATTTGTTATTCCTTGTCCATCCATCAAACAGGGAGAGAATTGTAACCCACCAACGGGTTCGCCCGGGGTGAAAGACGGGCCCCCCATGTCTCCTTTTCCCCAGGTCTCCAGCACCCACCTATCTCATAGCGCGGGGTTGAGGCGAATGGGGGGCTCCGGGGCTCCGGGGCTCCATATCTATTGTCTCGGGCCAATCAGTTGAGAAATGCGACATGTGTTTTCAGGCCCGATCCAAAGATTGGGGCCCTGCGTTTGATAGTAGTTAATATCTCTTTTCTTTTTTCTTTTTTTCCCTTCTTCCTTTTCTCTTTCTCTCTCTTTTCTGTATGCTGGCCAGCGCATATATAAAGCACTGTTCAGGTCCTGCCGCTTGTCGGAATCCCCACTCCATACATACCAACTGTATTGCTCCTGATTCGCTCGGCACCCCGGGTTCCCATCTTCGGAGATTCTCCGGTTTTTCGGCATCGGTGGTATACCGTCAGTGGACTGTCTCGGCTTTTGAGGGGTTGAGCACCTAGTAGTCGGCTTAAATACCCGACCCGACTGCGGCATTGAACCCACCAAGCGCTATCTATCTTTATTTTCGATCAGGAAATCAAAGTACATATGTCGTGTCAGTCGCAAAAGTCATGCGACGGCTGCGCCTGCAAAGGCGGCGCGGCGGCGGCGGCGTCTCCCGTCAACATCGAAGACTGCGAGACGGAGCTGCTTGCGCTGCGGAAGAGGACGATCGATCTGGAGAAAGCGCTTGCGTCGATGAAAGACGGAGAAGAAGGCGTGGTGCCCCGCGCGAAGAAGAAGAAGCTGCGGTCTGCGAACTGGTTCCGGTGCGAGAGCAACCCGGGCATGATGGCTCTCTATATCGAGAGGTATCTGAATTATGGCCTCACGAGGGAAGAGCTGATGTCCGGGAAGCCTATCATTGGCATTGCGCAGTCTGGGTCGGACTTGTCTCCGTGCAACCGGTACCATTTGGAGCTGGTGAAGCGCGTTAGAGAGGGGATTGGGGCTGCGGGGGGCATTGCGTTTGAGTTTCCCACGCATCCGATCCAGGAGAGTAGTCGGCGGCCGACGGCTTGTCTTGACCGGAATCTTTCTTATCTGGGTTTGGTGGAGATTTTGTATGGGTATCCTTTGGATGGCGTGGTGCTTTTGACTGGTTGTGATAAGACTACTCCGGCTGCTTTGATGGCTGCGGCTACTATTGTATGTTTTCCGTAGTGACTGTCTTTCGTTTGCTGCATTTGCTGACATCTCAAAGAATATCCCCGCCATCTGTTTGAATGTCGGTCCGATGTTGAACGGATACGTGAAGAGCGAGCTTGCTGGCTCCGGGATGGTGCTGTGGAAAGGCCGCGAGATGTACGCCGCCGGGGAGATCAACCAGGAAGAGCTTGTCGACTACGTATCCCGAGGGTACGTTGGACCTATACGATGCGCTAGAGTCCGTTTGCTAATCTCTCCCCGTCAGCGCCCCGTCCGTCGGACACTGTAACACCATGGGGACAGCATCGACAATGAACGCACTCGCAGAGGCGCTAGGAATGGCCCTTCCAGGCTCCGCAGCTATCCCAGCCCCATACCGCGAACGAGGCCACTGTGCTTACGAGACTGGCGAGCGGATCGTCGAGATGGTCCATTCAGACCGCAAGCCGAGCGACATCATGACGCGCGAGGCTTTCGAAAACGCCATCGTGGTCAACACCGCCATCGGGGGCAGCACCAACGCCCCGATCCACATCAATGCCATCGCCAAGCACATCGGTGTCGACGTCTCGCTGGACGACTGGGACAGACTCGGGTTCCACATCCCTCTACTGCTGAACATGCAGCCCGCGGGCGAATTCCTAGGCGAGGAATACTTCAGGGCTGGAGGGCTACCAGCCATCATGGCGGAGCTGCTCGACGCGGGCAAGTTGCACGCGGGAACACTGACCTGTAATGGGCTCAGCGCGGGGGCAAACGTCAGCGGGAAGCACTCCTGGGACCGGCGGATAATCAAAGCGTACGACGAGCCAATCTTGGGCGACGCGGGCTTCCTTCACCTGCAGGGAACATTGTTCGACTCGGCCATCATGAAGACGTGCGTGATTTCCGAGGAGTTCCGCAAGACCTTCCTGGAGAACCCTGACGACCCGATGGCCTTTGAAGGCACCGTCGTCGTCTTCGACGGGCCGGAAGATTACCACGAGAGGCTCGAGGATCCGTCCACGCCTATCGACGAGAGGACTATCTTGGTTATGCGCGGGACGGGACCATTGGGCTTTCCGGGTGCCGCTGAGGTGGTCAACATGCACCCTCCTGGACGACTCCTCCGGGAGGGTGTCAAATCACTGCCCTGTATTGGCGACGGGCGACAGTCGGGCACCTCTGGCTCACCATCGATCCTCAACGCGAGCCCCGAGGCTGCAGCGGGTGGGAATCTAGGCGTCCTGCGTGACAAGGACCGGGTCCGAGTCGACCTCAAGCGACGACGCGTCGACATCCTTGTCTCGACAGAGGAGCTAGAGAGGCGCAAGATTGAACTGCAAACCCGGGGGGGCTATGTTGCACCTGAGAGTCAGACCCCATGGCAAGAGCTGTTCCGGAAAGAAACCGCGCAGTTGAGTGAGGGGATGGTCCTCCGGGAGTCTGTCAAGTATCAACGACTGGCTCAGAAATACGAGGTTCCTCGACATAATCATTGAAGCAAGGGGGCAGAACCCAGGTGTGGGGAGGTTGGTGTCAGTGTTGGTGTTGCATGAGAGTGAGACTATCGCATCGAACCACCACTAATCACGGGACCAGACCATTTTCCACTTACGTTTATCCAGGATGCGTTGTGCAATGAGACTCAGACACTATATGACTATCTACTATCATTGAACTGCTTCCTTCCATCTATACCCCGGCATCTGTACTATGAAAAACCTTTAGCGTGACAAGAGTAGAGTTGGAACACCGACTTCCAACAGTCCCCTAACCGTGCATTCTATCCTCATGGACTCGACGATCGACAATAGACTCCAATACAGTCCCACGTTCCACCAGAAGAACTTCCCTCGTCCGATTCACTCGCGACAAGCTTCCGATCTGATTGCAGTTGCTTCAGATCGGACGAACGCCTTGCATGCCCCTACTCAGCTGTACAACGGATTAAGCTCGTACAGGCAGATACCCACAGCCACCTGGGGAACCTTCAGAACCAGAATAGCATCAGATATCGCAATCTCTCTATTCGCCCGATATGGTTTTGTTCTCTGACGCTGCAACAATACATTGAGGACCAGACCATCGTCTGCCTCTGACAGCATCGGGGTACAGAAAAAGAAATACAGTAAATGTCTCTCAACACAGCAGCTGAACGGGTTTCACAGCGTGTGCCGCTTTGATAGCAGTCTCGAATCGCGTGCAAGCTGCGATATCTTTTCTTTTTCCTACTGTTGCAATTGCCAGGCGTTCTAGAGCAACAATGTCTAGTTTTTTTGCTATTTCCCTCGCCGAAGCACGCCTCGGTGCGACAGAAGATTCTGCCTCAGCCGCACGATTTCTGCACCGGTCGTTGCACAGGTCAGATTCTCGTCCAGGTACGTACACCACCTACGTCGTTGGTACAGCTGCTGTAGCATGCAGTCTTCCAACTGGTGCTCGTGTCTCATCTCATTTGTTTCTATGGCTCGAACTCAAGGCGCCGTGTGTTACTGTCTCAACATCGTTGCGTCGGCTGGCATGTCACCCGTTGCAAGAGTCATTCTGACCACCCTAGGTCACTGGGCTACTTGGTTGGGGGGGTATAAATGCTTGCTTGAATCCTTGCTTGAATGACGAGATAAGACAGACACAGAAACTACTCATAACGGAAACCCATTACTTTCAGATCCCCAGACCAAAAAGATACTCTTCCTTCTTTGACATAGTCAAGATGTTCAGGCTCGTTGCCTTCCTCGCTGTGCTCTCTGCAGCAAGTGCCATTTTAAAGCCAAGTCCAGTTCTCGCCCGGGGAAACTGCCAAACCGTTCCTCCCACGACCATTGATGTTATGGACGTCTCAGACCCGGATGGTTTCAATATTGGCAACATATTTCGCCTCGAAAGCACCGGCAATCCCACGGCAAACACGAAGATCTCGGCTCTCACCTTCGCTCTCCCCTCCGGTGCCACGGGCTGTGTACTGCGGATCCATAGACCCCCGATCGTCTCTGGCAACAACGTGGCGGACGTCTGGACGACTAGTCCGTGGAATGCTCACGCGCCGCCTACCTGGAACAACCTCCCTCATCAGAATGAGATGGTAGGGAAGCTTATCTTTCCAAAGGATCGATCAAGTCAAGAAGACGTGAAAAATATTGCGTCAAACTCTTGTTCGACCACCATGAGTTACTTGGTGGAGTTTACCAAGCCACCGTCCAGCGAAGGGAGCGTCGAATTTTACAATACGGCGGGCTCTGGATCAATGAATGACATAGGCTTCGATATGCAGTATAATTGTTGATTGGCGGTTATCTCGGGCGACATGGGTTGGCGGGCTTCGATCAACGAATCCCATGGGCTTCGATATGCAATTCAATTGTTGATTGGCGGTTATCTCGGGCGAATGGGTTGGCGGGCAGCAGGACGAGAGCGATGTTTCAGCCTCTGCGTATGGGGATATAGCCCGAGATGGATATTCTGTGGCAGAATGTAACTGTTCTTGTTGAATGCGAAGGAGGTTTTAAGCAGCGCCGCAGATCTTCACATGCGACCTGAGTAGCTCTCAACCAATATCTGGTTGATGCTAGGCCCGGGGGAACCAGACCAGAAGTATCTCAGTTGGCTCTCTTGTATATTAGCTTGCATTGGCGAGTCTCAGTTCCATGCTTAGGCACAAAACCCCGAAAGCATAGCACAAGTCTCAGCTAGATTTGAAACCCGGTCGCATGGACCAAGAGATTGAGCTATCACGGCGTTCCCTTTTGTTTCAGTTGCCACTTTCTAAACTAGAAAAGTCATTCTGCCTGTGTTCTCAAAGTCAACATCCCCAAAGACATTGCGATGCGGTCCATTAAGTTCTCCGTTCGTTCATCGCTTGATTCATACCATAGTAAATGCTGGGAATACAGTGCGCGGGCTTTCAGTGCCATGGCCGCCGAATGCCAGACGTCGGGTCCAACGGCGGGAATACGACTGGAGAGAAGGGCTGCCCGACGAGTCGCCTCGGAGCTGATCACTGCGATTAACTGCTGAAGCATCGCAATTGCAGTGCAGATTCCTTCGAGCGAGCTATTGGCCAGAAGACAGGCGGCGGAGGCAGGAATGGGCCCAACAAACTCCAGTAGTTTGTATTTATGAGACTCGTCACTCGCAGCATTAAGGCCAAACTTTAGCTGCGACCGCATGCCACACAAAGCATCCCGACAGTTGGCGATGTCCTTTGTCAAGTCTTTCCTCCGATGGTTGAACGTTTTCTGCGAGCTGGCGATCAGGGTCTTGGTGCTCACGAGAAAGCCCGGACATCGAGCAATCTCATAGAATGCATGCTCCACCAAGGCACCTAAACGACTTGCTTTCCCTCTCTGCTCTTCTAATGCCAAGGCTTCGTCAATGCCCGACTTCCACACCGGGTCTTCCAAAAAGCATCGCTCCCCCAGGAGAAACGCCTGGAAAACGAAAAAGGGCCGGAAAGACACCAGCAGCAGCCGAGCGGTTCCGTCGACGTAGGCCTGGGGCCTCCGCAGGCGAATTAGGTGGGAGAGACCGCGTGAATGTAGTATCCATGATTTCTGTTTCCGGTCCGCCATCAGTTCGTAGGTCGCGAGGAACATTGTCGAGGCGAGGGCATCGTCCGAAGCCACCATTGAAGGATTGCCAATCACCCGGGCGAGATGCCGCAGTGCACGACGGTACATGTCCCGACTGAGATATACCAACCGCTGGTCGTGTTTAATCTTCCCCATGTACAGCATGGCGATGCCGCGCAAAGACCAATCGAGGGTTGGGTTCGGGGCCTTCTGGCTGCGAGCGAAAGAGACCCAAGTCATGTTGAGACGCGAAACGTAAGCATTATATTGGCCTGGAAACGCCGTCGGAACGAATGCGCAAAACGCCTCGCGAAGCTGGCTATCCACGGTCCTCGCGACTAGACTGGAATTCACTGTTTCATCTATGGACATGAAACCCACCCCTCTGCGCGCTGGAGTGGCGCGTAGCAGCACGGTATTCGATGACACCTGCTGTCCCACTGGAGAGCCATTTTTGACCAGATTCTCCGGCTCCAGCTCCCCGGGACACACTAGGTGAAATTTCCGTTGTCTCTCATATCCTGGGCAGTCCACGTTCCTTTTTTGACAGCGGAGGCACTTTGGACGGGTTTCGTCGCACTAGGAGACCGACCGTATCAGTAACGATCGAGAGATATTGGAAAATCAAAACAAGGGAGAGCTTGTAGATACCTTGACTTTCCGCTTCACACACACCGAGCACCCTTTGCTGCGTAACGTGCCCCCCATCAATTCAAGATTGATCACCGGTTCCAAACGATCGGGCCGTCACGAAGTATGTGGGAGAGATGAAGATCGCAACGTGTATGGATGCAAAGAAAGGGACAGAGGATCCGGTCAGCCTTACGGAGACCGCCAAGTGAAAGAGGCCATGGCGATCACCTCGTATCCCGGCACGTGAATCATACATAACAAGTTGGTTGCTTTGATCATCACCGAAGAAATGACACCTTGCACTCCGGTACTGTTTGTACGAGAACTCCACCAGAATGCCAATGCCGACTTTTAAATTGATTCTATACCCTATTTACGTCTTCCAACAAACGTAATGCTGGGCGACTGGCTTGAATCGCCAGGGGAATGTACGAATATGATTGAGTCACGTGGCGTACACGAGGGCAGCCCTGGTCTCAGCCAGGTCGACAGGGATTCTAAACACGGAGTGGGGTGTAAGCAGGCATCGACCAGTCAGGAATCTGTATTGATCCAAATCCTAGGGCTGCATCTCACTTGTATCCTTGGTGTGCTCTCGCAGATGAGACTCCACGCTTGGAAATGACGATGTTGAGTTCTATCGCAATAGACCTTGTCGAACATCTCCAAGAAGACCCTGTGTGCTTCAGCTTTCTCCATAATTTCTACTAATAGAAAGGGAAACAAGGTCCAACGAGTGATGCCAGTTTTAGTTTCTTGAATCTCCCACTTCCAACCGCAAGCTTTGTCCTACCATGCGTTCTACGATTGAACTAACGTCATGTCATTCAGTGTGGCTGATTGGCGCCGAGATTGGAATGAGTACCAGCCAAGTAACACTACACCCGATAATCGAGAAACTAACAGTATATAAAGATGAACTATCTATGTCAGCCCCGAGACTGTTCCCCATCTTCTCGCACTTCGAAGCCACATACGTATTTCGCAAGGATGGTAGACCTCGAGTCCTCCGTACTTGGCCCTGACCTGCACGACTGGATGCTGTATTCTTGTTGACAATTTCAGAACGTGGCCAATTTTCTTTAGGCGTATATGAACCAATCTGCATGTCCATCAGTGAGATTCCCTCCCTGTTGTGGATGATATGTCTTGTTTTCCACTTGGAGAGCTCCCCTCATTCTAACAAGTTCTCATGCGACGCATCTGTAATATAGATGATGTCTTACTTGACATGATGTTAAGCTCTTCCATGATGTTAATTTGCCTGTTCTGTCATCTCCAGCTCATCAAGACGCCTCAGTCTTGACATGAACTCATGGTCTATCTTTTGCCCCCCTGGCTTGTTGGAGTGTGCCAACTTATTGAAAGGACAGGGATGGTCATTACTTCGCAAATGAAAGCTGTAAAGCAGAAGCCCATTAAGTAAAGGGTGCATTCTATTTTGAACTCTGAACACGGCGATAATGTCATACCGTATCTTAGCCATACGGGGACACCTTTGATTCCCCCAAATATGGGATGGTCTAGATGATTCTGTTTTTTGCCTCCTGTTGCATCCCTTGCTTCTATTTCAATATATCTTACATTCTTAACTTGGTATCCGAGCATGGTAGCCTTTCCATACTCTAGCCCTATTAAAACAGTTTTGACTTTTGGGAATATGCTATGGTTTACAAGATTATCTCTCTTTGCCCCTTGTTACATCCCTAGATTCTTTCTCGGTGTAATTTACATTCCCATGTTTAGGAATAACTGTGCCCCAGTAAATGTCATTGGGAAAGTGTCGAAGATTAGATGGAATGCTCAAGATTGTGCCTCATACTCGGCCCATACGATTGTTGCAGCTAGTATGCCACCGGAAATATCTCCCACGCTCATGGATATGTGGAACTCTGAAACAGCTCCATTCCTGCGTCCAATATCTACACTGTCTTGCGCTTGACAGACAACCGAGGAGTGGCTCTCCCGAAAATATTGAATCAAGTTTCATATGATTCTCTCAATCGGAAATTGTCAAGACGGCTGGCTATACTGCGTGACCGTATGCCTCGGTCTTTTGAGGCCAAATATCAACCCTACCAGTCTCACTCATAATCAAGCGAAGTAGCAGAAAGTAACCTGATCAATTCTGGAATCTGGTTAGTGAAAAATGTAGTCATCGTAGATTTAATCTGACGCCTGAACTCAGCTCGCCACATCCTTTTCAAGATATCTCTGGTCCCTGTGCAGGGATGTTGACTAGACATGCCCAATCTTGGGGATATGAACTCGTGGGACCCGATGCATACTGCAAAGTGGGTCGACTGCACAAACTCTCATTTGTTAAGGCGTGGTAGGGTAAGATCATGATCAACAGACTATAGTCTCTGTCAACTCCATATCCCTAGATTCTTGAAAACATTCAGCATTCCCGGTTCACAAAGAGCAAACAAATCTCAGCCCCAGCAACCAAGAGCGCCATTGAAAGTAATCTGAGCAATGTGTCGCCCCTCACTAACCTTTTTGTTCAATAAGTTCAACATAAAAAGGCTGTCCCATCCGGTGTTTCTTGATACAGCGACTCTTCTCATCCTTCAAGTCTTCATATACTCCAGTTGTTTCCTCTCGGAGCCTTGACAACTTACTCCACCAAGATGAAGATTGCCTATATCATCCCCGCCCTGGGAATGGCCCACTCGGCACTTGCCACCGTGAATGCAGGACCTTACAATTCTGCATACGCCAAGTATTGCGGTAGTGGCCAGAGCCGGGGTACTGTCACTATTGATCAGACCGTATTCTCATACGTCTGTGACACTGGAAACTCTGCCATCAGCAAGGCCCCGATATCAGTGCGCTCGCTTGACATATGCGCCGACCTGTGTGAGAGTGACGGCGCCTGTGACAAAGCTGTCTGGTTCCGTGACAACGGGAATTGCTGGCTCTCAACCCCGGGGTCTGACACTCATGCTCCGGGCCAAATCGCCATTACCAGGGACCGGACCGCGAAGCCTTCGCCTGATCCCAACCATATCCAAACGGTGCCCCCAGTCTGTATGTTTTTTGACCACTGAAGCTTGGACATGCATGTGTTCTGGTGACTGACGTATCCTGTCATAGGCAACAACACGAACAGCCGACAGGTGACCCGGGTGAGCGGCCAGGGATGGTTCCTGGCGTGCGGTACACGTATGATTCTACAACCTGAAAAGGTCCCCTGGAAGAAACTCGATGCTGATATATTGCAGGATTCGGTGTTACACGGCCCAACCAAGTTGGTAAAGTGGAGAGCCTGGAGAGGTGCATTGATACCTGCAATCAACGTCCCGGCTGTCGGAGCGTCATGTGGAATCGCGATGATAGGTATTGTTATGTTACCGACAAGAATTCGTTGGAGAAGGAAGTCACACAGAATGCTAGTATCGACGCTGCCATCAAAATTGAGTAGGGGGGATAGATGATGGAGTGTCTGACTGTCAGTGTGTTGAGCTGAAGGCACATGGGCAGAAACTTTGCTGCCATGGCTAGGTATGCTAAGCGTTGTTCTCTGTCCGGTGATTATTCTGTCTTGTTCTCTGCTTTGGCCACCGGCTGTCTCTCCTTTAGCAGAATCTACTCGTTAGCTATCAGTAGTATTATTACTAGTGACGGTTTTTATAAATTCTTTCCGAATTAGGACTCTCTATCTTAGATACAAGGGTTCCCTCAGTACCCGACGCTTTCTTCGGACATTTGTTGATATCCATTCTGCGGCCCGTAGAGTAGAGCCCGTATCTTTGTTTCACTTATTACATATGATGATCCATATCTTTGTGTGTAGGAAGCCGGGAGGTTATATTCGGGCACCCCAGATGCAGGGCGGTGGCAGAACATCCTGAGGCAGGCAAAGTTCTTACGCGTTTCTTCCTGATGGTCAATATCTTTCTCTCCATCTATCTCTTTCTGCTACCTTTACAATTATCTTTGACCTAGGGGTACCCTTGCAAGAGGGTCGTTCTGGGCATCGAACCGTCCTTGAAGAGTTTCATAAACATCCGAATAACAATTATCCATTCCTCCTTCCCCCTGCTGGCCAGGGATGGAGGTCTCCACCCCGTCCGATTCCTGTGGACGGTCACGAAGCCAATCACACTCAGCCTCAGGACCCAGAATCCTCTAATAAGCTGCATACTACTAATAAGAAAGCCAAAAATAGAGCCAGAAATGGAGCCAGAAATGGAGCCAGAAATGGAGCCAGAAATGGAGCCAGAAATGGAGCCAAAAATGGAGCCAAAAAGAAAGCCAAAACAGGGGAACCACACGGTCATCCCTCTCCACTCGCGACAGATGGCAACACGCCGACACAGCACCCGATCAGCGAGGCCGTCGAGGACAGCGTCGCTGAAGCTGACGAACTGCGACAGGTCAGGAGAGAGATCTACGCCGACTTTGCCGCCACATTTGATAACCGCGTCGCCAGCTTCGAGAAGCCGGAGTACCGTGCTGTCGCAGGGGACATCGCAGACCGTTTTTTACAGGAGATCAGTGTGTCCAGCTTCGTAGAGAGTGGTGGACAAGACTTCATTCCCGTGCGCATTAGCAGCGATCGTTTCCCGCCAGGACGTTCATGAATGCTACTACGATGGGAGTGTGCTGAAAAGTCCTACAACAGGTCAAACTCATTGGCAGTATAGAGTACGAAGTTCATAGTGCATAGTTTACATGTTCGAGAACTACTATAGACCGGTTATTAGTAGCTAGTCATTCTTATAGTTGGAATTCGCCTTCTAGATTGGAAGTATTCACATGCTTATACCGCCGGAAATTCTACACAGATATTCAATATACTATTTTATGCATACAGCTGAAGTGCTAATATCATTTGAAAGGCGGAATTCCAGCCTAATGTAGGATATTTTCATACCCATATGTACTGTCAAAACAGTTAGCTCGTTGAAGGACTTTAGGCCACGCCTCCATACTACTGCTGCTGCTGCTGCCTACTGCCCCTTGTTTCCCACACACTGTATTCTCTCGATGAATTGCAGGACTTGCACTCATCCAAGCAAAAAGCTGTTAATAATAAGTGATTGCAATCGGCCAGCTGGCTTGCAGCGTTTCCCACACTAGTCATATGTATTTTGACATTTCCTCCAATCTTACAACTTTTGCAACTTTTTTCATAGTTTCAAATCATCAATATCATCATTTTTCTTGGCTATTTCCCCATTCTCCCCCATTGATAACGCTGAAAAGTTTTCAGCGCAGCGACTGCCGTGACACCATGGATCCCCCAATTCTCTCAATCCAAGCCATCCTCCGTGAGAACAATCGAGAACGGCTTTATGTCCGTCCCATCTGCTGGACTTGGAGACAATTAAAGCTTCTGAACTGCGCCTTTGTTGAAGAAGAGGTATCTTCGGAGAAGGGAGACCCACCATCAAGATCGGTAATGGGTACCTGGAAAAAACGTAGCAATCCTATGCAAGATATCGCATATCTACGCACAGCAGATCACATGGAAAATAAGAGATTCTTCGTGGGGAGAATCCTCAACCTCTATGGTTACCATTCTCTAGAGTCAGACCAATCCTACCTGACAACTAAACTATGGAAGGCTAATTTACTATCAGGCTCAACCGCCTGCCATTCTACTATGGACACCAGAAGGTTACCAATGTCCGAGTCAATGGAGTTTTCTCACGCCCCTCCTCCACTCCAAGTCTTGCTCATATCGCATTTGATACACTCTATTTCCTTCGAAAGAAACAAGTCGGCAGTACGCCAGATCGTGAGAAGCGTGACCGGCTGGTTTCGAAGATCCATGATAGAAAACTGCGCTTCTTGACGCCCCAGAATTCCGCCGAAGACCCTTATATCATCACGATCCTGATTGCCCTGGCCCAAGCGCAGCGTCATCGGCCAGTGGTAGCAAAGTCATGTTCGACCAAATCAAATAACAATGCTCGGGTCGTTCAGGGTGTGGCTGAGTCTACCCAGGTACGTCCAGATGCGCGCCATGAATAGAAAGTCTTGTTAATCTAAGGGTAAAAAGGTCACTGTTCTCACCACTCCCACTGGAGAAATTGATTTTCTATCCGTGTACACTGCTACTATTCCGGCTGAGCTTCTTGATCGGTTGGATACGCCCTCGGAGCCGTTACATAGCCCTTGTGTTTCCGTGAAATACTTTCATATTCCTCTAAGACCCGAACGGGATGCCCTGCAGAAGTTACACCATCTGATCTGTACTGGTTCATGCTCTTTATGTACCAATGTCCAGCCTACAGATCCTGGATCCGCGAAGTGAAGCCATCAGTCGTTATGGAGACGAGCCAATAGAGTCCCAGGATGAATTCAATGGGGTGTGGGGGGGGGGGTTATCCAGATATGATCAATAGTTGCACTATTTTTATCAGTCTCTTGCCTATACTTGCACTACGAAATCTCGCGTGGCAAAGTTGGCAGACGTCTGACAGTAAACGCTCTCCACGATATCTCACAGGTGGGTCCAGAAACCGCTGGTAATACCGAGGAAGGTGTAAACTCAATTCGTGAAGAAGCGGTATCAGTTGGCTTCCTGGCAATGTGGGGACTGAACCGTCTGGTGTTATGTCAGGAGATTCGTCCAGACCCGTTGCATCCACCAATTCATTACTAATGATGTCATAATCATCATATCTCGTAAGTTGGGGTTATTCATTTGTATGTTTCTTCCTATTTGTTTGTGTTTTCTTTCCCTTGTATCTTTTATCCCCTTGTAGGAGTAGTTTAAGCAATCTGTCAAACGTTGAGGTTGAGCACGTCTCAGATAATCTACCCCGTCTAACACAAAATCATAAGATTTGGCTTGTTCGGACTCGGCATATCGAGTCGACCCCATAATTGCAGCTAGTCTATTACCTAATTCCTAAAAATCCCCAGAATTAGCCGTCTTCCCAAACACACATCCCCCCAGCATATCCCTCGGCGTCAACTTTCCAATACACAGGCACCATGTCAACAAAATACTCAAGCCAAGGTCCCCCCGAGGAAATCAAACAGAAGCTGCGCCAGCACTTCACCGACAGCGAAAGCGGCGCATCAACCAACGACCGATGGGCCGCGCTCTGGAACGAGGGGTTCATCCCCTGGGATCAGGGACAGCCGCATCCCGCGCTAGAAGACACGCTGCAGACGCGCAAGGACCTCCTCGGGGAATCGGTCTTCGTGCATGACCCCGTGCTGGGTCGCCAGCGCCGCAAGAGGGCCCTCGTGCCGGGTTGTGGTACAGGGTACGACGTCCTGCTTCTGGCTAGTTTTGGGTACGATGCTGTGGGCCTGGAGGTCTCGGCTGAGGCGGTGCGCGTTTGTCATCAGTATGCGCGGGAGAACGGTGAGAAGTATCCTGTGCGGGATGAAAGCGTTGGTGCTGGGCGGGTGAGGTTTGTTGAGGGGGATTTCTTCAAGGATGATTGGCTTAAGGAGGTGGTTGAGGGGGAGCATGGGTTTGAGCTTTTCTATGATCACACGGTGGGTGTTGACTGATTTAGTTCAAAAAGCAGTGACTGATTTGATGCTGCAATAGTTTTTCTGCGCGCTGAACCCATCCATGCGCGCTTCGTGGTCACTCCGCTACTCCCAGCTGATCTCGTCTCAGCCGGACAGCTGTCTTGTCTGCTTGGAGTTTCCGACGAACAAGCCCCCCGCCAGCGGGGGCCCGCCTTTTGGAGTGGCACCGGAGGTGTACACCTCTGTCTTGGAACCTCCTGCTGAGGAGGGAGCGCAGTCAGGCGAGTCGCGACGGTATTTCCGGAGAATTGCGCATTGGCAGCCTGAGCGGACTCATGGGATGGGTCAGGGGTCTGACTGGGTGAGTGTGTGGAAGATCATCTAGGTAGTATTGTTGGCATAGATTGGGCGCACCAGGGAGGTTGAATTGGTGTGGTTTAGATAAAGAAGACAGGGGATCAAGGTTTAACAAAGCATGTCGATCACCAAGACATGTGCTAGGTGACACGTCAACTGGCATCCCTCCACGTGGTTGACTTCACTTCTGTTTGGATAAGAAAGAACACATCAGAAAATACTCTGTATATAGCATAGTCTCAACTCAATGGCAGATTGCGCCTGCATCTACCGTATCAAAATATTACAGAGCTATCTCTACCCCTGTCAAGTATGCTCTGCCCCTCACTAGTCTCGCCTACCAATTCCAACAGCTTGCACCTGCATCGGCTAATAGAATCAAACATACAAGCAACGTGATCATGATTTCCACCATCAGCATGTAACATGATTTACGGTCTCATCCTCTACGCGGCCAGCTGGCCGCTCAGACTATCAGTGGTGGCATGAGCAAAATCCAGTCTTTTACAGTAAGTCGGCTAAGTCCTCACTCCAAATCGGTAGCAGTCTCCGCGGATTTATCTTACCAACTGACTAGCGAAGTAACAGTTAATCAAAAAATAGAACATGGAACATGCAACTACACTTCTAGCTTCAGTCCCTGCTTCTCTTCCCTTCCTTCGGGCACGGCGACGCCGACGCCAGCCAGCCAGCCCTAAGAGGGGAAAGGGCCAGAATGACGCCGCGCCGGTGGGGCTGAGCCTGTGGTGAACTAACGTATCATTCCGATATGTGTGTCGGGCCGAGCTGTGTTAGCCTTGACTTCTCTTTTTCTTTGGTTTTTTTTTTTTTCCCACATCACCTGGCCAGTCAGCCAAGCCATAGACGGGCTTTTCAAAGGTCTAGCCATCTAGGCATGACCATTCCAGCTTGGTCGCTGGAGCGGTATACGATCTGACCAGCGGTGCATTACGTTTATTGACTACGGAGTACTCTCTTCCTCTTATCCCACTGACGCAATCGACCCCTACCCAGTAAGACCCTCTAGTAAGACCCTATCCCTTCCAAGAAACGATCCGCAAAAACATCTTCTAGCTCAGTAGCTCTCCGAGCACGACAACAGCAGCGGTGGATTACGATCGCGTGGGAGGCGACGTCAGCACAGGCCCGTACCGAGGAGGAGGAGGGGCAAGACGGACGCAAAGGAAGCGCGCCAGCTATTGACGATCAAACAGCGGACTGGATCTTTAGTGTTGATTGACGGGGGGAATCGGGGATCGGAAGCCGGGGGGAGTCATAGGCGGGTATGAGGGGTTGTAGTAGTAGGAGGTTAGGAGCGGCGAGGGTGGGTTTGCATGAGAGGTGTCAGTGACTCAGTGGAGGCGTTGTATTGACCAATTTTTACCTGGTATTACTAATATTAGATAATTATTGGCTTGGTTTGGTCATTGTTTTTGAATAGTTAGTTAACTATGGGTTATGAATTATTTGCCTACTGTTTGAAGGGTGGACGGGAGAAGTAGGAGTGGATCTGGCTCAGGCTCAGGCTCCATTCCCTCTTGGTCTTGATGCAGTAGTTCAAACTCCAGTGTGACTTCAAGAGGGTCTGGATGATCCATGATGGTATGGATTGGGTTGGGATCTGACTTGTTCCTGATCAGGAATACTGGTATAAAGAAATAGAAGTAAATAAAATAAAAATAGAAGAAAGAAAAGTGTAAGATAAAATAAAATAAATAATAATAATACAAACAATCCAGCCTTGCTTGGCTGCAGACGGTCGAGACCGCAAACGGCGATCTTTTTTTCTTTTTTTTTTATATATTTTCTATTCTATAATTATATATTTTATATGTTGATATTTTGATATCTGTTTTTAATACTTCCATTATTACCTAGAATACAAATGATAAATATGATTATATGATTCTCCATCCTGGGTTGTTCCTTCCAAGTCACCCATCATAGTAATATTGATACTTGATAATATGGATCAGAAGATCATTCCTCTCTAAAGACATGACAAACCAAGAATGAAACTCTGATTGTATGGAAAAGCAAGAAAATCTCGGCTGGAGTGGATCCTCCAGTGGGTCAGCCAGAGTTTTTTCCCTCTCGTTCAGGGTCTAGTATACTTTGATTTTAGCAATACGGTGTACGGTTGAGTCGTAGTTCAACCCTTGACCATCTCCACTCCACTCTCGGCTGCTCAAGGCACACCATCGATCATCTTGGCGGGCGATTTTCGTCATTCCTACCTCGCTGCTAGCTACCCTCCTCCTTCTTACTCCATCCATTCACATCCTTCCTTGCCACCATGTTCTGATAAAGCTGGCTCTTGTCCCCTGTCTCATTCCCCTGTCCTCATTCCGTCTCGAATCCCTCCTACTCACCGCATTCTCTATTGTTCACCAGTCGACCGTCCCAGGTGCTGTTGGAATCTATTCCAACACATCAGTACACCCCGGTGTACTTATCTCCCTCCTTACATTCGTGTTGGATCAATCGTTCATCATGGACGTCGACTTATAACCTCCACCCCCCTCGGTCTGCCATCCGTGATCGCAAGGCTTGAACTAGTCCTGACGACCAGTTCTCACCTCCTCAATTGACTCCGTGACGTCTTTCTCTTGGTCGAACCCCCAATCAAAGAAACCATCCAACAAGAAATATTTCTCCCTCCAAAAAGTCAAAAATGGCTCCCAACCTCTTCCTCTGCCTGCGCGCGACCTTCTGCCCCTCCTACTGGTTCAACCGTGGCGAGCGCATCAATGGCTCCCTCCACCGCGAAGAACACTGGGAATCGCCCGTCCCCGGCATGTACAAGTACATCCCGGGACTCGGATGGCACCTCACCTCCCGCGACGATCGCGACCACGACGAGAAGGTCCCCGTCCCCCTCGTCTACTGCCGCATCCTCCACCGCTTCATCTTCGAACACGACATGGAGGACCGCTGCCGCTGGTTCACCGTTACCACCCACGAGGGCGCCGCCTCCGAGAGGCTGATGTTCTTCCGTCTCGACGACGGCTTCACCTGGGTCGCTGCCTGGGATTCCCAGCGTCGCTTCATTCCGGGCCCGTACCAGAAGTGGTACCTGGATGTGGAGACCGATACCGTGCGTCCGGTCTTGTTTCCCGAAAGCTCGAATGTGTCTCGGGTGAGCCTCGTGGCGGGCAAGATGGGTTGATTTTATTATGTATTGGCTATTAGCGGGTTTTGTTTTACGACTGATAGATGATTTGGGTGCGGGTATAAAATAGCGATTTCTTTTCTTGCTGTTCTACATGGGGTTGTTCTACATGGGGTTGTGTTATGGTCTAGCGAATTGGGATTTTTATTCTTTCTTTTCTTACAACCGGTGCCATTGGCTAGAGATATCATACTTAATACTATCTATAATATGGACTATGGTCTTAGATCAGTCGATACATCACATCATTCTAGCTGTGCAGTAGTATGGCATATCACACAAGCCTTATCTCCGCTCAGACCGATTGACAACAGACATGTCTATATCTTATAGAGTACAGCACACAGTACCATCCCATCCAACAACCAGTCATACATCAATCAATTATCACCAACCAATCACCAATTATCCCAATTATCAACAACCAACACAACCAACAACAAGAACTAAAAAGTAAAAAGTAAAAAGTCAATAAAAATCACAACTTCGCCCCCCCACCCCCCACCACCAACTTCCCTAACTCCACCCTCGCCCTCTCCTCCATCCCCGTCCCAGTAGGTCTCATCGTATCCCTCGCACAGAAAACATGCGTATACCCCCCCACAACCTTCACAGCGGCATCACCCTCCTTAAACACGCCTACCTCGTACGTCACCGACGACGAGCCCAGCTTGTTAACGCGCAGACCGAGCTCCAGCACGTCCGGGAAGGACACCGAGGCGAAGTAGTCGCAGTAGGAGTTGACCATGATTGCTACTTGGGAGAGTTTATCACCGGTGGAAGAGGGGGAAGATGATGGGGGAGAGGAGGATGAAGAGGAGAACGGATCCATGCCGCAGTTATCGATCAGGTAGGTGTTGATGATGGAGTCGAAGAGTTGGGCGTAGATTGTGTTGTTGAGGTGGGCGTACATGTCGTTGTCGAGCCTTTCATGGATTAGCACTTCATTGTATTTGTAGTTGCATAATTGTTGAATAATGTAGAGATAGTGGTAAAGGAGGGTATGGATATGGAGGAATACCATCGGGTTCGGTAGACTTGGTGAAAGACGTAGTCGCTGCGGGTGCGACGCTTTTTAACTTCGATTTCTGGAGGGGCCATTTTCTTCTTCTCTTCTCTTCTCTTCTCTCTTTCTTCTTTGATTTGTTGCTATTTTATGATAGTGGCTGTTATTGTTGTTACTTGTAAGAGTTGAAGATGAGGAGAATAAATATGAATCCGTTTCTTCCTGCGGGGATAGACCGAGGTTACAAATGCCGCTTCGTGGCTCCTTTCGGTAGGGATCTCCATTGGCATTTCTCTCTTTAATTGATTTGTATATTCATATGATTTTAGAATATAGTTATTACTCTTATATGGAGTTAAATTAGTTTAGTTATGTTTTGTAGAGTGGTTTGCATTGACTGTGACGAACATGTAACTGTATATATATAGATACTCGGTACGGGTTCTGATAGCACGAGTTGACCATGGGTTGATATATCTGATTGAATGTTACTTTACAATAAGTAGATGTACTCAAAGTACATTGTATATTTTCAAGACTTCGAGAATTAGACATAAAATAAGTTGAATACCAAAGTTGAGTTGTTCATTGAAGTGGGTGAAATAGTCGCCTCAGGCCCAGACTCCGCCGGCTTTCCATTTTTTTTTCTTTAATTTTTTTCCCCGCAATTCTTTTTCTTCTTTTCTTCCTTTTTTCTCCCACCAGGAACCAGGAACTTCCTCCCCATCCTATCTCTTGATCTCTCTCCCTTTATATATCCTGGTCCCCTCTATCTCCTAGAATATGGCGACCGAATCTCAAACCCCCGCCATCCTCCCCTCCGACCCGTGGCCCGCTCCATACTACCTCGAAGGAGGCTTCCGTCGCGTCACTCCCTACCACTACACCTACAATACCTACTGCAAGGAACGGTGGCGCGGCCGCGAGTTGGTCGACATCTTCACCTCCGAGTTCCGCGATCGCCCCCAAGACTATTACCGACAGGCCCTCGAGGACGGCAAAGTGTCCGTCAGCGGGCAGACGGCCGGCCCGCACACCGTCGTCAAGAACGGCCAGGTCATCTCCCACACCCTCCACCGCCATGAGCCCCCCGTCACCGGCCAGGCCATCGGCATCATCCACGAGGACGACGACATCCTCGTCATCGACAAGCCCGCCGGCGTGCCCGTCCACGCCGCCGGCCGCTACCACTACAACTCCATCATCGAGATCCTGCGCTCCCAGAGCACCTACGAGTGGACCCCGCGCCCCTGCAACCGCCTCGACCGTCTGACCTCGGGCGTCATGTTCATCGCGAAGCACCAGAAGGGCGCTGAGATGGTCGCCGGCCGTCTGCGCCAGCGCACCGTCCAGAAGGAGTACATCGCCCGCGTCAAGGGCAAGTTCCCCGACGGCGTCGTCGTCTGCGACCAGCCCATCATGTCCGTCAGCCCCAAGTTGGGTCTCAACCGCGTGCGCGCCACCGGCAAAGAAGCCACCACCAAGTTCCGCCGCATCGCCTACTACCCCCCTCCGTCCCAACACCACAACCCGGAGAACGAGGACGAGAACGAGAACGACCCCGCGCGCCCCGCCACACCCCCGCCCGCCTACGCCAACGAAGACGAAGGCTACAGCATCATCCACTGCCTCCCGCTCACAGGACGCACGCACCAAATCCGCGTCCACCTCCAGTTCCTCGGCCACCCAATCAGCAACGACCCGATCTACTCCAACAGACGCGTGTTCGGACCCGACCTCGGCAAAGCCGACGCCACCGGCGACCGCGACGACGAGCTCGTCGACAAACTCTCCGCCATGGGCAAAACCGAAGTCGCAGACACCGTCTCCTACCGCACACACCTGACCACCACCCCGGTCGTCCCACCAGGCACCAACACCTCCACCATCGAAGAGATCATGTCGCGCGAGCACGAGGCCGCCGTCGTCGCATACCACAAGCGCAAGGGCGAGCGCCTCTCCGGCGAATCCTGCGACGTCTGCGGCACAGAGCTCTACACTGATCCCGGCCCCCACGAGCTCGGCATCTTCCTCCACGCTGTCGCCTACGCGGACTCGCAGCACGGGAACTGGAAATACCGCAGCTTGATGCCGGGCTGGGCTATGCCGCCTGCAGGGTTGGACGGGCCGCGCGAGACGCCTGACTGGGTGCCTGTGCCTGAAGAGGAGGAGGTCGTTATTGGCCATGGGGAGGTCCCGGAGGGCATGCGCGAGGAAGATAATAAGAATGTGCCGGTTTTGGTGAGGGGTGTTGGGATGGTGGATGTGTCTAGTGGGGGACGTCAGACGGAAGCTTCCTAGTTTTTCTCTCTTTCTTTTCTCTCTTCTTTTTGTTTGTTTTTTCCTCTTGCTTTTGGGACTGCAAAGTATATGAAGATAAGGGCATGATGTATAGAGGGTGGGTGCTGTTGCATGGGACGGAGTTATTCATAGACGACTTGTTTGATACCTACTATACATGACCACTGTTTTATCATGAATCATCAAACAATCAACCTCACTGACATGATATAAGCATAGATAAGTCCAACGTAGGAAGTAATAAGTTGGTAGACTGGTACCCAGTACACTACAGCAGCGTTACAACTACTTCCTACAAGGGATACCCATCTACGATGAGGCCAACAAGTTTTGAAAAAATCATCAAGATTTTTTTCTTTTTATGAGTTTCTACCCATTCATCGCCAGAAGCACGTCATCCCAGTCCAACAGTCCGTTCCCATTCCTCGTTCAATCCCCCGCCTTCCTTTCCTTTCCCATTTGCCTACTGGAGTACGACAATAGGCCGATCTCATACTGCAGGGTAGGGTAGGTAGGGAATAGGTAGGTAGGTGGTATATTGTATGTTATGGTATCTTTCGAAGAAAGAAAGGTTTAGAAAAAATGGAACATAAATTCGGATTTTTTTTATTTCATAACATCCATCCGGGAATTTAAGCCTCAACGGTGACACGGCCCTTGGGGTTGGTGACCTTGACGCCGAGGGCCTTGGCCTTGGCGATGATGTCGACACGCTTGCGGGAGGAGACGGCGTGGCCGATCCTAAGCATTATTAGTTTCTTCTTCTTCTTCTTCTGCGTTCTTTGTGTGGAGAAACATACTCAGCAGCATAGGTGCGGTTGTGCATGAGGAGCAGCTCGACGTCGCGGGGGTTCTGGACGAGGAAGGCCTTGTGACCCGAGGGCATCATGTGGCGGGTCTTCTTGTTGCTGCCGTAACCGATGGAGGGCATGGGCAGGTTCGACTTGAAGCGTCTACGGACGCGGTTGTCGATACCCTTGGGCTTGCGCCATGACTCCGGGACGCACTTGAAGCGGTCGGACTGGTGGCGCCAGAAACGCTTTGTGCCTGATTTAATTAGTATTCTGGGCTTGTAGTGGTTGCGACATGGTAGGGATGTTCAGTTCTGTCCGACCAGTTCAGTGAGCAGGTCAGGTTGTCTCATTCGTTCTGGTCGTCTTTGTTCTTCTTTTTCCGTCTGGTTGGATTGGATTTGACTCGATCGTGTTCTCGTTCTCGCTCGTCGTCCGTTCAGAATCGATTTGAAAAATCTTCGCAACAGTTCGAACCCGAATCAAACTCTTCTTCTCTTTCGCCAAGTAGACGACCACCATCGACGCAAAATCTGACGCTGACTTGACTCTGACTGAACTGGCCGAAATAGGACTGACTGCTGGCTGGGTAGGGTAGACAGAGCAACGGTGAAATCAAGGCAGCAACATACGCTTCTTAACGATGGGGACGTGCTTCTTTGCGAGAGCCATCTGTTTCATTCAATTAGTATACTGATCCAGCCAATATACAATTGTATGGAAGGGAAAGAAATACCTTGTCGGTGGGCGCTCAAAGTTGTCGTGACGGTTCAAAGAAGGTCAGGTCAGGCCAGCCTTTGAAATTTCGCCGTGGACGTTCGACTCGCCGCCCGCAGCCCCGTGAGCGGCTCGCTAAGCGATATCCGCTTCGCCCGATCTGGTTAGTGCGCTGCGGGCTTAGGGCTGACCCTGTTTTTCCCAGCCTTAGTCAGATAGATCATGTGATTGGTACTTGATTACTCAGACTTGGTTCATGTTCAAGGTTTCCATACAAGGCATCTATCCACGCTCTATACTAGGTATCATACAGCTACTGCAGCTCCAACCTCACCCTCTCCCCATCCCGCCCACTACTTTCCAACATCCGCTCAACAACCTCCAAATCCGCTATCGCCTCCCGCGGTCGCAACCGCTCCGGCACGCTCTGCTTGCCCACCACAGCGGCCCCAAACTCCGCAATCTCCTCCTTCACGCACCGGCCCTGGAACGGCACCTCGTACGACTCGCCATCGGCCGTCACGCGGTCCCCATCCAGCGTGACCACGCCGCCATCCACACATCCAAACTCAAACACCGAGTCGCGGAATGGCGACCCGTACGACAGCGACACCGCGCCCGTCGCGCCCCCGCGCGTCTTGACGACCGCGTCGACTGTGTCCATGGGCGCTAGGTGCGCCTGCTGTAGACAGGACTGCGCGGAGAGCGTCGCCAGTGCGTCTTGCGCGCCACTTAGGATTAAACGTAGGCCGGCGACTACGTGGATCCCGCCGTCGAGGACGAAACCGCCTTGGTAGTCTGGGATTTGGCGCCATTCGGTGACTGGATTCACGTCAGCTCTTATCTTCCAACTCTGGAGGACCGACGAAGAACGTAGCCAAAGTAGGGAGCTGAGGGGACATACGGTAGTACTTCGAATCCGTGGTGATCATGCTCCGCGCACACACCCGGAACGTCTTCACCCCGCCCCGCTTGCGCACCTCCTCCGCAGCACGCATATACTTCCCCTGATACCGGAAGTTCTCCGCGACGGCCCAGATGGTCTGACTGCTGTCGATATGGCTGTCATACCAGCGGGTTAACTCCCGCGCAGTTGCCACGTCCTTCGCGATCGGCTTCTCAGACAGGACGTGTTTTCCGGCTTGCAGGGCCTGACGGATGAAGTCTGGCTGGACCAGGATGGGGAGGCTGGTTGTGTTAGCCTCTCTCTCATTCCTGATTTCTTTCTTTCGTAGATGTAGTAAACAGAAAGAAAGAAAGGAAGGGATACACACGCAATAATAACAGCCCCGATATCCGTCCTCGCCAGCAAATCCGCATACCCCTTCCCAGAGCCCGCATCCTCCGCGTAAAGGTCGACGGTGTCGGCGGTCTCTTTACCCGAGTGGGCTAGGGTTTGCGCCGATTTCAGAGAGCGGGAGTAGACGGCTTTGAGATGGAGGTTGTCGGTGGCTTGCACGCCGGGCTTGATGTAGATTGGCGGTTGTTAGTAGTGGGTTCTGCGCAAGAAGATTAGAGAGGTTTGGTCTGCCGTACCAGGTGTTCTTCCCGGGCGAAGATTCCTGTGGATTTAATTGTCAGCTGGAGGTTTGGTATGGGGGTAGACAGGGTAGGTAGGTGGGTAGGTAGGTACCGCTTCCGATGATAGCTACGCCGATAGGCATGGTGATGATATGTAAATATGGTGTGATCTGACGATTGATGTATAGAATATTAAGTAGCCTCCGTTGAAATAAAGTAGCGGAACTATCCCTATATATATATATATATATATATAGAGTCAAAAAGGTAAGAATAAATGAAAAACCATGACGCATAACCTAATCCATGATTCCGCCAGAGTGGAGACCGCAATTAGTTCCAGGCTCGGTTTCGGCGGGGCTGTCCTGGGCCAGGGAAGGTCCTGGCGATGGCTGGGTGTACTATATGTCTGGTTTATGGTTTACCGTTTAGATACTTTATTTGGGGATTTAGAGCTCGATATGTAGGTAGTATGTACTATATATACTCTGCAATATATACTGCAATTCCATATGGGTTTGACAGACCCACTATATCGCGAAGATGTTGAAATATATAGGAGAAATGACACCAAACACCCAATCCAATAACAAGACAAAGATAAAGAAAAGAAAGAGTAAAGGGGAAAATAAATAAACGCCATCCTCATGCTGGTCATAACAGCGTCATGACTGACGGCCAGAGCCCATCAATCATGTCTCATTTCCGTCCCAAAGCCGACAGATCCCAGTCGGCCATTGCCAATAACACCCAGGGTATAAGAGATAGAAAGAAAGCCAAAATAAAAGCTGAAAAGAGGGGAAAAGAAGAAAGAATGAGGGAAGGAAGAGCCTATCCAACCATCGTTCGGATGCGCTCAACCCTAGCCATCGCCTTCTCCAACCGGTCGAGACGATTCCGCTTCTCCACATCCCGACGCTCCAACACAGCGACTCGCTCTTCCAGTCGCGCGCGCGCCTTGCGCTCCTGCGCTACCATCTCGTTGGCCTGGCTGAACAGCTGCACCGTCAGCTCCTCGAGTTCGGTGTGCGCTTGCGACAACTGCGACTCCGCGGCGCGACGGAGGTCCTGTTCCCGGTTGAGCTGGTTTTGCAATGCGGCTGTCACGTCCGGGCTCGGTGGCGAGGGCTGTCGCGGCGATAGAGGCCCCTGTGGTTGCGGCGCGGGAGTCGCGCTAGACCGGCGATAGGGGAGGAATGATGTCAGCGTCGATAGGCGACCCTGTTGTTGCTGGGGCTGCGGTTGGGTGGGCGATAGCGATCGGTTGTCCAGGTCGTTCAACGACGCTGACGAGGCGAACGATCCGTTTGTCGGTGTGTAGGCGGCTGGCGCACCGTTTGCGCGTAGACGGCGAACCTCCTCCTCGTATTCGGCCAATTTCTCGGCTGTGCGTTGACTCGTGTTAGCAAGGTCGGTGCCACGTCAGAGCGACAACGAGGTAGCATCCGGGGAGGAGGGGCGGAAACACGGGGGGTATTGTTCTGCCTTACCCATTTGTGTGGCCTGGATGTTCAACCCATTCACCTGCCCTTCCAGGTCTTTGACCTTCTGGCGGGCATCTTGCAAGGTGCCCGGCGCGAGATACTCCTCCTGGCCGCACGACGGGCAGCCGGTGCCCCCATTCAACGGGGTGGTAGCCTTGGTCATGGTGGGTAGCGTGCCGACTAGCGTTGTAGACGTGAGAGCGGTGGTGGTGGTAGTTGTCGACATTATTTCCCAGCACGAACGACGGTATAATAGAGTGGCGAACAGATGAAAAATCAAGACAGATAAGGGATCCAGAGAATATATAGACCCAGGTAAGCGCCGGAGAATGGGCGATTGGGGCTGGGGAAATGAAAGGATCTCACGGGCAACGGATCCGTGTCGCAGACAAACAGGGCGGTTGCAGGTTGGGCTGGGTGTGATTCGAGAGAGGAAAGAAATCGCCGAAAGAAAATTCCACTAGATTGATAGCATGCGAATCATCCATATGCCTGCATACTGTAATCTTCTAGGAAGTAAGGAAGAGAGGGAGGGGAGGGGGG